ATGTATTGCTCCAAACTATCAATCGTTGCTACTGGTCGGCATAGATCAATCTGCCTGACCGCTCACGTGCCGACGCGTCTATGGTTTCGCGATTGCTGATCTCGAAAAACATCGTCAACGGTCATGAGAGTAACACGCCCCCATGACGAAGAATAACTTGGCCGTTCACCTGAAATGGCTGTTGAAGCAAGCATCACCTACAGGTCCTGCTCTCGTCAGCTTGCCTGAACGCAATCAAGCATTGCAATCCGCTCTCCCCGCAGACGAATCAACGACCCTCCATGATATTTCGGAACATGTGGATGACGACGCGGACGAAGAAATGGCCAGACTTCTATTTGCACCCCAATCCGCGAGCAAGCCTCGAATGCTGAGTTGCCCCGACACGACCTCCGCTAATACGCCATCAAAGAAGCAACGGTCTTCGCCGAAACCAAGCGCTCGAGGTGCGTGACCGAGCACGGGTATTTATTGGGGATCAATCATACTGACGGGAATTGTGTGCTGAGTAGACTCTTTGCGCGAACCTCCGGCGTCATCACATAAGACAGCTCGGCCAAAGTCGTCCCCGCTACAATCAGATAATTTCGGCACCTCTAGGCACGACGCCATCGAAGCTATTGATTTGACAGGAGGGCTTGACCAGTCAATTTTGTCTTCGGGAACGTCAGGGACCATCCGGTTTGGAGAGCCGCGCGGGTTATGGACGGAGGAAGTCACACCACGCGAAAAACGCGGCAAGAAGCGCAAGAGCGACGAGTATACATCCGATCTTCTTTCACCATCGAAACATGTGACCAAAGTGCGAAGTCCCGCGAAAGCCACCCGGCCACCAGCCGCTAGAGAGGAGACAGTTCTGGAGCACCCCACAACGTCACGCCAGACGGCCCAGACCCTTTCCCCCAACGCGGCGAGACGATCCGAATATTATTCCTCGGTTGTCCCACGAAGCCATCGAAAGCAGGTGATTGCAGATTCGGACGATGATGACGAGGACCTTTTCGACGACTGGGTCGGTGAGGATACCCACGTTGATGATATGGTGCTAGATACCGAGGAGTCATTGTACCCGATACTCCCTGAAATCAGTCCAGCGGGTGATGAGAAAAAGAATGACATCTGGAAAACGTGTTCCGATCTTACTCCCAAAGCACCGGTACAACCTACACAACCCTCAACTCGAACGAAACAAAAGACGCCCTCACAAGACCCTACCCCCTCAACGCCATGGTCAAAGCCATCTAACTCACAGGAGAGGGATCCAGGTCTTCTAAAGGTCTTGTCCCTTGGATATAATTCTTTCCCGCATGCGATCTCCAAGTTAAGGGCCACCCTGCAAAAGAACTCGGAGATTGTATACCAGCAGGTTATGGAAGGTCAAATAGACCAAGAACTTGTCGCCGAGAACAAGAATATTGTTGCTCAAGTTGGGATAATTGAACAGCTCCAGAAACATCAAGCCGCGCATAAGGCTTGCATTTCGCGCAAGCAGAGCCTGAAAGAGAATCTGATACACGCAATCTCCCAAGGTTTAGATCCAACAACCATGCCGGAAGAGCTTGCGCAGAGTCGAGCAGTCGAGGCCGAGTTGGAACAAATCGAAACAAAGATTTCTCAGCTGCTTCCTCAGGCCAAGATCTTTGACCTGGTGCATGACTGCCCTCTTGAATCATCCCCTATGAATCATACTGAATCATCGTTTGAAACCCGCACAGCCACACAAGAGCCGCCCTTCTCTTCACGAGCCACTGTCCACCAAGAAGTACAACCAAGCCGGCATCTGCCTATCACGAGCCCTAAAAGACCGCAAGAGACACAGCGTCCCAATTTCAACGAACTGTCCATCTCTCGAAACATGGGATCTCCACCGCTTACTTCAATGGACTTCGATGACTTTGACTGGAATGCCAGCGACGATGAGATGCTAGAGGCAGCAGGGAGCTTCGATGAAGGTCAACAAAGCTCAATGCCCGATAAAACTAGCCAGAATCGGAAGGTCTTTGCAGAGACATCCGGCAACACCCAGAAGGCACCCGCTCCAAAGAAATCCCCTGGCCGTAGTGCCTTCTGGTCGAATCATCCGTGGTCTCAAGAGGTGAGAACCGTTCTAAAAGATCGATTTCACCTTCGTGGGTTCCGACCAAACCAGCTAGAGGCCATAGACGCAACGCTTGCCGGAAAAGACACTTTCATTCTCATGCCCACAGGTGGAGGGAAGTCTCTGTGCTATCAGTTGCCTTCAATTGTAACAGGCGGCCACACTAGGGGTGTGACCATTGTGGTATCTCCATTGCTGAGCTTGATGGAGGACCAGGTGTCACACCTGCGCAAGTTGAACGTCAAGGCCTTCATGATGAACGGTGACTCTGACAGAGAAGAACGCTCGTGGATTCTAAACCAACTTTCCCACACCGAAGGTGAGAATTTGGAGGTGTTGTACATCACCCCCGAAATGATCAACAAAAACCAAACGTTGGTCAATGCCCTGGAGAAGCTTCACCGGAGAAAAAGACTAGCGCGCCTTGTCATCGACGAGGCCCACTGTGTCAGTCAATGGGGTCATGATTTCCGCCCTGACTATAAAGAACTGGGAGAAGTTCGAAACAGGCTGCCTGGAGTACCCCTCATGGCACTCACAGCCACAGCCACAGAAAATGTGAAAGTGGACGTCATGCATAACCTCAGAATGTCCGGATGTGAAGTGTTCCTGCAGAGTTTCAACCGTCCCAATCTAACCTACGAGGTGCGGACAAAAGGAAAGAATGATGAAGTGTTGGCCAGTATGGCAGAGACTATCACAAGCTCCTACCGAAACCAGTGTGGGATCATTTACTGCCTCTCTCGAGCAACTTGTGAGAAAGTTGCAGAAGATCTGGAAAAGAAGTATCGCCTCAAAGCCAAACATTACCATGCCAAAATGACAGCGCAAGAGAAATCGGAGGTGCAGGCCAAGTGGCAGGCGGGTCGATTACACATCATTGTAGCTACCATTGCCTTCGGAATGGGAATCGACAAGCCCGATGTACGCTTCGTCATGCACCACAGCATCCCAAAGAGTCTGGAGGGATATTATCAAGAGACTGGCCGTGCCGGCCGAGATGGAAAGCGTTCCGGCTGTTATCTCTACTACGGCTACAGGGACACCGCAACCTTGAAGCGCATGATTGACTCGGGAGATGGCAGCTATCAACAAAAAGCACGCCAGAAGCAGATGTTGCGGAACGTGGTCCAATTCTGTGAGAACCGCAGCGATTGCAGACGTGTGCAAGTTCTCGCATATTTCAACGAATACTTTCGCCGTGACGATTGTAACAACACATGTGATAACTGCAAGTCTGACTTAGTGTTTGAGGTTCATGACTTCTCAGAGCAGGCCTCATGGGCTATCAAGATCGTGCGAAACCTACAGATAGAGAAAGCGAAAGTCACGGTTCTGTATTGCGCAGACATACTTCGCGGGGATTGCAAAAGGCCGAAGGATCCATCACACCGCAAAATGGCAGGGTATGGGAAAGGTGCGAGCCTGGACCGGGGAGAAGCCGAACGTCTGTTTTATCGGTTACTGGGCGAAGACGCACTGGCTGAAGACAACGTCATCAACAAAAAGGACTTCGCGGTTCAGTATATCATTCTCGGTCGCCGTGCAGCCGAGTATGAGTCTGGTAAGCGGCGAATGGAACTGGAGGTTCGCGCTTCCCCGAACAGCAAGGCAGCCAAGGCCAAGGCTAAAAGTAAGATGGCTGCTGCTGGGCAGAAATCAAAATCTGGTGCCCAGGGTGCTCCTCATTCCACCATGGTCTCATCGCCAGTGATCGCTGCTCAAGATCGACGCATGGAACGCTTCCAATACACTGGTTCCCTAGGTAATCGTTTTGCGGCCGATGATGAAAGTGACGACGGATTTGAACCAATTCGAACTAACAGCCAACCCCGTCGCGCGAGCACACACCAGTCGGGTCCTCCGATCACCTGCGATCAACGGTTGGAGAGACTTGATCATCTGCATCGTGCAGTTGTGGAAGGCTTTGAGGTGAATGCCAAAGAATATCTCCAAAAGGTGAGTGCTCGCTGTCCCCATCAGTGCACCGTGGTGAAGCTGACTTTTTGCCTAGCTTGTTGTGGAGAAGAACCTTCGTTCCCAGCCGTTCTCTGATGAGATGTTGCGTGAAATGGGAATTTCATTCCCCCGAGGTGAGCATTAATATGTAAGGCTATAGGAAACCCAATGCTCACACCACAATAGATCTTGATGAGCTTGCCAGAATTCCGAACATCGACCAGGACAAAGTGAAACGCTATGGCCGAGGGATTCTTAAGATCGTTGGACATGCAAAGCGACGCTATGATGAAATGACACAAGAGGCAGAGACCGACGGCGTCGTTCCGGACCCCAATCACCACAATGTCATCAATCTCAGCAGCAGTGACGAGTACAGCGACGATGATCTATTTATGAATGACGTTACTGGCTTCGCACTAGACAATCCTGTTCAGACCGCGACTACCAATGCCTCCGAAAATATCACAAGCCGCTATTTCCCACAACCATCTCCGGGGTACGACTTTGGTGACGACTACAATGCTGGTGCTTCAGCTTCTGGCCCCAAAGGCCGCAAACGCCAGCCTGGCAAACGAGCACCGCGACGAAAGTATGGCTCGACTGGCAGCTCCAAGGGAAAAGGCTCGCGATCGAAAACAAAGTCAGGAGACCGTCCTACGAGCCAGTCTGGGCCGCGAAAGAATGCGAGAGCTAAGACCCCCAAGTCTACGATTGGAATGATGCCTGTTTGATTCCTTTTTTCTTTTTTCCCCCTTGTTTGAGATATTCATGATTATTTGAGCGTTTACGCATAAAGCATCGCTAGGTGTTTGTGTTCATGTTTTATGATACGTCGGTGCATGGCATAGACTCGATGCGTGTGTTCATATTTGGCACTGCCATAAAGGACTAGGATATAATATACACCTTAATAACACCATTTGTCACTAAATTGTACCTCTCAAGTTCCTAGCGAGCGACCAAAATCAATCAATCGAAGCCGTCGTGCATCTCGAGGGTGGAATTGGGCAACCTTGGCCCTAACAAGGAACCTCGAAGATGCCGAGTCGCGCTTCAAATTGATATATGAAGTGTTGGCTTCCAATAGATCATCAAGGAGCTGATGAAACTCCTTCGCAGCAGCTTCCCTCTTGTTCCGAGAAGTATCATCCCCACTGCGTTGCATAAACTGATCAATCCGCTGCTGCGACCCATTCTCCTCTTCAACTGGCTGCTTCTGCTTCTTGGGCTTGCCATGTGCCGTATACCCAGCCTTCAACGTAGCATCCGACACCTCGAGCGCATCACCAACAGTCGGGCCACCCAAATCCTCAGCAGCAAGCATCGGAGCAAGAGTATCATCTATGAACTCATCCAGACCAACCTTCAGACGCGCAGACGTACGGTCCAGGTCCTTATTCTGTTTCTTCTGCTGAATCACCTGCTCACGCGCAACCTGGGATGGAGTCTGGTCGCTTTTCCTACTCTGCGCATTGCGAATGAACTGGATGCGCTCTCGGAGTCCACTGGCGATTGCTTGAGAATCGCGTAGATTGGCGTCTTCTACGCGGAGGCGATCTCGGTCCGCAGATAGCTGTTCAGCTGTCAATTGGACGGAGCTTTTATTGTCTTTGATGAGCCGGGCTGTTTCTTCTAGGGCGAGAAGTGAGGGCAACACTGAATCTGTTGCTGGAAGCTCATGTTCAGATTTGAGGACTGAATCGTATGCTTTCTTGGCCCGTCGGGCTTGCGAAACGCGGGCCCATGTGTCAGTGCCCGATTCTGGGAGTTCAACGGAGTTAAGCTCTCGCAGCTAGAATCATGTTTAGCTAGGATATTCTCGATAGTAGAGCTTTTGTAAAGTACCTTGATCAGATCGTTTTCTTGGCGCTTGACTTGCTCTTGGAGACCTTTCAGGGTTGCGTCCAACCGTCTTGTGTAGGCATGTAATGCAGTGTCACTCAGAGGCTCTCGTGCAGACTCGCGCTCTGCTATTTGGCGGTTCTCTGCGAATCTCTCGATCTTCTGCACGGTTTGGTCGGAGATCTCCATGTTTTGTTGGGTGGGGTGGTGTGAATTACAAGATTTGTGGATTGAATGATCCGGTATTAAATGAGACCCCAATTGAACGTTTGCATGTATCGGTTGCTTGCGCAGAGTAAACAAATGGGAAACACGATGTTGCACACCCCATGATCGCCCTCACGTGACCGAGCTGTTCCCTCGACTTCCCACTCGTCACCTCACCTCCCCTTAACCATCTCCCCATCCATTTTCCCGTCAGCAATTCCCCTTGGATTTGACTTATTCAAGTCATTGTCAGCTTTCATCACCAAAGCTACTCCAGTGTAGCCCCTTGACCTCAGATTCGCAGACGTTATCGGTGGTACAGCAGTCAACGGTTTCTGGCCCTTGATATTTCTTTGCCTGGTTTCATATTTCCCGTCGCATCCATTTCAGGCCCCATTTCCACCTTCCTCGCTACCATACCCTTCTCGAGCATCTCTGCAACCCCGTGAAGCTTCCCCGGTTGAGACTGCACAGCCCTCTCACCACCACCTGAGCCCGCACTTCCTCCCGTCACTTCGGCACTTCCTCAACTTCCATCTTCCTCCACAACCTCCCAATCTTCTTTCAAAAGCACCAGTCTCCCCTTTCGATCGCCAGCACCAGCACCTTTCGTGGGAACCCCTGGTGTACATAGTCGATCATAAAAGAAGAAAGCAGATTTCGTTCTTGACACCTTTTCGATCTTTCACTCGTAAGTGAAGAAAACAGCAGCACAGACTACCCAAAATGTCCGCTTCTCCTTCCAACCTGCAATCGACCAAGCGTCCTCTTGAGGACCCGTCGTCGCCTTCTGGCCCCAATGATCAGCCCGAGGCCAAGCGCCCAGCTCTCGACAAAGTAGTCAAGGACGAAGCTGAGGCAGAGACCGATGTATCGAGCGCCCAGATTCCTGCCGTCGATGCCGCCAAGGATGTTCAGGGAGATACAGTCGTCCCCGATGCCCCCAACGGCAAGGGACTCCCTGCCGACACCCAGCCTATCCAATCAACAGCTTCCCAGGGTGACCGAGCCGGCGCTGATCAGCAACCCCAGGACGAGTCAAGCTGGGTTCACATCCGGGCTGTGATCTCTAGTCCCGAGGCAGCCACTGTTATTGGAAAGGGAGGTGAGAATGTGTCACAAATCCGTCGTCTGTCAGGTGCCAAGTGCACTGTCAGCGATTACTCTCGGGGTGCCGTGGAGCGTATCCTGACCGTCAGCGGCCCCCAAGACGCTACTGCTAAGGTGAGTCTCCGTCCAGCAAAGTACGGAATTTTCGATTGCTAAGTATATACCCTAGGCATTTGGTTTAATCATTCGTACTCTCAACAATGAACCCCTTGAGGCTCCATCCACTGCCCAGTCCAAGACGTACCCTCTGCGTTTGCTAATTCCCCACATTCTCATCGGCTCCATCATCGGAAAGGGTGGCAGCCGTATCCGTGAGATCCAGGAGGCCTCCGGTGCCCGTCTGAACGCGTCTGATGCCTGTCTTCCTCTGTCCACCGAGCGTTCCCTCGTCATCCTCGGTGTTGCCGACGCCGTGCATATCGCTACTTACTACGTTGCCGTCACACTGGTTGAGCAGCTTTCCGAGCGTTACGGCGGTCCCGCAGCTTCCGCTTACGCCACTCGCAGCGGTGGCCCTGCCGGTGCTGTCCCCGGTGGCATGCAGGTCGTGCCTTATGTTCCCCAGCCCGCCGGCGGCCAATACGGACACCCCGATACTTTCAAGCGTCATCACCCTCACCCTAACCGCGCCGGTGGCGGTGCTTACGGTGTTCCCTACCTGCACGGCCAGCCCACCCCCGCCCCGGTTGCTCAGTCCCCTATGCACTTCGGCGCTGCTCCCCAAACCCCCTACGGTGGTGCTGGACCCCACCAGCCCGCTGCCCCATACGTTGCCGGCCCCCAGCCAACCCCTGCTGCCCGTGGACCTCCTACTGCCCCCGCCCCCGTGGGCGGCGCCATGCCCGGCCAGCCACTGACTCAACAGATCTACATCCCCAACGACATGGTCGGTGCCATCATTGGAAAGGGTGGCGCCAAGATCAACGAAATCCGTCACCTCAGTGGCAGTGTGATCAAGATCAACGAGCCTCAGGAAAGCAGCAACGAGCGTCTCGTCACCATCACGGGCACTGCAGAGTGCAACCAGATGGCCCTTTATATGCTTTATTCCCGACTTGGTTAGTTTGCCCTCTAACGCCCCCCCAGTGATCTCTCTTATTGTGTCATGACCCAACTAACGATCTGACACAGAAAGCGAGAAGCACCGTATTTAAGCATAGCAGCCCTCGCTATGCTTTCCATGAGAAATCCCATTGCGGTGTTCTGCCCAAAAGTCCACGGTGGTTTATGATAACTCTCTCTTTGCCTTCAATATCTCTCGAGGCGTTTTTCCTTTCCACTTTGAACTTGTTGTATCTTATTCCAGGGCGTGTTTGACCTTTCTTTTTTGCCTTGCCTAATAACAATTCCCACAATTATCCCTTGAACCAAGTAGCCCTTTCCTTTCCATTGCCTCTAATTACCACCGACATCCTATCCGCGCCTTGCAACGCAATTACATACACCCACATCCCTCAACCACCCCTAACCAACCCACAGCGCCACCCTTCCTCTCTCTTTTCATTCTTTCCTTCTTTGGCTTTTTCGTCCACCTATCTTTCGTCCCTCGCTGTCCAACTAAACCATCTGAAAACTAACATGTTTCATCTCCAACCCAGGAATAGGAGGCAACATCTTCTCCCGAATAGGCCGAATCGCCTCGGCGAAATTCTCCGTCTCCTTAGCCCGAACATGCGCATCTACACTATCCCACCCAACAGCAAGGAAATACACAACAGCCTTTCCATCGGGACTCTTTGCATGTGGCAGCTTACTGGGCCGATCAACATGGCCCATGGCCCACGACTTCGGCCCAGCCTGCTGCGGCAGCTGGTCGACCAGCGCCCTGCGGAAATTAATCAGATCCGTGTTCAGCTGTTTGGTTTCTGACACGGAGAGCTCGCTCGCAAATGGGAGCGCGCAGAGCTCTGTGACCGGGTTCATGGTTAGGGTTGCTGTGCATCTGACTGGTGGGATTAGGGTTACGTAGATTGATGCTGGAGTTTGGGTGTTGGAGGGGTCGAGGAAGGGGGCTAGCAGGTCTGTATCTGTTGAACAGCGGGCGTCGGTCCAGTCTGTTGGTTTGTTAGTTGGTGGCTCTCTTGGTTTGTATGATTGTATGAATGTCGGGCGGGTTGTAGGGTGCAGAGAGGGTTGTATATAATGGTGTATATTGGAGCTTGGGGGTCGGGTATGGAACTTGACTTGTAGAGAAAGCTGGACAGAACTTACCTACGACCCAGACGATCGTGTTTGTATCTTCGACCGTGCGTCCCCAAGACGAGCTCTGATGGCCGTTTTGATGTTTGGTCGCACGGAGGACCTCCATCAAAGCATAGCCTTCTTCGTTCGATGGGTCTTCCGGTTTGACCGACGGCTTGACCCGGAAGAAGATAAATTGACAGATAGATTGAGACATGTTGGTGATACAGTGGTGTTACAAATTACAGAGAGTGAAAAGGATTGTTCTACGTGGACTGATGTCACAGAATGATGTCATTTATGGAGTTTGACTGTAGCAAGAGGAAATCCCGCAATTCAGCCCTAAGACCTTAGCAAATTCCCAACGCCCAAGTTCATGTCAAAATTAGAGTCAAAGATCGTCAACGCCGCGCAACTTGGTCTTTTTCACGTCGATGGCATTCTTGAGGTTCTGGACCAAGTGCTGTCGACGTGCTGACTTGGTCTTCCAGCGGGTGGCTTCTTCAACCGGAACATCAAGCTCGCCTGCTCCCTCCACACTGCGAAGGCGGCTATGCTTCGCTGAGCCAGCTATACTAGCCCGGAAGTTGAGACCGCGGGTTGCGGACTCGGGGGTGTGGTAGGCACTTCCATCGAAAGAACCACGCGAGCCGGGAGTTATGGGCACTCGGCCGGCAGTCTTTCGGGGAGTGGTAAAGGGTGACCCTTCACGGTTAGGGGATGCACCCCTGGTAGGTTCCACGCCAAGCCGGCGCATCTGCGATTCAATGACATCGATATCGGTTCGCTTGCTCTCGGTCATGGTCATCATAGTATTGAGGGTCTTGATAACAGCTTCCACCGTAGGTCGGTTGCCACTGGCTCCATTGGCTCGGGGGACATCGGCAATTTGGGCACGTAGGAGAGACACGGCCTGCTCGATATCAGCCAGCTTGGCCTGGATGTCCGTGAATGCCGTTCGGAGATCAAGTTGGAGTGTAGACTGCTCGGCGGAAAGTGGCGCTTCAAGGATGGCGCCAATATCAGTGTGGGCATCCAATGTCTTGCGAATCCCAGCGAATTGGCTTCGCAAGGTGATGACTTGCTTGGTGAGAAGGTCACGGCATTCCTGCAGCTTCTCTTCTACTCCTTGCACACGCTGTGATTCGAGCGAGCGGGAGATGGTGGCAACCATTTTGTGGAAGTTTTCGATGTCCTTGAAGAACAACTTGACATCAAGAATATCGTTAGGGTGTTCACCCTGGAGAATGTAATCCCACTTAGAAACATCGGACTCCTGTGCGGGCTGGTGATAGGCAAGATAGGCCTTCACTGACCGGGCATTGATGCCTGCGGTATCAACCATCGAATTGGAGTCGCGGTAGAGCAGCTCAATCTGTCCAGGAATACCTGGCTTCGCCGTCTCGCCCATGTAGTTTTGGTGGGGCAGGAATGGATCAAGGGTGTCAGCGGGCTCGATAGGTTGAGCGAGCTCGTTACGAAGTCTCTCGTCCTCATCATCGTCAGATAGAGCGAGCTCTTCCTCCTCCAATGCCTGGCGCTGAGCAGCTGCGTGTGCCCGTTCTTGCTCTTCGCGAGCAATGTCACTGGCCTTTCTGAGGTGCCTGTCACGCTGCGCAAGCTGCGTCAGTGAAGTCTTCCGGGAGTGCAGCGCACTTGTAGACTCCTTGCGGCTTTGTGGTCTCTCTGAGAACATCACTTCCTTGCGGGGGCCGCCTCGAGTCGGGCTGGGTGACCGGTGAGGCTCGCGGCTGCTTTGAGCAGCGGGCCCGGGAGGGGGGAGAAGAGGCTGCTTTGGAATCTCACCAAAGAGCTGTCTCGGCAACGGTCCCTTACCCTGCATAGTTTTGGCAGAACCACTGAAGAGTCCTCCCGTAAAGCCCTTTTCAGATGGTGCACCAAATGAACTTTCTGCGGACGGCTTGGGACTAGGCGCCTTCGTCTCCTCGTGGGTGATCTCCTCACCACTGTCGCTGAAATCAGACTCATCTGCGTCGGAGTCTGCATCAGGTACTGGCACCGCCTCCTCAGCAGGTTCACTCTTGGGCTTCGAGGTGACAAAGTCCGGTGGCAACGGTGCGTCCTCGGGGCTAGCCGGAGCCTCAGACTTCTTAGGCTTGCTCATAAAGTCAGGAGGCAGAGGAGCATCGTCCACTTGAGGTACAGATTTCTTCTTGGGGATGAAGTCAGGAGGCAGTGGGGCATCAGTTGATGCTTTGGGAGAGGCATTTTTCTTGGTGAAATCTGGAGGAAGAGGGGCATCTTCTACCGAGCTCTTTGAAACGTTCGAGGAAGCTGAGGTGTCTCCCGGGGCGTAACTAGCCCGGCTAGTAGGATCGGGGGGCAATGGAGCCTCTGACTGATCTTTCTTTGGCGTTTCAGTCTTATCAGAAGGCGCCGACAAGGGACTTGTTACCTGATTCTGGGAGGCAATATTACCGAATGAGAAAGAGGTCTTGTTGGTTTCAGCCAAAGTCGTGGTCTTAGAAGGTTGCTTCGTAGAACCGAATAGCGAGGTGGGAGGCTCCCCAGTGGGTTTGGGTCCACCGAAGATAGAGAATGGCTCGTTACTCGTAGGCGCGGCGTCGTCCGAGTCGTCGTCCATAGACTCGCTGTCGGAGATTCCTTCTTTCGGTGTCGACACCATGTCATCAAATGATCCGCCAAATGAGAATGCCCCTGAGGAAGGAGGCTTGTCTGACTTTGGAAGATCATTAACGGCCGTGCCATCGCCCTTAAAATTGGATTTAAGCTGGAATCCACCTAACCCGGCACCGAAAGGATTCTTCACTCCATTCGCAGAGGGGGTCGCGAAGGATGTTTCGGACTTGGGCTTTTCGAAGGTCGAGCCCTCGGAGGAAGCACTCTCACCAGAAGCAGGCTTAGCAAACGGTGACTCGTCTGGCTTGGCCGCGCCAAAAGCACTCTGCCCAATAGAAGCCTTTGCAAATGGTGATTCGGCCGGCTTGGAGAACGGCGATTCACTTGATTTAGCCGCAGCAAAAGCACTTTCTCCAGAAGCAGCCTTGGCGAACGGCGATTCGCCTGGTTTCGCTGCAGCAAAACTACTAAAGCCGCCTCCACTTCCAAACTGACTGAAACCTCCCCCAGTAGATGCACCGCTAACGCCAAATGGATTCTTTGGGGCGCTGGATTGTCCAAAGCTAGGTTGTCCAAAGCTAGGTTGTCCAAAGCTGGGTTGTCCAAAGCTAGGTTGTCCAAAGCTGGGTTGTCCAAATTGGGCGCCGGGCTGAGAGGGAGTTCCGAACGATGGAGCGGCGGGGGCCGGGGTCGAAGGTGTTCCAAATGCTGGTGCAGGACTTCCACCGATCTGGGATGGACTGCCGAATGACGGCTTGCCAAACGCAGTCGCACCCATAGTCGATGCACCAAGGGGCGACGGGCTGCCAAAGGAAGCGCCGCCAGCTGGCTTTCCGAATGAGCTTGAGCCAAAGGTCGAGGTATTGCCAAAGGATGACTGTCCGAAGCCAGATTGGGGTGCAGCTGCCGGGGCTGCGGCGGGCGCTGCGGGTGCTGCAAGCTGAGCCTGTGGTACCTGACCAGCTGAAACCAATCCGGAGTATGGAGTGTTCTGACGAATGGCTTCGGAGTAGAGGAGCCACCAAGACGAGAGGATGCCATCGTTATTCAAGAGGAACAATCCGGGAAGAGGGGTCGAACTCTCGGAGATATCTGAACCTGGGAGCGGGTCCGATACAGGTTCAGTGGCTGACAGGTTTGGCGCCAGACCAATGACTGAGGTTTCATCAACGGAGTCCTTCAAAGGGACACTGGCGCGCTTTGTATCATCCGAAACCTCAGTGGTCATGAACTGTCCAACATGGAATTTAGTTCTCTCATCGTTTGCTAGAGGCTGATCCGATCGAGTGATCAGTCCAACATCGGTGGACACGGTCGACGAAACAATCAGGACGTCCTTCAAGTGAGGCTTGTAGTCTCTGATTCTTGTGATGAACTGGTATGCAGGCGCACGCTTCAGGGTGAAACCCATGGTCGAGCAAATCTCAGGCAACTTCTGAATCAAGAACGGCGCCTGCTTGCGTCGAGTAATGATGTAGTAAGAAGATGCTGGGATCATTCCCATATCATCTTCTAAGATGTTGGGTGTGTAGACCATGAAAAAGACGTCGTTTTCCAGCCATGCGACGGATGAAACTATATAGTTGTGAGTGAAAGCGCACTTCAAGATCCGACGAATAGGTTAAAAACATACCATGGCATTCGCCTTCAAGGTCAGATGGCCGGGGAATTTCATCCTTCTTGGTTCCGTCTGGGGTCATCTGGTATGCGGTACCGTCGGCCAACCCAGCGACAAGCTGCTTGCCTTTGTTGCTCCATGAAACGCAGCTCACACCAGTCTTGAGGACCGGGCCGTTGGGACCAGGGACCGTTTTGCCGGCCTTGAGGTCAGCAATAAGCAGGTCGCCATTAACGGTGACCAGCGCGACAAGTGTGGAAGTAGCATCAGGGTTCGGCACGAGAGCGCGGAGCGACACACCATTCGTGGGGATCTGCAGCGCGGGTTGCGCATTACCCTGGGTGAGGCTTGTGGTTTCAAAAATTGAGATAGAGGGGCCGTTCTCTGTGGCCAGAATCAAGGCATCGTCGGCCGGACTGAATGCGATATGGGTAGGGCGCGCGGGAAGAGGTATTGTAGCATGGGGTTGGAAGGCCTTGGTCTTCTCCATGTCTTCTCCGGCAGGTGCCTCAATGGCCTTGCGTACAGCGTCATTGCTGCTGATTGCGAGCGCGTCTGGACCAGCGCCAACAATCAGGCCTTTGGTATGCGCGACTGCGAGAAGGGAAGAGGTGGGAGGTGGAAGGGCGTCGTCGGGCCAGGCAGTCGGAAGGAATCGAACGTTGGCGTCGCCTGAGACACCTTTGAAGCCGATTTCCTACAGATGGGTTAGAACAGAGCTGTCAAGGTCAGTGAAAGCTCTAGCGGGGTGGACGTACATCGGTAAAGACATCAGGCAGCTCTGAGCCAAGCTCCGCGCCGCCCCCAGCGGGGGTGGATGCAGGGAAGCCGAAAGACATCTTGTATTTCTCAAAGTCTGCAGAGACAGAACGAGTAGTATCACCTAGAGGTGAACTTGTCCTGAAAGCATTGGCAGACGGGGGAGTGGGAGAGGTAGAAGAGAAAGAGCGTCGGTGGAGTGATTGGGGACTCCGGTTGAAGAGGTGAAGGGTGCGCGTGAAAATCTTGAGGTCGCGACTTCTCGCAACCGAGAAGAAAAGCAAATGGAACCAAGTAACCCCTCAGAGATGAAAAGTGGTAAGAAACAGAGAAGCCAAAAGTCCATCTGAAGCCGAAAATAATGTCCGGCAAAAACACCTTTGTTCTGCCTGACGGTTCAGGCCATTAGGCTGCGAGAGCTTCGTCACTCCAAACAGCTCACTTCCTCTTCCTCCCATCTCCAGCTTGCTCCCCTCCATTCTTCATTCTCCCATTCACGACCTCCGCCGTATCTAATTTCTGCTCTCTTATTCACCTTTGCTTTTCCGCCCTCTACACAGATATCCCGTTCCGCTGGTCGCGCACCCAGCGTAGTTCACGATGCCGGGCTTCGACTTCTCCAACTACAACCGCAATGCGGCGCTTCACGCCAGGGGCGTTCCCCTCCCCAAGGCTACAAGCACTGGTACAACAATTGTGGGATGTGTCTATGATAAGGGTGTTGTGGTACAGTACCCCATGATCTGAGGGCTTTGGGAAGCTCTTTGGTCCAGGAGCTGACATTCACCGTGATTGCAGATTGCAGCAGACACCCGAGCTACCAGTGGTCCCATTGTAGCAGACAAGGTGGGTAACAGACAGCTTACTCTGATCATCCACTCGGTCACCCTCTGACATACGTCTTCTGATAGAACTGTGAGAAACTACACTACATCGCGCCCAAGATCTGGTGTGCCGGCGCCGGTACCGCGGCCGACACCGAATTCACCACCGCCCTCATCAGCTCCAATGTCGAACTGCACTCTCTATCAACAGGCCGCGATCCCCGCGTTATCACCTGCATGACGATGCTGAAGCAGCACCTGTTCCGGTACCAGGGCCACATCGGAGCGTACCTGGTGGTTGCGGGCGTTGACCCGACCGGCACGGGTCTGTACACTGTGCACGCACACGGTTCGACAGACAAGCTGCCGTACGTGACGATGGGATCCGGATCGCTGGCGGCGATGTCGGTGTTCGAGTCGATGTGGCAACCCAACCTGGACCGCCAGGGCGCTATCGACATCTGTGCCGAGGCGATCAAGGCTGGTATCTTCAACGATCTGGGATCTGGTAGCAATGTCGACGTGTGTGTTATCGAGCAGGACAAGCCTACGCAGTTGCTCCGTAACTACATGAAGCCCAACGAGCGTGGAGAGAAGGAGCGCAACTACCGCTTCCTCGTGGTACGACTGCTTGGTTGAACCAGAAGGTTATCAGCAAGGAGGATATGAAGAAATATGTCACCATCGAGACTTTGTCTGGTGTTGATAACCTTGCCACCGGGGAGAGCATGGAGGTTGATAGTTAGATCTTTTTCTCGATACATAGGCCAATGGCCTTGAATTGATTTAATGCACGCACGGTTGTTTTCTTCTGTCTCATTATGTTTCCGTACAATTGTACTGATCTAACGTTGTGGACGTGCAGCTTATGCTACAGGCTTAGAATATACGGCCAGAAATGAAAAGTTTCAAAAGCTTGACACATGTAAATGCCTTGTAGAATTTAAGCTCTCATCAAGCCCGCAGGCAAGCTGAGTATGGGTATCTATAATTTATAGTACAGAATCTCACGCGGTTGGAACCCCCAGCACATACATGCACGGATTGCAATCAACAATCATAGTCGTCATCAAACGTCATCGACTCCCTGATGGCACCGAAGGAACTGAGCTGCTTAGCAACCTCAGGACCCTCGAACTTGCGAATGATCCACAAGATATACTCGTACCGGGTAGCTGAAACGTAACCACCATCACGACGATACCGAGTCACACCAGCATGATACAATGCCCGGCAGAGCATTGGATCGACGGGGCCACTGTGTCTGCGAAGGAAATTGTAGAGCCAGTGAACCATGTGATAAGCCTGACACGGGGACAGGGTTTCGCAGCAGGAGAAAGCGATTGCCAGTTTGTTGATCAGGTCAACTGCAGCATGGGGTTCGGGGTACTCGGTTTGAGGCGGGTGGTAGCGGACGAGGACTTTTTCGTCGGGGTGAGGAATGGGCATCCAAGCTTTGTTGAGGCAGAGCTTGAATGCGGTGTTATTGTTTATTATTCTCAGGACAGACCAGATGCTCTGTGAGTTTCCTGTTCTCGCAAGATGCAAGAATTCATCCACCGTAGCTGGGTTGGTCAGATTCATGCGCTGGAACATGTCCTCGAATGTGCCGTGGAAAAGTCGTTGGACTCCCTTGTATATGGACGGGTTTGTCCATATTTCAGCTAGGGAAAGCTGGGCGGTTTCTAACCGCCAGAGAGTGTCGCGAGTGGTTTTGGCGATGGCATTTTTGCCCTTCGTGTTGAGAGCTAGCGGCAGAAGGCTATTGCATGGGAGGTCGAGAGCATGGATTTCCCGCATCAAGTCTGTGAACAAGGATCCGTTCTTGGATTGGGCCACGAGTTCAAAGAGATTGAGCAATGAGGAAATCGGTCGATCTGTTGTTCGAGCCACTTTGCTGTACATTGGTCCCATAGATCGGCTGATATTGCGTAGAAGCCAGAGGCGCAGGACAATCTGGCGTTGGGTTGAAAGGTTCAAAGGAGCCTGGTCCTGTGATGCTTGAACTGATGGAAGAGGGAAATCGAACCAGACCTGTGACTCTGCGACAGTCCAGACAGCTGTAATCCTCGAAAGGCAATCCTTCCATCGTTGAATCATACGGTTTCTGGAGAGTCTGTTTGCTGAAGAGGATAACAATGACTCGGTCACACGGATGATACAGTCCGCAGCACAGTTCACATCCAGTTGGGTAAAAATCTTGTCAGGATAGGGCAGGTTAGTCTCCAACTCGGCCTCGCCCATAGCTTCCAACCAAGTTTGAACCAGAAGAGAGGGCCATTGGCTGCGAGAGCCTGCATCATGGGTTTCGATAATGACTTCTTCAGCAAATTCAAAGCTGCGAATACTGAGGAGCTCTCCAAGCCAAACATCGACAATATTTCTGTCCAGATCGTGATATCCGAGGATATTACAAGACCCGATAGCTTTCCACATGGCCTGGTAGTGCTTCAGCAGCTTCTTCTGGTTCCCCGATGCCAACGTCCGTTTCCGTGCTATCACAATATTTGGCAGAGCAGTGATAATCTTGCAAATCTCGTCAGTCGAGATCAAACCCAGTTCCAGCGCACGGTTGATCGCATCCAGGACGGCGGTACGTTTTGCGACCTTTTCTTGCCCCCGGACAAAGATCTCGACTGCCGCAACATAATTCCCAGAGCCCCGGGTGTTCAAAAACGGATCATCGAGAAATGCAATTGCTTCCGTAAGATTCCGGTCCGAACGCGCGAGTAACCGTTCGAATATCTGTCGACTGTATCGTGGTTCCCGTTGAAGGTCGATCCTCAATCGACGAGTGAAATCCCGAGCATCATCAATTCCCCAATCACTGCCACTTAAAAACTCCTCCAGTAGCTGCTCATTCCTTTTGTAGTCTGTTTTGATGGGCTCCGACGAAGCATTGGAAACACGGAAATCGCTGGGCTCAGGTACAGGATTCTGATCAGAGAAAGGGAACGGAGTAACAGGACCTAAAGAATGATCGGCCAACCCTATTGAAACAATTAGCTCAATGAAAGTACCCAATCAACAGCCAATTGCAAAAACATACCTTGAGTTTCCAACTGAGCCCTCTGCCACGGATGGTCCGTCCACTTCATATGCTCCCGTCCATATCGACCAAACAAACACGAGATATCCTCAGCGGAGTTTCCCCCGAGTCCAGCAAGAGCAGTATTCCTTCTCTTCGCAAGGCGTCTTCGCGCCTCCAGGGGTCCGGGGACACAGCTCCCATGGCGCCGCTGGCCGTTAGCGAAACGACGGAACGTGGCTGCGAGTAGGTCATCGCTGATCCACAGGTGGTCGAGCGTCGGGGTTGCAGGTGGTTTTAACGCATGCCGGTAGGCATGTCTACCGAAAGGCATGAGCTCTGCTGTGGTATGGGCGAGCCAATTGCGTTGGGCTTGTCGCATGCACTCTGGATCAACTTTCAAAGTGGATGGCAGCTTTTTCTTGGCAGATGACTAATCCACACGGCAACCAGCCACTGCGGGTTTTTGAGTAGGGTCTTGTTCATGTGTTTATGTCTACAATTTTCAGCTGTATGGTACCCTTTTAAGCGAAACACTGTGGATCGAGGGCAGATGATTTGGATATCTTCGGATTTATACGATCTCGATCAAATATGGAGAAGAATAAAAAAGAAGGTGAAGCATGAATAAAAACGCCAACGCGACACATGCAGAAGCTTGCCCACCAGTGGTATCACATGCTAATCATCTCAAAGAAGATATAATAGAACGATGTGGGTAAACGAAAACATTCACAAGGGGAGAAAGGGAGTTCAAGAGGCTTCGCCTTCACCAGCAAAAGGCTTCCTCCCTGTGACAACATAGTAATCCATGTAGGCATGGACATTGCGGTCTTGGATACTCTTCCTCACATCAACCAGGAAGACCTCAATCTCCGGTTTCGACCAGCCAAGAGCAAGAAACGGTTTGTATGACCACCCCGATAAAGCCTCCAGCCAATTTCTCTCACTCCACGCACCGAGCATCTTTAACTTTTCATTCTGGGGCCAGGTATTTAACGGTATCTTGGAGATCCGCTGTTCAACATCCACAAACCCAATCTCTTTCATCCACCGATCGATTCGGTGTGCAATGCGGAATTGCCGTGCTGGATCAGCGTCCCGGCCTGAGCGCATGTTGAGATCTACCCAGTCGTGCAATGCAAACGCGCTGAATCCACCATCAGGGTTCTCGGGGGGCATGGTGTTGTCGTCACATTGTGGCTTCGGGTCCAGCTCGTGGCATTCTAACGAGGCACCTGGCTTGAGGTGTTTGAATGCCTGCCGTAAGATACGCTTGAAGGACGGCAAGGAACCTGTCATATGGCCGATGTGGATAAAGTCAAACTGGTCTGCATCCCAGAGCCACTCTTCTTCTGTGGCATCGTCGATGAGGAAATGCACGTTTGGTGGGACCTCTGTAGGCTGCACGGGTGAGAGATCTGTCCCCGTGATCTCGGCATTTGGAAACAAGGCCGCTGCAGGAAAGTTTGAGATGTGAGACAAGAAGCTTGGGAGTTGGGGGCGGGAACTCATACCCATCTCGATTGGCCATATCCCTGAACCGGTGCCGATATCGAGGATTTTTTGGGGGTTTTCAAGTGGGACGTGGAACAGTTTTCCATCCATGACCATCTTGAACATGTGATGCTGCATGTCTAGACGATCCAGTTCTTGTTCATCGTTGGGATAGACATAGGCTGGAGGACATTGGGTTAGATATGTTTTCAGAGTACGCCCGGAACTGCGAACATACCTCCCTCGTGGTACTTGTGATACCGTCGTCCATTCTCGACAGGATAGTCCGTCACACTGTCAGTTAGTGACTGTGTGTCACTGTCATATTGTTAGCGAGCTTGGTCCAGAGTGTGACAAAGTCATGGAAAGTGAAAGTGTCCAGGAAGAATTACCATTCTGCGCGAGGTACCTGCATGATCTCACGTTAGCATCCAGATAGAGCTTGAAAGTCAATTCAAACGCAGGAGATCAATAGCAAAGTGTGGACATGGGCTGCATGGGGTATAAGACAATCTTACAGGAGGTCTTGCACCCATGATCTCTGATCCAGCCTAAGCGGGATGAGCAATGTAGACCAGCCCTAACGAGGGTGGGAAGATGGGAGCAGTGAGCACCAAATGGGGATATTATTCACGTCCCAGGCAAGAGGAACCAGCAACCTTTTTATCGGAGATTCCAGCAATGGTCATGCTCTGGGGAAAGGCTAGGATAAAAGAATAATTTCACCCATTCCAGGAAAAAGCCTCAGACCGATGCAAAACCCGGCATGACTGAAATGAGCCCGACAGGTTGGGTTAAGTTATAAACTGGCAGGGCGGGAGGACGATCCGGACAACTATAAATCACCGTAGATCAGAAAGCAAGTGGGGGAGTATGTATCGGACGTCAGAGGGGGCGCTTCGGGCGTGATAGGAATTAATACGGTAATCGGTCTGTTTCCCACTTTTACTCAAAGTTTGTAGGAAATGATTGGAGAGATGGTAGGGTGTGATCATTTTTCCAAGTTTTAACACATACAGTAGAGGCGAAATACACATACGTGCCAACAGTCAAACCACTAAAAGCACTAAAATACCGGATTACTTGACTCCCTACCCAATTCCTCGGATCCAACCTGCTCAAATCGAACACCTACAATCCTGATCGTCTTTTGATCGACCAATAGTTGCCCTTTCCATCCTACTGGGAATTTGCAACCGGCCCACGGGCCGCTTCCCTTGTGCTGGGACTGAGGATTATATTCTTTTCTCTATACTTAATGGGACACTCTTTTGATTTCAAAGCCACACTTAAACATTTTCTTTTTTAATATGCTAGTAAAAGACACTTGGCAACAAAGGCAACAGAGTTCGGCTAAACTCGCAAAGCCCCTTGGCCCCGCAGACGTGGAGCTGTCAGGATGCCCCTATGTTACGAATATTAATTCCCTTCACTCGGATCGGCATTCATTTCACGTCCTTTATCCTGTTTCAATCTTTTCCAAATCATCACTGTTTTGGCAGACCTTCGGAACATTAACGTCAAAGCAACCGGGCTTATAACCTTTGTTTGATACTTTGCAAGGGTCGGCCGTAATAGTTACTCTCCTATATCGGGCCCTAGCGGTGGGAAGTGAGGTGATCTGTCAGAAATAGCGTCTCCAAGGAGGAAGCCTAGGCTTTCCCCAAGCATGTAGACACAGTAGCTAATGCGCCAGTGGCAGTTCTGGGCTCCTCCAATTTGGGGTAAAGGTACTGGGGAGGAATATTCCGTCCAATCTCATCCCTGAGAGGAGGAGCACATGCGATCTGGAACATGCAGCACGGAATATGCGAAAGAGGTTCCGGAGGCCCGGGTCTCCTTATTCAACGATATTTTTATATTATATATATGTTCAGTTCAACGCAATTAATATTCAGGACTTCTTAACTAAATGTGCAATCGCTTTCCGCATTGTAAATACCGAACTGGCCAATCCCACACTCGGCCGTCCTGGAGGCAAAATTGAACCTGTCGATACAGGGGAACCTTACATAAAAACAAATATAACTTACATGTATCTCTTCTCATCTTGTATTCGGATTACTCCGAACCCAGGGACCAAGGGAAAAAAATCGTAGATATTATAGATGTTGCATGAAAAATGCACTGAGCAACCTTGCATACAGACATCCCATACATACCCCTGCAGCCCGTCCCAAAAACCAGCCGACCTCCCATGGAGCTGGGATTTCAAGGGGAGCCGCCGGGGCTTTATTGGGAATTCGACGAGTCACAACAGTTCACCCGGACCCGACGACTAGGATCGGGAGGTCCCAACATGTCGGTAACGCCCGGCTCCAGAGCCGAATTCTGGGACTACATACTTGCAACCTGGGTTAACGTATTTTTGTTTCGCAGTCGCATGCCTAGGTACGTAGGTGCGATTTCTCGGTTGGTAGCTCCCCTCTAAGTGCAACGTATTGAGACATGCACATACACGGCTCGATGAACACCGAAGCATGCACCGTCCCTTTGTTGCGGAGGGCCACGGTGGTGGGGGTTCTTCTTTGGGATCCTTGCTTAGGCTCTAATTAGGCTCCGACATCATTCCGAGTCTTTTGAGCGGTTCAAAATTGGAATGGGCCTGCCACTGACTCGGGGTCGACTCCGAATGCGACCCACGACTCACGTTAGACAAAATGGTTAAAGTCCTGAACTGATATTGGGCTACTCTTGGTTTGAGCCACAAGAGGCTGAAATTAGAATGAAGCAACATGTCCATGCAGGAGTGAGCGGGGTTGGTATCCCGGATAATTCAGCCAGTCCCTGTAGACTGGAATCGGGGAAGAGCCAGCGCATATTGGCAGGTAGGCTAAGCATAAGTACAGGGAAAATCACCCTAAAGATGCACCTTGCTGGTAACGTATAGCATGTTGCACCTAGGTGCAATTTTGACAACTCACCGAACTGTCAGATTGTGCAGCCTAAGGAGACCATCGTCGCATCAAGTAAGACATGCAGCTCTCATCTCCTCGTAATCCGTCGGGACTTTCGGTAAACTACGTGTCTTGCATATAGAATGATGCAGACAGACAGTTTACTGCTTGGGATTTTGACAAATACTGTGTTCCCCACAGACGTCAGTAACTACCATTGGCTGGGGATCTATAGACCCATCCGCAATGTCGACTGCTTGGCAGTCTGGTATCAAGTTCAAGGCTGTACTAGGATGAAATACGAGAATACGGAGAATAAAAAGGAGAAAAAGTCTCACGGGAATATCCCTCAACCCAATAGGCTTAATGGACCATTCACCCTGTTGAAATGAGTGCGGGGTGAACTACAGGATCATCAAGTTTCAAATATTCACCGGCTAAGTGACCAGCACGTTTCCACCTAACCACTTGGGGTAAAAGGCAAAGATGACCCATAGTTGTCGCTTAACCAAAGTGAAAAAGTAAACTAAAGATTTGTAATTGCGAGCTGCAAAAGGGGAATTTAACGGGACTGTGGAGGGCGGGAGGGCTGCCCAATCGGGTCTAAACGAGAGAACAAGCGACACACAATTTTCGTCAGACACAAGCGAAGAGTAGATCATGCTGTCTAGAGTGTCCTAGGTTGGTCTGGAGAGCGAACATCATATCCCTCACCGGCCAATGATATTCGCTTGTGGCCCTTTAGTACACCCCTTTGAGAGCACTCATAAGCGGGAGTGGCTTCACAGTGACCTGGAACACATGAATGGCGGCTTTTGGAGAGATTTGTCATTTCTCGAAGTTAAAAGTAAATCTATATCCACCTCAACTCTTCCTCGTATTTCTCCGTGGAGACTTCACATAAACTATGGCATCATGAAACAAATCAGTCCAAAGGGCGAGGACGGGATTTTGTGGACTCGGGAAATAGCTTCAGTCAAAACGAATACTCTCCACCGAGGCATATAGCTTTTTATTGGCTTGCAATTATATACTATAAAGCTCCTAAAACATGCGGCGCAAAAGATAAGAGCTGAAATGTGCAGTGATGCTACCTTACTGGGTGACAGACATCAGTCGGATTTTTCAATGTCCCCTTGCAGAATTCATGTATGTGGACAAAGATTTGCTTGAAGTCAATCAAGGCTATCTCGACCTTGCAGTAGGCACATTCTGTGAGTATGTATCATATCTCATAAATGAGCTATGTGTGATATGTATCTCTTTGCTCATTTTGTGAAGAAGTCTACTCAACTCAAATATATGTGAGGAGCTGGATGTTCAATTAAAATAAGAACTAGGTTAGAATCGGTGTACGTAGGGAGGGCTGATATACTTGTAGTTTTTGATGGTTAATTTCTACTTTATTGGATGAGTTGATATGGTTGTCGAGCTCGGATAGGATTTAATCTTCAACCAGATACACAGATCATCTTATCTGGTTTCCCAAGAAGTAATTTGCCTCAAAACATCAATAATTATTCGGAGAAGTAGATGAGGGCAGTTACGGGACAAGAGATATATTTATTTGTAGTTCGGTGGGATATTTCAACTATATCTAAAAGATCAGCAGCAAGCAGCTATGTACCTAACCTATCTCATAAGTAATTTTAGGAAAGACCACAAAGAGAATCCAATGAGCCCAAAATCCAGTCAGCTAAAGTATGGGACACTTCTGAAAACACACTTCCCAAACGGGTTATATTGCACACATGTCGGCACGGATAAACCAATATCCGATATGACGCATCTCCTCATCCAAGGACATGATAGAGAGAATCAAGAAAGAGTCAAGGTTGACATGTGCTCTTATGCTGACGGTATGCTGAAGCAATAGCAATCTCATGGCCGATGCTATTCAGTGACTAGCTTGGTTGAATATACCCGGAGGGCGGGGTATTCACTACTTTTGCGCTGATGCGACACGTATAGCCTCGTCAGATCAAAAGATCCTGGAAGTTCCCCCATGATCTTCCAACCAAAGGACAAGATCCGAAATGTCGCGTCAAAACCCAGATAGTTCCCCAAGAAGCCGGGCACCTCGCGGTCGGCAGCCTACTCGCAAGCGGCAAGGCGATGAGGATGTTCCGGATGTTTACCAAGAAATGTTGGACGAGGCTGAAGCCCGGGATCCTGGGCAATTTAACTCCGAAAGACCGATCAAAAGGCGAAAGGTTGGGGATATGAAAGCCCTCCCCGTCGAAACCGAGCAGAAACGTCCAGAAACGAGCAAAGATAATGCTCAACCAGTCCAAACCGTCTACGACTCATCATCAGAAGAGGAATCAGATATTGAGTGGGAAGATGTCGAGTTCCAGCAACCATCCGACTCATTGCTCAGAGGACCTGCTGCATCTCGAGCCGACGACGAAATGCTCGAGATTACCTTGGAACAAGAACCCGATAAGCGAAAAAAAGCTATTATAAAAAGAAAGCCTCTGTCTGGAGCGGAGAAGAAAGTGCGACTGGATGTGCACAAGGTCCATGTCCTTTGCCTCCTTGGCCACGTTCATATACGCAATTTGTGGTGTAACGACCAGGAAGTACAGGTATGATATATATGCCCGAGTGTTTGTACAGCTGAAATCTAATAAACCATAGGACTTCTTGAAGAAGATGCTACCGAAAAAGGTCATTGGTCTCTTGCACCCCGATGAAGATAAACCCAGCTACAACAGATCCACCACTATCATGGATGGTCTCAATCAAGCTGGAGATGCGTTCGCTCGCAGATTCAGAGTCACCAAGCCGGGAATGAAACGGGCTCACTGGTCAGAGGATGAAAGCCAGTTGAGGCAGAAGATGGTACCTTTCAGTATTCTTTCTTCTACTTTTGAGTATTTGCTGATGATTATCTAGGAGTCGATTGTGTCGGACGCAGAGGTCTTTCTATCCAAGGGAGATTTCAGAACGCAAGCCAAGACGTTGCAAGGCTCTCGCGACTTTGGAGCCCAGCTATTTTGCGCTTTATTGCGGGGCGTGGCTATCGAGACTAGGCTTGTCTGCTCATTGCAACCATTGCCGTTCTCTGGAACCGTCAAGGATATGACGCCATCCAAACCGAAACCTCAATACATTGTGATATCTTCAGACGATCCTGGTTCCTCGACAGATGAACGGCCGAAGACCGAAAAGTCGCCTACAGCTTCAAGGTCTCGGCGGATTGGACAGCCTAAGTTCGCTCCTTCGCGCCCTCCCCAACCACCCATGCGCCTAGGTATGTGCCTTGCAGGCTGTCATTGCATAATATATGAAGCTAACATGCATAGGAACTCATCCGCAATCCCGAGAGTCATCATACCCGGTATTTTGGGTGGAAGCTTTCAACGAAGCTGCTCAAAAATGGATCTCAATCGACCCTGTAGTAACAAAATCACTCGCAAAACCCTCTAAGTTTGAACCGCCTGCGAGTGATCCATTTAATCTAATGAATTACGTGGTGGCCTTCGAAGACGACACATCTGCAAGAGATGTCACTCGTCGCTATGCAAAGGCATTTAATGCAAAGACGCGAAAGCTGCGAGTGGAGTCTACACGCCATGGAGAGAAATGGTGGAATAAGGCGCTGCTAAATTATGAGAAACCCTTCCTTGAGGATCGAGATGAAGCCGAGATCAGTGAACTCACTTCTAAATCAGCAGCGGAACCAATGCCACGCAATATCCAAGACTTCAAAGATCATCCCATCTATGCTCTGGAACGCCACGTCCGTCGAAATGAGGTGATCCACCCGAAAAGAGTCATTGGACATGTTGGCTTGGGAAAGACCGCAGCGAGAACCGAGACAACCGAACCCGTCTACCGCCGATCCGACTTGCATGTCGTACGAAGCGCTGATAAATGGTACCGCCTGGGACGGGATGTCAAAGTTGGAGAGCAACCTCTCAAGCGTGTCCCTGCAAGCCGCAACAAAGTCGCAAGCTTCAGTGATGACGAAGACGAAAATGAACCTGAAGAGACGACATTATATGCCGAGTTTCAAACGGAAGTCTACAAACCACCACCGGTGGTTGATGGAAGAATTCCCAAAAATGTTTACGGAAACCTTGATGTCTATGTACCCAGTATGGTTCCGCCTGGGGGTGTTCACATCAACCGACCCGAGGCAATTCGAGCTGCCCGAATCCTCGGCATTGACTATGCAGATGCAGTCACTGGGTTTGACTTCAGGGGTCGCCGTGGAACTGCTGTAGTAAAGGGCATTGTCATTGCAACCGAATACCAGGAGGCACTTGAAGAGGTTCTGGCAGGCCTTGAAGACCAGAGACAACTTGCTGTGCTCGAAGCAAGAACCGCGGAAGCTCTTCGGTTCTGGCGACTCTTCTTGGTGAAGCTCAGAATTGCAGAAAGAGTGAAGGGCTATGCAGCCGAGGGCGAAGAACAAGTTGATGAAGATGATACCGCAGAGGAAGGCGGAGGGGGTTTCTTTCCAGAGTCAGACCAACCCGCGAATAGCCCGCCTCCAAGAGCTCGAGAAACCCACTTGCTTTCTGATGGTTATACAGAGCACGAAAATGGTTCATACGCGGTGGGCGAAGAAGATTTCGGAGGAGGATTTATGCCTGAAGAGCCCACCGACAATGATTCAATCTCGGTAACAGCCCCAGCTCCAGAGCCTGCGCCTGCCCCAGAGCCCTTGGCTACGCGCTCGACATTGAATCCTCAAGGTATCGCCAATAGGAAAATATCAAATGCACCTCGCTACTCGCTGGTGGTCGTCCCCAATCATGGTTCAGGCGCAGTATCCCACGAACGGCGAGAATCCCCAGATCCAAGCGCCTCCAAAACCCTCGAGGGGTCCTCCGAGTACGCCCCTATTGCAGTGGATTCACCCACCAACGCTGGGTCCAAATCAGCAAGCGTGGTCACTATTTCTCGGCCACCATCTCCAGTTCAGGAGCAATCAGCGCGGAATTATGATTCTGAGAGTGAGTTAGAGAAGGGTTCTCTGCTGTCTGAGGATCCTGACGACGAGGATGCAATTCCTGACTGGCTCATGTCTGACGAAGATTAGCCTCTGTAAATCTACCACGTCTATGAAATCTACAACTTTGTGTAAATAAGATCATTGAAGTAGAATCTGGACTGTAGCATATAGTACGCACGGACCAGGTCGATATTAGCGACGCGTCGACGCGTCCCGCCTCAGGCAACCGTTGCCTAACGTCATGAGCAATTTTTGCGGATAACCACACTCCAATGTTCCCCTTGGACCCGTTCCTTGAGCTGCGATGAAAGAACAGCACAAATCTAGCAAGACACGAGAGAAGCCCCCAACCCAGTTCCGTGCGCCGAGGAGGCCCAGTCCGGCAGGCCCTTCGACAACAAAGTCAAATGGCACCACCGCGAAACGAGAACGGTCGCCAGAATCGTCGGCATCATCGAGAGCTAATAAACGAACTTCGCTGCCGAGCCTAGGGGCTCAACCCACACTCACGCAGATCGACTTTGTGACGCAGGCCACAGCGTCGGATGACGATCAATTCGACTACATTGATGCATACCGTGACACTACGCAAACCACAATTAAGCAACCTCAACTAGAGGATGGTTCTGACAAGGATGCCGATTTTCTTCCACCACAACCTGCCCGGTCAGCTCGTATTACGAAATTTAAGATGAGTGAACGAGAACATGACTCAAGTGAACGTCCCCCAAAGCGAAGGACCTCCGGCATGGGTACCCGAGACACAGAACCAAGGAATGGGCCAAGAAGAAGTGCAACACCAAGGGCGAGTGTCGGTCGTAAAGGCGGCCGAAAATCTTTGGAGAAGTCGACAGGGAAGCGGGATAAGACCTTGACTCAGATGGATTTTGTGCGCCGTTACATTACTATCGAGGACGACGACGATGTGAATATGGGATATATTCAGCCCACAGGGAAGAAGCCCATAATTAGTGAGACAGAAGCAGGCCCGGCCGAGGAGAATGAATCACAATCTGCGAAGCTCCTCAACTCTGCGAAACGAAATCGCAGAGTGTTCGAAGAGGAGCTGGATCTCTCAACAGGGGAACCTATTTCTCAGCCCAAAGATACGCAAGTCTCCAATACAGGAAGTGAAAATGCGGGTGACCTGGTATCTGCAGCACCAGTGACGCCACAAAAGCCTCGGAGACGTGAGATTCCTTCGTCGCAGTCCCCGGAGAGCCCTGGTCTAGTAATGATAACATCATCTCAATTTCGAGGTGCCACCCACTCGCCTTCCAAACAGAGGCCATTGGTCCTAAATCAGCCTATACGACCTATCAAAGAAGAATCCCCAGAGCCTCGGCGGATCGACGAGGACTCGCAAAACCCGAGGGATGACTCCTTACGAACAACTACCAACTCGTCGAACACCCAGAGCCTTTTAAATAAGAACATACCTCACCCAGCTGAGCATTATCCTTCATCTGCACCTCCAACTGACTCGGCATCTGAGTACCAACCCTCCGAAGCAAACGAAGACTCGAAGAACGGAGCTCGAAAAAGAGAACGGACAGTCGTTTATGAGACGGATGCAGATACAGACTACGGGGAGTCCGAGGATGGAATTTCGAACAGAGATTCCCTTACGCCATCCCCGAAGAAAACACGAGCCATCGGTTCGCAGGCCACACAGAATATCCCGGAGTCGCCCAAGGATGATTCCCAGGTGCTACCTCTGCCGGATGTGCGATCTATCCCTGGCTCCGAACATCACCCTAGTGATGACGCTCCTCCATCCGAGCCTCCTATGTCAGATGCTTCAGCATATTATCATAGAATGCATGCAGCGACACAGTTTCCACATGAGCCAATTCCAACTCTCAACACCCAGAAGTTGGCTGAACTCTTCCCTCAGGAGGACAGCACTCAGACCTCCAAGTTGGAACCATGCAAACCTTCTTCTCAGATGCCACGGCCGGGGCCCTTTCAACAAACACAAACACAAAGCCAGGGAGATAAAGAATCAACTGAAATGGTTCCCGAGTCATCTCCCAGAGAAAGGGAGTCTCAGACCGAGGCTGGTGAGACTCCATTCCAACGACCTCGCCCTCCAGACTCAGTGGTTCAAGTCGAATCATCACAGGCGGCGGATCATAATTGGCCAGGTCGGGTACTATCTCGAAGCCAGCTTCTCACCTCGAGTGTGATGGAGAGTATTCCGCTACCGAACTTTTGGATGGGGAGTCAGGACAGTGTAGGAGAACCGTACAGCTTACCTGAAGGATGATATCGATACCTAATGAATTATGAATATGTATTTTAAACATTTATATCGAAGAACTGAAGCGCCAAGACGGAGAGTAGTCTAAATGTTTTAATGTTTTGCAATGTTGATCCCAAGCGGGGCGGTGGACGAACGCGGAGATACTGCAACCCAGTTTGTTTCGAACTTCACTTCTTGCATCCCACCACAACCATGGATATCGCCTACGATCACATTCAAGAAGAGGCCTTCTCCAACAAAGAAGAAACCTCTACCGACTCTAAATCCCAAGAGCCCAATGTCAACCTCAACGACGAGCTACAGGAAACCTTCCGCGCTTTCTCCGCCAGTCCGTGGGGTTCCCGAATCGGCGGACTCTGGGACAACGTACGCAAGCAGGGCGAAACATACTATGAAGGTGCTCGCCAGGAGTACGCCGCTGCCAGTGAGGAAGCTGTGAAGGGACTTTCAGACCTCAAGGAAACAATCGTCGACCGGACAAAGGGGCTGTCTCTCAGCACAGCTACTCTGACGGGCAGTGGCGAGGGACAGACCGATGAGACCACCACACCCAAGGATTTGACGGATGGCGAATCTCAGGAGAAGGGAGCCGAAGGCGCAGGCGCCAGCGGAGAGAGTTTCATCTCCCGGTTCAAGGCCGAAGCCGCCCGGCGGCTAAAGGAGATTGAGAAAGCCGAAGAAGCAGCCGACGAAGCGATTATGCGATTTGGAATGAACATCAGCCAGAAGCTGCGCGAGGCAGTTAGCATTGTCCCGCCCGAAACCGATGAGTCAGGCAAGCTTCTTTTCGAGAGCAAGGATGCTGAAGGCAAGCGGGTCATTCACGCCACCCGGTTTGAGGCTCAACTGCACGTTATCCACTCGAACCTGGAAAGCTTCACCAAGGACCCAGTCAGTGATGAATGGCCTGCTTTCAAAAAGGAATTCAATGTTGAGAGCAAGACCGATGAGATCGCCGCCGACTTGGAGAAATACCCCGAGCTTCGTTCCGCCATGGAGAAGCTCGTGCCGGAACAGGTGGAATACGCGGAGTTCTGGGTTCGTTACTACTTCTTGCGTCTCGTCGTTGAGACCGAGGAGAAGAAGCGCAAGGAGCTTCTGAAAGGTATATTGGCTCTATGATTGTCGCGTCTGTCTTCCAATGCTAATAACCAACTTATCCATAGGCGCCAACGCCGAAGACGAGGAAGAAGTTGGCTGGGATGATGATTCCGACTCCGAGTCCCAGTCTCCCTCTACTCCTCAGGTTCGTCCCGGCAACCAGACTCTCACCCCCAAGGCGGATATGCCGAAAGCCGAGCCTCGCCGGTCAAACGATCAAAACTCCCAGGCCGACAGTGAATCCAGCTACGACGTTGTCAGCGGCGCCGCTAGCCGGACACCTGGAAGCCCCAAGGAAAAGAATGCAGCCGATGCGAAGGCAGAGGAGAGTGACGAGGACTGGGAGTAAATTCAGCAAGAGAACACAATTGATCTCGCGGGACGCCTGTCTATACTATATAGCCCCCGAGCGCATTCTTGCTGTCGGCCAACCCGGGCACGGCTAACTACTTGCTCATCACATTTTGCTTTGTTCGGAGTTTAGGAATGTCGGTTTTTATTGTCTTTTATATTTGGCGTTTCGGACACTTCTCTTCTATTCCCAACTCCGTTATTCGTGACTTGCCTTCAGCGATTGATCTCTGAATATGCACATCATTCCTCTTTACATATTCCGACAACTTACCTAGGTCTCTCCACGTACCATAACTCCTCGGATGGGGGTTTCTACCTTAGCTACCACCGCTTTTATGAAGGTTATACATATAGTTAGGCGCATTCCGGCCTTAAACCCACTGAGCTCATTAGACACCTATTAAGCACTTAATCCACTCTTAGTCCACACTCATAGATAGGACGCAGCGATCCCCGGCATCAACCGTAAAGATCCTCATATCCTACGTATGAATGAACGTTAACCCCTAATTCCATACTTTGCCTTCAACTCATTTAACCAGCTTAATGTATACCTCCTTGGCGTCTTCCTGTGACATTCCCTTGACCTGATCCCATGCAAGCCACTTAGATTTTCCCTTTAGCGGATATTTCGGTATTAGTGGAGATTCGACGACAGCGAAATGAGGGCAATACCTGCATATTGAAAAATCCTGGCTTAGGTGTTGTGTTGTCAACTTCTGTGGCCTGTTTATAGAACCCATCAACCTTTGTAACCAGGAAACATCAATAACTGCTCCTAGACCCCATGGAGGAATACGGATGATAAATTACCTGTCACAGTTCCTCTTGGCTTGGGTTTGCCTTGATCTTTTCACGTCTTCAGCAGCTTGGTTGAATACTTCTTCAACGGTGGCCATGGTGGTAGGGGTAGATTGAAATGCGGAAGAGTGTGCACTCGAGGTTATTGTCGCTGCTAAATACCTGACCGCAAGGATGCCCCGCTATTTCGGGGGTATATGACTGATTGTTCAGAAATGCGACTCATTTTGAAGTGAGCAAAAAAGAAGCGACGGCTGAGCAACGGAAGGTGAGAATTGGCGGAAGTCCAGTACCTGGGTAGTTCTGTCCTAAGGATGATTACGGTATCGTTTGCCAAGCAGACTTGCGAGTTAAGATCTAATGTATCATCTGAATAAAGAATGAATTGAGTGATGCGCCCGCTATCTCATGGTCTATCATAATCATTATATGTGCTCCGTACAGGGGCATGTTAACTTAATTCTTGATTCGTACAGTACAAACACCAATCATTCCGCCGTCCCAGACCCCGGATCTCCCTCTATCGGCGATCCCTTCTTACCAAGAGACGACTGGGAATATGCCGGCGTCATACCACGCAGACCACTGGGACGAACACCAGGCGAACCCTTTCGCACGGGAGTCTCTGGTGTCCCCTCTCTTGAACGAAGATGGAGGCCCTGCTCTCTGCCCGTAGGCGAGTAAGGTTCAGCTCCATCACGGGCATAGCCATAGGGACTACCAGCCTCCCAGCCATACTGATAATCTTCACCACGATGCTTGACAGGGCTTTCGTTGTAAGGATCCCAACCAACGCGGCGGCGGGCTTCATTACGGAGGCGTTGGCGGTGCTGTTCGTCGCCTCCGGCGCCTGTTGTGGAGGATTCTTCCAGGAAGAAGTTGAGGAGTTCGTCGCTGATGGAGAGGTGGGATTGTTGCTGGAATTGCTGGAGGGAGGTCAGGCGGAGGAGAGTTTCCAGGAGGGAGAGGGAGGTGCGGATGTTTTCAAAGTGAGGGTTTGTGACTGTGGTTGTTCCTGTGGCTGATGGCGATGTGTATCTTTGGCGGGAAGGAGAGGGGGATGAGTGGCTCTGGTCATTGATTGATAGCTTGGACATCATATTTGGGTCGATTGAGGGCCCGTTTGTAGAGTCAGTGTTTTCGGCTTCCGATTCGGTATCAGAGGATTCATCCTCGTTGTAGACTTCGAATGCGATCCATTCTGGATCCAGTCCAGGTGGCAGGCGCCATTCCTCGGGTATGGAGTCTTGATGGAGAGAAGTGAAGCTCTCGTTTGCTGACTCACTTTCTCCATTCAATTGTGCATCGAGTAGGGCTTGCTCCTCGTCCTCTGGTTCTTCATCGGATTCAGCTGGAGGGTACTCGTCCTCTACCTCCTCCCGTTCCATCATGCGGCGCGGGGGAAGAGCATTCAAGTCACGCTTCAGAAGGAGTATTGGGTTGTTCGTCTCGCCTTCGGTGCTGATGTTGAGGATTCTACCAGTATCGGCATAAAAGATCTTGGAAATTTGATGAATAGGCAAAATTTCCCGGATTCCAGCTTGGGAAATGCCCTCGTAGTTCTGGGGCTGTGGATCATCCTCGTCAAAGGTGTGCACTCTACCATCTTCGAGGTCTTCAATTATGAGGACTTGGTATATGTATTCGTCAGCTCCGGCCGGCCCAGGGAGTTTTGCTCGTTTGCCTCCTTCTGGAGATTGCAATGAATCTATTGGAACACGCCGCAGTTTCAATCGTGCCTTGTGCATGACTTCTTTCCATGTCGCTTCACGGACAGATTCTTCGTCGTGAGGTCGTAGATGGCTGGCAAATAGCATGTACATTGACAGGGTGAATGTCGGTCCAACTTGTACTGCCTGCGACGAAGACATCGAGTACTGTGTGTCCCCTGCAGTGAGAAATGTGCTCGCCTGAAGAAGTCGGGAAGGTGAAACTGTTGCCGGCAAGTTTGTCGACAGCTTGGCCCCGGATGTAGTGATTGCCAGATTCATGAGTGGCACCGCATCCTCAATCCGAGCTAACAGCTTCTTGATGTCCTTGACGATGAACTTGATCTCTGCTTCGCTCTGTGCACGATCTTTGGGCTTAGCCCCTTTCGAATCAATTCTTCCGATGCGGCGGCCTTTGCTAGACGTTGTCCCAGAGCCTGGATGTCCCATCGTAGAGATTTGGTGAGGGCGACTGCAGATTCAAGTGAAGTATTTCCTCTAGCAGCACTAGAAATACTGTGAGCTTTCTTGCAACCCAGAACAGCGTTGGGCAACCCACATCAACTCAATCATGTCGATAGATGGAGAGATAACCTAGGAAAAGTTCAGCCTCGAACTTCTGGCTCTCACTGACGGACTGTACAAACCTGTATTTTGCTCTCTAGACGTTGCTGCAGCGAAAGCAGCTCATCTCGGTCTTCGCTACTGACATTCTAGCCAAGCAAAAGCAATTAGCGGACACTTCTCCATAACTGAAAACAAGACTTACCTTCAGCAAGCGCGACGACTGGCGCATCGCATAGCTCGCCGTAATCGCAATCCCCGAGCTGCATAGACATTGTCAGAATTGAGACGCATGTTCATCGTGAAGTTCCAGCATACCGAATCGCATAATTCATTGCTTGCCGGGTAAGCTGGAATGCATGGATCAGCTGCCTGCCCGCGCTTGATTGGGCAGAATATGACGTACCCCGGTAAGAAATGTATCCATCCTGAGTCACTTCGAAGCCCAACTTTGAGGATTGAATGAGGCTGAGCAGTAGGGGGTCGACTGGAAAGTACCAGGTTATCGATAAGATAGTTGAAAGCCCAAAGAAAGAAGATGAGCGTGAACTCCACAATGACGCGCGCTTAAAGAGTCATGGCTGGGTTGGGAATTCAGGCAATGACAGATTCAAAGGAAATTAAATATCAACACTTGCATTCACTGTCCTTAACATCGGAGGAAAAACAACTTGATATAAACATATCACGTGGAAGCATCGCGGGGTCTTAGTCAGCCGTGCAAAATCAAAAGCCCGTGGACCCCTCAGTCTTTATTGACACAACCTATTTCTAACCGGTTTTGGTTGCGCATTTTCGTGTTTCTGATTCTATTCTGAGTCGTCTACGATGTCGAACCAAACCCCCGAATCCTGGGAGGATGAGCTCGCCAGGCAGGCCGAGGGCGTCAACCTGAACGCACAATCCCGCCCTCAACCCCAAGCGCCCTCATTCCAGCCCGGCGCTGCCTCTTTCACCCCCGGAGCCTCTGCCTTCGTTCCTGGCCAGCAGTACCAGCAGTATGGTGGCTACCCCTATGGCCAGTATGGTCAACAGCAAGCCTACGGCGGCTACACCCAGCAGGCCCAGCAGGCCTATGGCCAGTACAACGCTTACGCCCAACAGCCCGGAGGATTCAACCAGTACAACAATGGCCAGCAGCAATATGGTGGGTACCAGCAGCAGCCTCGCCAGAACGCACCTGTAGCCCAGCAGCAACCCCAGCAGGCCGCAGCTCCCGCTCCCAAGCCCGCATCCGCCGCCCCGCCAAAGGCTAAGGTCCTCTCCATTGGTGCCACCTCCTCCAGCTCTGCCCCTAAGACCAAGGTTCTTTCCATTGGTACACCTACTCCTGCTGCCAAGCCCGCCAACGAGACTCAGTCCAAGGGTGACACCAAGGGTCCTGCGGCTGCTGAAGCAGGCGCCAAGGTCGCCGCCACCAAGTCCCTCGATAAGTCCGATAAGGCTGCCGCTACCAGCGGCAAGTCTTCGCCCACACCCTCCTCCGGCCGCTCCAGCCCTGGACGCTCCAGCCCAGCCCGTGGCGAGTCCGCCAAGCAAGCCCGTGAGGCCAACGCCGTCGCCAAGTCGCAGCAGGCCGATGTTGATGAGGCTACCCTGAAGGAAATCTACGGTGAGAAGAGAGAGCACGTCAACGTCGTGTTCATTGGTCACGTCGATGCTGGCAAGTCCACCCTAGGAGGTTCCCTTTTGGCTGCTACCGGCATGGTCGATGAGCGTACACTGGAGAAGTACAAGAGGGAAGCTAAGGATGCTGGTCGTGAGACCTGGTATCTCTCGTGGGCTTTGGATCTGACCAATGAGGAACGCGCAAAGGGTAAGACCGTCGAGGTCGGCCGCGCTTTCTTTAAGGTCACAATTCCCTCCGACGATGGCCCCATCGAGCGTCAATTCTCTATTCTCGATGCCCCCGGTCATAAGTCTTACGTTCCCCACATGATTGGTGGAGCTTCCCAGGCCGATCTCGGCTGTTTGGTTATCTCGGCCCGTAAGGGTGAGTACGAGACCGGTTTCGAGAAGGGTGGTCAGACCCGCGAGCACGCCCTTCTTGCTCGCAACACTGGTGTTGAGAAGCTTGTGATTGTAGTAAACAAGAGTACGTATTCTTCCTGTCTGTCTTTTGGGATTTTGAGGCACATACTAACAACACGGATAGTGGATGACCCAAGTGTCGAATGGCGCAAGGAGCGTTTCGATGAGTGCACGGTTAAGGTCATGAAGTTCTTGGAAGCCCTTGGCTACAAGAAGTCCGACATCTTCTGCATGCCCATCTCCGCTCAGCGCACCCTCGGTATCAAGGACCGCATCCCCAAGGACATCTGCCCCTGGTACGATGGTCCTTCTCTCCTCGAATTCCTGACCGACTTCAAGCTCCCCGAGCGTAAGATCAACGCTCCCTTCATGATGCCCATCAGTGCGAAGTACCGTGACATGGGTACCATGGCAGAGGGTCGTATTGAATCCGGTATCATTAAGAAGAGCGGCAACTACCTCATGATGCCTAACCGCGAAGAGGTCTACGTTACTGCTCTGTACGGTGAGACCGAAGAGGAAATCCCGACTGCCAAGGTTGGTGATCAGGTTCGCCTCCGTCTCCGTGGTATCGAAGAAGAGGACTTCTTCCCTGGTTTCGTGCTATGCTCTCCCAAGCGCCCCGTCCACTGTGTCTCTGCTTTCGAGGCCAAGATCCGTATCTTGGACTTGAAGAGTATTCTCACCGCCGGTTTCAACTGTGTGCTTCACGTACACTCTGCTGTTGAGGAGGTTACTTTCGCCTCTCTGCTTCACAAGCTCGAGCCCGGTACCGGCCGTAAGAGCAAGCGCCCTCCTCAGTTCGCCAACAAGGGCCAGACTATTATTGCCCGACTCGAAGTTACCAGCACAGCTGGTGCTGTTTGCGTGGAGCCTTTCAGCGAATACCCCCAGCTGGGACGCTTTACACTTCGTGACCAGGTATGTATCCTCATTTATTCCTTCAAGAGAAAGAGAAAAAGGAAACAGAAACAGTGAAACATCAACTAACAATATATTAGGGTCAAACCATTGCTATTGGTATGATCACCAAGCTCATCACCGCCGAGACCGAGGCCGCCGATGCCGCCGCCACCGCCGCTGCCGCCGAGTAAAGGCTTCCTACCGAGAACGCCTGGATTTCCACATTTTCAAAAGTGCAGTGAGCACCTAAAAAAGCGATGCGGTGTTGTGCTTGCGAGAAACTCTGAAAAGGGGGTATGGGTGGGCAGAGGTCGCAATGATACCACAGACAGTCCACCTCAACTGACGATGATGAACATTTCCTTTCTATATTACGCCATAGACTTTGGTTTATCTATGAATCTAAGCGGTTGAACCGTGTATGGATCCAGGATATACCTGTAATTCCTACCATTATGGATGTAGCTCAAGCAACCTGTATGACGAGAAATCATGGTTCATCAATGCATCTATCTAAAGGAAAATAATGTATCATCCATCCTATGCGGGTTTCTCCCAGGACACAACGAAAGAAATGCAGACATATCTAGTAACAAGCCCAAATTTACCGCCTCTTTCCAACAACTTTAGTAAACCCGTCATCGTCAATCTCAGGCTCAACCCTCTCCCTAGGAGCCCGCACCAAAGACGGCGCATCATCCATGTCAACATCGCCCTCCTCACTCTCATCATCATCAGTCTCCTGATCCTCATCCTGGGCCTCAACCTTCTGGAACTGACCAGCAGCAGACTTCGACTGACTCTTCTTCTGCCACGCCTCCCACATCTGCTGAACAGGGGCGAAATCCCCACGATCCGTGTGCGTCTTCAACTCCATAATCTGATCTGCAACATTCCCAGCACTCTCATCATCCACAACGACATCAAACTCGTCGTTCATCACCTGGATCAGAACGTCCTCCAGATCCATGGCGTCCGTCTCAGGTCGCTCGGTGAACATCTCTGAGATCGCGCCGCATAGCCAGTCCCGCTTGTCGCCTGAGGTTGGGCCGCCCCAGTTCGATTGCACGGCTAGTGAGAGTGCTGGCCAATTGTTGAGTGAGAGGGTGATGGCGAGGTCGAGGTAGGAGGCGGCGTCTGTGGCCGGGGGTGCTGTAGATGTGGGTTCCATTGTAGATGATGTTTTGTGGTATTTTCAGGACTTGAGTGGCTTTGCGATTTCTTTTTTGGAGGTTTGCGATTGATACCCCCGCGGTCGTGGTGGAGGGGTTGTCTTTTACGTGTGGCTTCCACAAATGGGACTCAGGTGGCACCAGGTTGCAAATTTAAAAATGGAATTTTTTTCAATTCTCCACGCTCGGAGTTCGGATTGAAATGTAATTGAGGTATTGCTGTTGAAGTTCTGCTGATGCTATGAAATTTTTATTTTTGCGATTAGATATGATAAGGTCATGTGACTGATACTCGGGATAGTTTGCACTTAAAGAGACACCATATTGGATTGTGGCATATTGATTTATCTAAGCCATGAGTTAGTTTAGGTTCCAAATATTAAAAAGTACAGCGATGTGTGTAAAAAACAGAACAATATAAAAAAAGATAAAAAACCAAAAAAGAAACTCCGATAGGGGGAATCGAACCCCCGGCTGTCGTGTGAGAGACGACGATGTTAGCCACTACACCATATCGGAGGGGGACTGCGAATTACCCTCTTAGGTTTAGTCTTGACCCCTTAGGTTTAGCGCTCTTTGTCCTTACGCCTCCCTGTGCGTGGTTCTATATAGTCCCCTGCTCTTCCCCCTCCGTCCAACAGCCCCAAATTTCTTTTTCGCCTTGTTTCTCCTACGCCTCGTAGGTGAGGCATTTTTGCTATTAACCCGGATCACCGAGCTCCTGAGCTCCTGAGCTCCGCCACCCCCTTTTCTATGTCTGACTCGTCGGCTCTTCTGCGACCCTACGTCTGCAATTCGAACTGCCCTCCCTCCTCCGGCCCTGTTTTCCTTCTTAGGCCCGACCATAACGTTAGGTGTCAATCGGCCGACCTATATTTGGCCTCCGCGCATGCAGGCGTATTCGCCCTACACTCGTTTAGGTTAATCATCCCTACGCAGCGGGACTGCAAATCTGCCTTAGGGCCGACACACCGCGCGAGAGCCTTGTCGACCCTGGCTAATAGCGCTAGCCTCAATCTAAAACCGAAGATGACTAGATCGGATTACTCGGTTTAAGAGACTGATCAGACTGTCTCAGCCGTGAGTCGCGTCAGCCGGTTCTTGCTCAGTTAGCGTAGTTAAGTAACAAAATAGGGACAGTTATTTTTTTTAAGATGACTGTAATAGTTCGCGGCGGTTATACCGGGGCCTAGGACGGCTTTCGGATCCACAAAGCGGCGAGGCGACGCCCTAGGCGGCGCGCAAACATCCTCTCCCCTCGATTTACACTAGTGCGCGATACACTAGTGTATCGCGCAATCTATTCTAGATATCTACGCGTCCCCATATCACTAAGGCGCCTTATGACTACATTACTTGGTTCTATTAGTGATTAGCATAGAAGACGAGATAGAAGGACAAGGAACCTATCATACGGGCTAGAGATAGGAGGGGGCATATGTCTCCTTGCTAGTCCAGTTTAACGCGTTTTGTGTTCTATCTCGAACCATAGAACGACTAGCTAGCAGAGCCCCTTCAAATCAGTGATAGTGACACTAGGTGTAGATGATGCGCAGACAGGCAGTTCTCTAGGAATAGCAGCATCGTTGTGGTATGATCTCGGGGACGCGGTCGCACGTATCTTTCGGGATCTACGCAATCCCTAGCCCTGTCATTATAGGCGCCTTATGACCGAAATCGTCGTTGGCTTCACGATGATTGGCATAGAGGATAAGATAAACGGATAAAATACGGTTTATTCCTACAACAGCAGCGTTATACGGACTGGAGATAACGAAGTGGGCGTTTGTCTCCGTGATGCTCCGTCCTACGTGTTTCGTCTTCTGTCTATAGAATGACTGGCAAGTAGAGCTCAATCAACCCGGGGTGATAGCACTACGCGTAGACGATGCGTAGGCGTGCAGTCCGTTAGTTATAGTCACATCGTTGTGGTATTCTCTGGAGCTTCATAATCTGCGCTACAAAATTAATCCATCAAAGATGCCAGTCAGTCGCTAGCATGGTTGGTATGGTTTATTGGAAGGTACCACCATAGTTTAAGTCGGATTTAAGATATAGTTATATGCTCCACAATAGCTCTTCCGGCGCCTTGTCCAGTTGAATAGCTGTTCCATTCAGTGTAGACCACTGAACAGGGATAATGTTGCCATTTCGACAGTATTTAATGTATTATCCACCTTACGTTATGCTTTTCTTCGCATTGAGGTCACCGCAGCCACTCTTCCCATCCTTTCCAACCAGACCCTCAGGTCAAATGTTCCGTCGCTCAAATCATTCTGATCCCCTTTGAACTTGAATATATACCCCACATCGTCCGCAGGCTTCTTCCCATCAGTATAGCGGATGCGACAAGGGCCCCAGCTTGGTAGTTTTTTGTTTCATTTGCCGCAAGCCTCTCCCCATGTTCAACCGTTTTAACATGATACACTACGCCCTCAACCAGGGAGTCTAGAGCATCCAACAGTGCTAGGTATTGCCCCCCAACTTGCACTTATAGTCCGATAAACGTGCTAGGCGCAGCTCGGGCTCATTTTCCAACCCAAAAATTTCACGAACCATAGACGGGTCGGTCAACGTGCCATAGAAGAAATAGGGCCCAGTACGTGCGTCGAACAGGTCCACGTACTAGGGTGGGTTTGGTGCTTGGAAGAAGTAATCCGAAGGGGCGGTTCTGAGTTTTAAGACGTAACTAGAGATCTCCGAGCCAGGAATTTCGGGTAGTGGTTGGGACTGTCGAGATTCATCTGCTCTCTTGCACTATCCGGCATGATCGGAGTTGAGTGAAAAAATTATACAAACCTAAGTAGAGGAATAGAGGATATATAGTGCCACGTTAGAAAGAGGGTTTATGTATTGAGAGTAGTGCTAAAAGCGAAGTTCTAAATAGGCTATTGTAACGCCCTACTACTACTAGAATATAGGAAAGCGAAATAAGGATAGCCGACGATTAGCTAGATCGAACCGTAGATACTCGCTAATAGTATCGACCTATTAAATTGTGACGTGCCTAAAGTAGCGTAGCGAGTAAATGTTAAGGCTTATCTCGTATAGGCTGTCCGTTTCCCGAGGTCTCGATCCACCCTCTATTCGCTTATCCGACTAGTTACCCTAGTTCTATAGCTTAAACGTCCGAAAAGTAGTTAGAATTAGTCGCCTATATCTATCGTTTATTCTATAGGTAGTGGAGCTTTTTGTCGATTTAAGGCCGTTTAGGAGAAGACATATTAGATTCGGTGGTATATCGTCTATAAAGATCAACCTAGGCCGCACGACTAAGCTTAACTAACACAATACCCTAAAAATAGTAATATAAAGGTAGCTTTTATCTTAGTCTCGCCCTAGATTCTTCTTAGAGGTCCTACTCTGCTCTTCGAGTGTAACGGAATCCTCAGACGCCATGCACAGATCTCTCGCACTCCCAGAGGATCGACACCATATAGGTGTCGACACGTCAGTGTTGGCTCACCGTAACGCTGATCCCCCATGTTAAATAATCTGCTCCGGAGAACCCAGCGGTTCTCCAAGAATCAGTCTCTGTATTCCTCCAATATATTGTTCGCTTCCAGGCATCTTCATCTTACCTAGTTGACAGGCTCTATCCTGTAAACACTAGAACCCCTACTTCTTCACATTAACGTAACTAGGGTATCCTACGATATAAGAAATCTTATTTCGAAATGCAAAAGCCGTGGTTCCTATAGGTCAAAGTCGTGGTCTAGGTGATCCCATAAAAATGGCTATTTAAGGGCCGCACAATAATAAACTAATTAGTTAGGTGGTTTACGCGCCCGTAGTGTCCTATAAACCAAAAGAATATCCGATTCTCTTTATCGTAGGAAAAACCACGGTTTCCGCGAACTATAATTTTCTCGCGAAGGCCGGGGTCTTCTGATCATCTCTATCGTAGGAAAAACCATAGATTTTCTTTTAGTCTAAGCCTATTCGGGGGAGCCTAGACATCGTTAGACTAGGTAGATCCTAGGAAACACCACGGTTTCCGCGCGCTTTAAGCTCCTACGAACCAAACGATCATCCGACTATCTATATCATAGGAAAAACCATGGTTTCTGTAAAATCTAGTCTTCTCGTGAACCCGAGGGTCCTTTGATTATCGCTATTATAGGTAAGACCACGGTTTCCACGAGCTCTGATTCTCTTACGAACGGCGAGATTATACGACAATTGCTATCGTAAGAAATGTCACGATCCTTTAGCAACTCTCGGCGATTCCTATAAATCAAGCGTCCGTTAGACTACCGGTATCTTACGAAACACCACGATTTTCGTCCACTTTGATAATCTTAGGATCCAAAAGATCAAAGGATGATACCTATCCTAAGATTTACCACCATTTCCCTAACTTGAATCATTTGCTGAATTAAATAAGAATTGATTTTGTATCTAAGATAATACTTAATTTGTTACAACTACCATATAATTGGTTTGCAATCAATAGTCTACGATTTTCTTCCACGCTGATAATCCCACGAATCAAAAGGATCATGAGATAATACTTATCCCAAGTTTTACCACGATTTCCGCCCACTGAATGTATATCTCATATACTACTTCATTAGTTAAAATACTGTTTGATCGGCTGTATACAAGTATTGCGCAATTGAATAAATAGAGTTCTTCTTTTTCCTCACGTTTGGAAAACATAGAAATGAACAAGCTATATGTATTCTTCTCTATTTCATCCTAAGTTCTTCAGAAATAACTTCTACCTCCTTAGTGAGGAGGTTAAAGGTACAGTGTTTTAGATTATTCGATAACTCGGTAGATCCCCATAAAGATCCCACACTTGACTATTCTGGCCCCTACCAGATGGATTCCCCAGATAAATCCCGCTCGGGTCTTTCCTTGGTCATTTACGCAATTTTGTCTTAGAAGTTAGAAGATGCTCTGAGCTCTCTGTATCACTATTCCTATATCCCCGCTTTCCAAAAGACATGCAAAGAGGTTGCTAAGACAAGCACACGAATTTTGGTTATCTTATGGGATTACTACAAAAGAACGCAAAGAATGCAAAAACATGGATCGGTCTCGGAGTCCCACCTCTCGCTCAATGAACTCGATGCCTTGCTGCTTATGCAACAGTGGAACAAGGATGCACTTTTCCTGATAAGAGAGACCACGGCGAACCGAAAACAAGCACTGACGGCGCAAATGGCTCAGCGTAAAGCGGTCAACTCCGGGGACATCGAGCATATGAACGTGTGCCAAGAAGTCAAGGGTGTAGACAGACATGCCGGTGTTGATTCGAAGAAACGGCGTCCAGTGAGTGATAACTATTCCTTATTACGCCGGTTGAACATCGTTTATAGTCCCGCTCGTGGTGCAGTCTTGATCGATTTTGGCCTCAGCTTCGTGGATGGTTGTCCTTCCCCGACTGGCGGCTCACCCTGGTATCTGCCGCCCGAGTTTATGCGTGACTGGCGCTCACGTGGTCCCTATGTGACGTGTGGGCCTAGGATGTTGTCATGCTATGGATATTTGGCCGCATTCGGTTGCCTGAAAAGTCACCAAACTGGTTGGTTTCGGACATACACCCGTCAATGCCCGGTACGCCTTCCCATAGAAAGGCTACCGATACCATGTCTAAGTGGCTAAAGCAAATTGAGAATGGCAGGTCAAAGCTTACTCAACAAGAGGAACCATCTGAATGGAATTGGAAGAGGTAGGAAGCGCTCGATGCGTATCTACAATCATAAAATCATGATATATTGCTTCAAGTGATCCGTCTCGCTGTTTCGAATGAGCTTCCTCATTACACCGATCGAATTCTTTAAATTCTCCAAATTTGCTTCTTGTTACATATCGAATAGAATATTCAAATAACAGGAGACAGTGATATGACAATGAAAATTAAGATAAACCCAATCGCCTCTAACCCACGTTATGTCTCGAGCCTCGGGGGCCTCAACCTCAGTGCTTGTGAGCGTGCTCGCGAATGTGGCTACGAGCGTGCTTGGTAGCAGCAGGAACCGGTGTAGAAGTAGGGGTAGTGGATGGAGCAGCCGTCGAGGAAGCAACCTCGTAATCCATGCAATACCGGTACTGCTTCGAGAAAGAGCAATAGTCAGTGCTGTTCGACGAGCCACTGCCTTTACCAAGCGAAGGGTTCCATTTTTTCAGGTCTGCCTCGGTCGTCTCGAAGAAGTAGGCAGCTACTTTGCAGTCGGAGGCTCCTGTCATATTATACTGCAGGGTGCTTCCATCTGCGTAGGTAAGGCAGCCCTCACGGGTTCTGGGTGCGAGCGGGAGTTTGACAAAGATGGGAGCGTATGTGGAATCAGGGACACTAGTGAAGGGAACCTTTGAGACAGAAGGGTCCGGGCCCCTGTAACCAGGGGCATTTGGATAGGAATTTACTAATACCTCGATTAGCAGTGAAGATGTCGTTCAGTTGTAGTTGAAGAGGGTCTTACTATCTCCGACAGGTTGCACACAGTAACTTGTGTTGGAAAGCAGATTAGTGCAGCTAAGAGATGTCAGTCAAGTCAATGAGTGCTGTTTACTTTTCGACTTACTTCGAATTAATTTCCGGGTTAAGGACTTCAAAGTCCTGAAGAGAAATCCCGAACTTGGTCGTGAAGATGTCACACTCCTCACCGGGCTGCACCACATAGTACTCTCCGCACCTGATAGTAGTGTTCGCTGCAGCATTGCTTGGAACAGGGACTGCTGAGTTAGCACCGGAAGAAGATCCCGTGCTGGTAGTGGCAGTGGCAGGAGGGACATATTTCTGACCCGGCTCATCCACACAGATTTGAGTACCAATGGTGCGGTTGAAGTTGTAGCATCCGGTGTCAATCCAAGGGTTCCAGGCACGAAGCTGGACAGTGCTGATGTTGTGTGCAGTAGACACAGAACTACAGGTATCATCACTCCGAACAGTGTATACATTACACTTATTCTTGATACAAAGAGAGCCCTTCTTTGGAAACTTAGCACAATAGGCGGGCAGGTTGTTGTCCATGAGAAGTTGCCAAGTAGCCACATCCTGGGACAGTGAAATCGAGTTGCAAGTATCATCAGACTTGATATTGTACTTTGTGCCACTGCAGGTCCAGGTAGGGGTATTGGCTGGCGCTGAAGAAGACCTCGAGCCTGTGGGGCGTGGGCGGCCAGTGCTAGGCCGGTATTAGTAGATGAAAATATAGAAAATGAGATTCAGAGTCTTACGAAGATGTAGCAGGAGGAGACATGGGCGTTGTCGTGGGTGTAACTGTCAACGGGTACCCAGTAAAGAGGCAGGACGATGTGTAGCTCTGGTAAATCCCCTTGGAGTAGACCAAAGGTCCATCGTTGTACTGGAATTGAGCAGTATCACGCAGCTTGAAAAGAGCGCATTCATTGCAGGCATTTGCGGCGGACGAGTTGCTCGGAGTTACAGTCAGGTTGCCCAGAACAGTGTTGCAAAATTCGCCCTCATTCAGCCTGCAAGTTTGGTTAAAGTTGAAGCTTCTGATAGAAGCAACAGAGGAAATAGGAACGTTATTGCCGTAACCATCAACATAGGTCACACCACGGCACGAATCCTTGATGCTTTTCTCCCAAGACACCAGAGCAGACCCACACTTATCAGTACAGCCCAACGCTAGAATCTTCTGAGAGTAGGCAGTGTTGGGATCAAACGAAGAAACGGCATTATTACATTGGGTGATGTTTGTGGAGAGAGCATCGACACATTCGTCAGAGTAGCCTGCGTTTTCGACGCTGGACTTCGGAAAGAGAACGAAGCTGGCGTTGGCCAAAGTATAGAGAAAGAACGAAGCACTGATGAGTGCTCTGGGCATTCTCGGATAGATCATGCTGAGAAGGCTCTAGTGAAAGAATGAGTGGTTTAACGAATGACAGTAGTTCAATAACAGGAATTTGAAAGAGTGACTACCCGAGGACAACTGTTGGAAGCCTTTGATGCCGGACGACCAAGTTCAAGTGAACTGTTCGGGAAGTAGAAGCGTGAAGACAAAAGCTAAGAAAAGGGCGACAGAGCTAAGGCGTATAACTTGGACTAGCTAGGAAGAAATAGCGAGCTGAACAATCTCTTCAACAATGGCTGGCCCCGATGGATACAATCAGCCCCTCAATCCACCAACCCACCCACCTGGTGGCCTATAATGTTGTATGCCGTGTTGCGGCATTTCCCCCCCCCCCGGGATTGTTACATACTCATTTCGTTGTCTAGGGATTCTTGCAGCTGATCGTATCTTAGCATCGGGGCCAAGAAACAGGAGGGAGAAATTTGAAATTGGAAACATGCGAAGGAATAAGCTAAGAGCTAGTAGAGTGGGTTCGACGGCTTGTTTAGTCAAATGGAACGACGTCCGGGCTCGTGTGACCTACACGGGAAGGGTCCGCGACAATTTGGGGTGTGATAGAGACCCATTATATGCCGCCTGGCCCCAGGGTTGATCGTCGGGGGCCGAACTATGCTCTTCGCCCCAACCAAAGCTCCACAACAACTCAGGATCCGATACGCCAAATGTATGAATGAAACTCCGTCGGCCCCCTAAAACATTGACGGCCCTCGGGACGGAATGATACCAAGTCAATACAGGAATGAGGTTGAAGGGTTTGCAGTATCCACTGATGGAGTATCAGATTTTCCAGGAAGACGATGCCGTATTCATATGCGAGGTAGCCCGCGCGTTGGAGTGTGATTTCCCTCTCAAGTCCCTCATTCTAAATTGTCGTTCACACTCTTTTATACCATGACTCGACGAGTCGTTCATTCATTGCTATGTTTATTTCTCTTTTTGTTAGTTTCCGCTCATGCCATCGACAATGTGGTATCTGAGGCCCTTTCTGGTCTTGATGGACTAGTTACCGGGGATACGTATAGCTGCAACAAGACAAACCCCTGCTCTAATGGTGCATGTTGCGCCAAATCCGGATATTGTGGATTTGGCGACAAGTACTGCGGAACTACTGACGAGTCTCCTAACGATGCCTGTTGGAGTAACTGCGATGCTCATGCCGAGTGTGGCAAAGATGCTGTGCCTGCCCACAAGGGCTGCCCACTGAATGTCTGCTGCAGTCCATATGGCTTTTGTGGTACCACCTCCGAGTTCTGCGACAAAGGCAAAGGCTGCCAGAGCGGTTGCGACCAACCATCCTCCAATGCTACCGGAAGTAATGTTCAGCAACGTATCATCGGATACTATGAGGCCTGGCAATCCCAGAAATCGTGTATTGGCATGAACGTGGACCAGGTTCCTGTAGAGGACTTGACCCATATTAATTGTGAGTTCACACTGACCATCGCCATTCACTTCAATCTTGCTAATGCGAAGTATAGATGCCTTTGCTGTCATCGAGCCGGACACCTACAAGGTTGGACCGATGCCTAAGGCTGATGAATCAACCCTCAGCGACTTTACTGCACTTAAGGAGAGAAACCCTAATGTGGTTGTTGGGGTTTCTATCGGAGGATGGGATTTTAATAACAACCACACAGACACCCAAGGAGTCTTTGCGGACATTGTATCCTCCTCGGATAAGAGACAGAAATTTGTCGATGAGTTGATGAAGTTCATGAAACACTATGCCTTTGACGCTGTTGACCTTGACTGGGAGTACCCTGGTGCTCCTGATCGTCAGCCTCCCAAAACCAACACAACTGGCAACACCGAAGGCTATGTCAAACTGGTGCAGGATATCCGCAAGGCATTTGATGCCGAAGATAAGAAATATGAACTTTCCTTCACAACCCCCACTTCCTACTGGTGAGTCTGAATTCCCTGTGATAGTTTTGACGTCTTATTGACCTACTTGATAGGTATCTTCGCTGGTTTGACATTAAAGAGATGTCTAAGGCCGCGGATTACGTGAACGTCATGTCTTATGATCTTCACGGAGTTTGGGACGCCGATGACCCTATCGGCAGTCATGTTTTGGCGCACACCAACCTGACAGAGATCAAACAAGCCATGGACTTGCTTTGGCGAAATGAGGTCCCTGCTCAAAAGGTTAATTTTGGTCTGGCATTCTACTCTCGTACCTTCCAACTCGAAGACAAGGACTGCTGGCACCCTGGCTGTGACTTCAAAGGTGGTGGCATGGAGGGGCCCTGTACCAAGAATTCCGGCACGCTCTCATATCGTGAATTAACTGACATCATGGTCTCGAAAGACGTCAACGCGACTTATGATGAGGAGGCCGCCGTCAAGTACTTCAAGTGGAACGAGGACCAATGGGCCTCCTACGATGACCAACAAACGTTCCAACAGAAGATCGAATATGCCAACGATCAAGGACTGGGTGGACTTCTCATCTGGTCTCTTGACCAAGATACCAGCAATCTCGATGATCTCAGGGGTGTTATCTATCCCGCCGACCTTAGGATGAGCGACCACTCCGCAAACGACGTCAGCTACTGGGAGAGCAAAACAGTTGGCGACTGCCAGACTAGTCCGTGTGGAGGCTCATGCAGCGCCGGTCTTATCGAAATTGAAACGATTGAGTGCGGCCTCGGCGACCTTCCCCAAAAGATTTGCTGTCCCATTGCATCAGCCCCGGATCCAAGCACCTGCCATTGGCGCGGAGGTGAAACTGGACAATTCTGCAATGGTCAGTGCCACGGTGGTGAGGTCGCCATTTCCTCCAGTGTCAATGGAGGCAACGGATACTGTGTCGATGGTCGTCAGTTCTATTGTTGCCCGATTCCCGAGGTCGCCGATGGCGGTGGTATCAACTGTGGCTGGCAAGATAGCTGCCGGTCTGACCAAGAGCCGCTCACTTTCCATGGAACCGTTGCATCAGATTTCGTCGATATTGCAAAATTCGGCGGGCTTATTGGGGAGGCGCTCTCTGACGCCCTCCAAGATATTGACGTTGCAAACCGACAGCTGTATTGCTGTGGCAAAGAAGAGATTAAGAACTGGAAAGATTGTTACTGGGCGGGTACGACTGGTAAGGGTCCTTACTCTTGCGATGATGGTCACTGCGCCACTGGACATGAGGTCGAACTCACTGATAGCCCTTACGGTGGCGGAAAAACATGCTCGCCCATGGACACATCTCGATCTCGTGCCTTCTGCTGCACCCCTGCTAGTGGAGAGAGTCTCTTTATGCCAGTCCCCCTTGATTATCTGTTTCCTGATCCTCCTCCTGATGATGGAAACCCCAAATTCAACCTCAAAGTGGATGACACCTGGGGAACTGGCAAGTCTAAATCCAAAGAGGACCCCAACGCTGCTTCCTTTGGCTTTGTCGTAATTACCGCACCGGATGAAGTATCAGTCAGCTTGGACAAGCGTGACGGCTCTCCTTGGGAAGTCATGGATTGCGTCAATACCGACAGCGAAGAGGAACAAACTGTGCGACTTATCTGTACAGATGACTCTGAGACCAGCTTGTGCCATAAGATTCATCTCGGACACGGGGTTCCAGGCACCATTCTCCAAATGCCCGACTCCTGCGGACCCGGCAGGTACGCCGTCGCCAAGAGCTTCAGTGTCTCTGACAACCAAGAACTTCCTGAGAATTTAGCCAAGCGGGATCTGGGCTCATCCCAGGTATATGATTTGACATATGACTATAATTTCCGCCGCGTTCCCCGATCCTACGGTGACAGCAAGATGCGTCTGGATTTCAGTAATGAAAAGGGTTACTGGGATTCAGTTGTTGACCGTCCCGGCGACACCAAGCGCAAGCGTGACCACACCTATCATGAGAACCCCAAGCGCTGGATGGAAGAAGAATGGCGTGAGGCATATCACTTTGGGGGGCTGGATCGCGATGAGCTTCACAAGCGGTGGTTCGGTGAGGGTGCCATTGCCTGGCTGGCCAACCTTATCGGTGTATCAGAAGCGGAACACACCGAAGAGTTCACCCACAGCGTCAAAGAGAAACTCGAGGTGATCTTGATTGATCAGCAATTTGGACCATGTCCCGTTGGCCCAGCTCAGGCACAAGCCAACCTTCGCGCCACCGTGGATGCCAACCTTCAGGTTGACACGTCGTTTGGAGTGACTATCATTGCAACATTTGGTGACGGTGAAATTGACCTGAGCGATTCTTACCTGTTCTTCAAGAACAAGGGTGAGGTGACTGCCAAGTTCCAGCTTGATGCCGTCGCATCTCTCACCTATAATTCGGGAGATGTCAAGTTATTTGGTCTCGATGACTTCCCAGGTGCTACTTTCCGTGTTCCAGGTAAGTTCCCCAGATTCGACTTGGTATCCGAGACTAATTCTTCACTCAAGGCGTTGTGACTATTGGTCCCAACCTCGCTGTCTATGCTGCCGCCGATGCTCAATTCACTGTTGCAGGTCACGTCGAGGCCGAGGTTACCGTTGCCAAATGGGATATCAGACAAACATACCCAGAAACTGACAAATACGAGCCGGATGCAATTGATGAACCTGACTATGATGGCACGCAGACTCTCGGCGACCCCAAGTTTGAAGCGAGTATAACAGCTCGCGGAGAGATTGTGCTCCATCTCAAGCCGACGGTCCAGTTTGGTATTGACTTTGACAAGCGCTGGGGCGTGGATAAAGCAACCGTGGACCTTGTTCTCGACGCATACACTATTGCGCACGCCCAGGCTTCTGCCTCAACCAACTCTGATGACTCTTGTCCATTCTCTTATGGTATTGATGCTGGATCGGACATCTATTGCCAGCTCAACGCACCTGATCTATTTGGATGGGGTGGACAGTCCAGATACCCTATTGCCTCTGTTCCTCGAAAGGCAATCACACCCGAAAGCTGTGCCGGAAGTGGTAACAAGCGTCGCTCTCTAGATGAAATCGATCCCCGTTCTGGTGATTATGTCTCTCCTTTCGGCTCCGTTAGCGCGGGTGGCAACGGGTTGAACAAGCGCGACGCTTTCAGCCTGGGACCTCTTATTACTGTTCCTGACACCTTCCTCAAGTGTCCCAGTAATAATTCGAACACTAATGGAATCGACTGTCCCGTCTGCAGCTTCAAAGACAATGACGATGACACTATCAGCAAGCGTGACGGAGATGTCTGTTTCTACCCCGGACCATCGAATGGTGGAAGGTGTACTGATTCCTCTCTCGCCAAACGCGCGAATGGAGACAAGTATATCTCACTATCTTGGATGAACGATGACATTAAGTTCTCTAGATACCCACAATGTTCAGCAGGTAACCTCAAGTCCCTCAATGGCATTGCACAGGTCAGTAATTTTCACCTATCAATGTTGATAGAAATCTGACCGAGAAAACAGTGGTACATGCCTAAGGGCGCCGGAAATACCCCCGGCCAATGTGGCCCGGAGGTCGCTCAGTTCCCTATCGACAACACTGGCAACAGTGTTAATGGGGTTCCTATTGGCGGCAAGTTTGAGAACGATCATGTGTTTGAAGCCCAACTTGTGTCTAAGTTCCTGGAGTGGCTGTGCAATGGAAAACCCCTTATATATGTCGGAGGACCAATCCCGTTCCCTAAAGGATTTAGTCAACCCAACACCGAGTGGTGTTCCGACGTCTTTGGGGAGCCAGATTCCCATGAAAGTATCGATTTGGCGGGCTGGAAGTTCCCTTCGTCTGCAACGGACAATAGCCCTAATAATTGGATTATGAATGCAGCCGCTGAACTGGGGGGCACTGACAGGAGGGACCTCATGGCATTGTTCTATGCCGGTGCAAACAATGCCAAAGGCTCGATTGTGCAAGGTGCAAACGTCGCGACTGGTGACAGGCACTCAGCTCAATTAAGAATGCAAGGTGTAGTGAATGTGAGTCCATGCCTTTCTTACCCTTGCATGTTTCAGGAGCCCATCTGTTGACATTTTCTAGGGATTCGCTGCCTTCTCCTATCTCAAGGACCCCACTATCAAGCCCAAGTGGACCGCACCCTCACAGGGCATTGAGAGGGTGTGCAAGTTCTTCGATGACAACTACTGGGGCAAAGCTCCAGAACGGACTTACGGGTCTACGCGCACTCGGAAGGCCTTGGGGCGTCCACAAAAAGTAAATGGTGTCACAAATTGGGGCATGCGAACGTTGTGGTGCTACTGGATTGACACACACCTGGCGCGTGTTGAGCAACAGTATAGCAATTGGGCCATAACTGCGAAGACAAATCTCCAGAACGTGAACCAAATCCCCCAGGTTCAACAGACGGAAATCACGGCAGCCAACAATTTCATCACTCAATTCATGAATAATGGAGGTGGCGCCAGTCCTAGCGATGCGACGTTCCCAAAGAACCTGGCTGCCGTCCAGGGCCAGGCCAGCGTGTATGAAATGTGGGGAGGTAACGGCTATGGTGCCCTCGGTCTCTGAGCGATTATTTGGTGAGAGGAGAAGACCATGTATTTAGAAATGTTGTATTTTTTTCTTTCTTCTTATTTCTTTTCTGAATATAGATATGTTGAGTAGAACTAGGAAGTAATTTGCACCGTAAGGCCGATAGCGCCAGACGCCTCTTATTTTACCTTTTACTAATATTACAGGCAGGAAAAAGGTGTATCAATCTTTTCATAAAAACAACAAAAAAATAAAAACAAAAATAAAAACATAAAAACAGCTAAACAAATGGTTTGTGGGCCAGGATCGACATTGTAGGAACATGCAGATCGTCATTTTATCATTTCTTGGCGATACGGTCTTAGGTCTTAAGGATAATAATACTTGAGCTCCAACCTCCCCACTTTCATTTTCAACCACCTTTTATCTTTCAATCATGGCGAGAACAGCTCAAGTTGCACGGGATCCATCTGAACAACCTAGACGATGGATTCAGCGGGAATATGCCGACCATGACGGCAACACTGTCATTCTGGGGAAGTTTGCCAACGAAAACCAGTTCTATAGGCCGGAGGAAGGTGAAGCTTACCGACTTCAAGTATACAGCACGACTCCTATCCAGCCAGAGGAGTTCAAAAAGTTGTATAAATATTTTTGCTTTGACCTCAGCTGGCCTCCCTTTTTGGAAATTTACTCTTACAACCCACCGGATGGTCTGGCCTGCGTGGAGCATCAGCGTCGTGAAGTTGCCCATCGCAAGCGTCTCCAAGCCGAACAGCGCGAAGTCGACTATGACGAGTCTCTTCCCCCTTTGATTCCAACGATGAAAACTGGCTTCGGCGATGAGTTTATGTCGGGATTCTGTTTCCTTCTCACTTCGAAGAGCTACCTCCAGGGTGCATTCCAAGACAATGATCACGGCACAGGCCCCTTGTGGATTAGCTTCGATCGGAGTCTTCCGCCCGCAGTGAAGAAGCTAGACATGATTAAACGTCTTGACAGTCCGGCGAGTGAGCTTCGAAATTTTTCAGAGAGGGGAATTGCAGTCAATCCCGAAATTCGCGATATCAAGGTGGATATTACAACAGATCAAAGTGTAATGCAATTCAACATGAAAGAGCTTGTTAGCGGAGTCTATTCGACATATGTTTATGGGCAAATTGATTATGGACTCTATGAACTGCCTCCGCCTACACGGTCAGAGGAAAATCCGACCTTACAAGATATCCAGGAGGTTTTGGAGCAGCAACAGCAAACGGCAGAAGTCCAATCCGTGGACTCAAATGTACTTCGTGTCATATTGGGACCTGAAAACACTGTCACAGTCACGAACAACTCTTCGGATAGGGAACACGATCTTCAATACGTGATCTACGTCCAGTTCCTCGCGAATATCGAACAAGAAAAGACCGCCCTTCTAGAGACCACTGCACGCACATTCACCGCTGGCATTATCTCTCAGCTCCCTGCCTCTAAAACAATTTATTTTGAGTTCCGGATTCCTGGCTCCTCCTTGTCTTCCCTTATATCCGCTCCAACCAACGGATTCGATGTTGGCGCCTCCCATGAATTTGAGGCGGGTTCGGTCATACGGGCACTACCTCAGCTCCGCCGTGACGTTTCTACCCGCCCGCAACCTCATCACTTTTTTACAGTGGTTCTTGATAAGCCTGCCTTTATCCAAGAGCCGGGTGTGCTATTCTACATTCTCTGGGCCGACCCTTCGCAATACATTGATCCAGAGACTACCGATACCGTCATTGAGACTATGCGGAGCGCTGGTATTCAAGAAGCTGCAAGAAGACTTGCAATGCTTGCGGTGGAGGAGAAAATCAGCGAGTGTCCAAGAAAGCTCACGCGAGATGAGCATAGAGAAGTGTTATCTTTGTCGCCGGAGGAGTACGAGCAGAAGATGAACTTCTAATGTCTCTTGACCAAGAAATCAAGGGAGGTACATAGCGTCAGAGTTACCGATCCAGGATAGGCTGATACATCATGTCTAATGAAGTTCGACTATTCCATCCATCATACATCGTCCTACCACTGCTATGGCTACGGCGAGGCCACTTCTCGTTCCCCGGATCTATATCCCATGTTGTATCTACCGACGTACCTTCGATGGGTTCTCCTTTCGCCCCGGCAGAGGAAATCAAGTACGTAGAGTGACATAAGTATGTCCTGAATAACACATAGTCCGAGATTGTCGTTTCTTTCAGTATACGTAAATGTAGGCCTAGTGATGGTTAGAATGAATCATAATTGGTGGCATAAGACTAGGACTCACGGGGCTCCTTGATTTCTCTTTCCTTGTTGAGCCTGTGCCTAGCCCTCATAAGAAGAACTTGGGCATCAGGATATTCGGGGTGTTTGACCATATATAGGTCAATATCTTTCCATTTCAGCGCATCATTTTCCTCCTCGTAACAGGAAGACAATACGAGGGTTCTAGGTCGGGCTAAGGTCGAGACCATCATTTTCCGTAGGGTGTTCAATTGAAAAAGAACCCGGACCGTAGGAAAGGCTATATCGTAGGCTACCACTAGATAATGCGTGATAAAAATACCTCGTTAATGCTAAAGGGCGGCTGTTCTTTCGCGGTCTTATCAAGGTCGTGCTCTATGGCCATTGATTAGGCTAGCTTCCTAAGTAAGTAAAGGACTAAGGGTCAGACTGTAGAAATCATACCGAACTAATGTCCTTTCTATAGGCAAAGGCCTCTTTCCTCCATCCAGTACATTCTGAAAAAACGCACAATTGTCATGAAGCTAGACTTGTAGTTTATGTCATGCTCATCTAAATACCACTCAAAAAAGCCTTAAACAATCCTTAGCGTGATATTTTCAAGCCAATATTTATAGTCTTTGTTGTCAAGTTCTTGCACCCATCTGAATATTCGTTAGTTAGTTAAAGCATATAGATTGAATAAGCAACGGTATAATACTTCTGAAAGTTAAAATGGATTCCCTTCAACCGCTCCTTCGTAGATGAGACTTTGTTAGTCGTGACTTTTGGATCCGGCTAGCGGACAAATGCATTCCAGTCTCTAACCCGCTTTAGTGGCTTTGGGGAGCGCATTTCGATTGCGGTGGGCTTGAAGGGGAGGAGAAAGCTTGATTGAGATCTAGGTAGAGGGGGAGCTTACGATACTTAACCACTGCGAGCCAAAATAATAATAATAGCAATCAATGCGTAATGAAAGTCCAATTTGGCAATCAGTTAGTTGTCGCCCATGATGAAGCCGCCGGGCTTATAGACATGCAGCAAGACCCGGACAATCATGCGCTAAACCTAGTTGGACATGGGGCGCTAGTCCTCATTACATCTATAAAACCGCCTATACGGAATCACCACGATTATCTCCCACAAAACCACGCACAACCGTGGTCTTTCCGCTGTCCCCCCGGATTACACCATATCGGATGTTGATGATATGAACAAGAATGTGTGGTATTATGAACTAAAGGTGGGCAACTACATGTTGTTGCCCTTTGCTTTACTCCCCAGGGTTCGTCCTTCTTTCCACGCATCTGCACATTCTCGCGAGAGTCAATTTCCCTATTGATTCGGATCACCGAGCTCCGCCACCACCTGCTAGGTAAACTTCTCCTCCAGTCACAAAGCACTTGAAACTGCGCAGCAAAGTCATCATCTTGCTCGCGCCCTGTCAGCGAATCGATTGTCTTCTGCGCAAATGTTGAGTCAGAGCCTTACCGGACTAGCTTGGTAGTACTTATATTCAGCTCGGACCTTCCACAGCCAGATACGTATACGAGGCAACATGAGAGGTAATTGTGGTCGCATGATGAGGCGGTATGGCCGCTGGTCAAATAATTGAAGCATGTGCCATAGACTGTGGCTATCATTATCAACCTCCACACGTATCCAATCCCCGGCTTTCGTTCTACAACATAGCCCGAATTAGGCGCAAGGCAGTGCGGCTCAATCAACATAGGAAATAATAAAGATGAGATATTTCACCAGAGGCGAAGAAACTAGTCATGGCCCACTGCTTCCTACCACTAGTGAACGCAGAAAAGTTACTGTCATGAGGACCACGATCATAATTTTGGCTATCTTCCTCGTGGGGCATATCATGGCGTGGCTAACTGGCCTAGTGCCTAGTTATACTCGAGACAGCGTAGCTAGCTTAGCTGGAATTGAGATCATGAGCTAACCGCTGGTAATCAAATTGATCCAAACATTTTTGGCGATTATATCGGTAACATTGACTGTATTGATCTACGATCTGTTGATACGACGAGCATTATTAATATCGACAGCGTCAATGTATCCTTCTTAGCCTATTGAAACCAATCTAAGTGAGCTTCTGACTAGAGGATGGCCTAGCAGCAGCTTAGAAGTGCCTAGTCTAGATAGTTCTAGTTCTTTACAATAGGTTATCGAACGCTATATATAACCAAAAAATGTCGCAATATTGCTAACGTCTTATTAGGTTAAACTGTTCTACCTAGGAAAGATGCTTAGCGACAATTACCACAGCCGTGTTGCAAAAGGTACTTTAGAATGCGCCGCTATACTAGAAGGTCTAGAAGAGCGTCCTACCATATAGCTTACTAGCGGTTCCCTATTGACTAGGAGTGTTATTTAGTTGCTAAGATGGGAATGGTCGTCCCTCTGGCTAATGCTCCTAATGCTTATTAGGACGCTGATATATAATAGGTTTTTCACAAACGAAAAGACTATCGATAGCTATCCGCGATTAGCTGTAACTCTTATCTACGCCGTCTCTTACCTAGTTCACTTCCTATTTATGTGGTATATCTACTTAAGCTTTCTGTCTAACGCAGCTGCTAGTGCCTCCTAGAGTCTACTCGAGAGAGCCAATTTTGGTATTATTGACACCTAGAAGCTTGGTTAAGGAATACCTTGTATAAGTCTAGACTTTAGGGGTATAGACAAAGCTAGCGCTAAATACGTCCCCCTCACTATTCGCGCGGCTATCTAACATAGAGCACGCGAGCTATAGCTTAATAAAGATTCTCTATCTCTATTACCCTTAGAAAAGGTTAAGGATAGAAAAGACGAAGAGGAAATATTAAGAGAAGTTGCTATAGCACTCAGAACAATTTCCGCTGCCTAAGAGAATAAAAGAATTGCGGCAAGAGAATCTGCAAATAGTGCACATAACCGAATTGTCTCTAATGGTTTGATCATCATAGGAATCACGGTCGTATCAAGCTTTTCTTCTTAGACGTCTTATTAGACAGCGGAAAACACACCTAACAAGTCCAACACTAGTGCAATCGGATCTATAGCGCTTCTTACCTCTCTTTCTCTTAGCGTGGCGGCTCTATTTAGTTCCGCCTTACACCTCAGTACTATGCACTCTTCTTTCCACACAATCTTGTCCTTAAAAGAAATAAAGATCAACGGCGAGGTAGTCGACCACTTCAAAAAAAGGCGACCACAAGATCAGAGCAAGCGGCTTTACTTTCTTTCACAGAAGGAACAATACAAGTATCTCGTATTGGCTTTCTCGATATCCTTGCAACGAGCCGGGGTGTCGGTAATCTCTTCAGGGTCCTACTTTTTGGACCTGCATACGCCTTCCTTCCAATGAAAGAAGATCATCAACGAAGGTCCGCAGAAACTCGAATTAATTTCCGGGTCCGAGTTCGAGATATGACAGTTCTATTCACCAACAGAGCAACGAAAGGTATGCTGTCGAGCACTGGAGTGAAGACTCACCAATGTCTGAGCTCATCCCTCTATCCGGCTATCGACCTCACTAACCAACTTTCTGGAAGCATCTCAAAGATAAAAGTGGTGTCTCTGTTTGATGATATCTGTGGAACAGGGAGAAAATGAGGAAGAAGGAGAGATCGGAGAGAGCTAGAATTCGGAAGTAGCAGATCACCTGACTTCCAACAAGTGTATTGATCTGCTGCAAACCACGGAAAAGAGAGACCAGGAGGAATGGCAGAAAGAGAGTCGCAGGGCAATGGCTCCAACACCCCTCTGCTTTCTGTTGGGGCAATGAAAATGTCTACATTGAATCTCGAGATTGGACAATAGGATTTCCAAATCCGGGGACAATGGTGAATGATATGCCATTGATACTATTATGCAACTAGGCATCTGCCTTCGCGCACAGTAGTGATGAATGTCTTGTCTGTTGATATATTCATGTCGAGAGCGATGCTCGTGGGGGTCAGACCCGTAGTGTTACATAGGCAGATCTCTCCCTCTCACTCTCTTTCTTCCCTCCTCGTCTCTCTCAATAGGAAATTACACGACGTTACATTTCCCGATTTTATCAATCCTAACAATTCAAAAAGTTGCCTGTTCAAAAATGATGCTTTTCGTGAATAACGCTTTTCGTGAATAACGCTTTTCGTGAATAACGCTTTTCGAGAATAATACTTTCAACAATGATGCTTTTCAACAATAACCTTGAAATGTTTTTCGAGAATAATGCTTTCAAGAACAATACTAGATTGTAAGCTAGCAATAAAAAGGCAAAAGATGTCTTAGCGTGTAATATTGCAGAATATCTACCACTTCAGATCAAAATACTTTCTCTTCCTTCTCCAGCGAAGCTATCATCATGTCTTCAGTGAGTATACACCGTCAACTTTATTATATGAAACCCACTAACTGGTCTAAGTATCGCTCCATCCATGCCATAGCGCAGGAGCTTGATCGAATTGAACGAAACGACCCAGAGTCAATCGTCTATGGTGTATGGAACGCTATTTTGAGCTTCCAATTCCCTGTGTCCGAAGGCTACATAACACGCCCGCAGGATGAACATACCGCACAGTCCGGAGAGAAGGGATACTCCGACTTGCATACCTTCCACTATCAAGAAAATTCCTCTACTGCAGACAAGTTCTTGATAGTACAGTGCAAGAGAGCTGGGTACGAGACACACGCCTCTGTGTGGGCGGAAGGAGTAGATCAGCTCTGTCAGTACTTGTCGTCGACCCATGGCAGACGCCGTCCTTCAGACCGTAGCCCTGTTTACGGGATTGTTGCGGTAGGAAAATATATGAGGGTTTACAAGTACGATGATGTGAACGAATCGGTTCTCAATTGGAGTCCGAATCCACGGAGATTGAAAAAGGGGAATTTGTGGCACCTGGAGGAAAATTACGAGCAGGTCCAACTTATTTTAGACCACATTCGCGATAATCATTGATGCAGCTCATGAAATCTTTGCCCCGTTGGGTTTATTCTCAACCCTAAGCAAAAGTTCAAAATCGCGAGTTTAGTATTGGCGCCTATATATAATTGACATTCCAACTAACTCCAACATTTCAATCTGTAACTATTTAACAACTATATATGATAGACTATTCGGAAAGAAGTTTTTTGTTGATTTAGTAGTTATATTTTTAAGTAAAGCTGAATAAAATATTATTACCCTATAGGTTACACAAAATACAGGGTTCAAACGTGGTCATTTTTGGTGGGAAAACGGCAATGGGTAAAGACTTAGTGACCCCTATGTAGTGAAGTAGGAAGAGCGCGCTGGTGGTCTGACATAACAGACAGGACGGCAGAAAAGAGTGATGTCCTGTACCTGAGGATGGTGGGCAGTGTAAATGGTCTAGAATAGTACAGTGGGAGCCATGATGAACAAGAATAGCGAAATGACGGTAGATGATAAGATGATATTGCGATGTGCCTGTGGTGAGTGAGGCCTATGAGACTATCTGGGAGATTAGATGCCCAAGGCATCTAATCAGATCTATGCGTGTTTCTCCCACTACAGTAGGTATCACCTTCTTTTTGCTTTGTACAAAAAGCCCTACGGTAAAACATATATAATACCTACCTAGGTGCCTGGGTATGTGTAAATGGCGAGACAAAAGATAAACAGAAGAATTTGCATGGATTACATGTATACTGTTATCCATCGAATGGCTAGAAGCTGCACAATACTCGCAATATCACATAGATAAAGTACCTAGTGAAGAAGAGAACGCTATTGGGCAGCGTACTCTAGGTATAAGGGTCGATCTACTGCACATGCCAGATCTAGGAGAAATTGACGGAGCAAAGCATGCAAAACGGGAAGCCAGGAAGCTCGATTTGAATATTTGGAACGTGCTTAATCTTCAGTTTGGAGCGATACGCATATTAATAGCAAAGCAAAGGCTAATTACATGATAAGACATCCAGTAACATGTGCCTAATAGGACCCCCTCCCCTCACTAAACTATGTATCACTTTGTGTAGGCATCCCTAAGAGCAAGCATAATCCCAAGAATCCGCTCACGGTTTGCTAGACCACTAGAACCGAGCCTAGTTCGATCTGCAGTAAGAATCATAAATTCAAGCCGTACTTTCCAATCCACTGACGGGTTCTCGCTATATTTCCCCAACTCAAAAAACAAACGTTCGTCTACCCGCACTCGCCAGAACCACTTAGGTAACTTCCATCCAAACCCTAAGAGCATATTTCTCAAATTTTGAACATCACTCATGGTATAATCTGTGATAGGGCAGACGAATTCGGAGATCAAAACCCTAAGCTCTAATGGAAGAATGCCGAGACTAGAGGTTAGGTGATAGTAATCGGCCTCGGCGGATGCCATAGCTTGTAGAATTGCGGGCACGATAAGTGGACTCTGAGAGACATTCGGTACATCTCCGGACATCCCCCACCGTTTGCTTTCCCGCCAGTATCTTCGACAAATTCGGACAAGTTTAGCGAGGTTGGTATTGTTAAATCTTAGGCCTTCGACTCGATCGAACAGGGCCCAACAGTGGGCATGGATCACAAATCCGATTGTCTTGTCTTTCAATGTTTTAGGTTGTCTCTTAATATCTGCAGCATAGAATTGGGTAAACATCTGTGTATGGTAGTCGGGGTTTTTCTTCCCAGTTATTCTTGCTTTTGCAGGGTCATTGACAGCATAGTAAGGCCATTGCCAATCTTCCATCGAATTGATACCAGTCAAGTGGTACTTAGTATCGGAATCCTTGATAACTGAGCTAATTAGAAGACCGGAGATGATTGAATGAGAATTCACTTATTAGAGGCTTACGAGCTCGATATAAGCATGACCATAGTAGAGGGAACCTATCGATGTAGGCAGTTTCTACCTCGTGTGCTGATATCATAAAATGTTCCGGACCGGGCTTCCAGAGTTTTTTCCAATGCTTTTTGTCAAGTCTCGAGGCTCCTTCGATGCCTGAACTGGGTATTCCCAAATTGTCCGTCATATGGATCTTCGCCCCGCATAAAAGACAAATTGGGACTGGTAGAACACCTTCAGTAGAAGCAAATGGATGGGCCATAACGAAGAGAATGATGTTAGAACGTTGAAATTTCCTTGATAATATGGAGTTGACGTTTTCATAATCGATGTCATAGTGAATGCTTCATGGCCATAAATTGACATCATGATTAATGCTTGATTATCACTCACTAAAACTAAGTTCCAAATTAGTATTGTTAATGCTGACATACTATATATATATCATCTTTAGATGGAGAGGATGCCAATTATTTTCACGAATTTAGTTTTGTTATTACACCCAGGTAGAGTGGAAAATTGTGAGAAGGTAGTTTAAAATAACGGGAAACGCAGGTACATGTTTGATGCGGGTAACTCATACCCTATCCCGAAAAGAAAAGCAAGTATGCCAACGCACAACGAACTTACAGTCGGACCAATTTCAGTTAGCAATTCTTAGACTATTGATAGACGTTTTTAAAGGTTGATACTTATATAGATGCTATACCTTACTATTCACCCTTTTATAAACGTGTTATCTGCACCTATGATAGAAGCGCTCGATACTTCTATCAGCACTATTCGGCTAAGTAGTCTAAAAAGCTATCTCGATACATTAGTAGCGTTTCTTAATCCTAACTAGGTACGGAGTACAACTTGAACACTAGCGCTATCCTTCAATTGCCGTAAATATCGATATAGAAACACCACGTTTTTCGAGATTTATGACTACGACAATCCATGGCCATTCCACCTGGGCTTCCTTTTACACCATATCGGAGGGTGACTGAAATTATGACTTCGAGTTTAGACCTATCACTTTCAGTTTAGCGTCCCTTGTCCCTCCTACGCCGCGTGCGTGGTTCTATAAATATCCTGCTATCCTAATCCGCCGTCACTGGTCGCGTTGCGATCGCCTGCTGAGGCATTTTTGCCATTGCTCCGGACCAGCCAACTCCAGGATGCCCTCTGCATTCTGGCGTCGCACGATTCCTCCGCATGTCAATGACCAGCTCTCCGACGATGGCCCCCATCTCTCTGTCTGCCTTGGCTTATCCCGCAGAGAATCCCCCCAAGGCTTCGCCCAAATTGATCTGGTGAACCCAACGCGCTCTTGTGTGATTGACCTATGACGAGGAGTGCGTTGGTGCTCCTGATGGCACTGGCTTCTGTTGCGGGAAACAATCCCCTCCCCCCTGGGTCTGTGTCGCAAGCCAGCAACGTCTAGCTACACCAGAGTTCTGGGCGACGGTTACTTCCGTACCACTAGGGAAGGAAGCCGATTTCCTTCTTATAGGCATGCTTGAGAGGCTTACTGCGCTTAATATCCGAAGCCCCCGAATCCGTAATAATGCTCGTCCTCCGCGAAAGTCGCGGCAGATCCCCCCGAAGAAGATTCATCATAACAGTCTCCGCAACATCATCCGCATTATGCCTCGTAACAACATACTTGATACCGAGCCGCGCAGCGCCCCGATCTAATGCCTACCACCGGAAGACACCACAGTAGGTACAGTTCCCCTTATTCCCAACCTACGCAACAACTTAATACATGGTCCAGCCGTATAGCTCGCCGTAGCCGAGAATCTCGAGGGGCATTTCATACTACACTACGTTTCGCTTCACAGTTTCCTGGCTGTCGTCGCGGTAGCCGCGGATACCCTCGTCGATCGAGAGGAGACAGAGATCGAGGCCATAGTTATATCGTGATGCAGTTGCCATGCAGTCCTATCTTTGCATTGGCTTCATGCTTCATGCAGTCCTATCTTCCATTTGACAGATCTTCCTATGCTTGGCATGTATGAGACTTTTCTTCCTTGGCATATGTGAGATGCCTTCATGCTCACTGAGCCCCTATTATGCGTGTATAGATGAGATGCCTTCACCCGATCTCTCTATGTTTGCTGTTTGCTTCCACATTTGTCAGTTTGCTTTCTCATTTGTGATCTGATCTATGTCCCATGAAGCTATAAAAGACAGCTTCATGGCAGCTAGTTTTCATCATCTTCATCTATTTCTATCATTGATTTTGATCACTTTTCCCGGAGTCATTCTGTAGATCTGACTCCTTCATCATATCGTTCGTTTAGTGTTTTAAGAACTACGGCGAGGACTATGCTGTCTTTGCCGCCGCTAGCGCCGATCGCCACTCGCTCACCAGGGTAGGAAAGGTTTGCGCTAGTAACTGTTTCGTGGACTTCGGTTTCGAAAATGTGGAGGAAGCAGGCGCAGCAGATCTTTTGTCTGTTTTTAGGGCGGGTGATTACTGCTCGTGCCTCCTTACAGTTAACGCATTATTTTTCTTGTTCCCCGCAGTAGAAGTGGGAGGTGGGAGCAACTAAGATAGGCGTCGAAGAGGAAATAGTTACTGCTCAACGATTAAGGCTCTTATATGGGACGTAAAACTAATTAGAAGATACCAGGATGCGAGCACTCATTCTATTCACTTGAAATATACGCGTCTTCGAAAGAATCTCAAGGGAACGAAACATCCTAAACACAGCGGCGCTAGTCCTAACCGGGAACATAATCTATATGTAATAACTACGAAATCCCCACGTTCCTGCGAATCCAAAGCTCCTTCCACATTACAGGAACCAGCTCTCTTACGCGCCTTCCCATACACGCCTGCCTAGCCAACTCGTTACCCCCTCATCAGAAGCCATGACTACTCCTTTCAACCCTTGGCCACACCTCGTCAGAATGGCTGATCAAAACATCAACGTCTTTCCTGGGTTCGCAGTTACCGACAATCAGCTGAAGGAAGCCGCCGCTCTATTTCGTGATAACTACGGAGTATGGGGCAAACAAACCAAGCGAGCAGGTAAGCTCTGACGGCAACACTACCTTGTTTACTGAGTGCTTATCCTCGGCAGGTCAGCGCGTGGCTTTGTCCCCCGACCGCATGCGAGAACAGTACCTGCCTTCTACCGCAACGACTGCTTATGCCAGAGTGGTTGTCGATGGGACCCTCGCAGGACATGCTTTTGCTTGCAGATGGCGCCATAAGGGCTTAATGGTGTGCTGGATCACTCAACTTGTTGTGGACAAAAGCTTCCGCAACATTGGACTTGCAACAACCCTCCTGAATGCGTTGAGGTGCGACACTGATAATATCTACGGGATCATGAGTTCCCACCCTGCCGCTTGTCTCGCTGCGGCGAAGGTTGTTTGTGGTGCTATCGAGAGGGTTCCGCTCGACTACATTGTCACGCAGGCAGATGAAATTCTCAAAAGCTCCCCTATTTCCTACATCCGCGACGCCAAGCCGCATGGCACTTTGTTCAAGGATGAGAGTGAGATGGTTTCTGGAGTAGACACGGGGTTCTTTGTCGACCATGATGAACCCAACGCAGCTCTCGAAGCGATCAAGAACGACTTGCCCTGGCCCCTAGGGGATCTCGCCGAAGGCCACGAATTTCTGCTCATTATCCAGCACAGAAGCCGTTCTAGTCGTCTGCTACAGACACAGGCAGTATGAGTACCTATCAACAGGCTTTTTCTGTGTGTTGTGTCCCTTAGTTTTATTGGCTGAATTGCTAATACTGCCTATTGCCTAATTTCTAAAAAGTTCTATGTACTGTAAAATGATACCACTGACTATTAAATAACGAGAAGACAAGGCCCGAATATTTGGAGTTTGTCCCTCGGCGAACTTTTCTCTTGAAAATCATCTATGAATCCTGGTCTTCTAAGAGAAATTGCATCCCCAGTGTTGTACAGACCGGTTGTTTGCAGGGCCATTGTTTTTCTTCATAATCAGTATAAATCGAGAAAACAAAAAGAAGGCCTGCGTATATAAAAATCAGAAATCATCATTCACAAAAAACATGTCGTTTCACGCGTCAATTGATTAATAGAGGCCAACTGGCCCCTAATAATTACCATGAAGGCTCCAGAACGTCCTGGTGGTGGTGCATTGCACGGGTCGACCCCCCGACTTGGCTACGTGGCCTCCAACTCAGGAGAGACGCTGGTCCTGCCCTCCACCCCAACACCAGCTGGTGGGCAGCCAGGAAGCCTGGAGGATCTTATAGGACCCTTGCTGGATCAGGGAACCCAGGAACGAAGGACGAGCCGGGAAAGTGAGGCCCGGAATGGAATCAGAAGAACCTCCCTGAGGGTGCTCAAGCGACCCAAACATCAAGCGCTGATTGCTGGCGCCCTAGCCCAGCAGGAGGCAGCCTATGAGGAGATCCTAGATCAGCTTTAAGCGCAGCTGGCAGATGAGCTGGATAATTGGCGAGCAGAGTTACAGGCCCGAGAGGGGGTCTACATGGAACGCATCAACAAGCTGGAAGCTGAAGTTAGCAAGCTCCACAATGAGCTCATGGAAACCAAGCAAATGGCCCAGCAACAGGAAATGGTGTTGACATACATGGGATGTCTCTTTGTGCAGACTGAGCTAGTTTGCCATTTCTTTGTTAGATCAGGCTTTATAAAGAGCCTTCTTTTGATAGATTGAAAATTAGTTTCGTTTTCTTGATTTTCCCCGATGCTAGTATCTGTCACGATCTGTACTGTATCCGTCCAATTGGAGATATCAATGACTCTAAGTTTCATTACCCGTATTTCATGCTATTTATAAGGCAATTTCTAATTACATTTGTGGGTTCCGGGCCTACTGTATTTCCGAAGCCTTCGGATCATCTATAGGCCCGGTTCCATGTAGTATTCGTAAGATAATTGCGACACCCCTTCAGCGGCCGTAGTATCCTATCCTGAGCCGCTAGCCATGCCATTTGCTTGCGAATCAGCTCCATTTTGGGTCATTTCCTTATGACCAGGTGCTCAATTTGAGCCATGCGCAATAGCTTAACGAAGTCTACATGCTTCTGCCTTAGAAGCAGCTTCGTCAGGCTGTTAGCGACTATTTTTGCGGTCGGGACCTAGCGTATAGCGACGCGCCCCGCCCTCACTTCCTATCTTAGCTAAAGGTGGTGTATACTTCGGGCAGGTTGTTAGGAGGAAGAATCAGCTATCCTAGCTAATTAAAAAATGAATAAATAAATAATAAATAAGTAAGAGATATAGCCTTTAAAGCTATTCTTAAAATAAATGATAGGATATAGCATTTCCTATACAATTCTAATTCTTGACTAGCAAGATATAGCCTATTGATAGGGCTATCCTTGATAGTAAAAGACTAGATCTTGATAGATCTTGATAAAAGAATAGACCTTGATAATAAATCAATAGATCTTTGATAAAGCAAAGGGGGAAAACGAGGGCCTTATAACCTATTAAGGGCTACGATACTGAAGCAGATACACTAGCAGATACTAGCATTAGGGAAAATCAAGAAGAAGAAACTGATTTTCAATCTATCAAAAGAAGGCTCTTTATAAAGCCTGATCTAACAAAGAAATGGCAAACTAGCTCAGTCTGCACAAAGAGACATCCCATGTATGTCAACATACATCCCTCTGCTTCCTTCGACAAGATCATCATTTGAGCCGAAAGCTCCCTCGGATGCGCGTTGCGCACTGTGGGTTGATTCCAATTCCCAAAGGATGTAACTAGCTTCCTGTGGAGGAAAAACAGCGCAGCATAAGCTATGGCAGCAAGCCCACCACTTGCTATTCCTGCAATAGCACCCCCTGATAGCCCTAAGCTTTTTGATTGTATGCTATCTCCTGCGCCAGACGCAGTGATGGTTTCTCTCGAAGATGTTTCTGCAGATGTAGCTTTCGTCCCCGCAGGCTGACCGAAAGATGCTGGATATATCAATAATATTAAAACCCCACAGACCACAGATTTCCTTAAGCTTTTTCAAGATCAGGAAAACAATACAAACTTACTGATAGTGGCGGAAACGGATGCAGGAAACTGTCGATACAGAATAAAAGGCCCATACCAATCCTTCAAACAGACATACCGAGTGAGAATAGGTGTTCTACTCGGGGAAGTCTCAATGATAGTAAATGTATCACAAGTGAAGTTTGTCCCGCTATAGATAGGTTAGATGCCGTGGGTCCTTTCGAAGGAGATATAGAACGTTATTTTACCATGTTATATTCCAGCCATTGGCATAATACTGAGACCTTCTGCGTTATATTGCTTACGAAATGTAACAATCAGTATTGCAAAATTAGGAGGCAGTTCTCACCAGCTAAGAGAGTTAGTACCATTCAATTTAAGGTCCGACTATGCTCGCTGCTAGAGGTGATAGTGTTTTGGCTCTCGGGGGGTATAGGCGGGTATCGACACGCATCGCTTTGTTTTGAGCGGAGTTTTGTTTTTCTTTGCTTTGCTTATTGTTCCTTTTTTTAGCTTTAGATTTCGGAATGTAATCACCGTCTACCTAAGTCCTAGGCTGATTGTTACACTATACGGAAATGCCACGATTCTACCCCGCAAATCCACGCATAATCGTGGCCTTTCCGTTGTGACCTCGACTTACACCATATCGGACGACCACGGTGGAAGCTACTTCCGGATTAGTTTTATCAAGTACGGTTTAGCGCCACCGGTATGCGTGCCCGTGCGTGGTTATATATAGTCCCCCTATTACAATAATCCGATAATTTACGACACACAGTCTAGACTCTACGGAATTTCCTGGTTATTCCAAAAAGTAGTTTAGCGGATCTTGGCAATAGGGCCTGAGAAACAATGAAAGAGTGTAGGTGGTAACACCGTTTCCCGGAACTACTGTACTGTAGAAAGTCATTTTGAGAACTTATGTATCCTCCAACCGCTGGAATACATAGTAGCGAGTTAATTCCTTTAGCGGGGTAATCACTACAACATATAAAATAGCCTGATGAACCATTTTTCGTAGTAAGATGACACATTTCGGTATATATTGTGTCACCGGCGTCTAAACTGAGCATACAGTACTCGTTCAGAGTTATTTACTGGCATTTGGCTTTACTGGTGGTTAGTGATTATATTCACCTTTATCTCCTGTACTAATACCTAGCAAAAAGCGTAGTTACACATTCTAGCAATAGCAAATACTTAGAGCGTGGTCGCTATCACTAAACTGACGCGACGATATAGCAGTTTAAAATGAATTCTTACGGTCCGTTCTGATGCCGTGGTCCATTTTGATAGGCATTAGACTGGTTCTAATTCTTATGTCCCTATTTAAATGATCTGTTTGTACACCTACAAGGATTTGTGTCAAAAAGGTAATAATGGCTATAACGCGCAATCATTAGTGTTTAATACGGGATTCTCACCCTTAGCTCACCTAGCCATTTACCCCTACACCGTTTCTTCACAATATAAGAAGCGATATCGGCGTAAGCTAATCTAGAGAAAGACTCGCACGAGTATAGTAAGCTCTACGGAGCAAATGCGTATCTAGGTATCCGAGTCCGAGAGTCGTGGGAAAGTGTTTCTTTTCTCGGCGGATACATCGGGGGTCTGGTCATTTCTTACTCCTCAATTAGTATGTTCCTCTAAAGCTAATATCTGCTACATGATCTCACGTTACCAGAAGTCCTACTATCCAGGCCCCGTTCAGAGAACTAAGAAGAACCTCTACATGCTGAAGAATCTTGCTGAGCCCCCCAAGCATTGACCTCTGTCAATGCCCTCTGCAGCGTGGTGACTGAATCCAATAGCAGAAGAGGTTCTTCGAGGGGCCGTATTCCCGGTTGACTACATAGCTCGGCAGGAAAGCTCTGTTGAAGATACTCCGCTGTGGTTATATGCAATCTAGCGCGGGTCAGTGCGCCACTATACTGAACGGGAAGTGGGAATTAGCTGGTACATTTTAACTATACACTGGCACTGTTCTATATGGGTTTCTATTACATCAGAATCCATTAGATGAGAATGACGTGGCAGTGGTCATAAACCTCAAAGATAATCATTTCTTCTCAAATGATTCTAGATCTAGCTGGCAGTCTCGGCATCACGGTTGATGGATCAGTCGTTGGAGTATACCGAGTGGATCACCTAGTAGCATCTATTACAGTATACATAAAGCGGTGGGAAACAATACCGTAACCAATTTCTTTTCTTTTTCCTTTAGTTATTTGATGATACTTGGAAAAAGCACAATATTTTCCTGCACAAAGGCTGAAGCGCCGATGCAAGAGTGGAGCTGTAGACTTATAAGACGATCCGAACGAAGTGGTTGATCATACCACGAAGAGAGCTTTAAGCACTTGCTGACGATCTGTCTAACCAAATTGGAATATTGATTGCCAACTGATATAGTCTATCAATTTTGTGGCCAATTCATGCATGAAAGGAAACAGCGGTCAGTAAACTGCGGGTGCTCTAGAGTGGGACTTGATTCAGCTCTATGTAGCCCAAGCTCATTTGTACTACGTTTCTAGGTAATTAGGTTGTAGGAAGCGGGCAGTGCCATCGGTTGTACTGCTACGCCGCCAACTTTTATGTTGCACAACAAGCAAATTGGCCACAAACAGATATGGAAGCTTTTTCAGCACTTCGAGAGACTGACTCGGTATACGGCAACATCAGCTAGGCTTGTGGCTTATTATTCTTATAGAGAGGATGCTAAGGAGTATCAATCATTTTTCTTGCACTCTAGATTGGTAGGAAGGTTGAAGTGTCGCATTAGGGATTACGCACGAGTAAATTTCCAAGTCGTCGTATTCCATAGCCAATACGCCGCAGAGTCTGATTCCCTTACCAGTACTCTTAGATCTGCATATATGCATGACGTGGTAGAGCGTGGTTTGCCACTTCTGTTCACTTTCACGACAATTGATTCTAGGCGAAATAGTTTGCATGTGAGCCTTGTATAGAGGACTCAAAGTTTAGGTCATTGGACAAGACCCTGAAACAGCGGTGTGGTTATAAAGTCTAGACCCCCGCGTATAAATTTATAAGCATTAAGCTGAGCATGCCTCTGATGATTGGTGCTGTAGGGTCAAAGTTGATAAGATCAGCGATGAGGGGTAGATTCTCTACTGCGTATACGTACGTTATGGTTTCCCCGTCACGGTTAAGCTGCATCACAGTTGATCCATCACCCAATAGTCACTAGCATAATGTATATCTGCCTATGGCCTAGTTAACTTTTCCGCCATACCTTTGTATAAGTAAGTACGTCTGCTGTATTTGATTTTCTTCTTCCTCACACATGTGTTTTCAAACATCAAAGTCCATCACTTCAAGATTTAAACTTATCGCAAGCCCTTATAAAGCTTCTCAAAGATGGCAAGCATCTCCCTCAGGCTTGATCGAAATTAGACCCCTAGCTAACAGTCCGAAAATAGTCTCGTAGCGGTGTGAGTTTAGCGGATGATTGCGTCTGTACTTTCAATGAATTGAAACTGAAAAAGTCCTACCGGTATATCATCTACAACATGAGTCAAGACAAAAAAACTATAATCGTGGAGAAGACTTCCGAGAGTGAGGATCATGATGCTTTCATCGCCGATTTACCAGAGACGGAATGTCGATTTGCTGTCAAAGACTTCCTGTACGAAAGTGACCCCGCAGAGGGTGCAAGGAACAAGATTCTTTTTATAACCTGGTGTGTTATCTCCTCATCATCTATCTTGCATACATAAATCCCCCAACTCCATAATAACATCGAGACAGGACGCCAGATAATGCCCCAATAAGAAGCAAGATGGTCTTTGCCGCCTCAAAGGACGCTCTTAGGCGGAGTCTCAATGGTATTCAAGCCGAGGTACAGGGCACAGAACATTCTGAGGTTTCCTATGAGACGAGTATGTTATCATATACTACGCTTCTATTTTGACCGTGTCCGCTGACGTTATCCCGAAGTCCTGGAGAAAGTCACGAAACGGAAGAGTACAAACTAACGGTCGCTCCCGATCTTTGCTAGAGGCTTCATTCTTCGAGGCACCAGACCTGAGCAAAATGCTTATGTGGCCATCGGATAGTCTAGGGGGAACGAGGGAGTGGAATGTTCAATTTTCTAGACAGACACAGGTCTAAGCCAGTGAAGCATTCTACGACTTTCCAGTATGGTGCATTTGATTTACCATACCTCAGGAATTATCAATACATTCCAGGTCATCTTCAATAATATACTGCTAGCAATCTTACAATTTCCGTAACTCGAAAGTACTACTGTATTAAGGATGTTGGAGGACTGAAAGAACATGAAACTCAGCACTAAATACAATATATATTTAACGAATATAGCAGCAAACAAACGCGCGTGTAATTGTGTTACCACAAGCGAGAGCTTGAAGGGTTTAGCTAGGTGAGTATTAAAAGGTGCTCCATCCCCAAACTTATATTTGTAGGCTTTGTTAATATATTACTTTTTATCATCTCAGAAATCACTATATCCATTATTTTGAGTCTACTCTGTTTCTACGGTACAACCAATATCAATATGGCTAGATTTTGCGAGTCTCGCGCGGAAAAGAAATACCTTCGACAGAAGCGGGATTGACGAAAGCTAAATCTAGAGAAAAAGTCGCACGAGTACAGCAAGCAGGTCCCGTGGGCGCGGCCCTTAGGCGATGTTAACTTTGACCGCAAAGCGGAAGGCATTCTGTTGAGGAATCGCAGTTGGTGATACAGGCTACCAGTGAGATTTGTGCTGGAATGAAGATGTTTGTGATAGACTTGGAAGCATAGGATGGTACGAACGTATTAAATCCCTGGCCTACAAGCCGTTGCCTTGCCGCTTTGAAATTTGTTCACGGTTTATACCAGGCACATCGTGACGTGACCTCAAAAGGGGACTACTCTGCACATGTTAAGTAGGTAGAACTCCAGCCGTAGGTACTTTCCATAGGTTGTACCTCACTGGAAGGCTCTTCTTTTCTTCTTTTGGAAGTGTATAGCCACATTTTGGGATAGCTTTAGTTGTAGGAGCTGCAAACGGGTGCGGATAATACCGTGCGTGCCGGTCATGCTATAGTCTGATAGTGCGCTTGCTGCATTAATCTTTTTCAAGCATTTTGAGGCGCAGAAAATGATTGGACTACTATTACTCACCGATTCCTGCGCAAGGTGAAACTTTGAGTCAGGAGATTGAGAGATATCTCGCTTTGACGAAGATAGGGGACAACAATAGGAAAATTACCTCGCTAAACCGACCTTCAAAGGATAGATAAGGGTAAGAAACGACGAACATACAGGGGGAAATGGGAGGTTTTTATAGAACCACGCAGGGGAACATATTAGAACTATATACGCTGAAAACGAAGGGTCATTAATAAAAAAGAGAGTAATTAGCTGTACCCGTCCGATATGGTGCATGTCGAGGCGACGACGGAAAGACCACGATATTGCGTGCTTTGTAGCTACAAACCCTGATTTTTCAATATAAGCCGCGCCAATGATATGGTAGCTGCCGAAACACCCCCGATATCTCCACCCCTCCTGGGTCGTCCTGGTTCTCGTTTTCCAATCAGAAGCATGATCAAAGCGATGATATCGCGACTGATGTTAGCTATCCTTTTCGTCGTCAACTACAGTTTGGAATTCGAATACTTGCTGCAACATGTTAATTATTGTAGCCTATCATAATCTAGACAGTGGGGTATTTTGGGACTTCTTCAGACTCGGCCCGTCGCGAAGAGGTTATGGGGCAGCAAATGACCAATAACAATGGGGTACTACCCACGTTTTTCCTCATCTGTGGCTGAATGGGGTGGGTAAGAAGTTCTATCAATATTAGGCCTTACAACCACACCTAGTTATAATCGTATAATTTATAAGCTACACCTTAGCAACAAAAATTCCAACCACAACAAATTACCAATGCGGTACGTATTTTAACCAAGAGACAGTTTGATACGCACTCTCCGGCAAGGTCCTCAGTCCAATCAAGTCTTCCGTTAAGATGAATCCTCGACCCACACAGTAAAAGGCACAGACAAAAGAAATTGGTATCAAAGCTCGAAGGGGGATTTCCAGGTTGGGATCCTGCTCAGGATCAATATTCCTAAGCCTCGCGGCAAGACGGCTGATCCATCTGTTTTTAGACCCACTTTTCCGCTTCAGTGTAGCTTGTGCCCTTGCTTTTGCTAACTCCGGTTGAAACATTTTTCTGTGAAAGTATAGCGAAAGAGGACCTGCAACCAACGCAAATGCCAAGGTATTCACACTAGTGATACGCCAAAATAGCTTCTCTGTCGCGGACGGAAAGGTGGAATTCCAGGCAATAAGAAACACAGAGCTGAAGAGAAGGATTGTTGGGGCACAGATTATCTCCGCCTGGGTATCCACGTTTGGAATGAAATGACTTGGAATGCGATCATATGGTCGTCGCTCCGGCCGAGTAAATAGCGGTATATGTATATAGTGTAGGATTTGAACGTAGTATTTCCAAAATCGAGCGCAAAACCACTCATCTCGTGAGAGGAAGTCGAGTGGTGTTTCATACCACTTCGATCCGGAATTTTGACCAAGATTATTCCGAATAATAGCCACGGATTTCTTAGGTTTCAAGATGATTGGTTTGTTAATATCCATAGGTTTGTGATACCAGCAGTAGGATGTCACGAGAAAGACCAGAATAAAGGAGAGGGTAGTGAGCTCAAGTGTGGTAAGAAAGAGTCCCTGGGCAAAACGAAAGATGCAGTTTAAAGAGAACCATAGGACTTGTGCTATTGTCATTAACCTACCTAGGTAAGCATAGTGAATAAATAGAAAGGAAACTTCAATCAAGGTAGACTGTGACTTACGTAGCTAGTCCATCTGATTTACTCTTATCTTCAATTTCCTCTTTTTCCAATATGGGATATTCAACGTATCCCTCCTTGACTAGGATATAGAGCTGCTTGGCGTCCAACGGAAATGAAGGTAAAAGATCTATTTCCGGGGGCTCTATCCAAAAGCCCCCATATCGGCAAAGAACGCATGCTTGATAGTCCAGTCTTTATATCCAGCCTCGTAGAAATTCTGCCCCGTCAGCTTCGACATCACACCGACGTATAATTAACTTATAACCCACCTTAACAGAGCAGCGCGCAGATGACCATTGGCCCAGAGCTAGCATCAATAGGAATTCAGATCCGAGTATTGCAATACAAGCAAGATCGAATTTGTATCTCCATTTTCTGAATGCGCCATCGGATTGGGCAGGCAGATTTGGAGACACGGATGTCCAGCAACAGAGAATGATTGTGAGAACGCAAGTGGATAAAATGCCCCACGTCCCTCTCCCGTCGGGTTCCGGGACCCAGCCACGGGTGGTTGTGATAGTGTCGTTCATGATTGATATACACCTGAAAAGATGTAGGATCAAGGTTTAGAGGAAACTTAATATAGCTGATTGAGTCTACCTAGCCGTAGCGCACTTTCAAGCTAGTGGCTGATGGAAGGAGCCCGAAATAGCATTTTGGCACTACGGTTTGATTACGCGCCCCTAAGATTGACTGATATGCAGAAGCCTAGGAAATGGGCAGGCTGATCGGCCTGAGCTGATCGGCCTGAGTGGAGTACAGTAATTGTTAAATCTGCCTTGCGACCGCGAGATCGCCCATGATGCACGGGCACTGCCTCGACCGCCCATGGCGCCTGTCAAGGCTCTGCGCGGGTGGGTCAGCAAGCTCCCCTTTCAACTACCAACTCGGGAAAGACAGAACTTAGCGACGAAGCCAATTCAGCTCCTAACTGCCCACTCAATTCTCGGGTGGCTATGTGCAGATGCCAAGAGACCAAGAGTTTCCAGGCGGATCGGAATCTACCCAATCTGGTTACACTTGATTTCACCTCACACCCTTCTTCTGACTCATGACTACAAATTGTGATGACTCTTCCATCCAACATCTGATATGGTGTAAGTGGCAGTGAGGGTGGAGTGACCACGGTTTGGCGTGGTCTTAAATCGAAGGATCGTGGTGTTTACACCCAGAAATTTTAGCCAACTAGGTATTAGCGCTGGCTCGACTCTAGGCTTTTATCCGAATAGGGTGTTTCAAATAAAGACAAAAACAAAAAAAAAAAAAGAAAGACAGAAAGAGGGCTCCAGTATTAGCGCCGTCTCTCTTGGAATTTAGCAATGGTACGTTGCGCGTTAAATCTCAAGGAGACGAGGTCCAATCGCGGAAAGTGCTAAAGCCTATTTCTCCTGTAAATCACAGCACCCTCCTACACTCTACAATTTCTCACTCTTTTTTATCAAGAGTCCACCAGGAATCTTATTGGTGAACCCTGGCGGTCTGTTACAGTGGCGCCAGACATCGGCTTCCATGCCGCAAACATACAGATGCTGTTTCACACCCTAACGTTAATCACATGATCCAAATATGGTTACTTGCCTACATTAGATCATGTTTCGGTTTGAACGGTAAAATTCAAACGGACAAAAGCCGCGATGCTATGTATTATTACTGATCCAAACACCACATCCGCCATGTCGTCGTCCCAATATAGCATCCAAACCCAGACAGGGATCAACCCCTAAACGGTTGCAAAATGGCGCGAAATTTGAGTTCCTGGCAGCGTAAAATGATTGTACACATGATACACACAAAATTCTATGTGGACTTGAAGACCAAGCGAATGCTAGGCACGCAGGGTAGTCTCGATAATGACATTCGATTTCTGGATTAAACCACTTTCTGGTCGATAATATACTAGACGTAAGAATCTTGAAACCAATATCGCAGCCAGAACGAGCGCCAGAGATTGGATAAAATGACTAACCTTGATCGGCTAGCACCAAGCTCAGTCGTCTATTTCTGTTGCGGCTGATTAGAAAAAGGGGGCTCCAGGGGTTACTGTCCCTAACTCCCGAGCTCTCGAGCTTATCTGCTGGGATCGCCATCCACCTGCAAGCCTGCTGATCACATCCAACCAATGCATCATGACGGCCAGGCTTTCCCGAAGCCTACCACAGGTCAACCGCCGTGTCTTCGCTGGATTACCTTTCCGCGCGGTACCTCGCGTTGCGAATGCTAGTGCCCGTGCTGGCTTGGTGGCACATCGCATTACCTGGAAGCTCGCGCCTTGGACACAGGCCAATATCGCGCGATATTCCCATACAGATTCTGGCTCATCGGCCAAACCAAACGCTTCCATTTTTGACGTTACCCCTTACAGGGGATCGAGTTATCACGGAGAAACATTGGACGAGCCAGGACCTACCAGTTGGTACGGTCCTACTTGTCTCTGCGTCGCTGTCACTTCACTAACCAAATCAGTGGCTACCTTGATTGAACCACAAGCTATCTTGCATTTTATCTAATTCATAATGCATGGTATCCTACCGAACGGGAAGAAGACCGATTTAGCTTTACCCAATTCTGATGAATTCCCACTATTCATGGCCCCAAGTTCACAGTGGGCGCCTGCGCCGTTCAACAAGGCCGCTCTCTCAACTGTACAGAAGGCGATAGAGCGGATCACGGACCCGGAGGATTTGAGCGGGCTGTGCCATATTGGGCAGAATATTCAGTTTCTCAAAAGTCGCCTCTGGGGAGGCCTTGCCCCAGTGCCCGCATCGCGGTGGCGCGAAAAAGATCTCAACAACCCTGACCATTTCACGATCGCCCATGAATACCTGACCTCCGCTATTGCCGTCTTCGAGTACCTAAATATTCCTCAGATCCGGACTAACATGTGCGACACCTTCAACAAAATATCTGGTGACTTCGGAGAAATGCAGGACGCCTTGAATGCACGGCGCAAGGCCCAGGGCAACCTTTCTCCGGAGCTCAACCTTACTGCTCTTTGGGAACAATTCATTCGCGCGCTGTACGAAGTCATGACCAGCACCGCCCATTCTTGGGTTCTGGCCCGCGTTGCCGAATTACGTGAACGGACAATGGACAGCTTCAGTGAGAGCCAAAGACTAGGTCGATTGTGGTCCGATGGCCAGCCTCATCTCGGGCGATGCTGCTAGGGGCCAACTAGAGATCTAGGTCAGCTAAATCGGTGAGTTCGATGAGCGCGTCGGCATTGGCGTCTTGCACTGCATCATCACCACCCTAGGCTGGATGGTAGAGATTGAAGTCTCCGAGTACAATGTAGGATCCCTTTTTGCCGCGCATGTCCTCGAGCTTTAGGATCGTATTGGTATAACCCACGGGGTTATATATATTGATGAGGCTAAGCTTATTCTCCTCTTTCTCACCTCTTTTGATTCTCACCTTATGCGCATCTCCTATGCGCGTGATGCGTCTACTGGCCAATTCACCTCGAGATTAACATGTAAACCTTAGTCCTTTCACCGAAGCATTTATTGGAGGTCGGATAGACAAGCTCATGTGTTGCTTTTGCTAGGTGAGCGTTGTGTCGGTATACGGATTGTCCCACGGCTCCTGAATCGCGATGATATTAGCTTCGAGAACCCTAGGGTTCCGGAGGAACTCTGCTATGGCGACATCCTTCGAGCGGTGGACGTTGTATTGGATGGTCTCTAGGGTTGATTTATTCATTGGAAACACTGTGGTTGGTGTCGGCATCGGCGTTACTGCTGGTGATGTTGCTGAGGCTACTTAGGTCCGAGAAGCTGATGTCGAGCCCGAAGCGCTCTCCGTTGTGGGTATCGCGCTAATATCGAAGATCTGCCTGTTACCCGATGTGGCCGATTTAGCGGGCCTCGCTACCGGTCCCCTGTTGGTTCTTATGACCGAAGTGTTGGTGTTAATCTCTGGATGCTTTCTCTTGGTCCCGCCACGGGTGTCGGCGGGTCGGTTTTCTTTGCCGGATGCGGTTGGTCGGGTAGCTTTCCTCGTTATAGATCCGTTGCTGTCCCTACCAATATGATAATGGAATCAAATGGTGTAGCAGGAAGCTACGAATAAATTGCAGTATTTTGAGAGTGATAGCTCAAGGCGTTGCGATGCAATTTCAAAAATTAGATTCGTGCAAAAGTATGTGTTTTGCAGAAGCTTGGTTGACAGTAAAAAGTTGACTTAGTCTTAATTTTTTCGGGATATGCGATATCCAGTTTAACGTTTGCACTGATTAGTGCCAAGCGTATTGTCTTCCTGTAAGCGTGAAGGGGGTATCTGACTTTGGGCATCGTTACGCTACAAGAGAAGGGACTTTCAACTCCATTAGTCTAGCTGGAAAGCTATTCATGACGAGAACCTGAGTCCCAATATATGGCTGGTTGATCAAAATAAGAAGTTTGGCTTGCCTGCATGCCGCTCAGCGAACTTGACGACTTTGGCCTTTATAAGAGAGGCCATGTTCAGAATATATTCGAGATACTATGCAAGGCGAGCGAGGCATGGAAAGCGATGCATAAACAGATAAGATATAATGCAAAGCGGTATCTAACATAGTCAGATCATGAAAGATTTGCGCTCTGAATTTACGGAATAGTCAGTCAAGCTCTGCTTAGCCTTTCATCGACGGTTGGCACCATACACAAACGATCGAATGGCACTAGCTGCTGGGACTTACCCGGCTCCAGTCGCCAAACCAGACAGGAGGGCGTGGCAGTAAATATGTGGCACAAATATTATTTGAAACAGCTAAAATACTGATATTGAGGCATCTAAGTGCTTCTAGGCTGGAGAACAGTTCAAGTTGGCATATATTGTACCAGCCTATGGCAGCCAATTTGGAAAGGGAGGAGCAAAACGAGCAATCTAGCAGACGACAATCCACTAACTATGACAATTATTTTCCCACCCTTTGCTGGGTCTCTTATCGCCCCCTAAATCTCTATGTAGCATTATCCTGAAATTATACGGTCTGCCCCCCGCAATGTTCCAGCCATGGCATTGGTACCAGTTAGAGCTTTCATCCCCAATGAAGAAGTTGGATTGAGCTTCATCAAAGAAGTTCTTTAGCCAGATTTCGGTTTCGTACCTGCTTAGTCTAGAGCTGATCTTTTGGAAGAGCCCTGACGAAGCTGCTTCTTTGGAAGTCTGGAACGCGAACTGATTCTCCACCTGGAAAGTCTTGGAAGTTTCGTTGAACCAAGCTCGAGTTAGGACAGTCACCGGTGCTAGAGGATGCTGAACAGTGCAGAGATGTGTAAACCTCCCCGATAATTTCTGATAATCTGAACGCCTTAAGGTCTCCAGTTGAGATCGAAAGTACTCCATTGGATGTTGTTTTTGATGGAATGTGATACTCGAGCATGGACAAATGTCAACTCTGTCATCGCGTTGGACGTCGCACCAAGCATTACATTTGGATATAGCGGGCTTTGGATCACATCTCCAACCAAATTGAAGAAACTGCCATCTAGAGTACTGGTGAAGATTTTGACATCTACAACAGTATACCCAGCGTTCGTTTTGAAGGCGGCGAAGTAGCAACGTCCTGGGCAATGTTGATAGTACACCTATTCCACATTGTCTGTTATATGAGACATAACAGGCATGCAACCTCTTACAACTCAGTGCAAAACAAGCTCGGTCTAGATCGGAAAGAAGCTGGAAGATAATTTCCACTATTTCTGCTGGGATCATCCAGAGTGTCTTGGATTTCTTGGGTTCGACCGGTTCGACCCTGGGGGTTGGATCACGGAGTCGCAGAATATTGCAAAAAGATGTGCGAAGGCGTCGAGTCATGGTGAGCATTCATTCAATTAATATATAGAGTGCGTGTACAGGGAATGTTTTGCGGAGGAGGGGGGAGGGGGAAGAGAGGGTGATATAGTTTGACGCATACTACTATGACACGCACACGTCCACGGGTCATAGACCTGTCATAGATCAGCAACCCGTTCATACTTTGTTAAGATATAGCCACGTGACCAGATTCGCCTAAGATTGAGATACAAGCTGCACGCCGGCAGGTACATAGTAAGGTAGTGGGGCGGGTAATCAGCAGCAAATGCCTACTGTAACATGGTTTCAATTTGTGTTTGTTCTTGAATTTCCTTTTTTTGACATTATTCCATGAAATATAACCATTCAAGAAGCCGAAGGAGCTGGATAGTTGCACATAGATATGTAACGATCACATCACGCTGGCGGATGACCAGTGACACTTTCTGAACTAAGTCTCCCATGGCTTTATTTTGCGGCCGGTATCAAGGAGAACACAAGATATGAATCTCTGTCTCCACTAGTATGCGCAACATGGGTCTCCTTGTTCTTTGATTGTAGCCGGAACCTGTGAAGCGGAGATGCTATTTAGGATCGACTCCAGAAACTATCACTCTCAACTTCTCGCCAGAGATTCTGAACTCACACGGGTGTGCCATTAAGTAAGTTTGACGAGGCACTCGCTCGATGTGGCGGCCCTAAGACAGATTTAAAACTATGTTCTATATAGGCAAATATCCCCAAAGAGTGTAGACTGAAGACACCTATATAGGCGGAAGGTCAATTATCGACCAGCCACGGTTGACATTCGAGGGTCTGAAAATGTAGGTCTATGTCTCGGTTTAGTCCATGTTAAGGATAACCTTTGGGGTGAAGGAGAAGACGGGGCTGGACGAGGGAGGGCAGAGCAGATTACGCTCGCAGGATTGCCTCGCAGAGGTCCAATAAGTCACACTAGAGTAAAGAGGTGGCGGAGCTTAGGGCTCGGTGATCCGGGTCAATGGCAACAATGCCTCACCTGCGAGGCGTAGGAGAAAGGAAGAGGTATATAGAACCACGCACGGATAGGCATAAGAAAAAGAGCGCTAAACTACAAGTGGACATATTAAACTAAAAAGCGTAATTCATCGTCCCCGTCCGACATGGTGTAAGAAGAGGTGATGGTGGGATGGCCACGATTTGGTGTGGCATCAATTCGACAAAATCGTGGTGTTTTCACCTAGACATTGTAGCCAACGGAATCTGGCTTTCATCTAGCATGAATGAAACTCTGAGCTAGCTGTAATGAAATGTCGGTGGGAATTGAAATATTAAAAAAGGAATATCTAGCCAAAGATCCCCCTGCTTCCTCACGATAGTAGCCTAGATGTCGAAGCATTGATCGGGATTTGTCTTGGCTTTCACTGAAGATAATAACTCAAAAGCCATCAACTCAAACCCCCCAGGAACAATTGACCGCCGCTGAACCATTTCGGCTGCTGTAAGATGGTCCTTGTTACGATGCGAAATATTCAACTGCCCCAAGTCGGTATGGAGCAGAATACTCAAGGTCTCAAAATCACCTTCCAGGGCAGCAGAATGAAGTATAGTCGAGCCTGAGTTACTGACAAGCGTGTAATCGGCAGACAAATGAAAAAGCAATCGGAGGAATTGATGGCTATTATGAAAAATAGCCTCAAATAACGCAGTTCACCACCTGCCCCCTGATATCAATGGTAGCGCCCTTGCGGTGGAGATATTTTCCGATTTTGGTATTATTTCTGATCGCTGCTCCAATTAAAGAGGTGTGTCCATTTTTGTTTTGCGAGTTCACATAGGCACCTGAGCGAAGAAGTTGAATTACTGGCGCGAGCTCACTTTGGTGTCTGCAAGCATGATAAAGAACGTCCGAGCCGTAGGAGTTTTTAGAGTGAACATTGCTGCCAGCGTCTAGTAGTGATTTCAAAGATTTTGAGCAGCCAGAAGATGCTGCAAGCATTAGTGGTGTTGAACCTGATCCATCCACAGCTGTTACATCGGCCCTAGATTGAAGAAGGATCTGGATCTTTCGATAGTCGCCCCGGATTGCCGCCCAATGTATATACCCATAATAGGTCTCATGAAAGGTGGGGATTTCACTAGATGCCTTTTGTGACAGTTACATGAGCAGGTTTGGTTGCAAGTCGTGATTGCCGGGGATCCTTTATGGAGGTTGTTGACCCTTCTCACGACAGGCGTGCCAATGTAATTGGTAATTTCCTTGGGGTTGATTGTAATTCCTGAGTGGATAGTCGAAGATGGATGGTGGGCTGACTTTTGTGTCATTGTGACTGCACTGGAATATTGCGAGGGAGCCTTTTGCCATTGCATTGAAGTATCCACGTGTCTGTCTGTGTTACTGGGAACGATGCCCAGAAGCTCTTTGGTATAAGATGCTGCAGAAAGAGCTGCATATCTTTGCCAATCCTGTGGTTTATGTGAGTCACAGTAGTCACTTATCCCGCGGATCACCAAGCACGGTAATTGATCCATAAGGCCAGCTGCCTCCATTTCGAAGCAGAGGATACCCGAGTCTTGAGCAATAGAGTCTCGCTGTTTGGCGTCCTTGATAACCCTATTCCCAGAGGCAATCACGCCATAATGAATTTGAGGTTCTTTCTTCCTTGGCGCACGATCCATTAACTGATTCCGATCACACTTTGAACAATCTAGGTTGCCACTCTGATGATTGTATGCTGAGTTGAATAACAAATCCTGGCATGGGCGTGAAAAATCTGCCCTCATTCTCTGTTTTTTTTCGAAGGACGTTTGATATTATTTCTTGAACAAGTCCCTTTCCAAGCATGTAATCGCTGCGAATTTGAGAAAGCGATGTCAATAGAATTTGAGGGGGCTTGTTGAGTGATCCTATCCGCTCAAAATTGCCATCACATGCCTTCCCATGATCATATTGGATCACCCCTCCGACGGCCTTATGTGGATTGCTAACTACCACGTCACCAAGGCGAACATCAGTCGATTCACTGGGAACACCACCTCCAATGCCCACCGTAAAGCCAAATTTTAGAGAGTGAAAGGTTGATAGCATGTTGGACAGCACTCTTGCGGCAGATATGGTCCCATAAATGCCAGATGGTAGACAAGCAATAGCCACATTGTGAATACCCAGTCTACCGAGTGCGTATGAATTATAATCAGTCGCATGTTGAAAAAGATTGTTGTGGTCTTCATCCAACATGGATTTCGCAGCAGCCATTTCCAGCGGTAACGCGCAGATCCATGCTACCGTGTAGTCGTCGTGTGTGAGTATCATTTTAGTGTCGAACTTAGTAGTAAAGCTCAGTAACTTGGCTCTCAGGCATATCAAAAAAAAAAAAAAAAGAAAAGAAAAAAAGCGGAATAACTTACGCCTAGACAGCCTGGGAGAGTGTACGATTCAAGATATTTCAATATCTACATGGAGGCTCATCAGGTTGGGGATGAGGGGAAGGCTACGTGGAGCTGGAGGGCTTATCCGGCCGTAGACCAATCAGCAGATTGTTATGATCCTATCTTAAGGGCGTTCTCGGCTGGTAGTATGATTGTCAGCGCTAGATTAGGCTGTACTGGTCTACCTGAAGCAGCCAGATTCTTGGTATCTGCACACAGCCACCTCGAGCTGAAAGTTGGACAAAATTGTGAAGATTAGAAGGCACTTTTGTCACGTCACATTATCCTTTGGTAGCATCACCGCGAATGTTGCTCGCCCTAGTTAGTGTTACCGTAGTATTGCGAGCTTGACCGTATTAGGGGAAGTACTTCGTTACCAGGAAGGTAGCGGCGCGTAGGTGGAAATACTCCGATTTTAGGAAAGAGCACCACGTATACTAGCGGAATTCTCAACGTCAGCCCCAACTATTGTGAGATTATGGCTACGCAGAGACGTGAGATGTGCGAACACTCAGGTTCTAACATCGAACCCCTACACACATACTTCTTAAACATTGGCTCAACCGTTTTTAGACCAGGCTTCTCGTGTACGAACAAATCCACATCTACCGCGAGTATTCGCGGCTCTATGATGAGTGCTACTTGCTGCCCAACTCGGAAAGAAAAATATATGCGGGATTAGGCACAATGCTAATGAGCGTACAGCGGTGAATCTATCTTCGAGTATGATAGTACTTGGTTCTAGTCTGCTCAACTGGCGCCCGCGATCCGTCCGTATTTGCATATCCCCATACAGTGATAGTAGCTTAGCCAACAGAATAACGAAAAGAAAAAGGCAAAAGATAACTTTTCATACATGAGGCTGAGGTTCCCAAAGGGCAAAATGTCTGATTAGTCGCCCAATATCGGTGCGCTGAGGGTGCGCAGTTGTCACAGCTATTAGGCTCAGAAGGCGCTTAGCGGTCGAAATGACTCCCTTCTTACACCAAAAAAAGGGCCTTATGGATGATTTTGATGAGAAGATTAAAAGTATAAAGGGCCGCAAGCAATTCGTATCTGCGAGCGCCCGGTGACGCTGTGCTTCTGCATTGTGCAGGACCCTAATGCAGGCTATGAAATAAATCACCAACGGCGCGGGTAAAAGATCAAGAATTAGTTAGTGAAATGGGGATGGCTCGATGGCAGTCTGATATAGCAGACGGGTCGATATCATTGGAGAGAAGACAACCAACCACTCCCATGCCCACCGTAGGCGTAGAGAGTAGTCTCAGGAAGCGACTGAAGTACTGATCTTAAAGCTATGTCATGAATGAAGAATCTGGTGGAAAAACTGTAGTCATATTGATGATCGTAGGATGCCCTCTCTCGAAGGGGAAGATTGCATGCAAGCTTCCTAGGGCATTTGTGATACCTCAGGCCACTAATACGCTACTGTCATGGGTTCCACCACTACATTAGTTAAGATAGGGTCAGCGCGGCCGTCTCTCCCTGCCAATACGACACTCTACGCGAGAGTGGACCACTACTTCCGATGAACCAAATTAGGTCATATTACATTTAACCAACGCCCTTAAACTACTTTCATTTTTACCACTTGAATACCCTTCACGCCCCGAAGCACTGGTGTGCCCGCTCGGGAAATCTGCTATGCTCGGCCTTCGGCGTATCCCGTTTATTTGCTGTTATCTTCATTTCTCTAAACCATGTTATGGTACAGTACTTCCGAAAATCGGCGTCACCCATCTGGCGCCACCATTTGCACTCTTTCATTATTTTCTCCGCCTCTAATGCCAAGATGTCCTAGTCTATATCAGGACATATGATCGGAATATTAATATCCCAATCCCAGCATTTAGGCATACAATTGTTACGAGAACCAGCTGTCTCGTAATGGTAAGAGCTATTTGTAGTGATCAAGAATTTTCCATTGGAATGCAAACAATCCAAAACAAAACCGGCTGTAGTTGATCCAACGTGTTTGGCTACATGTTATGTATCTCTCGCAACAGACTCCCGATGGCAATTAAAAACTCATTTGGAGCCAGACCGTTCTGAACGATCATAGAATTGCTCATCACTATGTACACTAAGCCTGTCAGACACTGACCTGTCTTACCCGATACGTGGGGTGCCTTCTTGTTTTAAGCTAAGGAAGTCTTGCTAGGTCTTATAACTGATATTTGTGATACTCTAGATCTAAAATGACCAATCAGCCTCAAAATATTCGGACAAGATTATCGGCGGATCCAAATCAGAATCCTAAAGTGTGACCCTAATTCGCTGAAAAGGGCGGCTGTCTAGCCAGCCGGCAATCTATTTACGTGATATCTCTGCTTGCCCGACGCAGCGATAGCTGCCCGAAACTCAGTCACCTAACAGACCCACTCCCAGCCTATCCTCTTTTTCTTCATTCCTCTGCGGCTGTGGGTGACCTCGATCTCCAACAACCTAGCTCACAAAGCTTGTTCTGGTCCATTTGACTCTGTACGGATCCATTGGCATTTTTCAGAATCTACTCGTCACGAAAAACAGGCGAGGCAGCTGTGCTGGCAAGATTCTCCAAATGGCTTCCGCGAAAATCCTCCTGCATAGCGACTACACTGTTGGTCTGATATGTGCTCTTCCTCTTGAGATGGCTGCTGCCAAGTCTATGTTTGATGAGATTTACCCCGACCTACCAAGCCGCCCAGGTGATCCGAATTTTTACGCACTAGGAAGGATTGCTGTCAACATTGCTGTGGCTTGCCTCCCGTTAAAAGTGTATGGAACTACCTCAGCAGCAGTTGTGGCGACGCAGATGCAGTGTACGTTTGGCGAAATCCAATTTGGCCTTATGGTTGGCATTGGGGGAGGTGTACTTGTTGGAAAAACCGACATTCAACTGGGCGATGTTGTGGTCAGCAGTCCAACAGAAGATTCTGGGGGTGTCATTCAATATGACTATGGGAAATCAATCGAGAATGGTGTCATTGAACGCACTGGTTTCTTGAATCGGCCACCTCAAGTTCTGCTGAATGCCGCGAACGTGCTGCAAGCGAACTATAAGAAAGGGTTTAGTCAGATGCCTAGCTACCTTTCTGAAATGTTATGAGAATATCCTCGGATGTCTAGCTTTACATTTCCTGGTCGGAAGCGTGGCAAGCTTTTTAGCGCTAAGTACAAGCATATTGGGGCAACTCATGCAGTGATTGCGATCCAATTGAAGAAGTCATTCGGACTTTGCGCTTTACTGACCAACCTTATATTCATTATGGCCTGATTGGTTCTGGAAATCAGGTAATCAAGGATGGTTCAACCAGAAACTGACTTGCTCAAGAGCACGGTATCCTCTGTTTCGAGATGGAGGCAGCTGGTTTAATGGACAACTTCCCATGCCTAGTCATTCGGTGTATTTGTGACTATGCAGACGCACATAAGAACAAACTGTGGCAACCGTATGCTGCTGCTTCTGCGGCAGCATATGCCAAAGAGATTCTATTAGTGCTTTCCACCCAAGCTACAGCCGATCTTCCGTTACTTAATCCAGACTTCAAGGATGACTATGCAGTTGGATGGATATGTGCCCTGGAAGTCGAGATGGCTGTGTCAAAAGCCATGTTAGACGAGATCCACGCCAGCTTACCAAATGATTTAACCGGTCAACCTTATATACTGGGAAGAATCGGTACTCTTAACGTGGTCATCATGTGTATGTGTATCTCTGCATGTCTCTATAACGATACTACTCATGAAGCTGTGAGGCAGATGCTGCATACGTTCAGATCAATTCGGCTTGGCCTGGTCGTGGGCCTTGGTGGAGCTGTGCCTAGCGAAGAAACTGATGTGCGGCTAGGCGATATTGTCGTAGGAAAACCGACAAAGCGGTTTGGAGGGTTGCTGCACTGGGATATGGACCAAAGTTCCAGTTTTGGCAATTTTCATTATATTAAAATACCAGCCAAGCCACTTCAGCTTTTTTTGGCGGCTACTGGGAAGTTGCAAGTTAATCACCTGATGAGAAACTGCCAAGTTCCCACATACCTCTCGAAAATGTTGGCAAGCTACCCTCAAATGTCCCATCATGCTTTTCCTGGTCGAGAGCACGACCTTCTCTTTAAAGCAGAGCATAGTCATGCTGAGACAGGAACATGTGATAATTGTAATCCGAGAGAGCAAGTTCTTCGACCTTTCCGACATAACAATGACCCAATGGTTCACTATGGTTTGATTGGGCCTGGTAATTTGGTCATGAAAAGTGGTTCTGCTTAGGACCAAATTGCCAAAGAGCATGGTATGCTTTGTTTTGATATGTTGGCAATTAGTTTGGGTGAGAATTTTCCATTTTTAGAAATCCGTGGTATCTGTGATTATGCAGACTCTCACAAAAACAAGAATTGGCAAGGTTATGCAGCTGCAACTGCGGCAGCATATGCTAAGGAGATCATCTCCATGATCCCAGAGAATGTGGTAAGAAAGGTTCCGACAATTAACTCGGTATTAGAGTGGTATATTATGAAGTTTTTGAGATTTTTAACGACCCAAACGCAGTCAATTACTGGATTTTGGTTTCTCGACTCATTGCCTTCCGCTTCTCTTTTCCTTAGCATTTCGTAATTCTGAATGATAGTTAGCAACCTAGATGTGCCGCAAGTTTGAACCTTGCGGATTCATATGTGATGAGCGCTACGTAAGGGGAAGAAGATTCAGTTTGCATTTTGCATTAAGTGACGATTTGTACAGTATCTCTCAAAATCCCGAATAACGTTTCTGACATCTGTGCGTTGAATGCCATTTCATGGCACAGAACCCCGATTATCTCATGGCCTTTCTCAGATCAACCTTTACATACACACTGGTGTGATAATGAGTCATCAATGGAGACATCCTGGAATCTATCGGGAATGATCGTGGGCACGGTGATAGCACTTACAGTGAGTTGATTTATGTTATCTGAAATTATTTCGTTTTCCATCCCACATCCGATATGGTGTAAGTGGCAGTCATGGTGGAGTGACCGGTTTGGCGTGGTCTTAAATCGAAGGATCGTGGTGTTTACACCTAGAAATTTTAGCCAACTAGGTATTAGCGCTGGCTTCGACGCTAGGCTTTTATCCGAATAGGGTGGGTGTTTCAAATAAAGACAACAACCAAAAAAAAAAAAAAAGACGGCTCCAGTAATAGCGCCGTCTCTCTTGAAATTTAGCAATGGGAGACTACGTTGCGCGTTATGTGGGACTCCGGTTGTGGAAGAACTCAAGAATCCCGCATATTCGGAGTTCGAGCTCACAGTCCAATTTGATGCATGGAATGAAGCATCTGGGGAAGACTACCCAGGGGACATTGTTCTGTTGCCCGAGCTTGAATATCTCATTACGGACGACTCTGCTGAGCCTGATGTTTCTGATACCTTACACTCTGATGAGGAACAGTCGCTTGCAGCCTTGGCAATTTCAGGGATGATCTTCTCGGGACGGCATTCCAGAGGCGCGACAGCGGCCAATTTCAACATTGGAGCTGCTCCTGAGCCTGCAAGGTTCACCAAGGAGGAGGACCTCCTCAAATGGTATTCCGGGAATGATGTCAGGACGGAGAGACGTCGAGATTGGCAACAACGCATAATTGACCGTTTGACTGATCATTCCTAAGACGGATTACGCAATTGATGGCAATCCTTGTGCGAAGCAACTGGCTGAACAGCAAGCTGAAGCCCTGAAAGACAGTTTGATCATGAACGAGGATACGGTGAGACAAGTCTGGACGTGGGACTTTGCGTGTGAAATGGGCTAACAATTACACTGGGCTGATATCACCGATGAAGGGTATTACAGCATTTGCATCTGATACGCCTCAATAAATGGGTAGGAAACGGAGTATTGAATGTTGCCCACAGTGCTATTGATAGAATACTAGGCAGTCTCCACATGACTATACCGTTTACTTATTTTTGTCGCCTTATGTTACTTAGGCTCTCTTTTTTCACCTCTTTTTACCCGTTTTCGAGTGCCTCGGGTCAATCATACAAATTATATGAAGGTAGGGGGTATGAAAGGACTTATTGCTTATGACTGTACGGGCTAATCGAGGTATACTAAATATCATGTAGGCGATATACAATACTTAATTAGGCCTTAGTAAAAAAGAAAAAAATAAAAGAAAAGAAAAGAAAAAAGAAATATAAGAAAAAGAAAAAGGGCCGGTAGGCTTATAAAAGTGAGTAGGTATAAAAACGGTATAAAAGACGGTGAAGGATTTATATTGGGGAAATTCGTTTCGGCCCGATAGCGGTAATAGACTGCCGTATTACAATAAACCGCTCCTGTACAGGTGTACGACGTCTGAGTGGTAATGGATGACCTAACAATGACGCAAATGCCAAGTCAAAATCCGGCGACTCTGCCATACCATATTTCGATTAATCTTCCAGGCTTTATTGCAGGAAAGAATTTTTGACAATATCTTCATGATACACGAAGTCTTTCATGATCGACAATGTTGGACATCGTTGGCCAAATCCATCGGCTCCTCGATGCTATCCTTTGTTTTCTAAATCTACTGCAGAGGCGTGAAATTGGCTGGCTGACGGTTGATCGGAAGAGTGGAACATACAAGCGTGAGCAACAACCTATATGGAAAAAGATCAAGCTCCTCTTGTTATTCAATCCCGTCACGGAGTGGATTGATCGGACTCGTCTTCTACGTTTTTGGACGCATGAGGAAAGCATCAGCGCAGGTGAGTTATGACCCCATGTCTTTGACCCTAGGGTTTCCCTTGATCTACTTTACTGGTAATATGCTGAAAAGGCTCTATAGGGCGCCGGGAAGGCGAATTAAAGTCTCATAGGCAGATCAAAGGCTTTATCGACTTTTATGGCATTGATATGTCTCAGTTCGAGCCCTCTGATCCGGAAAATTACATCACTTTTGAAGACTTTTTTGTTCGGAAGCATAGCCCAAATGCAAGACCGATATATGCCGCAAATGATCCAACCAAAGCTGTCGTTGTGGCTGACTGTCGAGTTGTTGTATACCGAACTGTGGACGAGACTAAAGCCCTGTGGGTGAAAGGCAGCGAATTCACGGTCGCGAACTTGATCAAAGATGATCAGCTTGCAGTAACGTGGGAAAATGGCGCCGTTGCAAGCTTCCGCCTTAGTCCGCAAGACTACCACCGGTACCACTCACCCGTTGAGGGAAATGTGAAGTGGCATAAGCACATCTCGGGAGACTATTTTCAAGTCGATCCGGTCGCTTTGCACAGTTCGGTCAACATTTTGACGGAAAATGCCAGGTCTTGTGTCTGCATCGAAAGTGAATGCTTCGGCGATGTTCTCTTTGTAGCTATTGGTGCTACAGATGTAGGGACAGTGGAGTAAGTTTAACCTATGTCTACTTTCCCGGCTATTCGGATGTCTCATTGGTGATAATAGGATTCACGATGAAATAGAAAAGCCTGGCCATCATGTCAGGAAGGGTGATGAGATCGGTCTTTTTCAGTTCGGCGGTTCAAGCATACTGGTGTTGTTTCAACCAGGCCGTATCCAATTCGACAATGACCTAGAAAGCCTTAGCCGTCAGGAAATAATGACTGATGTTGAGGTTGGAATGAGCCTAGGCAAAGCGTGCAAGACATCTGGACCCACTCCACGCAAAGGATAGTGTGTCCCACTGATTCTTATTGAAATGTTTGATAACTTGCAATGGTAGTATCTATGGTTGACATATCACGATTTTTTTGTTCAGCATTCCTGTATAGGCAGTTCTGCCATCAAAGCGCTGCCTAACTCTACATTGGCTGAACAAAATGTTGGTTAGGCTGTGAAAAGTCATTGGAGATCGCGCGGTTCCTGTTACGTTGTGTAGTGTGGTATAGGCAAAACTAAGTAACCTGCGATGTGTTCACGGTGATGGACCAAACCCTTCTCCAAGATGAAGACCGTAAATCTGGGCCTGCACATCTTGGGATGCTACCTTTTCCAGGCTCGAAGACTAAAGCATCTTCATTGATAACCCACAAAATCAAGCCTTTCTATGCCATTAGCGACGTTAAAGCATGAATAGAATATCCTCGCGAGCACCGCGCCTTAACCGATATCGGTGTCTATATTGGAATTGATTCTGATCAGCTCAAGAAGGTCAATGGAGAGTATCTTACTAAAGCTATGGAATGTCGTGGACCTCCGACTTCGGTCCTGCAGTTAGGATGTTTCTTTGACTTAATATACTATAGGTGGCTGTGCTGTCCCCTCACTTAGTGTGACTTAATATCTCGCAATTCTAAGCTTTGGGCCTAATTAATAACACCCACGGAGCTCGATTCTAACAATAACAATGCAGTGGCCGCGATATAGGCTTTTTATTCTACTAGATACCTCTCTGTTTCCGGAATCCGGGGTGTCTTATTTCTGGATCAAATAAAATGTATACAACACCGTAGGCCAATTTTCGAGGGCTCTATTATAGAACTATATAGTTGAGGCCGATTCTTAGCCGGGATCCCAGAATTTGGGTATAAGCATCCGGAATTAGATAGTTGTGGGATAAGCTAGCTAGCCTGGTCCTGTCTCATGTTAGAAGAACTTCGGCTTACGATCAAAAGATCCTTAGGTAGCTAGGCGGAATGCGAACCTACTTACAGTATTTCCTCTGCCGCTTCTCGGCGTTCCTCTCCCGTTTTAGTGCTCAGACCTTGCCGCTTTTTGCTCACTGAGCAGAACTGAGCACGCCCCTGAGCAGTCTGATGCGCTCACAGAGCAGAACCTGAGCGTCGAGGTGAGCAGTCCACGAAGCGACCTCAATAAAATGCACTACGCTAGCCCCGGCTCACGTGCCACCTTCCCTACTAAATTACCCCTATTGTCCTATCAAAAGAGTACTGGCATCATCAATATAACCATTCATTCTGGTAGTCTTACTGCAGTCAAGCGCTATAATAGAGCCTGCTATGTACTTAATCAACCAATCAGTATTACATTCTATACTACCTGCTCCTAGGAACATTCCTTCTAGTACCCCCATGATCTCCTAATCAGGCTATAGGGATTAATAGTACCAAGGCAATTAGATAGATCTGCTCAGATACTTATATTCTATTCTGGTGCAATGGCCACTAGTGACAGCGTTTACGGGATTTGACGGCAAAGCCACTTCTAGCACTAGTAAGCTTATACTTTTATAGGCCACCGAATCTCTTTGTGAGGTTCCGAACTTTTGGCTCCTAGGAGCCTACCTGACTGACGATAGTTCTTTGACATGCAAGCTAGTTTACTAACCATTTTCTCATTCGCATATAGTCGACCAGATTCCTAGTAACTCACGCCGTTTACGACCCCTAAGATACCTACCCAGCGTATGAGAAATAAGGGGCATTATCAATTTAGATATATAAAGAAGTACTCCTTCCTCATTTCTTCAATTAGAATAAGTACTCGTCGCTCTCTTCTCATCAGAATCTATTTAGGCGTCACGCTCTGATAATACAGTGAGTTTTCTCTCGGAAAATCTAGTTTTGAGAAGCGCCGACTAACTCTGACCCTAGCCTGTTTATAATGACCGAACAGACAAACATCAGCACTTCCACTACGCAATCCGTAAAAACCGCACAGTGTAGTGTTATTACCGTTTAGAAAACATCAAAGCAGCCGAGTATACACGTTAGGACTTTGTGGTTAGGGCATTGTGGTCCTTACAATGGCGACAGGGAAAACAGTAAATTGACCGTTGGGGTTTGAGCCTGACACAGCTCCCTTTCACACCTCCTCAAGCGCCGCATCATACACAATACCGGCCATCTCTCTAGCACGGTCCATCCATCCAATCACTCTTCCACTCTCCTCCTCGCCAATAACCTCGCCCATGCCCTGAGAACCCCCCTTTCTCCTCGCCACTCTCTCCGCGATAACATCAGCCTGATACCAGATGCCCCAACCCCTCTCCACTGGCATTTCGACCACCTCCTCCGTCTCCATGCCATTTTCATCCAGATGCTCCTCGTCATACCACTGAACAAGTAGTTCCTGAGGTCTGATGGGAGGGAAGGGAATAGATACTGACGCTTTGGTGGCTTCGATACGTACAGCCGGTGCTGCTTTTGTGGCCTGTAACCGTTGATAGAAAGCCGGTTTGCTGGAGCCAGGAAGAGTCATGCTCGTCGTGACTATAGCGACCGCCTCCTGTCGCTTGCTGCCGCTTTCAGTATTCTTTACTTTGGAGAGTATGATGGTGTTGATATCGTCCACCTCCCCGTGCACACCCGGGACCGGCATGGAATGCGCATGCACAACTTCGGTCTGCGTCCTGTCTTGACTGGCTGGAAGACAATTTAGCGCGAGATCAGCCCACGTCAATGCATATACGCCCTGATCCAACAAACTTCCCGCTCCAGCCGCCTTATGGAGAAACCGGCTTTCGTGACTCAAATCCGGTGACACGATCGGAAAACTGAACTCGGCGTAGACGCGTTTCACCTCGCCGATGCGCGGAAGGAGCTTATGCTGGAAGTAGAGCGTAGCAGGGAGATAGCGCGTCCACATCGCTTCCATGAGCACGACATTTCGCTCTTTTGCTAGCTGGCACAGTTGAATGAATTGTGCGCGGTTCATCGTTGCTGGTTTTTCAACGAGCACATTGCGTTTGCACCGTAGGGCTTTTTGCACGTGGGCGTAGTGCAAGGGGTGTGGCGTGGAGATGTAGACGACGTCGAAGTCTCCTTTTTCCAGCATTTCTTCCCAGGAGTGGTAGATAGTGACGGATTCGGCATCGGATATTTTGTGTTGTTTCAACCAGTCGGCTGCACGAGAAGCGCTGCCGGTCGTACTAACTGAGACGAGCTCATGTTTGATGGACGCGGAAGATTCCCGGGGGAGGAGCAGGTCTGGTAGGAAGACGGAGGCGATGTTAGAGAGGGAGAGCGCTGCCCAGCGGCAGGTGAATTGGCCCTGCGCCATCATGGGCTACGTGTATATCGTATTGCTGTGCTGGAAGACTTTCTGACAGTGGCTTAGGTTTCGGAATGATTGGTCCTCCCTCCAATAAATCAACTTGTGGCTGCCTCCGAAGACGTGCGTTTTTAGAGATGTTATCAGAGGTTGGAAATCGTCGCAAATGAGGAGGAATTTCACCTTCGAGGTCTCTCCATGTCTTGTTCTATCGCTTTATCAGTAGGCGACCCTTCCCCGGACACTAGCCAAGGTTCTTCAACCGTGTAACCGCCCCTTCAACCGTTTAACCGCCGTTTAAGCTTGAAGATTGTCAAAGCGCCCAGAAAATGCCGGTTTAGAGCAGGTAATGGCCTATTACAAGGTACCTTAAACCATCTATATGGGTAGCGATACTGGCGATGCGGGGATATCGTGCCCCATCATATTTCTCTGCGGAGATTACGCCCCTCACATTGTATAGCGGCCCTAACATTCTTCAAGCCGCCTGACATTTTCTTATAAAAGCAAACGTCGTCGGTACAACACAAAAGCCTTTTCTCCAGACTCACTCTGCGTAATCTTTTGTTCACCCACCAGCACTTTCGCACACACCAAGCCTTTGCTATGGCAACCGACTTTGTGAGTGCTGTTAACGCAATGTACTGTGTACCTAGCTTCTGCTAATAATCTACAGTTCACGCTCAAAGGCAAGACCGCTGTCATCACCGGCGCAGCACGCGGCCTAGGCCTCACATTTGCCACCGCACTGGCGAGCGCAAACTGTAACCTCGCCGTGCTGGACATCCTCCATGAGCCCTCACCCTGTCTTCTCGCGTTGCGAGACCACCATGGCATCAAATTGGAGTATTACCGCACGGACATAACCTCGCGTCCCGAGGTCACTGCCGCTATTGAGAATATAGAAGCGGAATTTGGGAGAATTGATATCAATATCAATGCCGCGGGCGTGGTGTCGGACGAGTCCTTCCTCAAGACCACTGATGAGAATATCGAGCGCACTTTTGCCGTCAACTTTACAGGTTCCTTCCTCGTGGCGCAGGCTTGTGCAAACAGCATGGTTGCGCGGTACAAATCCATCCACGGCGGCGAGCCAGCAGCGCAGCCTACCACTGGCACAATAATCTTTATCGCCAGCATCGCAACGTACATTGCCTCTAGCGCGCAGCAGATCTGCTGCTACACAGCATCCAAAGCAGCTGTGAAGGGGCTGGTGAAACCCATGGCCATGGAACTTGCACCGTATGGGATTCGAGTCAATTCCTTAAGTCCAGGGTATATGATGACGGATATGATGCGAGGATTGCAAGAAAAGCAACCTCAACTGGTGGACCAGTTTGAGAAGGAAACTTTATTTGGCCGGATTGGGATGCCCGTGGAATTGAAGGGCGCTATCTTGTATTTATGCTGTGATAGCGCCAGTGGGTGGTATACAGGGCAGGATCTGTTGGTCGATGGCGGGGCGAGTACCTGGAAGCATCCAGCTATTTTAGCATCAGACTTAGAAGAGTAGCAGAAATATCCTGCAACTCTGTGTTAGCGTTGGCCATTAACATATTGCAATGCACTGGGTTTGCCCATTACTTAACACGATTATTTCATCGGTCACGAAGAGAGAGACACTGGGACTCGGACAGTACAGTGGGTCTCCTTTGAAGGGCTTTGTCCTTGTCGGTGACGAACAGGCCAGCTACCAATAGGAATTTGCCTCTTAAACGCCAAATCGGATACGTAAGACTTCACATCTCTCAAATACGTACTTTATTCAGTCTGAAAATGTAAAAAAAAAAAAAAAAAAAAAAAAAAAAAATACCATCTCCATATATAACACAATGTATACAAGCACGACTTCAACCGAACCAGTTCTTAAAGGCCCACGAAGACAACATCCTTCTCATTTCGGACTGTTGATCCACAGTCAGCCCAGAGGATCTTCCCTAGACTTTGCTCGGTGACTCTTCTACATGACGGGCTCTGTTCTTCTCGCCCTCCGCCGCAAGCACCCTTCTTGGATCGAGATCTGTAGTGCCATCAACCTCGTCCAACAGCCTTCGCGCAGCTACCGCAATGTTACCACCGGCCTCACCGATGCGCCGGTGATACTCTTCCATGTTCTTGCTCACAAGCAGACTCTCGCTCGTGAACAGCAGATTGACCTCTTCGAGTGATCTACCGGCGACCTCGGGATAGAAGAACCATACGACTGGCATGGCGAGGACGTTCATGCAGCCAAAGAAGATGAAGGTGGCCCATCCCAAGTGGGCTAGCATGATGGGGATCACGAAGGTGTTCATTCCGCATCCGATCGCCCAGCCCAAAATAGTGAATGAGTATCCTTTTGCACGCACTTCCTGCGGCCAGATTTCCGTGCCATAGATCCAGCATGGGACGATGTTGAACATGGTAAAGAACCAGAGGTAGACGAAGACGAAGGCTGCTGCGGCGGTACCTAGGGTGGATGCCATTGCGGGATCAGTGGCTTGGCGGTTTTGACTCTCCTTGATAAGCGCGGCGACAAGGAATAAGGCTATACCCTGCGTGATGAAAGACATCATGAGAGATTTAATCCGGCCTATGCGGTCGATAACCAGTGATGCAGCGGCGGTGCCCAGGATACCGAAGGTGTTGACCAGACCGGCCAGCCAGGCTGACTTGTAGGAATCGAACCCGGCAAGGCTGAAGAGCGTACCAGCCCAGGTGGCAATAGCGAGGATACCTGTCCATTGCTGGATCTGCTGGAGTGCCAGACCCATGACAACGCGTCGACCAAGATGCAGTTTCCCCGAGTAGCGACCACCGAGGACGAGATTGAGAAAGTTATTTCGTTTGTGGTATGATGCTTCGACAATTGCTTCGAGCTGCTCAACTTCGATAAGAAGCCTAGGGTCATGGAGATCCAAGTCGCCACGGATCTTGCGCAGGATATTGACCGCTTCCTCGCGGCGATTATTGGCCATCAGCCATCTCGGCGACTCAGGAAGGAAGAAGACAGTAAGAACAACAATCAACACGGGAACCGCCATAAATGCCAGGGGAAAACGCCATTGGAACTCTACCGTGGACGACCTGACACCGAAATTGAGCCAGTATGCAATCACAATGCCGGCGTAGTTCGCAACGAAGACGAGCGAGAAGTTGGAGCCGCGGTCGTGCGCTTGAGAGAGCTCGCTCACCCACGGCGGAACGATAGCGTTGATGAACCCGATGCCTATTCCTGCGATGACACGCGCGCAGATAAACATGTTACTGTTTTGACTGGCGGGCATGAGCGCCGCGCCGAGCATGCAGAAGAGTGAGCCGATCCAGACGCCTTTTTTGCGGCCGAGCTTGTCGCCGACCCAACCTTTTCCATCCATCAGTATCTATAAGTGTACTGCTGATAAAAAAGGGATGCTGAAGTGATTTGTCCGTACCTCCAATGAAACATGCCCACATGGCACCGAAATAGTACGCTGCCAGCAGACCACCCTGCTTGGTGCTGTTGGTCACAACACCATTGGACCCGATACTGGCCATGTCAATGAAGCCTGGTGTCGTGCTGACGGTGCCCAGAACTCCCTGGTTGTAGCCTTCGAAGATGAGGGCAATAGCGGTGAAGAGGTTGAGAAGAAACATGAGTGCCTTTCCAGGCATATGTTCCCAGAGTTGGACGGCCATGGTGAGGGTATGTACGCAGTTGGACACGCATACGTCGGGCTGCCACTGCGTTCTGTAAAATTGAATGAGGTCGAAGGAAGCGAAGGTAGACGAGGGACGATAGAGTACTGTTGTGAAATCATTCGAGCAGATCGCAGGAGGATTGATGGTCATTTATTTATGTACAGTCTGACGACAAGGAGCACACGCCACCTAGTCGGCTCCAGACCCCAGACCCCAGACCCCAGACCCCAGACCCCAGACCCCAGGTCCCAGACTCCAGACTCCAGATACATCCATCTTACGGGGAAAGACGGGAAAGCTGGTCAGATACTGCGGTGATCTACCCTAGCCACAGGTTTGAAGCCTTTTAGCAGTTTAGCTTCCCCCGCATTATTTCCGGGCTCCACCGTTTAGCCGTTTGGCCGTTTGGCCGTTTAGCTCTCTGTATCCCAGAGGTATAGCCCTATAGCCCTGTAGCCCCCAGGGAAGAGACGAAAAGAAAACAAACAATCACTTATAGCGGTAGTTCCAATGCACGCCCACCAGTTCACCCACATTGTCGTCGGCGCCGGCTCGGCGGGCTGCCTCGTGGCCCGTCGGGTGGCCGAGAACCGGGCCTTCGACGTCCTGCTGATCGAAGCCGGGCCCGACATTGACGCCGCCCCCACCAACACTTCCTCCATAGCCCATGGTGTGCATGATGCCCGCCGGGTGCCCATGGCAGGCCAATCCGCGATCTTTGACCCCAGGATCGACTGGAATGTTGAAGTCGACGTACCTTGCGGAGGGCAGATGATTGTCCCGCAGGCGAAGGTTATGGGCGGAGGGAGCAGTATCAACGGAGGCACTTTTTTACGACATACAGAGGCTGATGCAAGGGAGTGGGTTGCGTTAGGGAATGATGGCTGGGATTTCGAGAGTTCAGTCGCTGTATACGAAGGACTCGAAGGTGACCCCCTTCGAGGCACACGCGGTCCGCATCCCATTGCCAGAGCGAGTATGGACGAAGCAGGCAAAATTCAGGCTGCCTTCGTCGACGGCGTTACATCTCACGGTCTCCAACGTATCCCAGATCTGAAGGCCACGGGAGCGGAGGGTGTCGGCCCGTCACCCGTCTGTCGTCGCGGCTCCACCCGGGTCAGTGCAGTGGACACTTTTATCGGCCCGGCCCGGCTCTTCCCCAATCTTACCATCTTGGCCAATTCGTTAGTCGATCGAGTGCTCTTCCAGGACTACAAGGCCATGACAGTTGTGCTGGCCAATGGCCGCAAGATACACGCAACCCACGAAATCATCCTCTGCGCGGGCGCAATATTTTCGCCGGCTATCTTGCAACGCTCGGGTATCGGTCCAACGGAGCTACTTCGACAACATGGGATTGCGCCTTTGGTTGAGCTGCCAGTGGGATTGAATCTTAGCGACCATCCATGTATCCCACTCGTCGCGCGACCACGACCCGGTGCATACACGGACACGGATTATTCCTTGCAGATGCAAGCGCGATGGTCGTCGTCGCTGAATCCCGGTGCTATCGACTTGCAGATGGTGTGTTTCTCGTATCTCTTCGCACAGTCAGCGGACCCTTCCATACCACGAGGACGCCAGCCGCAAAGAAGCTTGGGGGGTACAGAGACCGGTCATGTTGCAGGAATAGGATGTAACATAAATAAGCCCACTTCACTCGGCATGGTGGAAATCCGTTCAAGGGACCCGAATCAGATGCCGATAGTACGTCCTAATTATCTGAGCACGCCGCACGACCGAGCTCTGGCACGAGAGGTTGTGCGCACTGCGTACGCCGTGCTCACGTCGCCCGCCATGCAAACCGTACTCACAGCCCCGCTGGGCATAACTTCGCAAGTTGTAGCCGACGATGTGATGCTGGATGGTTATATACAAGCTCAATATTCGACAACTTACCATTTCTGCGGTTCGTGCCGAATGGCTAATCGTGAGAAAGGCGGCGTTGTGGACCAGAGCGGGCGGTTGTATGGTGTGAATGGGCTGAGGGTTGCGGATGCGAGCGTGCTGCCGACTGTGCCGGCAGCGAATACGATGGCGAGTAGTATGCTGGTAGGGGAGAGGGTGGGAAGGAGCGTCTGTGGTGGTCGAAGTGTCCAGAAGGCAGCCAGATCTCACATATAGATAGACACCTGGGAGGGAATCCCGTGGGAGGCTTTGCTGCAGACACTTGTATCGTCGCTGTGCTCCGACTGGACCTAATGAGAATCGCAAGATCATCGCGAGATCTAGATTAGTCATATTAACAATGGTCACACCACAATCATATCTATCACATCAATCGCGAGCACGTCGCGTTGCGTGAGACGTACCCTGCTCTCCTCCTCTTTGGTACCCAGGAATCCTTTTGTGTATTAAATTGAATTCGGTCCTGGAGCAGACTGAACCCAATCAGATTAGCGTGGTAGAACCTTGGAATCGGCAGGATTCGCCCGAATCATTGCGGTCTGAGGGCACTGAGGTAATCCGCAGCGTGGTTGTGGATTACGTTATTGGAGATATACCTCGGTAAACCTGAGGCTTGGCCCCAGGAAGCGGGGATGATACTTATACGAGCTTATCTGTGTTGGACTTGGAGAAGCTAGCATTTACCATGGCTGAGAACAAGCTCATCTGTGTCATAGGAGCTACGGGAAACCAAGGCGGGTCAGTCGCCTGTCGGTTTCGTAAGGCGGGTTTCCGTGTCCGTGGCTTGACCCGCGATACATCGTCGCCCGCAGCACAGAAGCTTGCGACTGATGGCATTGAAGTTACGAAAACAGACCTGGACGACTTGGAGAGCCTCAAGCACGCTCTAAATGATGCCAATGTCATATTCAGTGTTACAAACTACTGGGAGCCGTTCTTTCGCCCGGACTGCCGTCAGAACGCCATTGAGTTGGGCATCTCACCTGCTCGGTTTGCCTACGATGTCGAATATCAACAAGGCAAGAATATTGCCGACGCCGCAGCCGCGACCTGTGATTCTCTCGACTCAAACGGTTTCTTAGTGTCCACGTTAAGCCATGCTGCTAAGTCCAGCCAGGGAAAATTCATCAAGTTGTACCATTTCGACTCTAAGGCGGATATCTTCCCCTTCTACGTTAGAGAAAAGTACCCTGACCTTGCAGCCAAGATGTCCTGCATCCAGACCGGTTACTTCTATACAAGTTTCAACATCTTACCTGACTCGTATTTTGGCAAGGCAAGTAATGCTGCCACAATTGAAGAATTTGACTGATGATCGTCGAGCTGCCGGATGAGAGTATTGAAATGAGGTTTACCACAGCCCCAGACAGGATTGTGCCACACTTAGACCCTGTCGGGGATATGGGCACTTTTACCTTCGCTGTCTACCAAATGCCTCCCGGGAAAGAGTACATGGCGGAAGGGACAACTTGTAGTTGGGCGGATTGGATCAAGACCTGGAGCGACATCACTGGCGTGCCTGCGTCTTATCGACAGATCAGTCCCGACGAAATGATTGAAATGACTCCCGATCGAGACTGTGGCATCGAGGTAGCATACATGTTCTCTTATAGTACGGACCCAGGATACGATGGAGGTAGAGCTCTTCTCACTGCCGCGGACATTCGCAAGGCAAGTTAATACGTGCCACTAAAACCAGCATCACTCACTCTAACATAGGAAGACAGACTGGTATCGACTGCCCGATGACGAGTTGGAAAGAGTGGGCAAGCCGCCAAGATTGGTCCGTCGTGTTAAACAAGGGTAGCTAGGTAACCTTAGCAAATGCTTCAGGCAGTTTTAGAGAAGCTCACAAGTACTCATATTCTCTAGTCCAATACTAGTACAAATATTTATCAACAATAGCAGAAACAGGTGCCTCAGGCCACAATTCTTCCTGCTAATATTAAGGGAAATTCGACTTCGACTAATGGCCACATCAGCATTTTTGATCTGAGTTTGCCTCACAAGCAACGACAAAGAAAGCCCACGGACTTGTGCAGATTGGCAGGCGGTCCAGTATCTCAAAGCCTTGCTTCAGGTGAACTTCTCTCTCTGGCCCCTGGGTAGATAATATGCATGCAGTCGGTAATGATATAACAAGGCTTAGAGGCCAGCGGAAACTTTAGTACTTAGGTATAGATCTTAACTAATGACCGAGGGAGGGACTTTTTGTTCTGCGCCGCTACTTACAAGATAGGACCTGAGCCCTCTATTCTCGCGTCATCGTGCTTTAATACGTAATTATTCGGAAGAAGAACGGAATTGGAAGATAGGGACCTCAAAAAAGGGGGCATAGTGAGAAATAAGGGCCATTAAGATGTATTTCACGAAACAACAGCATGGTGGGGCCCGATTGCTCCTTTGGGTATTGTCTAAGCGTAGACTGGGTACTTAGTAGATGCCTCTGATTAATCTCTGAGTAATCAGTAAGCACTCTCTGAGCGGAGTCTGAGCGCTATCTGAGCGCTCAGAGTGTGCTTAATAGGCCTTGCTAACCTATCATGTGACTAACTCTGAACAGCTCAGTGAGTCTGAGCCTGGACCTAAATTTACTCAATGAGCCTGACTCTAAGCGCCCTCATTAAAGCGGCGGCATCTGGAATAGGAAAGCCCCACCCGGCAGAGGAAATATGGTACGTATAGTGACATATATAAGGCCGGTAGCGATTTTATGATAAAGGCTATAAATATATCCATTTCAATAATAGATCACGGCTAGCGGCCCGAGGTTGCCGTTCTTTCCCGGAATATCGCTTGCATCTTCGAAAGACTCGCGAATGCAGCCACAGATAAAAACCTCGACCTTCGGATCTAGAACTTAATTATATCTAATTAAGCATCCCACTATTCAATGAACTCACGTATCTTGCTTTCCCGGGATAAGATTTTCTTAGGCCAGAAGGATCGGCTCCTTAACTGCTTTGCTCGATCGTTCTTAGCCACACGATGTAATACTTAGAGTGTACTAAATGAACAACTTTTGAAGATTATAAACAAAATACTTGATATTGGAAAGAAGTTCTCGGTTCTCGCGCGTCAGTCGCGTAGGTGCCATGCATCTGTTGCGAAGCTAATATGCTTTAATTTTCGATTCCTTGTCCAAAACCTCTGGGAGGCTATCTATTGTCGTGTGCCCTTCCAGGATATCTTTTTAATGGACCGTTAGCGTCGAACGTTAAAACACAAAATGTATACACTAACCGTAAACAAATACGAATAGGGGAAATTGCTCGCGTTGTCCCTGTTTCTCCAGGAACTCATAGACCGCGCGAGCGGTGGATGTTCCCTGGAGTTTCTGACCCCCTAACTCCGTCTTCTCAATCTCATCGACAGAGACTCCCTTTTCCACAGCGTGACATGCAGACCGGAAATTTCTCCCCGCACTGGCGGATGTTACCAAATCAGCTATTCCAGCGCTTTCTTCTGTAAATGTTCTCTCGTCCACCGATTGAGGGAACCAAATGCGGCCGAATCGCACCATTTCAAGGACACCAATTCGAATAACAGCTGCCTTTGTATTGTCGCCCCAACCTTTTCCTGTAACGAAGCCGGCGGCTAATGCGATGATATTCTTCAGCGCGCCACCAAGTGCGACCCCAGAGACATCCTGCACAACACTAACGTTGAAATATGGACGGCTAAAGAGCTTTTTCAAAAGGCCGGAATCCACATGAGGATAGGTTTGGGGAACTGGGTGCAGCTTAACGTGGCTGGGCTTGGATTTGCTTTGGCGCTGTTCGTCCACTTTAATTAGATTGTCTCGAGGTGAGCCGTCCGGCTGCTTGTAATCCATAGGAGGCCCGTCGTATCCAATAGTAGTTTCACACAGATTCTCCGCGGCTACCTCAGGCGCGATGTTGGCACCAGACAGAGAACCACAATAAATCCCTAATTTCTCCATTATCATCTCGGAGTAGAGCGTCACAGTCCCATCGGAGACATCGACCCCTTTGATACACGAAATACCTCGCGCATAAGGGAGATGCTGCTGATTGATTTGATCAAGCGTCTTAGATATGAATTGATGCGGAAGGTTGAAAACAAGAATAGACGCTCCTTTGACCGTATCCTGGAGGTCGGGATTGGCAATGAGATTGGCTGGAAGCTTGATCCCGGGAAGGTATTTGATATTTTGATGTACTGTATTGATGGCGTGCGTGAGCTTCACGGGTTTATCGCCCAGTTGGTCGCGAAGCGTTTCATCATTGGGTACATCAACATCTTCATCGAACACCCACATCGAGACATTCTCTTCAAAGATTTCAGAGTGTTCTCTAGTGTTTTCAGCTAGGATTTTCCCAATCGTGGAGCCCCTTTGCATTGTGCGGTTAGTGAGCTACTGTGTTCACGGTGATGCTGGTCCAAAGATCTCTTACCAGTTTCCAGACCCAATCACAACAACCTTATGTTTTTGTGGCATTTTGAAGTCTCAGTTTGGATGTATCACGATTGTTTCTAAACCTTCAATGATTGGGATCTGGGGAAGTTATTGAATTTTATAAACCAAAGTCGCGGGCACCCAAACATGAATCATTATTGTGTAAGCTCAGCATCATAAGGGTCTCAGTAGGATCTTTGTAATGTAATGGGCTGCAAAGTAATATTCACAAAACAGGACTTTGCGCGCGTCTTTGCAACGCCGTGTTCTTCTACCACTTTATGCTTGGTTCAACAATGACACATCATGATGTCATATGAGCAGATAGTACGGAAAACTACCAGAAGGTGATGGGGGCCTACAAACACTAAATGCTATGTCAATTCATCTCGCTCATTTTATTCAGGCTTCTGTTAGCTTATTAGTCAACATTCAAGTAGGCTTCTTAAGAGAGCCATATACGGCATTTAGCATCGGAGGGGTGATACTTCGTCGTCGTCTGACACGGGTAGGAGGCGTTCTAACCCTTCCATAGTAATAAGATTATTACGAATATTTAACGATTAAACGCTCACTATATTCAGCTCTCTAGCTATAGGGATTCCCTAAGTATCATATCACAGATCATCTCTAGCTTCGATAAGAGGCAGCCTTAGCGATATTTTACGGAAGAAGATAGAAAGGTTTAGTGCGTTGGTGGTAAACCCCCCTAAGGTATTAACTGATAGGTATTATTAGTCGCTAGAGGGATATTCATTTCACCATGCTCACCTCTGCTGACCCTTCTACTCAGTGAGCGGACGAAACGGTTTTTGACTAGTAGGGGCTGGGGTATCGGGAAATGACGTAATTCGGGGTCTTGTAGCTTCAGTTATTGTCAGCTAGGGGCAAAATAGCAGTACCAGGGAAGTCATGGATGCTAGATCGCATGGTTTATTCAATTTATTCCTTCTTCGTTTTCCAGAAGCATACGGCAACTAAGCTCACCTGTGCATAGTAAAACATGCTTTTACTTGCGTTGTGCGCCATTGCACCCGCCCTAAGAGCCATTCCCCCCACCTTTGGTGGGCCTGCTTGGAACAGATATCCGGCCAAATGAGAGAGCTGCGGCACATTTTTGGCATGAGGTACGCCTAGAGGGCCTTCTGCGGCTTTAGTAATACGATTCAACTCCCTCATAAGAGACCAATATCGAAGTGTGTCACTTAAATGCAGCGTGAAGTTTGTTTTCAGTCGTTCATGTTGAACCCTTATGCTTAGCATTATTTTGTCCGCACATACCGATGACGAACAATGCCCCTTTGTTTTGTCACAAAAGCCACAAAAGATTTTCGAGAGCCATTGACGTAGCTACTTCTGCGGCCCGCAATTGTTTTTCAAATAGGGGCAACACAATATTTCCGTCGCACTGGAAGGGCGTAACACTGAATAGCTGCACCATCTCCCAATTTATTACGTTCGTGTTCAAAGCAAGCTTACCCATCATTTCGAGCATTGCATTGACAAAGGGGCAGCGCTCAGGTACTCATCCTTATCGCTAACAAACTGTCGACAGGAAAGAGGGGGCCACTGAAACGCGCTGGATCGATCCCCACTTCAATTGATCATCAATCCTTTTCCCGAGGGGGTGTAGTAACTTTTCCCTCGCAAATATTCGTTCTTTTACTATCTGTTGTTAAGGGAATGATACGGCTGGTTTACTTGTGAGAAAGCCACATAACAGACAGTGTCAGGATGCTTACCAGAGTTCCTATCCCGCGCCTGAGAAAAGAAAGCCACAAATCCGGTGGCAAACGTACTGCGAGGGCATGCAACTCGTGTCGACAGCGCAAATGGAAATGTGATGGCAATAAGCCGATATGTGGGCAGTGCGAAGCTCAGTCGCTGGAGTCATGTGTCTATTCTGAGAACAAACTGTTGAGAGAGCGGAGAGAAATGGAATTAGCAAAGGAAAAAATTGTTTTCTACGAACAGTTCCTTCAAGAAATATCTCGTGAAGTTGATGCATCGGTCTCGAGGCGGATTAATGACATTTTGAAGGTGAGACTAGATCTCTTCGCGCTACAAGGCATACATTATCATGATCGTGCTAACGTATAAAGCCCTCCTCCTCATTAAATACCAACAAAAGAAGATCTTCCAGTGCCTCTTCATCTTCTTCTATCGGGTCGTTAGATGGAGTAGATGTAGTGGAAGAAGATGTCAACCAAAGCGAAGAGAGCAGGGCCACCGGCTATATTGGAAAAAGTTCCGAAGTCGCATGGATGCAACGCCTTGACTTGGAGACTAGACGCCAGGGAGGCACTGAGCCCTTTTCTGGAGATTACCGGCAGTACCAGGATCCCACCAAGGCGCCCATTTTCTCCTTGAACTACCATCTTGACTCTGCCGATATATCCAACCTGGGAACCAGCAACCCTTATGTGTTACCGCCGAAAGCACTTGCCTACCAGTTAATTTGCATTTACCTCGAGAGCGTCCACCCATCTTTCCCTATTATTCGACAGGATCTTTTTACCGATCAAGTCCGCCGGCTATATTTGGCAGGTTCGATAAATCCAGGGAAAAAGTGGTTGGCGGTCTTCAATCTGGTACTTGCCATTGGCAGAAAACATTGCGACTTGATAGGGCAAGGTACTCAGGAGGACGGGGACGTGTTCTTTGCTCGCGCGCAATCCCTCAATATATCTGAGAGTGTTCTAAATGATTACGAGGATCTTCAGCAGGTGCAAATAGAGACTCTTGCTGCTTTCTTTTGTTAGCTTCAGCACGGATCAATAGGTATGAGACCTAACATTACTGACTTGGCGCAAACGCTAGCATAATTTTTGCCATTGGTCGTCTGACTTTGCTACAGAGCATGGAAAATGATAGGCACTGCAACTCGTTCGAGCATTGCTTTAGGGCTCCACCTCCAAGTTGCACACGCGAAATTCGATGTTGAATCCCTCGGATCGCGAAGGAGGCTGTGGTGGTCGATTTTTCTACTAGAGCACCTCCTTTCTATGATGACCGGCCGGGTATCTTGTATAGGAAATAGTTCCTCTGCGCCTCCCCCTCGCCCATCCGAAGGCTTAGAATGTGTTCCATCTGGGTTTGGCGAATTTGGCGAATCAAGCCACGAACGCTTGGTCATCAACAGCTCCATTCAATGGACGATCTTCCTGCAACAACCCGAAACCCAACATGAAACGCTAAGGAGCATGGCTCCCAACCATTCTCTCTACTTCTTTTGCCTCATTGACTTAATCTTTATCTCGCACACCGCAATCAACCATATTTACAATAACGTCCACGATGAGACGAAACACGTCCGAAGACGTATTGGCCTCTACAACACGAAGATGGACCAGTGGTGCTCTGGTTTACCTAACTCTATGCGTTTCCAAGAACTCAACGACAACCGGGCACGCAGTAACATGAATCCGTATCAGGCCTCTCTGTCGCTGCATTATTACAGCGCCCGTATTGTCCTGAACCGACCCTGTTTTTCTCTTCCTAAATCAAATGAGAAGACTGGCATCAGATCCTTTCGTACTCATTTAGAGCGTGACAGCGCTTTGATCTGCCTACGCTCCTCGCTAGCAATGATCTCTCTCCTTCCCGATCACCCGGATGCAGACTGGGCCTACCGTATTGCCCCTTGGTGGACCTTCCTACATTTCCTTGTTCAATCCACCACAATTTTGCTATTGCATGTGTCAGTCGAGGATTTCAAAATCTGTCAGACTGGTGAGGGCTCTGCCAAGTACACCGACTTACTTGCAGGTGTGATCGCAGCGTCTGGAAAAGCAATGAATTGGCTGCTCTGTCTTAAAGGGACAGACGAAGCGGCTAAACGGGCTTTTGAACTGTTAAAGGACTGCATCGAACGAATAAAAGTACAGAAGGGATCAAATGTGAGCGACTTTTACGCGAATCATACATTTGAAACTACTACTACGACTCCTCGTGCACAAAGTAACGTTTCAGGGGGTTTAGACGATCGGGCAAGTCACCAGGACCACGATAGCATTGGATCTACGTCGCAAATAGATGATGCACAAGTTGAAGGGAGCGGCGATGATGCGCTTTTTCGAGGGCCAGAGTTGGCAGAAGCAGCTCTCGACAATTCACAGTATCCCTTTGGAGTACTGGGTGATGACGTTGATATGATTGATATGTCTTGTCACATTTCACACCCGACAGATCCAATGTTTGACGAGTTACTACTTTCATTAGGAGTGCCAACTAGCTAGTGTTTTCATGGGCTCTGAATGAGAGCTATTCTTCCTCTATTTCCAGCACATCCCATATGCCGAATTGTCTTGCAACGAGGTAGAGGACGGATTGTGTTCGATTATTCGCAGAGCCTGAATTAATTCACCTCCTTTGTAGTTCTAAATATGGCGTCGAAATAAATGACCAGTGCGGTGCCTGATCGCCTTCCTCACCTAAGAGAGCCAAGCATGTGATGTGGCAAACAGGTGGTAATTAGAAGGTTGGCAGTTGCTTGCGAATAGTTGCGTTCATGTTACATGAGGCCTTATGTCATCATCATCCATACAGTAACAAAGGTTATGAGATGCCTTCCTTCCCGAGTGATTTGAACGCAATCCCGGACGGTTTATATATCCCTGTCTGTGTTTGGTTGGTAATGTATTGCGGTGCACTCATTACTATTAGCGCGCGTTAATATCTGGGCAATATATTCTGAATCTCACAAGCTCATCTGAACGCAGTTATCGTGCGTTGCCGGGCAGGAACATATGAGAGACACTCCAATTTGGAGCCGCACATTCTAGAGCTGATCTATTTGCAAGTAAACTGTCACAGGTGAGGGTTGTGGGAAAGAGTGAGAACACTGTGGTCATAGTGAAGATATCATTTTTCGCCGCCCTTCGATTCAGGCCATAGCAGATGCCCGGCATGAATAAATAAGTGCCGCATTCGGTCCTCAGCCTGGCATTATGATTGCAGCAAATTAATTTGCAAACTGTACAGCATGCCCTAGGTGGAATACTGTGAATTATAGCACCGGGCCAACAACAGGAGGTGTGGATATTCAATTGCAAAATTCGTTGCGCAGAAGCATGACATGTCTATTTTCACGGTGAGGTTAAGCAACCACTCTAGCCTTTTACTACAGGGGTCCGAACATTTTGTGCCAATTCTTGTCCCCCAAAACACGAACACCATTACTGATAATCCTCGATTTTAGGAACAGCTTATTATCGCCTGAGAACGCTATCGTGGCGCGTGACCTCTTTCCGCCAGGTCAGAGATGCAATACACAATATATGTGTTCCGGTAGAACACAGCAACCACACACCCCTTCGTGATTAACGTGCAGTTGACCCACATCAAATTTTCGAGCAAATAGCTTGCGCAAAGCCTTCTTTGGCTTCTCCCAATCCGCACAAAGTTTTTGATACCACGTACTCCAGTTGATCAGGCGCAATGCCAGGATGTCTTGCTATCTCCCTCCCGTTCATAAAAACTAGCATCATCTCTTCCTTAACATCGGCAACCAAGGAGATAGCGGGGTTTTCATTCAAGTTAATAGTGACTATGCTTAGCATTTCAGTAGGTATTGCGGTAGTTATGTGCGTGTAGGTCGCTTCCACAACAGATCCAGATGAAACATTTGAACCGCTAAAGCACAATATGGTGTACTTTTTGCATTCGACCAACTCGTGGAACTCGTCGATTCTGCATCAGTTGTTAGTATAGATAATCTGCGAGCGCATGCCCTGGACATAGGTGGGGAATCTGCCCGCCGTTGCCTAACTTACGTTTTGATGGATTCCATATCGATATTCGGATTGGTCGTATAGTTAATATTGTGTCGTTTTTCTGAATGAAGATTTTCTTTTCTACTCGGCTATGGCCGCTAGCTGATCCTATAAGGAACGCATGGGAGACAGAAACGGCGGAATCATCATGCAAGTTTTCGTGACGTCATATGGTTTCCTTGGGTCAAAATACCCAGAAGGTTATCTGGTTTATAATTGTTTGCTCTTATCTGCTATGAGATATATTTTGTATCTGTCCAATTCGCTTGATACCGAGAAAAAGCTTGCTTTGTTTAAAGTTAGCGGGTTTCTAAACAACAAAATGGAAGAAATTAACTTTTTCCCACATAAGTGAAATGACAGATCTTATACGTAGCTCGAACCTTGGTGATCCCTCCCTACCTAAACCCAGTTCTTTTCCTTCACAGCCCTCTAGCCATTAGATTAACGAATCAGAGGAAAAGCGTCCCCGGCGTAGTTTACGGGCTGAGTTGCAGTTAGTAACAATTGTTCCGAAGCATCCTGTATTATGACTGCGCATAGATGTTGTGGGTCAACAATCAACATATTCGTGCAGTATTTACGTTGCAGATATTGACATGGACGGCCCGGGTACCCGGTCGTATCACTCAATCAGCCACCGTGGTTCTCAAGAATTTTGTTACCACCACTAGGTTGGGGTATATTGGTAGTGCCATGGGTTTTGGGGAGGTCTAATTAAATAGATTTGTAGGGGTGAAGTCTATATGAGATCATCATGACTCTATGGCTGGCAATCATCGCTCAGACGCATATATGTAGCGAGATGCCATGATCCCCATATATCTAATATCCTCAATAATTTCTTATCTACTTCTTCCACTTCTCCCAGAAACTCTCAACATAATGAGTGATAAGGAAGTTACGGACAAGCACGGCAATATCATCCATCCTGGTGATTATGTTGTTACCAAAATCCGCGGCGGAACGCATGAAGGACAGGTTAGTAAAGGACAACATCTTATTAACAACCATTGATTGGACATATATGAGCCTAGTGGGCAGAGTGCGCTAACGACTCCTCATATATACAGGTGGATGAGATCATCTTAGACCAGCAACGAGCGGAAGAAGTTGACGTGAAAAACCCACCAAAAGTGAGTAGAAATGATACGATTTTAGAATTAGATTAGTTTATCATGCTAATGGCACATTGCCTTTGATAGGTTCGCTTCGAGAACAAGGATGGTAAAATGGTGGCACACAATCCCGGCACTTTGGAGATCAAGTAATTCAAAGAGCTAAATAAGAGCTATCAGTATGTTTTGGATTGGGTTATTCTAAAGCGCCCTGCTTTTCACTTCGGGTGCTTAACGCTGGCCGTGTTGCGAGACTGCCAAATATCTTATCGTAGCTGGTTAGCGTCTGCACACTTCATATGTATCTATATTGTAAATCTGGTTAATATGATCCTCTATAATAGTGATCTCATGGATATTCCTTAAATAAATCCATTTAATTGGTTCCTTCAGTATTAGAGCGTGTACAACACAAGAAGTACGACCGCCCCCTTGCGCTTTCTGAGATGATTCGTACTAAGGCTGAACGGTACTGACCCGTACTTCCAAATGTAGCGGTTCTAACATGACGTGTCAAATGTTGATGATGCTTGCTCGCCGCATCGACGAACTCGATTCTATTTTTATCCGCTTTCATTCATTAGTAGTAATCAGGACGGTACTTAGGGGTCCTGTCATCATCAACACCAAGCATACCCCTACAGTAATGCATGCCGCTCACTGGCGAGGTCTCGATCAACTTCTAACTTCTGGTACCAAAGCCAGATACGACGACTATCAACCTAACCGCATGTCACTTGGTGTCTCTTGTTGCATGCCAAGGTCCCTGCTCTGCTTAGCCTATAGAAACCGCTGGACAATACCTTACTTTTCTTTCTCATATTGCATTGTATTAACGAGATCATTATGATGCATGTCGTTGAAAGAATTCTGTGACAGACTCAGTCCATATATTGAAGGCCTCACTGGCTACTCTATCCTTGCATTTGCTAGTAAACATTGTATTTTCAATCAAACCACAGGCTGAACAGGTTGAGTCAGACCCATTGTCTCCGCAAGTTCCTACAACTTTGCCGGCCTCCACCTCGATATGCACCCAGCCAACAACCCTCAACATGTCACCTTCGACCCAGGATGCTGATTTATGGACCCGAGCTTACCAGCTGTTTCGGGAGAGAGATCATGATCACCAGCTGATGGCAGAATACGAACAGCATTTGGCCTCTTTGGATGGAAGCGGCATCGAGTAAAGCCACAACAAATGATTCCTTAACCGGCCCATCACAATCCTCCATCTCCACAGCCACGTCATCGTGAAAGCAGTGGTGGCATGGCTGTGTGCAGATGCCAAGAGACCAAGTGTTTTAAGGCGAACGGAAACGACCCGAGAACTTTACACTGTGAGTGCGATCGCGCAATGCAGGACCTACGGCGGGCGCTCACTGAGCCCTTGACGTGTTCACTCGGCTATACCTTTGTCTCGAACTTTCCCTGCCAACGTCACCCTGCCTCCTTTGGAGCGAATGATTCTTTTGAACTGATACCGGGGAAAGCTGACGCCAGAGAAATAGGCACGCTCCCAACGGATAGACTGTATTGTAAGCCTAAAAGCTCCGCCCCAATAATAGGGGTGTGAACCTCCTCAGTCAAGGAGAGCTGATCAATAGCGACTGGACCCACAACCATTCATTCCCCGAATCTCAATTAGCGTATTCTTCTGCAACTAACCCTATAAAGATGATCAGCGTACGAATAACGTACCAATGCCGTGGGCCCTGTACTTTGGTGTCTGCAAATGTGGCTTAGACTTCTGCCCACCTCTGCATTCTTCATCACTCCTTTTCCTTTTGACAGTTCTTTATCGCTCCCTCTCACTCGGAATATGATCTAACTAGACATATCCCATAATGACACCTGGCTACTCCTATTCGGCAGTTGATGGCCAGGTTGAGAATAGCAACCCTGATAGGCACATTGCAGATACCCAGTCCCAAACACAAACCATATGTCCAAACCAAACAGCATCAAAAAATGAGAGTGTGGTCAAACAAGACAGCTCAACCAAAAGCCCCGATAATTACGGCTATGAATTCTAACCTAATATATCTACATCCCCGCGTACCACAGAAGATTCGATACCAGAGACAGGTGGGCCAAAGATCCAAGATGCACCCAAAAAGAAAAAAACATGACCGAGCCAGCTCCTGGATTTGGGAAGTTGGCGGTGCGATATTCAGCATCATCAGCATCGCACTCTTAGTCGGATTTCTGGTATATGTAGATGGAAAGCTCTACAACGACTGGCAATACTCGATTTCCCCAAATACAATCACATCCGTTATTGCCACGATTGCCAAAGCCGCCATGCTCATTCCAGTCTCGTCTTGCCTTAGCCAGCTGAAATGGAATGCTAGCCAATCCCCTATACCAATGCCATTATACAACATGGAGGTCTTAGATCAAGCCAGCTGTGGGCCATTTGGTGCTTTGGAGGTCTTCTGGGGAACGAAGCCAGGCCTAGCAACGGTAGGGGCACTGCTTATGGTCATGTCTGTCACGGTCGATCCGTTTGCCCAGCAGATTCTGTCTTTACCGTCGCGCAGAGTCCAGGCCCCGAATGAAACGGCGTACACCCAAAGCTCACACGTATACTGGCCTCGGTGGAAGCTATCTAGTGAAGTCGAGCCGAAGATGCAGCTGGCTATTTTGGGTGGTGTCTCGCAGACATACAGCCATCTGGCACCTGTTTGTTCTACAGGGACCTGCGAATATGACGATTTTGTTACACTCGGTGTCTGCACTGAGTGCGAGGACATTACGGCTAAGACAAGTCAGAATTGTGTTTCGGAAGCTCCAAGTCTCAGTGATGGCTTCCCTATTGCCGCCAATTGCACATATACATCACCCAGTGGAGCCAAATTTGTACCCAGCACCCTCAGGAGTGGTTCCCTTAACAAATCACAATTTAGCGTGACGCGGCAACCATGGACCTCTATCCTCACATCAACATCACATTGGGTTGGGCAGAGAACGATCCGATCGTGTCTTTCTTTGCAGCAAAGTACGAGGAGGCTGTCCTCTGGACGGTAGACAATAACACTAAGCCAGCGCCGAAACCGACTATGACAGAGTGCTCTGTACATTGGTGTGAGGCCTCATCCAAACAGAATCATATCTTGCCCAGCCATCAATTTCTTAAGACGACAAACACCCAAAATCTCTATGTTGGAGGGAGGGCCACTGAATCGCTCACCGAAGCAATGGCCAACATGGCAACTAGTATGACGGATGTTATCCGTTCTAGTCAAGGTCTACCCATGTATCGGGGCGAGCCTATCGTGTCATTTCATTTATCCATGTTCGCTGGCCATGGATAATTCTCCCAGTTGCCTCCATTATGTTATCAAACGTGCTTCTCGTGGTCACAGCTATATCGACGAGGCTACCCTGTCATCCCTCTTGAAGACTTTCCTTGGATCCCCCGAAGACAGCAGCAATCAGTACAAGAAATGGTATGAGGTTATTCAACAGGAATTAGACAGGATCACCATTATGAGCACCGACGCAGAAGACTTTAACCTCTACCTTGTGGCAGGTGGCTACGACGAAGAGGGCAAAGATACATGCGACTTCAACCAGGCATCTCATCCGGAATGGAGCGAGTTCGAAAGCGAGCTAGGCCCGGCAAACAAGGCCATTTTTGCGATGTGTCATCTCTCATTTAGTGCCATTCTGTCAGACTGGTGGCAGGATGTCGTGTTTGATGTCTCCCAGGTGAACGAAAGAGGCCACAATCTTCTCACGCTTGCTGCACGGGCGGGCTGCACACCCATTTGCAAGATTCTGATTGATAAGGGAGCAGAGGTAAATTTGCAGGTTGAGGGTCGAACATATGGCAGCGCTCTTGTTGCCGCCGCCCGCCGGGGGCACACTGAAACTGTCAGGTGCCTGGTCAAGGCAGGCGCCGATGTGAACATGTTTGTGCAGCATGGCTTCCATAAAACTGCTCTCATCGCAGCACTGTTCGCTGGAAACTCTGAGACCGCCAAATACCTGGTCCAAGAGGCACACGCGGATGTGAACCAAACGTATACCCCGGAAGATGAAGAAGATGATGAAGAAGATTTTGAGCCAATCGTGCTCCTCACCCCAGTTGGCCTGGCAGCAAAGATAAACAATCTCGAGATTCTTGAGCTTCTGGTAAAATATGGAGCCAACGTGAACGTGCCAGAGCAATCCGGAAATCCTCTTGCCGTCGCTATCCGTTTCGGCAATAGGCAGAGTGCAAAATATCTTATTCAGAAGGCAAAGGCTGATGTGAAGCTGCCAATGGTTGAGTCGAGTTTCGTCACAATCCTCGAACGAGCAGCAGCCGATGACAGAAATCTTGAAATCGTCAAATGCTTAATAGAAGCAGGAGCCGAGGTTAACCCGGCAGAGTACGGCAGTCAGGGCACACCCCTCGGGGCAGCAGCATATGGAAACTACAAGAGCAAGGGAGGAAGCATGATTGAGATTGTCAGATACCTTGTTGAAGCCGGCGCGAATATCCACAAAGGGGATGATGAGAAAAGCCCCGTTTCACTGGCAGTAGCTGCTAGAGATATCAAAGTCCTGAGATACCTTGTCGAATCAGGCGCAGAGTTGGATGTTCCAAAGGAATACAAGAACGCAGTTGAATACGGCAACTTCTCTGAGGGTATTAGGTACCTGGTCCAGAAGGGTGCTGATGTGAACATGCGACTCTCGGGAAATTATGGTAGTGTTCTCGAAAAGACATCAGCAGAGGACAGAACCCTTCAAGTCACCACGGCTCTGGTTGAAGCAGGAGCAGACGTGAACTTGATCTCCGAAGGTGGGGAATACGGAAGTCCTCTTGCGGCGGCCGTTGCGTCCTGGATCGGTGCCGACATGGACACAGTCAAATACCTGATCCAAAAGGGGGCAGACGTCAATTTGTCGCTTCCGCATGGGAGGTATGGCAATGCTCTCATAGCAGCAGCGGCAAGGGGATACAATGTCGAGGCCGTCGAATACCTGATCAGATCAGGTGCGGACGTGAATGCATCACCACAGCATGGGGAGTACGGTAGTGCTCTCGTGGCTGCCGCTGCATGTGATGAAACCGTTGATACTGTCAAGGCTTTGATGGAAGCAGGAGCAGATATCAAACGTATCTTTGAGAAAGGCGAGTATGACTGTGTTCTTGCAGCAGCTGTGACCAACGTTCACACTCAGCTCGACATCGTTGAGGCCGTCGTGGCCGCCGGAGCAGATGTCAACCAACCATTCAAGCGTGGCAAGTACGGTAGTGCTCTTGCTGCTGCTGCATACCAAGGGAATGTTGAGATTGTGGAACTTTTGCTTAAATCAGGTGCTGATGTCAACATGCATCTTGAGAACGGGGACTACAGCACTGCCCTTGCAGCAGCAGAAGCTGGGGAAGAAGAAGAAACGGTGGCGATACTCAAGAAGCATGGTGCAACAGCTTGATCGGTTTCTAACATCGTCAGTTATGAAGTATGTTTGGTTCGTCTCCACTTTGGATTACTTTAAATGCAATTTTTTGTTCCCGTCAATATTTTACCGCTCATAACGTACGGGTAGTCTGGTAACTTAGGGATCGGTATCTATCTAACTCAAAACTAATCCAGAGAACATATAGGGAAAGGGAATAGCAGTATTGGCATAGCAAATCGAACAATAACGTTTATACGTAATCTGCTAGAAGAGCTATACTAAGCTTGAAGGCCGATTGTTTGACCTTAAGTACTTCTCGACCTTTAAACATTGCCTCTCATCGGTTTTTTGCGCACCTAATATCCGCACAAAATACCCGCGTGAGGGCAATAAAGCATAGCTGCAGATAAATTAGACTTATATTTCGTGCCTAACACAGGTGCCGAAGACACCCAAGGTCCGCATAGATAGAACGCAGACCATGTACATGAACCACTATCGGGTCAACAAGTTAATCAATCGGAGAAGACTATAAGGCTCCCAGGGACTAAAAGCGAGCCGTTTCATGAAGCCTGCTGGAGAACAAAGCGTAGTGAGGGCTGAGGTCTGCGCCTCCGCTTCCAACCGATCAACACATGTTGATCCCCACTGCCAGGGCCACACCGTCATTTACCCTTGTCCTTCACTCATTTTGACATCTTCAGTTTGGAAATTACCGCCTATTCCGGCTAAGTAACGTCTGGTAGCTTCTCTGCCTTCTCTAGTCCCCAGTACACCAAAAGCAAGCCCAGGCCATCGTGATTCGTACTTTTGTGGCTGAGCAAGGAAGCCAACTGTACGCGCCCGATGGTGGGGGCCATCAGCCTCAGGGGCGGTTTTATTTAACCCCCTTAATCTCCTCCAGCTCTCGGTCTCGCTAGCTTTCGCTCTCGAGCGTTTTTCTGGCCTTTGTTTGGTTACTTTGATTACAAGCAGTTAACCTTCTCATTACTGCGCGACATGTTTGATATACGCGAAGTTGAGTTAAGGATAGCGTCCTTGGTTGCACTTGGCAATGAAGTGGTTGAGCACATACTTTTGCTCAACATGGACAACAACATGCGTCGGATATTAGCCGAAGATGTGCACAATTTGACGACCACTCTTGGAATGATCAATACGAGTATCCAGACCCTGGACTCTCAGACCGATAGAATACATCTTGAACTGGTTGACAAAATTATCCAAGGTTGTGAGGAGATTCTCCGTGGCCTACAGCAGTATCGCAAAAGTACCTCCAGCTCCCCCATAGAAAGATCTCGCGATCCAAAGAGAATCCATGAAGATATCTCCCAACAAAACACAAGTCTGCTTCTTGTGCTCGATATGCTTTCCAAAGGGAGCAAAGAGATACCTGACATTGGAGCAAAAGATCCATACAAGAGTGAAGTGTGGGATCTGGGTCTTAACAGACCATACAATCAACTCAACAACTTGTCCGCATCTGAAGTAAATGTCACCAGTTTTGATCCGCCATCCGTCTCTTATTTGCGAACTTCGCCATCTGTTCCAGTTGTGGAGTCTGGAGATCAGTTCAGCGCTGAAACCCAAGATATGGATCTGCACCAGAAAATAAGGAAGATTCTCTCAGATTTCGGTTTCATAGAAGAGAGCTTACCCAAACACCACGCCCGATTGAGGTGGAAAAATGTAAGTCTCATAAGCACTGCCTATCAGCCTTATGGGTATCGGTTTTTGGAATCTGATTACCTTCATTAATACCCAGCGACACGGCAAAAGGCTTTACGATGACTACATTGAACACGAGCCAGGCTCTATTGCGGCTGTCCAAGAATACTTGAACCACTTCACCATTAATACAAAGACAACAATGGCCTCTTTGAAAGGTAGCCAAAACCAGCCCGTTTCTCAATATAATCAGTCTCCAACTACAACTGCCGGTTCATCACAGACATATTCTTCCTCTGCTACAGATATCACCAGCCAATCATCCAATTCATCCAACAGAGCCACAAACAATGGTTTCCACACAGATATTGAGCTAGGGAATCCATCGGACCGCGGGCTCTTTCTATTTTACACTCTAGAAAGAAGGGGCTATCCCATGGAATTGTATCATGATCGTGTCGACTACATCAGAGATGACCGGCAACTCTTTCAAAAACTACGCTGGTCTTACAGGAAACACCGAGGACGTTTCAGGTCTATCTGGTCCCTTCGGACGCTCCGCAGTATTCATTTTATGAAGGTATACACCATGACCTGTCGAAATACTTCATATAAATATCAATAAGACCAATACCAATACCGATACCAATACTGACACCCCTCAGTTCCTCTACGGCCCCTCATACGGGGACTTTCGCCCTCATCCCGAAATATGCATCCCCGGCAACCCGTGTCGTTGCATCCCGCCCTCAACCCTCGTCCCACCAAAAGGCTCGAAATATGACTGCCGGCCGATCCCTGCAAAGCTCTCGCCACCCATCGGCCCACGACTAATGATGGATCTATTCCGTGACCCAGATAGTCTCAAACCAGGAGCAACGCTGATATTGCAGCAAGTTCCGAAGATAAGGGATAATAGACCGAGGTGTGACGTTAGGTATCAAGAGCAAGACCCTGATGAGGGGTGGGGTATTTATTTTGCGGAGGATTGGGATTGGGTCAAGATATGGACTGCTCTTGGCCTTTTTTTCTTTCCCCCGAGTCTGCTGTTTGGGGTGCTCTGGGGGATTTTGAAGAAAGATGTCCAGGGCGCGTTTGGGATTGCTGGTTGGTGGATGACTGGGGCAACAATTTTAATTGGGATTGTAGGGACTCGTACATAGAAGTTGTTTTTCAGTATAGATTTACTGTGCTTATTGTACAAATTGCCGAAATTTGCATTTATTGATTCTGGAATATGAATCTATTTAGTGCTTTGGCGAACACGTAGAAACACGGGGAGTGGGTACCTGGTAATCAGTAGAGCCCATGAAACCTGATAGTTTCGACCGTCTGTAATCAATCACCACGATTGTAAAAACAAAGAGATAAAAAGAGTCACCACTTTCGAAATCACCCATCTACGCGGCCCAGAAAATGAAATCAGGGGACAAAAAGAGGAACGACATTGTTGAAGTAGACCATGGAAGTAGACAATGGAATAGAGTGAGTGGCTGGCACTTATATTCCACTGCATCATATCAGAATCAAAGCATTGTATCCGCAGGGGCGGCCTCTCTTGTTAGCATATTAACCTGAGCTGGTATGCTCCCTTCATATCGGGGCGGCAGAATACGGGCCAAGATATTCCGGCCAGTCAGGCATCGGCCTTACATATCGAAACGCCTAGATATATTCCCAGTGTTCCGGATACCAGCCAGCATATTCCCGGTCAGAGGATAGCGGTGACTCGGCCCCGATGTAGTCTCCCTTTAAGCGCGAAGTTGGTTATTATATGGATGGAGTTGGTCGGCAATAGCGAGCTTCTGATCGGAATCTAAAGTATCCCAAGCTTCGTCGAGTCGCTTGCCAGGCACATAGTCCATCATAATAGCGATGACTTGGTCATCTTCGGTTATCCTCCCTGCGGATATCATGAACTTCACGCACGGGGATCATCGTGTTGTTTGCAATAAACCGAAGTGTTTCCGCTTCGTGGGGGCGAATGTGACCAGACTTTACGACAAGACCATTGTCGACTCGGACCACCGTGCGACCTCCCAACGAATGAAGGATGGTTTCTTGAGTATGTGGTTTGTCTATATTGGACAGTTGGTGGAGTGAGTCGAATGTAAAGAAAGAGCCACGTGATTGGCCGGAGGTAACGTTCAGCTTAAGACAACCAACCGCTGTCAATACCTGGCCCTTCACGTACTGTATCCGACCAATTGGAGATATCAATGACTCTGTCTTGTATTATCCCTATTTTTCTCTAACTTATTAATGGGTCCAGTCTAATTACATAAGGTATGCATCGGATCATTATAGATCCGGTTCTATTGAATATTGACAACCGCTCTATCACATGCAAATTCAACCCCACCAACGATTGGGGTAACCTCCTGGTTGTTGGGCACCTACTCTTCTATACATTTGCCGTGAACATCCTTGGTCTTGCGCCTAATTGACCATCCTTGGTGATACACCTGCCTTTCCAGCTCCATTCTCAACGCCACTTCACTCATTCGTGGCGCTCAGATCTCATGCCCTCTGAAAAGAATGGTGGCTGTGACCCCGAAGTAGCAGGTAGGCTGTCTCCCCCCTCATGTTGCGCTGTCGTCGTGCTTGGATAATGCCAAACCCCGCAATTTTCCGTCATATGCAGTATTTGCTGGATGTTGATCCAACTGTGGCGCTCCTCTTTTAACACCTCTTCGGACCTAGACTTACTGATTGCCAGTAGACTCGCCGCCTATTTCGGGAACGGGCTTGAACATTCCTTCACACAAGTCCTTGCATGCAGGTGGAACCACACCTGCCTCCCCACCCGACACATCGTCGCTAAAGCAGTATCGCGCGCCTGTGCCGAAAGCCACCGCCCGCCCTCCGATCCACCCAACTCACATGCCTTCCACGATAAGCCACCAGGCGAGCGCCAAGTTAGATGCTTTGACATTGGAAGATAATGATCGGCCTATAAAACCTGAAGAAGACCTCCAGCTGAGCCTATTCCACCAAGTATCTGAATGGCTGCAAAATGAGAAGTCTCGGCAAAATGTTCACCAGGCCCGACGGGCTGAGGTTGGTTCAAAACATAGAGAGGGCTCTGCCAGTAATCATCGAGCGTCGGAGGAACATCACAATAGTTCTGGAACTCGATTGTCCCTCGACAAACTAGAGGAAATCCTTGTGCAACACTCGCGCTCGCGCGGTACGGATTCGTTGGAAGCCCTCCAGTCTGTAAATCGGGCAGCTCGCCGCCGCCCCAAAGGTCTTCGCCGAGGCTCAGCTTCGGACTCCGATTACACTGATGTTGATGCTCCTGTTCCCGGCGTAGAAGCTGTTCTTGATAACTCCAAGACCCTGGCCTACAACTCAAGTGTCGCAGCAGATGACGACGCTGTTGATAGCAACACATCCTCAAAGCGCTCTAAGGATCGCCAGGCTTGGCAGATCTTTAGAACAGAGATCCTGCGCCTTGCGCATACTTTACAACTCCGGGGCTGGCGTAAAGTACCGATGGAGAAAGCCAATGACATTGAGGTTGTGCGTCTCAGTGGTGCGTTAACTAACGCGGTGTATGTGGTTCAGCCGCCCAAGAACATTCCTCCTCCGAAGCGTGACTCTACTTCCTTGGCCTCCAGGAAGCCTCCACCGTCAGTACACGATAACGATTTGTTCTATTTATCGAGACTAATAATATTATAGGAAACTTCTGCTTCGTATTTACGGTCCTCAGGTTGAGCATCTGATCGACCGTGAGAAGGAATTGCAGATTTTGCGTCGCCTCGGTCGAAAGAACATTGGCCCTCGTGTACTCGGAACTTTCAAAAACGGTCGATTCGAGCAGTTTTTAGAGGCTCGCACGTTGACAGCGAAGGATCTGCGAATTCCCGAGACTGCTAAGCATATTGCCAAGCGAATGCGTGAGCTTCATGATGGCATCGAACTCCTCAAGGAGGAGCGGGAAGGTGGACCAAAAGTCTTCCAGGACTACGACAAATGGGTGGATCACTGTGAAAAGCTGACAACCTGGCTGGACAAAGAGGTGCAGTCACCGGAGAATGAGGCCAAGGCGGCCACCGAATCGTGGCGGCGGCGCGGTTATGTTTTCGGCGTGCCATGGGCGATGTTCCGCAAGGCCGTGGAAAAATATAGGACTTGGCTTGTCGCTACCTGTGGTGGAATGGAAGAGATCAAGCGGCAGCTTGTGTTCGCCCACAACGATGTAAGCTTTCGCTCGCCATTCACCTTCCCCGATACTGACCTGTTTAGACCCAATACGGCAATTTGCTTCGAATGCAGCCTGCCACGGAATCGCCGCTACTCCTGCCCGCGAATGAGCATAAGCAGCTTGTTGTCATCGACTTCGAGTATTCGTCGGCGAACACCCGTGGATATGAGTTCGCTAATCACTTTGTGAGTCTAAAGCATTCCTGGCTTGTAAAATTCTTCTTCTAATCAACATAGACCGAATGGTGTTACAATTACCACGATGAAGAGCACTCATGGGCTTGCAACAATCGTCTTTACCCGACCCCAGAGGAGCAACATCGCTTCATCTCAAATTATTTAACTCATCGCCCTGCAAGCGTTGCTGTCGGACATATATCGCCAGTCATCTCTGGCCGCAATGCACCCGCTATCACCCCACTCGATCTGGACGAAAACCCCGCAGAGTCCAGCTGGCACCAAGCCCAGACCACAGAGCAAGAGCTAGAAAAGGGAGTACGTGATTTGATGCAACAAACACGTCTGTGGCGTGTAATCAGCTCAGTAAATTGGGCGACATGGGGTATCGTCCAAGCCAAGATACCGGGCATGGAAGAAGGTATTGCGAGGATGACCGGTGCTTCAAGCGATGAGCAAGGACTTAACGACAAAGAAGAGACCGTGACGCCCCCGGTGGCAGCGGATGTTGATGAGGAAGAGGGCTTTGACTACCTGGCCTATTCCCAAGACAGAGCCATGTTCTTCTGGTCTGATCTACTGCAAATGGGCCTGGTCAAACCGGAAGAGTTGCCGGCAGAAATGGTGGAGCATATTCGCACACGTATAGTCGATTACTAAAACATAAAATCATGAGTCACGAAGAATATACCCATTACAATACAAAGATAGAAATTGGTGTCCAAATGTACGTGTGAAGAGAGGGTACCTCATTAAAAGAGACAGTGACGAGGGGAAATAAAATGGTGATTGAATAGTTAGATTGCAATGTTTGAGATTGGAATCAATGGAAGGGGCTGACGTCATTTATGGAACCCGAACAATTAGTACCCTTGGACCTGCTCAAGTGCGCACTGCCCAGACATAAATCATGTCCAGTTGATATTTGGATATTTGGACTCGATAATGGGATGGAAGATCAAGAAAGAAGATCCGGCTCCGAGACTCACCGGGCCCACCACAGGCGGTTGACCGCCTACGGCAGTTCATAGCTGGGACGTCACCTGGCCATGTCCTGTGTGAGCCCTTTTTAGATCCATATCTCTACACTTCAGACGGGATTGACAGCGTTCCAGAAGAAACTGTGCTCGTGTCCAAAACATCATTCCATCCACATCCTTACACTTTCTTTGGTATTCGTGAAATATCATCTTGTAACCTTCCCCCTGGAAGTGGCTTAGGACATACTCCAGCACAATGTTCGCCAGCCACTGGCTAAATGCCACCCGGCTTAACCCCGGCAATGTCCGAAAGTTCTCCCTGCTTTCCACGCATGCTTCCTTCCCAGCGACATTGTATCGATTCCAGCTACAGCGGAATGCGACAATGTACGACGCGAACCAGGACGAGACCCGCCACAGAAAGGATGGTATCAAAGTATCTGAAGATGGATTGGTTCACGCGATGATCTCAAAGTCCAGCCCCTGTGCGTCAAGCCCTATCCCCTCTTGTAGTCGACATTGTGCAAGAAAATACTGATTCTATATTAGACTCCAACGGGCCAGTCTTTATGCCCAATTCTCGTCTTATGCAGCAGATGCTGAAGTTTGATTTCGAGCGGTACCAGGAGGATATCAACGACGGCAAGTCTATTTTGGATCCCACGGTTGTGTGTATCCAGCGAGGTATTATTGCATCTAGGCCCAATTTACAATGGGAAACAACGCTCATGTGTCTAGGTACTCCCATTCCCTCCGCACTGGTACTCTGGAGGGAAGGTCTTTCTCGGTTTTCCCTGCAACCTTCAGAGCCTCTTGAAATTGAAAGTGAGTACCAAGGAAATTTCCTGAGATGGATTTGACGGTTTGCTCACACTCTACAGAACTTAACGATGTGCTTACCGAGTTCTATGAGACACATGCAACAGTCCTTGGTGCCGAGGATTGGATTGAGAAACATCCATACCGGGAGAGCTTCGCAGACCAGAATGAGAAGGGCTGGATGGAGGCATAGAGATTCAGACTCTTTGTTGCTGTCAATTGTAATTATATACAAAGAACGGCATATGGTTAGTGGGAAAAAAATCAGCGTAGACTCGAAATCATCCACTTTTCGCTTTTGTATGGTTACCGCAAGCTAGAAGCGAGTACGATTTCCTGAGTATTCTTCAGTTTCGAAGCTAAGAGTATACCTATCAACCAAAGATTTGGGTCTTACCATGGTCATCGACGGCATTGATGGTGGTGAGGCTCGGCCGCAGATGGCCCTTTGCCAGTGGAGCACAAAGATATCCGCATTTGAGACCCATTCAAGTTCTCGTGTGTGTCATCAAAGTCAATTGTGATACCGTTGTTTGACAGGGAGAAGGTGACCAGCAGGCCGTAGTTTTAAGTAGAGGTAACGCACTTGTAGAGGAATGCCGTCTTCCGTTGGCGTACAGTCGCGTGGTGTCGATACTGAAAGCTAGCGTCGGCTTGATGCACAGCGACGATAGTTTATAACCCATAGTTGAATAGAGCGGTTTAGACTGCGAAGACTACGGGCATGAACAGCATATGTTTGAAGGTGTTATTGCACGTTATTGCACAAAAAAGGGGACGAGTGATTAATTGGAATCGTAGAATCAAGGCGATAAATTAAGACTCAAACGACCAGGGAAACAAACAGGAAAGTGTTTTTCATAACGGAAAGACACATGTTTTTGTCTTACCCCGCGGTTGTTCAAAATTCCGAAGCTGTGGCTTGTCGTAATATACTGTAGCTGTGCCGGGATTAGTACAGGTCGGTAAATAACTTTACATAGCGTGTGGTTAAATTACTCTGTCGAAACAGAATCGTCACTTTATTCACACAGATTGTTTCCGAGCCCTTTTCTGAAGTGCTGCCCTTTAGCCCTGACTCCCCTTCTTGACAGTATTCAAAACCCTCAATAACATTTAAAATAACTTAATGACGTATTGCCTGTCTAGAGCTTACATGCAAACGAGCAAAACAAACTTGGGGGCCAAAGAGAAGGCGCCATACCAGAAGAGGCAGGTGGTGACACCCGAGAGAAAACGCTCAACGTTCCCATTCGACCTCTCCGAGTACCTAACTTATCCAGCATGTATCATATGGGCTACTTCTACTCAAAATGCTACTTATACCCATACCTGACCGTCTCCGAGTGTATGTCCCAATACTAGCAAGAACAAAAAACACAAGACGACTAACAAGCTTGGAAATTCGCAGGGCTCTCACCATCCTAACCGCTTTATCGTTTCTCCCTCAACTGCATCGCATCCGGACACAAAAGACCAGCAAAGGGATTTCAACGGACTACGTCTTTTGGAACCTCCTCTGCGCAACAGAGCAATTCAAATTCTTTGTCTATCTTCTCATAGCCAAGGACCCTGAACAAAACATCCCACTCGTCTATGATCCCCCAACGTTCGGAGATAGGCTGAATATGTACCAGACTGCTGTGGTCTGGTTATCATTTTTTACACTGTCAGTAATAACCCACCCCCGGCTACAGGTACAATCAAGCAAGTCCCAACTAATATATCATCCAGTTTCTGTGCCTGCTTACGACACACACCCTCGAAGCCGTTCTATGTCATCGCATACGCACTCTACATCCCCATATCAATCATCCCTCCAATCTTGGATATCCTCTATGGTTTCCCTTCGCCGGATCACACTTACGGTGATCCTCTAGCTTCGGGAATATTCTTCCTCTCCATGTGTTTGCTGAACCCGCTCGTAACAGTGTTGGTGGTATATGCTGTTTTCTCGCAGATACGGGAAATCAAAAGTGCAAGGAGTCCAGAATTATCGAGTCCACCAGGCAATGCTCTAAGTATCTGCGGATTGGCGGCGCAAGCTGTTGTCTTTGCTGCTGTGGCTTTTACATGGATCTGGCGCGTTCCGATTGAAAATGCTAGATTGGGGTGGGGCACGTGGTCATGGCCGGTGGTCGCTCTCGACAATCTTATGTATTGGTATGACTTGGTTGGGTTCCCCGCTTTTGATAATGGTGTTTTTGCGATGGGGCAGGGTGTTTTGTTTGTATTGGCTTGGCGGAGGGGCAAAGGGAGAGAAAATGCGGTGGATAGGGAGCGGGAGCCTCTACTAGGGGGATCTGTGGATCGAGCAACTAAATTCGACCCATGCCGTAACGAATAGCGCGTTTGGAGATAGTCGGGCGAGTTCCACAAATGTGGGGAAGATAAAAGGTTGCAAGTTCCTGAAACCGTTTGTCGTCTTTTGGCAACCAGTCCATTTGCCTCGTACAGTATTAGCCCTGAAGCAAAAAAGGGATTTGTATTGTGTGTCACTAATCTAGCCCGTTCATATACCCAAATTCCAGCTAACTGCGTTAAATTAGGGCATAACAGCTGACCGGGACCCGGTAACCGTTCAACTTTTACTGAAGCTGGTCCCGCTCAGCTAGGTGCCCACTGAACGGTCCGTCCCGTCCTTCCCCTCCCGACAGATGAGCTTACTCTTTGTTTTTTTACTCTTTTTTTACTCTGGTTTTTTCGAAAAAAGAGTTAAATTGGAATGTTCGAGTTGCACGAAGGACCGTTTACTTTGATTGTGTTCTAGATGCATTCCGCAGTCGCTTCAACAGTGCATCACGTGTGATAACGCCATATTGGAGAATGGGGACTTATTGTCGATGATGGGCTCAATCTTTGAAAACATTAAGCAGACCTACGACAGACTCTGGCAGTTGCCGCAGAATGATAGTACAGACGACACCAGCCCAGTTCATGCCACTAGCTTTTTACCCTCCACGACTCGAATACCAGCACCCGTGCCCTACATTCTGTCATTTGTTTTCATGGCGTATCCGATAGTGCTCCAGTAGCATACAGCCCGATCGGAGATGGCGGCCAGCCATAACAGCATCTTCTTGGAAAAGGAGCGACGAAACTAAAACGTCACAGGCAACGAGTATGTTCTCCATTCTCAATGTGCTCATACTCTCGTCACTCAAGTTTTGTTGGGGAGAGGCAATTGATATGTTTATCTGCCGCAGATAGTAATGTTGAACAACTGCGTTGTGGCCATGACCTCGCATTTGACTAACTCCCGATTGTGCAAAACAGTAGTTCAAGGATGTCTACCATTGGCTGGCTAATCTTCACTAACTTGGTGGACCGACCGCTCCGAGAATTCGTCGTAAAAATACATTTCATGTGGAGAGTTCCTTGTTTTCGGAACGAGTTCAATCTTCATAAACCATAAGGAATGTAATGCAATGACAAGACAGGGAGCCGGATCCTACTTGACCGATTTTTGAGTCCACGACCACAGCTTTTCTGAGAGACAATAGTCTAGATGAACCTCTCATTGTCCTCACTTTCAGTTGAAAACAAGTCTTGACCGGAGATTTCCTCATCATCTGAATCCGGATGCCCATTATCACTCCAGTCCCACCCATCATCAATCGAGAGAATCATCTCAGTCCCATTGATGCAATCCCTAGACACTATCTCTAGATACGGGTGTCTATGGCATAGTATCCTCAATATTTTCATGCTAGGTTGGCTTTTTGCGACCTTTGTGGCAGCGGCAACCATGTCTTCACATAACTGATACGCAGGATTTGTCTCAGTGCAATGACGGCTAAAACCTGCGTGAAGGCGATCGGGCTCCATGAGACTGAGATTAATGAGAATGCTCTCAATCTTTGAATCGTGTTGAAGGTCAAATACCTGAGGACATATGCTACGCATCCTCAGGCGAATAGATCGTAGAGAAGAGATATTTAGCGCCAGGTGGGGGCAGATATGCACGCCGCCCTTGACCTCAGAGCCACAGGTGTCAATAACAAGCTCAGAGATCTTAGAACATTGGAGCGTATCTAGCAGCTTTGTGGGTGACCACGTTTCGAGGTAGTTCGTATGGGGTGCCAAAGGTTCTTCAGGATTGAAGTGGCTATGTGCGAGCAAATTGAGACCTATCAGTCTGGAACAATGGGGTAGCAATCGACTGAAGCAATCATCTAACTCTTCGTGGCCGTGCGAGTCTAGGGTGTCCTTCATATCGACTGTAAGCCATTGTGCAAGTATTCTCAGCTTGTCAAGCGTCTTTTCAGGGATGTGTAAAAGCTGATTTGTATTGAGAACCAGGTCTTCGAGCAGAATGGTCTCCGCAAGATTGTACCACCACCTAGAGACCAGTAGGCAGCATGCTTCCTGTTTTCGAAGTGAATCACTGCCTACAAATCGAAGTACCGTATACACGATTTCAACTGGGAGGCTTTGCATTGACATTGTTGAATAACCTTGAGTATCAAACACCTGGCAGGAGACTGGAGTCAAGACATAGGTTACGTGCACGTGCGTAGTTAGGTAAGTCCACTCATTACATGATCTTGGTGGGTCCGGTCCGAAAGTGGGGCAGGAGCCCAAACTCAACTCTAGAGTTTTTGAATCTTCATGCAACAACAACAGCCAACAACTGACATACCATGGATATTTATGCGCGAATCCAGTCATGCCACCCACACGGTTCAAATGACATACCACTTCTTTTTCAATTCAAAACGTACCTCACACCTTCGACTCTGTCCAACAACGACTCCTACTCGCTTAGACATAAATCCAAGTGATGACCCGGAGTCAAAACGCGGGCATTAAAAATATCGAAGACTCGTCTTGGTAAAATGGAACATTGATTTAGGAGCTCCCAAAGATCAAGAACGCGCCACCGTAACCACCACTTTTATCACTGAGCTGGAACCGAAGGTGGATATTGTTTTCCTGCAAGATGTTTCAAAGGGGTCTTGCGGCAAATTTTACTCGACAATTGTAACCGTGATTCGTGTATTTCGAGCGAATGTGATGATGGGGGAAGGAGTACACGCTCTTTCAGCACAATAACTTTGCTAACCATGACACGCTTTTCATCAGGATCTGAGATTGGCAAGGCAACTCTAGGGCCTGTTTGCAGGAACAAATATTCCAATCTCTTCGAGAGAGATGCGCTCTGCTGTGATATACTCGTCCCTTCGCTCGGGGAATCTGGAGCCTTAACTAGGTGAGTTCGGCTTGTGAATGTTCATCTTGATTCTCTACCGATCTAGCCTTCCTTTCGGCCACAGCAGATGTTAATATTATCCCCATTCCTCGATACCACAGGTTTTGGGCTGATTTCTGGTGATTTCAATCCGGTAACTCCCAAAGACTCTCATCCTGTAGAAAGCAATGGTCCCACTGCCTGGCTATCTCTTCGTCCCGACGAAACTGGTTATACATGGGGGGAGTAGATGGACTGCAGCAGTTTCCGCCAAACTGTCTTAAAGACTGCAACTCTAGAGCTTAAAGCTTCTTCTATCCGAGTCCTAAAGCTACGGCAACTCGGTGGCTCGGAGAAGTCTGGTTCATTGCGGCCTGAGTCTACCGAGGAGTTTCCCTCCTGGAGTGATCACAATGGTCTACTTTGTTCTTTTAGTCTAACTGACGAGTGAACCTTTATCTTTCAAGCGTGGTTTTGTCGTCAAAAGTATAATTATGGAATAAAATCAATCGCCTATCATATTTACAGTCTGAATAGCCACGTTATATAGAGGACTCTCCTCGGAATAGTGTTGAAAGTTCTCCCAAAAAGCACCCTTTACCATATACAAAGGCAAAATGAGCCGTACATCAAACGGGGCAGGCCATGGATAATATACGCACATTTCGTAACAAGCTCACATCGAGACGACGCAGAAGACGGAATAATACTCGCTCCCTCCCCTGGTCATGACCTGTACATGGATGATTTGACTCGCGCCAAATTCGTCGGTTACATTTGTATCAAAACAAATATGCTCCGTATCTAGCGCTCGAAATATTGCGGCTGGAATTACTTTGAGCACTTTCCCCATACATGAAGGGCATAGCTAGCCCTCCATCGCACTTTCTAATCCTTTAGATCTCAAGTGTCCAGGATAAATTTGAGAGCGATCTATCTGTGGACCGGACCCCACTCGATCCACGGTCGCTTTACTATAAATGTTTAAGCCACCTACATCCACGTCATTTGGCTCATAGAATTAAGGTTTCAGCAAGCGCCAGGAGTATTCGAAGCTGAGAATAGTGTCTGAAAGTGTGGAGATTAAACCATATATGCAAGTACATCCGCATGAACCGGGTACATAAAGTGTTTGGTATTGGGGCAGGGACCATGTGGTGTCAATGGGGCGGACAAGATCCACACAAATCAAGCGCCTCGGTATAGTGGCGGCTATGTGACGGTTCCTATTCGAAAATGGATCGATCCACCATCTCAGCATCTCGTCCACCAATTCCCAAACTGTTTCTTGTCTGACGAAAGATCGAGATTTGATGTTCCAGGCCTGCAGTTTAGCGTCAGTCCTAGCTCCGCACTTATCTGGCGTGAGCACAATTATGTCGCTAGTTATAAAATAATTTCCAGCGACTGTCTTTGAAACTTGATATATCTTTGAACATTGCCATGTCTAAGGCGCCCGTGATATCAAATATTTGTTCGCTATAGACACAGATACGCGGCTATTCCCCATCAACGTTTGTCTCCATGGTATCGCCGGCCCATCAAAACTTGGTCGCATGGGTTTGGGATAGCCCAGGTCGTGGCACAATAAGCCTAATAACAACATGTCTTGCGACAATCTTTCTATGCACATGGATTGTGATACACCCCCGAGTTTATAAACGCGAGTCTTATGCTACACTACATAAGATGGCGCTTTTTGTCAAGACTATATTCGCACCCGAATTCATCGCAGTGGAAGGACTTCAGGAATGGGCTCAATGTCGAAGGATGGAAAGAGAGTGCTCGGGCCTTACAGAGGGGCAGTTTAAAATCGTTCACGCTTTTTACATTAGTATGCTCGCTCTGAGGTATCGCACACCCAATGGCGACCGCGTCATCTGGCCAAATCAATACACCTGGCTACTTCAACAACGTCTCTCACATTGGGGAGATGCACTACATCAGAGCCTTTTACTTGATGACATCTGCGACAAAAACAAATCAGACAGCGCCGCAAAATTTCTGGCTTTGATTCAAGTATGCTGGTTTTCTGCGCAATGCATATTGCGTGTTTCTTATCATCTTCCACTCTCTCAGTTAGAGTCTATGACTTTGGGCTACATCCCATTGTTTATCGTGACATATTTCTTCTGGTGGAACAAACCGAAGGATATCCGATCGCCCTCGATTGTTGGGCTGCCTGATATGACCCCAGAACAAATGCAGACTTTTGAATCAATGGCTGTCAGCAATAAGTTCGATAACGAAGGAATTAAACATCAGGTTTCACACTGGAATGTGTGGTATCTAACTCCTCGTGTTTTTGAAAAGGAAGAAGAAGACAGAATCATGCGGGAAGCTAGGGCGACCTCTGAAAAGCTGGCGAAGAATTCAATACAAACTGCAAATCCGAATCCCGACATCACATACACAACTACAAACAACGAAAGCGAGGCCCAGAATATCGGAGAGCAAGTCAAAATCCGAAAGGATATAGTTGTGGCTCATTGGGACCCCGGTCTATACAGGTCAAAGATATGGCCGGTGACCTGTCTGTTCGGAGTTTCCTTTGGCGCTCTGCACCTTGTCTCTTGGAACACCATATTTCCAACGATCATTGAGTTGTGGCTCTGGCGCGCATCTGCATTTGTTTCGATTGTCTCTATGCTTATTTTCATGCACTTTGAAAAGGTGGTCCTCCGATGGGACGGATTTTCGACTTTCGTCAGTTTGGGGTCAGCGGTATTGTATATCCTCAGTCGCATCGTAATGATGGGAGAGGTTTTTGCCGCACTCAGAGGAGAAGAATCGGCTATTTATGATACCTACGCATACTCGGCCTATTGGTTGCCCTTTTTGTGATAATTTCACCTGATCAATACTTATGAATTGGGGAAGTTGTTCCTTGTCTCCCATTGTTAGATAAATGTATGGTAGAAAGACGCTTTACCCAACTGCTTTTACGTGGATAGTTGAATTGACAATGGAATAATTTTGAATGGTAAACGCCGGGCCTAGGAGAGCAGGGATGTATGCACATCAATTTGGTCCAATCAAATCGCCGAATTAAACGCTTGTTGACGCCACATACCCGATCTCATTTCTAGGCAATTCGACATGAGATGGGAACAAGGCAGTATGATGAACATTTTGCGCAATCTGGAACATTTCACTCATCGGCTATTCGTTTCAAAAATTTCCCTTATGCCAACGAAACTGCAATGTTTGCAGCGAAAGACCTTGAAGGGGGGAAATGTATGTAAACACAGGAATGGTTAGTCTGCCCCACCCTCTTAGTGCCCTTCGCCAGGCGTCAACGCCCGTCGACTGGTCTTCACGTCCCTCTTCCCTCTCTTCCCTGTCTTAGTGTGCAAAACATCCCATATTCACAGTTACCTTCCTCAACATGGCAGCTAGCGACATAGCTGGATCTGTCTTCAAATATGGGTCAATCCCAGTGGCCGTTGTGGTCGGGTTGTATGCGGTCCTGCTTGGGCTGCTCACGACATCAACTTTCCAGTCACATGTTGTATACCTCCACGCAATTCAGATGACATGGTTCAAAGACCTCAATGTTCCCGAGACTTTTGGCTTTTTGAGAAACCAAGTCACCCCTTTCTCTATCGCGACTACAGACGGTGAGCGACTATACGCTTGGCACATTCTTCCAACGGAATTATATCGCAAGAATGAATTGTCGCTTGTCCAGGAACCTGTCGGTTTTGTGTCTGATATAAAGTCCCGACTCGGGTTTCAACTATTACGGGATGATCCCGAAGCTCGGTTGATCCTCCATATGCATGGGGCTGGGGGAACTGTCGCGTCGGGCTACAGGGTTCCCAACTATCGCGCATTGTCTGCCGGAGATCCTAACAAAATCCACGTCTTGACATTTGATTATCGAGGTTTTGGCAAGAGTTCTGGCTCGCCATCAGAAACTGGACTTATAATTGATGCCCTTGCCGTGGTCGACTGGGCCATGAATGTGGCCGGTATTCCTCCATCGCGGATTCTCATCTTCGCACAATCTATGGGCACAGCCGTGAGCATTGCTGTGTCTAAACACCTTGCCGTACAAGACCCACCAGTGGTCTTCGCGGGAACCGTTCTCGTTGCGCCGTTTGTTGACGTCGCGACCTTAGTCTCAACTTATCGCGTGGCGGGCACCATTCCAATCCTGTCACCCCTTGCGAGATTCCCACTGGTATTCAAATACCTTCAAAGATTCATTCGTGACAAGTGGCTAAGCAAAGACACGATTGCGCAATACGTTCGTACCAACGAGCTAAATGGGGAAGATTATCGACTGACGATTATTCACGCCGAGGATGACTATGATATTCCATGGCAGCATTCTGAGCTTCTGTTTTGGCATGCGGTCAATGCTTCGACGCCTGCAGGGATCAGTTATGACGATCTTGAGCAAAAGAAGCTGGACTCAAAGGCAGACCTTGGTGCGGCTGGGTCCATCATGGAATGGAAAACTGATAATGGGGTTATCCAAGAAGAGATATTGAAGACTGGGTTACACGATGTTATTATGGGGTACCCGGTGGTTACAAGGGCGGTTATGCACATGTTTGAAGCGGTTGATCCGTCATTTACATCTTGACTTTGACTACACCATATATTTATTGTGAGAATTAAACATGTTAATGTTCATAAAACTCATGTGCGGTGAAGAGTTCAATAATTTGATCACCTAAGGCAGAGGACCAAAATCAATCAAGCTCAGTCTCTATCGGTCGAAATATAAAAATATATAACAGGTAGGATGGGTACACTTGGTTGGACCTCTGGCACCATACACTTCTAACCATCCGAGCCTCGACAAGGACAACACTTTGAACAGAAATACCATACCATAAGGCTAGTGACGGAAAAATAATTAGTTTTCATATCACTATCATTTATAGATCTGATGCACTGTTCGCTGGAGGGAAACTGATGACTAAGCATGAACAAAAAAACAACCAAAAAATAAGTGCCTCCTATCGGGATTGATCCGATGACCTCCGTATTACGAGTACGGCGCTCTACCACTGAGCTAAAGAGGCCACTTATTAAGAAAATTTAGACAATACAGCCACTCTAATGATAAACAACATGGCCAGATAATGATCATCACCATCGGTTAGGGAACACTTTGGTATAGACGTGCTGTCCCTTCAGTCCATCATGGAAGCCCATTGCCTCATCACAAATTTCCATGTTGAGCACATCCATGCGAATGTCATACTGGTGAATTCTCTTCTCCATGGGCTCCGCAATCACGTCATAATCTGACCGAACAACCGCGGTGCGCTCCTGAGCATCCTCGTTTTCATACAAACCAAGCTGACCATTCTGCAGGATAGAATAGAGTAGCTTCAAGTTTGGAATCTCGCTTTCATAGGCCTCCAGGATGTGCACCACTGCTAGGAGAGTCGAAAGAGACAGGTCGGGGAAGAGTTTCATAGCGGCAATGCCATTGTTCGTCTCGGTTCGCATGAAACGACGCCGGAGGACGCGGAGTTCGCCCAGTCGGTATGTGCGGGTCATCCCGGCTCCAAGATAGAGGGCCTCAAGACGCTCAACGTGGTATCTTTCCTCGTTGTCGTTGATCTGATACAGACCCAGCCAGACCGTCTTCCAGAGTTTCACAATGCGCAACTCTAGCTGTTCGCGGGTTGAGATCGGCTTTTCAAGATTTGCACCGAGACTGTACTGGGCGATATCATTGCTTTGGCCATCCTTTCTGACGTCGTCAAAGTCTTGGGCAGCTGCGCTGTAGAAAGGGGCGGCGGCGGTTGCAGCACACCACAATTTGGCGCTGGATCACTTGTTCATTATCATTCAAAAGTATAGGAAGAGGGTCATTTACTTGTTGCGAGATCTCGATGCCCGCTTTGTGGGAGGAGATAAATGGAAGAATTCCAAAACCTTCCGCAGGAATCTGTGGGCTCGATGGGGCTTCATTGGGATGAGAGGACTGTTGAGCAGTAGATGGGAATTAATCAACCCAGTGACATAGATTGCAGCGTTCTCCGACGGGGATTTGGACCATTATTAGGGAGAGCTATTGCTAGGCTTGCGGAGACTTAGGGTATGTGGTAATTATGCCGTCTTGCTTCTACTTTGATAAAGGAATGCTCCTCCGATTCCTCGCACCTGCCGCGTTCTCCGGGACATATTAGGGACAGCATTGAGGCATCTCCGAATGAGGCCTCCACGACGCTCGTCACATTTCCCCTGAATATGTATTTCTAAATATGAATTGCCACACATTTTTACGAACAGTTCAATCTGTTCTAAAACGGCAAATCATAGCAATTCTAGAAGTAAGGTTAGCAGCGATTGTTACCGCTGGTATGTTTTTCCAGAATGATGAGATGATGATAGTGAAATTACCTAGGTGGCGATCCAACTGCTTTCCTGGTACCTAGGTAGCATTGACCCCTAACGCTTATCATGCCATGACAAAACCTAGTGATGCCATCGGGAACAATTTCCGTGGATATAGCTACTGCTTACCAGGTAATACTGACAGCACTTGAGGGTTTTTCGCTCGGCTTTTTTGTTCCTTGATAGATAACCACCCGGTGTTAATTGATCATCAATTTATGAGATGATAATGAAGCTCACTTCATCTTGGTTGAATGGGAACGTTAAATTCTGTTTTGATCAATATCTCTTATGTTAAATCGTTTGTTACATTCTCTTTGAACTACTTCTTCCCTTCTCCCTCATCCTTTTAAACGCGTCTTTCCAAACTCTTTCTAATGTTAAAAAAGAAGATAGAGAATCATTGCATTAGCTGTCCAAATATGTAAATGGCATCACTGTCTTTAAAGTAGATCATTAAATGTGATATGGCAGCCAGGCCAGTCTCCTTGCCCTGGGACTATGGATGAATTGTATATGGGTATATACAATTTGGTATTAGAAGCAGAAGGTTTAATGTCTAGAGCACAGCCTAAACTTATACGATCGATGACCTCACGATCGGAGCACAAACCTACCGAGAACCTAAAGTTCACATGGCCACCCGATCTCCGTAGCATAATATATTCGGACAGTCGGTGTTTGAATCATGCAGATGTAGTCAGATGATTCGTGATGATTGGCTTCTAGGATTGGATTGTCTTGGTACGTCATATTCTCGGCGAGTTGAAGCTCCGACACCGACTCCTTTCAAGGGTATTTCCAGGTTACAGGGTCTTTGACGTAATCTGTACACTCCAAATATATTTTCTTCTTCTATTGCCTATGATAATAATAAACGTCTTTGTCATTCTGCAACTGAATCAGAGTGGTGCCACCGTCTGATATTCCGGTTGTATAACTTCGTTAATTGAATCTAGCAAACAACTTTGTATATTTGTCAAACTGGACAGCTAAAAAATCAGATATGGAAAACAGGTACTCGGCGGGCGAGCCGGCATCAAAGACATACCCAGAATCAGCCGCTAACCATTCCGGCTCTTCCATCCCAAGCTCCGCCTCGTCAATTAGGTCAGGGACAGCCAAAAGCTTTGAACCTGTCCGCAGTACCAGCCCAAAACCTGAATCCAATTCCTCGGACACACAGCTAAACGATGAGAGCCTTGCGAACACAATAAGTCATCGACGGAGTTATGCTTCCGGACACGACACAGAAGGGGAGGAATGGGCTCAGATAGAAAGATTGATATCACGGATGTTCGGCCAGGAACGGAAGGCGAACTCTGAGGAAGAGAAAACACGCCATGTTGGAGTTGTATGGAGGAACCTTACAGTGAAGGGCGTTGACCTTGGTGCTGCTCTCCAGCCTACCAACGGGGACATCTTCCTAGGGTTACCGCGGCTTATCAAACGGCTATTAACTCGTGGGAGAAATGGTACTGGATCCGGAAAGCCGTCTATTAGAACCATCTTGGATGGCTTTACCGTGAGCATTATCTCTAAATTTTGATGGTATAATTTCACTGACTCGACAACAAGGGATGCGTACGTCCTGGGGAGATGCTTCTTGTCCTGGGTCGTCCTGGCTCTGGTTGTTCCACCTTTCTGAAAGCGCTTGGTAACCAAAGAGCTGGATACGAAAGTATTGAAGGTGATGTGCGGTATGGCGGCACCGAGTCCGAAAAGATGGCAAAGAATTATCGGTCTGAAGGTGTGTCTCTTCCTACGGAGCCGCGCAGCATCGCTCACCCAGAATTCCAGTTTTGTACAACCCCGAGGATGATCTCCACTATGCAACCCTAACTGTTCGAGATACTTTGCTTTTTGCCTTAAAGTCTCGAACTCCGGAAAAGGATTCCCGTATTCCAGGCGAGAGTCGCAAAGACTACCAGCAGACATTCCTCACGGCGATTGCCAAGTTGTTCTGGATTGAACATGCTCTAGGAACGAAAGTTGGTAATGAGCTAATTCGTGGAGTCTCTGGAGGCGAGAAGAAGCGAACTTCGATTGCGGAAGCTATGGTCACGAAGGCTAGCACTCAGTGTTGGGATAACTCAACGAGAGGCTTGGATGCTAGCACAGCCTTGGAGTACGTCCAGAGCCTGCGAAGCTTGACAAATACCGCCAATGTATCCACCGTGGTAGCTTTGTATCAGGCCTCAGAAAATCTGTTCAATCTCTTTGACAAGGTGATACTAATTGAAGATGGGAAATGCGCCTTCTTTGGTCCCAGCCAAGACGCCAAAGTCTATTTTGAAAGATTGGGCTTTGAATGTCCCCCACGTTGGACAACCCCTGACTTCTTGACTTCTGTCAGTGACCCTCATGCAAGACGGGTAAAGGCTGGCTGGGAAGGCCGAATTCCTCGCACAGCAGATCAATTCCAAGCGGCATACCGTCAAAGCAACACCTTCAAAAGCACTCTTGTAGATATTGAAAGGTTTGAGGAGGAGATGAAAAACAAGGAACATGAGCGAGAGGCCGCAAGGAAGAATATGAAGCAGAAGAACTACACGGTTCCATTCCACAAGCAGGTGTGGATTCTTACACACCGTCAATTTCTGGTGATGTTTGGTGACAGGCAGTCACTGATTGGCAAGTGGAGTGTGATTACTTTTCAAGCACTCATTGTTGGGAGTCTGTTCTATAACTTGCCTCAAACAAGGTATGCTAACGGAAGTTCCATGGCTTATTTTATTACTGACTGCTTCAAGTGCTGGCGTTTTCACAAGAGGCGGAGTCATGTTCTTCATCTTGTTATTCAATGCATTGCTCGCCTTGGCAGAGTTGACGGCGACATTTGAGAGCCGACCGATCTTGATGAAACATAAAAGCTTGTGGGTGTTGCCAGTAGAGACTGGTCAAGTGGAAAGCTAACACTATGCTAGCTCATTCTATCGCCCCGCAGCATATGCCCTAGCTCAAGTTGTGGTCGATGTGCCTCTGGTTCTCATCCAAGTTGTGCTCTTTGACGTAGTTGTATATTTGTATGTTTGCCTCGGAAGCTTCAGTTTGATTAAGCTAACATGTTTCTTAGCATGGCAAATCTTGCCCGGACAGCATCGCAGTTTTTCATCAACCTACTTTTCATTTTCGCGCTGACCATGACCATGTACTCGTTCTTCCGCGCCCTCGGAGCTCTATGTGCCTCACTAGACGTCGGTAAGTGACAAGACACCATGTATAGGAAAAAGCCACTGACAGTATCAAAGCAACACGTCTGACTGGTGTTGCTATACAAGCACTGGTTGTGTACACAGGTGAGTCTCATGCCATATCATAGAAAGTCGACATTAACACAAGTCTTCCAGGCTACCTGATACCTCCATGGAAAATGCACCCTTGGCTGAAATGGCTCATTTGGATCAACCCAGTCCAATATGCATTCGAAGCATTGATGGCCAACGAGTTCTACAATCTCAAGATTAAATGTGAAAGTCCCTACGTTGTCCCGGATGGGCCTGGGACATCGCCGTCCCATCAAAGCTGTGCAATCCAAGGGAGTAGCCCCAACTCATTGATTGTTGATGGATCCAAATACATCGAAACGGCATACACCTACAGCAGAGCCCATCTCTGGAGAAACCTTGGCATCATCATTGGGTGGCTGATCTTCTTCATCGCTTTAACCATGTTAGGAATGGAGTTACAAAGACCTAACAAAGGTGGAAGCTCGGTCACAGTGTTCAAGCGGGACGAGGCGCCCAAGGCAGTTCAAGATGCTATCGAGCATTCGGGTCAGCCAGCTGATGAAGAATCGGCAGAAAAGAAGGATATCTCTTTTGATACAAATGGCGATGAATCAAAGGACTCCGGGAATAAGGTGCACGGTATTTCAAAAAACACGTCCATTTTCACTTGGCAAGACGTCAACTATACCATACCCTACAAAAGTGGCGAGAGACAGTTGTTGAAGGATGTACAGGGCTATGTCAAGCCCGGTCGGCTCACTGCACTGATGGGTGCATCTGGTGCTGGGTAGGACAATCCCTCAACCCGGCTACATTTGATATTGACATCTGATCAGAAAAACTACACTGCTCAATGCACTGGCTCAGCGCATCAATTTTGGTGTGGTAAGCGGCAATTTCTTAGTTGATGGAAAGTGAGGATTCCCTGCCTACCAGTATTCAATTTCTAGTGTTTGTCTTACCATATTCAGGCCTCTTCCAAGAAGCTTCCAAAGGGCAACTGGATTCGCGGAGCAGATGGACATACACGAGCCTACAGCCACTGTGCGAGAATCTCTTCGATTCTCTGCCCTTTTACGCCAACCGAAGGAAGTCCCATTGCAAGAAAAGTACGACTACTGCGAAAAGGTGATCGATCTGTTAGAAATGCGATCTATTGCCGGTGCAACTGTGGGATCTGCGGGCTCAGGTCTCAACCAGGAACAGCGAAAACGTCTCACTATTGCAGTGGAACTTGCAAGTAAGCCTGAATTGCTATTGTTCCTGGATGAGCCAACGTCTGGTCTTGATTCACTTGCTGCGTTCAACATTGTACGATTCCTTCGGCGACTAGCCGATGCTGGCCAAGCTGTCCTCTGTACAATCCATCAACCTTCCGCTGTTTTGTTCGAACAATTCGACGAGCTTCTACTGCTGAAGAGCGGCGGAAGTGTTGTCTATAATGGTCCACTTGGAAATGACTCCAAGATGCTCATTGAGTATTTCGAACGGAATGGCGGCAAGAAGTGCTCGCCGTACGCAAATCCGGCAGAGGTGCGTATACCAGTGCTCATTTTTCTGCTTATACTGATTTGTTTAAAAGTATATGTTGGAAGTCATTGGAGCTGGAAATCCAGATTATAAAGGGCAAGACTGGGGCGAGGTGTGGGCCAACTCACCCGAATCCAAGCGACTTTCTGAGGAGATCGAGGGAATCATCTCTTCTCGCCGAGATGCCCAGAGCGACGAAGCAACCAAAGATAACCGCGAATATGCAATGCCCCTTTACGTTCAAATATTGGCAGTCACTAAACGCGCCTTCGTAGCCTATTGGAGGATGCCGGACTATATTCTTGTAAGTATTTAATGTGGAACCGACCAATTCACGACCTAACATATTTGCACCAGGGCAAATTCATGCTCCACATCTTCACGGGTCTCTTCAACACTTTTACCTTCTGGCATCTGGGAAATAGTTACATTGACATGCAATCGAGGCTGTTCTCTGCCTTCATGACCTTGACCATTTCCCCCCACTGATTCAACAACTTCAGCCTCAATTTCTACATTTCCGGGGCCTATATGAATCTCGCGAGTCTAACTCGAAGATCTACTCATGGGCCGCCTTTGTGACAAGTACGATCCTCCCAGAGCTACCATATGCCATTGTTGCCGGATCAGTATACTTCAACTGCTGGTAAGTGTGTTCTATCCCCCGAACGCAATCCCCCGGATCTCACTGATATGGGATAGGTACTGGGGCATCTGGTTCCCGCGCGACTCGTTCACCTCTGGCTACGTTTGGATGCTCCTCATGCTATTCGAGTTATTCTACGTCGGATTTGGACAATTTATTGCGGCTTTGTCACCAAATGAGCTCTTTGCAAGCTTGCTTGTACCTTGTTTCTTCACATTCATTGCTGCCTTCTGTGGTGTTGTCGTTCCATACGCCGCCTTGCCACACTTCTGGCAGTCCTGGATGTATTGGCTCACCCCATTCCACTATCTACTGGAAGGGCTCGTTGGTGTCGTTACACATAATGTGCCCGTCCGCTGTGTTGCGCGAGAAGAATCCCAGTTCAGTCCTCCATCTGGCATGACCTGCATGGAATATGCAGGTTCGTATGCTCAGAAGGCTGGTGGATCCGTGCGAGACGCTGGGAATGGCATGTGCTCATTTTGTCAATATTCAACTGGAGATCAGTTTGTGAGTTCACCCCTTAATCCTTCTCACCTGGGAGGAATGTGAGCACAGCTAATCGGAGATTATATTCCTTAGGCGAAAAGCCTTAACATATTCTATTCGCACAAATGGAGGGCCTATGTAAGTACTATCCTCTGCACCTCGTGGACTCAGAGCCTGACAGTCTCCAGGGCATCTTTTGGGGGTATGTCATCTTCAATTTTGCCGCGGTTTTTGCCTTCTCCTGGCTGTATTTGCATGGAGTTCGGGAGATGAAAAGATGGCTTAGCGAGCGCAAGACGAGAAAGAGTGAAGTCAACAGTTCGTGATGGTGTGAGAGTGTTTCATGCAAATAAATTTGGATATTTTGTGAATTGATAGTGAAGGTTATTCTCCAGCTTCGGACATAATTTACTATACCATCACATATAACACTCTTCCTATTCTCGGAAAGATTGAACTCTTATAGACTTCTTTTATTTACCCAAAGCTACAGGTGGACTATGCAGTGACATCCATGCAGCTGCACACAGTTGGTGGGGCATCCGATCAGTTACATCGCAATGACTACTCAATACCTGCATAGGTAGCATCGAAAGTGTTACACACGAGAGCATCAGAAGTAGATAAATCATCGTTGGCCCCCAATTGCACACGCTACATCTCCGCGCCCGAAAGCTTGGCATTCCCTTCGGAATCTTCCACCTCTCCATGCGACTCACCAATTCTGGCCTCGGTACTTGAAACTTCAGCCCTTTAGTTTCTATGCCATGACTGAATAGCTTTGAAAGCTCCACACCTATCTCGAACACGTCCCAGCTCTTCCAACCCCCTTCCGCCTCCTCAACCATGAAGGAAGAAGCCTCCAGGGACACGCCAGAAGGCTCGACTGCCGGCGACGACCAGTCGAACTCGAAAGCGAATCTCGCCTCCAAAGACCGCAAATGTCAGTACTGCCAGCAAGCCTTCACCTCCTCGTCCCTGGGTCGACACCTCGACCAATTCCTCTTCAAGAAGAAACCCGACGGTATCCACGATGTCGAAGAGATCCGCCGAATCCGCAGTGGGATCACCCGTCGCCAGGCCCGCACGTCTTCAGGGAAACATGAGGGTAGTCCTGAAAGGGGTCAGAAGAAGACACCGTCGGACTCGTACACAACAGCCGACACGGGGTCGAAGTCGCGGGAGGCTCCGGTGCGCATGATGTTTAACACGCCCACCTGGCATGCGACTGGTGTGATCAATGACCTCCCCAATCCCAGTCGTGTCCCGGATGGGCCTCGGCTTGCGCCGTCGCAATCTCGCGCTGGGTCGTTACAGCTGCCGGACTACGCGAGCAGAGGCGCTGGTTCCAGCAAACCAGATACGATGCGAGCGCTGGAGCTGGCGCTGCGCGAAGTTCTCGATAACATCAAAGCTGCGACGTACGTTAAGCTATCTCATTTTGAAACCATTTAAGCTGACAGAGAATTAGCTCTCGCGTACGGCCTCGTCTGTCACCATTCGATTTCGAGATTCACGCTCAAACCTTCCCCTCCCTGTGCCTGCAATTACTCCCTCCTCCACCAAGCCTGTTTGCACCGCAACCATTCCCCTCCTCGGATTCCTTCCCCATACAGGCTCCCGGTGCTGAGCACCGCGATATCGTTCGTCAGGCGCTCCGCTCCAAGGTTGCCCAATGGCAGACAGAACAACTCCAAGCAGCAGACTCTACCCAGACGAAACACCGTCATAGTGGCACGGACCAGAGCATGATATACCGCAATGCACAGCAACACGAGGAGATGAGTCTTCGACACTTGGAATTAGCCTACAACCATTGGCACTCCCTTACATACGAGACCCGTCGCGACACATGGCAGCTCGAGATCATGCGCGCATTCGCTCGGGAGGCAGAGAAGCGTAGGTCCGGGGATAAGCAACTTGCCCGCGTGCAACAAGAAGCAAACCAGCTTCGTGCACAAGTCGAGCGTCTCGGATCATGCCAGTGGCCTCGGGAGTTTGCGCTATTTCCCCCAGACACACTTCCACTACCACGAGAAGTAGCGCGGGAATTGGATGCCCAAGACAGCCAAATTAGTGCCGACTCAACACGATGGGACTATGACAACGTACTTGCAAAATGGAAACGCGTCGTCATGCACGATAAAGGCATGGGTCGGATTGGCGTTGGCTATGGTAATCCCAGCCCACTGATGGATGCAGACCAAGGCCAGCCACAGCCTGGCCAAAGTCCTGACCTTCGCCCACCGCGCCCTGGTGAGGATTCATCCTCTCACCCAAACCGTTTGCGTCCCTTGCAAACCGCTGCCGCTCTAAGTCCAGATGTTGGCGCTGCCTCTACACCTGCCTCGTCCACCCACTACGCTTCACCCCACTCCTATGCAGATCCCCGTAGCCCACCTAGTGGGCTGCCACAGGCTAAACGTCCGCGACTTATGAACTGCTCCGAGGGTCCGCCGGGGTCGTCGATCGAATCTGGCCCTTCTCCTGCCCCAGGCTCTGCAATTGGTAAACCCTGGGGACCTTCCACACCCCATCTTTCAAACATTGCTGCGCCATCGGGGCAAAGGCCTCCTTCCACATCCATGAACTGAGCGCACTTTTGATATATTGTTTAGGTAAGGCTTGGCAAGAAGATCTGCGAGGAAATAGCCTCGGCTGGTCGTATTTTCTGAGGCAGCCAACTTTGTCCATTGCCAGCGCTGTTCTCATGATTCCTATCATTGATACAATACATATATAATACGAGCATCTTTACTTCAAGAATCTTCACATGTGGTTCAAATGGGGTTACAGATACGTTAGTAAATTGATATTCGGTCTTATGGAGAGATGCCATATCACCGAAAAGCCTTCAGGCACTTCCTTTCGCGTCTCGAGCGATTTCCTCTCCCAGGTACTCAGCCAAAGTCAGCATCTTCTCCTCCTGCAATCTTCTTCCGACAAACTGCACCCCAACTGGAGCCCCATCATAGGTCTCGGCATCATCTATACAACAATCAGCGTGAACCAAACAAGCAAAACACGGAGTCAACTCACAATCCCATTTGATATACTCTAAACCATCTGCCGAACCATCGGCCGGCCGCACATCGACTGTCTTATCAGCAAAGGTAACCGGAATCGCCAGACTAGTATAGTCCAGCACATTCACGAAGCCAGTATACCCAACACTCTCATACTGAGTGGGAATTACAGCCGCATGAGGTGCCAGTGGGCAAAAGAGACCGTCGACAGGACGGCCTGTGCCTGTGAGATCAGCCGTACTGTTCCAGTAGTCCATGTACTGTTTCTGATATACGCGCTTGGCGACATTGTGCGCAGCCAACTCGGACACATTCATTTCCTTGCCGTCTTTGGCAACGATTACCTGCGGAGCTTGCTCTTCGCCGGAAAGGCCGAAATGGTGCCTGAAATCTGCGCCACCGTCCATATCGAATGTTTTGGCCTGTTTTGAATTAGCCTTTGGTCTGTTGAAGAATCACAGGGAGAGACCAGGAAATCCAAGCACATACACACAGCTCAATAGCAGTAGCATGAGAAGGAGGCTTCCACTCAACAACCCTATGACCAAGCCTCTGCAACGTTTTCACCACGATATCAATACCACGCGCAATAGGCGGATGAACAGGACCAACACCATCCCACCTCATAATACCAAAAGCAAGTGACGATCCAGCCCCAGCGACAGAACTCTCAATCAAAGCCTTCGTCTCAAGAACAATATCATCACGCCAAGGCACCTCCAACGCAAGCGGGTCATGCAACCAAGGGCTCTGCGAAAGAACAGCCTTAACCAACATCGTCAGTGACCTAGCAGTTGTCGCCAAAGGCCCAATAACAGAAAGAATAGTCCCCTGCCCATCCATCGAATTCGCAGCCCCTTGATACGGAATCCTACCAGACGACGGCCTCAGCCCATAAAGCGCATTAAACCCAGCAGGAATACGCACACTCCCACCAATATCAGTCCCAAAGCCTGCAGGCGAGCCACGCAATGCAATAAGCGCCCCCTCACCACCGGAACTACCACCAGAAGAGAGAAGACGGTTCTTAGGGTTCCAGGTATAGCCAATAATGTTGTTGACAGTCTCGCCGGCCATTAGAGTAGCTGGAACGCTGGTCTTGCAGTAGAGGATGGCGCCTAGGTTGCGGAGTTCGCGGACAAGTTCGCTTTCTTCTGTGCAGCGGCGTGGGTCGTTGGCTCGGCCTTCGAAGGTATTTATCCAGCCTACGTAGCCCATTGTTGTTTCTACGCCTTTGATGTGGAATTGGTCTTTTAGACTTATTGGGAGGCCATGTAGGGGGCCTTTGGGGGCTTTGTGCTTTGCGAAGTAGGCGTCTTGGTCTTTTGCGTCTTGGAGGGCTGCTTCGAAAAGGATTTCGTGGAGGCAGCTTACCTTTATGGTTATTGAGGTTAGTATGCTTGTTTATTATTGGGTTTATATGTATAAAGGGAGAGTCTCCGTTGCAACGTACAAGTTGGTGAGCTAGGGCAGCTCGGTGACAGAAGGCCTCCGTGACTTCGACCGCGGACCAGTTCCCAGTGGTTGTTTGTGCTGCAATATCTACTGCGTCTGTCTCTGTGATTTCGATCTCACGGTCTGTCAGGTATTGTCGAATGTAAACTGTGACATCGCGGAGCTCGGTGGCTGGAGGGACGGGGTCCTGGAATTGCCATTTCTCAGGGATAGCATTGAGGATGGACTGCCGTTTGGCTTCCCCTTGAGTGCGCCACGCTGGCTCTGTCATTTTGAATGGGATGGTAAACTTATAGATGATGTTTATGTTTGGGGTTATGTATGTGTAGAGCGACATTTTATATGGGGAGCTGTTATCTGTGCGGGGCTGTTGGAGTCGGTTGGAGACACAGGCTTATCACTCTACTTCGGACGAATTGGGGTTATTTTCATTCTATTCACTCTATCTGGTCTAACTGATTCGTCTGATGGATTGGCACGGGCTATCTCTAAATACCGGGGCAGGGGAACTCCAAATGTGCGGTTACTCCCGCCAACAGGTAATAGACGACGGGTCAGTTCTTTCCAAGAACGTCATACGAGAACATTTTGATATAGCGCGTGCCCGCCTAGAACTCACGATCTAAAGTGGATAGGATCTGCATTTTCTGGTTTAGATATACTCTGCGCTGTCTTTGGAAGCATGGGTAGTTGGCGTCTGCTGGACGTTTAGGGTAATTCGCTTGCCGGACATCCAGCCCTCCCACATCTGGTAAGGACCAGGGGGCATCCCCGGAAGGTTCTCTCCAAGCGATGGCCAGTTGGATAGCCACGCAGGGCAAGTTGAGGGCAGGATCTTCGGTACTCCGTGCCAAGCGAAGCGCGACGCGCCATTCATGTAAACCGTATCTCCTGATCGAAGCCGCAAGATCTTGCAGCCATTACCGTCATCATGACTAGCTAAGAACAGCCCATCGCAGCCAAAGCTCACACTGATCAGACCCGACTCGCCATCCTTGGTTACTTCTCGGTGAATGCTTTGGGTGTCTCTGGTCGAGTGGATGTCCACGATGGCTGCGTGGGGTGATGTTTCTGGAAAGGCTGCGCTCAGTAGTTTCGCAATATCCTGTGGAATTACCGGCGGGCTTTCCCCTGAGACCATACTGGCGGTCCTGTCGTGTTCTCCCCGAGAGCGATCCAACGTAGTCTTTTCTCCAAGAAGCTCTGGACATCCAGTGGCTCGTGCAGTCGAGGATCCTTTGGCTGAAATGTGCGAGTGGGATCATCTCCAAAGAACGACTTTGGGGAGTGGTTTTCTTCATCTTCAGGGTAGGTCACATCGTAATGTAGATGTACGTTGGTCTGATACTCGGGATTGGACAAGTCTCGATGGAATAGGCGGGACAGAAGTTCAGTCTGGACCGTGGTTGGAAACAGAGCAGGGATCATAAGTAGACCTGGTAAGTGGTCAGGCATAGTTCTTGGTCCTGTGCCTGTGGGAGTTAGTGATGTAAGGCAATTTAATGCTAACCGGAGATCAAATTATGGCTGTAGACTGGGATGTTCTCCGTCATTGGAGCATCCTCTTCTGCCGGTGCATGACCTCCTCGAATAAAATCATCAAAGGCCAATCGTAGTTCTTGGCTGGACAGGTGCTGCGCGATTGTTACTCCGTGTGGCAGCTGGTCGGGGTCGAGTTGCCGTAGATCGATAATGCCAGGATGGTTGTCAACCTCATCAATTGCAGAGTATTCCTTGTAGCAGTCCCTGATAGGCCCAGGAGGGAGATCTTGAGCACTCAGACCCTTGATTTGAGCCATGACGGGATGTGAAGCCGGCCGGGGAGAGAAGGGCGAGTCAAGGTACGCGCTCACCGCCTGGCAGGCGCGGGGGTTGTTTGTTTGTCTTTCTCTCCCCACCATACAATAGTTTCGTCAATCTCTTCACCACATTCATATTCGCTGATTTCCTGGGGGAATTTGGAGCTTGCGGTACTCGAGCTCCCACGCAGATCCACAGAGTAAGTAGTGGCAAGCCTCCCCTTCTCCTTGCTTCCTCAAATTCTCCCTGGCAACTTCTCTCCAATCCGCACCACGTCCCATTTCAATCCTCTTTCAGACATTCTCTAAGCTCGTTGGAAGCAGATAAGGATCGAATGACGGTCACCATGGATAATTATCAGAAGATTGAGAAAATTGGTGAAGGTATGTACCATGAACGCGATTGGTGTCAGCCACAGCCCAACTTACGCGTTGATACTGGCAGGAACCTACGGTGTGGTCTACAAGGCCCGCGAACTGAACCACCCCAACCGTATCGTTGCCCTTAAGAAAATTCGCCTCGAAGCCGAAGATGAGGGTGTGTCCAGTACCGCCATTCGCGAGATTTCGCTCCTGAAGGAAATGAAGGACCCCAACATTGTCCAGCTGCTGAACATTGTCCACGCCGACGGCCACAAGCTTTACCTCGTCTTAGAATTCCTCGATCTTGATCTTAAGAGATACATGGAGGCTCTTCCTGTCAGCGACGGTGGTCGGGGCAAGCCCTTGCCTGATGGATTCAAAGCCGGCACCAGCCTCGGCCTGGGTGATGCAATGGTCAAGAAGTTCATGGCTCAGCTCGTTGAGGGCATTCGCTACTGTCACAGCCACCGCATTCTTCACAGAGATTTGAAGCCCCAGAACTTGTTGATTGACCGTGAGGGTAACCTCAAGTTGGCCGATTTCGGTCTGGCACGCGCATTCGGTGTTCCCCTCCGCACTTATACCCACGAGGTAAGGATGACTTTAGCATTGCTCAAATCCGATTACTGATTAGTCTTCTAGGTTGTCACATTGTGGTACCGTTCTCCAGAGATTTTGCTCGGTGGTCGCCAATACTCGACTGGTGTTGACATGTGGTCTGTGGGTGCTATTTTTGCAGAGATGTGCACTCGCAAGCCTCTCTTCCCCGGTGACTCGGAAATTGATGAGATTTTCAAAATCTTCCGGTGAGTGAGATATAGAATTGGCCTGGGTCCAATACTAACAAGCATAGTATCCTCGGTACCCCCGGCGAAGACACCTGGCCCGGCGTCACCTCGTTCCCCGACTACAAAGCCACTTTCCCCAAGTGGAAGCGCCCCGATGTTGAGATCGTACCTGGACTGGAGGAAGCTGGCTGTCAGCTTCTAGATGCCCTGCTTGAGTTTGACCCGGCTCACCGACTGTCCGCCAAGCAGGCCTGCCAGCACCCATACTTCCGTAACGGCAGCTCATACTACTCTGGCCGTGGCCAGCAGAATGGTTTCCACTAGGATGATAACGATATCCCGTCTTCTGTGTAATGACAGGAACCCCGGGCTTTATTTCTTTTATGTGCGGCGTTCAACGGGGAGTGACATGGAGGGCGGGCTTACTGGATGTTACGAAAGTGCTTTAGTGAATACAGGCGTACATACCCCTTCTAGCCCTGTAAGCAGGCTTGAGTTAAACCGATGTGACGGTGTCATCTGAATATCAGCCTCTGGGTCTTTCAGCCTCTCTTCCCGTAATGGCAATGCAAGGGCCCAAGAGCGCGACCTCGTGTCAGCGCTGCGCCCCGTAGAATCTTGGAATGAGAATACCTTAGTTGCACCGGGACCTGACTATTTCCTCTACTATCCAATAAGGACCTGGTGTCATGAAACGACACGCTAGCTGCAGAAGCAGTGCTTATGGTCCTATGGGGATGGGGGGGGGGGCAAGCTGAAGCAGAATTGGGGGCCAGAAATGCCTCCGTCAGATTCATTCGCTTACCAGACGCACCTGCAGCCTTATGAACGCCCCCAATGTCTATGGGGGTCCAAGCCAGCGAATCAGTCTGTGAGATTCACAGCTGAGGCCATGGCGGCTCGGGGTGGCCGTGCAAGAGGGGGACCTTTCTGTTCTATTAAGACCAACACGCCCTACACCTCCCTCTCTCTATTCTCTTTTCAGCAACTCTGATGGTCAATGAAGTGACCACGACCAGTGCAATATAAGAAAGAGTTGCCCAGGTCAGATCCACCATCGGGCTTCCCAGGAGCAAAAGACACAGGGAACGAAGCTCCCCAAAAGACCTCAAGACCCCCAGTTATCCAAATCAGATCCAGATCAAACCCCCAAATATATCTTCCTCAATCAAAACCATGGAGTTCGACGACGAACTAATCCAAATGGGCTACGGCGCCCCTCCACCCCCGACCTCATCGCGCTCAAACAGCCGCCCACCACCACGCGCACGCTACCAACCACCCCAAGAATCCGTAAAGCAATTCTGGGAACAATTCAACACAAAATATCCAGGCAAAGTATATACAGTCCTGCCCGACAACCCGTACGCACGCACGCGCGCAAAGCATGTTCCCAGCGGCCGTATCCAAGGCCATGAAGCCGTCAAATCATATGAGCAGGCTCGTCGCGAGTGTCTGAAATCCGTCAGTCGGATTGTGAAGGAGTGTGAGCGGGTTAATCAGAAATATACGGATCCACACTTTGATATTGAGCTTGACTTGAAGTCTGGAAGGAGGCATTATCTTGATGGGTTGGATAAGCCTAATGAGGAGATGAGGCCAAGGGGTGTTAAGAGGGTTACTGTAAGTTGGTTTTCTTTTCTTTTTCCCTCTTTTCTGTTTTTCTCGTCTTCTAGAGATTTGAATTGGGATGGGATGCTGATTCGTGGCGGCATAGGAAATCTTTGAGAAGCCTCAGTTTTTCGTTAATGGGCCTACGGCTTCGGATGTTCGTCAGGGATGTGATGGTGATTGTTGGCTTATGGCTGCGTTGTGTACTATGGGTAACAAAGAGGAGCTTATCGAAAAGATTTGTGTGGCTCGCAATGAGATTGTTGGTATTTACGGCTTTGTTTTCTACCGAGGTATGGCACATCCATTCTAACCTGCGATTGTGTTTCCTGCTAATTTGATGGTCAGATGGCGAGTGGCAGCAATGCATCGTGGATGACAAGCTCTATTTGCGTGCGGCGGACTATGATGAGTCTGTGGATGAACGACCCATCTGGGATGATATCAACCGCCACGACACGGAAGAGGAGTATCGACGAGTCTGGCAGACTGGCTCGCGGGCTCTCTACTTTGCGCAGTGCGTGGATGAAAATGAGACTTGGTTGCCGCTTCTTGAGAAGGCTTTTGCCAAGGCCCATGGTGATTATTCTGCAATCGAGGGTGGCTTTGTTGGTGAAGCCATCGAAGATCTCACAGGGGGCGTCACTTCCGAGGTTTTGTCTAGCAACATTCTCGACAAGGACCGATTCTGGACCGAGGAGCTCATGAAGGTTAACAATGAATTTCTCTTTGGTTGTGGCACTGGTATGTTCTCCAACTGGTTGGATCCTAAGTATCGGGGTCCTCCCAGGGATCGCAAGGGCATCTCGGAGAATCACTCTTATTCAATCATGGAAGCTCGGGAGATTGATGGACATCGGTTGCTTAGGCTCAGGTATGTCAACTGCAAATGAATACCAAGGACCGACAAGCTCACCATTTTAGGAACCCCTGGGGCCGCAAGGAATGGCATGGTGCTTGGGGCGATGGATCCAAAGAATGGACACCCGAGTGGATGAAGCTACTTGGCCACAAGTTTGGAAATGACGGGGTGAGTGTTGCAGTATCTGGGATCTGTTTCTATACGCTAACATAGAGCAGTTCTTTTGGATCTCTTACCGAGACCTCCTCAAGAAGTACCAGCACTTTGACCGGACTCGTCTTTTTGGACCTGAGTGGATTATCGCACAGCAATGGACTACATTAAATGTCCCCTGGTCTGCAGATTATCACAGCACCAAATTTATGATGGACGTAACCAAGAGTGGCCCGGTTGTCATTGTGTTATCACAAGTATGTGTCCGCCGTGCTCTGGCAAGACTATATTTGTTAACGATTATAGCTGGACACACGTTACTTCAAGGGTCTCGCTGGCGAGTACAGCTTCGTGCTCAAGTTCCGTCTACAGAAAGAGGGCGAAGAAGACTACCTCGTGCGCAGCCACAGCAGCCATTTCATGGCCCGATCCGTCAACGCCGAGATCAACCTCGACCCAGGTCGCTATCACGTCCTGATGAAACTCACAGCCTTCCGACACGACGACGAGCCGACAGAAGCAATAGTCCGCCGTGTCGCCTCAACCCGACGCGAAAAGCTCGTGCAAGTCGGCCTTTCATATGACCTCGCCCATGCCAAGGGACTGGTAGGCCAGACTGACCAAGAAAAGCGAGAACTGGATCAATTCGCCACAATCAAACGCAAGAAGCTACACGAAGAAATCAAGAAAAAGATGCAAAAGGACTGGATCCGCAACCAGAAAATGGCCGCTCGGCAAGACCGACAAGAGCGCATGGCCGCCATGCGTGCTACTCGCACCCCCAACGGCAGCTCTTTCGACCGTAGTCCTGAGCGCAGCCCAATCCCAACCCAGATCCTCTCCGACGTTCCAGTTAATCAATCCCCCACAGACGTCGCAAGTATGTGTTGCGATAGCAGCGACCGACGCGCCTCCTCTACGAGCGGCTCTGTGCCAACAATCCACGTCAACGGCAGCAAAGGCCTGCATGAAAGACACGCCAGTAGAAATGGCATGAGACGAACTGAATCCCCGCGTCCAAGTCTGGATAGTCGTATTTCCGCAGACACGCTCGACCCCAGTGATTTGGAGCTACTGGAAGGGTTTGAGTTCGACAGTGATCTCGATGTACCTCCCGAAGATGCGGATTCGAAGTGCCACCCGCCGATAATGGACCAGGATGGGCCTGCTGTTGATCCGTGGAATGCTGTTTGTGTGGTCGGCCTGCGTGTTTACTCTATGGATCATATGCTCAGCTTGCAGGTTGTGCATCCTGTTCCTGAGGATGATACTGAGGCTCCTTTGGATCGGGATGACCCTGCTGCGTCAGCGACTACTTTCCAAAGGGATTCGTATTCCTGGAAGGATTCTTGGAGTAGTCAGCTTCCATTCTGATGTATTTGTTGAACCTGTTGATAGGTTGTAAGATAAAGCGTTTCGAGGCCGTGGTTTCTTACGTGTTATATTTATTTTCGATTTAATATGGACTTTGATTACCATCTGCCTAGCATGCTGCTTTGTACCGTAAAGAGCGGAGGGTATATTGATACCTGTGTCTAGCTTCTCCCCTTTTCTGTTTTCTATACCTTCCAGTCAAGCTTAGCTTCTCGTTAGACTTATCCAACCTATTGTATAGCCCATTTACCTTACAGCTCCTAACCCTGTCAACGACACTCTAGCGGATCCTTTTATCCCATACATGTAGATCACCGACTCGGCTTACGGTCCACGCGCGAGACCTTTGCTAAAGAGACCTAAATAGCTACAACGTCAAAAGATAGATCCAAGCATCAGGACCTCAAAAGGTGGAGGATTCATGGCTATTTTCTGGAACGTGAAACTTGACACCATCTTAGACATCTCTCTAGTTAAGCAGTATGTGATCTTTTTGTGCAGAGATAATCCAAATACTTCAAGAATGACACTATATACATATTGTGATCCTTGTAACTTGGGGAAAAGTTGAGGCCTGACTCCTCAGGCGACCATCGCCCAAAGCCAACATGCAAAGCGAACTCTCCGCCATACCCTAACCAATCTTCACAAAATCCCTAACTACATACTTCGATGGTATTATGCGAGCCATAATCTGTTCATCTCGGGGAGTCACCCTCTTCATACAAACCAGAAGAGCCGGTCGCGTTTCCATCGCGTGTTTCCGAGGCGTGCGGTATTCCAGCGTTTCATCGGATTGCGTCGATGAGACACTCTTGCTTCCCATCGGAAACAATGGATCGATTGATTTGAAGTATGAAAAGTTCGCCTATGTTCGAAATAGTGACCAATGCTAACCGTATCCCTAGAATTACGCGACCAAGCACATTACGCTCAAATGAGGCAGCACCCGTCGGTCCAAATGTGATTCTCTATCTTCCACCAGGACCTTTGTTCCAGGATCACCATACGGAAGCATCTAAGATAGATGGAGATCCAACATTAAATGTTGATCATGCAAAAACCGGGGATATGCAAGCTCCAAACCATGCACCCTCACCACAACATGTTCTAGCAAACACTGCATCAGCAGTGGTAGTAACAGTCAACTACCGTCTCGGAGAGACCAAACAACAAATATCTTCCCCTTTATCAACCTCAAATCAACAAGGGCAAATTGAAACCCTGGATCCAACAAACACAAACCCTCAACCAGAAACATACAAATACCCAACCCCAGTCCACGACACTCTAGCCGGCTTCGACTGGATCCAAGCCAACCTACAACCCTCAAAACTAGCAATATACGGTACCCACATCGGCGGATCCCTAGCGCTCATGCTAGCCCTCACAGAAGCGCAATCAATCCACGCAGTAGCAGCCACAAACCCAGTCTGCGACTGGCCCAGCCTGGACGAATATTGCACAAGAGAAACCACCATCACCAACATAGACATCGACTCAGAAAACAATGGCACGCCACCATCAACAGTCGCCCAAAAACAAAAACGCCACCCAAGAAAAAGAATCGCACCAAAAGATCTGGTCCCTCTCCTACGCGCCCGCGAACGATTCTTCACAGCCCCAGAACGCTGCTTCGACTCCTTCGCCTCACCAATCCTCTTCCTCCGCTCTGCAGGGCGCGAAGTGCCGCGTACATTCCCGAGTTATCTCACCGGACCGGAGTATCCAGTTCCCGTCCTGCGGAATACGCGGAATATGACAGCTGCTGAGCAATATGATGCTGCTGACGGGTCGCTTTGGGATCGGGATGTATATCCCAATATCGATTCTGAGGAAGGGGATGGTGATGGGATTGATAATCTCCCTGGTACGGTGACTCGTCGGCGGAAGGCTCTTTCACGGTGGCCGCCTTATGGGCTTGATTATGGTCTTAGCGGGAAGAATTGGTCTGGGCCTGGTGATGGGATTCGGAGGTTGGAGGTTTGTTTGCCTTTTGTTAGGGTCTTTGCGGGGGATGGGGTTGGGGAGGGGCTGGATGCGTTGTCTGAGGGTGAGGGTGAGGGTTCTTTGGCTCGGAAGGGTGGGAAGGGGAAAGACGGGAGTGTTGGGACTACGGTTCTTGCGCGGCAGGCTGAGGAGATGGTTTCTGTGATGCGGAGGGCTTGCTTTTGGGGGAGGGAAAAGGGGTTTGGGGAGCGGAGGGTTGTATTGTCTAAGGTTCTGAGTGACGTTGATCAATCAGGGGAGGTTGGGGATTGGTTTAGGTATGTGTTTGAGGCGACGATGGATGATGTTGATTAAATAGGGATGATAGACTTGATATAGAGGGTTTCTCCAATCTGGTTATGGGCCACCATCAAGAAAGAACAGTAGTCCAATCGTGCAATTATATCTTGTCCAATTCATAATTCAAGAATATCGTCCCAAAATATATTGACTTAAAAACAACATGTTCAGAAGGTAAAGGATGAAAACAAGAAGAATGAGAAACACATCAACGAATCTCCATACTCCGATCCCCAGTCTATTCTATTCTATCTACAAACATCAACAACAACTCGATCAATCATAAAGATGGCCCTCCCCCCATACCAGAGGCATCATTAGGGGGCTGCCACCACCCATCAATATCCCCAAGATCAGCTAGCATATTAGGATCTTCAGGGAACGGCGGGGAAGACATTTGAGCCATGCCATTAGGGGGAGCATGGGTGTTTTCATTCGCGCTCGCGCCGTGAGTTTCGGAGAGAAGGCGTAAGTCAGAGTCCCGGATCCAGTCCAGGTCACCAAGCTGGGAGGCGGAGAAGGGTTCTTGGTATGATTGTTGTTGATGAGGTGGAAGAGGTTGTTGAAGGAGATGGTGTTGCTGGCTGGGTGGCATAGCAGAGCCCGATTGCATATGAGGCTGGGGCTCAGAGACAGAGAGACGTGATTTTTTGCGCGAGCTATCTACCCTCTGGGCATTGGCAGAAGGACCATATTGTTTCGTTGGAGGATGTGAAGACATCGATTGCAGGTTAGCACTGCTGTTCTGACGCTTTGTCGCTGAGCCTGAGCGACGCATATGTGCTTGCCAGCGTCGCTGGAGAGTGACAAGGTAATCGCGGGTGCGCTTGGCGTTCTCGAAGGATTGGCCCAGTTCATCGAGAGCGCGGAAGCAAAGATTGAGGTAGGCGACCATCTCGGCGCTGCGGGGGTATGTTGGACTGTTGCCGGATTTGCCGGGACTCATGGGGGAGCTGGAGACTGTTACAAAGAGAAGCATCAGGGCTGCACTGAATATTATCGCCACGACTTGGTTGTTCATGCGGCGGAATGTGTAGTGCTTTTCATATAGATGGAGGAGGCGTGCGACAGCTGTGGCGGATTCGACGCACATCCGGCGCGCGTGGTGGTAGCCTGGGCCTTGTCGGGGAGCTTGGGGTTGGATATAACTCTTCGAAAGCCAGGGACGGTGGAAGAAGATGATGATTTGGTGGTATTGCATGCTGATGAATTGTTAGTATATTATTACTGTATAGAGAGAAAGTCTGAGCCTACTGAAGCATCATCAAATGAGGTAGCTTTGGTGAGATATCATCGTCCAAGTCAATCTCTAGGCTGGAGGGTAGATTCTCTTTCCAAGCGAACAAGTCTTCGGTCACTTGGTAGCATAATCTTTGCAAGTCATGACGAGAAATATCAGAGCATCCATACCTTGAGTCATGTTAGCAGTGTCTATGAGAAAGGGGAAAATACCTCATACAAGATATGACCAACTGGAGAAATCATCTCCCACAAGACGACAAATTGTCTGCAAATCAATTCCGTAGGATTCTTTATCCCACTCCGAAGCATTCCTTGAGCGGCTTGATGTCCATATGGATGCCATGTACCTTCCTTTTCTGGCCCGAGGGAAGAAGCTGGTTTCGGAACACTAATATCTCCAGCATTCATGCGGAATGGGCGTCCTAAGTAGAAGCCCCAGAAACTGTGGTTGTTAGAAGGTTCCACCAAGGAGATAGAAAAAAATACTTACTGGTCAGCGACATAGCTTCCCCAGAATGCTGCACGGCGTACATCCGCCTCGGCTTGAGTGATATCGCCCCTATTGACGTATGTCGACATATCCAAATGGAGACCAAGATCGAAAGCAAGGCGCATAGACATCCCTGTGAGTTGATAAGTATTGTTGCCTAGATTCCCCCTTGTAAAAGGAAGTGCTTACCGCTATACAGCCAACCGCGAGCATCACGGTTTGAGGCTCCTTCGTGACAGCTCATGATAACCAAAGCCTGAACAGTCGCTACACAGGGAGAATCAAGTTCAATTTCCAGCAGAGCCTTGGCACGGTCTGCAAAGAACTCAGAAAGAGACTTGGGGAACGTGATGAAGGTGGGGTGGTAACGTGCTTCGAAGGCACTCCCAATTGCACACCTGTAAAGAGTCAATATAATGCTTCCAATTCCATGTGGTAAACTTACATCGCATTAGTCAAAACCTCAGAGTAAAAAGGTGTATCATCAAACTCATTTCGCCATTTAGATCGTGCAGCCATAAACATCTCCTTATCAACCACATAAGTACTCGGATTCTGCCATGTGAAATAAAGCTCCACAAGATGATCCTCAAGAGCCTGATCGACAGGCTGTCCGACCCTCAGATGATTCAAAATATCCTGGCCATCATGACGGACAGTACGCGCATCTGGTCGCTGCCGCTGCTGAGTCGCAGAAACATCCACCAGGTTGAGGTTAGAAGTAGCACCGTAGAATCGGAGGTGACCGTCTCCGGCAATTTTGAGAGTCCCAATACGATGGGATAACTGCTCGATAACGTCGTTCTCTGCTTCGTCCTCTTCTCCGCTGTCTGAATCATGCTCCGCATTGGGCGGTAACTGGCCTAGTTGGGCACCAGCTTGCGGGACCATGTCTATGCCTAGCTGTAGACTATCCGGGCTGAGGCCGTTGTTGATGGGCATTCCGGGAACATGTACACCGGTTCCACCGGGTCCTCCATTGAGATTGGTTCCTCCATTGAGATTGGCGTAGATGTTGTCCAAGCTTTCTGCGGTTGGCAATGTAAATCCCCAATGGACGAAGTTCTGATTGTCGGAAGCACCACGCACCATCCCAAAGGGGTTCCAACCCTCGGGTGACGGGAATTGTCCACTTGAAGCCGTATCCTGCGCTGGCGATACACCGGGAGCAACTAAATCGGTCGTCGGGTTTGGTACGCCGGGACTTGCAGCGGGCGGACTCTGGGAAGGAGATTGACCTGGGATCACAGGTGATTTTGTTTCAACTGGCGGCTGTTTCCCGACAACAGGACCTGCAACCGCCGACGTTTGAGGGAACCCGCGCGGAATCTGGAGGGTATCCAGCACCCTATTCATACCGGCTTCATCATCCGGTTTCATGGGCGGCGGTACTAGCCCCTGATCCTGAATAAAGTAGCAAAGCTGATCAATCCGAGCAGAGAACAGCTCCGTTGCAGCTCGTAAGGACACCCTGGAATATCGATTAGCCGCTGGACAGTTGGACACTTCACATTTTGCCACTGCGCATCTTGGAGTAACTGCGAAGAGTGATTGAGGTGCACACTTACTTGCGCTTGTCGTCCCCATGTTGGTATTTGCATTCTTTTCCTTTGCGCTGACAATTCTGGCAGTGCGGAGTTGCTCCGTCACACTGGTCGCAATGGGCGCGTTAGATTTTGTCCCCGCATAATGAGGCGCGTTACACTGCGCGGGCACGTACCCTGATCTTGCTCTCTCGGCATGGTACACAGGCCGTTGTGACATGCTTGCGCGGTGCTTTTTTTGTTCTTTCTGGGTCTGGCGACATGGTTTCGAGACCACGACCCTGTCGTGGAAAGTTGGGGTAAGATGCGGAGGCGGAGGCGGCGGTGCGGGAGATGAGATCGCGATGACTGATGACTTCCACGGAAGGAAATAGCACTGATTACGTTAACTCATAGTTGGAAATCATTGTCTATGAAGAAAGATGGTCGTCGCTGAGAACTGAGAAACCCCAGAAAATTGGGGGCGGGGGAAGGTCCACAGCGGCGGCCTATGAAATGGTGGGGGATAAGCAGGTCAAGTGACCCTCAAAAGTCTTTTTATAGTCCAATATGTTACTCTGTACTTGTACTTCCAATTATCTACCAGTTAGATGTGCGCTTGATCTTCTCGTTCTGCACAACCTCAATCCAATATCCATCGGGATCCAAGACAAATGCAATGTTGTGCATCCGCCCGTCGGTCAGGCGCTTCTTGAAGTTGACGTTGAGCGTCTCGAACCGGTCGCACGCAGCCTGGAGGTCATCCACCGAGATACCTCGTCGGGGTTAGCAAATTCAGATAATGCATGCTGTATGTCACTTACAGATGTGGCCGAAACCCTGGGGCTCGGTGTTGCCGTTGTGGTAGACAGGACCCTCCTGCTTCTCAGTGCCGTAGTTCCAAGTCAACTCGAGCAGACCCTCCCAATCCGCAACTCCGTTCTTCGTACCTTCCTTGATCTCCGGGTTGGAGGCAGGGTATCCCAGGAAGTAGAGGTTGAACTTGTTCTCCGGGTTCTCAATGGTGCGGACGAGGGTCATACCCATGGACTCCTGGTAGAACTTGATACTAGCCTCGGCATCCTTGACGCGCAGCATGGTGTGGTTCAGACGGTAGCTGCCGGGGTCAGTAGTGGTACCCATATCCTCGTCGGCGCGACGGATGATCTCAACCCAGTAACCATCGGGATCCTTGGCGAAGGCAATGTGGCGCATACGGCCCTCTGTTAATTTCTTCTGGAAGGGGTAGCCGGCATCCTCGATGCGCTTGCAAGCAGCTTCAATGTTGTCGACTGAGATGGCGATGTGGCCGAAGCCGCGGTGCGGCTCTGTGTTGCCGTTCACCACACTGTAGTTGGGGTCATTTTCGGTACCGTAGTTGTGGGTGAGCTCCAGCACAGCGTTGCGGTCGGTCCAGTGGCGGTCACCTTGAAGGGAGGCTGGGCCGTTGTAGGCCAGGAAGTAGTTGCAGAACTTCCATTCCGGCATGTCGATCTTGTTCACTAGGCTGAGGCCGAGGAATTTGTAGAACTCCACTGATCGCTGCGGGTCCTTGACCCGCATCATCGTGTCTATACATCCATTGTGTCATTTTGTGAGAAGCTTGTGCGAGCTGGTGGTGGGACGAACGGTTAAGCTTATATGTGGAGGTATTGGTAGCCATAGTTGCTAGAGATCGTGCGTCTGCAGACTCGTTAGTGATTGGCCAGTCTGAATTCAAATGTACATACTTAATGGTTTGAGGACCCCGAGAGAAAGACGTGAAAACATTGGCAAGTCTTAAGCTAGAGGGGAAGAGCTTTTGTCAGCCGTGAGGGGAGTGTGGGGCACATGACGCTATGTCTTTACTTCAATACCTTCACCTTCTCTACTTGCCAGGGTTTTTAGAAGTCTTTATCTAGGTATGTGCCAAGTCTGTATAGGTAGTAATATTAATCACAGCCATCTTACGTTGTTGTACATGTCATCTACGGGGCTTGTGGCATTCCGGGAGGACCGGCAGTCACTCAATCGGGTCCCTTGACTTCTTACATTCAGTAAGCAAAATACCTATCACTATGTACCTTTTCGTCTCCTCAACCTTCCCATTTGAAGCTTTTATCAAGCTCCGAGTACAGGATCTGTAAATTCCAACTACATCACGTGATACGACGATATTGGTGCCTCAGAGATAAGGCTACAGTACTGCAGCCAATCAGGATATTCTGCGCAAGTTACAGCATGTATATTCACACTTTTTTGTACAATAACATTTACCCTCAAAAGGCATACTGATAGCCCCAGACACCGGGGAAGATATTCTTCGAGTAAATAAAAAGACGCCAAAGCACGGATTCGATCCCTGAGATGACTCGATTCAAACCTAAATAGATTTCCTCTTTGGGAACAACGTGAGGTATGATGGTAGTTAAGGAGAAGAACCTCAGCCGACATCCCCCATGGCCGAGCCAGCTCATCAGTCTTGACGTGTACGCACCCTAATGCCGTCACTACTGTATGCCACCTGTGGGCCGAAAGTAACGGTTTCTCACCACACGGAAATTGTATGGGGGTGGACTCTCTGCGCATACGATTTCTTGGGGGAGGGGGATGGCTCCGGGCGTGTCCGGCTATTTTTTGCGTTTTGAATTCTCGTTTATTTCTTTATGCTCTATAGAGTACATGTACAGAGTCTATACGTGAAGTCTTCCTCTTTATACTGGCAGTCACCGCCCACAGATCAAGTTAGTCTTGACCGCCCGTATGAATCTAGATTGCCCAGGCAAAATACTGCAGATTGTAACACTCCATTCTTTGGCAATATGTTGGACGTCACTTTAATACTATCAGCCGGCTTGGCTCTCTTGCTGGGATATGTGGTAGTTAACCGGCAGGACAAACATCAGCCTCTCGAACCACCCCTGATCTCTAGTCCAATTCCAGTGATCGGCCATCTCGCTGCATTCATTTACTATGGTCTTCAGTACTTTCCTTCGCAGAGGTAGTGTCCATGTTCACAAGTGACTCCGTACATCAAATTGACCGATACAGTGCCAAAACCCCCCTTGCCCGCCTTCAGTCTGGACATGCTCTTCAACAAGGTGTATGTCATCAAATCTCCAGAGCTGGTCTCAGCCGTAAGGCGCAATCACCGCTCTATGTCCTTTGAGCCCGTATTCACCCGTACAGCAGAGTGTGTCGGGGGCATCAAAGGTCCTGGCCTCCAACTTCTCCGTGGAAAAGAATCCCAGGGCCAAGGACTTGGGCATCACACAGTTACCAATATGCGTCCCACCCTGCTAGGCGAAGGATTAGACGAGATGAACACGAAGATGATCGAGTGTGTTCAAAAGAGTGTCCAGGAGTTGAGATCTCATTGTCACACGGTTGATCTCTATGACTGGTGTACACTTGCAATGACCATTGCCAGTACAGATGCAATTTATGGACCGCATAATCCCTACAAACAGCGGAAGGCCCGCGATTCCTACTGGTAAATTGCAGAGTCCCTTGGAAGCACTGCTCGTACCATCAGAACTGATCAGTCGTATAGGGAAATTGAGAATAACCTAAGCTATCTCATGATGGGTTTCGCACCCTGGCTGATTGCACGGAAAGCATGGAAGGGTCGCGAACATCTCTCGAATGCCTTCCTCGAGTACTACAAAGCCGACGGACATCTCAAATCGTCACAGCTGGCATACACACGCTGGAAAACACAGCTTGATGGCGGAGCCACTCTAGAAGATATAGCCCGACTGGAAGCAGTCATGGGCCTTGGGATCCTCTCCAACACAGTCCCCACCAGCTACTGGGCAATTTTCGACCTTTTCTCACGCCCAAAGCTACTGGAAGAAGCCCGGGATGAGATCCGGCGGAACGCGATATCTGTCGACTTGGAGGGACTCCATACAGTTGATCTAGCAAGCGTCCAAGAGAAATGCCCTCTACTACTTGCATGTCTGCAAGAAACCCTCCGAATTCGCTCCAACTCAGCCCAGCTGCGTTTGATATTCGAAGATACCATGCTGGGCGAATCATGTCTAGTCAAAGCGGGTTCGATCCTAGTAATGCCATCTGCAGTTATCAACCGCAGTGAATCGGCATGGGGACAGGATGCGGAAACCTTCGACCCACAAAGATTTATAGATCCAGAAGGTAGGAGGACGAAAGCTTCCGGTTTTATGTCGTTTGGTACATCTCCTCATATCTGTGCTGGTCGGCATTTCGCTACTGGGGAAATTATTGCTCTGATGACGATGTTGATTCTGCAATTTGATATCCGTCCTGTTGGAGGGGATTGGGTTGAACCGCCGGTCAATGTCAATGCGGTTGCTGCATCATTAAGTCCTCCTATGGGTCAGACCTCTGTCACTTTTAGTGAGAGGGAGGAGTTTAAAGGGGTGAAATGGGATTATCGACTGACTCCTGGGAAGGGCAGACATGCCTTGATCATTGGGTAGTCTATTGTATATAGTGTCTAGGTTATCAATGGATTATTGCCTCGAAGATGGCGTCGTAGGAGTAAGGCTAAAAATCGAAATTTCATACTGATCAATTAGCAGTTTGTATGGATAATCACATGATAGTAATACCGAGGGTAATGTACAGGATTTGACTCTTGTGTTTCAATATTGCTAGAATGTATAGATACCTAAACAGTCAGTCCACCCTGGACGCTGAACATCACTAGCGGCCCGACTCCGCAGATCGTCTTCTACCTTCTTCACTCCTCTCTTTCTCATCATTCTCTATCCATACCCAATTCTCACCAGGTTCGTCGAATGAGTTCTCTTTTCGCATCTTGCATACTCCCCACAGTTCTCCCCCGCTCCCGGTTGATCCCCCTATGCGATTGGTCTCATTGCTCCCCGACTTCGTGTCGCATGCCCTCCGAGGCCCTTGACCTCTTTTCTTTTTCCACTTTCTTATACTGCCGCGCTTAGCCCTCAGGAGAACACGTCCGTTCCCCTCTCTGCCTCCCAATCAAATGTCAGTCCACATACACGTTCTGCCCGCGACTGCGGAGCCGCCAGGCTACCACATCGCATGACACTCGGTCCTACGCATGCGCTCATAAAGCTCCGTCTTCCTGTCTGTGCCACCGGACGCGATTTGAATTATCGTGACTTTCCATCCGGACCAGAGCCCTCATTGAGCCAACTGTTCCGATCTTCATGCTCCCCCTCCCCAGCCCAGTGCCCGCTATGACAACATTCCCTTCTATCCTGTTGCTTCCCGATTGAATCCATCTTTGTTTGGGGAGAGCATATAAACACCACCGCATCGCGATACCCCTTGCGCAGTCAATATCCATGGGTGTGAAGATGGCTGAATGCGAACCTCCTCCAGTCCCAGACTCCTTCTCGATATCCGATTGCTCGACTCTAGTCAGCACGAAAGACCCATTCGAGCCGCCGTTTCTCCCATATTGGGCCCGATACGAGTCGCAGTGCGCACAGAATCTATTAGATTACTCCGACGAGCCGATCGAGTACGACCACGACGACGAGGACTACCGCGACAACTGCTTCTTTTTTCCAGAAGACTGTTCGTACACACCACCCAAGGACTGGGTTGAGACGCATTACATTTCAGTAGAGGATACACCCGAGATCCAGGTGGAGGAATACACATCGGCAGACCAGGACACGAACCGTGACACCACCACCGACATCGACACCGACACCAACATCATGATTCCCGGACTCCCAGATATCAAGATGATCGACTCGGAGGCATTGAGCGACCTCCTGGAAGATAACCTCTCCCCACCAGAGATCACAACAATCATGTACGACCCTCACCCCTCACGCCTCACACCCCCAACCCCAAGCAACAGAAACAACAGCTAACACAACCCTCCCAGCGTCTTCGCAACAAACGGCGCAGTCTTCGCCTACGGCTCAACCCTCCCCTCCCGCCAACTCCGAAACCTAAGCGCAACCTACGGCGCCGCCTACACATGCTACGCCAAAACCGCCTCAACAGGCAACCTGACAGGCGTGAACCCAGCCAGCCACCCATCCTCCTACGTAACAGCAAAGTCAATGTCCCTAGGTGACGTAGGCTCAATCGTCTTCGAACTCGACGATTCCGTAGCGGTGGTAACGCGCATCGCCGACAAAGTCCTCATCGCCGCCGTAGGCCCATCCAAATCCAATCCCGGCGAAGAGAACGATACACCAGCCACAGCCAACACAGACAACACCCTGATAGCCGAAAATGGCACTCAACCCGCCGATCTGGCGAATGGGATTGGAAGTGGTACTATCTCACCGGAAGGATCGCAGGACGGTCAACGGACTCCAACTGCACCGGCGCCGACCTCACCAAATCCACCGACGCAAAACGGCCATCTAGATGCTCAACATGAAATCAATCGTAGTATTGATCTGGAGCGGTTGTCTAGTTTGAATTTATCCGCTTCGCCCGCTGTCTTGTTAGCGCTTGAATCCAAGTGTGCTGCGCTGGCGAGGTTCCTCGGGCAGAAGCTGGATGATTTGGAGAGTCCGGAGGATTTCTGAGTTGTGTCTTGTGCAAGTAATATCAGTTTATTACTTGTGAACTGTCCTTTGGGTGGATTCGTGTGTTTGTTTCCATGAGATATGATATAATTGGATGTTCATAACTGCTTTGTTCTGTTCTGCTCTCTGGATTTGATGGTTGGTCTGAATGATGTGAATCGGTTTAGCGTTTGACGTTTTGTTGCATATCCATTTGAATCTTACCATTTTTCTCTGTGTTTTTGATTTCTGGTAGATAACAAGTAGTTCAGGACATGTTCGTAGCTTAATCTCACCGAGAATAGGTTTCGAGTAATCAAAAGACCGATATATAGTCTCAGCAATAATCATCCGAGCTATAGCCACTCTGCTAATGTCTATAGAGAGGTAATCTATAAACACCCCTCATATTGAATGAAAAGAAAGAAAATTCATTAAGTATGGTATATCAGGACGAACAATCAATCCCCATCAGCGCTGTAGACTCACCAAAGTCTCGAAACTCGAAAAGAACAGAAAAGGAATGCGAGCGCATGTTATAAGTATGTATGAACAATGCAGTGCAGTTCAAAAATCCAAAAAGGATCAAAGCATAAAATCCTAGCTGGAGAAACATTCATCTCTCAGGAGTAAAATAATATGGAAATTATGACTTTTCAGTTTTCTCCTGCACAGCCGTACCACCGGGCGAACCGTGGAAGTGACTAGCAGTACTAGTGGTACGATTAATACCAGGGGTAGGAGCCGCCGAAGAAGCAGCATGGTCCTTAGCATCGACGGGCGAAGCCGACGCCGAAGCCGTGGTAGGGGAAGCAGCTGTAGGCGAGGTAGAAGTCACACCGGAAGTCTGACCAGTCTGCGCTTCCTGCTGCTTCTCCTTCTCAGCGTAAGTCGGGGGTTGGCTCTGGGCCGAGACGCTGCGCGAGGGACTAACCGAGCCACCGGGGAAGCGGCCGTAGGCGAAGTCGCAGCTGCGGCTGCTGCCGGGGCCGGGCCGCGGGTTGCATCCTTGATAGTGGACCACCATTTCTCGGCGTCATTGGGGGTATGAGCCTTGAAGCTGAGTTCGGTGTTTGTGTGGAAGGCGTTACCGATTTTGCCGCTTGACACGTCCTTACCCTTGACGTTGAACTTGACGCCGTCGATAGCACCGACGATGCAGTCGGGCAGGTAGAGGGAGAGTTCAGGGGAGGGGTCGCGGCGGAAGTCGTCGTTGTCCTTGAACTCGTGAAGGTAGCGGGCTGGGGTAACGACATAGTAGCCAGTGCTGTAGCCCTTGATGACAGCGCGGGAGCGGCGCTCGAGCGAGCCCTCGATTAGGGGCTGGGTGGCGCGGTGGTCCATGTTTGGGAAGGTGATGCTTGAGAAGGAGCGTGGCGGGGAGTCTGGGTTGACGAGGGTTGCGTCGTTGCGCACGCAGAAGTTGATCCATTCGAAGTCGGGGGGATGCGCTGAGCTGTGCCGAGGATGTCGGCGTACATGGCGCGCTGGCGTTCGAGTTGGCCGCCCATGTATTGGTGGAATTGTTCCAGGGTTCCTTGGACGGTTTGGAGGACGTGGGATTCGAATTGTTGGAATGAGTTTTGCACGGCGAGGATGTCCTGGCGGTGATTGTTTTCCTCGTTGACTTGGTTGTTGAGGCGGTGGTTGATGCCGCGCTTGAGGAGGTAGGGATCGTGCTGCTGCTCGATCTTGTTGGAGGCTGCTGCGTCGAAGGAGGCCGAGTTCTGGCCTAGGAGCTCGATGTGCTTCTGGGTTAGGCCGCGGGCTTTCTCGACTGCCTTGGCGCCCTTTGAGGCGCCGGAGCTGAGCTCCTTGGACTTGTTCTTGATCTCTTTGTGGAGACGCTCGAGGGTGGGGAGGATGCCTTTCTTGATGTTGTTTTCGCCGTCCAGGTGCATGTTCACCATGCCCTGGGTGTTGTTGCGAAGGTTCTCGAACAGGCCAGTCACACCGCCGGCGCTGGAGCTGAAGTGGTGGCCTTCCTTGAGGGGTTCGTTCACGGTCTGTTGCCATCTTCTGTCAGCCACGGTCCTCCCGGTCCACTGACGAAGCACTAACCTTAAGGATCTTCTCATAGTCCTTGGACTGAGACTTCTGCACCTTGGCGGTAGCAGCGAAGTAATCCTCGAGATATCCGCACATGTGCTTCCAAGCGCGGAGACGTTCAAGCAGGAGAGTGGTAGTCTGGCACCGCACTGTCAGTCCACGCTACTCCATTGTAAGAGGATAGAACGAACCTCACTGCTATCGGTATTGGGAATAGCCTCATCATCACTCATCGAAGTACGACGAGTGAAGGCGCTGCTCACGGTGCCAGACCGCTGCGGCAGCTTAACGTCTGTGGGGCTTGTCGGAGTAGACATGGCAGCAGAGTATCGAGTATCGAGGATCGGAGTAAATGGGTGTCAGACAGGTCGACTAACGAAATCGAGATGTTCAAAATCAAGTCGCTATCTTATCCCAACACCGGGGTTGGAGGGGAAATGGAGGTGTGGCTCAGGAAATAATTATTGGCATCGGGTGGCTGTGGAAGACCCAAGGCCGGAAGCAGCGCTAGTGGACTAGTTGTGTGTTAGCTGTGAGCAGTGGGATCCATAAATGGAGACACCAACTCGTACTGTAATCCCAACTGTACAAGTACACTGTACAACTGTACAAGAATGTGCAAAGTGGGATGTTGGAAAGAGAGAGTTTTTAAGTGATCGACCCAGAACGCCGATGAGGTCACCTGCCCCTCGTCCAGTTACTGCAACCTGCAACCTGCAATCCTACAACCTTACATTTTGTGGCTTTGTCGCCCAATTGCAAGATCGATCGGAGATGATGTGCGAGGCGTTGGGAGCTATGGTCTATAGCTATGACTCGTACTTCGTATCTGGCTCTGTAATCCCAGGGATGTGGTAACTATAGTAGATTTCAACTCTAACCTGACCTAACTCGGCTTAACCTATTCTAACCCGACACAATCCCTACGATGCATCTGTAAAATACGTTCAATGCGGCAGCCATGTGCCAATGTAGTATCCCTTTGCTGCAAGCGAAACAATGCCATTGACGTGACCGGAAGCACCCGTGCCACCCAACTCAAGATCCGCTTATATAACCTTGCAAGGATCAACAGCTGATTGCCTAATTGGGAAATGATGTCATCGCATTGAAGGTTGAATTGAAGTCATAATCCGACAATAATTAAGTACACGCATAACTCATGCTGATGCGGCGTCATATTCAGATTCGTGAAAGCAAGAAATACCCATCTATGAAAAGATCCCTGTCTATGACCGAACGCCAGAAAAGAAACAGGTAAACAGGAACGCCGAAGAAGAGAAATGCCGAGTCCCAGTTTTATCGCGAAAGGCTAGGGGTCATACCAGACCAGTTCATGATCAATCGGGAGGGAGAGGGATGAAGAGAAGGGGTCGGCTGTGTCCAGCACCGGGCCGGAGAGGGAACTCTTGTCGGATGTGAAGGGGGAAGATCATAAACGGGCTGGGAAATCATCAGGGCCGCAAATCATGCTCTGGCGCGAGCCTGCACGAGTCTAAGTCTGCGATCCTCATCATCAGCATTGGTGCCGTGAGAGTTGAAGTATCCGGGGCGGTTCTGCACCTCTAAAGGAGTCGAAACCCCGCTTGCACGGCCACTTCGGATGTGAGCCTGCTGGGGAGACTGGGGGACTGAGAGTGTGGGCAAGCTGCTGGCTACCACAGCGTTGTAGTCCGGAAGGCCGGAGTCACGCGGGCGCACAGTGCAACGGACTGCAGTTGAGTAACTAGGAACCCGGCTGAGGGTTTCCACCTCGGCGTACTGAGGGTGGAAGGGAGTGGCCATGCCCGAGGGAAGGGTATCAGGCTCCACTTCGTCTGAGGGCCGGCGGGAGAGTTCAGGACTGCCATGGCTGTGTGAGTTGGAGCCGGAAGAAGGCCCAAAGTAGTCGTTGGGGACACCCAGTTGACGGTGAATGGTGTACTCTGTTGGAGACTGGGCCTCATGTGGGGTTTCGACTGGTGTCCGGCTGTGGAATGGGCTTGTGTTCAGGTTTGTTAGGCGGTGGTGTAGTGCCGAGGCCGAGATGTCGGTGTTGGTCAGAGCGTTCATCGAGGCAAGGTTCTCAGCAGACATATTGCGACTGAGAGGACCGCCTGGAGTACCGGGGCCACTACCAGGGCCGGGTGTGCGATAACCGTTGGGGTCGAGTTCGCTGTACAGCTGGTCGAAGGTGTGCTCACCGTAAAGAGGAGGGGCTTGATGCGCAAAGTCGTCCACGGCAATCCGCGTAGATTGAGGGGTTTGCCCTACAAGGTTATTGTTCTCATCGATGGCAATGTGGGGTGAAATGAAGATCGAGACTGGAAGGGTAGCCCGCAACTGCATTGAATGTTAGCCTAATCGACACGGTCGGGCCCATCACTACTCACTTCACTAATGTGCCCATCCGGGTTGTGCAGCTGAATGCGGAACTTCAACTTGTGACGAATCTTGATTCCCTTGGTGTCTGTGTCCTGCAAGCAGCGGGTCAAGGTCTGCGGCATGTCCAGAACACGCGAACACTGGTATCCCTCGGCGGCCTCATCAATGATTTCGATGTTGTCCTCATCCAGCTCATGCTCGTCGGTCAAGATCGTCCGGGTGATCTTGTATGTGTTTCGAACGGAATCGGGATCTTCGGGGTTAAGGGTAAGGTCGTGGCTTTCGATCAACTGTGACGTAATTTGACCGATGCGCAGGCCCTTGAGCAGCGGGATCAATTTGAAATCGACATGAATAGAAGTTCCGAAGACAATGGCCTTCGTCGGAGTGCTGATGGAGTATTCGATCTTGTTCGGCCAGATATTGTCCACTGACTGCGGGGTGTCAGTAAAAAATCATCACCACCCGAGAACCCCACGTACCATTGCATGTGACAACTCTAAAGCGCTGGGATCAAGAGTCCGAATGATGCGAAGCGGTTTCCGGCACACAATATCTTTGGCATACTTGCGGCCAATCTCCGCCTTGAAGCGGTACATCACCCACGTCTCAGAGAGGCCCTCCACACTCTCGGGCATGGACCCCTCAAGCACCACGTCGAATGGATATTCATAGTTGCCGGCGGGTAGAACCTCAGTCTTTCCCTTGCCCGGGTCACGGAATCTCCACGTCTTATCATAGAACACACGTTCGCGCCACGACTTGCGGCCTCCGGCGGTGGAGGTGGACGGGAGGTGCCAGCTGACAGAGTTAGCGATGATCCTGCCAAGATCAGACCTGCAGGCACATACCAAACTCGGGACATGCCCGTCAACTCCAGTCGCAAATGTTTGATCGTGAGCGGCTCGGACAAACACAGAATCAGAGTGCCCCGGAGATGTGCGCTGGCGGCTTCATGTTCACCACCGCGGAACACAATGTAGTCTTCGTTCAATCTGCACCCTGTCAGCCCGTTCATGCACAACACACAGAGTCCCCACTCACCTAATGTCGAAATACTTCGCGCTGCTGGCGCTTCCACCACTGCTGAAGAAGCTGAGAGCCATTTCGAGACGTGCCGCAGCAAACGGCCGATCACAGTGAGTGGTATAAATGCCAGGAGGGAAATGTAAAGATATGGAGGAAGGAGGTATGACACAGAAGGTATTTTCCGAATTTTCGCTATCGTTGATCTACCGGACCATGACCAGATTCGCAAACCCGGTCCGACTAACGGGTCCCACCTTGGTGGAGGTGCCGTTTCCGGCGGGTTTTGGGAGTGGCGATGGGGTGACTAAGCTAGCACCAGCGAAGAGATGAGAGATGAGAGATGAAATGAGAAGGAAAGTAAGACGGGACAAAGAAGAAGATATAAGAGAAATCAAAACAATCCATAGATACGACAGTACGACAAGACAACAAGACGACAAGACAACAAGACGACAAGACGACGTAAAACGACGCTTTAGTCAGCGCTATCATATGTCTGCAGACACCGGAAGTATACGCTGGCTAGGGTTATTTGATTGTTTACTTGAACCCTTTTTATCAGTCCATACTGTACGGACTTTCTACTCTGTTTTGCCATACTTCGTAGCGTTCTACCCGAGGGTCATCATTTACCCATCACGCCATACCTCGGGATCATCCTGACGATCATGCACAACACACGTACTCTCCATGCACAGCCCTGTGATTCTCCTGATACATACACCTGAGCTAAGTGACAGTCAGACGAGACGTACAAAAGCACATATGTATAGGCTCGATCCCATCAATGGCGCCACCAATGTCAGAAGGCGTTTCGGGCTTGCCCACCTAGCCTACCACCAGGTAGCCCAGTCACTGCAAGTATGCACTGACCGTCCACCACCCTCAAACAAAAACGACGATCTCTGCAGACACCGTGCCTGAAAATCCTTGGAAAAACACGCTGGTCCAAGAGATCTATCTACTGTACACTACTGTATCCAGGCTCGCCCTTGGCAACCTCTTGCGCGGTAAAATTGCCTCATCGGAAATATCCGTGACCTAACCGACTCTAATAAGTGCGGTTAGAGCGGGCCAGCCTGGTTCCACCCAGCTGTCATTCTATGGTGAAATTCCAGGTCTGAATGAATCATAATCACAGATAAGCTGTCTCGGGACCACTAACTGGCTAAGGATCAGCTAGCCTGATGTGGCGCTTCTATCTGCGAACATGTTTCGTGATAGACCGCTTATAGGCTGACTGGGAGGTCTGAATGCACGATTCATTCCGGTTTCGATGTCCATGCCCATACCCATGTCCATACTACTGCTCGTGCTACAGCAGTTTAAACCCTTCGGCTGTACTGTACATGTACGAGATTGTTCGGGATCCCTCAGACTCGGGTATTTCCGCGCCCGATCGGAATCCCGACCGGCTTGTTGCCCGAGTGTCTCCCGAGTGTCTGTGCTGCTCCGGTGTGATATTTTGGATGTTTGGGCGAGAACTGGTTTTTCCTTGGTCTTGGACGCACACTTGTCTGGGATTAGGCTTCGGTTTGTCTAGAATGGGTTCTAGACTAGAATTGAATATTATATCTACTGTACCATGCCTCTGATGACGCTTGTACTAAGTGCTGATGGTCTAGAGCCTCGTAAAGATCTACATATACAGTCCAGTACTACACACCTAGGCAGCGTTATACAAGAACCCTGGAAGTCTAGAACTCAGCACATTGAACTTGAACCCACCATTATATCACAAAAACCCATCGACAGGAGATTTTCAAGGTCCTTATTTTCTCGGGCTGACCCACTCCGGATCGACGGTGAACTTTTGCAGAGATTGACTCCACTGTGAACACACCATTGCAGCTCTATCCAGTATCCGGTGTGTCTTTGTCGGTTGAGATTTTCATTGCATCATCTGGCTCAAAAGTGATGTGTGGACACAGACTACATGTATATCTAAAATAGGCATTGACTTCAAAGAGACTGGAATGACGACTATCAAAATTGAGTATCATTGGCGAGGAGCTATCATAATTACATGTAACTCTCTTTTTTTGCATGCGCAGTAACTTATAAAAGCATGAAACATGTACATGCAAAGCACTGCACATGCATAATGTGACAGTGACGTACCAATCAAGCCATACACTCTACTCTATACTGACAAAGTACCGCACAGCAGACGACAGTATCTCTTTCAATAAATATCAGTGGACCCCCTTATCATTTTTAGCATTTTTATTATATTCTCCGATAACAGTGGCACAATCTCGCCAATTGCCAGTCTAAGATACAGCACGGGCCGCCCCTGAAACAAAGACTGGCTCGTGGAAAATCCCGGGCCAAAGCGTATGTTCGACATTTTCCTTTTATCGCCGGTAGTTCTCGTTCCGAATATAGGAGCTTTCTGAGTTCTTCCGGTGATCGCCAGGGGCGAGGTTGCAATGCTAAGCGCGGGAGCTAAGAGATCGCGTGGATCGACGCCAAGATGAGGGAAAAGAATTTTCGCGCTGAGGTGTGTTTCGGGTGATCTTATAGTCGGGTTTAGTGTTTTGATTGTTCGGATATTCCGATGTTTCCATTTTTGTACCGAGTATAGAGTGGTAAACATAAGTTCCAATCTTCAATTCTCATGTTCAAGATAACTTTATTTACATTTGCCATTGCAACCCATTTCTCTACAGTTATTGTTAAACTTGTACTCCTGAGAATGCCTAGACTTCCAGGCAGGTCAACGTTTGCAATATTTTTGACCTGCCGAAAGACATCCGCCCATGCTCCTCCCGATGCACTCATGCCTCCAAAGCATTGATATGATTATCATATTACTAGTGCGCATGAATCTCCATAGCCCCTGTAGAGCATGCAACACTAGCCGCTGATCAGCCATGATTCCACCGAGGACATGCCGATAGAGATCACAACATAGCTTTGCCATGACACATTTGTGCAGTCTGGAATGGTAGAGCCTGACAGTATGTGTTCCAAGCCAGATATCGAGTCCCAGAACAACAGTATCACTAAATCCCGCGAATGGTGACACCAGGGCAGACTGGAATGCGGGGCGAAAGATGGGAATCGCTCTCAATGCGAGCTCATGAGCTGTCCGGCGGGATCTTCAAAAGCACATTTCCAACCCGGGATCACGACACAGATATCCTTAGAGATCAAACCATTGGAATTGGATCCGAACCCGATTTCAATATGCTGACATAGATTGATATCCAGTTTGAGACCAATTCACTCAAGCCACAAGCCGATGTCCCACAACCCCAACTTGATGCGTCGGCGCAGCCATACCAACATCAACAGGCGTGGGCTTGCCAACCCTCCCGCTCGGAATTGGGGATTCAGCGTAGCGAGGAACATCCCCAGGCATATATTGCGGCACAGGAGGTAAATTTCCGTAGAAGATAGCCACACCTGCAGTTTTTCGCCATCGCTGTTCATTCTCGTGGAGTTCGATGACTAGGAACCATATTCCTAGGGCTAGAGCCATGCTCGCGATTAGGGTTTGGTAGACTCTTGGCTTGGCTATTGTTGGTACTCTTTTGCAGTGCGGGTCGGGGCAGCGTGTGAATCTGCTTGTGTGGAACATCGTTTGTGGGTTTGGGCGTCTGTTGGTATTGGTATTTGGGGTTGTTGTTGTGGTTCGTTCATCTGTTGTTGTTGTTGGGAGATATGAGGAGGGAGAGTAAGGGATGGTAGTTTGTATTTGATTTATTTTGGCTATTTGTCTGCTAATGATGTTGTTTATGATTTCTGCATCCAGGAATTTGAATGCATGGAGTTTTTTGACGAGGTCGGTTTGGTCGAGGCGGGGTTTACATTCCTGAGCATTTTAGCTGAAAACGGTGGATTTGAAAGACGGACGGAATATGACGCGACATTTACCTACATCGTAGAACGATAAAGGACGATAGACAAATTTTATATTTCCAGGTATTAGTTGGGATAAGTTGGAGTCCATAAGAAGTGATGCGTGGGCGTAGAAAGCTTGGCTACTTGACTCCCGTTTCGGGCTGGTATTCTTGACCCGCTCAAACGCACACCTTCCATTACTTGTTTACACATGTTCGTTGGGGTAGGATGTGCTGGAATAAGATGATTCATCGGTGATGCCCATCAATAATTGAATCAACCAGGTAGCGCACCATCACAATGTGATTATCGAATACTTGATACCATCCATTCTTTCCTCTAAAATTATATCTGAATAAAGCCGGGGTCTGATAGTAGAGAAGCCTTGGGCCAAGTATTATGTTCAGTGGTAATCACAGTATTAAGGACACAAATAAAGAAAGCAACGAGTATCTCGAATCGCAATGCAAGAGCCATATGCTGTAAGCAGAATATCAAAGTCCGCTTGGGTTGGTTTGCGAAAGTCATGAAGACGTGAATCTAAGAGTCGAGAGGTGATCGAGGCAGGCGGAGTGAGGTATGTAGGGGTCGCATCGTTGAAGCTTCTGGGTTGCGGTTTCGACAAGCACCATATGAGCTGATGAACGAACATGGAGCGAAGAATATGTGGAGGACGGAAAGTATTTGAGAACGGAGACGTTCGATTCCCAGCATGTCATGTCGAATGATGACTTGGCAAAGCAATAGATGCGCACAAACTGATAAGTATATCACGTAGTAGAAAGGAACGAGCCGACTCTTGTTCCAGCAAGAGTATCGAAGATCGATCAATGTAAGGGCGAGAGGGTTTCGAGGCGGATTGAATGAACATCAAGAGAGAATTTAGAAAATCCATCCGAGTATGATATAGAGAACAACGCCAGCCGCAATACACATTCCAGCGATCTTCAGTACAGCAACCGTATCGCCTTGCTTCGCCATGCGGGTAAGACGAGTTGCGCTGCCTTTCAGGTTCGTGGAGAAGGAGGAGAATACGTCACTCTAAGCGGAGGCAAATTTGTTAATTATATATCCAAACAGCCCTGCCCCGGTCACTTTAACTGTAGTTCGCAAATCACCCACAAGCATCCTTGGAGGTTGTAGGGCAAGCAAGGCATCGAGCAAGACGTACCGTGTGGTCGAGTGTATCCTGATCCCGCGCATTGTCATGGATGTCAATCGTCACGGAGCGGAGGGCTGAGACTTTTGTGGAGAGAGAGTTGAGGAGCGCATTGTTCTGCCTAATCGGAGAGTCAGCAATACACTCGAATGAGCCGGTGAAAGCCCCAAAGGTCCAACCACAGGGGCGTATTCGATGGGGCAAGGCGGAGGAAGGGACATACTGCTCGCGTTCGTAAGCGTCACTCATTCTGCTGAAGTTTCTTTCGGTTATTTTCGAAGGTGGTAAAATAATGCGAGGATCACAAAGTTTAAGGAAATAAGCAGGCGAGAAATTGGCTAGAGAGGTGGCCAAAAGCCTGGGGTTTCGGAGCCGACGTCAGGCTGGTCACGTGACTGTACATCTTAACTTTAATTATCCTTTGCCCTGAAGTATACAAAGTACACTCTTACACTCTTGGGAATGGTTTCTATTTGCATGTATTGTATGGTTGTGTACTTGGGGTATATAAGGTATGACTTGGACCCAGTGAGATGGTATTGTGACAATATTGACTCTCCCAAGGACCACTCCTGCCTCCAAGAGCTGAGATATCCACTAACAGCGAGTTTCGACGAGATATTTACCGTGCTGACTGGAGCTTTGAATTTAATTGATTCGCTTTCTTGCTCTGCAAAAACTTCTGAGGGATCGTAGAAGGAATCATGGCATTGCCATTTTGGACTCTTTCATTATGCTTCCTTGGGAATATTTCTGTCCATCGAGACCAATAACATCCATCACGATCATAAGAGCCGCTCGCTTGTCCATTTCCGCATCCATAGCCAATTTCAACACTTTTAAATACCCTAGAATGACTTCATTTTGCCCTGAAGTGCGCTCTTGATGATGTCAATCGCGCTAAAGATCACGTTCCATGTTTCCCACGTGAACTTCCAAGGCAATTTGCATCTGCTCCTTACTTCCAGCTTTGTACATATAAGGCTTAGCGTCCAGGTTCTCCCTAAGTTTAACAAACACCTGTCAAAAGTGCGGGTTCGAATCGTTGACAGCCTATTACAATTTCCGAATCTGAGCCTTGATGATCATTCTAAGATAGCATTATGTTGTAGTTTATTTACAGCTTGGCCTGTTCGAATGGGCTCAGCCTTCTCAGAGGAGGACCTCCTCGGCTGCCATCCCCCGCCATAGGGCCTTTAGCGTCATTCTTGGGCAGGTTCAATCTCCACTTTTGCCGCAAGTTCTCAGGAGCCTTTCCCTCAAAGCAGTCAGCAATATATTGTCCCAAGATAGGGAGGAACTTGAAACCGCTGCTCAAGAGTTAGTATAAGTATGAAATACACAACGTGGAGATATAGAGATCTTACTGTCCTGCACCACCCGTGGCCAAAAACAGACCCTGCATGGTGGGGTGGTGGTCGATGATAAAGTCACCCTTGGGAGTATCGGTATACCAGCAAAGTCGGCGGTTTATCCACGGGCGATCACCAAGCTTGGGGAAGAATTGACGCAGACCCTGGCGCAGGGACTCATCCGCGTCATCGGGTAGGTACCCAGTGGCAGCATTGCTGCTTTCAAACTTAGGCGACGAGAGCGATTTCTTTTCCCCATCGACATCAACCTTCATCTCAGTAGCATAGCCGTACCCGTGACGCGCAAGCTTAAGGACATTAGTATCAGGTGTAGGCGGGAAAGAGAACACGCCGGAGCTCATATTGATCATGACCGGGATATTCTTGTACTCGAGAGCCTCTTCTTCAGTCAGCTGGATGAAACCAACTGGCTGACCAGAGGACGAAGCGGCGTGGCCGATGTTTAGCAGACGATTCGTCCATGCGCCAGTACTGAGGATGACCTGGGAAGCAAGCAGAACCTGTCCTCTGACAAGGTTAACACCCACTACCCGTGAGCCGGCCTTGCGCAAAGAGGTAACTGTACCCCTGGGGCCAGCGATGATTGAAATACCGGCAACTGTACACTTAGATGCAAGTTTCTGGATGCTGCCTGCGGCATCTGCCCAGCCACCCTTGGGGTTGTGATAACCGCTCATGCCAGCAACGTCTGCCTGAACACTGGGGTAGAGCTTGCGAATATCAGACGCATCGGGGAGTTCGTCCAAGTGGCCACCAGCGGCACGAATGACTGACTTTGAACCTTCCATATATTTGTTCTTGGGTGTTTCGGAGAACAGAGCGAATCCTGACTCGAAGTATTGATCTTTGTACTCAGTGGTCCAGCCTTTGTATGCCTCACGGGCCATTTTGTAGTAGATTGGGTCGGCATAGTCGGCCCGAATAATACGTGAGATGTCGACGCTGCTTCCATCTGCTGAGGGTGGTACAAATCGGTCGACCACGGTGATATCGGTGTATCCGCGCTTATTGAGTTCCAGGGCGGTTGAAAGACCGAAGACGCCGGCGCCCACGATCAGGATTGAGTCATTCTTAGCTGTAGACATGATAGGTGACAAGTCGGTCTACTGAGCAGTTGTCGTCAAATTTGTTGTAAATTGAACCGGGGATTCCGGTGGCTATAAAATGTGACGGTATAGAGTCATCTCCGGCTCAATGCCGGGACTTGGCGTCCGGAAAGGGCGGGTCCGGGCCGTGTTCCCCGGGACTTATAGATCCCATCTCGCCCTCATGTTGGATTGACACTTAGCCAATCCTCAAATGCTCTGCCATAATCTTGGAGCTGAAGGTAGAGCCCGTCTCCGCTCATGAAATCTACATTTGGATCCCCGGGAAGCCCTGAGAGGTCCATCGTGGGTGCGATCTGACTCGGTGCTTGCACCGGATCCTCGGTCTGTTCGGGTGGATAAGTAACACATTCAGCTGCTACTGTCTTGTGGCCTGATATTCCCGCTGATCCAATCAAAGTGAAATCGCGCTCAGTGATATCACCGACAGTATGGTCGCCTGAGCTTCCAACGCTGTCCTTGGAAAGTTCTGGGCCAAATATGTCGCTGCCGGAATCTGAGGATTTGCTCGCATGGGCATAAACCAAGATTTTCCATAGCAATTGTAAGTTGACGGACCACATCTGGCGCTGTTTCGATTCCCCAGGCGCACCATTGCCTGTCATGGGCCGTCCGGGAGACACACTGTCCCTGAGCTGCTGTAGTTGATGGGCCTGAAAGATGTTAGTTTTAGTACGCAAAAAAAAACAATAACAACAGCTCACCTGTCGGTCAATGTGTGGCCAGCGGCGACCCATATTCCACAGGAACCTGAGACATTTTTCAAACCCTGTTTGCGCCTTTCGGTTAAAAGTTTGATCCTCGACAAAGCTATGCTGGAGATAGATCGTAGCGACGATAACCACACAATGACCTATTGTCGAATCAGAAACCTCAAATCCTTTAGCGCTGATGAGCTCAACAAAATGAAGAACCCAACCACAATGAAATGTCAACTGCTCGAACGAGTTGCGAAGGAATGACTGAGGCATTGTCCTTCGAAAATTCCGGAGACGCATAGAGAGAAGAAATGGATGGTTGATCAGACAAGGGACTGCATGCCAAACTATCTGGAAGAACAGCCACGGACCCCAATAGTCACGATGAGCCTGAAGCTCGGCTGAGGGATGATCTTGGAAGGGACTTGCATGGAGTCTGAATCTGAGTGGCATGAGGCTCTCGTGTTCGCAATGTTGGAAATGAATCATGGCGTAGTCAGAGTGCGGTGACCACGGGGGGTGGGCATCAACGCCAACAGGGCTGGCCGCACAGTTGCTGGCCAATGCCCATAGCTCGCTTGTATAGATGTTGGTACCGAGAATTCCGATATCTGGTTTGGAGCTGCTGGTCCGCCTTGCGTTGTCGTTGGATATCATGGATCCCAATGGGGAAGACAACTCACCACCCTCGCCCAGTGGATCTGGGCACTCTCTAAGATGAAGAGGTTGGAAAGAGCCCTGCAGATTCCGAAGCATGATAAGGCTGATGTAGCACAGCTTGCGCTCATCACGTTCAGTTTCCAGGTTACTCAGTGAGTCTAGGCCGTTGACTTTGAGGTTTTGCATAAAGTATGCGGCCATCTTAGTATAAAATCTGGCACGGATGATATGGCCAGCTGAGATGCAAGACCCGATGTCAGAGTCCGAGAATGAAGAAACAAGGAGTTGTCCTACCTGTAAATTCAAGCATGCTCAAAAGACACATAGTCTGAAGGGTTGATAGTTCTACACTACCAGATGCCAATCGCATCATGACTATCTGGGAGGCCCGCCCCGTCATTCGTTTGATTTCAAACTGAGTTTGAGAATTAGTGATTCCACCATCATAAAATCGAATTCCAAGGGCTTCAATGGCGCAGATAAGTTCGGGGTCTCTTGGTCCAAGTGAGGCAACAGAAGATCGATAAGGAAACAGCAGAAGGGGCTGTGAATTGCAGTATGTCAGATATAGATCTGCTGCCGATAACTCCGGCGAGCGTGCCCTGCAACATCAGTAAGCAAATGAGGCTCTCTAGAGGCACAGGACGGACTGACATAGAAGGACTGTCTTGGGGCAGTAGCTCTGGGACTCGGTCTTGGTGACTCGCAGCTACAGAGGAAGGGGTCTGATCTTGAGCAGGCCGCCTGCAGCTTCATTTAGTCCAGTAAGTAGATCGATTCTCAGATGAACCTACGTAATATAGTCCATCAATCTGTCCAATGTACTTTCAATGCCAGAGATGCGCTCTTCCTGCATTGCGGACTGCTTAGTTTGGGATCCAATGACTTTTTCCATCGACTTACCATTTTCTTAGAATGCTCAGGCTCTTCACTTCGAAATTCATCAACGGCATATGTGCATTTCTGGCCCAGCCTTTCACAATACGAGCAGACGGGCTTTTCTCCAGGGCAGCGGGACTTTTTCCGGCTTGGGAAGTGTCAGCGCAGTGGGTGTAGAGCGCAGAATCAAGCTTACCGGCAAGGTGCGCAGGCCTGTCTGGCCCTTTTTGATGGCCTTTCACCCCCCACCGAGGCCATTTTATAGCCAATATGCCGTGTTTGAGTGAAAAAGGATATATCGAGGCGGGAGTCGGACCGGGCGGATGTGGGTTGCCTAGGTGGGGATGGTAGTGGCCGTTTCATACAAAAGAGACAAACTGTTATGAGAGTATAAAAAATTTCTTCAAATTTTAATAGATAAATATTTCAATGCTGCTTTTGAGCATACCGTTTTCTAATAGGGTCTTAGGCGCACTACCACAGCCCAATGTTGTTTAGGTAAACTGTCACTAAATACAGTGACGCAGCAATAGTTTTGACACCACTTTGATTACTCAGATTCTGCCGGTTAAAAATTCGCTCTTTCAACACACCTAGACTGGTTTCCTGATAAAACACTTAACTGTTACGGATTAGGTTGAATCTTGTCTTCTATAAAAAGCACTCACTGAAGCAAAAACGTTTAGAAAGTAAGATGATATAGACTTGCTCTTCGGTTTGCGATAGAGAGGTCTAAAAACGGTCTAAAAAACGGTCTGTGCAACGGTGTTGAAATATTTGCTGTGTTACTGTACTACAGGCAGACAATGAATATAAACTGCATGCAAGGCGCCTCTATTCCTACCCCTTAGTAAAAATTAAAAACAAACTAATTGCTATAAGAAACGAAATAAGTCTATTTTGCAAAGAGAAAGACATTCGCGCAAATTACATAAAAGATCACTCAAAAAAAAAAGACATGGACAAAGCCCAAAATATATATCCAACAAAAGAACAATGCCACACTCCGCAACAATGACCCATGCAAAAGAAACCATCTAAACATTCGGACTGAGAGGAGCAAGCTCCTTTGGTCTTCAAGTGCAATCCTCGTATTGGTAGCCGTACCAACAGCAAAGCTACCATCCTTACACACAGGCCACTCATCCTCGCGCAACCAATACTCCTCATGAGAAGGCTTGCCCTTAATCATACCGCCCAAATCAAGCGGATCAGCGAAAGTCTCCCAAGTAGAACGGCGATCAATCCAACCAGGCCCCATCCGCTCAGTGCGGCCATCAGGACTCAAATAGCGGTTCTTCTGACGAGGCAAGTTGCGACCAGGGTGAAACACATTCATCCACCAAGTAAAGATAAGCATGGGACCCAGCTCAAAGGCATAGAGATACCATTCATGACTGAGGATTGAACCGCAATTCTCTCGGCACCCGATTTTTTTGAACATCTCGAATGCTTCGACTGCGCGGAAGATACACCGTAGTAGAACGAGGGTTGAGGTGCCATAGAGTGTAATACAGAGGATGCGGACGTTGGGTGAGAGCATGCTGGCTCGTGAGCAACGGGCGTGAACTGTTGCAACGACGCTGATTACGCAGCATTCGACGGCAGCTTGGAGGACCAGACCGGCGGCGATGAGAGCTCCGCCAGTCTTGTACTCCTCTATGTTTCCATCTGCTGTTAAGTTTTTGGCTGCTCCAGCAGCGGTCATTGCTTCTACGGCAGCACCCAGGTAGACAAAAAATATCAGGACTCGGTTGGGGTTTAGGAGGGCGTGCATTGGGAGGTAGTTCATGAGTCGTCCCACGATGTTGTATGCTGCGGCGGAGTAGATTGGTGGACCGGCATAGATGAATATGCTTGATGCGATATAAATATTCAGGTTGTCAGGGTGGTAACTAGAAATGCAGCGCAGAATCCATCCAGCTGTGAAGACTGCACCACCCCAACAGAGGAAGAATGTGACCCGCCAGAATCGGTAGCGGCTGGAGAATATTAGAAATTGGGCATCGAAAGCTAATGTTTTTATGCAACCCACTAGTTCTGATAAACGTGCAGTAAGAAAGATGCGGCAACTAGGGCTGCAAATACAGCGGGCAAGATATGGCTGGGGGTGTATATGTAGAGGCTTTCGGCCTTCGGATCTGTGCTGGCGACCATGATGAATTGGAACAAGCTGGAGGATGAATAGTTGATTATCTAGCGGGCATTGGCGCCTTTAAATGTTTGATCCATCCAACATGCACTTTCAGCCCTGCCGATTTGTACAAACTACGAAGCGGTACATGAGTCCATATCGGGGTATATGCCCTCCGAAGTGTGTGGCGTAGAGCGGTTGATTATTTTGAGTTTGATGAGCCCCAATGCCTGAACAACTGGGGCAGCCAAGACTCCTTAAGATCCCTCGAGATAGAGAGATGTGCATAGTTGGCCCCCAACCAATCAGCATCGCCAAACTAAGCCTTGTAGCGGCACATTCGACCCGAAGCGGTTAGACTGATGATGACATGGTCAGCCCAACTTCGCCCTGTAATGTCAGCCCAGTCAACAGTTAGACACTTTGTCTTCGGAGATTTTAATATCCAGGCCCATTCTATATCGTTTCCGTTTTGAGATCAACGCTCCGCTCCTTGGGTCAACCCCAGTGCCCCACCATGCCAGGTGTACCAACAGGTCGTGCCTGTGATGCATGCCGCAAGCAGAAGAAAAAGGTGCGTGCGATAGACATGTGGTAGTTAATATGTTGCTAATGATATGATAAGTGCGACGAGAAACAACCTAGCTGTGGGAGATGTCTGCGTCTGAAAGTGACCTGCATAGGGTCCGGTCAGCAACGATACAAGTTCAAGCAAGAGCATCGTTTTTCACCCCCAGCACAAAAGAATAACGGAAAACAAATGACCATCACACTCGATAACAAGTCAAGATCAACCAAGAAAGAAACGCCTTCTTTTGAAATTCCTCCTACATTCCCCAACCATCATCTTACATCATTAACAAATTCATTCATCGGCGCCATCAAACGCTCAACAGACCTCCGATACAACCTGTGGTGGTCTTTCGGTCTATTTTTAGAAGAAGTACCCCGGCGACTTGGCAACAATGAAGCACTCGACCGCGCAGTCGATGCCGTGACCACTATCCATGCAGACTTCTGCACTCGCCGGTCCATTTCAGTCAGTGCTTTATCAAAGTACTCGTATGCTCTCAGAACTTTGAGTGTATATTTAGACGATCCAATTCAAGCAATTGCGTCGAATACCCTCTGCGCCGTGATGATTCTCCTAGTCTGCCAAGCATTCATTGGAAACCAAGGACAATTATTATCAGGCCACGCAGGAGGTGCAGCCAACATCTTGCGCGCGAGAAAGAACTTCGGACCCCGCGACGAATTCGAACGCAAACTATTCCTCTCTCTACGAGGCGGTGTGGTAAGTAAACCAACTTTCTCGTCTTCCCACAAAACCAATGCTAATAATACCAAGCTCTTCGAAGGCCTATACAACGAGAAAATAGACCTAAGCCCCACAGAATGGGAATCCCTTGTCCAAAACGACTACGACGCAAACCTCCCAGAAGGACGAATGATACTCTGCCTAACAAAAGCCCCAACCCTAATAAAGCGCGGCAAACACGCAATACGCACTGGACAAGACCTAACCAAACTGAAAAGTGAAATCCAACCAATATACGAACAATGCAAAGAAATCCTAGCCGAGCTAAAAACCCGGAAAACATCCTTCGAAGCCTCAACCCCGGAAACGTCTTCTCCGACATTCATGGCCCAGGTATTGAAAGCGCATTACCTGCGCACGTACGGACTGGGTCTTACGATAACGATGTTTTTCAATTGTATAATGCAGGCGTTGAACTTGGATGATTCTACTTTTGCGGAGGAATCGACTTCTTTTGTCGAGGAGACGCTTGAACATGCGGCGCAGTCGAATGTTTATAGACCTGTTGGGGCGGGGTATGTTATATTGTGCTTGTATGCGGCTTGGGCTGCGACTCCGGATCCGCAGTTGAGATTGAGTGTTGAGTTGGCTTTGCTTGATTATCACGATGATTTTAAGCGTAATCGTGTCACTGATTTGCCTTGTGATTTGGATATCGTGTCTGAACATATTTGGCTTGGGGTGCCTCCTAGGAGGAAGGCTCTTGTTTTGAATTGAAGGGTCGACGTGCATACGACATACATGATTGAGATGACTTTGTGGATATTTGAGATACCAGCTAGATATACGTAGATGTGCTTTTGTTTCGGGGCAGTACAGTATGACTTGGATATATTCCTACATTCTCAACCAGTACTTCTCTTCACCCTGGATGATACAAATGTGCCACGAATAGACCAATCCTGCGGTGAGTTTCAGATATTAAGCTTCACTTAGTGGCATACGCTAGCCACGCTAAAAAGTTGTTGGGAAGACATATCAAAGATCGCATGAACAGCCTGGATACCTAGATGTACAATAATCAGAATTAAAGCCCCTATAAAGAATGTAGTAAGACAATACAGCAACAAATCCGTGATTCATTCGTATGAGGTGAAAGCGCTAAATAAGAAAAAGAAAAGAGATACAGACGGGCTCCAAACTATGTGGACCACCAGGTGGCACCATGGTACCAAAACGAAAACAGAAAGAGAACCCCAGACGCTATGCGAAGAGAGAAAATAAGAGCACGAACTCAGAGCATATATGGCAAAGCACAAGGCCGGGCCAATCATGAAGACAACAGAATGCGAAATCCCCTGATCCTACCTCGTCCTGACCCTGCCCTGTCTTCCCCATTGCTATGATACGCCAAAGTGAGCATAATAATACGGAAACCGCCGGAAGGGTTGGTAGAGGTACACAAAATCGAAGGAGCCACGACTGAACGGATAAAGGGTAATGTATGGAAAAGACGGGCGAAAAAAGGGGCAAGAGTGTACATGTTCTAGGAACAGGCCGAACCGACAAAAAACATGGGTATTTCCGTGCGCTGCTAAAGACTTGGAAACCGGAAGTGCAAGTGCAAGTGCGGCGCGAAAACGAATATCAGAAAAGAGAAACGAGTGAAGACGCCCAAGCCGGGTGTTTCACCACATATCATCGTCATCGTCATCATCGAGTTGGACGTCGTCGCCAAAGGACGAGTGTCCGTACTGGTACCCCGGGCCGTAAGCGCTGCCATTTTCGTAGCTTTGCTTACTGCCTCTCGAATGGGCGCCGTAGCGATCGTGCGGATCGTCGTCATAGTCGTACATGGAAGAATCGTCGTAAGCACTTTCTGCGTAGTGTTGCTGCTCCTGGGACTAGGATAGATGTTAGTGAGATAGATCTTCATTGGGACGGGTACAGGCACTCACCTCTTGGTATCGCTGATATTGCGTGTATTCATCTGGCTGGTCCCTAGATTTGGATGACCTCTGGGATCCAGATGAAGAATGCCCCGTCTGTGGGTGCATCTGTTGCACTTTGGCCAGGTATGAGTACATGAAGTTGCTCAGCAGTACTTGAGAGTAGAGCGCTCGCCGGGGGTTTGCAAGTTTGATATGTGCCATGCGGTAGATTGCTCGCTCTTCCAGGATGGAGAACCGAGTCCAAGGGTAGTCGAGGTCGGGACGCAGAACCCGCATCGGAGGATCCGGGGACAGGTTTCGAGATGAATGTTTGCGATGATGGCCTTCTCCACCATGCTTCTTTCGTCCGCCACCAAATATAGAAGAGAAAATGCCATCCTTTTCTTTCTTTGAATCGCCCGATGCCCTTCTGACACCGTCCTTACGCCGTTCTTCTTCCAGCTTCGGATCCAGGCGGTCTAATACGAGACTTTCACGGGCACGCGGAGTGTTGTCGATGGACGATTGGAGTACATCCAGGCGTGTATTATCATGGGCTTTGTCGACTTTTGATTTAGTGCTTTTCGACTCGCTGTCCTTGTGCTTCTTCTTGTCTTTGTCCTTCTCTTCGCTGCCCAGCAACCAGTGCCAACTTGACTTGCGACTTCCATCGGAATCCTTCTTGTCCTTTGACTTTTTCCCTTCAGATTTGCGTTCGTCATGTTTGCGTTCTTCGGGTATTGTGGGGATGAATGAGAGACTATCAGTGCGAGTACTGTTGCCGGGTATCATCTGAGGATTATTGGCGAAATCATTGAGTGAAGAAGTGCTTTCAGGGGATTGGCGGGAGTTTTTGGAACGTTTGCTTGGTGCCGCGTCATGCAGGGACGTTTTTGGTGGCGGCGTTGATGTTGCAGTCCGATCCGCTGAACGTTGTGAAGGAGGACTGGGAATGCGGTTGGTCTCCGGGGCAGGCGGAGTTTCAACAATCGCAGGGATCTGTTGATCGCCCGGAGGTGTAACCAAGGTAGATCGTCCATTCGAGCTGATACGAGAATGCCATTGCCGTGATCCGTCAGGTCGATCAGAGGCAAAATCTGAATGTCCACCCACGTACGAGTCTCCCCTCTCTGCTTCAGGCTGATCGACAATGGGGTCGAATGTTGAGCCGGAACCTGCGCCTGAAGTGTATGCTGTGCCATGGGACGAAGTAGACTGGGACCGAGTTGTTCGGTTCGTGTTGGGCATAGGATCAGGCGACATGCGAGTCTTGCCGGGAATCGAAAGTATTTCGGCATCACTCCCTGCAGATTCAGAAGCCCCTCGTCCGACTCGCTTGGAATATGGTAACTTCTCGCCCTTTTTCAAACTCCCCGCCTTTTTATATTGTGTCCTCGTCGACCGGCGCAAACTATTGCCTAGAGGTGCCGGTGGTAAGATCGGCCTATCTTCGATGCTCAAATCCTGCATGCCACGCAAGAGTGTCGATTCTTTGTCTGCTGGTTTCGAATCGTCCACCAAGGTTTCAAGCTGCTGCAAGTTCGGACTCAACATGCCATCCCGCTTATTCGATTGTGAGCGCTGATGCTCCAGCCGATCAGCGCCATCCGTGTATCCTGAAGAATTGTCGATTTGCCTTGATAGCATAGAACGCTTGCGGTGAAGTCCAGCCCCCGACCCTTGACGCTCAGTGCCACCAGAGTAATCGCCAGACCTGCGCTTAATGTGATCAGCCTTGCTATCGAGAAAAGACTTGAATTCCTTCGGGGCGAGTTCGGGATGTAGTCGCGCAGGCACCCAAAACAATCTCGAGGCGTCATCTTCATCGGCTGAGGGGGAGGGAGGCAGTGCGAAGCCCGGAAGGTCAGGGTCACCAGCGGCCGCCACATCCATGGACATGCGCCGAATAGCAGCGAGGTTGTTCAGCTCCTGAGCCACGGCAGCGGGGTCGGATTCATAGTCGATGTCGTTCAGAGGAAAAGAAGAGGTAGCGGTTTCTGAGGGAGACCGAGTCCCCTCGGGGACTACAGAATCGGTCTCCCGGTCATAAGCTCGGTTTGCAACGAGCGACGGCCGTGTATGTCCATTTGGCGGTTTCGTTTGCCCTTCCGAGAAAGAATTATGCAGGGGGGAGGACGGGGAGGGGTTGGACTCGGATCCTGCGGCGGCCCGCGGGATGGTTGTTATTGACTCGCCCAGCGGGGAGGATATATAGCTGAGGCGTCTTGGATCGTTGGGGTCGTAGTCATCATCATACATATGCCCGATCGCTTCTGTCACATGGTGACTTGGGTCGCTAATCGAGAGATGGGGGGCATGACCTCGCCGCGTCGCGTGTCCTCCGCCAGCCTCATGGGCACTCGTGGAGGCCTAACCAGAAGACAAAGAGGGTTAGAATTTGCGACGCGCTATTTGCCAAACGTGATCTCTTTCAATGGGGGACATCTCAATGCCCAAAAACGTGGTGCCTGAGGGGCTCAAAAAGTTGACGGTACCCTCCCAACCACACCCCCAGGCACACGGACAAACACTGGGAGGACGAAAGAAAGAAGAGAACGCACCTGCATGGGAACCAGTTGTATAGGGACCGAAGACAACCCGAAAGACCCTGAAGTCCAAAGGGTGAGGAAGTCAATGAACGGGGTAAAGACGAATGGTCATCGAAGCGGGGAAAGAGAGAAGAACCCAGAGACTAGACATTCGGATGTCGAGTCCGAGTCATTTGTGGGAGAGAAAGGAAAGAAGAATGAGGGTTATGGGGTTGCGGGCGGAGAAGAGTTGCTGACTTGCGGGCGCAGCACCTGACATCTACAGAATAGCTATCTTTTGACCTCACTGGAAAAAGGTGTTAAAAGTAAACAGTATCGGTTCTGTTCAGTTCAGTTCATGAAATTGGCTTTCTTACATGTACTTGTCTCCACTTAAAACGGGAAATGGTCCATGGACGATCAGTCCGATCTACACGTTCTGGTCTTTGGCCCTAGTAGTACATCTTTCAGTTCGGATTCGAACTCGGACTTGAGGAAGGCCTGTCTTTCAGAGCTGATATATTTCTCTAGTGGTACCGCATTCATGCAACTCGAAGCTGAGGCCTCCCTCGTACCAATGTACATACGCGTTCATTGAGGCCCAAACACCATACACTATACACTCTTAAGGTACTACAACAAAAAGGCAAATCCGCCATAGGAAATCCGTTGCATCCAAGGATACCTCCTGGCCGACCCCAAAGGCTTTGTACTAGGCAAATTCTTCCCCTACGGTCCCGTGTTTTGAACATGAAACCCCGTGTTACTCCACCTCTTCTGTTGAAGGAAGACAGTGGCTGGTCTGCCCCTCACAGCTGTGCAGGTATTGACACAATATGTGATCCGAGTACACACAGGCCAGAGCCCAGACGACCTAGACGAGCTGCGAGGCACAAGGATATATGTGAGCCCCGTGCTAGGACTGTACGATTGAACTCAAAATATCAGGCAAGCCACCTGAGAAAGCTGAATGATACACCCTAGAAAAGATTCGAAAATAAAGAGAGAAGTAAGGCAAAAAGCGAACTCTAGGAGTAGATTGCAACCAGAGGGGAGAATACTCTGCATAAACCTAAAAGACCGCAACAAATGGCAGTAACCTCCTAGTCCCCCGACGGAGAACTAACAATAAGAACGAAAACTCCGCGCTGAAGGATGTAACGGCAACGATTTGACGTATAAAAAAAGTTGGCGGATCCACTTCCACCTGGATATATTGAGGGCATTTGAGGCATCTGTGTCCATGAAGCCTAAAATGAATGTGCATCGAGATTTCATAGTTTGTGCTGCATGGACCAGCATGGGATAGTCACAAAATTACGAGGCATCAACATAGTTGCTGCGGTTCAGATTAGCAAATGTCAAGCATAGAAAAACCCCGAAAATGCAAGGTGTGCTTACCTGGGGAAGATCCCCACGCGGTCACCGATGCGACCAGTCCACCAGTCTTCCGCCTTTTCCGTCCGCTTCAGAATTGTAATGATCTCGCCCTTCTTGAAACCAAGGTCACCCTCTTGATCCGCATCGAATGTAAAGAGAGCAACAGCCTGGTCCTGTCGCAGCTGAGCCGCACTCGTCTTTTGCCCGAAGACCGGCTTAGGGGCAGTAGGACGCGTAGGTCGGCGATCTGAATAAACATAGTCCTCCTCAAATGGCGCGGTGTTGCTCCGGTTGCGCCCATAGCCGTCGTATGAGTCGCTGGGAGGTTCCCGGCCTGTCGCGGAACGGCCAAGTCCCCCGGCAGGCCGATCGTAAACATCATCTGCCCAGGTGTTCGCACGGCGCGGCTGGTCACGGTAGTCGTAGTCGTCGCCAGTGGTGTTGGATCGGCCCCGCCGGCTACCCTGGCCATATGCCTCGCCCCTTCGTCCCTCCCAGACGACATCATCGTGGCTCTCGTCATATATGGGCATGTCATTGTACATAGAATCACCATATGCTCTAGCGTTTCCTTGGAAGGCACGGGAGTTCAGCACGCGCATGAGGGCATCGGCGGCCGGCGGTGGGCGAACGCTACCAGTGAGAAGCTGGTTCGCAGAGACGCGACTGCGATACAGCTTCTCGTTGGCATCCTTGCGCTCCACGAGCATACTGCCCTCCAGACTGACGCCGGCAAAGAGACCCTTGGTTTTCGAGTAAGAGAACACAGCTGCGACGCCCTTTGTGCTGGCAGCTCCAGCAGCCTCGGCATTTCGACCGACCGGTCCTGCGGCGAGGGAGACATTGCCACCCAGCGTTAGCGTACCGACCTGGGAGAATGTGCGGACGGCAGCGGCATCATTCAAGATGAACACAAAGTCGGTCAATTCGAACCCAATCTGACCTCCAATTCCGGCACCTGCAGTCGCGATAGCCGACGGGGCCGACCAAGAACCATCGCCAAGACGAGCGACAACAATACCAGATCCAAATCGACCTGAGCCGAGGAATCCGGCTTTCAGAACCGTGAGGACCGCAAGACCCTAGCAAAAAGGACGTTAGCCCACCTCACCCGAGTATTGCGAGATTCTTACCTTTGCACCGGCCAGAATCTCTGGCGGAATGACTTTGTCGGGACCGAAGGCTTGCCTGGGATCAACGAATGAGGTCAAGATCTTTGCGGCCTTCTTGCACTCGCCTGTTCAGATGGGGGTCATTGTCAGCCGGATATGCCGCACACGACTGCGGGGGAAGTGGGTTGAGAGATCGACACGTACTGTTCATAGACGAGGGCAGTGGATTGTTGATCCCGAGAGGCATATTTGCGGTATATGTCGAGGTAAAACGGTCAACTCGACTGAAAGAGGAGTGAGGTTGGGGAATGAGGAGAGCCCAGGTGTTGATCGGGTTCCCGTTAGTCAGGTCAGTGTGGGCCTAATGACGGCTGACGCGGGACGGTAGTTCGTCGGAGGCTCAAGAGTATCTGTACCTCGCAGGACTCCTCCCTTGATCAGCGAGTAGTCAATTCCAAGGTTATCTGGTAGAAATCAATCAGTTGAGAGCTTCCGTAACAGTTAAAGGGCAAATTGGGGATCTGGAGGTCGGGATCGTTCCCCCGCTTAAGGAGGCGGAGCAAGAGTGCTTACCTTGGCAATTTCAACAAGTATTGCCGAGAATCTACCAGAAGATCGAAGAGAATACGAATGGAAGTGTATAATGTTCCTCTAAGTAAAGTATAAAATTGCAACTGCCCCGATGTATATATTCATGCACGTGCATTGCTGCCCCAGGCCGCCAAGACCTTCCCCGTTCCCGTGTTATCATATCTCCCTAACGTCACGTCCAAGGCTCATATAGAGGCCATGTGTGGAGTATAATACCTTCACTCGCTTAGCTGCGAAAATGGCAACAGGTACGTCTGGCATTCTGCTGATTCCCCGAAACGCGACTGACCGCGTATCCAGTTCGGATCTGCGTCTGCGGCGACGAGGGCACTGGCAAGTCCAGTCTCATAACCTCGCTTGTCAAAGGTGTATTCGTGACAAATAAAATCCAACCGGTCCTTCCTCAGATAACCATCCCTCCCACCATCGGAACCCCCGAAAATGTCACCACAACGACCGTCGTCGATACCTCGGCTGTCCCCCAAGAACGGAACAACCTCGCGCGCGAGATCCGGAAATCCAACGTGATCCTGCTGGTGTATTCGGATCACTATAGCTATGAGCGCGTGGCGTTGTTCTGGCTGCCATATTTTCGCTCGTTGGGCGTCAATGTTCCGGTCGTGTTGTGTGCCAACAAGTCCGATCTTGCGGCGAGTCACAGCGAGGCGCAAGTGGTTGAGGAAGAGATGTTACCTTTGATGGCAGAGTTTAAGGAGATTGACTCGTGTATTCGCACTAGTTCTCGGGAGCATCGCAATGTCAATGAGGCTTTCTTCGTCTGCCAAAAGGCTGTAACACATCCAATCGCCCCGCTGTTTGATTCCAAGGAGGCCGCTTTGAAGCCCGCAGCGGTAGCCGCTCTACAACGGATTTTCTATTTGTGCGACAAGGATCGGGATGGATACCTGTCCGACAAGGAGATCAAGGACTTCCAGACCAGATGTTTTGGGAAACCACTGAGCGAGGAGGATCTCATTCATATCAAGGATACCATCCAGAAAAGCTACCCAGAATCGGTCACCGAGTCTGGGATTGATTGTCAGGGCTTTATTCACTTGAACAAACTATACGCGGAGAAAGGGCGACACGAAACTGTCTGGATTATTCTACGAGCGTTTCAGTACACAGACAACCTCTCGCTCCAAGAGAGCTTCTTACATCCTCGGTTCGAGGTCCCTCCATTTGCCTCCGCAGAACTGTCCCCCGAAGGATACCGATTCTTCGTCAACCTTTTCCTCCTATCCGACAAGGACAATGATGGAGGTTTAAACGATGCCGAGCTTGCATCTTTGTTTGCGCCTACCCCTGGTCTGCCCGCATCCTGGGCTGACGGCTCATTCCCTTCTTCCACAGTTCGCAATGAGGCAGGACATGTAACACTGCAAGGCTGGCTGGCCCAGTGGAGCATGACGACTTTCATGTCTCCCAAAACGACACTTGAGTACTTGGCCTACCTCGGCTTTGAGCCCTCCGACCGAAGCAATCCATCTATCACAGCAGCGCTGAAAGTAACAAGGCCACGCAAGAGGCGTAGACGCCCGGGCCGTGTCGGTCGAAATGTGGTGCAATGTCATGTTTTGGGAGCCCCTGGGTCGGGAAAGTCCGCTCTACTTGATGCACTCCTTTCGCGTGGGTTCAGCACAACCTACCACCCAACCATTCAACCCCGTACCGCCGTCAACACAGTGGAACTCCCTGGCGGAAAACAGTGTTATTTGATCCTGGACGAGTTAGGCGAGTTGGAGCCTGCTCTCTTGGAAAACCGGTCCAAGCTGCTGGATCAGTGTGATGTCATTGCCTACACCTATGATTCCTCCGATCCGGACTCCTTTGCATATATCCCGGCTTTGTGGGCGAAGTACCCGCATCTGGAGGAGTTGCCCAGTGTATTTATTGCTCTCAAGGCCGACTTGGACCGGACTACCCAGCGGGCCGAGCACCAACCCCACGAGTACACAGCCATGCTGAACATGCCCAGTCCGCCTCTCCATGTGAGTGTGACGTGGAATTCTATTCAAGAGGTTTTTGTCCACATCGCCGAAGCAGCGATGGAGCCTAGCACCGCATTCCCCCGCAGCGAAGAGGATGTCGAGGGTAAATGGATGTCATGGGGTATCGCCCTTGGAGCGGTGGTTTGCGCAGGCGCCGCCGCGGTAATGATTTGGCGACGAGTCAGTGGTAGCAATTAGCAACATTGGAAACAGAGCTTCGGGGTTTAATACCATATACATATAGATTTTATACCGTAGAGCCCCAGTTGACCGGGATTCCCAACATAGTAAGGCGTCGAGGCGGTTGGTCCGGAGTTAAGCCGGGGCCCAGGCACGCGGTTTCTTCTCCGCTCCTACCCCGGACATCATCTCCTCGCTGATCCCTGCACCCCCCTCTTCGCCATCCTCCCTCGAATTCTCGAACTCTTGAACCCCTAATCACTCGATCTGTTGATATACCTTGTCTCTTGCATATTATCTATATATACCAGTGGCTCTGTGCCCCGGCTGACGCTCCTCGTCCGTGCCTTTTCCTGGAGCCTCATAGCCACTCATTCACGACACGAGCGCAGCAAAGTACCATTGACAAGGTGGTAGCAAGATATAGCCTAATAGCTGCAGTATTGACAGCTTAGCGAAGGTCGACAATATACCTTATCAGATCCAACGTTCAGTTGTTAGGTCACACAGATCTTGGTCTGCATTAAAAGCTTGTGACCATGTTGTAAGTTTGACCCTTTCTTACGTCTCTCCTGATTTCTCTTCTAGCGCAAGTAGCGCTAGAAGAGAAATCGGCAAGCCGCAACATCGGCCCATACTGGCGTGATCTGAGAGGATCGCACGGCACCTCTCACGTATTTCTTCTCTTGCTGACACCACTAGTGTCCTTCCACCCCCTCCTCCTCGCTATACCATCCCTGTCGCTTATGCGGCGGGAGCGGCGAACGGTATGGCAGTTCCTGTGGTTGAAACGAACAACACTATCACCCACCCGGAGAAGGGATGTCCGTTACAAGTTGGTGAGGGTACGTATGCGCAGACACTAGTCGCAGATATCCCCCGCGGATATTGCGATTCTTCTAGACACGAAGAGATGGCTTACCTGTGATATCGCATTAGGAACGTACACCCTTCAAGATGACCTCCTGCTCGCGACCCCGCCTCCGCACCCCTCCGAAGCCCCAATTGTGAACCCAAACCCTCTGGCGACAGTGCCTTTGCCGCCTACATGCGGCGTGAAGTTGTCTCTCGTCAGCCTCGACCCCCGAAAGAAGCCCCCGACCTTTTTGAAATCGACCATCACGGCCCCTCAGTTCGGAGACGGGAACTCGGCACTTGCAGCACCGCCCGTACCGGCGAAAGACGCACTCAAGAGGAGGAAGCCCAAGAATAATATTATCAAGAGCAGCTCTTCGTTTGTTTCGAGAGTGATCACCCACGAGACCTCGGCCAAGCGACTGAGTGACCGCGATCCAAACGGTGTTTTTGCCTTTGCGAATATCAACCGAGCATTCCAATGGCTGGACCTCAGCTCGCCCACCAAGGAGGAGCATCTCACAAAGGTCCTTTTCACCAAGTCTCATATGCTCTGCCACGATATCAACGAATTGACCAAGACATCGTCTCACTTGGATATTGTGATGGGATCTTCAGCCGGCGACATCATCTGGTATGAGCCCATGTCGCAAAAGTACGCTCGAATCAATAAGAATGGTGTGATCAACAATTCACCTGTTACTCATATCAAATGGCTTCCTGGATCCGAAAACCTCTTCATTGCATCTCACGCTAATGGTGTGCTGGTCGTTTACGACAAGGAGAAGGAAGATGCTCTGTTCGCCCCCGAGCAGAGCAGTGCCTCTGACAAGGAAAAGGGAAAGTTGCCGTTGGAAATTTTAAAGTCTGTCAATTCCAAGAACCAGAAGACCAACCCTCTGTCATTCTGGAAGTTGGCCAATCAGAAGATCTCGAGCTTTTCTTTCTCGCCAGATCAAAGGCATTTGGCCGTTGTCCTTGAGGATGGGTCTCTCCGTCTAATGGATTACTTGAAGGAGGAGTAAGTCGAATGTTAATTCAACGAGATTGAAAGTCCTGACTGACGCTTTAAAGGGTCCTGGACATCTTCCGCAGCTACTACGGCGGCCTGATCTGTGTCTGCTGGTCGCCCGATGGCAAATACATCGTGACAGGCGGTCAGGATGATCTCTTGACGATCTGGTCTTTCCCAGAACGCAAGATTGTCGCTAGATGTCAAGGCCACAATTCCTGGGTGTCGTCGGTAGCATTCGACCCATGGCGCTGCGACCAGAAGACATACCGCTTCGGCAGTGTGGGTGATGACTGTCGTCTGCTTTTGTGGGATTTCAGCGTTGGCATGCTGCATCGTCCCAGAGCCGTAAGCTTGATTTTAACCCCACACACACTTTATGCACGTTTCTAACATATGACAATAGCACCACCAAGCGTCGACTCGAAAGCGAACCAGCATTGTAGCGCCGGGCACACAGACTTCCAACCGGCATCGGGCAGACAGCGCCGGTAACCGTGTACGCTCTGACTCTAATGGAACTGAACATCTCAATGGAGAAATCGACCAGACGGCCAGTCACCCCGTTGAACCACGGTCACGAACGGCTCTCTTGCCTCCGATCATGGTGTGTGATAATTAACAGGCTTTTTATCTACATTACTGACCAGTTCATAGTCGAAAATTGTTGGTGAAGACCCTATATGCTGGCTCGGTTTCCAGAAAGATTGTATCATGACTTCCTCTCTTGAAGGTATTATCCCATTATATGAACAGCGCCAACAAACCACCAGATTCACTAACGATGTTTCTAGGCCACATCCGCACCTGGCACCGACCAAGCGACAGCGTCGTCAAATCATGATGTTGGCGTCCCCCGGATTTCAAGCGTTCTATCGTCGGATACCCAATTGCTCTATTGCCAATGACCTTGGACATAATTCGTTTCTCTATGTACAAATCAAATTACCAAACCACCAAGGCCCATCATGCACCTTAGATACCAACATATCCACGCTTGCCCGTAAATTATTCACAGCTTCGAGCTCGCCAGACTCTCGACATCAAACTCGGTCGTGCAAAGCAAGAATGTATCCCGCAGCGCCTATTACAATCAGCATAAAATCAAACCAGATGACGGAAAACAATGAAAAGACAAAACTCACCGACAACCGATGTTCCTCATTAATCCTCTGATAATCCTCACCAGCAAGCATATCACAAAAGTGCCGAATAGAGGGATAATGCACAATAGAAATCTCATTCCACCACTCCTCCCCAGGACGCGCATTGGGTCCTCTAGAATCCCCAGCGCCCTCAGCAGGTCTAACCACATTCCCGACAATCTTCGCATCACCACCACGCTTGCCAGCAACAGGAATAAATGCCTGCCCATAGTTAAAATAACTCTTCTTACCATCGGGATGGTTAAAATGGAGCAGATTTAACATTGTCACAGGGCCGGTATGCGTTTCGCATAATTCATTCATGAATTGTATGAGTGTGGGTGATAGTTCCAGGTTCTGGGATGTGGATTTTGAATCTGAGGCTAGGGCTTTGGAGAGGGAGCCTGTTAAGGGTGGTTGGGGTTTTGATTTGAGGGTTTTGTCTTTGGACGAGTAGGTTGAGAGGAGTTTCGAGGGGATTCCAGCTGTTATTTTGTATTCGGATTTTATGGTTGCGTGGAGGGATGCTGGGATTGGGTTTTTGTTGGCGATGCTTGGGTTTGTTGGTTGTAAGAGGAGGAGGAGATCCCATTTCTCGGTTGTGAGGGAGTTTGTGTCTAGGATAGTTGGGTGGATTACTGTTTGTCGAGGTCGGGATGCGACTATTATCTTTGTTTCTGGGGACTTGGATAGTTGGGCGATGAAGGATTCGGGGGTTGTTGGTGGGGTTAGGGTGAGGAGGTGGAGGGTGAGGGCTGGCATGGTCGATGGTGTGGAATAGGTATTGGGAATTTACGAATTGGTAATGGTAGTTGGTGAAGTTGAGGTATTGTGTTGGGGTGGGCAGTTTTATAAGAGATGGTTTCATGCGGAGAAAGCTATTAGCCGAGGTCCAACCTTAAGCCAACCTACTCGGTATACTCAGTACAATCCACAGCAGAACATTAATTGCATTTCTCATTAGTATAGGGAGTCGTAGGCCCATAGGCCAAATCATTCGAAAAAGCATACACCAATCTTCCTTATTTCTCTCAAGAATCGCATAAACATTCGAACGGTCTTCAACCTATTTCGTTTCACCCGACATAACCAGTAATGCTCCTCGGCATAATGAATGACCGATGATGATATTAGAGCGCCAGAGCAAATAGACCCAGAAACAGACCGCCAGCCTGGGCAGGAGGCATAAGGATAGCTGCGGCATTTGAGGTAGTTGTAGCCGACTCACTCGCAGTCGAAGTTCTGGTCGAGGTGGTGTGGTGGGTAGTAGTCGACGTGGATGTATGTGTCTTAGACATAGTAGTCGAAGTCGTGGTTGAGCTCGATTCTATGAAGATAGTCAGTCTCTGGTTATCAATGTATCGGTGGAAGTGAAGTGTTGTTTTGACAGCTAAAGCCGCCTGCATTACTAACCACGGGTAGTGCTTGAACGGGCATTTGATGTGGAAGATGGGGTGGAATGAGATGAAGTAGAAGAGATTGTGCTCGAAATAGAGGTTGAGGAAGAATGAGATGTAGAGATTGATGAGGTGGAAGATAGCTTGGTAGAAGAAGTGGAGGACGCTCTTGTAGGTGTAGATGTAGACACGGATGAGCTGGTAGAAGAAGTTGTAGGTGTAGATGTTGAAGAAGAGGCTGGCGAAGACGTGAAAGCGGTAAGCGTTGTGAGAAGAGACGGTGTTGTGGAAAATGTTGTAAGGGAAAAACTTGAAAGTGATTGGGAAATATAGGCGGATAATTTGGGGTAAACCGATAACGAGGTTTCCGTAATGAAAGAGGAGGATGAGGTAGAAATTGGAATTGAAGTTGTAGGAGGTAAAATAGATGTTGTGGTAATAGTATCAAAAGAAGAGGTAGAGGACAATTTTGAGACGGATAAGGAAGAGGTCAACCCACTTGGAGTAGAGCTCATTATAGAAGAGGTTGTAGGGGTAGAAACAGAAGTAGAAGATATTTGGGATGAGGTAGGGGTAGACGCACTGGTGGGAGAGTAAGTAGTCGAAGAAATAGAAGAAGCAGTCGAGGAAGAAGCAGAAGTCGAGGTAATCTCACTTGTCGACGCTGTGGAAGAAAGCATGGAGGTCGACCCAGACGAAGTTTCACTCGCAGTGCTAGTTTCCTTACCAGAGCTAGAGCTAGAGAGAGCACCCGGTGCAGTCACTCCGAATTGCTGGGACTGAGCCAGAATTCCGTTGCTGTTGGAAAGGAAGTTGATCTGATATCCCTTTCTATTTATACAATCAGTGAATAGTTCTTAAGAATGCATTTGGTTGACTTACCCAACGTCCACGTCAGTAAAGGACTTGGATTTGACCGTGTATGAGCCCTTCGACGAGTCGACATTTTCCGCCACGATCTCTGTTGTCGATGGATAGACATTTTGATTGACCAGCTCGATGGTGAAGGTATCAGGATCGGTCCTGATCATATTTTATCCTCGATTAGTCGCGGTTCTTATAAGAGTCCAAAGGTTATGCATTAAAAGAACATCTTACTGGACGGATTGCCATTTGATAGTAAGGGGGCGGTCTGGGTCAATCTTCTCTCCAATTCGTGGCGAGGTAACGACGAGACCTGTGAAGGGTTATTAGAGTCATGGATTTTTCCAGACGAAGTGACCATACCTGCAGCCGTAGTAGCAAGGGCCACCAAAGACACAACGTTAACACGCATAGCAATTGATTTGACTGGTAACCAGTACAAAGGGGAGCAAAACAAGGGAGTAAAGTTCAATTCGCAAGGGCCGGCTTAGGATAAACTACCGCGAGTTTGGAGGGGAGTAGAAGTCAGGGGTGGACCAAAGACGGAAGCATGGTATTTTATAGCATCTATGGCGGTTGCCACCAGCTGTAATCCTCCCAGGGTCTTCCTCATCTCCATTACGAATCTTTATTTTGGGCTGATTCCCGTGGTGCCTTGATCCAGTGTGCCTCGTACTCCCAGGTCTCTCGGAGTACAAAATAACCAGGCGAGGACCGCATGTTTTAGTCCCTGTGATGTTTCTTTGCTACTATCCTGAGGCAGAATAAGTCCAAAGAGATAACTGTCAATGCTGTAGCTTGAAAGTTCTATTTTGGACTGGGCTTGAATTTGTTGTCGGCGATTTCATGACGTACAACGTCTTTGATGTCAACTGGCCGCGCGTCATAATTCCTGTCGGTATCAAAATGAAAGATACCATCACGCATGAAAAGTCCTCCTTCCCGACAGATTGGCCATTATTGGCTAGGGCACGGGACCTCTAGGATCACTGCTGCAGTCCATTTAGCATTGCTGATTGCCAGGGATATATTAGAAGATTAGGATTGTCGATCCATCTGGGCTGCTGCTGATACATTGGACGATAGTATCGCTAGCAGAAGCCTTTGGATTTTACATGTATATCAGTTTATATATAGTTATATATTAAGCTCAATTATAAGGTTTATCTAGGGACCCAAATGTCAAAGTTGAATGTCGTCTCAAACAAGCCATCAAGACTACCACATATATTTTCTCGCTCCTTTTTCAAGATTTGTGAATGTGTGACAGTATTGTCCGAAAGGCCCAAGCACACCGGAAATATTGGATTGCCTAGGTAGGACAAAGCCAAGGAAAAAATCCCAATCTCAACCCGATCTTATAGACATCGCAACACCAGAATAGCACTATCACATAAAGCATCTTAGCTCTTAGGTAGATGCCCCACTATAGACGTAATTTCGTTCTTCGGGAGGCTCTAAAGTTTCAAAATAGTTTCCTAGAGCGGTATGGAGATATACCCGTAAAGTTACACACAGTGAGAACGCAACGTCGGAAGGTAACTCATTGGATGAGATAAAAATAATCTAGGCAGTGTCTAGGTTTTCTCCTAGGGCAGATCCTTGTCTTGATTGCCATAGTGTAAGGTCCCCGCTCGGCCTTGAGCATGTGTTTATGTTCCCCGATGGTTCCATTACCGTCAGACCAAGCTACATTTGGCTTTCTGTTTTGTTCTGTTCAAAGCTTATATCCTTATAGTCGCTGTTGAATCCAGCTGCAATCAAGAGTTGTCGTCAGCATATATGACAAAGTCATTGGTTATCACGATAGTATAGAATTCTTTGAAAGAGAAAGAAGCGTATGATAATGCAAGGTCTGAAGATTTATTACGTTAGGACTAAGTCACAATCCTTATTATCATCAAATTGAATTTATTTGCCTCTTCTTTCCTGCTACTTCTTTTTCTCTAGGGTAAGCGCCCCTATTTTGAGACATATTTTTTCTCCTCTCTTCAACCTTCTCTCTTCATCAAGCTCTCATCATACTCTCTCTACCATCCTCCCCTCGTCATCTTCTTTCTCACTCCAGCTTCGTTCTCTCGCCATATATCTCTCTCAATGTCAGCTATGCTTATTCCCGGTACTGATCATTCGTAGGCATGTGATACGGTCACAGACAAAGAACGGAATCTTTTCATCCGCGACAACCTGGCCATGGACCCAGTATGAGTCGGAGCATGCAAGGCCGGATTTCCGTGATGACCCCCCTTGATATATATAGCAGTCCTTCAATCTATATATCACCCACTGAGCAATTCAGGATGCTCCTGCAGCACTATGACACAGAATGCATGCCAAAACCAGCTTCAAACCATTATCAATGACTCGTCAAAGATAGGCTCGTTACGCGAAACAGTCAAAAAGTACATCCTAGGATCCCGGGACAAGCTTATCGTTTGCATTCTAAGGAAGTCTTCTCCGTTCGCAGTAGCCGAACTACCAGCCACTGTGGTCACCTCTGTCTGCCTTGATGAGCATATTGCGAGGGCCGATGGCAGATTCTTTTGGACCTGGGTCAAATTCGCTTTTATTGATGGATACTGACCTAGCATGCCTTTTGGAGCAAATCAATAGCCATTGAACTTGAGACCACAACATATTACATGGTAGCAATTTCAAGATACAATAAGTCTGTCTATGTTCATTCTTTAATACAATTAGTCGTCTCAGCCCCAGTGCTCATCTCTCTGAACTGCTTGTATATATGAAATCTTTGTTGTATGCTTGTGGAGCCACTGTACCATATTAACTCCGCATGCACGTTGTATGCCATATATCGGGATCGAAGCTACATACTTGTTATGTGAAGGGAGTTCATTATCAACTTCCAAAAGGCCGTGGGGGTTCTCAAGCTGTCCATGTGGGTGAACATGCGGCTGAGGCCATGACCTATAGGACAACTCAACCAGCGACGCATATAAAGGCTAAATGCCCGCCCACGTGACTTCTTTTCTTCTTCTACATTTACATCCACGTGACATCTTTGCACGTGACTTAATTTTAATTTTGCCTAAATCTTCACGTGACAGCCACAGCTGTCCGTATCTTATCCGATAGTGTTTATCGCGGGGTTCAAGCCTCATCTTCAAGCCACTTCTTTTTTCCCACGGATTCAACCTCCTGCCTGTTTCGCAGAGCCTCTTTTTAGGATTCTGGCTTCCAACATGGCGGACCCCGATGAGTTGTCCCAGGTATGTCCCACATGGAAACAGTCATACTCTCTGTCGCATTCAGGTCTGACCTGTCCTGTTTGTTTCGATAGGAGCTTCAAGGCATCTACTGCCCACCGATTGACCCAGCTCTGTTCATGGCAATCGTAATGGACTATGATTTAGCAATTCCTGCTGAGGTTCGACGACTTCGCGATACCTTGAACGAGCTGAAGACATCTGCCCTTGACCAAGAAAACCTGCCTTTCGATCCCACCGGCACAACCAATTCCCATAACCTCCAGGACGCAAACCTTCCCGAAAGTTTAAGCTGGCCATCGCTTGAACATCTCGACTTGAACGCTGATGACGAGAACAACAACAATCGCGACAGTCGACACGATTCACGCCTGGGGTACACATTTCTGGGCATGACATCGGATGACAAAGTCTACAACTTGATGAGCATGTTCCCAAGTGTTCCTCGTCGCCAAGCTGAGCGCATCCTCGAAGAATGCCATGACAGTCTTAGCCGCGCAATGGAAGTTCTATTGAATCTTGCCTTCATCGATGAGACCCAAATTGCGCGAGGCTCTGCGCAAGTGACCCCCGCAGAAGCCGCCGCAATGAGTCAAGCTTTGGCCCCCAGGTCGATCGATGGATTCCAAGCAGATGAGAATCAGACCAAGAAATCGCGCAAGAAAAACAAGAAGAAGAACCAGCAACTGCGGCGCGACGCAACGCCATCACAGAGTAGCAATGTCCCCACGGCCAACAAATGGGAGACCGGGAAGCAAGATATTGATTTCATCTCCACGCGGGCCTCTGTCCTTCTGCGAGAGAATGTTGCATCCACATATCACGGCAATTCAATGTCGCTCTGCGCAACCATCAGAGCTTTGGCAATCGCGTACGCGCCCCGAGATATTGGGGAGCTCGAAGATGATGATGCTATCATTTCCCAAGTGGCCGAGCTCACGCAAAAATACACCACCATTCCTGACACGACTCTCGTTGGCCTCATTCGCATTGCCAACAATGAGATCACGGCCGCAGATGAGCTGGCGGAGGCCTTAGCTCGGGGGCCTGTTTTGAACTCATTGTCAGACATCATTACCTTCACTTCGGCCCCCATCGTCCTCGATCAGGAGGAGGTCACCTCAGCAGCCTCGGCCGAAGAGGCCATTGAAACTTCACCAGACATGGACTATAGCCAGGCAGCTGCCGCTGCCAATGCTCACTTCATGGCACGGTCAAGTGCCTTCGCGCAGGCCTCCCAGGCCGCGCGCCGCGCCCGATCCAATCCACTCTACAACGGGGCTTCCGCATACTACCGAGAAGTCGGAAACGAGCAACGGCAGCTGGCCCTGCGCCACCTGGCTACCGCCTCTGACAGATTGGTGGACGGGCAGTCATCCCAGTATGATCTGGACCTCCACGGAGTGACCGTTCCCAATGCTATCAGAATCTCCCGGGAGCGTGTCAATGCGTGGTGGCACTCCCTGGGTGATTTGAAGCACGTCAGAGGTGGTGGCAAGCATGTACACGGTGGGTTCAAGATCGTGGTCGGTGTCGGAAACCATAGTCGCGACGGCGCTGCACGTATTGGACCCGCCGTGTATAGGACGTTGGAGAGTGAGGGGTGGAAGGTGGAGTGTGATCGTGGGGTGCTGCTGGTCACCGGGCACCGGCGTTGAGCCTTCTTTTGTTTCTTTCTTATATATACCCTGTTGGGCACCTTGAGAGTTCTCTCAGGTTTATGAGAGACTCGTGCGCTTTTTGTTATGTATGTTTGGTCAGCCCTGAGTTACACTTGTGTCAGGTTTGCTGTTGATGATACCCCTACACTTCACGGAGTTCTATTAGACGGGAGCGATGGCGATTTTGAATAGACTATCCCTGTTTAGAATACAACAGACAACCAAGGCGATTTCACTACTCAATTTCTCCTAATTTACGCTCAATTGCCCTGTATTCCGTCTAGAAGTATAGGTGTATCCATACTGTAGTCCTATTTACGATCTCCCCGCATAATGACGTAAAGGCCGAGGCGGGTTTAGCTTCATCCCCACTATCATTCCTCCATCAGCGCTCTGCTTATTTCTTCCTCGCTGTTCTATCCTCCTGGCTCAACCCACAAAATCATCTCCATGCAATATCGGCTTCTACGCAATACCATCTCGTCCTTTGGATACCGATCCCTCCGCATCCCGACTTCACCTTGCTCTTTCCGGCTTCTGTCCAGTTCCACGCGCAAATCACCTACCTCGAAATCCAGCAAAGCGCTGAAAGCTGCACCAACCATTCCATTCTTTGGTGCCTTTTTCAGTTCAAATTGCAACGCCGAGGAATCCACCACAGCCATGTCACACCCTGACCAGAGAAGCGAGGACCAGTGGAGGGCCGTCCTGAGCCCAGGTTTGTACCACACGGCAGATTTGCGAAACAGACCACCCCGAGGAGCAATCTGACTAACCATAATCATTATAGAGCAATTCCGCATTCTCCGCCAAAAGGGTACCGAGCCTGCCGGCACAGGGGAATATGATTCCCACTACCCAACCAAGGGTGTCTACAAATGCGCCGGTTGCGATACGCCACTTTACACTGCCGACCACAAGTTCAAGTCTGGCTGCGGATGGCCTGCATACTTCGACTCCATTCCTGGGGCTGTGACCAGACATGTGGACAACACTTTTGGCATGAAGAGAACGGAGATTGTCTGCACCAATTGCGGCGGTCACCTTGGCCATGTCTTCGAGGGCGAGGGCTACAAAACCCCTACTGATGAGCGCCACTGTGTGAACAGTGTTAGTCTGCGCTTCTCTGAGGACGCAGCTCCCAAGGCCAAGGCTTAGAATTGTTGTTTAGACCTATTTAGGTGTTGCGGGGAGTAAGGCTGCAGGGCGTGCATACGAGGTGTCATTTGGAGTGGACCAACCATGTGTGGTAAATTGGAAGTATAACATCAGTCATTTCATAATATACATGCGCTCATTTACCAAGTATCATCTCCACACTACAGTATCACTCTACATCAAACTGCGTGACTGGCATTTTTCCCCGTCCGTATATCCACTGCAGCCTTAGGCCGCAACCGTGCCGAGCGACCGCCACCTAAGATTATTAGGCCTCATTGTTTCCTTTCCCTTTCACCTCCACCTATTCGCGTCGTTAAGATCATGTCTCGACGCCCTACTCCGGGCCAAGCCGCCCAAAACTCGCAGACCATTAAGAGTTTGCTGAAACTGGAACACAACAAGATCTGTGCCGACTGTAAACGGAACAAGCGTCAGTCCCCGATCCCCTCCGTGGAGTTGCGCCCACGCTGGCTTCATCTCCAGGTCCATTCCTTGGCGGCCATATACTGAATTGTCTTTCATTTAGATCCGCGATGGGCTTCCTGGAACCTGGGTGTGTTTGTTTGCATTCGGTGCTCGGGCATTCACAGGGGTATGGGAACGCATATCAGTCGAGTCAAGTCCGTGGATCTCGATGCCTGGACCGATGAACAACTTCAAAGCGTCATCAAATGGGGCAATGCAAGGGCAAACAAGTATGCTGCGATCAATTGGTTATTTCGGACACGGGCTAATATGTTATAGGTACTGGGAAGCGAAGTTGGCTCCCGGCCACGCTCCCTCGGAATCGTAAATGCATCCCCTCGGACTTTTAGATAACATTATTCTGACGAATTGCGCGAACAGGAAAATCGAGAATTTCATTCGGACAAAATACGAAAGCAAACGATGGGTGATGGACGGTGGTTTACCAGACCCCTCGACTTTGGATGATGGGGATGACGATGTGGTGAGTGATCGCGTGATAAACCGCGTGCGAACATGGTCGCTAACCTAGCAGCCTCTCGCCGTCGTCCAGGAGAAAGCCAAGATTGAACGTTCCGCTTCGCAACGAGTTGCCGCTCCCAGCCAGCCTCCGGTACACCGTCAACAAGCCTCAATTGACTTGTTCGGCGACGATATCTCTCCTCCTACCCGGCCTAGCACGACTGATCCTACTCCACGCGCTCCCCCGAGACAAGCGCAGCCTGCGCCGCCCAAGACACACAAGCCTAATGATTCACTACTAGGCCTTGACTTCTTCGGCAGTACCCAGCCATCTGCCGGAAGTCGCCCAACCAGCACGGCATCCACACCGGCCGCTCCCACCGGAATGTCTCGTCCAGATCTCAAACAATCAATCTTGTCTCTGTACGCGAAGCCGCAACCTGCACCCGTGCAGCATGAGCGCGGGAATTCATTCGGCGACATGGCTTCTCCCCCGGCGTCATCCGGTCACTCCAACATGGGCGGCCTGACGGACGCCTTCAGCGGATTGAGCTTCCCGACTACTACCTCCCCTCCGCCTGCTAGACCCGCCGAGAAGCCTTCGCCATTCGCCAACCTTACATCTTTCGCCAAGTCGACTCCTGCTGCCCCGAAGGTCACATCTCCTTCAGGGTCCGCCAGCGGCGACCTATTCGATAGCCTCACCTCTCCAACTATGTCCGCCCCGAAGCCTCAATCCCGCACGACATCTATTTCCTCCACCGGACAGGACTGGGGATTTGGTGGATTTGCTTCTCCCCCTCCCACTACTAAGCCAAACCCTCCATCATCATCTCTATCAAATGACTTGTTTGGGCTTTCTTCGCCTCCTCCCGTCTCCACCTCTACAGTGTCGCCTCCGAAGCCTACTGCAACCTCTCCCCAGCAGGAAATGAAATCTGCATTTAATATATCCAGTCCCCCGTTGCAGCCCCCTGCGCCTCCCAAGGCGCCAGCAACCACCGCCGCCAACGCTGCCGCTGCCAACATGATGTCAGGCAGCCTTGACCCCTGGGGTGGTAACGCGTGGAGCACACCTGACCGCGCACCATCTCCCGCTGCTGCTACTCCATCCATTGCCTCCACGATGAAGGTCCCTGACACCCTAACCCCCAACGACCTTGGAAACGGATGGGGTGCACCGACCCCAGCGACAAAGCCCGCGCCTACTGTCGCAGCTGATGAGGACTTTGGTGGCTGGGCCAGCGCAGCTCCAATCTCCAACCCTACCCCATCAAGCACAAACACCTCCAAGCCCGCGGGAGGATTCGGAGGATCGGACGATCTCTTCTCTAATGTTTGGGAGTAGACTTCTTTGAAACGAGTGGTTCTTTGCAGGCGACTCGGGTCCGAGGATTGCATAGCTGGTGGCATCTGCGTATTGGATATTGCCCAATTGCACAAACCAGTTTCCATCTTACCACTTGCCTAGAAAGAAGCCTTTGTGTATTTATTCTTCGGCATCTTCCTTTTTACGAGACCTTGACTCTCATTGATTTGTGGGCTGTTACGGATGTACAGAGCGGGTCTCATGCATGCTTCAAGATTAGGTAGCTTTTCTCGCTTTGGCATGTATACTTATGCTTTTACTTACAATTGAGTCATAATACCCTAGACTTCTTGTGAGGCTTTGTAGATGTATGGTTTTATTCGGGTATCTTGCGGATGCTTGATAGAGAATGGATGAATGGATGTGTATGATAGACGTCGAAGACGTTATCTTATACTCACTCTTACAGCCTTTCACCAATTCCACCGAACTATCTCACGAAAGACTAAAATAGGAGATATATGTAATATATGTAAAAGTGAACAAAGCTTTGCCGTTGATGGGGTATAATACATCGCCATAGAAACACAACCATTAAAGAACGAGTAAGCCACCATAATGCCAGTCGAACTGTCAAAACAAATAAGAGAGATGCATATGTAAAGAACGTCATGAAACCCCAGAAACCCATTACATTAAATCAAATCAAAAACTCCCCTTCCTCACCAACTCCTTCGTACTACCCGTCTCATCAAGATCCCCACGCCCCTCAACCTTATCCTCACTCTGCTGCACAAGGGTAGTAACCTTGATACCAGCAAAAGCCTCCTTAGCAGAAACATGCCGGCCCTTCCGTTGAGACTCTTGTGAACCCGAGGACGAAGGCAAATCCTCCATGTCATAGTCCGGGTCATGTTTGCGGCCGCCGACGACGGATGCCAGCACGGTGTTTTCATTTCCGTTTCCAGTGCCGCCTAGGATGCTGCGGCCTGTACGCGAGGGCCGTGTTGTTCGGCTTCTGTAGCCGTTGCTTCGGGTTGAGAAAATGTGTGGGAGGAGGCGGGAGAGGAAGGCTCTTGTTCCGGGAAGGCAGGCGCATATTATTGCTACATTGCATTCGACTGCGGACCAGGCTGCTGCGCCGGGGTTGTCGTCTGCCGTTGCGTCAGACTGGGTTTGGTTGGTTGGGTAGGATTGGGAACTTACATGTTGGGTCTGAGGAGTTGGAGATGATTAGGAGGGATTTCAGACGGAGGATACTTGTAATTAGCACGCTGGATAGGAGTTAAGGTTAGTCTATGCACAGCTGGGATGAATTGAATTGGGATATAGGGGCGGGAGCAAAACTCACAATCCACCCAGAGCAAAGACACCCATAAGAGCAAACTTCTGCTTTTTCGGTAATTGCAGAGACTTAAGGACCGGCATGGGATAAATGAGAATGAGGATATCGGTGAGAATATGAATGGCCGAGTTCGAGAACCACAGAGCCTTCTTATCGAAGCAGAAGCCCGGGACAGTGGGATCCCAGAACTTAGCGAGAGGAACACAGTTCGCCCAGGCACTGACGATAGTCCATGTTCCGTAGATGCCCAGGAAGCCGATTAGGATCCAACATGCTTGACGCATGCGGGACGTTGAGAAGACTCGTTTGTATTGGAGAAGGATTGACATCTTTGTGCTGATGAGGCTTGTTTGGTAGGTGGGGACAGAGGCCCAGAAGCACTGTATCATGTTAGTGGATGTTGTCTGTGTTTGTGTGTTTGGATTGGGGATGTTGTGCTGGACGTACGATCATCTGGAATTTATAAATCGCTGGTGGGATCTTGGTGTAGTGTTCGCCCATGCCGTGGTAGACTTCGCCGACGAACAGTCCGAAGAAGACCCATGAGAAGACTAGAGAGACCAGGATCACGTAGTCGTCTGCTCCCATTTGCTTGACGAGGAAGGCTCGTGTAAATATGCGGATGGCAGTGATTAATGTTGCCAGTACTGTAAAGACGGTGCTGGCGGCGAGGGCTTCGCGTCCCCGGGATGTTGATAGTGTAGTCATCGTGTCATGAAGGCGTGTAAAAGAGTGGCAGTCTGTCTTTCTAGTAGAGTGTTGACGAGGCGAAGTTCGATGTTCCAGTGAAGCGATTGTCGGGTCAGGGCCACTTTCAACGGGCCCTTACGGAGGATCTGGAAGCACGACGATTGTGGGGGTGGTCCAGTGTTTAATACAAAAAGGGACAAGAGAGGACCATAGAAGGAAAGCAGTGCAACAGAGGGGGACACGGAAAGAAAAAAGCCACACAATGAACTTAATGGTCTGCACGCTCCCGATCTGAAGATCGTCATCCAGCCACTGAGGGGCTAAGATCAAGTTATCGATGTGGAAACGCGACTATTAGGCTTAAAGGGGAGTTATTCGCCCCGTCAACGTGGTTGCTAGACGCCACAAAACGTTAGCGGGCTCCGCGGGCTGCTTTTAGGCGCACTACTGATTCGCTGCACTGTATATTCTGGAAACACACCCCAGCAGAGTTTGATAGTAACGACAGATTAGGCGCGGATGTTGCAGAGACGTCCGCGTTGACGATCAGCGGCCATGCAGTGATGTGTTTTCTCAGGGGTATTCGGGGAGCCCGGAGTATTTGCCCACGAGCTGCAGTGGTCCACACGGGATATGACCGTTGGATTAAGCGCAAGGGCCTCGACAAAGTTCTAGTTCGCTTGTATAAGGGCAATCCATGGAACCAGGAAATGGTTGACCTCTATGGCAAAGTTGTCCCCCATATTCCACTCCTTTCTAGTTGCAAGCCTATATGGCAATGGCAAATGGCATCGTGGGGGAATATCCACACATGGCAGGATTAATTAAAGCGATCAGCACGACATAGTATACTACATGCATGAACGCTTCCCACTAACTCAACTCCACTTTTTGCTCGCTTGGACCGATTGTTTCCCATGGTTCCGGGCTGTCAATGTCAATAGTGTCAAATAACCTAATAACCTAATAATCCTATCTAGCGTGAACTGCAATTCCAATGATAAGATGAAGGAAATATAATCCCATTGTGTTGGGTGATATCTCCATGTAACTATACACTTGGGTACATATACACATCCTAGCCCTAATTGTAAGCATTTCGCAACCCTGCAGCCGTAACTTGGAATTGCGACACGGCCCTGCAGAAAAGTAACCCCATTTTCTAGGGAAGAACACAAAAGTGAAACAACTGCTGCTCGAAATACAAAATTGACCGAGCCATCCCGAAAAAACCCCGGCGCACGGTTTGCCAAGAAATTGGCCATTCAAATCGACAAAGCACTGACTACTGAATCATAGTGGAGGATTGAACCAGGTGCCCACAGTTTGCCGACAGTGCACATAATGATCTTCGTAGAATGGGTCTTTCATTTCTGTGGTTCTTGGTTTGACTCGGAGGAAATGCCCAATAGAGGCGAGAACGATGATCACTCTCTGCGTGGAGAATTCACCCGTGTCCTTTCTGTTAACATAGATGAGCATGTCTCCGTACCTGTCCTAGTTTTTGCGTGTCTTGATACAAGCATGATTTACGGAGTGTACATTGGCCTATTGACATCAACGATCTTCATAATTGTTTCAGCCTGCCTGATCTTCCCGCATTTCACATTGCCTGTTGCCTGGAAAGGCTGTAAAGCTCTATCTGCCAGTCTATTTGTAAATGAGTTATTTGTGCGTTGACTTGTTTCTAGAAGAACATGTATATGCATGCATTTTCTAAGCCATATTCCGTTGAACCGATCCGGCCCCTTTTACCTGTGCAGTCGTTGCATCATGGAGGGCTGTACCCCATGACAAATCGACCCTCACGAGTCAATACTTGATCCAAGCACCCAGGAGAAAGATGAATGACACCAAATTAGTGGCCTGTGCGGAATCGCGACTCAATGATATTCTATAGTTCCCGACCGCATCCGCCCCCCTATCGCACTGTCACTCTACGTAGTTTGCCCTCCAAATATATGTGAATTATTTGATCTTCCGACTATCACCCGACCTTTTCTTATGGAGACCTTTCCTTTTTTTAAAGCAATGGATTTTTCCAATGAAAATCGTGGAATAGGGGCTAGATTGGGTGAGATTAGAAATATGGATGTATTGACCCGCTTAGCATGACAATTGTTCCAATTTTGTGGATTACTCCAATTGTGCCCTTAATTGTCAGATTGACGGTTTTGCATGGTTTTGTCTGGGATGTGCCTGGGCTTTCCTTCATGGGAATATACGGGGTTTGCCTAGGCTTTACTAGCCTTGTATATGAGGTTAGGTTCGAGGCATGCATGGGACTAAGTATATGGCATCTGCAGGGGCGTTTAATTCTCATCAAATCATTGGATATAAGTTAGAGTACAAGGTTATGTACCTACATGTAGCCACTCTGTACGGCTCAGCCCTGGAGATCATCCGAGAAAATGCTGACTTGGCCATGATTGGTCACCCTGGTGGAGATCCCGATAGCTACGCGGGGGGCCAGAACCTCAGGTCTGCGACTCAACCGTTTGCACAGTCCAGCTCTGCGATGCCCACTTGATCTGCGAGAAATCCACCATCACAGTGGAACAAGTCTGATTTTCAGCTTCAGTATGAGCTACACTGTAGGCCAGGTGAGCATCGAGAAAGCTCCTCGGTCCTCCGCCCCGCGGGTCCGGCTCACCTGCGAGGCATGTCGTCAGCGCAAGGTCAGATGCGACAAGTTGAGCCCCTGTACAAGTTGCCAGCGTCTCGGTCTTGTCTGTGTTCCTGTTGAGCGCGCACGGCTGCCAAGGGGGCGGACGCGAAAACCCGCTGAGCGGGTCGGGGGCTCAGACAAGGAATTATCTGAGCGGGTCGCGAAGCTTGAGGCCCTCCTGAGGAAAGTTGCCACGGAGCGAGATGAGGACGCGGATGCTATAGTTACTGAGGCTTCACATCCTTCGGCTGAGGTCAGGAAGGTTGATCCCGACGGGGCCGATCACAGTGAAATTCCCAGTCTGAGTGTCCCGCATCGACCTCATCCGTCGACGACTTATATGGGAATCTCCTTCTGGGAGGATATTATACAACAGGTTGGTTTATCAGATATACTTCTTACATATTTATTTGAGGTAACCCGCTCACTCGAATGCCAGACACAAGAATTGCGCACTGTTCTGGACGACCGTCTAGAAAACGATCATAGCGACATCAAAGACTCGGCTGGCTTTGGATTGTCCCTTGTGAGCTCGGAGAGTCCAGAGGGCTCAACAAATTCGCCTCATTCTAACAAAGGGGTCTTCCTACAACCTCATATTCGGCAAAGGCTGTGTGACATCTATCTGCAAAATGTAGATCCGGTTTTCAAAGTGATACACAGACCTTCCCTACGAGACTTTTTAAGGGATGAGAAGCCATATTTGGACTATGAGCCAGATCATCAGGCGCCGGCTACTCTCGCATCCGCGGTTTATCTTGCCGCCGTGTGTACCATTGATGATGCGGAATGTCAGTCGTTGTTCAATGCCGATAAAAAAACAGTGATTGCAGAATTTCAAAAAGAAACCGAAGGAGCGCTGGCAAGGGCCGACTTTGTCACCACGAATGATCTCGCTGTTTTGCAGGCCTACGTCATTTCACTGGTAAGTGCCATACCATCAGCTCGACATGAGATCCATATCTAACCTCTACTTAGCTCGCTGCACGATCTCAGGATCAAAGCCGAAGAGTATGGACTATGCTAAGTATGGCACTGCGAGTAGCACAAGCACTATCCCTTCACCTCGTCGAGCCACCATTCTACGTCACTCCTTTTGAACAAGAGATGCGCAACCGTGTATGGCTAGGGATCGGCATCCTCGACGTAGCCGCCTCCCTAGACCGCGCATCCGAGCCAATGATGCAAGCAACCTGGATTGACTCCCACCCACCCTCAAACATCAACGACGAAGACATCTGGTTCGGCATGTCAGGGCCAATCCCACAGCACCCACCCGGCACATTCACAGACATGACACACTCCCTAGTGATAGCCTCCTCCACATCCGTCACCAGGTCACTCGCATTCGCAGACTTCATCGAGCCAAAAGCAGTGGAACTGATGGGCCAGCGACAACAAGCAGTCCACAGCTTCCAACAGACAGCCGCATCACTCCTAAGCGGCTGCAGACCCGACCAATCAGATTTCCAATGGTACGCACAGAAACTAGCCGGCGTGATGAGCAGCTGGCTCCAACTAGCCTGCCTAAGGCCTCTCTACAAAAGCAAAACCTTCACCCCACCCAAGATCCACGGCGACGCCCTCCTCAAGCTAGCAGCCGACAACCTCCAAACATCCCAAGAAGCATATAACTACCCAGGCGCCGCAGGATGGCGTTGGTTCGGTTCGATGTGGGTACCATGGCACGCACTAGCAGTAGCAATCGCTGAGCTATGCGTCTGCAAAGACCCATCAATAATGTCCCGATATTGGTCCGTCGTCGATGAAGTCTACCAACGATCCCGCTTCATAGTCGCGGACTCACAGCATGGCATGCTCTGGAAGCCAATGGAGAGACTCATGGCACAAGCCCGAACACGACGCAAAGAACTCCAAGAACAGGAGTCTGCCAGCCAAGCCATGTCACGCTTTACATTCAATGATCTCGCTGCTGGGTTTATGCCCCAGCAACCCCAAACAATACCTCAGCCTGCTCCTCCCCCACATTTGCTCGATATGGGCACGGCTATTGGTCCGCAGCCAGGGTTGCATATGGCTGCTCCCCCGACTTCGTTTGCGAATGTTCCTTGGCCGAATGTCTGGGAAGCGATGGATTTCAATGATACAACCTTCGTCCCGCCGAACGACAATGCCTGGCTGAGTTATGAGAATTTCATTGAGAATGTTTACGAATGCGCTGATTCTATATTTTTACCACGATAAGTTATGTATGCGATGCGTTCTGGTATATGCAGTGGTTGACTCATGTATACAATCATAACACATACATATACATATACATACACACCGGTGGGAAATGATTGAAGTGGATTGTGGCCTGCTTATTATGTCTGTGTTGGAAAGTAGTATAACAAGCCCGTAGATTATGCTCGAGTCCATTAGGTATGTCTGAGAAAGTACTGGATCAATTCGAAATTACATAAATCGCGCGGGAGGCGGCCAAATCCAATCTCGCTCCCGGGTCGTAGGATTTGTCGACAGAGCTCGTCTTCCTCTGGTCTGGGGGGTCACCGTTCTTCGTTCTTCATCGGTTAACGACGATGGATTGTCAATAGCTCGACGGTAAAGAGCCCGGGCCGCTTCATCCAGGGCTAGAGGGGATTCATCTTCGTTCGGGTCGGGGAAAATGTCCGACATTCGCAAGCGTTGTTGAGCCATTCTCGAGCATCAATTTGAGAAACTATAAAAGTGACTCAACTTGTCAATGAGAATGAGAATAAACGCCAGCTCGAGTGCAGGGAATTTGAATGCAAAATGAGGATGAAATAGTTTCTAAAATACGGAAGTACCGGGGTTCCTTTCCTTAATGCAAGGAACTGATTCTCTTTGTAAACATAACGGGCTCGAGGTGGAGATAGATACCGGTCTCATTGGGGTGGCCGACACGGCCGCCTATGTATTATATATAGGGGATTGGTACTACCACCCCCTTTGCCTGCTACCACCCCCCCTGCCTGAATTCCTAGGCCCCCACTGACCGCCTTTCTCACCGCTTTCATCCTCGAACTTTTATTTATTGCTACCTACTACCCTACATGTATATCACACCTTAGATACCTCCAATTACTATGTAAATTGCTAGTAAAATCAAGTCACTGCTGTTCCACTATAGTACCCAATAAGGAATCCAAAATAATGGTTGTTTACGCCTTCAAACCTGCCATTGCACTACCCATTTCTCTCGCGTTTTCACCCATTTCTCTCGCATTTCACTCTCCTTTACGATGGCTTCCTCGCAGCCTGATTCGCGGTCCGATTCTGAGCCTGAAGCTATTCCCGAGTCCCCACCGACGCTGCCAAGCCTTCATGACGCGCCGCCAAGCCTTCCTAACGCGCCGCCAAGCCTCCATACCTTCCCGCTACCCCTTCTAGATCAGCAGTACGATACTCCAGAGCAAGGAATCACTACGATCAATGCTTTCGCCCGTCCTCATGGGTACGCAATCTCAATTCTTCGGTCGAAGCGTACAAAAAAGGGGGTCATGAAGACAGTCCGGCTATGCTGTGATCGAGGACGGGCGTATCGAGATCGGACCGCCGGTAATGAGCGCCAGCGGCAGTCAAATACGCTCGCGATTGGGTGCCAATTCTCGATCTCCCTACGGCTACAAGAGAGCAATACCTGGCGTCTTACAGTAGAGAACTCTACCCACAACCATGAAGCCTCGCCGGCATCAACCCACGTGGCCCATCGCGTCGCGGAGGTATCTAACAAAGCGGAGGACATTCGGAAGCAGTTTGATCAGGGTCTTTCAACTCGCCATATCCTTACCGCGCTTCGAAAGGAGGATCTAGACTCATCTATCACCGCCCAAGACGTCTATAACCTACGGAAGAGGCTTCATACGGAGTTCCTTGCCGGCCGTACGCCTCTTCAAGCTCTATTGATAGAGCTTCCAAAGGATGGCGAATGGATCTTTAAGCATGAGGTAGACGATGAGAACCATGTAACCGCCTTGTTCTGTATGCATAAATCGAGTATCGCGATGCTTAGGACAAATTCATGGGTTATTTCAATGGATTGTACGTATAAAACCAACCGATACGGCCTTCCATTGCTCAATATCGTCGGCTTTGCCGCTACTGGATCAAGCTTTTACGTCGGCTTCGCCTTCATGAAGGATGAGAAGGAGGATAGCTATCAAGTTATCCTAAGCTGTCTTGCTGAAGCATTCGAATCCCTTAGCCTTGAGCTACCCCGGACGATTCTCACTGATAAGGAGCAAGCGCTAATGAATGCCATTAAGGTGGTCTTTCCTTCTACAAAGCATATGATCTGTCTATGGCATATCAACATGAATATCTTGAAGAAAGCGCGTCCGCTACTCGCTGAGCAGCTCGCAAAAGCTCGGCAAGAGACTGAAGTATTAGCAAATGCTTCCTTAGCTTCCTCACGGACGAAAGCAGACCGAGAGCTTCGAGAAATGGTTAGTGAAGCATGGAAGAAGATGCTACAGCGGTGGATTCGCATCGTCTACGCTATTACATCCGAGGATAGACAGGAGAGATGGAGGCAGTTCAAAGACGTCTACAAAGAGCCGATTTTCATGCCTTTACTCGAGTATCTACAGACTGAATGGCTAGACGACTGTCCCGAGTATTTCCTTCATGAATATACGGCCCAATACCTTCATCTCAATGAAATTTCGACCTCTCGGACCGAGGGGGCTCACTGGCTGCTTAAGCAGGACCTTCAAGTCTCAACTAATGATCTACTGGTTGTTCTTCGCACCTTTGAGAATGCTGTGAAGCTTCAATTTAATAAGGTTGCCGCTAAGATCGAGAATGAGAAGGTGAGAAGGTCCACTAACCTCTGGCGTCTCTTCAAATTGGTAGATAGACGGGTTTCATTGAAAGCAATCGAGCTTACAAAGGACGTCTACAACCGCTACCTACCAGAAGCCGAGGATAAGCCGCCGGTCCCTCCAATTTGCCGCTGTAATTCGAAGAATACGGCAGGGTTTCCATGCATTCATCTCATCATACAGTACGAAGAAGAGGAGAAGAGCTTTGAGCCTGAGTTATTTCATCAACACTGGCATTTGTACAGTGTATTTGCACCTCCTATTAACCCGCTACTCCTACTCCAGGATCCTCTCCAAGTGCGCCGGCGAGGGCGCCCCCAAGGCGCTAGGAACTTCATCGGCGGCGGCGAAAGCACCCAAGCAAGCACCCAAGACACCTCCACCCAGCGAGACCCCTCCGGCTTCGAGCTCATGCTATCTCAGGAAGGTGGCCGTGGCCGTGGACGCGGCCGAGGACGTGGCAGAGGACGTGGCAGAGGACGTGGCAGAGGACGTGGAGGGACACAACAGGCATCACAGGGAGATAACGGGGTGGGAATAGCTTCATCTATTGCCCAGGAAGCTCAACAAGCTTCTCTAGAAGGTGGCCGTGGCCGTGGAGGGACCCAGCAAGCATCGCCGCCGAGCATGGCTACATCTCAGGGGTCGGGAATAGCTTCATGGGCATCTCAGGACGAGGATTCCTGGTCTGATCGCCTCAGGAAGCGTCGGGGAGCTCCATAAATGGCTAATCCAATGCAAATTACTCAATTTCTTCACTATTCTCATGCAACTTTTTAAAGAATTCAACGTAAAATGGTGACCGGCCGCTGCATGGGCCAATTCCTTCATTTCTGCAGAGTTTTTGAAAACAGCATCTATTTCCTATTTAGGACTAGTGCCGTGCAATTGGCATGATAGTGGTAGAGTACGAAAGTGACTTCATTTAATTAGGGGGTTGCATAGTAAATGTAAGTACCTCATGCATGGTCGGTGGTGGCAGAAATATGTCCGGCAGAAAGAATATTGGCCTGGGAATTCAGGCCGGGGGGGGTGGTAGCAGGCAAAGGGGGGTGGTAGTACCAATCCCCTATATATAACAGGACATGTTCCCGGGTAGTTACTCTAATGGCAGTCTTCTGGCAGAATTGACGTTATCAGTCTTCGTCTTGAGTCAGATTTTGAAATCAGGTTGGTTTCGAATGCGGAAGAAAATGAAGATTTGGAATCTCTTTGGGAGACCGGGCCTTGCAATAACATTAAGCTTCTTGAAGTACATGCAAATACCTGAACCAAGGACCTCGGCAACCCCGAGGCTCCAATATCGACGGCCTATCAATGCAATATTCTGTTACATATACGCCGGATTTTAGGCCGCGTGAGATATCCTTCCCTTTCCGTTTTAGTGCTCACCCCTCCCCACTTTTTCGTCACTGGGTAGAACTGAATACAACTCTGAGTAGCCTGATCTGCCTGTGCAAGCCGATCTAGTGCGATAGTAGCGGCGAACTAAGTTGATGAGCACATATATTCATGCCTTGCTTCTATAGCATCTTTGATCGCCCTAGGAATCACGCGTAGATCTGCCTGCGCAAGCTGATGCGTTGGTAGCAGCGAATCTTGAGCGAATGAAGACATGCATTGAAGATCGTATCTGACAAATACGATGTATCAAGTGATCATGCATATGATTCTATGGCTGATAAGTTATTTCTTATTACCCCGCATGTCCCCTTCACAGTGCCATTCGTTTTGAGAATAATCTTGCTTTGACCTGAGTAATATGGCGCATTTCGCTCTACGGTCATTTGTTTCCTCCTACCTGGTATCACCCACATATCTATATCACCTAGTCGGGCCAGGCCTACTTGCCTGGATAGTGCTTATAGTTATTCGGCGCGCATGGTTCAGCCCACTATCTAACTTCCCTGGTCCGCGACTCGCTGCTGTTTCTGGGTTATGGCTCATGTGGCAAGATATAGTCTGCAATGGAGCAACAACTCAACTTCTTTTGAAGTTACACCTAGAATATGGTGTGGAATCTCTACACAATGGTGTCATCTCAGCGAGCTAATTTCGCTAGAATCTGATATAATTCGGATATCTCCTAACCATGTCCATGTTAATGACCCTGACTTTTTCCACAGGTCGGTTGAATAGAACTAACTTCGGTTATTTGAGCCATGCTGAATATCCGTTAGAGTCTATAAAGTCAGTTCGGACTTTCGAAAAGACCCTGGCTTTTACCATAGCTTTGGTATGCGGGGATCGCTTCCTATGGAGACTGACAATGAAAAAGCTCAAATTTTACGCAAACTTCTAAATCCTATACTCGCGAAGCCTAGTGTCAATGGAATGGACAAATTGATTTATCAGAAGGTTCGGCAATTCTCTGACCAAACTGCACAAAAATTGGAGAAGAAGGAAAGCATCAACATGCGACCTCTTTTCCAAGCTTTGTCAGTAAGTACATCCTGCATACGACAAAACACTGCTATGGTTCTCCACAATGGTCTAATTTAACTATTCTCAACTACCTAGACCGATATCATTTGTATTTGCTGTTTTGGGTGTGAATTCAATATCATCACCAACGAGGATGATCCAGCAAATATTTCTCGTACAAGCGATCTAGTCGCTAGCCACCTCTGGATGGGTAAGTCATATTTGTAGCACCCCACAGTTCATACTGATGTTTATATTGGGCAAGTGCATTACTTCCCATACCTGGCAAGCCACCTGATAAATGCTCCCTACTGGGTGAAACGGTCACTCCTAGCGGGGTATATGCAATTTCGAGAGGTGGGATGATTGATTGTCAATAACTTGTTGTGTTCTTACTAAACCGGAAATATAGCAATGTGCTGCACTGATACAAAGCACACTAAGCGTACCCAAAGGCTCTCGGAAAGCAGGAATCATTGACAGCTTGCTCGATGCATCCCAAGCGGGTACCTGGGAATCGCCTGACCAAGAGCTTCTAGTTGAGCAAGTCTTTTCGTTGGTCTTTGCCGGAATAGATACTTCCTCTATTGCACTGACATCCGCATTCTGGCATATACTCTCGTCTCCAGGCGTCCTTCGACGACTACAGGAGGAGCTTCGCAGGACCACTCCGGACATTGAAGACACATATGATTGGAAGGAAGTCCGCCGACTTCCTTATTTGGTTAGTGGATCTTACTGATTCCGTGAATTGTGAGATGCAATATCACATAGACTTACATTATGGTATTGCAGAGTGCGGTCGTCAAGGAGACCTTGCGCATCAGCTCCCCGGCCCCAGGAAGATTTCCACGTGTTGTTCCACCCCAAGGGGTACATCACAAGTCTAGCTTTATACCAGGAGGAGTAAGTTGATTGGTTTTCTTTGAGGTTCAGTGCAATCGATCAGACATTTTGTTAATAAACTAAAATACAGACTACCCTCTCCAGCAGTATTTATTTAATCCATCAAAACCCCAACTTGTTTCCTGAGCCAGAGAAATTCCTGCCTGAGCGATGGCTTTCAGAGGATAGTATTTCGCTTGAAAAATACATCGTGGCTTTCAGCAAAGGCAGTCGAAGTTGCCCAGGAATGCAGTGAGTAAATCTCATTCATTTAGAGCTCACAGCTCATTTCTAACAACAACATGTAGCCTCGCCTATCTCGAGATCTATACAGTGTTGGCTACTTTTTTCAATCGATTCGATATGGAATTGTTATCTCCTACCACAGAAGAAGGTTTGGCTTGGTCCGATCACGGCGTTGCCGTGTTCAAATCTCCTCTCAAGGTGAGAATAGTTACAGATCATTGGAGCAAGTGAAGATAAATTTCGCAGCCCAAGGCAAGCATATGGGGTTGATAATGGACTACTTTGTTTTATTACGGGTTTTGTATCGTTGAATGCTTTTCTACATAAGACATACATACTACGTAATAGGATAGAGCGGGAAATGGGAACCGCGTAGAAATCATAAGAGAGTTAACAAAGATAACGAGGAGATGGAGCGCTCACTGAGCCAAACCTGAGCGCCCTCATAAAGCCACGGTACATAGAATAACATAGGTACATAGCAGAGATATATATCACTTCCCACCTCAATCCACCCATCTACTCTACCCCCTCTGAGTAATAGCAACTCCAACCCGAAAATGCTTCAAAAACCGCCCCCAAACGACCCTCCCCTCAACCTCGCCAACAGCAACAGGCCACAGAACCCTCGCAGCACCATCCTCAAACCCGATCGGACACCCCTCGGCAGTCACACACTCTGGCGCAGCACTCATATACCCCGGATCAACAGAATTCATAGCAACACGCCGTCCCTTCCATGCAGCCTGTGCTTCCGTCTCTGTTATCATGTTGATTGCTGCTTTGGACATATTTGTGTGCACGTGGTGTCCGGCTTTGCTGCTTGATTGCGGTGTATCTTCCAGGATTCCTTCGCGGGATGAGACGTTTATTATGTATGCTGCTGGTGTGGATTGGGAGGAAGAGGATGGGGAGGGTGGAGTGCCCATCACTGGGAGGAGTTCGCGGCAGAGTATTAGAGGCACGAAGGCGTTGACGGAGTGGGCGCTTATTAGATCTGCGTAGGGGATTTCGTTGAGAGATTGGACCCAGGATGATTTCGAGGGCTCTTCGTCTTCGTTGTTGGTTCGGAGGCCTTTGGTGGCTATTTGGTTTTGGGTTGCAGAATGGGTATTGATTACATCTTCGATCTGATGCTGGGCTTTGTTGTTCGTTATGCGTGGGATCCAGGTTGCTTGTTGTCCTCCTCTGACTCGGGGTGTGTATCTGTCGTTTTCGGATCCTGCGAGTAAGGCCATGGCCTGTGGATGATCTTTGAGATTGTCCTCTCGGGAAATGGCTCTCATTTCTGCTTTGATTGGATCGGTGAGGGTTTGCGCAGCGTTGTTGATAAGTATATCCAGGGATTGTGGAGTATCAGATGGAGTCTCACCATCCCAGGCATTGAGTAAGTGTTTGACAATATGTACCAGCCGGAAAGCATCACTTGCAGTTCTGAAGTCTGCACCGACTACTTTGAGACTTTTCTCCCATTGGACGAAGTCTGGCTCTGTGGAATATCGGATTGCCGCATCGGCTGGATACCTTGAGGATACGATGACTTTGGCTCCGCAGCGGAGGAGTCTCAATGCAGTGGAATAACCTAGATTTATTCTCCCGCCGGTGACGAGCGCGATTTTGCCAGTGAGGTCTAGCTTTTCTGGTAGGGAGAGATTTGAGCAGCCGATGTTGAACATGCCGCATTGGCGACATAGTGATGGGTATAGTTTATGAGAATCAGTGGGCGTGAAGCGGTACCGACAGATGTAGCATCTCTTCTTCATATCTGAGGCTTTTGGTGCATCATCTCTCTGGAAACGTTCATGTTGTGTGTATCGAATGTTGTCATCCATGGAAAGTTGACCTCGCAAGGTGACAGTAACTTCTGACAGAGGCTCTGTTGGAGCAACCAATTTGTGCTTTTGGAGATAGTCTAGCACTTTGAGAGTTGTTTCCAACTCCTCTGATGTTGGGACATGCATACTATCCATGGAAGTATGTTCCTCAGCCTGAGATTTGGTCATCGCTTCCAATTGGCCTAGGTAGGCCTCGATGCCTTTGATAATGCTGTTGCATCTAGTCGACCGCAATGCTTTTGAGACCTCGCTGTGTGGCGTGAGATACCAGGCTATGTCATCAAAGAGAGCATCCGAAGCAGAGGATAGTTGCATTGCCAGATTACTGGGCACCTTTCTCTCTCTGCATGCTTGCTGGTCTTGTCGCAGGCGCTGTGCGATTGTCTCTGCGTCTGGCAGAGGCATTCCCTGAGTCTCTTCTTTCATCTTGTTGACGGATTCTTTTTAGAAAAAAGAGACCGAACGGGATAGAAGGGCATAGATAGAAGCTTAAGATAACTTGGTAGAAATACCAAGGCTGTGTTGTATCTTGGCCCCCACTGAGTCATTTTAGACAGCAAAGTGGCTTGATTCCACGAGGCTCCACAATACTCTTTTGACTCTGTTGTCCTCTTTTCGAGGTCTTTCTTTTGACCATATTCTTCAAAGACATCAAACTTGACAGAATGAGCAATCAAAAGACATCAACCAGTTCCATAGTCCGCAGTATAGCGGCTATGCCGACCGAGCTCGCTCACCAGATCATCGATGACCTGCGACTATGTGACGTCCTCAAGCTGCTATGTTACGATAATGATCGAGTGGACGCCTGCTTCATGTCCCATCCAATCTGCCGCAACATTTTCGGTCCCGACCAAGAAACTCTCGCCAAGTGGAAATTCGCTGCCCACCTTTATAGAGATATATTCACGGCAGTGGGAAAGTCATTTGTACAATCATATTACGCGTTCCATTGGGGAACAAACCATGCTGGCACAAATATCCACTGTGTCAAGCCTGAGAACTATGAAGGGATCTTGAATCATATGAAGGACCGCATTCATGATGAGCTCAATATTCATTGGTGCAAAGTAGACCTGACTCGGTTCGGTGCTCCTGATTACGACAGCGGACTTGAGTATCGATCTCTCAAGAGGATCCAATCCTTCGAAGAACTGAAGAAATGCTGGGAAGACATACAGAAAGCAAAGGCAAATTTATTCCAGTTGAGGGCTTCGGAGCTTTACTGGACTGCTGATATGTTGGAAGCGAATTCGGATATCCTGAAACGCACGCTGGACCCGGCACAGGAATTTCGGCCAAATACCGCACATATCGTGTCGAGAATGCGGCGTAAAGCTGATAAAATCCTGCGGACCCCGATCCAGAAGTTCATCTTTGCTGAACATTTCCGTTATGACTTCCTGGGGATCATTCCGTTCGACTCGGCCTTGGACCAACTGTTGCATATGATGCAAAAACATGGTATCATAGAAGGTGACCAGGTTGTGGCGAGCAACACAAGCATCTCAGCTGGTGTGGCTTCGCACCCATCTTCCATCATCGATTCGGTCCGCATTATCATCGATGGAATGCCGAAGTTTTATATATCGCCCCCAGAGACGGCAGAGCAACAACACAATTTCGCGTGGAGGAATGCAGCCAACACAAATGGCGATCTTCTTAGAACGGCGAATACTCCGTGGTCTGAACCGTTTGGTGCAAATGAACAGGTTTCTTTGGATGGGCCCTATTTCACACCGTTCAAATACGGTGATAATAAAGGTTTCTGGCGGCCAGAATCCCTTTTTTGGGACCCTCATCATGAGATGGAGAAAGAATGGCTCGCCAATTTTGTCGAGGTTTATCGGTATTTGAAGAACTTGGATGGTTAGATGTTCTTGAATGGCGCTGATTCCTTAACTGTGAACGTGTGAACCTGTGGCCGGGATCAGTAGAGCGCGAATAATGGCATTAAATGTTGCGTACAATTGAATAGTGTTCCTTATCATTTTCTGTTTATTCAGGCGTGCCTATTGAGTCAGTGCAGTCTTGTGTCGGAGAACTTCTGTAGACGAAGGATAAAGTGTAGCAGGACCAAGATCCCAAGAGTTAGAGGCCTTGGAGGTATTCCTCCCCAATGCTGGGCCCTCAGCCTCTCGAGTCTCTGAAAGAAGTTGGGATATAGGCGGTAACGGGGTCTCTTCTTCATGGAGTCGCCGATAGGTGCACGCCCTTCCACGATGAATACACTCCGAACAAGGCAGCTCCCCACTGCAAGCTTTCCTAAGACGTGCACAACTATCACAAGCCCACTTGTGCTTCCCACCTCGGTCAGGCTTGGGAATAGCCTGACCACTGCCTACGCGATTCTTGCAAGATTTCCAATGTCTGCGTAGTACATCCCTGAATAGGCATTTAGTCAACGATGACGGTACGTACGTTGTTTCGGAAGCATCTACACACCCTCGGCTGAAAGCAGAGCCGCAAAAGGAACAGACGTGCTTCTTGGCTGTGTGATCTGTAACAAATCATTACTTTGCCACCGTGCGAGGTTCACGTACGACGTACGAGTCAGCACATGACGCTTCATATGATCCATACGTCGGAATGTTGACTGGCATTCGTCACATTTCCAGTTCTTGGCGGCTGGACGGGTTGCATTATGTCGCCGTGGCTCCATGGAGGGTTGGCGTCGGTTTGATGAAGACCCGATCTGCCTAGGGGACCTCGGATGTTGTGTCAAGGTGCGCTAGTTTGGGACACGGTCGAAATGAGAACTCGGTGCAGATCGACGTGAATCGAGGACCCTTGCCGAGATATCTCGCTTGTTGAAGTTAATTAATGGACTGGGCGAACTTTGGAGTGACGATGGGCTGGAACTCGGTAATTCCGCGGTGGCGATTGGACGTGCAAACGGCGCCAACTCAGCCGTCGCGATTCCCCCACTTCAACATTGCGCCGAATATACTTGTCGTCACTGTAGGGATCAGGGGCTTAATTCATGGTGGCCTAGAATGAGTAGTTAAATATATAAAGAAGGTGCAATCGGCACAGTCGCTTTCTTCGACGCAGACCTTGCACAACAAATCAATTCAGATCTATCACAATTGCCTCAAATATGTCCCTTCTCGAGTTAACCCCAGAGATGGATCATTCCGTCAAAATTAGCGATCACTATAACAGCTGGCCCACCGACAAAGGGGTAAGTGACGTGTGGCGACACGCGAACTATACATTCTAATCCCTGCATCTTACTGTAGTACGATCCCGAATACGAACAACGCGAACCAGTCGAGCTACCAGTAACGGGTCAAATTCCCGCCTACGCCGCTGGAGTCTTATACCGCACTGGTCCTGGGAAAAGCCAGGTCCAGGCTGAGAACGGAGACATCCTGCGACTCTCTCACTGGTTCGATGGATTCAGTCAAACGCATCGCTTCCAGATCAGAGCCCCTGATGAATCTAATCCAGCAACTCGGATCTTCTACAACTCCCGCTTTTCAACAGATGATCTGATCGAACAATCGAGAAAATCTGGAAATCTGGACAAAATCAGCTTCGGACAAAAGCGCGATCCGTGCAAGAGCGTCTTGGGCAAAGTCCAAAGTGAATTTGAACCTCAACCTAGTCCATCTAGTGCCAACATCGGTGTCACTCTTTCAATCAATTTCCCTGGTCTGGATACTAAGTCTGGCGATGAGTCTACCTCACGCTGGACCAATTCTGAGGGAATCCGAACTCTCTATGCAAAGACCGACTACAATGCTTTCAAGAAGCTCGACCCAGAAACCCTCGAGCCGATAGGTCTAGCCTCACAGAAAGATCTACACCCGGAACTCTCAGGGCAACTATCTGCAGCGCATGCTCGGTCCGATCCCGTCACTGGAGATATGTTTAACTTCAACCTCACTCTTGGACCAACGTGCACATATCGCGTGTTCAGAGTATCAGCGTCAACAGGAGAAACGACAATCCTAGCAACGTTTGACGCGATCCCCGCCTATCTCCACTCTTTGCTCATCACCGGAGACCACGTCGTCCTGTGTATTTGGAATGCGCATGTGAACCCACTGGCCTTCAATCAGTCTTTCATTGACGCAATCTTACCAACGGACCCCAGCCAGCCCGCAATATGGTATGTAATTGACCGCAAGCACGGAAACGGTCTGATCGCAACGTACGAAAGCCCAGCCTTCTTCTGCTTCCACACTATCAATGCCTGGCTCGAACCTTCTAAGGAAGATCCAACCAAGATGGATATTGTCGCGGATCTTGTCAAAGCAGATAGCTCTGACGTGCTGCAATCCCTCTACTACGATAACCTGATCTCCTCACGAGATACAGCCAAGGCATTCCAGAAGAAAAGAGATGATTCTTTCCGTACATCGGTTACTCGATTCCGACTGCTCCGGGTTCCATATGCTCCAGAGACCGATATTAAGAATGTGTCTATTGAATGGTCGGTGTGCAAATCCTTGTCACCCGAGCTGCCGACTATGGATCCCAAGCGAGTCACCCTGAAGCACAGATATGTCTATGGCGTGACCTTCCGCGGAGAGGCTACCCTGACGGATGGAATTATGAAGCTTGATTGTGATACTCAGCAGGTTCGACTCTGGGCTTGTCATGGTCAGTCTCCTGGTGAGCCCATTTTTGTCGCCAACCCCGAGGGAACGAGCGAGGACGACGGAGTACTTCTCAGTGTTGTCCTTGATGGGAACAGAAGTAAGAGTTATCTGCTTTGTCTTGATGCGAGGGATTTCACTGAAATTGGTCGCGCGAATGTCGATGGAGCTGTTGGGTTCGGTTTCCATGGCCAGCACGTTCCGACGTTGGGTGGGATGCCTACTGGTGATTACTAGGGGCTGGGTATTTAAATAACTTAATCTTATCTGTTGTTAGTATTCTTATTGTTCTTGGAATTGATCAAACCATTGGAGGAGTCCATGCACTTTCTTTAGTTCAGAATGCCGAATCCTATGTGAAGAAATACAAGAGCATTGTCAACCCTTGAATGTGGAGAAGCGAAATTACTAGGCTTCTCCGAGCTATATAATCTTGTGTTTCAATGAAAAATTATGTTATATTTAGGGAACTAGCATTGCTCCCAGCCTTGGAAGGTTCTATTCCGTGCACCTTTGGTACCAAGTTCGTGATGACATCAACATGCAAAACGCCAACTCTCTTGGCTGATTGAAAGCGACCACGACGTATTTATAATCGTCCCAGATCTCGTATCACAAATTATACAGCTTTATCATAATACCGAAATGAGGACAAGGTCATTGGCCTAGAATTAGGATTGATACAGCCGCACCAGGACATACGGATTTACGGAGTCGAGATAAAGTTTTACATCCGAAGTAATGAACCAAGGTTCATCGTAGATCTCAGTGACAGCATATAAATATGCAACGTCACCGGTAAAAGGTTCAAATTCTCATAATTGCTCCTCATCGGCATTGAGCTACTCAGAGTTCAACGATTGCTCGTGCCTAGGAGAACCATCCCCATGGAGACCATTAGAGACACCGCGTTCGGAAAGCTGGTGCGCCTTTTCACACATTTCCGATACATGCAGTACCCCGAAGAGCAGGATTTAGCGGTATGGACTGAGTACCTCAAGACGGAGAACTTGCCGAAAGAAGAAGAGCCTGCCACGCCAGTCAACAACGATGAGAACCCCGAGGATCTCGAGGCCTTCGGTCTCTATACTGTGATGTCACAGGCTTCCAGGCGGATGTCATGTGCTTCCACGCTGCGGGAGAGTGGTCGGCCGCTTGTGATTAGTTGGCGAGGATCCAATGATCCTGAGGTGAGTTTTGTATCTATTCCTAAGCAACCAAGCAGAACGAGGAGCTAACTTGCGAGTGCAGGACCCTCGAAATTGGAGCACGGGGAAGAAGTTCTTCGTTAGCTGTCAGATTTGGCTTCTTACCTTTGCTGTCTATATTGGCTCGGCCATTTATACTCCTGGTATAGTGGGCGTCTCGGAGCAGTTTGGTGTGAGCAGTGTAGCAGCGACGCTGGGCTTGACACTTTTTGTCTTCGGCTACGGTCTAGGTTCGTATCAATCACTATCCAAGTCAAATATTTATTGACCGTTCTATCTATAGGACCGATGATCTGGGCACCGCTGTCCGAAATCCCCATGATCGGCCGGAGCCCGACCTACGTATTGACGCTGCTCGTCTTCGTCTTTTTCAACTTTGGCGTGATATATGCCCATAACTTCGGAATGCTGCTGGCTTTCCGCTTCCTTACAGGGTTCCTTGGGTCACCTGTGCTAGCAACGGGAGCTGCATCTATGGGTGATATGTGGAGCCCTCAAAGTCGGGACTACATGATTGGTATCTGGGGAATGTTCGCCATCTCCGCACCAGTCTTGGGTCCTATGCTAGGTGCTTTCGCCGCTTCTGCAGAAGGATGGACTTGGACTATCTGGCAGCTAGTGTGGGTGTCAGGATTCACTTTGGTAATGCTGTTCTTCTGTCTGCCGGAAACCTTTGCGCCGAATATCCTTGCTCGGCGAGCTCGTCGGGTTCGCCGTATCACGGGTAATTCCCAATATATGTCAGAGTCGGAGATAGAGATTAGGGAGGTCAAGCCCAGGGTATGTTAGCTAATATCCATCCAAACACAAAGCGCAAAAGCTAATTGAAATCCAGGATGTCCTCTTCGAAGCTCTTATCCGGCCCTTCCAACTATGCTTCCTCGAACCAATTGTCCTTCTCACCAATCTCTACATCGCACTTATCTACGGAATCCTCTATATCTGGTTCGAAGCCTTCCCAATCGTCTTCCAGGAACTCCGCGGATTCAATCCGGGTGAAGGTGGTCTCGCGTTCATGGGAATTCTAGTATCAACCTGCTGCCTCGTCATCCCAGCCTACTTTTACTGGAAATACCGCTGGCAGGTAAAATATTTTGATGCAGACGGCAATATCGCACCAGAAATGCAAATGCCTCCCGCCATCGTGGGCGCCCTCGCCCTCCCAATTTCCCTCTTCTGGTTCGGCTGGACAGGCAACTTTGCCAGTATTCACTGGATCGTCCCTATCATCGCATCTATGCTTTTCGCTGTCGGTGGTTGTTTGATCTTCAACTGTATCTTTACTTATCAGGCACATGCTTACCCTAAGTATGCTGCCTCCGTGCTTGCAGGAAATGATTTCCTGCGTTCATCATTTGGCGCTGGATTCCCGCTTTTCGCAACAGCCATGTTCCACAACCTGGGCGTTGGATGGGCTTGCACACTGCTTGGATGTTTGACTCTCCTATTTGTGCCTTTCCCATTTATCCTCATCTACCGAGGAAGGAGAATTCGGATGGCGAGTAAATACGCACGACATGATATTTAAAATCGCGATAGTTCCATAAATTACAGATACTAGTCAAATGTTCTTTCCCACTTACGGCAGTCTACTAAAGCCATCAGCTCAAAACTTGTTTCCCCTATACCGACCTCTGGCCGCCTCCCTTACCGCCTCTATTACGCCTTAGATAATTACAGCTTCGTATGAAAGCTATTCTTCTATAGTGACATAGCAAATGTTTTGACAGTATTAGATAGACCTTTTTTTAGACGTCTTTTAGACCGCCTATCGTAAACCGAAGAGTAAGTTTATATTAACGTATTTCACAAGCGAGCTGGCCACCCCAAAACACCATAGTAAATACGATATATTCTACACTGATATCTCAACAACCACGTTTTTATTTTATTTTATTATTTGCCGATAGCTGTTGATAAGGCTTTTCAACACTATATATTAATTTTGACGAAATCTGAAACCTACATTGTTACGGTTTCGAAAATTACGTTGGCTAGCAGCTAGAAATATAAATATCTGATTATATCTCAACTATTAAGTTATAGAAATTCTTTAAACCCCTGTTAGAGACTAAATACCACCTAAAAAGCATTAGTTTTTAAGGAAAAGTCCCTATAACCTACTGTTGTTGTGATACTATGTTGTAATTTATCGCATTTACTATGGTGTTTTGGGGTGGCCAGCTCGCTTGTGAAATACGTTATCTTACTTTCTAAACGTTTTTGCTTTAGAGAGTGCTTTTATAGAAGACAAGATTTAATCTAGTCAATAATCGTTAAGTGTTTTATTAGAAAACTAGTCTAGGGGTGTTAAAAAATCGAATTTTTAACCGGCGATATATATATTTTACATGGGGACCCGAAAAAGTGGAGTAAAGGAACTTTTGGCAGGGGATGTATGTTAATATATATTCTACTCGCCCTTATTCACCAGGGATTCCAACCCCAGATACCTCCTTACAAATCTTCAACAATTCCTCCTGCTTGGCAACAACTCCAGCGGCAGGATCAGGCGTCGCTGCTCCCCTAGGGTTAAAGAAAGTCCCGCTCTTCAAGCTCGCCAAATTCCCCTTCCCAGCAGCCCACTCCGCCAAAGCCTTCGTCGGCTTATCAATACTACCCGGAGCCATCGAACCACCCATCTTAGTCCTAACCCAACCAGGATCCATGCTAACAACCTGAATCTCCTCACCCCACCGCCTCGCAAACGCATTAGCAAGCATCATATCATGCATCTTGCTATCACCATACGAATGCGACTGCGTAACATTGCGCATGGAGTTATCACCCCCGTAATGGCTATCAGAGCTCATATAAAGTAGCCGCGAAGTCGGCTTGTCCATGAGACAGGTGAGGATATATGGTGCGAGAGTGTTGACAGCGAAGACAGCTGAGATCTTGTCGGCTGTTATTTCCCGACTAGATGTCGCGCCAAAGCCTATACCTGCGTTGTGGATGATTGTGTCAAATGGGCCCTTGCCTAGGTTGTTGGCTTCTTTGGCTAGGTTCTTTGTTTCGCTGATTGAGCGTAGGTCGCCTACTAGGACTGCTTCGGCGTTGGGTACGGCTTGTTTGGTTGACGCTGCGCGTTCCGCGTTGCGTGCGTGTAGCACTACGGAGTGGCCTTGGTCTGCCAGGATTTTGCCGGCTACTTGGCCGATTCCGTCGCTTGAGCCTGTAATGAAGATGCGTGCCATGTTGATGTAGTTGAAAGTGGTGGTTTGAGGTAGGTTTCTCGGAGGTGTTTTGAGAGTTGAATTTGGAGGCCACAGACTTCCTAGGCGTATCTGATAAATATCTACTGATTTATGATATCATAAGGAGGAAGAATCTTGCGTGCTCAGTCAAATTGACAGGTCTGCCATATGACGTCAAGAATCTATCACCGAATGATATTGAAGCATTTTTCGGTTACCTTGTACAACTGAACAAAGAAAAGAAGGGAGAGAGGTATATACCATCTCAGAGGCCTTGGAAATTTGGCACTAAAAGCATTGTCGACGTTCAATAGCCTCTTCGTAGATAAACATATAACGAGCCAACTACATAACTTGTTATGAATCTCTACTGTTTCGTACTAAAAAATTCCCTAATAATATTTCTATTTGATGGCTCTGACATTTGAATATTCCCCTAAAGACATAATTTTATCCTTGGTTTTGGTATCTGACTCCGCTAACCACGCCCTACAGACTACAACTCCACCCTCTTCCCCATAAATAACCCTCAATCCCCCCATCCCAAATCTATAATAACGAAAATACCTCAATCCAAACCGATCAATCCCTCAAAACCAAAATGTCAGGCGAAAACAATCTCCAAACCCTCCTAGCAACAATGCGACCAAGCCTAGACCCAACAACCTACGTCTTCCTAACAACAAAACAACCCCTCCATTCGCTACCCCTATCAACCCTTGAACCCCAACTCCTCGTCCAAGAAGAAGAGGGCACGACAATCGTGACAACAGAAGCCCTAGCCAAATCCCACGGCTTCACTGAATCAATCTTCCCCTGCAAGAAGATCACGCTTACCGTCCACTCCAGTCTGGAAGCAGTTGGCCTCATCGCTGCTATTAGCAATCGGCTTAAGGATCATGGCATCAGTGCGAATGTTGTGAGTGGGTATTTCCATGATCATATTTATGTTCCGGTTGCTAGGGCAGAGGATGCGATGCGGGTTTTGGGAGGGTTTGCTGGTCAGGCGAGGGATTGAGTACGTTGACGGTGTATGTAAGTAAAATAACTTGAAGTAACGCTACTTACAAAAATGATGTAAGGCTCTTCTATCCAGTACTAGCACAAGTATGAGTGATAATCAGTTCATTGCAAGCCCTCTAGGACTATCTACTCCAGATATATGATACACGTCAACAAAAACAGTACTCAATCGAAAACATATAAGAATAAACCCAGAAGGAAAACCCGAGCCTCAGCGAACTTAACGTTGAACTCGAATTACAATCTTTCTCTGCCAGAGACGCCGAAAAGAAAAAGTAAGAAGCCAAAAACATCATCCACCCCCATACCCATGGAAACTCCGCTCTTATAGTGCCTTTTTGCGCGCAAGTATTAGCATAAGTCGAAAGTGAGCAGCCATGGAAAATCAAAACGGAAACGAGAAAACACCGCCAGCCTAGCTACTGCTCTTTAATGTTATACATCGAGAGAAGATACAAGAGCGAGGGAACCAGCAAGGAACGGCGAGAACACGAGTAATCAGGGTATTAGTCATACAGATAGGAAAGATATTGATTTCATGACCAAGGGAAGAAAGAAAATAAGAGGAAGATGCGACGTTTGTTAATGTTTTTAATGAAAAGCTCAGTAGTCGACCTCTTTTTCAATCACCATAATCAGTTCGGTCAATTCCTTGCGCAGGGCGCGGTTTCGGTCCCAAACTTCGACGATCTTGGGTCGTTGGCTGGTAAAGCATGCCTTCTTCCAGGGTAGGCCGCCGTATCTGGATGTGGTGCGGTTGGGGAGGCCGCGGGCGATGTTGCGCAATACCAATGCGGCCTTGTAGGCTACGCCGAAGGGTTCGCCCTTCTCGTTGATTGGTGTGTCCATGTAGAACCACTTGCGTACGATGCGCTCCTGCAGGATAGCGCGCTTAGAACTTGGGGGTTGGGCGTCCGCCGGGCGGTCCTCGGGCAAATGGGAGGAAACGTGTCCGGCGACCATGGATGTGTTGGCGCTGGGGCCAGACGCTCGGAATCGTGCACAATGGTCCCATTGGCAGGTGTGGATGGCGGTCTCTGCGGTGTCCAGCTTGTATTGGCCTTCGGTTTCTGCTGGTTCGAGGCTCATGTGGTCACCGAAAACGTGGTTCCGTAGGTCTGTCGGGGATGTGAATGCGCGTTGACACATCTTAGAAGGCTTGGAATTATCCGCCCATCTGCAGTAGACATAGGGGAAGGCCTCGAAGGTGTGAGCAGTCTCCAGAGGACGAATGCCCTTGATAATGAACTTGGTGGCAGTGCCTGGGCCGTTGATGACCTGTGCTTGTGCGTTTGTGAAGGTGTTGCTGACATTCTTGATGAACTCGGCAGCGGGTAGGACACCACCTCCGGCAACACGGGGGTCTGCAAATCGGCTCTGGTATGCTTGCCAAAGAGCAATCTGTGTAATCTCGCATTCTGCATCTTCGATGAAGCAGCAACGCAGCCACTGTGAGCTCCGCTCCGGTTCCGACAATTCCATCAGCTTCTCCAAGAGTTCAGGAGGTACGCGAGGAATGTCAGTTGGTGGAGGTGCGACTTTTTCTTCTTGGAGAACGGTCTCCTTTCTGGTCGGTCGTGCCTCGTAGGTTAATAGTGCGACCATGCGGGGGACAAACACAATTGGGAAGTTGACAACATCCATCAATGTCTCGATATTGTCAGGGCTGAGAGTATATTGATACCACAAGTCCAGTGCGCCGCTCAGGATATCCTTATCGAGGTCGAGGAGAGTGTGGTAGTACAACTGTTGAAGAGTTGGTTTTGTCAAGCTCTCCATGGACCGGTTGGCATCCGCATCATCCAACTCAGTACCGAAATGGGTCAGAGCCCAGAGAGCTCGCACGACATGGGCGCGATCGGGAGAGTCGATGCAATTCACAAGAGAGATCCAGAGGGGGTCCGCTGGGTCAGTGCGCAAGAACTTTGTGACCTCTTCCGCGATGTCGAGGGCGTCGTTCTTGATTTCGTTAAGTCGGGGCTGGTTGGGTGCGTTGATCAGAATGACCAAGAAGTCTCGCAATAGACCCTTCGCGTAGCGTGATACATAGAATGCGTTCTCCTTCAGTAAAACCATGTTCCTCAGCACCAAGGTTGCCTCTTTGATGTTTCGAAGCTGATGGTTGAATTCGTCGGTCTCAAGGCTGTCAATCGGAAGGTTGACTGGGATCTTTTTGATTTTATCGAGGAGGTCCCGTGTGCCGTGTAGCGAGTTTAAAACATTGACACGGTCAATCGGCTGAAGAGGATCATACTGGAACTCCCATTTTACTCCTGTGCAGAGGTATGTGATGTCGAGGGCTTTTTGCATGAGTGTCTCAGCAAGTAGCGGGAAGCCTTCAAACTTGAACTTATCCCATCGTTGATTTGAGATCTGTACCAGATGGTATAATGCAAAGTCAACTTCGTCTGGAATACCTGACTGCAGGCCATAGTGAGCGCGCTTGTAAATATGATCGGCTGTGGGAGAGACCGTTAGTCCATTGCGATATTCCTTGGGGTGAAGGGCGGGCTGACTTCTTGGGACCTCCAGAAACCTCAGGGGAAAGTAGGGGTCATAATAATCTAGTTGCCGGGGCGCCTTCGCTGGGTCACGTAGGTTGGCGAATAGAATTGGTCGATTTCCTGGGGTTGGAACTTCTCGTGTTGACATGGGAAGCTGTCTGTGGTCTTTTCCTTCCCAGCTGTCGACGGCGAACTGCGAGTTTTGGGGATTGGCGGCTGGATTGAAGGTTACGGGATGTGGACTCGTTGAGGGTTGAGGTGATGTAAATCCATGTTGGATATGTGACCGACGAGCTGGGGTGGTGTCAGGGATAAAAGGTTGGTTGACCTTCGGGGCCTGGCGCAGGCCCTCTGTGAGTGGGGTCAGTACATTTGTTCTAATTCTCACATGTGGCCAGTATTCTTACGTCGTAAAGAGGTGCGAGGGGTAGACATGGTGGAGGCGGAGGCACGCGATAGTTTGCGCCGTTTGCAATTTCCAACCCAGTTCGGTCGTTGAATCCTCGGGGCAGACGAGATGACTGGTGTCACTTCGCACAGTATAGATTGACCGAAAAGACAGCTCGCTCTGTGCTTGCTAAACTGGCAACTCCGAGTGTCACGGCTCGAGGTGTCCTGCCCTTGATACGTCTCGTAGCAAACGAGCTAAGCGATTTCGCCGTAATTGCAAGGGTGTCAAATTCGTAATGGAGTTCCGTGTCCGCACGCTCGCACTAAGTCTATGACCCACAGAATCCTTGGTGGATGAGTGGGATATCGAGAATGGTGACTGAAGTTGGGTCGCAGGATTCTCGCGCGCGTTCGAGTGTCAAGGCGATCGAGGATGCGACAGTGAAAATAGCGAACGGCTCAGCTGCAATGGTGGATCTGAACGTAAAGTGAGGTTGCGCAGGTATGACAGGTGTCAGGAAAAGGAGTAAAACATGAAATAATAATTAATGCCTTGCGGCCCTGGAGGGCTGTAGCTGGGCTTGAGATCAACGGCACCGATCAGCCAAAAGTCCGCGCTCTCCAGCGCGTTGCCGGATTATCGGTTGTTCCGGTTAGGTGCCTGGTATATCAGGCGCCAAAAGTTCATCCTCATTGGGATTAGCGTCCCGACATTGTATATCAGTTCATGGTGGTAGTCATTGATGAGATCGCGTTGAGGGTCTGTTTTGGAATTGTCTTCGGTTGAAAGAGACCTCCTCCGTATTTTAGCTTATCTACCTTTTTACTGCTGATCGAATGGACCCATTTGACGGCGTTTCTTAGGGATTAGGCCTTGGGCATATATTTACAACGCTATGTTAGCTTGTATGAATAAGTTGACTTAGGAACCAGTACCTTAAAAGAGAAGAGATAATATCGATTAGGTTAATCAAAGGGTTATGGAATATAAATTTTGGGATACTTGGTAAGAGTGTGCTGAGGTGATCTGCCTCTCAACCATGCCGCCGCAGCACCCTCCATCCTCAATTCACTGGACGCAGTCGTTCATGGTCTACCCCATTTCCTCCTAATCACAAATCCTATTGTTCCGTGCCTTACATGATGCAACGCCTGCAACCACTGCAACCACTGCAACCACTGCAACCACTGCAACCACTGCAACCACTGCAACCACTGCAACCACTGCAACCACTGCAACCACTGCAACCACACATCCCTCAAGTCCTTCGCCTGACAATTGTCAAGTTCTCCCATACCACCACTGCCATCGACCACATTGGTCCCCTGAAATGGAATCATGTCACTGGCAATGGAGACCTGGTTTGCATCTTTGAGAAGCTTCAGGGCACTACTTCTGTGCCAGCAACATTGATCCAGCGCGTGGTTCGAGGCGATGTCATCCTGGTACCTTCAACCCCCATGTAGATTGACTACTAAAGTGCTAACCATGGTTGCCACCTCGGCTAGGAGAATGTCAATCTCACAAATCTTGTTCAAATGACTGCATCGAGGACTCACTCGTTCTCAAATCGCACAATGCCCAAGTTTCCCTTTGCGGCTGTTGTCAAGCTACCTTGTCTTGCAATCAAATATCCTGAAGGCGGGACCCATGTGTGTGTTCTCTGTGAAAGAATCATCTCTGGGGAGTACTTTCTAACAGGGCTTTGTTGTTGATCCTCTAGATCCGTCGATTCCAGATCAAGTTCACGACAGAAAGCGACTACACCACCGCTCTATCCCTCTTGAGCGAAATCGGATGTCCGCTGACCGAAGGCAGTACACCTGCTCCACGACCAACCCCCTCGGTATCATCATGGACATCGGGCCATCTTTCCCATACACCGAGGGTTGTGAACCCATCAACGTCAGTCGGCAGCATTGGCGCCCCATTCAATCATATCGGAGCATATGGATCTCAAAGAACCAGTAACCACCTTGTCTACTCCCGAGAAGCGATTCATTCTAATACTTTGACTATTGCAGCACCCCTTCGAGCATCATCCCCCGCGAGCACTGTATCCTACGCTCCCTGTAGATTCGGTCCTTCTCCGCCCACATTCAACCGTCTAACCCAAAACATCGAACTAGCTGCCATGGCTCCATTGCAGACAATTCATGTCCCCCATGCACTATACCAAGTACCGGAACTATCCAGCTCTCCGCTATCCACAGTTTCAGCAATCCACAACATCGACCAGCTGAACCAGATGCTCCCTCCCAAGCGAGATTTACCATTTCAAAAGCCACCGACAAAGAATCCCCGTTCAGCCAGCTTGACTCAAACTACAGAAAGCAGACCTCAGCCAGGTCCATTCTCAAGCTCGCAGCCTACAGAGTCAGCCAGGTCCCAAGAGCGAGTTCGCCATCCACTCCATGCAGTCATGCAGTCCGATCCATCAGATCTGGATACCAGCTTGCTAGAGTGCCAGCCTCGTCCTTCCTCAGAGAAAGGCTTATACCCCGATGTGAGCCAGACATCGCTCGCCTACAGGGACCTCCTCACAACCCAAGAGGGTGCAAGTATCAACAGAGCAGTCGTGCACTCGGCCCAGAAACCCAGTATCGAGAAAACACCCCAGTTACGCACTCAAAAAGATGCAAACAAGGAAATCAACAACACGGACGGTACGCAGGACCAACTCCTTCCTCTACCTCTACTTCCAAATCCAAATCCAGCAATCCCAGCACCAGCACCGCACACAGCCGCCGTCATGCCAGAAGACTATCTCGCACGATACCTAACCGCCCCCACACCGGAACGAGTCGCCTTTCTCGAGAACTGGATGTGTGAGCTGATCGAAGATGACAGGTTTATGACTCTGTGTCAGGACGTGGAGGGGACATGGAGGCGGTTTGCGTTTGGGAAGAAGTAACGAACGGATGCTGTTCTCCGAATTTGAGATTTGAGAGTTTATTATGCCATATTAGATGGACGGAGTTATATCTTAACAATTCGTATATCTTTCATGATCTATTCGAGCTAGTGCACGATATATGGAGTTACGAGTATGGGATAGGATATCATATTGAGAAATACTTATAGATGACTTGACATAAACAGAACACTATTTCACTAAAGCCAAATGAAGATGAAGTTAAGATATCCGACTCCCCGTTCTGTTTGTCCCTGAATAAACCGGGATAAGCATGATACTCAATAAAATACAAGATGGGAAGGAAAGCCCTATGGGAGTCAAGACCATAACCTCCCAGAGAAGTAAAAGTAAAGCAACGAAAGGGAAAAAGAAGATAGAACATAATTAAACCACACAGCAGGGGAAATTTTAGCCACAGTTAACACACATATCAAAACTTTCAAAGAAAAAGAAGTTTTTAAGTCTGGAAAGGGTATGTGATTTACCAGACACAAAGCCGACACATCGCCCATCAAAGCCCACTTTAACGAGTCCGACGATAGATCAACCCAGAAAAGACATTAAGATATCCCTCCTTAGTCAACATAGTAAAATCAACAACAACCCTCCCCGAAGCAGCCTGCGACTGAGCAAGCTGCGGGTTAAGATTGGGCGAAGTCTCACCCTGCTCATGAAGACCAGGCGGAGGTGTAGAGGGACCATTTTGACCGACCGAACCCTCAGCCCCAACAGCCAAATCAGCAAGATGCTGAAGCGAGCGCTGCTCATTCGGGCCCATGGGCGGGTGGGTCTTATTACCACCACCACCACCCAAACCGAGATCCGCTTCCTGAAGCTGACTCTCCTGCGATTTGATGCGGCGCCATTCGAGGAAGATGCGGATCTTGGAATCCCACTCTGGGGTTGCGAAGATATTAGCGAATTCAGTTGGATCGGAGGCGCGCTTGGCGCGGCGTTCCAGAATTTCTTCCAGTTTGTCGAGCGAGGCCCAGCATTCCGGTGCGTGTTCTGGGAGGACGGTTGCTTCGAGGAGGGTCATTGAAGCTAGGGCTAGACTGTGCAGGTCGAAGGGGGAGGGGAGTCTGGATTGCATTGTTGCCTTGTGCATTTCGTTGATTACTTCCTGGGCGCAGAAGATGATTTCGTAGGGGCTGTAGACGTAGACGTGGCGTTTGATTAGGAGCCGGACTGTCCAGTAGAGTTGGGTTTGGAGGCTTTCGTAGAGGGGGCGCGTTGTGGCGTTTTCTGGTAGTTCGTGAACCTGGAATACGTCTTCCATTTCGGCTAGGCGCTCCAGGGAGGAGACTAGGTTTGCGCCGACGATGCGGCCGAGGCCGGTGTTGGTTTGGCAGATGTTGTGGTCGACGTTGGCTAGGGTTACCATTTCCGAGAGGAACGTTGAGTAAGCTGCCGTAGGTTAGTTGATAGATCGTTGAGGGGAGGTGAATGAGCAACGTACAGGCAATTCCAGTTGTGATTTGACCGACCACCCTCTCATCTTCGCGGCCGCCAATCTCATGGCCACCTAGAACAGTAGCATCCGCAACACTGATAGCGTACCACCGTGCCAAAATGACCAGGGAAACCCAGTTGCGTCTGGTGAGATTGGCATCCGAGTCGACATCAGGATCCGAAGAACGCTTGTTCTTCAGCTGACCTTGATTCTTCGCCAGGTCGTATCCGAGCTTGTTAGCTGCCTGGACAAGACTACCCTTGGGCACACCATCTTTCAAGACAAAGTTGTCTGGTCCACGAGTGTCACAGTCAATGATCATCAGCAGCAGGGATTGGAGCCAGATGAGATTGACAGCAGTCGACTGGACCATCAATGGCTGGCGGGTGTGGAAGAGAAGGAGATCCTGGGCATTGTCGAAACCATTGATTTTCTCGAAATTACTGGCCACGCGAGTCAAGTCGGTTCGAGTTGCGCTATATAGGGCATAACAAAAGATCTCCTGCGCTTCGCGGTGGCATTGGTGCAGGAGCTCCAATGTCCGGTCCTTGGTGTGGGGGAGAATTGGTAGGAGAGTATGAATCTTTTGGTAGTATCTAATAACTCTTGTTAGATGGTTTTCGGGGATGAGGTTTCACATCACATACGCATCAAGAGCCCCTTCGTCAAGAGTCACCGGGCTCATGTCATCATCGCCTTCATGTTTAGGCAAGTCGGTTATCTCAAGCCCGCTTGGGAGATCGTTATCATGGCCCGTTGGGTTCCAGAACAAATTGCCGGGCTTCGGTGCGCTACCACTGGCAACTGTTGGGTTGTATGGGTCTGCCGTTGTTTCAGAGGTATCGAAGGCATTTTGCGAAACACGGGCATTGAAGGACGGCTGCGCGAACGAGGAACTGGGCAGACCTTCGAAAACAGAGTATGTTCTTTTGCGATTGCCCGAGGTCGATTCCACGGGGGATGCGAAATCCTGGTATCCTCTTGGTAGCGACACTTCGTTCATGGACTGGTAAGGTACGTCGGGTTGGACGATTCCGGGTTGCATCTGGTTCTCCAGCGTATGGAGACGCTCGGCGAGTTCCTTGATATATCTGTGTCCCTGTCAGCATGGACAATTCATGGGGTGACACACTTGTTCTTCCTACCCTTTACTGGGACCGCGCTTCATCGGGACGCGACTGAACTGACACACAACGCCTAGACGCCGACAGTTGGAGCATGTTTCCAGACCTGTTTCTGAGCTCGCATCGCATCGAACCTGGAAAGAAAACGCGTCTTAGCTTCTGGGCCATGGTAGCGTTGGGAAGAAAATCGCCGTACCTTTTTGCGCCGACACTCGTCACATGCTCGTGAGATCTTGGATCGCTTCCGCGCACTCTGTTCACCATAGCTCAAGTCGTGGTTCGGGTCCACGCCGACTTGTTGACTCGGAGGGAATTGGAGCATGTGCTGATGCTGGTGTTGATCCTCCGATGAGGTACGGCCCATGTCGCCAGCATTGGAGGAACCTAAGACCATGGACTGGCCATGATGGACGCCATTGCTTGACTCACCGAGTCCAGGACCGGACGCTTCGCGCGACAGTTCGGCGGACAACAATTCGTCGGTGGTAAGTTGGCGATTACCATAGTACGGCATGGCGCCCTGGGCCATCTGCGCACCGTTGGGAGATGGATACGAGGGCGCCGGAGGCATGTCAGACTGCTCGCGAGAGTTCATCACGCGAGACCTGACCAAAAACTTAGAGAATGATATGGGTTGTGGGCAAAGCGGGCTTCCGGAAGATGGGGGAAGAAAGTGCAGGACGCGAAGTGCCAAAAGTGAAGTTTTACAGCCTAAAAGTTCGCGGGGGAATTTCCAAGGGGGCTAGCGCCGAGGTCGCCGCATTAATCAACAACATTTGGACGTAGAATACATATTGATATATCATTTTGAAGCTATATAAGATGTCGCCTTTACTTTTGGGATCGCACGGAGGACGGCCTTTCGTTTCTGCGTGTTGAACGGATTAACACTATTTCCTCCTGTGTTGCCTGAGAAATGAGGCGATAATTTCTGACAAGATTTTCGTGGAACGAGAAATCAGTTGGGAGTTGCCGGTTCGATCCTGGCTCTCATTTCTTTTTAATTTCATTGTCTAGGTCCTCGACTATAGATTAGCATCATCCCTACGAGACTCAATATGTTGTTCGTGGCTCTACCAAATAAAATGTGTAGTTTTCTCACATCCCGTGCCTAGCACTAGTTACTATATATCGTCGGGCTCAATCATGCTGGTTGTTCCACGGAGAATGACTCGCCACGCGTGAAGCGTTTCAGGTGTCCCAAGGTTACCAAGGGCAACGATTCTGCGGCTCCATGTTACATGTATACATGTATCCCCGGACTCTGTGGAGAGACATACATTTATATGACCCTGACTGAAGCACTTTGACACATAGGTATTGTTCGGAGAGGCAACCGGAAGATAAGCATTCTACCTGATACATCTCGGGTGATTTCCGAATGATTCAATCGTCGTTCCGGATATATTATCCATCCTCTTTTTCGATCTTATCATCTGTGGGGGTCGAAATTGAACGATGCCAGCGAACTTGGCCAACTACAAAACAGGCAGGACACTCCAGCAGACTCTCGGCGTTCAACTAGCCAGTTAGGAACCCTGATCTCATGTAAGTTTAGTCGACTTAGCGCTAGGCTTTCTACATTTCTCCGCTCTACGCGCGCGAAACTTTACATGTACTATTGTATAATTTGATCCGATCTCCAAGGATAAATAGAGATGATTAAAGGCCAGGATTTAGTCCTTGTATATATTGAAATCTCTTCCTTGTATACTCCGTACTGATACCATACAAGGCAAATACATGTACACATGTACAGTAATAATAGACGAACCGTGGCCCTTAGCTAATTGGCGGGAATTGGGGTGCAGATCAGGGCCCGCCGGCCCCAAAACGCTCTGCAGGCCGCCCGAAGCAGGAACACTGACGCCATCGGGCTATGACATGCATCCACGGTGTAACTGTAGAATCCTGTCACCGGAACAGTCCTATTTTTGAGATGTACACCCATCCGGTATATAGACTGAATTCAGTCTCTTGAGTGATTATGCTAGTATTGTGCCCTACAGGGATTATGGAAAGTTCTTTTGGTACCTGGATCGAGGGCGCTAGACAGGGTTTGAAACTTACATGTAATGGTAACTTGTGGCGATCACACATTCATAGTCTTACGTACAATTTAGGTGTCAAGGCCGGGATGTGCGGCCCCAGATTTTGCTAGCGAGATCGGTGGGGATGGGTTCGCCAACTTTACTCAACAGTTCTAGGGACAATATTAAGTGACTTAGAGGGGTGTAAGTAATGTAGTCTGACTGGATAATGCGTTGGGGTTAGGGCTGCCGGTTTGGGCATAAAGAGTCGAAAAGTTTATTATAAAAATAAAAGTGAAAGCGAAAATAGAGATTAACTTACTTCGTAACTTAACCCTTTACCCTAACCTAATGGACAGGACAGGACTGTGGAAACCTGGAGTAAATTACCGTACAGGTCAGGTACCGCTACGGTCTGCCACAGCCACCTCAGCCGCTACGAAAATCCTCCCCCATTATTAACGGCCCCTTCCCATCTTCTCTTTCTCTCCTCCATAGGGTGTTCGACGACTCCTTATATTGAACGCTTTCTACTTTGGCCGCCACTACCGGTACTTGGTGTCCTGTCTAACGGCCGGCGCCAAACGGTGCGTAGGCTTGGTCCCCCTCTCTACTCTTTACTCTCCGACTCTCCCCTCTCTCCAATCCCGCCTGATACCCTTTGGATTTCGCTTCTTTTTGGCAGTTCGCTGTTTGTTGGCGTTCTGTGAACCTCGCATTGGGACCTTTCATATACCCTTTCTGTTCGGCTCTAGAAGCCATCGCCTTGACGGCTTGATTTCCCCCCGGTCTACTCCGACCGGCCTGTTTTCTTGATACCCTATTTCTCTCGGTCATCGCATGTGTACTTCACAGTAGCACCCGCAGCGATGCTCATCGAAGGTGAGAAGTGGGCTTGTGAAGCTTGCGTCCGGGGTCACCGCGTCAGCAGCTGTCACCATAGTGGTACGTTGATCATGCGATCCTCCATCTGGTCACTTCTAACCTCCATTAGACCGCCCTTTGACCCACATCAATAAAAAAGGCCGCCCAGTCTCTCAATGTACTCACTGCCGCGGCCTACGCAAGTCTCGGACAACTCACATCAAATGTGAATGCGGCGACAAAAAGAAGAAGAGCGACTCCGACCCCCATGATACCCATGGCCGCTGTGGCTGTTCCCATGGCCAGCGATGCACCTGTGCGCTCAAAAAGGAACACCTCGATACCGTGCCTGAGACCGGTCTTCCCTTCTCTCCACCGCTTCCAGTTGAAACCGCGCGGAAACCTCCTCTGACCTCGACCAAGTCCGAGTCGACCCTGACGATATTCCGCGACGGCCACCATAAACCCGCCCATAAACATAATGACATGGCCCACAAATGTGGATTGCCTTATACGATTCCACGATCACATACTATCCATCACCCGACCGATTTACCCCGTCGGTCTGTGGATCATTTGCCGTTAGGCCAGTCGGCCTTTATAAAGGAGCCTCTGGCCCTGTCTGAACACCCGCAATCGCAACAAACATCGCAAAAGGGCTCTCCCAACAGCGCGCCAGCCTCGGGAGATGACGACGTGCAACCCGTTCCTCTCGACCAGTTATTCGACAAGTTCGCCACCCCTGCGTTCCCGCCATTAGATCGACCCAAGGATGGAACGTCAAACCCGACCTCTACTCCTTCTGCGATGGACAAATATCCTCTGGATCAGATTATCACCAGTGTTCCTCCCCTCGACGTCTCCACCTTCTCCTCCTTTCCGACCACGAGCACTAATTCTCCGGTTACATGCATGGCCTTCCAAGAACCGTACCGAGAATGCTACTTCACCTCTCCAGATTCCGATATGCCTCTAGGGTCTGCCGGTATGGGTGCTCCGTCTGTCGACTGGTCGAGCTTCCCTCTGTACTCCGATGTCCCTGCCTCAACCAGCACACAAGCCCCGTCATACGCCAGCTTCGATTACACATACCCATCTGGTCTCCCACCACCGTCCTCATCAGGGGAGATCTCCGAGGCCGACGAGTTTGGACCGCTTCCAGGGTTAGGTCATACCGGCAATGATATGCATGATCTGCACAGCGTCAGCGAAGCCTCAGACATGGACCATATGCGCCTCAGCTCTGCATCCTCATTGGTCGGTCTGCCCCAGACCCGCCTTCTCTCATCCAATGACCTGGATTCGATCAACATCGACGACTTCCTCAAGTCAGCCAATGAGTCCACCGCAGCGCTCGAGCACCAGCTGCAAGCCAACATGGACACAAAACCGGTACCCTCGCAGGACCTCTACGCCATGTCGCAGGCCCCGGAATATAAGCCCATGACTACAGCCCCGATGACGATTCCCTCGCCGCCAGACTCCGTCCCTATCTGGCCCAACGGTCTCTTCGACGCCGACTCAACCCCGCCCATGGATGACAACTTCTTCCAACAGTCCTGGGCGCAGTAAAAAGAGACCGGGTGGTACAAACTCCCTCTTCTTACCTTACCTTGCTTTCTTCTCTTCACTTCCTATGTCTCGGGGCTTGCTGTTCGCACTCACCACCTCCTCCACACCGTCTTCATGACCCTGATGAGAGATGATGATAAATGCCTTTGTCTTGTTCCATTAGCCAGTCTAGATTCCTTCTTTGATAGCCATTCAATCTAGAGGGGTTTGCGATTTGGACACTTGTGTGTGCCTGTACACTCTTTGGCTTTGGCCTTTTCCTTGCTGTGCATACCTTTGGTGTGTTTTGCTGTTGTATAGACCTTTTCGTTTGTTTTATCCCTGTACAATGACTCGGTACTTTCAATACAGTCGCCTCCGGGCAATGATACCCAGATGCAATGCAGTGCGGTCCATGTTTCGGCTTACATGTAGGGGATGTAAATCTCATGTACCCCATAGACATTGACAAAACCCAGCAAATAAATAAGCATGACCATATCAGCATGAACATGGACATGGACATACCAAGAAATCAATACTAAATAAACTATATATTATTCCCCTTCTAACAACCTACCAATGAGAAATCATAAATCATAATCGATCGAGTAAACCATTCCAAAAATGGGATCGGATCTAGCGGTGAGACCGGGATACTGGTACACCTCACACCATGCCACATTCAGCTCTTCGGCAGACCGACACGTTCGCAGCTGGAACTTCAATCTTACATTTCGTCACCCAGCTTCACCGTATGTCTAATTACGTCTTGTTTCAAGGCTTAAAGGATTGTAAATCTCGATTAATAGTTTTCATATTGTATGGAATGAATATCTTAAATGGGCATACTATACCATCCAACCCGCACGCCCATCCCATCCTACAACTAACACTAACATACTATATCCACAATTCAATCACCAAAGGATAGAGACCAGAATAGTAGAAACTGCACCGACCCATATACTACTGTATGTCCTAGTGTAAAGTAAGCATACGTAACTAAACAATACCCTACATGCAATGCACAGTCCATCAATGTAACATATCCACTCACGCACATGTACAATACGAAAGTATAAGTATCTATAAACAAGGACACCCCTGCGAGGGAGACCACGCGGGATAGCTAAGCATTAGCCAAGAACATGCATGTCGAGGCTTGTATTGTGAGACGGGTGTGTGGATATCTGTATCAGTCGCTGTGACTGGGCTATGTATGCTGTAGATGTATGCTGTGCGATTGAGTTGTGCTACGTATGTACATGTACGATCTGGCGGTGGATGGTGATGGGTGTGTAGTAGGACCGGGCTGAGCTGAGTTTGGTGAGTCCTTGCATACCCCGTACCTAAGGAGTGGTTGGATGGGAATTTTTCTCGGTTGTTTCGTGCCGGTTTGTGTTTTGTTTTTGGTTCCTGGGTTCTAGTTGTTCACCGCTTCTTTTTATATACGTCTCGTGTTACCTCTGGAGATAGAGAAGAGATATTGTCGGGGTAGATTCTATATTGCATGTCATTGTATATTGAGACCTTGGGATCTATTGTTGACTTATGGCTACATGTACTATCCATGTAGACTGATCCATGTAGACTGATCCATGTAGACTGATCCATGTAGACTGATCCATGTAGACTGATCCATGTAGACTGATCCATGTAGACTGATCCATGTAGACTGATCCATGTAGACTGATCCATGTAGACTGGGGAACAGGTGGCTGGTTGCCGTGTCCCTCGATGTATGCGATTCTTCGAACTTGGCCGGTTCTGTCTTGTGTTGTGGTTCGCATTTTGGAGGTTGGACTGTTGGGGATGTGTACGGATATATGGGTTTGATGTTAATACTGGAGAAGAGTTTGAGTGAAATGGGTTTGGGGGGTCTGGGGAATATTTCCCCAGACTAAGTGCATAGTGGGTACGCGTGATGCGTCCACTATCATATTTCTGTTCTTTCTAGGATAGTCATTTCACCTATACGTTGCCAAACCAAGACGGGAGAATCAAGATATATATTTGGGCGCGAAGGAGGAAAATGCATTTGTGAATGGTCAACCAGTATGCAATCTTATACAGACACAACGAACATACAGGTAAGCCTCGCGGCCAATACATATAAACCGGAAAACCATGCAAAGCTCCAAATGCGCACGGAAAAGAAACATTTAGATAATAAATTGGCAAGTCCAATAGAGTAAGTAGTCTATAAGGTATCCCGAACGAACCAAATCCAGATCTAGATCCAAAACATAGCATCGTAGAGCACCAGACTCATATCGTATAAATGGATGCGGGCAGTTCACGGCCCATGCATAGAATATACAGCGATAGGAGGTGGTTCATGCATATATGTCACTTTTATATTGTACGTTCAGCGGTACTTGTTCATGAACTCTGAGTGGAACTGAACAATGCGCTCAACCCAGTCGGTGCCGGGGGCAAGGAAGGTCGTGCGGAAGTGAAGGGTGTTCTCCTTCTGACCGAATCCAGAGCCGGGGACGACGCAGACACCTGTGGCGTCGAGGAGGGCCAGGCAGTAGAATTCGTCTGCGGCGCGGTTCTCGGCCTTGGCGGCTTCGATGGCCTTGGCTGGGAGGTTGATTGTGGGGAAGAGGTACATAGCACCCTAGAAAGAGTTAGCGGATGTGTTATACTAGAGATGGGGAATAGGGCATATGTAAGCATACCTGGGGCTCCTGGACCTCGACACCCTCCATGCGCTGGAAGGCGTTGTACAAGGAGAGAGCGCGCTTGTGCAGACCCTCCGCGATACCAGAGTACTCCTTCTGGTAGAGCTCGTAGCTGGGCTCGCCCTGGACGGGAGGGTTGACCATGCACTCGAGCAGGCATTGTGCGACAACCGGCGGGCACAGGCCAATGCTGACGAGCTTGTAGATCTGCTCCTGGACCAGAGGGTCGAAGCCGACGAGCTCGAAGTAACCACCGCGGTGGCCACACTCGCCGACCATACCCTTGGAGATACTGTGCAGCGAGACCAGCTCGACGTCGTCGTACTTGCCGGGCTCTTCCTTCTGCAGCTGGCGCAGGCGCTTCTTGAAGGAGACGAATTCGCCCTTGAAGACGTTGGTCTGGTAGACCTCGTCGGCGATCACGACCAGGCTCTCCTCGGCGGCGACGTCAAGGACTTTCTTGATGTCGTCGGCGCTCAGGGAGGCTCCGGTTGGGTTGCCGGGGTTGATGACCACGACAGCGCGCACGTCAATTGCGGCGGCCTTGGCCTCCTCAATGGACTTGAGGATCGCGGTGACGTCGGTGCCCCAGGCCTTCTCCTCCTCGAGGAGATAAGGCACGCAGCGCGCGTTCAGCAGGGAGAGGGTTGCGGTGTAGAGCGGGTATTGAGGGATAGGGACCAAGACACCGGCACTTTCGTTGTTGCAGATGACGCTCAGGAGAGTGCTGACACCGGAAGAGGCACCGGCAGTCAGGAACAGGTCCTGGGGGTTGGCAGGGAAGCCGTCACGGTTCTCAATGAACTTGGCAACGCTGTTCCGGATACCAGGAGCACCCTGGCTGTGACTGTAAGCACCGACGCTCTGCACATTGGCGAGCAGGGTCTGGGCACGCTCAATAACATCCTGCTTGTATCCGAACGAGGTCTTGAGGACCTCGGGGTTCTCCAACAACAATGGGTTCTCGACGAGACTTAGCACCTGGCGGAAGAAAGTGATAGGCTTCTGGTCGAGTTGCTGAGGGTTACCGATGTTGGCGAAAATCACACTTTCGAAGGGCAGCGACTTGTCGCCGTCGTTGAGGCGCTGGCGGTAATCCTCAGCCTTGACAGCGAGTTCACCCCGCACGGCGTACTTGGCTTCCCGGACAGAGGGGTTGATGTTGTCGACACTCAGACACTTGGAGGTCTGGAAGGCCGAAAGGGTGCGCTTGGCGGTATAGGAGACGGTAGTCTGAGTCATGGTGGGCTCTTAATTGACCCGAGGCTGTTAGTGAAGTTCAAAATAGCGCGATTGTTGTTCCCGATGTTGGGTTGGCGAGAACAGTGGTATGAAACCACGAGAACGAGATGGGTGAACAAGAGTAATCAGGCAATATAATGACGTGGAGAGCAACACTGCGAAGATCACACTATATAAAGCCGAGATCATTCCACGTACCTGACCAAGCGGAGAGGCACCCCGCATGGGCTGCCGGGCGATGTAGGAGACCATTCGGCCGGGTCAGCGCCCGCAGCGGAGCTGCCCGCGCACAGGATGCAATCTTAATTGACCAGGACATGTTCGAATCAATTACACGATATTCTGACAACCCCTGTGTTGACGGGAAGAAGGAAAAAATCCAGGGCCGCGGCCATTGGGCGGTGAGTGAGTTGACTCAGCGCTTTTCCCCACAGCCCGGACGATAAGAAGATATCAAAGCTTCACCGAGTCTCTACTGGGCTTACAGCGGTTACAGCGCCTCTACCGATTTGAACGGGAACCCGGTGAATGTTAGAACCTAAGATGTATAATGGTAACATGCGTGAAAACACCTCGGATCAGCCTCCGACGATCATTTTCCCTCGGAAAGTCTGGCGATTGCCCGGCCCATTTTCCGGCGCCGCCCGATGCGGGGACCGAACGATTTATTTTAGTCAAGTGATATCATGGGGAAATGGTTTGATTCTAGGGCGCAGATTCTCCATTCAGGTACGTAATCATAGGCTAGTCACGGCTCATGCTTCCCGTGTATCAATTCAGCTTCGCTCACTTCCACGCAGACGCACGGCTTGGCCGTACTTCTGAATCTTAGTGATGAGGGAGTCACCGTGCTTCACCACATCAGCATACTGCTTGTTCTTGTCGTCTGGTCGATTTGTCTCGATGATTCCGTTGACACGGTCGATGGTGCAGGCAATGCGGTTGTTGGAAATGAATCGAGCAAGGTCCCTGAAATATTGTTAGCAGATGCGGTGGGTCGAGGTGAGAAATACATACCGGTCCAGGTAGTCTACGGTCACACCGAAGTCGCTGGCCATGCCGCTCAGTCCCACCACTCGGTAGCTCTGCAGGAGCTGCTGGTAGGCGCGGAGACGCATCTCACGAACGAACCAGGCCCGGTGCTCGTGCAAGTACCTGTCTTGGGTCAAGAATTGGTCCTCAACGGCTGCCAATGCCACGAAGAACGACCGGTAGTTGCCATTGTAAAGACTGTTCACCAGGTTTGCCAGTGGCGAGAAATCAACGGGGACTTCAGTGTCTACTGGGGCACTAGAACCAGTTGCAAATGAGGTCAAGTTGACGGCGGTAGTGGCACCGGCGGGTGTAGATCGCGACACTGTAGCATCCTTCATCTCTTCCTCTCGAGCACCGGGACCTGAGGAAATCTCTCCGCTCAGTGCGGCCAGCTGCTCCTCCCCAGCGCCAAGAATGGCTTTAATCTCGGGTGCATCCACCACCTTCGCCTTGAAGTCCACTCGTTTGAGGGACAATGATCCTGCAAGCACGGAATAGATCACCAACGAAGAGTAGCTGCACAGTTCGTAGCTTGTGAAGGTAGACAGACTGTCGAGAAGGAGAGGCGCGGCAAGGCTGTAAGAGCGGATGGTGAGCAAGTGCAATCCCTTGTATGCCTTGAGGCGGTTTCTGCGATCCCAGTCTCCACCGCTCTCGACCAGGGTCTCTGCCCGTTCGATAGTCTTGTTCACAAACAGAAGATCCCCGAAAAAGAGTCCGATGCGGAGCATAGCAAGCACCAAGTCGATCTTGGTACCAAGGAAACCGGTCTTTTCGAGGAGGGCCTCGTGCGATTCGATAGCTTTGTCCTATTAAGAAACCAGCGTCAATAAACTTCAATATGAGCAAAACAATAATAAATAATCTCACCTTATCTCCTACGCGAGCCCAGAACTCAGCTCGCTTCCCGCGCGCGGCCTGTACTTCAGTCTCACCAGCAGCTTCCTCTGCGTCATCTTCCTCCTTCTGGAAGCTCTCCAATTCTTTCTTGTTATCCTCCAATAAAGACTGGTAAAGCTTCTCATCCCAGGGGAAATCAAACTTTTGCGGTGTTTTGCGAGACGCAAGCATGTTGGAGGTGAGGAGCGGCTTCGTTGAGGTACCTGCGTTTTGCGGGTGCTGTGTTACGCCTTCGCCGGCGTTGTTCAGGATGCCCTCGGTGGGGTGAGCCAGATGCCGATAAAGCGGCGCCATCTTTTGCTCGGTGATGACATCTTGAAGCTTCTTCAATGATGTTTGCTGGATGGCTGGCGCGCAGGCCGGATTGGAGAGGTTGAAGACATCTTGGGCGAGGGAGAGGTTGGGGAATTTGATGTATTGCGGATCAGACCCCATGATAGCGACGGGGACTGGAGATACTAGGAAAAGGATTACAAGCAATAAAGAGATTCAAAAGGATAGAGGGAGGAGAGAGGTGATGATGAGCAAGCCAGGTGCATCACCGTAGCCCGAGCTCAGCTGGCGAAATGTTGTTCCGGGCCGGGCCTCCTTCTTGGTTCTCGGTATAAACCAAGCCTCTACAGCTTTGGCGTTATCTTCCTTCCGTTTCAATGAAACATGTCTTCTCTTTACGCTTGCAATTGTAATTCTGCATTTTTTTTTTTTTTTTTTTTTTTTTTTTCAAAACCTGATTTGTCACGTGCTCCCATTCTCTGGTGGAATTGAAGGTCAATTGCTGAGCAAGCAATATTCTTATTGACTTGTAACTTCTCTAATTTGTCTGGTTTGCACAATTCTGTGGATCATCCAGAATGTAATTCAAAGACTGAGTTTTGTGGCTTGAGCCCATTTGAACGTGCCACGGCGCATAGGGTTCAATTCCTTCCGGACACTAAGTCCTAAGTCACTATTCTGTTCGTATGATCCACGCCAGAAACACTTAACAGGAAGAAAGCTTAGAGCTCTCTGATGGGAATACTAATACTACCACATAACAGTCAGCACAGGTCTTGCATTGTATCGTAGCCTGGTATATCTACTCTAATTTTCCGTCAAGCTGCCATCAATGTTTGCCTTAACCTCTTGAAGCAAGGCAATGTGTGATATTTTTAGATAATAAACCTAGCAGCATCTTCAAGCCTTCCAATACAGATGAAACAATTGATTCTGACCCTCTTTGAAGTTGTTAGCAAGAGAATATGGGAATGGACTTTGCAGGAGTTCTGGGTTAGATGTGAAAGAGGCTTACCAATGGCAAGTAGGACCACTGACCTCCAAGAAACGTAAATTTGGACTAAAATACAGCACGGTATCCAAGTGCCTTCCACTACTATACCAAGGTGGGTTGCCCGAACGCGCCTGAACTTACCAACGACCCGATTTCGGGACCAGGAGACGGAAAATTCGCCCAAAGAAGGTAGCCAAGAAGTAAATCAAGACATCGTAAGCCTGACAAATCCCTGACACACTCTTCCAAGTCTTACCAGACTGTCCTTTTCAACAGATTGTCCCCGAAGAAGGTTAGAGTAAATCATGTCGATTCCGTTGGACCCACCCTGCTTGATAATGGAGGTTGAACAACGCTACGGAACGGTTCTGTGGCTTGTCTCACGCCATACAACAGTAGATCTATATAATGTTAAGTAGTTCATCTCTGCTTTTTCATATTCATCCGCTTCTCTTCAATTATCAGCGTCATGGCACCATTGAGCGCTTTCGTTGAGAGTCTGGGTCTTGTTGGCCTTGCCTCCGGTGCAATTCTCCCCAGAATCAATAGAATCAATAGTTATCCAGGTCAGGACTTGGCCTTGGAAAATCACACAATTGATGAAATATGCTGCAGCAAAGAATGAAACCGGTGAACTGATCGTTCTCTGGGATGGAGATGGTATGTTTCTGTTTCTTTCTTCCAAGGAGACCCAGTTATTGCTGCGTGGAAAGCTCGTTTCCCCGATATAAAGCTCGACCTGACTGGATGTTTCGAAATACCATGATAGTCGTGTCAATCGCCAATTCCAGCGTGGTGGTGCTGATATTGCTGCTCTGAAACCCTGAACGCTATGACCACTGGAAGCGGGGGGAAGACTTCTTCCCTACAAGCATCTTAAATGGGAAGATGTCTACTCCTAGATTAAGGATCCCGAAGGCGCTTTCCTTGGAACCTACATGACTGCCCAGGTCGTTATTGAACACATTACCGACGAGCCATGCAATAAAATAGGCCAATTCGGCAGCTTTCCCTACAACAACGAATCACTCAAGGCTTCCGATCTCCCTTCGATATACGACGAACTTTTGGACCCCTTCTGGAAAACAAACTCGTCCTCCTCCAGCCTAACGTCGATGACGCGATAACCTACTTGTTCTCAGTGATCACCGAAAAATACGGCTGGGAGTGATTCGAGGGTCTCCAGAAGCAAAACGTGAAGTGGGTTCGTGGAAGAGGCGAGCCTGCAAACTATGTGGCAGAGAAGGACACCTCTCGCGTTCTGTGCTTCACGAACTTGATCAGCGCCGACAATATCGCTAACAATCCGGTGGATGATACTCGCATGTTGTGGCCTCAAACTGCTGCCATATTTGCTACCAACCCTCGGCCGGAGAGCTCCAAGCGGTTCATGAGCTGGTTTCTCGGTGACGAATGTCAGCAACAGTTCACTGACAACGGTAGCTACCTCTCGCGGAAGGATTTGAAGGGACAGACTGGAAGTGTGTGGGATGATCCTTACACCCCTCTTACAGAGTTTGCTACTTTCAAAGAAAACCGTGAACTTGTAGAGTGGTGGCTTCCTCAATTCGAGACTCCTCTTTGTGTCGCTAAAGATCCGAGTCCTGTTGACTCTTTCTATGGAAAGATGCACCTTAACGGCGACTTCAAAAGTGGTTTTAAGCCATCGCAAGCTCTCAAGCTATTGACTGTTCTGCATTTCGTTTAAAAGAGTTTCAAGGGGACGACCTGTACTGACATGTATTTTACTCAGATAATACCCTCTCTCAATTCTACAAAAAAGCGACACTAAATTGCAAGTCAAAAAAGGCAGGCAGAATTCACTCCAAATAACGGGAGCCCACTTAGGGCGGGCACGTGCTCTGAAAACATACGCTCATTCCTTCCGAGGTTTTTCCTCCCATGTCATTTAACGGCAAGCCGTAGAGATGGCTTGCGTGTACTCTTTTGGCTTTTATATTAACTATATTCCGATAGCGCATCGTTCACCTCGGAGTGGCCGAATGCAACGATTGGCTAGCCCTGCAGGGAAACAAATCTTATCAAATGAACGAACGTTATTGGCCTATACATGGCGGATACCGGTAGTTTGGGCTAAAGCTTAGGGTGATAAAGCTCGGGGGCCGGTTGCCACTACGGTCCGATACTTGGTTAGACGCGGCCTCCGCACTCTGTGATAGGTACCAAGCAGGTACCTTAGTGATGCTACCTCCCGCTTTGGATTTCGAACCAGGCAATTTTGATTTCCCCTAAATTTTTTTTCATGTCTTTTTTATCTCTCCGGGGTTCAAACCTATTTCTTCTCTCGTATCTTCTTCCTCACACCCGACTCCCGTCATCGTGACCAGCTAATACAATACCGCAAACGGTCTCGTGCCCGCTGCAGGCTTCCCCTCAATTTCTCACCTCCACAATTCTGCTGAGGTCCAATCGTGAAGATCGTAAAGCGCAAACCCGCCGGCCTCAGATTCGTCCGCAAACATGAGCGCAACCGAGTCCAAGCAAATGGCCGAGAAAGGACCTGATCCCCTCAAAGAGGAGCCCGTGGAGCTGCCACCCCTCGAGGATATCGCAAAGGGTCGCTGGGAGCGCAGTTGGCCAACGATTGCCTGCGGTGCTGGTCTTTTCTCCGATGGGTATCTGAACCAGGTGAGTATTCCTCCGCGTTGTACCACAACAATGCTGTCCGACATACACGTGGGATGCGCCATTATTGACATGCCCTGATTTAGATCATCGGTCCAGTCGGCACCATGCTGGGAAAGCTCTATGGAGATGCCTACACTAATTCCACTGCGGCGCAGAATGTCTCCTCGATCGTTTTTGCCGGTACCGTGGTCGGTATGTTGGGCTTCGGCTACACCAGTGACCACTGGTCGCGCAAGTGGTCACTGATGATTTCTACTATCATCCTGTTCATCTTTGCTGCTCTCGGAGCAGGGTCTTATGGTGCTGGCGGTAACATTGGAGGCATGTTCGCTGCTCTGACTGCTTATCGCTTCTTCCTCGGTGTGGGTATTGGCGGCGAGTATCCTGCTGGATCGGTCGGTGCTGCTGAGAATACCGGAGAGTTAAAGCATGGTCATCGCAACCGCTGGTTTATCATGTTTACCAACTTCCAGATTGATGCCGGTTTCGTCATTGCTTCTTTGGTCTCTATGATCTTGGTTTTGATCTTCACCGAAGACCATCTGCGTGCTTGCTGGCGTGTCGCTTTGGGACTGGGTGTTATTCCACCTATGAGTCTCATGTATCTTCGACTGAAGATGAACGAACCGGAGGAGTTTAACCGGGAGCGCATGCACAAATTCCCTATTTGGTTGATCATCAAGTAAGTTCCACGAGTGGCGAAGACGTGAGATTTTCGCTAACCTCTTTCTAGGTTCTACTGGAAGCGCCTGGTATGTGGACTTATGTCGGACTTTGAAATGCACAGGCACTAACCTAGCTCAACAGACTGTCGTCTCTATCATCTGGTTCCTTTATGACTTTTCAGCTTACAGTTTCTCAATCTACTCTTCCAAGTGGGTTGACATCATTCTCGGCGACGACGCCCCATTGTGGAAGAGCTTTGGCTGGGCTACCGTGGTCAATGTTTTCTATATTCCCGGTTCCGCCCTCGGTGCTTTTATGAGTGACTGGATTGGTCCTCGCTATACCCTCGCTCTTGGCGTTGGTCTCCAGGGAATCGTCGGATTCATCATGGCCGGATGCTACAAATGGCTTGCTACCAAGGCCAACGTTGCCGCTTTTGTTGTTGTTTTCGGGTAAGTCTTTCGAGAACTTTGACAGGATTCTCTCATTAAAACTACCGCCAATACTAACTAATCGATATCAGAATCTTCTCTGCTCTCGGTGAAATGGGACCCGGCGACAACATCGGTCTAATTGCAGCTAAGACCAGTGCAACTGCCATCCGTGGCCAATACTACTCTTACGCAGCTGCCATCGGCAAGGTTGGAGCATTCGTGGGCACCTATGTGATCCCAATCGTTCAAAAGAATGCCCCCAACGAAATCCGCGCCGGCCAGGATCCCTTCTTCGTCTCCAGCTCCCTGTGCCTCCTGGCCGCTTTCCTGGCCATTTTCATGGTCCCGCAGATTAACCAGGTATGACTTAGCACAGAAGGATGATCTCACCCAGACGCTAATCACCAACTAGGACACAATTACTTACGAAGATTCCAAATTCCGCGACTACCTCGAGGCAAACGGTTACGACACCACCACGATGGGTAACCGCAACCACAACCGCCAGAGCGCCATCCCGGAACAGGAGTAATCGCTTTACTCTGAAGCAGCCCCATCGCACCACACTCTTGCTTGCCCAGATGGGCTCTTGCTCTGCAGCCTGCAGCTTTATCACCACCAATTCCCAGAGTCATAATACCCCATGCGCCAATATGATCAGTAATTCTTTGAAACGCCATGGCACGATTGATGCGACAGCGACAATACTGGCCCGTGCGACTTGTTCCTCTGCCCCTGCGACATGGTTGATAACTTTATGAGACTCGAGATTCATGTAACTAGCGCGGGCATTGACGGAGCAGATCTGCTGGTGATCTAGTTCGGTGGTGCGATTTCGCGGGATATGTAATTGTCTCTTGGTGTGTGATCGAGCTGAATCTCCCCGTTGAGAAATAATCAAAACCTTAATGCATAAGCAATTTCTAATCTGACTTTCGAGGTTGCCTGTAGTGCTCACTCATCTTGAACATCATAGATATCAGATATCCTCATACTCCAGAGTGTCAAACAACGTCTTTTTGATCTCTACTGCGAAGTTTCGAGGAATAGAACCCTTAATAGGTCTGGAAATGAGAGAGAAAGATGGAGAAACTAGGACTACCAAGACGGGAAGCCCTAGGACGAACTGCGGGCAGGCCGGAGGACTGCATGAGGCCTGAGACATGAGGCATCGGTCCGATATCAGGCAGACTGCATGTCCTGACAGGAGAAATCCGGGGTAGCAAACAAGTCGAATAGTTTAAATGAATTAAGGTTTACTCGACGCGTCTTCAAACCACCAGGACGCGTTTTTACGTCAGCGACTGAATTTCCTCCCTCCTAATAATTGGAAAACGTCGCCAAATTGACACGTCCCCAAATAGGAAATACGGGGTAGCAAACAAGCCAAATAGTTTAAATGGATTAAGGTTTACTTGACGCGTCTTCAAACCACCAAGACGTGTTTTTACGTCAGCGACTGAATTTCCTCCCTCCTAATAATTGGAAAACGTCACCAAATTACCACGTCAGCTCAAATAGGAAATCCGGGGTAGCAAACAAGTCAAATACTTTAATCTAATCAATCTACCTCGACACGATCTCGACGCGCCTCTCAAGGTTCCTTCTCTACTACTGCATTCCCTCCCAAATTCCGAGACTATGTCACCTCAACAGAATACTCGAAATGACCATCCATCCACTGAATATGCTTATATTCCCTAGTCTGATCACTCAGAATCATGCATTCCCGAAACACCCGAGGACCCCACCGCATAAATCTCCTAGCCTCCCCCAAAGCCTCCCAAGGCTTCTCCCCATAATCAAAGGCAGCAAAGGCCCTCGCCGCCTCTAACAACGTCTTCAGATCTTCAGACAACCCCTCCAACTGGTTCAAGTAAGCAAAGCACACAAATCATGATACAACAAACCCCGTGGGACTAGCAAACGGCGATGTCTCCTCGAATGATAGAGATAAACATCCCGCCCAGTACTCAGATCCAAGTGTTGCCTTTGCAATTCCGATTCTAGGGTATTGAAACATGGTCGAACCAAGTAAGAGCCGAACAACATCACGATATTCTCAAACGACTGGACTTTGGTACTAATCCCAAAAGCCGTACGGAACTCGTTCCGAACCTGCTCATCAGGAAAAGCAATATCAATCATCTCCCCAAACTTCTCTTGTGGAATATTCCCAGGGATAGCATCAAGGATCATCAACACCTCGACATTCGTATTCCCAAGGATAATCTCCTTACACCTTGACCCACGTCCATCCCCGTACCTCCACCCCTGAGGCAGAGCAACCCCATCCCCAACAGGCCCCAACGCAGCCCTTGAATAATTCCCAATCCAAGCACCAACCTCAACACCTCTCACCAACACTAAGGTACCCATCCCGGTCACCCAAATCAGATATAGATATCCCACACTTCCTCTACCCGCGCTCATAAACCGCAAACGGCAATGAACCAAGCCCAGAAGTCGAGCGGCGGACCGTCCGATGTCCTCTTCTGGGCAACCCCTACATAAACGTGGGCGGGATGTTCTCGTACCAATGAATGTTCACTGTCCTCTTTGGTATCAGTTTATGTTGGCTACTTCCTGCTTCACCTTTGACGGCGAGTTTCTTGACAGAGCGGGAACGGTACATTGTAATGCACCGGTTGAGCAGTAATAAGACCGAAGAATACGCATATGAAGAAAGATCAGGTTATGGAGGCGTTGTGGGATGGGCGGATTTGGCTGTTGGATTTTGCTATTTTGCTCATAATATGACGAATGCCTTTGCAGACGACTTTTATGGGATTGTTATTAAAATTTTGGATATTCCACTTGTCAGGCTGTATTGCTTAATGTCCCGCCTGCGATTATTATGGCTGTCACGATGGTGATCGTCAGTATTACGCCGTCGACAAGATGGGGAGAAGGAAAGCGCATTCTCTTTATTATCTTCTGCTACATCCTTGGGCTGGTTTCGACGGCAATGCTCTTCGGTCTGTCCTTTACCGGGCACAAAAACTGCCCACCTGGGAGCGATCTTCATCGTTCCAATTGTTTGCTTCCTCTGCTGGTATTATGCACTCGCTTCTGGCGAGTAATGTGGTTGGATACTCAAAGAAAGTGCTTGCGGGCGCGTTTTTCTTCACGTCGAATTGTGTTTCGAATAGTTGTGTCGCCGCAGGTTTTCTTGGCTCGTGAGGCGCTTTATTATCATACGGGCATTATAGTGTGTATGGCTGCGTTTGCGGTGAATATTGCTGTCTTTGCGTCGTTGTATGTTTTGTATTCTCCCGAGAACAAGGAGAGGGATATTGATCCGGCCTGGGTGGAGGGGGAGGAGGATCTTGTGGATGTGAATGCTTCTAACTTGATGGATTGCAGAATAGGATGCTGCTATATAAGCTGTGATTGGCAATATAATTTGCATCCAGTTATGAAAGCGTAGAACTTGTAAATTACCAGGCCAATACGTATCCTTTATATGGAGATTAAGTGTGTGGACAGCTCAGATTACATTGAATATTCCACCCTGGGCTCCACTGGAAAGATAGGCCCAAAAGAGGCAAAGAAAGCGAAACGAATCCAGAGCGAAAAGATTCATAATACGGTATACTGGTAGGCACATAAATCCAGGAGAATTTGCATTTCTATTTCTTCATTAAACTCATTGACGTATACTACTCGGGCATTCACGTGAAGCACGAGTAAAACACGGGGAAGTGGAGGACGCCAGCGTAACAATACTGGAACCCGAGATCTCCCAAGCCGAGGTTGGATTTCCGGCTCCATTCGCCGTTCAATTACCGACCATCTATCTCCCTTTATCACCTCCCCAACACCTCACCTCTTGGAACATTTCTGGTCTTCAAAGGTAACAGTCACCATGGTCGCCGACGCTCTTGTCTATCACCCTGCGCTGGCGCACTACTTGCGCTTCGTCGCAACCACAGGTACGTGACCCCGGATCCGACATCTGTACACCTCGACCCTGCACACGACATCTACACTCCTGCCACCAGCCCTACACACAGCAGTGCCAACTATCCCCTGTTCCCATCGCGACCACCTCAAACTACCCTCACAGTCTAAACCCCTTACCCCAACAAAACCACCCACCCCCCGCCCACACTTGAGCACACGCGAAACCCGAAACCCGAAACCCAGCTAACCAAACCACAGTCGGCCGCGACAAACTCCTCCGAACAATCCAATACTTCTCCCGCTTTTACGCATGGTACTTGTACCGCACAAACCGCCCGCAAGCCGCCATCGAGCCCTTCAACGCAGTGAAGAAGCAATTCGGCACGACGCGCAAGATCCTCCGAATCGGCAAATTCATCGAACACCTCAAGGCAGCCTCCATCGCCCTGGACAACAAGAGCCCTATCGACCCCGTGCTGCGCTACCTGGCTATCGGTCGCCAGCTCGGCTATGCCGGCTACCTGACCCTCGACACGATCACCGTGATTGACGTGATCGGCGTTCGGAAGCTGGCTTCCGCGAAGCGGCTGCAGGAGTCCGCTTACAAGGCTTGGGCTGCTGGTTTGCTTTGCAGTGCTGTTGCTGGTGTTTATACTCTGTACGGTCTGCAGCAGAAGGAGAAGACTGTCGATCGGAAGGAGGGCGAGGGGGTTGTTGAGGCTAAGAAGATTGAGAAGTGAGTTTTTGTTACCCGTTACCCCGGAACGGCAGATTGTCTGGTTGGGATGCTAATACTTTTGTTTTCTAGGGAGCGCTCCGCTGCTCGGATACAGCTCATCTCTGACCTGTGCGATTTGGCTGCCCCTGCTTCTGCTGTTGGCTGGGTTGCTCTCGACGATGGCATCGTCGGTATCACTGGTACCATCAGCAGTTTGATTGGCGTCTGGTCTCAGTGGCGCAAGACCGCATAAATAGGGTCTCGTTGATGGCGATAAAGAAGAGACATGTTGGTCCGGGGGATGAGAGAATTAGTCGAGGTTTTATTATTGCGCACTCCACCTATATCCTGAATGCGTTTCTAGTCTCTGAACGGAGTTGTACCTTCCTGTTTCTAGTATATGTCTACATGCAGTTCTTATGTTCCCGTATATAACTTGGCTTTCTTGAATAGATTGGATATCATTCTCGTCATCATACGGCTATGTATCCCGAACTCCCGTGGCAAATCTGACAACCCCCAGCCATGAACTCCTGCTCAACTTCACCGAGCCCCCATTTCGTGTCACATGGTCTCATGGACGGCTTAAACGGGGCAGGTCTAGCATAGTCAGTATAGCCACAACACAACAGACACAGGAGTCAACTTACAGCACCGCAAGAGCCGCAGCTCTTGCCAGCGCCGTCAGTGGCGGCACCGCACTTGGGGCAGGAAGCGTGACCCATGATGTAGATGTAGATGTAAAGTGGATGTGGATGTAGATCGGGTCTGGCAGATGTTAACCATCAAGGTCCTCATATGTGGAGAAGCATAGCTTATAACATACCTGTTAGATGTGCAAGAGGTTCTGATCTGTAAGAGGTGATGACAAGTTAACAAATCGAAGTGAGTGAAAATTGCTGACTTTTGTACCCCGCCTGACTGGTGCCCCGCTCTGCACAAGCTTCATATTTGCCAAGATACAATATTGACTATATATTCTCCTTCAGTACAAGTTAATGTTCATATCGAACAAACACTATGGACTATTAGCAATATATCATGAACACATATCACTCCCCAATCCTCCATATAACCCCCACCTCCCCAACCGCATCCCCATACAACCTCTCACGAACAGAATCCCCCTCCAAAATGAAGGCCTCTTATCAAACCCATGAACAACGCCCTTAACCATAAACCCATCTACACTCTCCATCCTGTCATCCCTCACAAACCCACGCAACGTCTCCCGAAACGTCTCCCCTTCGACAAGCAACTGAGCCCACCCGCAAGTATAAATAGTTACATTCGGAGGATAAATAGCCTGTATCAGCTCATCCTCCAATCGAAACGGCACACCCAATACAGGATTCCCACCAGCACTCGCACCACTAAGCACGAAATGCGGCGTATCAAGATTATATAGCTCCATATGTTTCTACAGCTAGAGTATAGCGTCGACACTATCTTCTAGTGCAGTTGGGAAGGGGTGTTCCGGTGCCAGGCGGGACTTCATACTTATTGATACGGCTTTTGGGTGGACTTTTAGGATTGTTATGCACCAACGTGCGTCGTCTGTGGCGTGCCCTATTGGGAAGCCGCCGTGGAGGTTCAAGAGGATGGGGCGTGGGGGTTAAGAGTTGGTTTTGGGGTTGGGTTTTGGTGAGTGGGTTTGATGGGGTGGTGTAGATGTAGAAATTGATTTGCAGGGTGTTTTGCTTATTGTTTGTTGGGATTGTTATCTTTTTGGTAGGTTTTTTAGGGAGAAGGGGGGTGGGGGAGGATTCGGTAGCGGTCTGTTTTTCTGGGGGGGTTGATTGGGATGGTGGTCTGTTTGGTGGCATATTTGATGTTTACCAATCAGGTATTGGGGTATAATGGGCAGTTCTTGTTCTGTTTTGTCTTGTTGGGGGTTTGATATTGTAGATTATGTAACTTGGTGGTCCTGTCAGCTCGTAGGTATTGTCTCTATTTTCTATTCAGTATCTTCCTTATGGGAACTGTTGGTGAATACAGCGATAAAAGGTCTAGATGAAAAGCACCACTATGCGCAGGTTTCAGGAGAGCTGATGACGCAGAGCCGGATCTCCCGGATTGAACAAGGATCTATGGAACAAAGCTCCAACCCTTGACTATATGCTGCATATTATCACGGTAATGGGGCATCTAAGTTGATTAATTTTGATGACCAAAATAACCAAAGAAGCATTTGTTATGGCAACATCTCGTTCTAGATGCATCTCTCTATATTGAGAGGGAAATTGGAGCATAGATTGTCTCAACAGTCAGGGGTACGGTTAAAGCTATATCATAAGTTAGGTGACAGAATAAGTAGTATAGTGGAGATAGGGTGCCCCTTTTAAGTATAGTCTGAGCGCGAACTGAAGGCTTGATATATTGCTTGAATATTTTCTCCGAGCCTCCCGTAATCAACAGAAATTAACCGAGGTACTGCTACACCTGCTTACCTCTACCCAGTATGGCTTCCTTACCTGCCCTCCCTTCCAAGATAGACCACCACTTCCGAGCCACTCAAGTTCAAGATCGCAAATTGCGCAGCAAGTGTTAATTTGTTGCTACTCACATACTGATTAATCCGAAGATCTCTCGGGGTATTGAGCTTTAGTCCGGCATATCCAGCGCCGTCGGCTCATCTAACTCCGTTTAAGCCCGTTAGCATAGTGGACCCCACTTAGAGCCCTAAATGTCTTTCTTCGAAACAGCCACCTAAAGCAACAAATGAGCTTAGCTTATTCCACCACCCCTTTAGTCCAATATGCTGCTTGCCACCCTTCCCTTCTCAGGTGCTTTCCGGACCAGCTTGAAACAGATACAGGACCCTGAGACCTTAAGAAAACGCAAAGCCGAGCATCACATTGGAGGAAATAATGGCTGCAGGTCCCCAATGGGGCCGGGTAATCTCCAAATTGGGTTGTTTCCGTTCTAGTTCTCTTCTAGCTCTGATCCAGTTCGTTTCATAGTAGCAGCTGTAGAAGGATAAAATAGCCCTTGTCTGCTCTTTGCTTGAAGAATCAACCAAAACATTACACTCTTTTAAAACCTCACATTCTTTTCTATTTTCTTTATCATGGCTTCCAGTCTCAAGCTTTGCCTCATCGGCCTGCTCGGTGCTGCTGCCGTGAATGCAGCTCCCGCTATCGTCCCAGAGGCCGATGTTCTTGGTTCCTCTCTCCTTGTGCCTCGTGATGCTTGCACCTTCTCCGGCTCCAGCGGTGCTGCGAATGCCATCAAGAACAAGAAGTCTTGCTCTACCATTACCTTGAACAACGTCGCTGTCCCAGCTGGAACTACTCTGGACTTGACAGGACTTAACAAGGGCACCACCGTAAGACTATCATCCAGCTCCAACCTCAATATTACCTACTAACCACTGTCTAGGTCATCTTCCAAGGAACCACCACTTTTGGCTACAAGGAATGGGAAGGTCCGCTGGTCTCAGTTTCCGGAACATCCATCACCGTCAAGGGAGCCTCCGGAGCCACACTCAACGGAGATGGTGCCCGCTGGTGGGACGGAAAGGGAACTAACGGCGGCAAGAAGAAGCCTAAGTTCTTCTACGCTCACAAACTGACCAACTCCATCATTGAGAACATCTACATCAAGAACTCCCCTGTGCAGGTGTTCAGCGTCAACGGTGCTACGGAGCTCACTCTCAGCGGAATCACTGTTGACAACGCCGATGGCGATAGCAAGGGTGGCCACAACACCGACGCTTTCGACGTTGGTTCCAGCAACGGTGTCTACATCACCAACCCTACTGTCCACAATCAGGATGACTGCCTGGCTGTCAACTCCGGCACTGTACGTTTAGCTTAGCGGCTTATTTTGATTGACCATCTGCTAATTCCTTCTAGAACGTCCACTTCACCGGCGCTAAGTGTACTGGTGGCCACGGTATCTCCATCGGCTCTGTCGGTGGACGCTCCGACAACGCCGTCAACGGTGTCACCATCCAGAACTGCAACATCAAGGACTCCCAGAATGGTATGTCAAGATATCACCAAAACCATAACAATTCCTGTATCTAACATTCGAGCATTACAGGTGTCCGCATCAAGACCGTCTACGGTGCCACCGGCTCCGTCAAGGGCGTCACCTACAAGGACATCACCCTCTCCGGAATTACCAAGTACGGCGTTGTCATCGAGCAGGACTACCAAAATGGCAGCCCTACCGGTACCCCCACCAACGGTGTCCCTATCACTGGTCTGACCATGAGCAACATCAAAGGAACTGTCTCCAGCAGCGCTACTGATGTCTACATCCTTTGTGCTTCCGGTGCTTGCTCCAACTGGTCTTGGAGTGGCGTCAGTGTTAAGGGGGTAAGACCAGCAGCAAGTGCAAGAACATCCCTAGCGGTGCTAGCTGCTAAATGCCGCTGGCGTCTTGAGTTGGAACCCTATTTTTGATTCTGATTGATTTGTGTTGGTGGGCTTTTTTGTCTACCTTTTACCCCAGTTGTGTATATTATATTACCTCCAGGGGAGGTTGATTTGATTTCTTGTACCTTAAACCAAATCGCGAATATGCCATTTGACCAAAAGTCTTCCCGCTCTATAGCAGCTTTGAACCGAGATAGAATGTGTAAGTAGAATTCAACGCTATATTGCATGATCTTAAGGCAAATTATCCCAAATTATCTCTCCTTTCGTAGGGTAGTCTATCATCCAATCATCCAAACCAACGAGATTGAGATCTCAAACAACAAAACCAAGAGATCAAGATGAATCTCAAGAAGTCTAAAAGCCATTGCAACGGCTCCAATCAGCTCTCAATGGCTGGCGAATCCTCCCATCCCGCACAGCGTCATATATGATCGAAATCCACGACCCAACTGTTTTCCGCGGACGCGGAGGAACATCCGCCGCGGCTTCGGTATCGCAAGTTGGATGTTCTCCAATGCCGCAGTGAAAAGGGACGTCCAAATCCCGTCGGACAAAGGAGTAGAGAGATTTAGCAGCAGGTCCTAGGGATGACTTCGCGTTGAGCTCGCCGGAGAATGACTGCGCTCGCAGTGCCACAAATGATAACCGTGCCCTCTGGCAAATCTCCTGCTGCAAGGACTCAATTGCCGCGAAAGGATCCTCTGCACTTAGTTCTTTGGCGTTTGCTAGCAGGACCGGTGCCATGGCCGTGGACAGAGCCTGGATCCTGACAGAGAGGTCATCGCGTGCAGATTGCCTCCACGAGCTGCGGAGAGTCTGGATGAGCTCAGATCGTATCGCCGCGCTCTTCCCTAGTGGGATATGCACGGATTCAAATGCCAATTGCAGCACATTGCTTAGGCCATTCAGGAAAGTTTCGTGAAGAATGCGCAGATCCACCGCCTGGCATGTCACATACAAAAGAGCCGCACTCATCATAGAGACCAGCTCAACCGCCTGCAGTGTATAGCGCGCTGAGATCAGAGCAAGCGAATTGATGGGCTGATTGTTCATCTCAGCTGACTGTACATGCGATGTCACCGAGTTGGCGAGGAAGCCAAGCTCAGACATATACGCGGCCATGTTGATGTCGACACCCTTCATCGTGAATGACAGACTGGGATCATCTGCCGCGAGATTTGCTGGGAGACCTTTGTTCAGGTCCGGGTTGATGAGCTCGGAAGAGTAGCTGAATAGGAGTTTGCCAATCATCTGGAGGCCTCCGCGCGTCTTTTCCATTGCCATAGAGACGGATGCAGCTTGGAAGTTGGAGCAGAAATATACCTCTCCTGACTCGGAGTCTATGACTGGATTATCCTGCGTGGAATTGAGTTCCGTGGTAAGCTGCTGGATGGCTAGCCTTAGGTCCTCGACTACAGGTCCAAGCCACTGTGACGCACCACGGAGGGCATATCGGTCTTGGATCAGTCCCTGGCGTAGGCGATCTTTCGTTCCGGACGTTTCAATCAGCTTCGAGTTGATAATTCCGTTGCGGATATTGGCCGCGACCTCAATTTGACCAGGATGTGGTCTAATCTTGGCTGGGAACTCATGGTAATTCTCTGCATTACCCATCATAGCCTCACACGTCAACGCAGTCAGACCTTGCGCTAGTAATACCAACTGACTGGCTTCATGTGCCGCCAAAGATGCAACAGCCGCAGAAGCAGCTGAGCCATTGATCAAACTCAGACCTTCTTTCGGTCTCAAAATGAAAGGCGGGATCCCAATAATCTCCAGTGCTTTGTTTGCCGACACAATTTCAGGCTCCGGCTGGCGATCCCAGTAAACATTAATATCGGGGTTTCCTTCCAAGATGCCAACCAGATACGAGAGAGGCATCAGGTCCCCAGAGGCAGAAATGGACCCGCGCAATGGGATTATCGGGGTGAGCCGTGCCCGAAGCAATCTCAACACTGTATTGATGATCTCAAGCCGGACACCGGAGTGACCGCGTAGCAGATGGTTGCATCGCACGAGCATCGTCGCTCTCACCCATGTTACTGGCATCGCGTGTGAGGAAAGGTTGTAGTCACCTACGCGCGGAACAAAGTCGCTTCCTGTGAGAATTCCTGACTGGGTCAGTTGGAGGAGCGACTGCTGTAGTCGGATAACATCCGATGTACGGGTATCTGCGCTGCCTCCAAAACCAGTGTTGACACCTAAAAGAAGATATTAACGCGGTTATTTTTTCAGGGAGAGTTTCCATCTGAAAGGTTCTCGTACCATATATGCAGTACCCTTTGTTAAGGTAGTCGTTGAATGTTTCGATTCCCGCCTCGACTCTCTTGGAAACCTTAGTGTCACTGGATATTTGTGCGGCGCAACCCTCACTAAAATACGGTGTTTCCTGTTAGTCAGTGTAATGCAATTATTTCTGTGTAGGAAAGTAAATAGGGGTACAACCGAGCAACAGCGACCACACTGGCAATGTCCAAAGTTTCCCCATCAACATCGACGGCTCCTTGTTTGATCAAAGACTCTATTTTAGCCCACGAATGCAGAGTCTCATCCTTATGAGGAACTGGATGTGACGAAACAGAGAGAGGGGCGGTATAGGAACCCCCGGAGGTTACGAGGCTTTCAATCATGGTAGTGCGATGTTTCAAATATCCAAGATGTCCAAGATGTCCAAGATGATATGACAGAGTTTGATCGAGAATGAAGAAAATGTGAATTGTGTGGGCTCTCTTCCCTCTTTCTAATATTCCGAGGTAATCTATAAAGCAGATCTGACCTATCTGCCTTATCTGTTCAAACTTACGATCGGATCAATAATTGCAACGCCACCCGAGATAATACACTCAAATTGAGGGCTCTAGTTATGGTCAATGCGTTTATTGGCTCCCAATTGTCAAAAGGACCAACTAGTGATTTACAAAAATAGTTGTGATCGCAACATCATGAAATTGGAATCGAGATCTAATATAATCCGGGATCTTGCATAATCGCAGAAAAAAAAAAAATCGGAAAAGGAGAAAAGGACAAGTCCAAAAAGCCGAAGATTACTTTTCACGTGGACACTTGGAGTCCAGTATTTGTTGGCCAGCCACTGTTCAAACTAGTAATATGCTGCATGATTGATACCTTGCTGCATATGCAATGATTCCACCATCGTGCAGCTTATCGTGGTTAGCGCATGATGCAAGAATACATATGGGTGTTTCATCCCTTCAAAGCAGTACATAGCGAATCAGATGAGTTCCTCTCCCGAGCATACATTATAGAGCAAATGCATGCTCGTTGTTAAACACCTTGTTGCTCCGATTCCCGGATTCGAAATCTGCAATATATGCAAGATAAGCACCTGTTCAACTAAGTTCAACTACCAATGAAGACGACCTTGAAGTGAAGACATGGCTTATAGATGCGCGCAGTGTCTTCAGCATGATCTTTCTCGGGGAGCATATTATTGATCTGCAAGGTTGTCGCATTGAGGATTTGAACTTGATCCTTCCAGTCCGAAACCCTCGATTTTCCATCCTAGTTTCAATCCAAGGTTTTCGGTTTCGCCTGTTCCCGAGAGCAGACATTTGCCAAATGTGGTGTGTGTGGTTTATTATGAAGTAAGACATGCCGCCCTTGCGGCAGGCTATTGTTTTGACCAGATGGCTGCAATAGACTACCGTAGACCCTATCTAGGACTGTTAGTCGCAGTTACAGTTTGATCACTTCCCACCAACCCTGGTCGGAAATAAGAATTGAGCCTTGACGGTAACCGTAATGCTCATGCTATACGCCCAGCACTTATACTGGTAGAATTTTCGTGGCCAAAACTCGCTAACTTGTCTGGTTGTAAAATGCATCGAGAAGAATGTGGTCACAATGGCTACCGAGTTTCCTTCTCTGACATTGACATCCATTTCCACGATAGCAAATATTTGAATAATCTAATTAGCTACTTGATGATCACATTTAATTCGTATTGAAGAAATTTCAATACGCTATCATTGTATTTCGTTTGTCTGCCTCGCTCCCTGACGGATTCGTAGGACTGCTTAGTTTACCACGAGGGAGAGTACTTACGGAACCAAGATTCGACTGTCATCAACTCCTGTTCCTCCTTGGGTAGGCCTAGTGTCAGGGCAGTCTTTTGCTTGAGTTCCAAGGAAGTCTGCTTCTCGGAGGGCTTAGGTCCAAAATACAGTCCTCCACTTTCCTGCGTCATTCCAAACAGATTCTTGGCTTCCTCCAGGCTGGGAACTCCATGAGTATCAAATTCTTGCCAAGATCCAAGTGGCTGGAAGCGGGACTTGCGTCCAGTCACTTTTTCAAAAGATAATACAAGATCGTCAAAGCTGCAAATGTCGCTGCAGCCATAAACAACCTCGCCATTCCATCGCCAAGGGTCAAGGAACATGCCGTGCACAATGTCCCCCAGGTCATCCGATACACTCATAAAGGGCACGTCTTCTTTGCCACCCCATTTGGGTGCGACAAAGCTCAAGTATCCTTCGGAATCGGGCAGGTGAGGAAATCCGCCAAAGACGGCTGCAATCTCCTTGGAAGCAAACATCTCTAGAAACCATGCGACAGAGATAAAACTGATGGTTTCAAAGCCGCTTATGCTTCGGGCATACTGCTCAATCTCATACTTTGCTATCGAAACCGTCTTAGTAAAACCAGGCATTGATCAATGGGGTGGCTTACACTGGGCGGACTTCTCTATAGCCTTCCCGCCAGAGACCTCAAAGCTGTTTGGTGCAGTGCTGAAGAGGAAATGACGCACTCCAGCCTCTGCTGCTGCTTCAACAATGATCTTACCCAAGTCGATCTCGGCCAGGTAATTTTCCTTGACCGACTGTACATCTTTTAGCCAGCTGTACCACGAGACTCTTACACGTGAGACGAGGTTTCTTACCTTGTCGTCCGAGTTGATATTGACAAAAGCGCCCCACGAGCCTGCAAATGCAGAAACCATAGACTCTAAATCAAAGCCATCTGCCTGGTGAATCTCGGCACCCTGGAGTGCCAGCTTCTGACTGGCATCAGAGTTGGGGTTTCGAGTGAGTGCCCGAACCTTGAAACCGGGATTTTTCAGCAATGAGCGAGCGACAGAACCACCTTGGTTGCCAGTCGCACCAAATACTGTTATCAAAGGAGTGGTAGAGGTCATACTGGGGACGCAATAAGAGTTTTCCAACTAAACAAAAGCAAAACCGGAAAGTAGTGCTTAGGATTGTGAGGATACAGTCCGATTGAGACACGACGAGCAATAGAGACAATGGCGAAATCAAAAATTGAGAGGGACGGTGTAATGAGTCTTTAACCTGTGATCTTCTGACTTACTTTCGTGCTCGGCTGTTTTGGTTTAAGACTTGCATTATTCCTCGCATGTAATTCCTGCATGGTTTGCTTTCTCCGTCGATGCTTGCATACGAGATTGAAAATAAATACTAATATGCACATGCAAAGCGGAATAAATTCTCGTGCCCAAAGTAATTCTTTTTTTTTTTTTTTTTTTTTTGGAAAGCCACAATAGGAAACCAGAAAATCGGAAGATCGGACGAAGTCTATATCGGATACGATCAAATATTGCTTATTTGCCAAGCCTTTGGCCTAATTAGGCACTGCCAAAACTTACATCAACATCAACAGGCAGCATCAACAGGCAGCATCAACAGGCAACATCAACAGGCCATGTCAACCTTGTGAGTCATCTAAAAGGCTTCGGGGAGATTTCGGAATGAGCAAAAAATTGTCTGATCCTGGAGGCAGTCTGCGGCCCATCACACAATGTAGATATACGTACGTCAGTCTGCTGAAAGGACACTGAGCTCCAAGTCACAGTTTGATACATTTATGAAGTCATTTTGTTTGCGAATTGGTAGTGTGATGGCTAAATTGGCAACCCAGCCTGTATACGTGTATGAGAACCTCACATGGGGAGGACTTGCCCAGTCCTGTAGCGGGGATAGCCCTTCGGGAAAGCCCTAGCTTCCTGATGAGGGTGCTTACAATTAGTTCTAAGATATTATACGGCTGTCAGGCTAATCGTGGCCTAAGAGTTGTATTCATACCGTAGATATTGGTAAAACAGATACTAAGCCTTCCCTAATTAAGATTAAGCAGGCGGAGGGAGCCAAATAGCAAAAAGAGGTGGTCCTTTTAAAATAGCCCTCCTCTTTCTGCTATTTGAGGGCGACTGCGGCTCTTGCTGACTATTTTACCCTGACAAAGAACTCAACTTGTCTCCTAATTTCAAAAAGAAAACTCATATAATGGGATCAATCAGGCTCTCATCCACTGAGTACGAAATTGCAGTTTCCTCTAATGAGGGTTTGGGTGGATTGTTCTATCAGCGGATGCTTGAAGATCCCTCGGCTAAGGCAATCATCGACGAGGAGGGCAGAAGTCTCACTTATCGAGCCCTTCACTGGGCAGCTCTCGAGTTGGCACACAGTCTCCACAAGAGAGACTTCAAAGTGGAAGAACCTGTCGGCATTCTTGTCTACCATGGAATTTGGGATGCCATCACACAGGTAGCCATCATTTACGCGGGAGGAACCTGTATACCGCTTGATCCCCTCTTGTCCGATCAACAAGTCATCGGTCGTCTACGGCGGCTGGGCGCTCGTTATATTCTTGTGGATGAACCCAACAGTACCCGGGCTCTTCCATTTGATCTACTTTCAATTGGTGAATTCCCCCGAGCGACGAAGAGCTAGCCGATAAGAAGACAAGCTATCTTCCCAAGACCACAGATTTGACACATTGCACACATTATATTCACACATCTGGCACAACTAGTGAACCAAAGGTTGTGCAGATTCGTGGCGTCTCTATCCTTCATGTGTCATACCACGCTCCCTTACCAGTCTGTCCAAAAGACAGACGTCGTAGGCCATGCCCATAGCACGAGTTTCGATATTACTCTCTTCGAGATTTGGGGCGCGCTGATCCATGGCGCGACGATCGGCGTACTCACTAAATCAACACTGCTGGATATACATGGTCTGGGAGTGGCCCTTCGTCGGCTCGGCATTACCATCATGGTAATCACAGCACCATTGGTCAATTTGGCTGCCACTACATGTCCAGCCACCTTCGCACCCCTTCGAGTAATTTTGATGGGCGGAGAAGCGGTTAACTTGGTGGCCATGAAGACTATTCTGGTGGCCGGACCCCCGGAGCATCTCATTAACGCATATGGGCCCACGGAATGTTGTGTCTATTGCCTCACTCATGAGATCACGATGGCAGATATAGATGCAGGGTGTGTTAGCATTGGGAAGCCAATTGGGCACAATGTTTGCTGTGTTTGTGACGATGCGGGTCGAATACTTCCTGACGGCGAAGAAGGCGAGTTGCTGGTAGGAGGGCCAGGTGTATCAATTGGTTATTTCGACCAGCCTGACAAAAATTCCGAATCATTCATTTTTGTTGCTGGTATGGACGATCCCGTGACTGGCGAGCCCTACCGTATGTACCGAACCGGTGATATGGTACGACGCCGCAGTGACGGCCAGCATGAGTTCCTCGGACGTCGAGACCACCAGGTTAAAGTCCGTGGGTTCCGAATTGAGCTCAGTGCTGTCGATGCAGCTGTCATGAATACCGGCCAGTTCTCGGAAGTAGTTGCCATGCGGATGGATGCAAAGGAGAAAGGGGCCGGATCTACCCTGGTGGCCTTTGTCGTTCTTCGTCCAACCGCTGGGTCTCGCGCCGTGTCAGACGCGATAGGCAAGCTACGTGCGACGCTACCGGACTATATGATACCACACATTGAAGTGCTCACCAAATTACCCCTCAACTCTCATGCCAAACTAGACCGCCGGATGCTCAGTGAAATGTATCACCAACGGCGGGCCAAGTGTTTAAACGCTGGTTTTGAGACGGGTTTGAGCACAAGAGCGCACGTTTCTGGGATATGGGCAGCCATCTTGGCTACCCCAGTTCCCCGTTACTCGGATGAAGATGACTTCTTCGCACACGGAGCCACTTCACTTCAAGCGTCGCTGTTGATCAGTCAGATTCGCCAGCAACTCAAAACCGAGATTTCTCTGCTCACACTCTATGAGAATTCAACACTTGGGAAACTGGTCTCTATCATTGAGTCTAGTCAAGGAGCCTCGACTCCGACTGTTCGTAACGAGCGTGAGATGTGGGTGGCCGACACCTTGCTTGCAGATGACTTGCCGCTTCCGTGTGGGCCGGTCGTTGATTGGCGCCTGGATACCGAAGGCCGAGTATTCTTAACGGGTGGCACTGGTTTTTTGGGAGCATACATGTTGGCCGATCTGCTGAGTATGCCGAGCGTGTATCAGGTTGGCTGTCTGGTGCGCGCCGCTGATGCCGTCGCGGGTCTGGAGCGCTTGAAAGCAGCATTGGTCAAATACGGTATATGGCGAGATGCCTTCCTTTTGAAGCTTTTGCCTCTTTGTGGTAAGCTGGAAGATTATTGGCTTGGCTTGGGAAAGCGAAGATTCGGGCAGATTGCCCAATGGGCCAGTGTTGTCTTCCATCTTGGGGCAAAGGTCAATTACACCCAGCCCTACTCGTTCCATCGTTCGGCCAACATTATTGGCACAGTGAATGTAGTCAGACTAGCCGTTACTGGCCGACTCAAGGGCTTACATTACTGCTCCAGTATCTCTTGCTTCGGACCGACAGGGTTTGTGACCGGCGCCAAACTCATTTATGAAGACGCGCCTCTCCTTCCACATCTAGATGCGCTCAAGTTCGATCATGGATACGCTCAAAGTCAATGGGCCGCCGATGAACTACTTCGGCGACTCACTGGGCGCGGATTTCCCATTACCATATATCGACCGGGCTTCATCACAGGTGACCATAATACTGGCGCATGCAACCCAGATGACTTTTTCAGCCGGTTGATTCGTGCCAGCTTGGATTTGGGCTGCTACCCTGATCTACCAAATCAACGCAAAGAATTCATTCCCGTCGGCTATGTAGTAGGCTCCATGCTACATATTTCGTCCAATATTTTCGCATCTGGTCATGCTTTCCATTTGGTACCCCGCGGAGATGCCTCCCTCGGCATTGGAGATGCTATGGAGCTACTGGGGAAAGTGAAGGGTGTCTCCATACACTGCGTCAGTTATGAGGAATGGATCGAGAAGCTCTCGGCCAGTACGAATCTCAGTCTCCAACCTTTGCTCCCAATGCTGGCGGAAAAAGTATATCAGGGCCTTAGTCGCTGGGAGTTGTATGCGAATATGCCCATATATGACGATACCAATACGATGCGGGCTCTTAAAACGTATCCTGGGGGCTTGGAATGTCCGCAATTTGACTTTGAACTGATGAAGAGATATGTGGAATACCTGGTGGGCCCTTGAAAGGTCCGGCCTCGTTCACTTTCGGGTTTTGAACTTTTTGTTATTGAACTTCCTCATGTGGGGGTTGTAACGGCCCATCGGGGCTCAGAATTCCTCCTTATTTGCTCCTCTCATAGCACTTTAAACACCAATATGCAAGATGCCAACTGCACAATGAAATCCGGCTTTTCTTCTTCCGTAAGTTTCATACCACTCCGCTAGTCTCCTTATTCCTATATTCGCGCTTTGAAGTCCCAAATATCACCACTTTTAAACTGGATTTCTAACCGCGAAGTTAAATCATACCATGCATTGCCTAAAGTTTACTGTCTAGATTCGTGAAGCATAGAGTCGAAATTTTGCATTTAAACTAGGAAGAGGTGGTGTAGAGACACGACTAAGAGGATATGTAAGTATCTTTCAAATTATTGACGATAAAGTTCAACATCCAGCTACTTTTCGGGTCGAATTCAAATTGTGGGTATGTATTTGGGCAGTCATGGCTATCCTCGCGGTGATCCACCATTTCCGATCTCTTCAAGGTCGGTCCATGCGTAGGAGTCATGGATGCCTTGTAATAACAAGTATAATGATGCCTCTCTGCCATCGGGGCAGCAAGACCACGAGACGAGACGTCAATTGTGCTCGGCTTGACGCACTTCTTCAGCGCTAGTGAATCTGCAATGCACTTTGTTTCCGAGCTTTCCTGAGCAGTCAATTGGATCTTGTTTTCTTCCTTTTCCAAAAGAATTGCGCATCAGGCGGCAGATTTCAAGCTTCGACATATTCGAAGGTACAGTAATTCCCCAAGCATGCAGTCCGATTAGTGAGTGATGGACTTGAAAAGTGCGCTTTTTGCGCAAAAGGTAGATATAAAGCCCCGGCATGAAGCCGCCACATCCCTTTCTTTTGCCTAACCAAAGTTTGAAGTTCTCGATTTCGGTTGTCTAGAGGTGATCTCATCCATAACAGTTTGATATTTTTATCGTCTTTCAGACAATACTGTCGTTCTTTGAATCATTTCATTCTGAAAATGGATTCCCCAAATCAGGCTCAATTGTCGAACGCCGCTCATGTTCATGGCAGTGGATCACCAGTTCCTGCATTTCCCCCATTGCCTCGCGGTTCCTACAAGGATGACCCAGGTCGACGGGAACAGTCGAATATGGATCTTCTGGATGACCCCAAGGACAATTCTACGGAATTGGATCTTCCATACCTCCTGCCAGTCGCCTGGGCTGCTGTTATAGCTCGTTATACCGATAGCGATGAGGCTCTTTTTGGCATTGCTTACCGTGGCCGAAAGACCGACATGGGCGATCAGGCCATCTCTCCATTTCGCCTGGGAGTATCTCCAACCGATACGCTGAGTGACGCCATGGCGTCTGCAGCGCGATACGATGGCGAGATGCGGCAGTACGAACATATTGGGCTACATTCATTCAGCAATTTGAATCCAACCAACATGGTACTTTGCAAGTTCCGCACTTTACTAGTCATTGGCGACAAGCTCCACGGCAAACGTGCAGAGGTCATTCAGGAGCAGTATCCGCTCAGCATGTATGCGTGCGGCACGAGCATCCAGGCGTGTTTCGATCCTCTGCTTCTCTCTCCGGATGTGCTTCGCACGCTGCTCTTCCAACTGGCTGATTTTCTTCAAGCTGCGATTGAAAGGCCCAATTCGACTATTTTGGATGTTCAAACAGTTGGCAAAAAGGGACTAGCTCAGATGCAGAACTGGCATACCTCTCACGACATGTACATCCATGAGCTCATCAACATGAAATTACTGAACCATCCATCAGCACCCGCGGTATCTGCCTGGGATGGAGAGCTGACCTATGGCCAGCTCGATCGATGGGCATCCAGTTTATCCCGTCATATTATTGGTGAAGCTGGAGTGCAGCCGGGACAATTCGTTGGTCTCTTGGTATCAAAATCAGCGACGACTGTGGTCGCTTTACTGAGTGTGATCAAATCCGGAGCCGCGGCTGTCTTTTTACCTCCATCACTGCCCACTGCGAGGCTCCAAACCATGTGCAGAATAGCCAGGGTACAGCTCATCCTCACGACGACTAATCACCGGGGCAAAGCTGAAGAGCTAGGAGTCCCTGTGATCCAAATCAACGCACAACCCCCTCCAACAGAGGAGATCAAGTTATATGAGAGCACTGTTCGGTCCGGTCCTTTATACGCAGTGTTTACATCGGGATCAATGGGTGAACCAAAGGGCGTCCAAGTAGATCGAGGATCATTTGGGCCTGGTATTGCGAACTTTTGCGAACAAACAAGACTTGGTCCAGATTCGCGGATCTTCCAGTCCGTCTCATACGCATTTGTGGTCAGCATTTTTGAACAACTGGCTGCGCTCGCTATTGGTGCTTGCATTTGCATCCCATCCGAAGAACAGCTCCAGAATGATATGGAGGCCACCCTAGCTCAATGCAAAGCTGACTGGGCCGCCATGACCCCGACTGTGGCGCGGACCCTCTCACCAAGTCTTCTTCCTGCGTTGAAAACTGTGCTCCTTGTTGGCGAGCCAGCTACTGCTGCTGATATCAAGCAATGGAAACAATCGACAACACCATACAGCCTGTATGGTCAAACCGAGCTGGCTAGCACTGTGTTTGTGCGCCGACACGAGTCTATCCGTGATGCGGGTAACATCGGCTTTCCCGTGACCGGTAAATGTTGGGTAGTCGACCAGACTAACTATCATCGGCTATGTGCCGCCGGGGTTGAAGGTGAATTACTTATTGAGAGCACCGCAATGGGGACGTGCTATCTGGGAAACCATGAGCAGACCGCCGCAACCTTCGTGGAGCAGCGACCTGCTTGGAATCCTGATGTGGATGGCTTCCAGACTAGATGGGCTTTGACGGGGGACCTAGTAAGATACAACTGTCTGGATGGGTCAATCCAGATTGCTGGTCGCAAGGGAACGCGAACGAAGATCAGAGGGCAACGGGTCGAACTTGGCGAGATCGAAAGTTCTCTTCGAGTTTCTCTTCCATCTGCTCAGCAGATGATCGCCGAGGTTGTAACACCCGCGGTTGGAGATGGGAGTGGACGATCAGATGCAGTATTGATTGCATTTGCCTGCGCAGACTCACAGACGCCGGCTTCAGATCTTGAACTTGAAATTCTGTCAACAGCTGAGTCCCGCGCCAACAACCGCAAAGCTCTCACTGCCCTCCGTCAACTGTTACCAGAATATATGATTCCCAGTGTCATTCTGGACTTGCGATATGTGCCACGCACAGTATCTGGGAAGATCAACCGAAAGGCGCTTCGTGACTGGGCTGCAGAGCAATCTGTATATGATATTCTCAAGACGGAGGAGAGCGCGCCATTCCGAGCTGCCGAGACACAGAAGGAACGTGTTCTGCAGTCGCTCTGTGAGAAGATACTGCATATCCCCTCTTCCAAGATAGGGCTTGATGACAACTTCTTTGATATCGGAGGAAATTCTCTCACGGCGCGACAGGTGGTCTCGGCATCCCGATCGCGTGGATTCCACATTACCGTATCTGACGTATTTAACCAGCCAACTCTGGCAGCAATGGCGAGACGTTACGTCAAGCGTGATGGTCCTGTATCGTCGGCTGCAAATGTTGATGAGGATATATTTGCAAGTTTCAAGGGAGAATTACTTCAGGAATTGCCGTCATGGCTTGATGCCGGCAATCTGCAGGATGCGTTTCCCACGCTGGAGATGCAGACACACCTTGTGAAATCTGATGTCTTTGATTATTTCCCTGTGAAAATCAATGGTGCTGTGAGTGCAGAGCAACTTCGACGTTCGTGTCAGATATTGGTAGACGCTCATCCAGCCTTGCGGTCGATCCACATACCCTTCAAGGGCCAGATAGCGCAGGTAGTTCTGCGCAAAGCTACCATTAACTGGGTGGAAGTTACTGCTCCTTCTGATGCAGATCTCATGACATGGACGCGCTCATGGGTGATAGAGGATCGACAACACCCACCACCAATGACCCAACCCACAACCTGTTTCACGCTGATTCACCACGGCTCAGATGAGTCCGCCTTTATCGTTCGTCTTTCGCATGCTCACTACGATGGCGCCTGTTATGGGCCCCTATTTGAGCAGATTGGGGCGATCTATTCCGATCCGGAACTTGCTCCACACGCAGGATCGGATTTCCCCGGCTACCGGCGGGCCTGCGCACGTCTGAGGACATCGCAAGCATTCGAGCACTGGAAGGACATTTTAGCGGACAGCGAGGTGACTCGATTGCCGAGAGTATCGGCTGGTGAGGACGCCGAAGTCATCTACTCCGGGGTATGCGCACCGGCCGCTCCGCCAGCGGGGATCACGATGGCGACAGCAATCAAGGCGGCATGGGCATATGTCTTGGCACAAGAGACTGGAAAAACGGACGTTCTCTTTGGCCAGGTCACAAATTGTCGGGGCATCCTGCCGGACGGAGGGGAGGGGATGGTCGGAATGTGTCTAAACACGACACCTGTGAGGGTTGAAGTCAAACCGACTACCCGGGTTCGTGATGTTCTGGCGATGGTCCAGCAACAGCATACCAAATCGGTTGAATATGAAACGAACGATTGGTTTGATATTGTTGCGCGGAGTACCTCCTGGTCGGCCGATACCGATCTTGACTCCGGCGTACTGCATGAAAACTTTCCCACTTTGCATGAAATGACCCTTGGAAATGCCACGGGGCAAATGATAGAGCCTATATTCAAGGACACTAAGTGGACACGACACCTGCTGATTACTTTCCCGGGACCGCAAGGATTGGTGACCTTCTTCGTAACGAGGAAGGGTGCCCTTGATAATACTATTGCACAGGGGCTGGTGCCCGCGTTCAATGACGCCCTCGTGCGATTCTTGGCTTCTCCTGATGATGTTATTGGTCCTGTCAGTTGATTCTGTCATATTTAGGTCGAGATTCATGGAACGGGAAAGGCAGGCTAGTCGCTATAGAATGACTTGAACAAGTACATTCTTGCAGGCACATAGCGTATCCCTGTAGGTTTCTTTGCCGTGAGCACCTTTTATCTGGATCGTTATTCATATATACAAATGCGAGGTGATTGGTGCAAATGATATACAGTGACTGGCCGTAAGTTTGGACACCCCCTTAGACCCACTTTCATACCGCCTTCCCTTATAGCCGACACTGCCTGGTAAGACACGCTAGCTACGCGTCGCCATTTCTCGCGATTCTAGCTATTTTACACTATTTCATGAAGCCTACCTTTCAAACCCTGCTCTTTTGACTATGGCTCCACGCTCAGAGCTTACACCAGCTTTACGGGAGAGGATCTGTGAGCTTCATTCGGTCGCTCACTGGGGTTATAGACGTATCCATAAGAGATACCCGTGCATTTCACTCTCAACGATCCGGTATACGATCAAAAAAGAGCATGAAAGACGCGACGGCGTCTCGAAGCCGCGTTCTGGCCGACCAAAGAAGCTTAATGAAGCCAATAAAGTACGCTTTTTGGATACAATTTTATGAGAACCGTCGTGTTACACATGAAGATCTTCTTACTGAGGTTTCTTACAAAGTGAAAATGAAATCAACCCGACGGCTTTTGAATACTGAAAACCTCCGGAAATGGCGATGTCGCTGGCGACCTTTTTTGACCGAGGAAAATGCCGTTATACGACCTTTTCTTGTAAGCTGTGTGGGTTGATATAGAAACAATGTATGTGTACCTCGAACTTATAAGCCCCATCACGTGAATGGAATAAGTCATTTGATCCAGGGGGCTTGGGAGTGAACAGTTACGAGGAGCTGGACTTATTGTAATTAAACTCGCTTTATATAAGTCTCTATGGCATCAAACAAAGAGAGCATCTCACTAAGCCCGACGGGAATTCGTTCGATCTGGTTGAAGGATCATAAACGCCAGCCCTGAGGAAATATGAGCCACCCTAAAGAGGTTGACGCTGGCCGAAGTGACATTGACTGTGGTCAGATGATGGGAGCACATGCTAACCAAATTGCTCTTCACGCAGTATATCCAGGTTGCATTCCTTTAACGGAACAGGATTCTCTTCTTTGGATGCTTTTTCGGATCTTCCTTCGAGACGGATTATCGCTCTAAAGACTTTCCATGACGGGGATCGCTTGGGGATTGAATCAGACCATCTTCGAGGAAGTAGATCTCGGAAAAAGCCACACTGCTTTTTTCAATGCTGGAAAGTCGAGACTTCTTTTAGTGAGTGTATCGATCAATTGACGCGTTTTCCAGCGTGTGGCAGTATCCTTATGTGGCCATACGAAACCGAAAGCAAGTGACTTAAATTACGGGCCCCTTAGATACTTTCTGACGCAATTTAGAAGAATCCATCAACGAAATGATGTCTGCAGACGGCAGCTCAGTGAATAATGTCGCATGTGGCTGCCAGGACAATTTTATTGCGACATTTATAGTACTGGAGTGTGGTGAAGCTGAGCAGACAGACAGCATATGAGGCATCACTCTATTTGCATTTCTAGTTTTCAGGTCAATAAATGTGACTGCCTGATACTGTACAGATGAACACATTCGAAGTTTGAACCAGCTCAGAAAGTGTGGGCGAGATTCCATCACAGAAATCCAAGTCGTATGACAGAGTGGACATGTTTAAGGTCAGTGACAGATGGATTTAAATAACTCGGTTTGAACAAGACGAGATCAGAAAAACAGATCAAAAGGACTGGGGCGACCTTCTCAAAATATCATCGTTCCGATCAACATGTAGCTCAATGATGTATTGCCGCCAAGACGATATCCAAGGGATCCGCTGGGTGCTGTGGACCAACGCACGACCTGTTTTTAGGACCTGATAGTGCAGTGGCTTACGTGTCAATAATTCTCCTGAATCAAGTGCCATTGATGTTTGACATACATGTATCCATACCTGTGCACTGATCAAATCATTCCAATTAAGTTCCACCTCTACAATCCGACTATTTATAGCCGGTAGGACGAGTGGGCAGTTCTATACTAAATCAAGTAATGATGATACAGATCGCTCGGGCATTACGCATGATTATATAGCCGATCCGAAGTATAAGAATGCCCTGATCACTCGTCTACAATCACAATTTCTCAACAACAGCAAACTCCTCTGAACCAGCTCCAGTACCTCTATCCTCAAACTCGCGGCACTATGCGTTTCACACTCTTCACTGTCTTTGCCTTTGCCAGCCTTGGCCTCGCTACGGTAGGAAATGTCTCCTTTATTGCCATGACTCAGTCTAATAGTATGACAGATTCCTGCTGGAGGAACCTGCAAGCCTGATGGAAGCATGGGCAACTGTGCCTCTGGCCTGTGTGTGGTAAGTGGCATATACCGATGTTACCGATGTTACCGATATCCGAGACTGCGGAAACTAATGATGTCCCATAGAAAGAGGCCAACGCTGCCACCGGAAAGTGCAAATGATCAACAGTACTGTTTTTGATTAGACCTGATAGTTCCATGGTGGATCTAGGGAAAATCTATTGGGAATCGACAGGAACCACGCGGTCCACTTTCCTTTATGTTAAACCGCTGGCACAGAGAATCACACAATCAATATCGAGCATGCACGTTTAATCCATATTCATGTAAAAAGGCCTTCTTGGTGGTCTGGTAGTAATATGTTTGGGGTGAAGGACACCCTGAATCTCTTCATATGGACTGTCCCCACACTGTTATCCATCATCCCGGAGAGACAGGTGATTGGCAATCTAATTATATTCAATGTTTCTTCCCCCAGCTTGAGTTCATTGATTCAATTGGGGTGATACTTTAGTCTGAAATCGGTAATAATCACATGAAACGGACGCTCGGCGGACCCTTCCTATAGGTAGATGATTATCTTTTCAACCACAAGCCATTTAGTCAATTTATTAGCAGAAATAGAATTGCGTGTTCACAGACGGGACTAGGGACTTGGTTTTGCGGAAGAAGGCACTTCGATGACCTGGTCTCCTACTCTGTTCGGATTAAGGGATGTACGTAGTCATGATACAACTTTGGTCTTCAGGTCAGATTATTGTGGGGATGGGTCAGATGGCAAATGACTACAACATAACAAATAGGGCTCTATGTATGAAAAGACCTGGAAGACCCCAAGAACTTGATTCAGGACCAAACTGCGGGTCTCGACCACCATGGTGGTTCTTCCCCTGATGATCCCACCCGAAGGAGCCGAGAAGTACATAAGGTTCGTTTCACACGCCCATAGTGATATTGAAGAAAAATAGCACTTTATGAACAGCTCCGTGCCTACAAAATACATGGAATGGTATGTGTTTCCAACGGCATCCTTCAGGATTCGAGAACAAATAAGTCAGGTGGATAATGTTGGATTCAATGATTGATCCCTATTCCCCACGCCCCACCTCGAAAGGAATTATCCATGCGACTACTTGCAATTACCAGGTCGCATAGCCTGTATTCAACGCGTCGGCAGTAGAGGTGGCAATCTCCTTGAAGTTGCATATTCTCATTAAATCAGCGTATCGTATCTCTTGTAGCTGGCTGGTCTTACTCCATGCTAGATTCAATGGTGACTAATAGTCTGTACTAGGAAGTTGGTTTTGTTGACATCGGATGAACTTCGCTTTCATATTACAGAGCTTCAGTCAAAGCATTCAAGATACAAATTTATGGTATATCTTCTCGTTCTAATTCGTTGAGAGCTCTATACGCCGTAGGAAGCCCCCAACCTAACGTGTGGGTCTCCACCGCATTGAGTATGTCGGACTCCGAGCATCAAGATAAAAACAGATACAATTTCTGCTTTTTCGTTGTTATCAAAGGCTAAAGAACTAAAGCAAACTCTCCAAGAATCTTCAATACCCAATCCTCGCTATGTCTCCCTCTCTCCCAATCGTGGTCTGCGCCCTAGATGCCGAAATCGGCAAGCCGGTCTCCGAGCTCCTCCTCCCCGACTTTGAAGGTTAGTCCGATATACATCTATTCCACCAATATCCACTATACCCCAGAGCAGCATGATCACATCATTCCCAATATCGTACCATCAATAACTAACACCTATCAGTAATCCACTTCATCCAAAGCCTCACAGCAGCCCAATCTGAAATTCCACACCTCCTCGCTGGCCAGGACCCACAGTCCCCACACGTCAACGATGTTGGAACAAAAGATTATAGCAGACCGGTGCGCGCGATCATATTCGGTCGTGGATTTGATCTGAAGGATGTTGAGACGCTTCGCGAGAAGGTTGCCGGTATCTCGTTAGATCCTGTTGTTTGGATAGCTGGGGACCCCAGTCGTAGCTTGCCTCCTGGCGCTGTGCCGCCGCCTAATTATCCTCAGCTTGTGGCTGGTGTTGCTAGGAAGCTGCTTGGAGGGTGGGCTGAGGCGGGGGCCGATCGGGATGAGGTTGTTTTGTATTAAACTGGAAGTTCATGTTCTTGGGGCTCAGAAGTATGTAGGTGCGGTGAAATTCTCTTTTACCTCTACTTCTAGATTAGGACAAGGTGGTAGCACATCGTCTAATAGGACTAAAAGCGCATGGGAGAATCGAATTTATTGAATTTCAGAAACGTTCAAAGATTGTTACGTCAGAGTCTGGTGTACGTATATCTTTAGTGGCACTGCGGCCTTGTAGATAGAGATCAAAGTGAAGGAGACGGGAGCAAAGATATTCGGAAATATTGTCAGGATAAGAAAAGAAAAAAAAGCAACCTTGGAACATTCGGAATACTCGTAAGCAAAATTTGGACAAACTTGGAAGAAACAGGTTTCCGTGATGGCTTGATACATCACAGCCTCTCAGATGCAGTTATCATATCCTACCCACGATGCTGTGGTACCAACGCATCGGATGCATTATCTACTGCATGAACGGCTTTGCTCCCAGCGATACCTCACATGTTAATCGAAATTACTCTTTTTGGGGCGTTACATGACGGCCTTGGTGATGCATGTCTACCTTGACACGAGGTTATCCGAAAAGCGGCATTTTACCGTTATTCCGCAGCCCGGGAAGGAGCAATAGTTCACGCCACTTTATACCCCGCAGAAGCTAGGGCCGCTTGCAAGACCACGCGACAATTTCCCCAGAAAAAGGCCAAGACGCCGAGCAGCGGGCGTGGACAAATAGGCACAAGGGCTGGAAGAATTTGTCCAGTGTCTGAAGTCATGGGATCTGGACCGGACTCCGTTCATAGCCGTTGGTATCAACAATGACGTGCGGCGCTGAATCGGGAGAAATAGGAGGCGAGTCGATCTTTGTGTGCCCCCTTAAAACGCACCGGCCCAGACCGTTTCAAAACTAGTTGGGCAGATACACCGATGATAGGTTGAGACTCGAATGAACGAGCACAGCCATATCACAACGGGTAAATTAGGAAGCTAGCTCCTAGTGATTGGCTCTAAGTTACTATCAGGGACCGGGAGTTCCATGTTGGTGAATGTTGATCCGGTTAAGATAACGCGCAAAAAAATAAAGAAAACAATACGGATGCACGAGAAGGGCAAAGCAAAGACCACGAAATAGATGGTGTAGACGGTCCAGGATCACGGGGTATACTTTGTCTATTCATATCCCTTTTTTTGCGGAGAGGACAGGGGGAGCTCCACCAGCCCTTACTGCTTCAGGGTGTGCGAAAAAAAGCCTCAACTCTACATATTTCAAGCCGCCCAGCAACCATGTCACGCGCAAGGATGCAATAAAAAATGAGTTGATCAGCAGGGTGCTTGGAATAGAAGTCACTACGTAAACATGAGACAAAAATCGCGCAAATGGGTAATTGTTTCATAGTCCCCGACTGGAATTCGAAGAAAGGTCGCGTTCCCGAGGCCGCAGCCGGGTCGGGATCCGCCGCTAAACCACGGAGAGAAGGATCTGGGGTTGCAGACAAGCCACAGGTAGGATATGCCGAGTGGCGATGCGATACGAAAGAAGAGTCAAGGCTGACCACCATTGACCGCTCATTTGCGAGATTCGTCTATTTATCCATTTGTCCATTTGTCCGTTTGGCCGTGTGGTCGAGGCCATGGAGGTCTACACGTAATATGCATGGTTCCCGGGGGCTTGCGTTGGAGCTTGGAGTCAAGTTCGGAGGGCAGGTACCAGTCGGAAGGTGTCAATCTCACTAGAATTCCAGTTAACCAGCGATAATACGCTCCAGGACCCAGCGGCAATATCTTCTGCCCACCCGACCATCCTTGGAGGTGGAAATGTGAAAGCGCTGATTGGCCGAGACCGCCGCGATCGATGGATGCGGGTACATCATCCTCGGCTGGTTAAACGCCGTTATTTGCTGCTGAAATCCTGATCCCAGATGCTTCCGACTTTTCAGCCGACCCTGTCGTCATCCGGGTTTGACAATTTTCAGACACGAAGCATTCCGTTCGGGTTCATGCAAGCCGAAAGAGAAGAGAAAGAGAGAAAGAGGCTGGATTCCAGTTCGGTTGATCGACGATTATGTCAGCCTCCCCCGCGATTTTGGCTGGGAGTATAGGACCGGGATGTATGAACTAACAAGTGAAGTCATTGCGCGTCATCTACCTCTCTACATGTGCAAAAGAAACACGTTCATGGAGTATTGGTAGTCATTGACGAAAGTTATAACCTTAACCTAGGTAGAAATTATTAGAATGCGGTGTGCCGCAAGCGTCACCATAAAAGACCCTGGATTGACCTCAAAAGAACTTCACTCCTGTAATCACTTTGAAAACGAGTTATTTTTGATATCCCTGGTATCCCTAGTATTCCAGTCTAGCCTCCCTTCCGAGTGAGAACGTTCCGAGACCACTTCGTGTCCACTAAAACCTTTCGGGTCAAGTCGGACATACTAGGAATTTGCTACCCACGGCACTTCATCCATCACCAACCGCGTGGACGCTTCAGCTCGGCCCTTCAGCCCCGACATCACCCGTGGAACTGTGGAGAAACATTACCCTTGATACTCATGATGCCTGCCGGAAAGAACTATATTAGTCCCAATCGCCCCGAGTCTCCTGGACCTCTGGCTTCTGATTTCTCTCAACAACAAGTCGCGAAACAACGCAACAGTAACTATCACTCTACTTCACTCAGAAACATGGTTGCTACATCTGTGAATCGCACTGCGCTGCACCCTGGTGGTGTCCAGTATGTTGCCTATACCTAACTGTCGTCGAACCTCGCTGACCATCTCTAGGCCTGGCAAGGGACACACCGAGCTCGAGGAGGAACTCCATGAGACTGCCCACATTGACTATGACCGTGTCGCCATTGTAAGCCATACCCCGCGGTCTATAGCCTCCACTGTACTCATCTAACACCTCTTTAGATTGCCAACCCCTCCGTTCCTGCTCTCTACGAAGATGCTCTCGTCTACGAGACTGGTACCGCCGTCACCTCCAGCGGTGCTCTAAGTGCCTACTCCGGTGCTAAGACTGGTCGTTCCCCCTCCGACAAGCGTATTGTCCAGGAGGCTTCATCAGAGAACGACATCTGGTGGGGACCCGTCAACAAGCCCATGACTCTTGATGTGAGTGATTTGTTTCTTGCGCGATTTTCTTGCATATTTCAGTCCTTGCATATGGAACCGATCAGCTCCGCCAGGATCCCTTGCATATGCATCGGAAGACCAAGCTTTTCTGGCAGCCCTTTGTGCAACACTGGGATGCCGTCCTTTCCGATACATTCCTGTTTCACTTGATCGTGTTCCACTGCACCTTTCCTTTTGCCCAGTTTGCCCCTCAGCTGTCATTTGCGGCTGGAGCCTTTGGACCGAGGCTATCATGTGTGACGTCATCGATCTGTTACTAATCAGCCCTCCACAGGTCTGGCGTATCAACCGTGAGCGTGCTGTCGACTACCTGAACACTCGTAACCGCATCTATGTTATCGACGGTTACGCCGGCTGGGATGAGCGCTACCGCATCAGCGTTCGCGTTGTCTGCGCTCGCGCCTACCACGCTCTCTTCATGCGCAACATGCTGATCCGCCCCAGCCGTGAAGAGCTCGACCACTTCCACCCCGACTATGTCATCTACAACGCTGGTTCTTTCCCTGCCAATCGCTTCACTGAGGGTATGACTTCTGCCACCTCCGTTGCCATCAACTTCGCCGATAAGGAGATGGTTATCCTCGGTACCGAGTACGCTGGTGAGATGAAGAAGGGTGTCTTCACTGTCCTCTTCTACGAAATGCCCGTCAAGCACAACGTCCTGACCCTCCATTCCTCTGCCAACGAGGGTGAGAACGGCGATGTCACTGTTTTCTTCGGTCTGTCCGGTACCGGTAAGACCACCCTGTCTGCCGACCCCAAGCGTAAGCTCATCGGTGACGACGAGCACTGCTGGACCGACACTGGTGTCTTCAACATTGAGGGTGGCTGCTACGCCAAGTGCATTGGTCTCTCTGCCGAGAAGGAGCCCGATATTTTCAACGCCATCCGCTTCGGATCCGTCCTCGAGAACACCGTCTTCGACCCCATCTCCCGTGTCGTCAACTACGACGATGTCACCCTCACTGAGAACACCCGCTGCGCCTACCCTATTGAATACATCGAGAACGCCAAGATCCCCTGCAAGAGCGACAACCACCCCTCCAACATCATCCTGCTCACCTGTGATGCCCGTGGTGTCTTGCCCCCTATCTCCAAGCTCACTCCCGAGCAGACCATGTTCCACTTCATCTCCGGTTACACCTCCAAGATGGCCGGTACCGAGGATGGCGTCACCGAGCCCCAGGCTACCTTCTCTTCTTGCTTCGCTCAGCCTTTCCTGGCTCTCCACCCCATGCGCTACGCCAGCATGCTCGCTGAGAAGATCAAGGAACACAAGGTCAACGCCTGGCTCCTGAACACCGGCTGGGTTGGCGCTGGCGCTACCACCGGCGGCAAGCGTTGCCCTCTCAAGTACACCCGCGCCATCCTAGACGCCATCCATAACGGCGAGCTTGCCAAGGCCGAGTACGAGACCTACGCCACCTTCAACCTGCCCGTCCCCACCTCCTGCCCTGGTGTCCCCAGCGAGCTCCTCAACCCCGAGAAGAGCTGGACCGCTACCACCTCCTTCAAGGATGAGGTCACCAAGCTTGCCGGTCTCTTCAACGAGAACTTCAAGAAGTACTCCGACCAGGCTACTCCCGACGTCCTCGCTGCCGCTCCCCAGGTTTAAAGGATCTGAGCGGTTTCAAAATTTCTTTTTCTCCTTTGGTCCTTGTTCCTCCGATAGGATGAATAAGTCATTTGCATGGCGTGCTACTTTTTCTTGGTGATCACCTTTTTGGATCACCTTGCTGACGTCTGCCGCTTGTATCGGGACGAGCGTTGGATAAGTTTGATTTCCCCCCGAACTGGGCTTTGCTTTTTATATCTAGGCCATCGATACCGCCTGGCTAGATGGAGTTTGTGATGTTTACGATGAAATTTCCTACGTGATAGTCAATGATATCATCCATTTTAAGAAATACTCTTCCTTGTAGCTATCAATAACCTCGCGATGGCCTAGCTCTTCTTGTCCATGAGGAGCTCCCATTTACATTGCTACACGCATAGTGAAGGTTGGGTCTGCGGATAATTGACCGGCAAACTGTATCTTGTTCTCTTTCCATAATATACAAAACTGTGCTGTTCAAAATAGTGCACTAATCAAGTGTTTATCAAATTGAGGGTATGAAAGGACTCTCGACCTATGGCTGTCGTAGGATTTAACGTCGAAGTCGTCTACATGATTCACGAGTACCTATGTGCATGTCTAGATAATATGAGGAAGGCCACACGCAGCCAGGTCACAATTCACATACCTACACGACTAACCTTGGTCACCGATCTTTTAAAATGATCATTATCCCGCTGGATAAGAAGCTGCGACAATACCTGCGCAAGCTCAATCATGAAGCTTCCATCACACTCGTCAAAAATCTGATAGTTCTTAGAAAATTGCTTGTGATGAGTAGCCACGAATTTCACAAGCACGGCCCGGGCATCGTCAGTTTCTCACACCGGCCGGTGGTGTGGTGGCGTAGATTAGCTGGATGGTCTCTACCAACTCGGGGGCGTCCATCAGTGACTTATAGTAGAGCTTGAGATAGGACTCCATACGTCTGGCTGCAAATTCAGCGAGGTCGGAAAGCAGGTACCGTTCTGCAAATGAGTAGACTTTTGCGTGTGCCAGCAGATAGCTTTGTGGATTCTCGTCATTCGTCTGCTAAGGCATCGGGGGCGCTTCGGTAGCAGGTGATTCATCATCCATGGCCATCAATGGCGAAGCGTTCCTGTGGCCGGGTTCCGGTGGTGGATTTGTGCTGGTTTTGTGGAGTCTAGACGATGGGGGTAGGTGAAGTTTTTGGCTTGGTACCTTATATTGCAGACACGTATTAGCTTGGGTTTTTAATTTCATTTGACATCCAAGTGAACTAATTTTGTTGACTTGGTGTGGTTTGAGAAGTTGGTTCTTTGTCTTTGGAAGACCCGGGTAGGTCGTAAGTGCCAGAGTACTGATAGCTCAAGACGCAGTTGATTGTCTCTTCATCAAAGTCAGACCAGTCGCGTGTTTTTTCACTTGAATCCTTCCATGCTCCACTGATCCGGACTGCTAACGCAGAGATACCGTGCTGCAAGACGCCCGGATGAACATAGAATACCGCCTTATTACTGCCAACTAGGGCTTTCTACGGCTCTTCTTTGAACATACTAAGATGAGACAACTTTTAGTCTTGAAGCGCGTTTAGTAGATGAGGATCATGGCCTGTCAGTATGGGGGTTTCCGGGAGGATCCATGGCCAAGGACAGTGACAAGTCCCATCAATGAAAGTTGTTATGCACTTGAACCACGCACTGATACTCGTAGAGACAAATTAAGATTATTGATGTTTTAGGAGTGGATAAGAATGCAAGTGGTCTTTGCTCAACTTCAACAAGCAGCTACCGGATATACATAGTCCTGGGGGAGATCCAACAAAGAAATACGTCGAACTAAGAAGCCTTCCTATGAACCTCAGTATTATCCTATTCCAATATTGACTGCTGAATTGGAATATCCCAACGTCATGGAAACAAAAAGTGGGAAGCAAATGGTTGTGGTTGTTCGTACAATAAGTTAGAATTCGAAATCAGTTTTAACTCCATACTCTTGTGACTTGATTCGCCAACCCTAACTTGAAACCCGCTAGTTCACATTGGGAATAGTGGTCAATCCATGATTTCCAAGAATAGACATTGTATTTTACATGACGCGAGTGGGACCTTGCCTGATGTATTTTACTCGAAAATCCCATACGATGGTGTTTTTTGCCATACCGTCCACTCCAAGCATGAGGCATCTTCACCCGTTTGTCACTCTTGAATGTCACAACTGATGTCACAAAATAGCTCCGAGACTTCCACCATCCAAGCTGCATCTCATCCACGATATGATAGAGAGCCAGTCACTTAGCACATCTCGAATGGCCGAAGAAGCAGAATGCAGCCAGGTTACGATTATAAATATCCGCGCAAACTTGCGGCAATTTGGAAGTGTGCACGCACCGCCAACTCGAATAGGACGGAAACGGACTATAACACCACTGATGATCGAAGCCCTCTGCGATCACCTATCTGAAAAGACCGGTTTATACCTCGATGAGATAGCTGTTTTTCTCTGGGATGAATTCCGCACTATAGTCACAACCTCTAGCATCAGAAGAGCCCTTGTCGCTAAAGGTTAGTCTAAAAAGGGCACTCGACAGCAAGCTAAGGAGCGAAATGCCGATTTACGAGAATAGTATTTACATAATTTATCGGACTTTTAGTCGTATCAGCTGGTTTACGTTGATAAATCCGGATGTGATAAAGGTTGGGTTCAGGAGGACAGGCTGGTCTCCACTCGGTGTCTCCCCTATGCAAGTATCACAATTTCACCGTGACCAGCGATATTAGATACTACCTGCTTATGCCCAGGATGGAATCGTTTTCTCACGTGTCTTCCGCGGGTCCACGGATGCCACAGTGTTCGAGGACTTCATAGCGCAGCTTCTTCAGCACTGCGGAAGATGGCCCGAACCTAAATCCGTCCTCGTTATGGACAACGCATCGTTTCATCATTCAGAGCGGATTACGCAGATGTGTGTGGACGCAGGGGTGAAGTTGGTCTATCTGCCACCCTACTCGCCGGACCTAAATCCGATTGAAGAGTTTTTCGCTGAGCTCAAGGCCTTTATTAAACGCAACTAGAGCTATTATGAAATTGATCCCGATCAAGGCTTCGATACATATCTTGGTTGGTGTATTGATGTGGTCGGTGCAAAAGAAGAGAGTGCTAGAGGCCATTTTCGGCACGCAGGCTTAAAGATCGAAGAAGTATCGGAAAATTACTAGGTTCAGCAAACCAACACTTTGTGCCACCAATCCTTAAGGGGTTTGCAACCTAAGCCAATTTGGGCTAGCCAAGGGAAGTGATGCTGGCATGCGCTTGTCATACAATGGGAGAGCTTTACCAGCGATGGTAGAGTGGGTAAATTATGAAGCTTGTCGTCGTGATGTGGGGTGGGTCGTTCGGGTGCCGGTGGAGAGATTAGCTAGCGGGTAAAAGAATTGAGGGAGTGAAGCAGGAGGAAAGAGTGAGAAAAAAATGTTCGCTCTCTCTGTAACCTGGTAACTGATTATCATCGTTTACATGGTCCTCAATGGTCAACGGAAGAACCGATCCCGGGGCCGGCTCCAAGGATAAGTGCGACTGGGCGAGATGCCATGGAGAACAGTAAAGAATAATTATGCGTTTTTTGGTATTGAAGTCGATGGGTGTTGAGGCAGAGTGAAGGGATAGCCAGCGTTGTCTCCATAAACTTATACTCAGCCTACTCTATTATTTACTCTATCTATATCTTATTGGTTTGATTGCTGTTAAATTCCACATTCCTATGTTTGATCAGTCTGATTCTAAGTTTGATCAGTTTGATTCTATATTCATCAGTTTGATTCTATGTTTGATCAATTTGATTCCCATGTTTGGTCAGTTTGATTCCATGTTTGATCAGTTTGATTCCTATGTTTGATCAGTTTGACTCTATGTTTGATCGGTTTGATTCTAAGTTTGATCAGTTTGATTCTATATTCATCAGTTTGATTCTATGTTTGATCAATTTGATTCCTATATTTCGTCAGTTTGATTCCATGTTTGATCAGTTTGATTCTATATTTGATCAGTTTGATTCGACGGAGGTGTGGTGACGTTTAACGACAACAAAAACTATAAGAACAGGAACACAAGCTCTCTGGTGGCAGTGCATTTCTCTCAAACAAACTGTCCCACGACTTCTATCATGACAGACGGACAAAATATCGCAGCCTGGCTTCCCGCTGTTGGGGCGAAATTAGAAGTCCGCCCAGCCTCGACTCCAGAACCTGGACATGACGAGCTCCTCATCCAGACGGAAGCCATACCTATCCAACCAGCGGAATACAAGATCCAGGATGGTGTCCTTCCATATCCGTTGACATATCCCACAATCATTGGAGGTTCGTGGTCCCCCTGATTAAGATTACCCCGCGCAAACACAATACGGCTTGCTATTAACTACACGAGGCAGCTGATGAAATTGTGTGATGGCAGTGAGCTTTTCAGGGACAGTTGTCAAGATTGGTCCTGGCGTCACACGTTTCCAAGTTGGAGACCGAGTCGCTACCAATAGTGCAGTGGTGCTGCGAAATGATGCGCGCTTTGGAGCACTTCAGCGATATGCCCTTACCACGCAGCAGCTAACTGCGAAGGTATTACATCCTCTTCCCCTTCCCTTTTATCTCCTCAGGTGAAAAATTCTAATATTATGTGCTTGTGCGTATTTATTAGATCAGTGGCGCATCTTTCGAGAACGCGGCTTCCCTCGCTTCCGGGATCTACGGAGCCATGAGCGCCCTTATCCTGCATTTACACCTGGAAAAGCCCTCATCAACCCCAAATCCGCTGAATAAGTCTAAGAAGATCCTAATCTGGGGTGCCTCCTCGTCATTCGGCGCATCTGCTGTCCAGATAGCCGCAAGCGCTGGTTATTCCGTCGTGGGGGTAGCGTCCGGCTTGAATGCCGAACTGGTGAAATCCCTAGGTGCGTCTGAATTTGTAGACCGGACCCAGTCCTCTGCTACAGACACTCTGATTGCTCTTGGTCCCTTTCATGCTGTGCTGGCTGCTGCGGATTCGGCAAGGGACCAGGAAACGATTGGTGCTGTCCTCGCCGCCCAAGGCGGTGGCTCATTTCTATGTACCATGGGCGTTCGGGCTGGGGTCACTCTACCAGATGGTGTGACTGGGATCTTTGCACCTTTCTTGGACGCTTACTTGGACCCGGCCAATTCGGACTTCACGCGGTGGGTATGGTGGGAGTTTCTTGAGCGAAAGCTAGCGGAGAATCAGATGCATGCGCTTCCGACTAGGGTTCTTGGGGGTTTGAGCCACGCTCAGGAGGCTTGGGATCTTCTGAGACAGGGGAAAACGAGCGCCGAGCGGTTGATCATTCAGCCTAATGCTGAGTGAAACTGTTTCTTATTGATGCATAGGCTACATATAACTTTCAGCACAGACAGTATGTATCTTACGGGTCATGCATATGTTCCAGTTACACGCGCTCGCTAACCGGAACTTTTTGGTTCCACGGCCACACATTTGTAGGAAGAGTGGCACTGATGGTGTCTGATTATAGATGGCTTGAAGCAGGAGAACCTCGCTGTTTTCCTACATTCTATAAGCTAAGTGTTAGTAGGATGTCGGTATATTTAGACTCGTAACGAAAAACTTTTCATGACATTGTAAGCGATCTTAGTGCAGCATTGGTTTTTCGAAGACCGAGCTTTACCCCTGGGGCATATTGTCAATATCTGGCCTGTTCTCTAAGGCCCCAACGTCAGCTTCAGCCCGCTGGGGAAGCGCAGGATTCTTGAACCTAGAATTTTTGTGACCCAGCGATGCATGCCCTCAATAGCAGACCGGGGTTCACTGTATCCGTAAACGTCACAAGGAATAACTCCTATCCGATGATGACGTAACCATGCAACTTATGTGGTCAAGTAGTTTTTTTTACATGCACCGTACATAATTATACAAAGCAGGAAGAACAAGCCCTTCTCTTTCATTCAGAGACCAAACGGACAAGGAAGGCACGACTCAGGTTAACTCCGAGACCCACCTTCCGGGCTCAAAACTGGAAGGGACGGGCCTGCTCAGGCCTACTTTTATTTGTACTGTTTGCAATGCCCACCATCCAGGAACCCGGGCGATACAGTAGCTGGTATCATGCAGTTATTTACGCTTGTACCGAATTACAGCCAAGAAGGGGGCCAGGGGTAGAGTAACTATATCAGGTATAATAAGGTTTCGGAAGAGGGTTCGAGAAAGAATCTCCGTGTACAAGTGGTGAAACTGATTTCGATCCACCCTATACGGTACATATGTATATACAGGAGCTCCAGATGCGCACCGAGAGGGAACTGGTAGGAAAAGCTAAACGTAAAACTCGAGTCACCAGCGAGACATTCACCTCGACTAACGACGGGAAGTCAACACGACCGAAGAAGAGCTCCGCGTGGCGTCCAACAACAAATTGGCAATGCATGTTGTGCATTTGTCTCTTTTCCCGAAATGCAGTCAGGGTCACCTCACATTGTTGTGTAGAGCGTAGGTTACTCAGTGTCTTGATGGGCATTGCCTCACTATTAGTGTGATTCAGGACCACCTAGGGTAGAGATTGGTAGAGATCTAGCCCAAGTCCGTCGATAAACATCTTTGTAATGGTTGCGTAAACGACAAAAAAATGTTGAACCAGTCAAGCTTGTTTTTCTCCGGGCTTCAATAACCGCATTGGCCAGTAAACAACAATTACGGATATACAGATCAACGCTCAAGGAACCACCAATATCTCAATTGCAAATGCGGTCAACAGCACCAAATTGAATTCCCCAAACGCCATATGCGCCAACGCCAAAGCGGTAGTCGCTAAATTATCTCATAAATAGAGATTGCTTTCTTTACATTCTCGACCCAGCGCCGAATGTCTTCTACGAAGCGTCGAGCAATATCGATCTTTATGCCCTTTCCGATAAAGAACCCCGGATCTTGATCCTTATAGACCTGCTCAAGGTCAAGACTATTGTCCAGCATCACGTCACAGATTTCTCGAAATACAGCTTTGAGGGCGTCATCTGTGACATTTGACACCTACCATTCACCATATTCCTTGACCGCTTTGTCCCGAGGCCCAGGGATCTCAAGTAGGCTTAGAGATGGCAGGGACTATAAGTTAGCAGAAGCCTATGCAGCTGTAGAGGCGGAAGACTGCGAGGGCAGGACATTGATGTTAATAGCCGGATATAGTGCTCCATTTCTAGTGATATGCCCTCTTTTGCGATTGTTCTTTTCCTGTCTCTGTTGCTCTTCTATAGTTTCTAGCACATCCTTGTGCCCGTCTAACACCCCACCTTTTTCGACGTGGGTAACGAGCCGCTTGAGATAATAAGTCTTCAGTTGGTAATGCTTTTTTCCTATTGGATCTTCCCAACAATATGGGCCTAATAGGCAAGTCGAGGTTGCACACCGTATCAGATTATAGACGCTGCGCTAGATAGGTCTTTCTCCTAAAGCATCCTACTCAGCATCAATCTGAGCGGCTCTCTTATCGAGCATTCTCTTCGTGACAGAGGCTTTTCCTCTTTTCTCCCCTTTCCGACCAGCGGCTAGAGGAGAGTGACGATCGTCTACGTAATTGAAACTGATCTTTAGCGTGAGCTCTTTACCCCGGGAGAATAGACCTAACCACATCCAAAGCTGCTTCTCGATGGTGGTCTAAATGATATCGGTATCATCAAATCGTTTAGTCAAATTGCGCTGGGTTCGGTCGTTCACTGAAACGACAATCGCAGTGTCATTAGCTCTCACCTAACGATGACGGGCAATTTTTCGTCGAAGAACTTTCTCTAATTTCTTCTCCAAGAACAGCTGCTAAAAGGCACTAGGGGCCAAAACAAGATCTTCCTCCGTGTCTTTTGACACCTCTCGATTGTTGACAGTAACACGCCACTCTATACGGTAGTGTATATAGGTCGGCGGGTGCTTATCGTATACTCTTCCTTCTTCCTATTCAGACAACTAGAGCAGCCTAAGAGTATCAGACCGTGACTGATCTTCTAGCACAGCAGAGGGGGAGGGACTGTAGTTAAACCGTGTTACATTAGGACTACCGCAATATCCAGGTGTTGGAGCGTACTGTGAGTTGTTTTCCCATGTTACAGGATCTTCGGGATTGGAGATAAAATCGTCATGATACGGGCTCTGTGTCATCTCTACAGTACGATAGCAGTCCTAGGAGGGTCCATGTTAGCTTCCCCAAGTATCGGAGTTCCTTAGGACTTGGTAACGAATGAGAATCGCAGTGGATAGCAGAAGCCAGAGCTATAGAGAAACAAGTTGCGTGCCAGGATAAGTTCTCTATGGCGTCACTACAGCCTTCTTTTGGATGCAAAAGAGTGTGGGCGAAGGCTACGCGTGACAAATAGCCCAAGAGATGAGAGAGATAAAAGAAGATCTTGCCAGATTGTTAGGATTCTCTTTTTGTTTGATCAGTTTGCACGATGGATTCCATCGGTTTCTACAAGAAATTACGGTACTATAACAATAACTCATTGTGGTTACCAGTGAATACAATACAGCCCTACATAGATTAACAGGGGAAGATCTAAAATTAGATTAGGATGTCCCCACTTAGGGTCCAGGAATTAAATTGTAAGAGTTTAGAGTTAAAACTGATTTCGAATTCCACTGTATGCAAGTCAATATTGGATAATAGAACTACCAGTCTCAAGTACCAGATCGCCAGTAAGTTGGTATCGTAGTCTCCATGAGGATTTATTGGTATTGCTTATTGGACTTATTAGTGGGTGGTGGTATATGCCACTTATAGACCCAGCTGCATCTAAACAAAGAAAGAAGGACGTCCATTGTTTCCCCTTCTGCAAGTAACCTCAACTATTTAAGGGCATGTCTTGGAAAATCTGGATTGAGAGAATATATCAATTCGCTTAAAATTATTCTGTTAATCATATCCTCCATTTCATGCCATCCCCCCATTCACTCGAAGTGTCTGTCCTGTCACCCAGCGACTATCACTACTACACAAAAACGCAATGCTATCAGCAATATCCTCGGTCTCTCCAATCCTTCCATTGGGATTGGCATTTTTCAAAAGACTCAGCGTCTGCTCGGACTGATTTCGCATAAATAGGTCGGTGGCAGTAGGGCCGGGAGCCACACAATTAACACTAATTCCTTTGCGAGCGACATCCTTGGACAGGACCCTAGTCATCTGCTCGACTGCGCCCTTACTTGTAACATAGGGCAAGTAGACAGGCGTGACAGTTGAGGCAGCACAGAGTGTTGTAGATAAGAGGACAATATGTGACCCGGGGCCCATATGCGGAACGGCTTTCTGTTTCTGGTTAGCTTTGTTCAAGAGACAACATATGAAGGGACTCACCTGGCATAAGAAAAAGGGTCCTTTAACATTTATGGCGAACATTTTGTCGTAGGCCTCCTCTGTCGTTTGTTCAAGTGTAGTCAGGGTCATAATGCCAGCGCAGGGGACAAGAAGATCAATCCTGCCAAAGCGCTGGATAGTTTGTTCCACGAGAGATGTGATTTCGCCAACATCGCCTACATCGGCTTGGATTGCAATCGCTTTGTCGGTGCCTATCTGATTCACAACCTCGTTGGCTGCTTCGGGGTTCGAGTTATATCCCACTACCACGTTGGCTCCGTCCTTGGCGAGGCGTAGGGCTGTGGCTCGGCCGATTCCTTTGGAAGCACCGGTGATGAGAGCGACCTTTCCGATGAGAGACATTGTTGAAGACTGGTTATCAGAAAACAGCTTGTGATATAATTATAATTATTGAATCAGTCAGGTCCTCGACTTGTCTCTCTTTATACAAAACCGAAGAGGCGGGTGATGAGATCTCACTCCGGGGATATGCGGATTTACGTGCGGTGTCCGTCCTGTATACTCCGGTCCACCGGTTCTAAGGCGCTTATTCGGATATTTGATTCTGAGGTCGGTAGAATATTCTTCTTTGGAAGTTCTTCAACCGCTAAGTCCGAGATTTCAATCTCACTCAACTTGCGACCGGGGAAAAGGCGATCAGCCCCCTACATCTGCCCTGGTAAGCCGTAAGTCCAGGCCGGAAGCCGGTCTTTGTCGGACCCATTGTGCGGCTCTAAATATGCTGAGATTAAAGCGGTTGTCATGAGAGTCATGTGGTATGGATCACTCGGTGATACTGAGTGTGTAGCTTGATGGAAAATGGCATATCAGTCGAGCAGCAGCCATACCCAAACGCCAATCTTAGATAGCGTATCCAAAATCATTCCTTGATCCCAGACCGTAGTTTCTCATGGAAAGACTACATTGTTGCATCGGCTGTATTTTGCTGTTGCGGCTTTATCCTCGATTTCCAAGCTCCGAGCAAACAGCGTCCGCAACATTCTGTAGGAAGACCACGTCATCAGTGATTTTGCACGCTATAACTATTGGGCGGCTCAATGCACTGTGCTACCTGGCATTTATCCCTTCGAGTTGTCTGTCTAGTTCAATATTTAGGCTGCACAGCTCGAAGGTGACGCATTGCATGCAAGATAGCTCAGGCTACGGGAAGTGAATTGCAGATTCAATAGCCCCGTGGATTCGGCTATGAGTACACCGTAAATTGTATTGAAGGCCTAATCATTCTCATATTTGTTATTTTCCTAGCACAAGCCTCGTTTTACATGGTTATAGACCTGCATTTTCATTCCAAATTTGCTATTCACGAATGCAGGTAAAAGCAGACTAGGTACCAAGACTCTTACATAAATCGAGATCTGCGAGCGATTTACTACTTTAGCATCATCATGCTAGACTAGACCGTGCCGCCTACAGCGACATATCGAAGAGAGACTAGAACTTCAAGACCCTGCACTGGGTGAGGTGTCTGATCGGTGAGACCGGTGCCCAAAAGCTAGACGAAGCCCTCTCATTCAGTGCAACCTACCTGTCCTTCACCGCAAGTGACTAAGTACGTATGTCTACTGCAGACTCCATCACTGATCAGCTGCGACTCTGTCCTTATTTCTACACAGAATCTGAACGTCTACATCGCCTCTCAGACCCTTCAGAATCCTCGTTCGCTATGAAGCTTCTTATCACTGTTTACTTTATCCTTGCTCTGTGTGCATCGGCTTTGGCTTGTGCGGGAGGTTGTAATATCACACGGCATGAACAAAACTCCAAATCCGTACGAATTGGGGGCAAGGTACCCTCGAGCTTGTAGGCCAGCAGTATGTTAAGAGATATATCACGATTATCTTTGAATTTATTTCTTCCTACTTTTATTAAATTGCGATGTATGAGGGTAGATACATACATCACAAGGGTCAGTAATTAATTAATAAGTATTTAAAAGGGATATTGAGGCAAAAAACATAGGATAATAGGATAACAGGAACCTGTGGAATATAGAGAATCATGGGTCATAATTAGAAAAAGGATGATTAACGTCACGAACAGCACTGGTGGTGTATCGGTAACATTGGAGCCTTCCACTGCCACTATCATATGATAGTTGTCAGCTCTAGCGCGGGGTTCGACTCCCCGTCAGTGCATTACTTTTTTCTCCACTCTTTTTTTTTTAACCTCCCAAAAATTGTAAACGAAGCGGACGCGATGTCAAAAATAAAAAAGAAATAAAATATTGACTTATTCCTTATTTATTTTCTTGCCGTCTACTCAACGAACGATTCTGTTTGATCAACTACCGCCCGCTAATCCTATCTACTGCCCAACTAACCAAGTCCCGTCATCAAATGCCACACCCATTAACTTACCCTCGGAATAGAATCTCAATTACTAACAATATTCCCGAGCTCCCTGCCGGAAAGCCAGTGGGTCCAGATCTCGACATTAGGCCCGTGGAGCCCGACATGCCGCGAACCCTTTCCGCGGAGGGGAGTGGAGATGATCTGACAGGTTTATTTTAGCATTTCTGGCATTCTTCAGGGGCTGGGCACTGAGTCGATTCCGCGATGGATACTTGGGAGATTGGCAGGGGATTGTGATTTTCGATTGGTTGGACTTCTGACTATTTGTTTGCAATTGATAGTTTACTTTCATAGGTATATGAGTTTTGGGCTTCGTGTCAACGGCGGGACCCGGGTTGAGTATAGCAGTCAATGTGTCGTGTAGGGCGTATTTTCTACAGTAACGTAGATATCAGAGAGTAATTGTTGAGTTGGTATACTGTCCACTGTGTGACAGTTTAGGAAGATCGGCTTAGACCCGTCCTCGTTGATGCGACCATGAAAGAGAAGCTCGATAAGCTGTATACTCACCAAGAACGAGAAAAGCGAGGACAGCCAAGTTTACCTTTCCGCTATCTCAATTGGTGGTAGAGTTTCACGTACCTTGGATGTCGTCAGTCGTCTGGCCTACCTCAATGCGAAGGACAAATCCGAAACAATCCGGGGCCCCCATAACCACCGCAACACCATCTCCTCCCCGTGCCATATCCAGCCCAACCTCGGGGGTCTGTAATCCCAATGATGATTATCCCGGAGAACAGTACTCCGCAAACACCTTTGACAGTATAGTAAACCAACAACAAATACATACGCAATCGTCAAAATCAACCAATCCAAACCCCCAGCCTGAGCACCAGATACGGAGTAGTAAACACCGGGCAAATCCATGTATAGCCGCCAAACCGCCGGTCACCGGCGCAAAGATCCAAAACCGGACGTTTCCAGGGCGCACAACCCGCGCAGGTCCATGTAGGGTTAGCAGTGACGTCTCAACAGAAGTAGCGGGAGCCGCACTTCCAAATCCGGGAAACGGGGGAAAGGTGGGAATTATTCGCATTCCGATTTATTGGATTGACAAAATGGAGAGCGGAGATCCCAACCGACTAACAGGTTGGCACTTTGCAGTAACTAGTCGCGTCAGAGTAAATTGTGTTGAGCCGATTGGACTGCCGGACTGATACCCTCGGGTAGGCCGAGGGGCGGGAGAATATTATCGAGGAATAGCCGATTGACTTCTCCGTCCCGCCGATATGTTTGTGTCATTTCCGAGGTGGGATGGGATCGTGACTCGTTATTGGTGTAGGGAGGAGCCAGTAGGTTCCTGTAGCTAGGAGAGCTAATCGCTGCGCTGGGACACCGTTGGGAGATGATGGGCTTTGTTGAGGCGGCCGCATGCAGGTAGGTGAGGTCATCGGAAATGAGATATTCTTTCCCTCGGATACCAGTATGGATAGTTATGAGTATATCTGAGTCTTCTGAGCTGGTGAGTTGGGAGTTGGGAGTTGGGAGTTGGGGGATAGTGGGGAGTGGAGATTCCATTAGAGTGGAGTTGCACTATATTTCTATAGGAAGCACAAACACACAGACATAGACACAGAAATAGACACGACACAGACATGACACAGACACGACACAGAAGTTACCTTGTTTTGAATATCCCTCAGGTATCCCTCACATACCAGAGACCGGATATCCGGACTCGCGAATATCTTCCGGAATCAAGCTATCCCCGCATTTCAAGCTCCGTAGCCTGCACGCGTGTCCACGCTGGCGCATTGATAATCCGCTTAGAATCGCCTGTCTAAATGCCCTGTAATTGGTTGTCTAATGAGTGGGGGAGTATCTGCTTCAAAACTACCGGGAAATCATCGCGGCCCCAGATCGTCGACTTTCTCCATGGCCATGACTTTAGCGGCTATCGGGTGAAGGGGATGTCATAGCCGGCTCGGAAAGGGTTCTCGGTCTATAGAATGGCTAGACTTATAGTAAACGAAGTATATAGTATAGGCTCAGACCCCTTCCGGTTTGGCCCAGTATAACAGTCCCCCCGCACCTGACGTTTTGTCCTGTGACGTGTGTCTCCCATAGCTATCTCTCTCTCTCTCTGTGTCGCTGTTTCTCTTCTTCTACTTCACTCGTGCCTCTCCGTCCTCAACTATACCTAGGTATTCTGTTTGAGTGATAGCATTGCGATACGTCATCAGTGGGTTCCATGGTCCAGTCCTTCCTTTTCGGTATATTCTACAAACTGACCGAGGCCACCTGGACAGGCCTCGTATTCCACGTCAGTCATTCTGTTTGACCTACTCAGTACATCGCGTTAACAACCCGCGTCTAGATCAAGTCACCTCATCATGGCATCAAGCACTATCAAAGAAACTGCTAGCGATGCAGCTGCCTCAGCCATGGAACGCCCTACTGACTTCCTGCACCACCCATTCACCCGCGCAGCCCTGCCCTTTATCAACGGCGGTCTAGCCGGCATGACAGCCACCGCAGTGATCCAGCCAGTGGACATGGTAAAGGTGCGCCTGCAACTCGCCGGCGAAGGAGCCCGCACCGGACCCCGACCCTCAGCCCTGGGCATAACGCGCGACATTATCGCTTCCGGCAAAGCCCTGGATCTATACACCGGCATCTCAGCCGGCCTCCTCCGCCAGGCTGTCTACACAACCGCTCGCCTAGGATTCTTCGACACATTCATCACACGCCTCAACGGCCGCGCTGAAGCAGCAAACCGCAAAGTCACCTTCGCAGAGCGCGCCGCCGCAGGGCTGAGTGCCGGCGGTATCGCCGCGATGATTGGAAACCCGGCCGACTTGGCCCTCGTGCGCATGCAGTCGGACGGCCTCAAGCCCCCCGAAGCTCGGGCAAACTACCGCTCCGTTTTCGACGCTTTGTTCCGTATCACCCGCGGCGAGGGAATCGGGGCGTTGTGGGCTGGTGCGTTCCCGACGGTTGTGCGGGCCATGGCACTTAACATGGGTCAGTTGACCTTCTTTGCCGAGGCCAAGCAGCAGCTCAAGCAGCATACGGCGTTGTCTGCGCAGAATCAGACGTTCGCGGCTTCGGCTATTGCCGGGTTCTTTGCTAGTTTCTTGTCGTTGCCTTTTGATTTCATCAAGACTCGTTTGCAGAAGCAGCAGAAAGACCCGGCGACTGGGAAGTTCCCTTACAAGGGGTTGGTGGATTGTGCGCGCAAGGTTATTGCGGAGGAGGGTTGGTTGCGCTTCTACCGGGGCTTCGGAACTTACTACGTTCGGATCGCTCCTCATGCGTTAGTTGCCCCCACTTTCATACTTGTTCCCCACTGACTAGATCTACAGAATGGTGACTCTCATCGTGGCCGATTATCTAAACATCATCACCAAGTAATTGACACTGGAGTTGTCTCTGTGGTTGTTTAAATTGCCTCCGACCACAGAATTGATACCCGATCGAACAATAGCGTTGTTCAAGCTCGTCATGCACACCTACAATCCTGATATCTACTACCCCATGAAAAATGCAGCGTCCGGCGGAGGAAAGGCTCAAAATCAACCCGAACCAGAAATGCTACAGCTCCGCCGTTTACATCGCACGATCCCCGTCATTCATTGAGAAGCGATCCCTAATTCGATTCTTGACCGGGAAACAAACCCCCGGTGCGATTCATTTCATTTCCATCACTATTCCCTTTTTATTCCGGGAAGAAATCCACGAAAATATGTCGGAGACGATGGCCGGTCTTCCCCGCGGAAAGGCATCGGACGACAACCACATGCTCTTTAACTGCTTCTGTTTGCGTTGACTTTACATGTTCTTCGACAAGCGAATACCCCCTTGTCTTGCCCTGTTATTTTATTCGTATTTGCTTCGGTCGCGATGTTGTTACCACTGTTGTTTTCTCTCCATAGGAGTAATGAATGAGATTACGGACTACATGACTTCCTCGCCTCATCTGGCATTCTTCAGTCGACAAACTCCGTACTCAGGATTATTTTGATACTATATCGCTAACATCTCCCCAAGGACATCCGCATAACATGGACTCAACGCCCGTAACCCCCAAGCACGTAGTAACCATGCACAAAGCATGAAACTAACCGACCAGAATTATAATCAGATACGTCTAAATCTAACACAAATCCGCCCCCACAGCCTCAATCCCACAAATATTTCTCCAATCCTCCATACCAAAACCCCCAAGATGACCACACCGAACGACCAACCCGACGAACCGCTTGCCTAGCCTGAACTGGGACCCCAACCCTACAAAACGAAGTCCAAACCCTAACCTTCCTCTCATAAAAGAATCCCACCATCCCCGTCCCACGCGTCGTCACCAGCTGGGCAGACACCATCGGCCCTATATAAGGGGGAAAGCACTAGAAGAGGTATAGCCCTTTCTATTAGTAGACTAAAAAATCAAAATTGTAGATGAAGTTGTTCAACTTCGCGGGTTGTTGGAAACCATCCAATCGGATTATACGAAGGGTGTCAGGGGTGGGGTTTGTTTTCCGCCGTTGATTCTCCCTTCTTCTACTTCTTCTTAGAATAAAAGGGTTACGGGGGATGGTTTGGGTCTCATAGTGAGGTTTGGAAAGCTGCGGTTTCGACTCTTCCTGCTGGACTCCCGCTGAAGGTGGTCACGGGGCCGGGTATGGAGACGTTAGGGGTGATGTTGAGGGCTTTGAGGAAGTTTCCTGATTTGGATCGGAAGGGGAGGGAGGTTTTTGAGAGGTTAGTTCTGAGTGATACAATACAAGATATTAGGAGACGAGGTAGGATTAAAGTAGAAGTTAAGAGGAGATATGTCATCGTGCCAGGGAATTAAATCATTAGAACCCATATAACGGGCACTCGGTAAATACATAATCCCAAGTCATGTCATGACCTACCAATAGGCAGGCCAGATGAAAATAAACAAAGAAAGGAATGCACGCTAGCGGGATATCGTATGAATATAAACATCAATATCCAAGGAGCAGAAGCGGAAGAAGAAGAAGTAAAGCAAATTCGTGGGGATCGAAAAGCGCATTAATGTACCGCCACCGTGTCAATATCATGGTCAAGATCAAGATCAACTTTAGATCTTCTCATCGCCAACGCGTTTCGACTCCACAGCACCGGGAGGAAGAACATCCTCGAGCGTCTCGTCTGTTCCAGCGAGATCCTCCTCGACAGGGACAGAGTCCTTAATCTTGAAAAAGACAACCGGCACAGCGACGAGGATGGAGCCGCACAGCAGACCGAAATTGGAGGCGTATTCGTTCATGAAGGGAAGCTTGTTGTTATCTAGACTCCACATGACGGCCGCACCGGCCGATTGCAGACCCTTGTAGAAACCGGCGAGGTTGGCAAGTTTGCGGCCTGAGTTACCAAGGGCACCCATGATCCTGATAAAGTCAGTATAAAGCATCTCAGTGGGGGATGATTTTAGTCAAGTGTAATGTGAAACTCACCAGTAGACAATACCCTGCCAGATAGCATCGTACATGCCATAGAAGAAGTACAAGAACATAGGACCAACGTAACCATCAGTAGTCCAATCCCAGCCCTTGAACTCGGGATGAATCTTAGGATCCACATCGGCACGGGTATACTTCTTCTGCCAAGCATAGCCACCACCCCAGATAATAACAGTCAAGATGAACAGCGTGGTAAGCGCAATCTTAGCACGAACAGAGCGACGCACACGCTCGACATCCAGCAGGGGACCAATAATGACAGCAGCGACGATCTGAGCAAACCAGTACAAGAACCCATTCAGTGACTTGGTACGAGTGTTGAAGTAGGAGCCGTTGATGGCGTTCTGCTGGTAGGTGTAGAACCAGTTGGAGGACCAGAACATGGGGAAGAGAAGGATGATCCACGGCTCGGAGCGGATTGTCTCCCAGAGACCGACGAACTCAGTTTTCCAGCTGGGCTGCTTCATGAGGATGACCCGGGAGCCATCTGAGCGGACGATCTTGTTTGCGTCGCAGAGTAAGAGGGCCAAACAGGCGCCTGCGAACATCAGCACGATAAAGGCGATGTATGTGCCATCGGTGACGTTGGCGTTGGTTTTGACATTGATGTTTTGGCCGAGAGGGATCTATCACTGGTTAATATCATATCCTTGTCTCTGGCAGGGATGTGGGTGGGTCGGTTGTTATCTCTGCTTCTCCACTTACCAAACTACCAATGCAAGCACCGATGTTAAAAATAGCCCAGAACCAGGCGAAGTAGCGACCCTTCTGGTGCTCGGCCGGGTAGGACATCATGATGGTTCCCTGCGCGGCCCAGAGGAGACCAGCGCAGACACCCAGGAAGGCGCCAGCGAAGATGTTGAAGCCGGGGACATACTTGTGCTCGGAGACGATCAGACTGATGGAGTACAAGCAGTAACCGATTCCACCGAAAGAGAGGGACAGTCTGATACCCAGACGGTTGACGATAGTTCCAGCGAAGAAACCGACAACGGCGAAGGTCGAGTACAGAGCGATGTTCTGCTCAGTCAGCATTCGAGGCTCATCAGAGTGGGGGCGAGAGATTTACCATTTGATCGGCGAGGGTGTGGTCGGCCTTTCCACCGCCACCTAAGCCACTCAGCGCGTTAAACATGCCAGGACACAGGAAGCAGACGAAGGCGACCATGCCCAGCTGGATGCGCGGCGAGGCATACCAGCTGGTGGACCATTTGCCAATGGATCGCGATTTGTACATCCATCCTGTGGGACGGGGAACATCGACGGGCTCGGCGGTGGAGTGCTCGGGAGACTTCTCCATTATGGATAGCGGAATTGATCCGCAGAAACAATGAGGTTAAGAAACTGTAGGTGTGGGAAGAGGTGAGGTGAGTGGAGGATTGAAGATGGGAAGAGGATGCTTAAAAAGGAAAGCTATCTTTTTTAGACAGCGCTAAGATAGAGATATCTGAGCTGCAGGGTAGCATCGGCTTGGATTAGAACGGGCTACTCAATTTTTTCAGTGGCTAGCCTTAGGGGGCCTGGCAAGCCTGACAGCCGGCAATTGGCTTCATTTTGCGGGGTCTGTAGCTGATTGGGCTGGACGCTTTGATAGCAGTGTTACACCCTACGGATGGTACAGTCTCTTTGTGTAAGCTTGTTGACTTGTCGCGTGAGATTAACTGGGGTTTAGATACCGTAGTATTGTCTCGTCAGCAGGGTTACTCCTCGAAGATGTGGCTGAGGTTAGTTTCGATTATGACCTGACACTAAATCTAACAAACTCGAAGTAACACCACGAATTGCGACCCGAGGCTGAGGATATATTAAGCGATAAAGGGGCGAGTCTTGGGGGTTCTCAAGTACTTCCTCGTGGCATACCATGTGATTGGCTCAGGACCCACCGCTAATGATTGGGTCGACTGCGGGGATGCCTAATGAGGCTTAGTGTTATCATGTGTTTCAACGTTCTGGGTCTAGCTTAGTCTCGTTTGTCTGGTTTGTTCCATGTCTCAACTAATTCGATGTGACACAGAGATCGGGCATTGAAACGTTAACATATCAATCCTCGCTTTCTTCGCTTTCTTCGCTTTCTTCCCCGGATTGTTCCTCATCTCCACTCTCCGATCTATCCACAGACATGGGAGCAGGCTGACTGAGCCGTTCCGCCTTGATACGCTGAGAGGGCTCATCCGCATCCACATCCATAGCATCATCATCATTGGTTGCATCACTAGCGAGACTGATCTCGGTATTGCGACGTTTATTCTTCCGTCCATCCTCAAGATGATCCTCATCTTCTTCCCGCTCCTCGAGTTCCTGCGCACGACGCACTCGTCTTAGCAGAACAGGGTCCGGGTTCAGGTCATCTGCAGTCAACGGAGTAGAACAGACGGGGCATTTCACCACGTGGATGCGGCGCTGACCCCTGCGAGCCGCTGGAGGCGGAATGGTAGTCGTGCTACGGTTGATCATATCAAAGATCGGTTCGCGCTCGAAGCTGTGGGGACATTTGGTGCTGGTCACGGGATCGCGGAACGGTAAGAGGGTCAATGGGCATTTGAGAGAGATACGCTCGCGCTCGATGGCAATATCATCATCGTCGGTAGCAGAGGGGCGACGCCGTTGGTTGCGGGTACGTGTTGATGCGCCAGAGCGAGCACTGGTATCCTCCATATGTTGGAACCATGTAGAAGAGTGGGGGAGTGGGGGCACGTCGTTGCCGGGGAATTTGGAGTCGTGCACCATGCGATAGAATCCGATGTAGTTGTTATGGCCGGCATATCTAGAATCGTAATTGTAAGCCTCCACACACCCCAAACAGGAACAACAGGAACAATATACCTCTCTGTCAAAGACATCTCGTTCCATTTCTCAGAGTCCTCGGCCAGCTTATCTTCTAACCTCCGACTCGGCGGATCGCGCGCATTCCGCTCCTGCGTCTCACGCTCTTGTGCATCCTCATAATCGGCATCATCCTCATCCTCCCCATCCCCATCTTCATCTTCATCTTCATCATTGCCCCGGCGTCTGGTCCTCTGCCCTGCACGCGTCTGCCTCGACCCCAGCGCCGCAGTAATAGCCTCACCCTCCTGCCTCTCGAGCTCTGTAACCGCCTCAGTCAAACCCTGAAGCTTTGCCTCGGAATCAACCATTAGTCGCGCCTTTTCCTCCATCCGCGCGGTAATGGCATTGACTCTAGTTTCCTCCTCAGCAAGACGCCGGTACTCCTCATCATCCTCATCGTTTTCATCTCCCGCATCAATTCCCTCGCGTTGCCGTCGCTGATATTTATTCTTCTCGTAGCGGCCGCGCGCATCAGCTAATCGCTCATTGACTTCACCGCCCGAGTGCGTGAGTTTCTCGGCAGCATGTTTGAGATGCGTTATTAAGTTGCGGTGGTGGTGATTTGAGATTAAAGCGGCAAGGTGACGCTGAGCTTCAGCTGTGAGGGGTGCTTCTGGAGCGACGTATTCTGGTAGGGATGGGGCTTCGGAGGGGTGGGTTGTGCTTCGTCGGGGTTGGGCTGAGGGTGGGTGGGATTGGGAGAGCATTGAGCGCCGGTCTGGTGTTGCGCTCATTTTGGCGTCGGGGGTGGTTGAAGTTGAGTTGAGGTGTCGTTTTACTCAAACTGTAGTTTAAACAACGGAGAATGCGCATCTCGAATTCCTGACACGAGACGCGATGGCGCTAGCCGTTCTGGGGTGATAAGGCTTATCTGGTACTATTCGCTTTCTACTATTGAAGTTATGAGGTTTACTTTATTTTCGAGCTTATAGGAATGGTTGTTTATGGTGCCTAATTTATTCTACAGTTACATAATGATGTCCATTATTCCACCTTCCCTCCGAGATGGACTTTGTCGTTGGATGTCGACCCCAGATTCCTTCACTAGCCAAGGATCGGTAACTTCATAAAGAATTGCCCGAGATTTCTTCGGCGATGGAAGGCGACCTTTCAAATCCAAATATGATGCACACTAAATGTAGAACAGACGTTTCAACCATCATATAATCGCGCAACGCAGCTCCCACGCTCCCCAGTTCTACGACTAAACTCCGAAACCATAATATACTTCTGTGCAATTTGCATGTACCGAACTGACCAAAGTGCCACAACATGGCATCCATAGATTATTTCAACTTTCCCCTATGGTCTAGAAACAGAAAGTGCTACACCAACTGGGACGCCTAATCCCTTGGCAGCGCTGCATTTTACCAATTCCAGCCCATGTTTCATACCCACCGGAGTTATTATTTCTGACTTCGCAGAACCTCGCAGGATGATTTAAATCCGATAATCCCGGCAGTTATTTTGGGTCCGCCGAGCTACCATCTCAGAGGCGCAAACGGCGGCCAGCCATGTAGGTAGCTTAATTTGGCTCTGATCTGCACTTACACCAACGAGATTAATCTATACTGCTAGGCCCTGCAGCTTTGTAGTGGCCTCCGCCAAGATGGTGGCTGGTCACCCACAGCCCACGATTTGCACAGTAGCTAGACTTTATGCTTGTCCAAGACTTGCGATGTCGCCAGGTCCCACCTGGTAGAGTTATATCTCCAAATGGCCCCCACTAAGCTTGACGGGTCGTTATTTGATTTGTGAAGTATACGAGGAAAAAGAGGCTAAGGGCCTTGAACACAGTTTAGAATGAGCTAATAGCTGCATGATATCAATGCTCAAGATGCAATAAAGTAGCATATCGAGAAAGGAAACATATAAAGGTAGCTTCAGTTCCCACCAAGACGAGAGATATGAGAACAGAACCATCGACCTCAGTCCTCAACCCCAAGTACAAACCACCCAAAATGCATCTACAAACCCTCCTCCCCTTCCTCCTCTCCCTCCTCGCAATCCACACAACAGCCTGCAACCCAACCCGCCGCTCAACAAACACAAACACAAACACAAACACAACAACCCCCAATCCCTTCAAAATAGGCACCGACGGCCCAGCTCCACCCCAAACACTAGGCTACGCCCTAAACCACATGGGCCTGATAACCAACAACCTAACAGCAATGAAAACATTCTACGGCTCCATCCTCGGAATGCGCACCCTCTTCGACGTAACCCTAACACCAGAATACACAGTAACATACATGGGCTACGCGCAAGGCGGACGAAACGGAACGGGATTCCAAACGGGGACCGAAATGACAACTTCTAAGAATAACATGTACGGATTGCTCGAGATAGTGGAGTTTAGTGTTTCGGATGATCGGGTCGTTGCGTCCACTGAGCGCACGAATACGTTTAGCCATGTTGGGCTTGTTGTTCCTGATGTTGTTGAGGCGCAGGCGTATCTGGAAGGTGCGGGTGTTCAGATTCTCAAGGGGGTTGGTGTGCCCATTACGGAGTTTGAGGGGGCTGTTCCTAATGCGCTTGGGGTTGGGGGGTTTGCGGGTGTACATCTCGAGGCTAAGAGGAGGCTTGTCGAGGCTCAGGGTTTGATTGGGTGGGAGAACTTTTTGTTGGTAAGGGATCCGGATGGGAATTTGGTGGAAATTCAGCAGCAGGACATTTAGAGTGGTTTGAATAGAATTGTCTATTTTAGTTTTCGCTTTGGTCATACATAGGGTTGATATCAGGTGGAGAAACCTGGCATGATATTCGAAGTTGATACACGGCTTTAGCAATGTTCCACTCAGACCTTGTAGAAGCAGAATGCATGGTAAAAGCCTAGTGTCTTGTTAGCGGGTGAAAAGAATACGGTGTCAGAGGAATACTCACTAACGGCTTCCTTCTCCTCCTCCGTCATTGCGAGGGCACCAGTCGAGCGGTCCCGCACACCCATGCGCTCACTCAACGGACCCAGGTCACGGTCATTCTTCTCATCTTCCCAGATATCTAAGAAAGGCTTGCGGTATTGTAGCTCAAGGTTGTAGTCCTCGGTCAAACTAGCCAAAGTCAGCAGTGTACAACATAGAATACAAATAAATACTCACGCTCGGAAAGCCTCCCAGGGAACAACGTATTCAGGCACCTCCTCAACTGCCTCCTGCATGAAATAGCTGTACTTCCAACCAAAGGGCGGACGGAAGACTCCATCCTCGGGTGTGGCACCAGGGAACTGAACTCGGTAGATATCATTGCCCCACGAGGCCCGCTCATCCTCCTCAACCTCGCCATCCTCTGGGCCCTCGGGCTCAGCAGGCTTGGCAGCTTCGCGCTCCTTGCGCTTCTTGTGGAAGTTGGAAACCTGGCTGGTGATGACATCGGAGTTGGGGCAAACGCCAATGAAGCGACCGCCCTTCTTCAAGCAGCCTGCAACATTGCTGAGCATCTGGCGAGCCTTCTCCTCGCTTTCAAAGGCGTAGTGAATGGCGAACATGGATGTGACGACGTCGAAGCCACCACCACCAAAGCGTGATGCCATGATCGACCCACCAGGTCCGGCATTCGCATCAATACCAACCTGTTGAATGATGTTAATATCACCTAGCCACTCTCCAAAGCAGTCTTTCGGATAAAATTCAGCATGGAAGATCGGCTGGGGTGGACGACGGCCTCGCTGGCCACGACCAGAGCGCATCTGGTCATATCGGCCCTGTGCCTGCTCAATGGAGATATTGGCAGGGTCCAGCCCAACATAGAGGTCAACGGTCTGCGGCGCCAGCTGCCACTTGCCCAGGTCACCGCCCTTGCCGCAACCCAGGTCCAGCACCAGCAGCCGCTTGTCATCGACAGGCGGGGGCCCCATACTGTCATCCGCCCAATCCTTGGTATCATTAAACCTCGCGGCAAATTCCTCATCAGGCGAGAACTTCTGAATCAGAGTACTCTTCACCCAATTGTTGAAGCTCCGGAGACCCTTAATCTTGCTTTCAGTTTTCCGCCACTCACGGCCACGCTCAGGGACCGCGTTGTAGTGTTGCCGAACCACATCTGTCACGCCGCGATCACGGGAGTTGCGCATTGCTTCATCCTGCTCTGCGCGCTCGCGCTCCTCCTGTCTCCGCCGGAGTGTTTCACGGTCTGCAAGACCCTGGCGCGCACCACCGCCTGGGCGCTTCCGCTGGCGAGGTGCCTCGGGTGAAGGAGAACGGGGCGCCAGAGGCGATCGAGAGCGTCGTCTCTCTCTGTCGTCGCGCGGCGTTGAGCCATTTGGGCTGCGGGAGCGATTCCGTCGCGGGAATACTGATGGAGGTGTTCGGCCACGCTTGCGTCGCTGGTGTCTCTCCTGCATTCTCTCGCGCTTGGATACTGGCGCGGGCGGTTGGTTTGGTCTGTCTGACGCTGTGTCCCCTTCCATGCTTCTTTGTTTTTGCTGGTCGCCCGGTCTGTAAGAGTCTGTGGCTGGACGGGGAGAGCGGGAGTCGGCAGATCGAGGGGGATGTCCCTCCTTAGTGCGGTTGTCCATACTGGCTGTGTGAGGGTGTTGTTGCGGGTTCGAGTTGTAAGGGTCTGAACTGCTCGGAGAAACGGGTCGGGAGAACAAAGGTCGGGGGGTTTCGGGAGGGATAAGATATCAGGATGAATTGTAAAAACCAGAAAATGAATGCCCTCTCTTCAAATTGCTAGGGACATCGTGAGTGAAGGAAGTGAGCGAGGTGAGAGCGACGGCACTTGAGATCCGTCGGATTGAGCTCCGTGCCTCAGCCAATCACAGCGAACAGAGCAGCCCTAACTACTAAGTTCTCATAATTTTTTAACTCATACTCGTATATTACTCCATCGGTCTGTTTGGATTACATTTGCTCTTTTTCGAACTGTCAGGTACTAATTGGTGGTCAATTGATAAATATCCACGTTCTCTCATTCGTGGCAACATATCACACGCCCAAAAACCTTGTGAAGCGATTCTTTGAGGCGTTAAAGAATTCACAAAAACTAAAATCACCTCGCAGGCTCGAAAGGAAACGAAAACGGTGGGTTGACTTGTCATTTTACCTCCGATAACACGCTAGAATATTCCAACCTTGAACTAGTGAAGTGAATAAATCGACTCTCACTATACCCTTATCCCTTCCTGCATGGACTTTCAAAAATTCCTCCAAAACCGCCATTAATCACCCAAACTGCATCAGGATCAAATGACGGTTGGCTCGACTGAGCACCTAAGTAATAAACTTAGTTTGTTGGTGTTCAATCCCAAGGTCATCCTCCTCAAACCTGAAGTCTAAAGAGTCGATCGCAGACCGTCTCGGGGAGCTCAACTACCAGCTCAGACTTCACATCGTTCCAGCTACTCTGTGCTGCAAGCTGAGTTGGGTAAGGGAACCCCACTGCAACACCTTCACGGCCCTCTAGGGGTGCAATCGATATTTTGCACTGGGTTAATCCGCCACGTCGCCAATCCATCAGATAATAGCGCTAAGTCTCAGACCCGTCTTCAGACCTTGCAACTAAGCCCAGCGCCAACCAGTCATCATGCCAACCAGGTAGACTTAGTGGCCAAAAGGACGTGGAGTTTGGGATATCGCCCCGAATTCCCCTGTATACTTTCATGCCGTCACAGACAGTCGCCAATTGCTCGGTGTTCATCATATCAAGCCGGCCACTTAGGTATATCCGACCTGGGATGCTCGAGATGCGCTGGCTAGCGCAAAACTCAACGCTAGGGCTGCTAGAGTCGTTCCTAGCGCTTCCACCCAGTCAGAAGCTTGTCGCACGGCACTCGCTGGTCTCATCGACACTTGCAAGCGCGGAACCCAACAGCTCCTCGGACGGTTCATAGTACGGAGATGTATCTATCGCTCTCATTCCCGCATCAATAGTTCGATTTGAACATAGCAATAAAAGAAAGCAGCAGTGTTAGATCCGTCTACCTTTCACTTATGCTAATGAGCGTTTCCCTTTTCCCACGTCTGTGAAGCTCCAAGACATGAATCAGGTTATACCCCGAAAATTTATCCTATTGGCTGTAGGGCTGCGTACTTCATCTATTTGAGCGGAGAGAATTTGATTGATTCCGGATAATATAATAGATATTGTACTCGATCATTTGTTCGCGAAAGCCCCGGATGTTCCCCCGCATGGCTCATCACTTCTTTTTAGCAAATAGGGTAATTCTGGCATTCCCCCACATTTCGGCAGGAAAGAGGCCAAAGCATCATATCTGCCTCTGCTTAGAGTTACTGTATTTATGCTAAATCTTGGAATAGTTTAATATCTTTAGCCCTCCGCATTTGCCAACTTCGGCATGGGGATACGACTGCGGAGAAGCAATCCTGGCAACTTATTTGGCAGTACAATGTTTCAGCGCACTAAACAAATAAAACGGAGACTGCAATGGCACGATACGTGCCGTGTAGGAGCATCCTAACCACCTGCCGGTGTGCATTCATAAATTTCTCCGGCTTTGCCATCTCAGTATCTATAAATGGACCGTGCCGCAAGGTAAAAGAATGAGTACAAATCCATACATACTATTACTACTCCGCATTCTTATCATCATGCGCCTGTATCCGTCGGCCGTTTTCTTTACTTGTTTCTTCAAAGGAGTTGCGGCCGGCTCGGGCGCCTCGACAACCTTATGGTATTCGTCCCCGGCGACCGACTTCAACGCTGCCTTGCCCATAGGTAATGGCCGCCTGGGGGCAATGATTTACGGAAAAACTGGCAACGAAACCATTAGCTTGAATGAAGATTCGATCTGGAGCGGAGGATTTACCAATCGAGTCAACACGAAAGCTGTGGCCGCTGCTCCAGATGTTACGGAGTATATGCTTGATGGCAACATAACCAAAGCAAATAGTGCTTGGGTTTCCGGCATGGCAACGTCACTGAGAGAGAGCATCTACCAACCCATGTGCTCCTTAGCTCTGGCTTTCGGACATGATGGCGCTACCTCATACAACAGAAGCCTTGATCTTCATGCTGGAGTAGCTACGGTCAGTTACATGCTTGACGGCACAAAGTATACACGCGAAGCTATCGCCTCTTTCCCCCACGGCATCCTGGCCTTTCATTTTTCGGCCTCAACGCCTAGTTCGATCAATTTCAACATCAGTCTGACCCGAACACAAAACGTCACTTCCGTCTCCGTGAAATCCAACGATTCGGTGGTTCTGAGTGGGACTGGATCTACGGACGATACTATTAGTTTCATCTCGGAAGCGAGAGTGATGACAGAAGGAGGTACGCAGTTTCCGACTGTACGCCGCTTTTAAGTTATTAATCAATTCTTACAGGGACTGTGACCGCAAATGGCGAAGATTCCCTCATCGTCAAAAACGCCGACGTGGTCTATATCTACGTGGATGGTGAGACTAGCTGGCGATACCCTTCTGAAGTCACACGCGAAGCTGTGCTCCAGCGAAAACTCAATCGTGCTGTCTCTCTTGGATGGAATAAAATCAGCGGAAAAGCCATGCAAGATTACGGAGGCCTAGCCCACAGAACGTCTCTCGACCTTGGAGACTCCGGTACAGCTGGGGCCCTAGCCACAGACCAACGACTGGACAACTGGAGGGCCGGTGCTAATTTTACCACCGACCCTGAGCTTATCACCCTGATGTTCAACTATGGCCGTTACTTATTGATCAGCTCATCCCGGAACGGATCGCTTCCCGCCAACCTTCAAGGGATTTGGAACGAAGACTTTGCACCCGAATGGGACTCGAAATTCACCCTCAACATTAACTTGGAGATGAACTACTGGGCATCGGAAACCACAAATTTACCAGAAACTACCTTACCGCTCTTCGAACACATTTCACGTATGCAACTCAGAGGGCAGGAAGTGGCGAGACAGATGTACAATATGTCTGGCTGGGTATGCCATCACAACACTGATATCTGGGGTGATTGTGCCCCCTTGGACTCTCAGACATACTATGCTGCATGGCCAATGAGTCCAGCTTGGTTGATGCTTCATCTGTTTGAGCATTATAGATTTGGCCGGAATGCGGAATTTGCCACTGAAAGAGCACTCCCAATTGTGGAAGGGGCGCTCGAGTTCTATTATGACTTTCTAGAAGAAAGAGCAGGCCAATATGTCACCCCTTACGGTGTATCACCCGAAAACCAGTACTACATTCCACCCGGGAAAGCCAATGCCAAGGGAAAGTCTGGTCTCGATGTCGCTCCAGCAATGGATCGCCAACTTCTTCACGAGCTTCTGTCTGGCTACCTTGAGCTGAAGAGCGCAAGCAAACGAACCGGTGGAGTTGCTAAAGCTCAAAAATACTTGTCCATGATCGAAGGTCCCATCATTGGGTCCCTTGGTCAACTCCTGGAATGGTCGGGAGAATTTAACGAGACGGAGGTGGGCCATCGACATCTTTCACACCTGGTTGGACTCTTCCCTGGTGGTCAAATCCACCCACTGATCAACAAGACAATTTCCAACGCATCCGCAGTCTCGCTTCAACGTCGTATGGACAACGGAAGCGGCCAAACGGGATGGTCTGCAGCTTGGGCTATTGCACTCTATGCGAGATTGTTCGATGGGGATAATGCGCTATACCGCGCAGGAAAACTCATAGACAATTCCGTTTTTGACAATTTGCTGGGAAAGACCAGCATTTTTCAAATAGATGCGAACCTCGGTTTTCCCGGAGCTATCGCAGAGTTGTTGCTTCAGAGCCACACCAGCTTCGTCCATATCGGTCCTTCCTTGCCAAAGACTCTAGTCCCGAACGGCAGTGTTATCGGCTTGAGAGCACGAGGTGGTTACGTGGTGAGCATGACCTGGAAGGAACACAGAATTACGAAGGCAAGCATATTGTCCACGCTTGAAGGGTCGCTTTCGTTGAAGGTGGAGGATGAAAGGAAGTTCCTTGTTGATGGTCATAAGTATACTGGGCCCATAATCACCAAGGCTGGGAGGAAATACAGCATTACGCTGAGTTAAAGAAACTGAACTGATCTAACTACTACCCATCATGCAGGAAATAGCCCTTCGGGATGTAAATGCTTACACAATTCAAATACTCCCAAGTTAGTCATAGACAGGACCAAGGTAGAGAAATTGTTGAACTTGCAGTAAGACTATCCATAAGATGTATTAGGTAGCTCTTGGGACGTCTTGGAAAGAGGATAACGACATGTTCATTAGCACTTCCATACAGACCGAGCTACCTCATTTATCGATACAACTTGGACCTTTTCAGCACCTTAATTCTTCGCCAATTAAACCCAGCGTCACTTTAGAGGCAAAATTTGGCGCTTGCTTGTTTATTATGTACGTCCATCTTATATTAACAATACAATCTAAGTGGAGGGCAGGGTAAGCTCCGAGTGTTCTTCCGGTGGGTTCAGCAATAGAAAAAGTTTCCCGCTATATCCCACTCAATTCTACGGATGAACTGTCGGAGACACGCCCGGTTGGGGTATAGAGATGTAATCCAGTGTAACATAGACTGTCATTACCAGGATAACCTCTACTTTAAGCGCCTCATGTCAAACCTCTTCGCCCTGAGTTTTATTTTTTCCGTTACTGGGACTCTCAATAAGCAATGAAGCTGCTCCAGTGGTGCATTTTGCTCAGTGGGATCAATGCCATCTTTGCACAGGAGGGCGCGCCTCTCGCAGCGACTCTGAATGGGACTTATTCGGGGCTTTACCTACCAGACTGGGATCAAGATGCATTCTTAGGTATCCGCTTCGCCCAACCTCCGGTCGGTGATTGGAGGTATCGACACCCTCGGAGTCTGAACACATCTTTTGAGGGCATCCATGACGCCAAACACTATGGCTATAGCTGCATGCAATACGTCGACCAACTCAACATGTCTGAGGACTGTCTGACACTAAATGTCATTCGGCCAGCCTATCCCTCACCAACCCCTCTGCCTGTCCTCGTCTGGATCTATGGCGGTGGCCTTGGAGTTGGAACTGCTGCAGATCCACAATACAACCTATCAGGAATTGTTAAGGTCGGCCAGGATATCGAACAGCCGGTCATTGCCGTCTCAATCAACTACCGGGTCAATCATTGGGGCTTTTTGCAGTCACAACAGACACTTATTGAAGGATCAAGCAACGCTGGGCTACTCGACCAGAGGCTAGCATTTCAATGGATTCAAGAAAACATTGCTGCGTTTGGAGGTGATCCTGGACGCGTTATATTATGGGGAGAGAGTGCTGGTGCCCAGAGTATTACGTATCACATGTTAAGCTACGATGGACGAGACGATGGCCTATTTCATGGGGCCATCTTGGAAAGTGGTGGCCCAACCGGCTGCCCAGTGAAAGACCTTGCCTACTGGACAGTACCATTTGAGAACCTCACTCGTTCTGTTGATTGTTATTCCGCAGGGGATCACTTGTCTTGTCTACGAAGTGTTGATTCAGCAAAGCTTTTAGCCGCGAGGCAAAGTCAAGAATGGCAAGGCCCATTGATTGACGGGGAGTTCTTAACGGGCTATCCAAGTCAACTATTACCCCAGGGAAAGTTCATCAAGGTACCTCTCCTTACTGGTGCCAATACAGATGAGGGCATTACTTTTAACCCGAGCTACCCCCTAAGCCTCACAAGCTCTTGTTAGAGACGGACAAAGACCTGTTTGATAACTTCTTGGCCTGGCGCACGTACGACTTGTCCCCACCTACCCTCAAAAAGCTGCTCGAACTTTACCCATCAGACACATGCGATGAGCCGCCGCACTCAATTACCAACTGTTCCCGGTTCCCGAGCATGGGGGCGCAATGGCGGCGTGCTGCAAACATCGGGGGCGACATGGTGATGATTGCAGGACGTCGTAAAATGTGCCAGGTTTTCTCGGAGGCAAAGCAGCAGGTATTCAACTATAGATTCGATACGCGCCTCTGGAATCGGACGGAACTGGAGGGTGTGGTACACTTCGACAATGTGGCGTTCAGCTTTCAAAACATCTCGGGTCTTTTGGGGCCATCGCCCGAGTATGACAGCCATCGACGACTATCGAGAGCAATCGGCAAAGCCTACATACGTTTTGCCTACAATTTCGACCCAAATCCTAGCGGGCATTCTGATGAAAGCCATGAGGATATTCCTTATTGGCCGCGGTATACTGTCTTGAACCCCAGAAATATGGTGCTCAATGCTTCCGGTAGCTACGTCGAGTCGGATACATACAGAAGAGAGGGGATTTCGTTCTTGAACTCCCCGGAAGTCTCGAGAGAACTGTTAGGTTAATTGATGTAGACATCTCATTATAATAAGCTGGCTAAAGTTGGAACGTCTCGCAGGTGAATAGAAACTCCAAACAGGTTGATAATTTGCATCATTTCAACTCATGCAAACAGATAGAGGTAGTAAAGGCCAAATCAACATGGCGAAGTTTCGTGTTTCGCATTAGGAAAATTAAATATGACAGAAGGTATGAGATATGCATGTCCAACGCCTGATCATGAGAAACTGCGACTTGGTGGAGACCATCAAGACGAAGCGGGTTTCGGCTTTGGCGTCCTACTTTTCAAGATCTGTCTCACTCGTTGGATCTTCGTCCACCACTCACTATCTGCTTTCTTCTTCGCCTCTGGATCCTCGTCTTCGAGTGGATGCTCCTCCACAGGCGTAGCAGGCCAAAGAGTCTCTGAAGATTTCGTAAAGCGCATGCGTCGTCGGTTCTTCACCTTGACGGCTTCTACCACCAACTCCCAGCCAGCGCGTAGTCTCTCAACTTTCTCGTTGGGTCGACCAGTACCACTTTGCGCCACCTTGTTGATCCAGGGACAATATTCCATGTGTTCACTGGCCACATCCAGGGAAGTGTAGACCGTGACTTCTCCGTTGTCTTTGGGTTTGTACATCCAGAGTCCCAACCGACGGAAGCATGCACCGCATCCGACTAAACCGGCAGCTCCATCGGAGGCCGTATCCCATCCGAACAATGCTAGTGCCAATGCTACTCGATTGACTGAGCGAGGAGCATCAGCGGATGAGGGATTACTTTCCGATGATTCTTGATTTTCACTGCGTGGCGCCTGACCCTCCGTCGTGGGGGCAGCTGCAGGCTCAGCCGGCTGAGCTGCCTCTTTGAACCAGTCATCGGGTAGTAATTTGGCGATGTCATCAAGGTTGGGCTCCTGAAGAGTTTGGACGACGTCATTGGCCGGTAACTTATCTCCCATCTTCAAAATGTTCATGTAGCGGTCGTGTAGTCCTGACAGGGCAACATCGCAATTGGTTAACGGAAGATGTTGAATAGTAGCTAGGCCCGTGTTAGTCAATGAAAAAGAAGATGTGTGATATACTGGCAGACTCACCATCACAACTCTTCTGGCGCCATGGGCAGCTCTCGCCATGACTTTCAACTAGCATCTTCGCATACTGGTCAACGAGCGTCGCACCTGTAGATGTGGCAGTTAGCACTGAACCCCAAGTCCCTAGCTCTAGACAACTGTGTGGAGTACTCACGGACTTCGTTCCGCTCCCGCACCTTCTCACTATCAAATCCATCGAGTTCGTCGATCTCATCAGGAAGTTTGATAACGACCGCACCACCGCATTCAGAGACGCAAGTGACGCGCTTTGAATCCGTACATATCCAGCCATGCTTCGCCCATTGTACCTCGTTGATAGGGGCCGGTTTTGAAGTCCATCGATCGACACGGCGAAATGTCTCTAGCCGCTCCAGGAACCGTTCACGATCCCAGGGAACAAAGGTTGGGCGCTTATTCGAGGACGCAGATGACGCAGATGACGTTCGGTTCGCGGGCCGAGAGATTTTCTGTATCGAATTGCGCACGGATGTGAGCTCGGAGCGATCGTTGCTGCTTAGGCGGACTTTCTTGATCGATACGTTGGCGGCGACACGCTCTCGAGCTGTCATGGGCGGAGCAGGGGGTGGTGTTGGTGTAGGCTCGGGCTGTTGAGGTTTGGATATTGAATCCAGGATCCGATGGAACTTGCGCTTCTTTGACTCCAGCTCATAAGACATGTTTGCGAGCGTGGAAGCAATCAAGGTGCAGTTGAGAGTTGGAGCGGCGATCACAAAGCGCCGGAGATTGTCGCCTCAGGCACCAACATCGCTTTTGGGTCTACTGGGCGATACAATGCTCAATAATGAATCGGAGAACAGGAAATTGTCTGATCTTTTGATCTGCGAGTGCTCGACGGCCACTTTAAGCTGCAGACTCCGACGTCGTTGTTGAGACAAATGCTCTGTTGCTGATTGGCCGATGCGCATTCCGCGATATCATACGATTTTCGAGATCGCGACAATTTTCTTCGTTACACTCCTCCCTCTTCCAACAGCCATGGCTTCTCTAGGGACTACTCTGCCATTATGGCGGAGACTTGCGCCCCGTCTGGCGAAGGATGTATTTACTTGCCGCCAATGCCTCCGCAACCAGGGTGTTGCAGCCAAGTCGATCCGTCGTTTCGGCGCCATGCCCTCCCGCCAGCCCACTAAGAATCAATCGACCCTTTTGAACAATAAGAACCGCCAATTCTTTACCTCGAGCATCCAGAGATCCGCGGCCGCACAGGCTGCTGCCGAGGTTATCCAAGGGGGAGCAGATGGCGCCAAACGCAGCTTCCCCAAGATCAGCGATAAGGCCGTCGCCTACTGGCTTCTCGGCAGCGCAGCCAGTGTTTTCGGAATTGTGGTCTTCGGTGGTCTGACACGGTTGACCGAATCAGGGTACGTATGCGTGATATGGGACGCGAAGTGAACTTCCGATGCTGACGGACAAATTTTGGTATAGATTGAGTATCACCGAATGGCGACCTGTTACCGGCTCTCTTCCCCCCATGAACGCGGAACATTGGGAGTCTGAATTCGCAAAGTACCGCGCATCCCCCGAATTTCAACTGTTGAACCCGAACATGACCCTGTCTGAATTTAAATCGATCTACTATATGGAATGGATTCACCGGCTTTGGGGCCGGTTCGTTGGAATGTCCTTTGTCCTGCCAGCTGTATACTTCGTCGCACGCAAGAAGGTCTCCACGCCCATGGCGTGGCGTCTGTTTGGCATTGCTGGTCTCATTGGCTTCCAGGGATTCCTGGGCTGGTGGATGGTCAAGTCTGGCTTGAAGGATGATCTATTTGCTCCGGGCAGCCACCCCCGAGTGAGTCAGTACCGTCTGACTGCTCACCTGGGTGCTGCTTTCACTTGCTACGTTGCTATGCTGTGGAACGGTCTTGCTATCCTGCGCTCTCACCGGTTGATGGCTGATGCCGCTGCTGGTATTGACGAGTTGGCTGCCCTGCGTTCCGGGAAGCTGGCCTTCTTCCGCCGCTCAGTTGCCGGTATCGCTCTCTTAGTCTTCACTACTGTTATCTCTGGTGGCCTCGTCGCTGGTCTGGATGCTGGACTTATTTATAACGAGTTCCCATACATGGGCAACGGATTTGCTCCACCAAAGGAGGAGCTGTTCGATGCTCGCTATTCCCGACACGAGGACCGCTCCGATCTCTGGTGGCGCAACATGCTCGAGAACCCCTCTCTCGTTCAGCTTGACCACCGCATGCTCGCCATGACCACCTTTACTTCCATCGTGGCCTTGATGGCTTACACTCGGCTTGCGCCCTCCATGAAGCGTCACCTGCCTGCTGCCGCCAGAAAGGGTGTCCACGGCGTGTTCGCCTTTGCTTGCTGCCAGGTTGGCCTTGGTATCTCCACTCTCCTCTACCTCGTTCCTACTCCGCTTGCCTCCGCCCACCAGGCTGGCAGCTTGTTCCTCCTCACTTGGGTTATTGTGCTGGGTAGCCGCGTCTGGCACCCCTCTCGTACCGCCAAGTTGGTGAAGATGGCATCCGAGATGGCCAAGAAGCAGACACCTCGTGCTCCTTCTTTCACCGCGAAGAGGGTATAAAAACCTGACTCGACTGTGTGTATGAATATGGCGACCGAGGCCAGGTGCAAATCTACCCTTCTTGGAAACACTTACAATCTCCATTCATCTTCCGACTCGAAGCATCGCATGAGTCTTTTGTATAACTAGCACTACCGTTCCTTTATTGTAAAAACATCCCTTGAACATGATACAATTGCTTCAAATCTGAAAGGCAAAATCAAACTATGATCCACTGCAAATACTCCTAATTTCCAATTCCCTCGTCCTCTGTCAACATCCATATCAAAGCAAAGCACATCCCCAACCGCGTATTACCAGAAATCCACTCACTCCGCCATCCGCGAGGAAGGACGAGCACGACGCTCCGGATTCCGCCGAGCAATCTGATACTGCAAAGGCAGCCCATCCTCCCCAATGGGAACCTCAGGCTCATCCACGCGCCGCGGTACCGAGACCCTCTCGGTACCAGGCGACAAAGTAACCTCAGAATCACTCCAGGAAACATCAGCCTCATCGCGAGAACGTTCGCGTCCACGGAAAGGCAGAGCTCCAAGCCTACCATCAGAATCGACATTCCCAGAACGTGCCCGTGCTCCATAAGCTGGAGCGGAAGCAGAACCAAGCTTGACCAACGTCTCTGCAGCGCGAGCTTCAGCACTCGTATGCTGAAGAGATCCAGATCCCAAAGTCCCCTGGCGAGGAGTCGAACCCGCACGACACCTCCTGGAAGGTTCCTCAATGTGCATACTCCCAAATGAAGAATGACCCCGGTCCCCTGCGCGCCGGTTGACGCACGCGCGGCAGATCTGCCAGCCGCAGGTGTTGCAGCGGGACATACCGTCTCTGTTTCGCTCGTTGCCTTCGTCACATTTTGCTGTGTGGGCCGCTACATCGGAGAAGGTTACGAAAACTTCCGGTGTGCTTGTGCGGCTTGGGCGGGCAGTTGAAGGTTGTGGAGTTGGTGTTCCATTGGCTGAGGGAGGGAGGTCGAAGTCGGTGATAGAGGGCGACGGAGCTGTAGGTACGTGCTGTCAGTTGCTTGATTTCTTTGTGGAGGTTTCTTAGGGTATACGTACCCTCGTGTATATGGCGGTTTTCGAACAGGATGGGAGATTGACGACGACTAGGCGCAGATATGAGTTCGTCTCGGTGGGTGAAGACCTATTGTGTTGACAATCAGTCAGAAAGCTCCGTTGATTTGATGGTTGTTTTATACGCACGCCGTGAGAAGTAAAGCCCGGTCCCTGGAATGGCTAGCGAGAGTTAGTGCCATGCCCAGAGGAGATGGTAGAGGTATACGAACGTTGCATCTCAGATCAGAAACGTCATGCCCTCGGACAGGATAGATAGGATAGAGATTTGGGAGTAGATGGCTATTAAGCCCGTTGATAGACTGAAAAGGCAATCGACATCCAGCAAGAACATCGTCTGAGCTACCGTTACCCATCAAAAGGATTGGTCTGCCATGGCTAGCCCAGTAGGCATCCAAAGACGCATCGAGTTCGCTGATGGAGAGCACCCCCTCGTGATCCCGTTCTTCTGACATCTTGAATACCTTTGATGGTCAGTGTTAGTTGATGATGAGAAATTCCGTGGCAAGGTGTAGATACTGAGATGTCTACCGTGAGATGATAGATGGACTTCGAAGTCCAGGTGAGAGGAATCCCAAAGGAAGGACGAAGGAGCACCTCTTCCCTGGATGATGATTCTTGGAAGATCAACTCAAGTTGATGTCTTCACGGGGTTTTATGATTAATGGAGAAGTCTCCAGTGATGCGTCTCCTCGAGGACAAAATGAGAGAGTTGGAAGAGAGAGGGGAGGAGGGAGGAAAGATGGAGGATGGAAGTAAGATGTCAAATGAGTAGGCTTTATTTATGCGTAGTCTCAGGGTCAAATAATCAGATGTTGGGATGGTATATTGTGTTCGAACGGGGATTTCCGTTTCATTGGAGACAAACAATCAGTACTCGACATTGAATACCAGATTTGAGTGAATGCAACTATTAATCGTTATCGACATTCCTACTATATCTCTAAAGCCTAGGATGTGCTAGAAACATTCTCATTCCTATACAGACATTGTAGTCTTTAGCCCTATCAAATAACAAGAATCAAAGTGTAAAGTTAGTGCGAAGGGAGACCTACCTCAGGCGCGAGGGTATTGCTTCTAGTATGCGCTAAGTTGAGCGCTATTGTTTAGTCAATCCGAAGCTTGTGCATCTAGTGGCTTTTCTATTACTTGGAGGAAGTGTAGAATGGAAATTGGCATTGCGTATTCTAGGAAAAGATATGAATGCACTGCGGATGCTACAACATCAGTTAGGGCTAACTTCGCGCCAAGTGATGTATGGTCTGTGCTTTTATATAGCTCGAGAATCAACGTAATAAAGTAGTTTATATTTCATGAGTAATGGCTATAGGAGGTTCAAAGCTCTCTCTCAGGAAACAGGATGATGGCCAGAAATATAGTACGGGTCATGAGGGTGCTTCAGGCGATGGTTGCTTATAGCGGAACAGTTGATGTACAGTATGACTCTCCGAAGAAGGCTATTGCTCCCAATCACATCCAACTACGAAAACAAAGATCTTTTGAAAAAGTTAGAACATGGCTGGGATATTTTTTTGAAGACTATTTTATCTGAGGCATTTCTCATATAACAGCTGCTGCATGCAAAATCCTAGAACCATCACGCATTCAAAACGTCAACATCCAATTCTTGGAGACATCATTTTATTCATTTGTGGGCTGTAGATTCATTGTTAGTGATATGGGCTCTTCGAAATTACAGGATATTAATAACATACGAATTCCTTCCTCGGGCATGGGTTCAACGCCGGCAACCTCAGCGGCAGACTTCTCAGTGGCAGCGGACTTGTCGTCCTTCATCATAGGGAAGGCCAGGACCTCCTTGATACTGTAGTTGTCGGTAAGGAACATGACCAGGCGGTCAATACCCATACCCCAGCCACCAGTAGGAGGCAGACCGTACTCGAGAGACTGGCAGAAGGTCTCATCAATCATCTGGGCCTCGTCATCACCCTGGTCCTTCTGGTTGGCCTGCTCCTCGAAGCGCATACGCTGGTCGAATGGATCGTTCAACTCGGTGTAGGCGTTAACGATCTCCTTCTTGCAGACGAAGGCCTCGAAACGCTCGCAAAGACCGACGTTTTGGCGGTGGTACTTGGCAAGAGGGGACATCATCTGGGGGTGACCGGTGATGAAGGTAGGGTTGACACAAGTCTCCTCAATGAATTCGCCAACAAGCTTGTCGAGCATGCGGGCGTTAGTCTGAGGGGGCGAGCAGTCGACCTTCATCTTCTTCAGCATGCGCTTAAGGAACTCATTGGTCTCCTGGGTGTGGAGCTGGTCACCGGGCGGGAACTTCTCGCCGCAAGCCTCCTCCAAAGCAGGAATCATCTCCACTCGCCTCCAGGGCGCCTTCCAGTTAACGTTGTAGGTCTCGCCAGACTGGGTGTGGAAAGTGGTCTCGTAGCCACCAGTGATTTTCTTGACCAGGCCGGAGATCAATTCCTCGGTCAGGTCCATGACGTCGTAAACATCCGCGTAAGCCCAGTAGAACTCACAGGTGGTGAATTCGGGGTTGTGAGTAAGATCGATACCTTCGTTACGGAACTGACGGCCGAGCTCGTAGACACGCTCGAGACCACCGACAATCAGCATCTTCAGGTAGAGCTCAGGAGCGACACGCATGAACAAGTTCATGTCAAGGTCGTTGTGGTGAGTGATGAAGGGCTTGGCGGTGGCACCACCGGCAATGGCGTTCATCATAGGGGTCTCCACCTCAGTGAAGTCACGGCTATCAAAGAATTGGCGAACGTAGCTGACAATCTTGGCACGAGTGCGGAAGATGTCGCGGGAGCGGTCGTTCATGATCAAATCAAGGTAGCGCTGGCGGAAACGCTGTTCCTTGTCCTGGAATCCGTAGTGCTCGGAGGGAATGGCGTGCAGGCAAGGAGCCAGGAGGATGACTTCGGTAGCGAAGATGGAAAGCTCACCATCGTCACGGTTCTTAGGAGAAGTGCGACCGGGGAAACCGACAATACCGACGATATCACCACGGCGGAGGAGCTCGTGCTGCTCTTCGAAGGGCTTGCCAGTGGCATTCTGGGCCTGGCACATGACCTGGACCTTAACACCCTCGGCGCGGATATCGTAGAAGTTCAGCTTGTTACCGGAGGTACGCTTGGTGAAGATACGACCAGCGATGCGAACGGTAACATCGGTCTTCTGTTCGCCCTTCTGGAGACCCTCATAGTCCTTCAGGAACTGGCGAAGGTCGGTGTCGACCTGGAACTTGTGAGGGTAGGGATCGGGCTGCTTGGTCTCGCGCAGCTTGTTAATTCTCTTGCTCCGAATCTCGAAGTATTGCTAGAAAAGACATGTTTGATTAGCCTCAATTACCCCACCATGCGCGCACAGCACCAGTCACTCACGTTAGGGGTCAGGTTGGCCTCATCATCCTCAGCGGAGGTCTTCTTCTCGGCCTTCGCCTTGGGGGGCGCGGCGGCCTCCTTCTCCTTCTTCTTGGCATCATTCTCGCGCTTCTTCTGGCGTCTCTTCAATTCGGTCTTGGAGACCTTCTCGCCAGTAACTTCGTCGAGTAGAAGGTTGGCCATAGAGACCTCAGCCTCCTTAACAGGGTTGGAGTCCGCCATAATGTCTGTGTTGAGGAAACAAAAGTGGATGGTGGGATGAAGGAGGGACACTTGAATTTTTGGGCGGGATCGGCATCCCGCCTGATTGGGCGTCAGTAGAAAGTCCTCTCTGACTCATCTACATAGACTCACTGCTTTGAGGCTTCAATCCTGCATGATCACACATGAGCTACAGACCTCGTTCTACTCTTAATTATGCTCTTTTTCTCATATTTCTATCAGTTCATGGATACTAAATTGGGAACTTAGGGCTTAGGGCATTGCAGTGGGGTTTTACCCCGCCATGCCATTTTCGGTCGGTAAGACGATCTATACAACCTCATGTTACGGGTATAACCTCATTTCTGTTGAATACGTGCAATGCATTGGAAAGTATACTGGGATATCGCTGAAAGGTGAAGGAAGACACTGAAAACTCTCCAAAGGGAAGTAATTACTAGGAATCTGTTGAAGGGAGCTCGAGAATTTCACAGAGATGAATTCCCAATATATAATGCGAAAATAGTCAAGAATACCCAGTGAAGAGATCCAGGTAAAAGGTACTATGCTGATATATTCCTTGACGTTGTTTCTTTCTCTTCACTCGACCAATCCTGTATGCTTCTCATGTTATGGTTTGGTGTTCATTCTAATATCTCCATCCTATCCCAGAGAAGCGCAAAAGAATGCGTAGTGAAGTTCCCAAAAGCCTTGTCACATATTTCAAATTACAAGCTTTTGGTCAGATCTGGATGCACCAGATTGGGTTTGTGTTGTTTACCTGTCTCGTCTCCAAGTAAAGACGAACGGAAAACCCCAACTTCCTCTTTTTATCCCTCTGTTCAACTAGTATGCTCTGAGGAATCACCCTAAACCTCGTGTCTCTTCTTCTCCCATCTCTAACTCCGTTATCATCTCTCTCCTTCTCTCTTCTACATCCCTCCCCCATCCAGCATTCACCCACCTCACACGGTTCATCTGATTTAGATCATACTTGATCGAGTCTGTAACCTGTACAACTTCCTTATTCTCTAGTTTCATTCTTGGTACGTATATCAGCTTCGTGATATGCCAAGTTGAGCTTCAATCTCACTGTCTGGTCTCCTGGGGTCTTTTCTTGAAACTTACAACTTCTGTCTGCTCAGGTCCAGATTTCATCATGGCTTCTACCGGTCGATCTCCTGCCACCAAGGAAGAAATGGATCCATTTTTCACTTGTGAGCGTGATATCGTCAGTGAACGAAGACCTTTCTTACTGACTCATTTTGTCTTCCCAGCGAATCTGTCGCTCCGGCACAATGTTCCCGCTCAATCCAACCAGCCCATCGAGAAAGGCCCCTTTCACTATTACGCCATGGAAATGAAGAGCCTGGTCCAGAAGATTCAAGATCTCCGCCACCTAGGCATCGAAGACAGCAAGATCGTTCTTCCCAAAATCTGTGTTGTCGGGGATCAGAGCACTGGAAAAAGCTCCCTCATCGAGGGTATCTCTGAGATCAAAGTCCCCCGTGATACGGGTACTTGTACTCGTTGTCCCATGGAGATCAACCTGTCTGACAGCCATGGGCCTTGGCAGTGCGTCATGCACATTGCACACCGTTACACATACATGCCAAACAACCGGGGAACACAGCTTCCCAGCAAGGCAAAGCCACTGGGGCCTTGGGTTGCCTCAGGTGGCAATGAGGATGAGCACTTTACTACTCTGTTCGAGAAAAATGATGTCAAAAATGCCATTTGGTGGGCACAGCTTGCGGTACTGAACCCACAGATGGACACAAAGGAGTTTGTCCCAGGTAATAATCAAAATACACAGAAGACGGCCCTGGTGAAGTTTTCCCCCAATGCTGTACGGTTGGATATTTCGGGGGCCGGCCTGCCCAACCTCTCCTTTTATGATCTCCCTGGCGTTATAAGTCAGACCGAACAAGATGGAGAGAAGTATCTTGTTCGCCTGGTTGAGAATCTGGTCAAGAACTACGTCTCGCAAAAACATTGCATCGTGATCTTAACCCTCACCATGACCGATGATGCAACGAATTCCAGCGCCGCCCGGATCATTCGTGACATTGAAGGTGCCAAGGAGAGGACGCTGGGCGTTTTGACTAAGCCCGATCGCGTGTCGAATGCTGAGTCTTTTGACCAGTGGCTTGAGATTCTGGACCGGAAGAAGTTCACACTTGGTCATGGGTACTTCGTCATCAAAAACAACCCCAATCCTCTGGTCAGCCACGCGCAAGCGAGAATGGAGGAGGACATATTCTTCACCCAACCACCATGGAACGTAGAGCTCGCGGCGTATGGCAACTCTTTCGGAACTGCCAAGCTCCAAAACTCTCTGTCAGAATTGCTTCGAAAGCAAATTCTGGGATGCCTGCCCTCGATAATTGGGCAGATTGACGAGAAAGTGGACGCCATCGACAATGAACTTAGTACTTTGCCTAATCCCCCGACTGAAGATGTCCAGAGGATTCTTTGGGGAAAGACTTCAGACCTTGAGCGCAAAATCCAGGAAATATTCGATGGGAACTCAAGCGTGACCCCGGCAGCAAAGAAACCTCTTCAAGAAGAATGGAATAGAGTCGTCATCGACTTTCAGTTGGCCTTGTCGAAGACGCGCCCAGTCCTCGACATGACCACATCTACGGACGAACAGGACCTCGCAGAAGATTCCGACTGCGAGATCTTGATGGTCAGCATATCGCCCAAAAAGCGAAAACTGTCCGCCGACGTCAAAGTCGAGGGGCAAACTGAGTCAAAGTCGACTTCGGCCTCCCCAAGAAGTCCAGTTTCAACACATCTCTTTTCCAGAACCGCGAAGGAACTGCCCATCGCTTCACGTTGAGCGCATTGGCAGAGATCAAAGTTCGCTCCAACACGGTGGGAGTGCCAAATCAGCTTGATCCCCGCGCGATCGAGAACCTCAACAAGAAAAGCGTAGAGCACTGGGGCAAGCTGACAGCTACCTTTGTCAAAGCCCTTCATCGTCTGGTGCTGGATATCCTTTTAAGCGCTTTGCACGAGGAGTTCAATCAGTACCACCAAACGGGACTGTATCAAGAGCTTGACAGAATTATGAAGGAATACCTGGTTACCATTCAAGATTCCCACCTCAATTACGCACAGGAGTATTGGCGAAGTGAACATGAGCAGCCCTTTACAATGGCACAGATACAGCATCAGACTCTCATGAAACAGGCGTTGGAGACACTGAAAGCTCGACGATTCAGCGCGCGTGCTACTGTCTGGTTGAAAGTCCGGGGCTATGACATGACGGACGAGAAGCTGATCTCAGACAGAAAGAAGAGAATGTCTCAGGAAGAACTTGGTGCGGATCGTTATGCTCAAGAAATTGAGATGATGGCCGTATGTCGCCCCACCGCCAGGCCCTTTACTTGACCTTTGACTAACTCTTTCATGCAGAGCTCGCTGGCATACTATGAGATCGCCCGTTCGCGTTTCCTGGATGTGCTGTGCCAGTCTACCCATACCAAGTTGATTCGGAAGTGTCGTGCGGAGTTGGTCAACAATATTCGTGACGAGCTCCAGATTTTCGGGGACAACGGTAAGCTCTCAGCACAGAACTGGGAGTTGAAATATCGCTAATTATTTATTGACTCAGGACGCGAGCGTTGCCTGGTGCTGATGGCCGAAGACACCGAGCGTCAGAACCGTCGGGTTTGGTTGTACAAAGAGCGGGAGAAATTCGCGAAAGCCCAAGAATGGATTTCGACCCTCAGAAATGAGGATCTTGAGATGGCGGACTCGGAGACCGCAGAAGCCGGCGGCAATGTTGCATGGACGTCATGCGCACGCGCTGAGGCAGAATTCTAAGCATTCATGATCGATTTCATGGTTGCTGCACATGGAAAGCTGTGACTTCCTCAAGTCTGCGCATTGAGGCTTTGCTGTGGAAGTTATTTGTTTGTGGACCCTAATTGATGGCTCACGAGATCTACAATTTGACAAGCGAAATAGATCCAGACAGGCTCGAGAATGAGATACAATTGGAGACTGTTATCAAAGAGTGAAAATCTAATTTTGTAATATCCAATCTGTGCCCAAAATGGATCATCCTTCTTTTTATAAGTATAGCTGCTCTTTCCCCAGTACAAGGGTGATGGCACGATATTGGGAGCGAAGAGCCAGGGCTTTATAAAGTATGTTGAGAGTCTAATTAGGACACACATTTGTATACTTTTCTCACTAAAATACCGACATGGATACAGACTTCCCACTTTTTCCAACCTCTTCTTCTATCCGCAATCACGGGGACTCGACTGACATTGCATCTCCTGTCAGGAGTATCATGCCCGAGTAAGCGGGGCCCTAGTCTTCCTAAAGTGAGCTCACACTATCTGTGCCGTGTGGATTGCGATGCTTGGAAACGTTTGGAGGCTCCTACTAACTGATTGCAGGCTCCCTTCACCACCACTACCAACCTACGTTGCCACGTGGAAGATCATGGGCTGCTGGTGGCGGACACCAGACCTGGTCCGCTCAGAGATATGGAGCAGGGTATTGTTATGAAGTTTTACGATTCTGTAAAGGCGAAGAATGAGGAGCTTGACGCTGTTACCCAGGAAGTATGGGATAGTAAATTTTTGTTTTTGTCTTTTTGCAATAGCTCCTTCATACAGTGGAGGTACCTGACGACAACGTCATTACCAGGCTGATATTAAGAGTAGAGTAGTTTAAAGAAGAGTAACGTAGAAGCCGAAAGGAGTAAAACGTTGATGTCAGGTGAGTCCCCCACCGAAAGCGTCGTCTTGGCGGAGATCTGCCTCTTCGACTTTGGAGTTTCTGAACTTCTCTCATATTCCATACCCTTTTGTCGCAATGCTTCAAGTTCCTGTGCGGGAGCATTCTAGTCAGGCCTCCACCAAGGCCGTGATCTTGGTGAGTGACGGAATGATCGCCGCCTTCCCGTAACTGACACCTTGTCCACAGGTCGGAGGTCCCTCGAGAGGTACTCGATTCCGCCCATTGTCGCTCGATGTGCCCAAGGTACGTACCTGTCTGCTAGTTGATCGTGTCTTCGGATGCACAAAGCAAGGAGCTGACCTGTCGTTCCACATAGCCCCTATTCGAAGTCGCCGGCCACCCTATCATCCACCACTGTCTGAAGGCGGTAGCGAAGGTCCCCGACGTGCGTGAGGTGTTGTTGGTTGGATATTATGATGAGACCGTGTTCCGTGACTTCATCAAGGATGCCTCGAAGGAATTCCCCCAATTCCGCATCTCCTATCTGCGGGAATACACCGCATTGGGCACCGCAGGTGGGCTGTACCACTTCCGTGATGCGATCCTCAAGGGCAAGCCGGAGCGCCTGCTCGTGCTGAACGCCGATGTCTGCTGCTCGTTCCCATTGGGCGAGATGATGCGCCTGTTCGACGAGAAGGATGCCGAGGCCGTGATCTTGGGTACACGGGTGTCCAACGACGCTGCGACGAACTTCGGATGCATTGTGTCCGACTCCCACACCAAGCGTGTCCTGCATTACGTTGAGAAGCCTGAATCGCACATCTCCAACCTGATCAACTGCGGCGTGTACCTCTTCGCCACCGAGTGCATCTTCCCTGCTATCCGCAGCGCCATCAAGCGTCGCACAACCCGTCCCCGCCTCCTGTCGTACCCCTCCTCCGATAACCTGGAGTCCTCCTTCGTCGCGGTGGGAGACGACGAGGATGCCGAACAGAGCGAGGTTCTCCGTCTGGAGCAGGACATTCTCTCCGACTTGGCTGACAGCAACCGCTTCTTCGTGCACGAGACCAAGGACTTCTGGCGCCAGATCAAGACCGCCGGTTCTGCCGTGCCCGCCAACGCCCTTTACCTCCAGAAGGCATTCCAGGCTGAGTCCCCTGAGCTCACTGCCCCCTCTGCCACCATTGTGCCCCCGGTCTATATCCACCCCACCGCTACCGTCGACCCCACGGCCAAGCTTGGACCCAACGTCTCGATCGGCCCACGTGTCGTTGTTGGCGCCGGTGCTCGTATCAAGGATTCAATTGTGCTCGAGGATGCCGAGATTCGTCACGACGCTTGTGTCATGCACTCCATCATCGGTTGGAGCAGCCGTGTCGGTGCCTGGGCTCGTGTTGAGGGAACACCTATTCCGATTGGTAGTCACTCGACCAGCATCGTGAAGCACGGCATCAAGGTGCAGAGCATCACCATTCTGGGTAAGGAGTGTGGTGTCGGTGACGAGGTCCGCGTGCAGAACTGCGTGTGCCTGCCTTACAAGGAACTCAAGCGGGTCAGTATCCCCATGACACGTTTGTACGTGCGATTGACTAACATTGTATACAGGACGTCGCCAACGAGGTCATTATGTAAACGTGCAATTATTTGGTCTTTAAAATACCTCAAATCTGTCTACCTTTTGGATGGATATTTGTTTCGTGAGCGTAGCCCATCTACAGCGTCTTTTCCCTTCAATTTATCTGGAACCAAAATGAAGAGTCGTTAGATTTGATTTCTCGCATTTTGCTCTGTCTTGTCCTGATGCTTTTGTTCCAGATATCACACATGCCAATAATGAAATGAATCCTTTGAAAGCGCCTTCATGACCCAATTCCTCCAAATGCAATCGGAAGATATATCATAAAATTAACCGCTTGCTGTCATCACAAAGGAAAGAAAACCCCGTCAATCCATCATCACTCAGCGATACGCCGCAGGATCATACCCCGTATACTCCCTCTGATACGGATCCTGATATCCCTGTCTCCCGCGATGGCTCATACCACCAGCATCATACCCATAATACCCCTGCGCATCACCAGCATGCGCGACCTCCCCATGAGCCTCATACTCATACCCATGCCCATACCCCTGCGCCCCATGCATAGTAGCACTCGAATTCGCCGGCGGCAAATTATCAAAATCCTGTAGCGCAGGGGTCGCCTCACTCCCACCCCGCTGATGCCCATGACCAAGATTATGAGCATAATGATCATCCATCTTAACATCAAACGCCCCGGCATCATCAAGACCAGGCTGCGAGCCCATAGCGCCATAAGTGCCAAAGCGGTTCTGGCGCCGGCGAACAATAATATCCAGCCATAATGCGGAGATGTGTGCGACCAGGGCGATGATCGTGAATGTGAAGAGGGCTTTGTAGCTGCGGCAGACGGAGATTCCCGTTGAGTTGCCCCAGTGTGTCGTTGTGCAGGATGTTGTTATCGTGCCAGAGAGGGACCAGCAAACTAGGCCGAAGGAGATGGCCCACAGGATGAGGAGGATTATGTTTGCTGTTATTGAGAGTTTTGGGGAGAGGCCGCAGCTGCAGTGGATTAGGGTTGTTAGGAGGATGTTTAGGAGGGAGAGGGCAGCTGCTACGAGGAGCTGGAGGTTTGTTAGTTATGGGGTCTGTGGTTATTTGGGGTGTTGCTTACCACTAGGAATGAATATGGTAATTTGTAGCCATCGGCGTGGAGGTGGTAGATAAACACGGCTAAGATTGCGCCGACCACGATTGAGGAGAGGAAGCCGAAGAAGCGGATGGCGTGGAATGGCAGTGGCGGGTATGCCGAGGGCTTGACGGAGGGTTTTGATCGCATCTTGAGGTAGATGCAAGAATAAAAGATGGAACTGGCAGAGCAGCCCCTACAAAAGACCTGAAGGTAAATATGATCGGCGCTCCACACGGGCGTGCGTCACGGCGCTATTAATAAACGATCTGGGCTGTGCATTGCGTATGGCCTTAGCACTTCAAACACTTGGCTATAATAATGACACTTCTATTAAATACATATAAAGGGAGAGGCAGAAACAAGGTAAATAAACTAAGTTCAATTACTCTGTAGACCGAACTGTGAGAATGTTGTGGCTAACCTTATAACTATGGAATACTTGAAGCATGCCGCAATCTCTTTTACCGTAGATCGAATGTTTCACTTTAACAGACAAAACTCTCTACAACACTTCCAAGGTTCTTAGCATTCTTCCACAACCAAATACCAATTCCCCTCAGGCCACATACAGTAAACACCAAACACTAACGCGTTTAGCTCCCACCGTTGCCCCAGACCGAATCCCGTCCTGCCGATCATGCTCCACATGGGTAAGATGTACACATTGTTGACAGGGGCAACTGTCGCCACCGCAAAGTATCGAGAAGTCGAGAATCAGTCCGAAGTCCCAGCTGAAAAATTTATACTCAATTGAAGCCCCGTATCAAGTTGCATTTTCCTTTCATGATTTGCTCAGTATGCTTCGGGGCACCCAAGGTCCCGAGATCGGGAGTCTACCTAGCTATGGATTTATGTACTTTTCCAATCCACGGCCCTACCAAACCCTTTGATATTGGAATAGAAATTGGCGATGAGGGAAGTTCCCTGGTCAGTATGACGTTTGAAACGCACCTGCCTTTTCTTCTATCTCATCTACTCCCCCAATCCAGATAATCCTGATATACTCGCCTGCAATCACTAGTTGGTTAGCCACCAGGTTGATAGCTGTGATCATGATGTGCAAAGCCCTTTTTTTATAAGAAAACACCAGAGCCTTCGATTCTTCACCTCCCGCCAAGGTTGATGGACTTAATCTTCCCATACCTGCCTTAAGTCGCACAAGCTTGCTTAGCATTGAGCTGCAAAAGACTTACCAACAATTCGGATATATATTGAAAGTGCCCATATTTCGGTATCCTTAACCCACTAGACTGGACACGGACCTTTGCCTTAAAACACGATCTCGGTTTTTGAGATGGCACGAGTCTCAACCTCAAGGCTGGTGGTCCTGGCTATTCCAGGAATCTCGCTCTCGGAAATACTGTTATGCGTATCTTAGAGGTATAGCACTCATTAAATTAGTAATTACATCCCTTGGATGGATCCGACCCGGACTCTGGCTGGTATCCGCAACCAACAACCCGACGTCGATGTCTATGGCCAGGCATTATTGTGCTCGGTCCGTGTCTCAAATTATAACTCAAGAGAATGATGCGCATCTGTGATGAGCTTCGCACTGTAGGAAATTTGAATTATATGTCCCCGCGCTCGATACCACAAAGTGTATTCTAAGGTGGCACCAATGCACATACAAGAGCTCAAGCGGAAGACTAGCATATACGGTTACAATATCCGTTTCTCTCACTTGGACAGAGGAGGTGATTTTTGATTTTGAATACTCTATTCATATCGATCACTATAGGCCTTGCCGGAGTGCCAGATGAATCATGCTACGTCCCTATATGGATGCTTTCGAGATGATACGGGATGACAACAATCAATTCATTCCCCTGAGACTTATGAGCTGCAAAGATTGTGACATAGTCCCCTCAATAAAGGTTTCTAATGATCTCACCGAATACGAAATTCGATTCACGGGAGAATTCCGTCTACCTTGGATATCGAAATCCTATCCTGGTACTTTAGTGCTTGATGAGGATATTGCAAATTACAATCGGACACGGTATGGACCTCCTCTTTGAAAGATTTCAAACTAGAAGTGAGCTAAGTTATGATTGCAGGGTCTGTAGACCTTTCAATAAGTCAGTGGTAGTATCTTGTTTGTTGATGAGATTGTCAACCCTCATTCAACAATACTCAAGTATATATATATATAAATAAATGTAAATGCGAAGATGTTGAGGAGGGTTCCATTGTACTTCAACTATCTAGGGCAAGCAGTTGAAGTGAGGTTGAAGTGTATACTTTGAAGCGCCGATCACAAGCCCACCGCCGCGTTATCGATCTGCTGCCTTCGGGACCCCAACATCCCAATTCCCCAATTCCCCCAATTCTCCCTATTCTTCCTATTCTCCCATTCGCAGTTCCCCTTCCTCATCACGATCTCCCAATCCCAGGTGCAACAAGCAAACAATCACAGGTGTCACAGACGGGTTTCCCCGCCCTCTTGCCCATAAAACCAGCTCCGAAAGCTTGAGATTCCTCCACAGCCCACCATGTCGACCTACGAAAGTACGAGCTCTTCAGCCATCCCTCAGAGAAACCCACAAAGCTTACTATCCTCTTCTAGTCGAACACAATACAACCGACCCCTCAACGGCCCAACCCCCACGCCGCCGTCGCCCCGACCTCTCCACCTTCTTCTCTGCCCTCTCCGAGATCACACCCGCCCCAGACCACAGACCCCATGCCGTGCCCGTGCCAGGAGACATCAGTGCAGCATTCTACTCCCTTGCCGAAGCGCTGGAGATGATGCGCCGAGATGCGGGCACAGAGCCGCACACGCACGCGCAAGAAGGCACCGACAACGGCGATACGGATCACAGCCAAGATTTGTTGACCACGATGATCCAGTCGCTTCTTTCACAGGCGGATACACCACCGCGTGAGGTGGAGGGTGTTAATGAGGAATTCTGCGATAGTAAGATGTTTCCCTGGGCTTGACCAGTTCCTCTAAGCGGGGAATTTCCTCTTTTTTTTTTAGAGCTACTTTGCTAACCATGCTCAATCCCTACAGTGCTCGACCGCGTCCCCAAAGCCCAGCTTAAAGAATCCGATATCTGCCCTATCTGCAATAACCCCTTCGTGGAAGATCCTTACCCGCTCGTCGTGCAGCTACCCTGTCACCCTACACACCGCTTCGATATGGAATGTGTGCGGCCTTGGCTACGTCTGCGCGGAACGTGCCCGCTTGACCGGGTGGATTTCGCGAAGCAGCAGAGGGAGAAGGCTGAGGCGCGGAAGAAGCTTGTTGAAGAGGATGAGGAGGAGGAGTGGGATGGTATGTATGGCTGAGGGAATGGCGATGGTTGGAGTTGAGATATGCATACACAAGGACTAGTCATGGTCTTTTGTGACGAAGTGAAGATGAAGTTGACGATGAAGCATACCGGGTTGTTTTGCCTTACTTAGTATGAAGTGAATGACTATCCATGTTTTTCCATACTTTGTGTATATTTTGAACAGCATAGAAAGGGCATATTGGGTGGCTGTTGAGACATTTGTTTTTCTGCATCTCTTTACCTTCTTGGTACCAGCACATCACTTTACCAACCGAGGAAGGTTTTGATGATGATAATCGCGATACACATAGCCATCATTTTCAATCGCGTTGAAGTCTAGATATTCTGATTTGAGTCTCGAACAATAGTCTCGTCAACTTTTCAAGTTACTCTAGCTTGAATTTCAAGGCTATCGTAGACGTTCCCCCGAAGTAACACCTCCGTTTGTGATAGCCCGGCCATGTCGCTGTATCCTTTTTGAGGCATATACTATGGCGAAGGAAACCAATTATGCCTTTAAAGGACCCAAAGATCTCCAGGTCGCTTTAGATCAACTTCGCGTCTCAAGATGGCACCGCGATCTTATGCGTCATCCACTAGATTTATATACGAGGCGTCCCCGACACTCGCAGTTCGATTGGATAAACAATATCTGCCGGTAGCTCGTATTTGCAATTACAGTTCAGCACGGAGCCACACCAACAGTCTATTTGCAGGCCATTCAAAAGAGCCCCGGGCTTGGCAAGTTGTTGGAGCAATGATGCTGCCTGTTGGAGGGGCTGAAGCTAAGGCGTAGCAATATAAGCCGTCACCGTACCCCAACTCTTCAAATCCCATCCTCATACGCTCCAATCTTGACAGTTCAAGATCGTAATTATTCACACTCACAATGTCGGAAACACAAGACAGCTTCAGCTCATATGATGGCAGTTGCCACTGTGGACAAGTTAGCTTCACGGCGCAGCTCTCCTCGCCTATAGGAGAGCAGGTTGTCAATACTTGCAATTGTATAGACATAATTTTTGGGGTCCACAGAGTGGTGATTAAATGCTAATACGTTCGATTTTATAAAGGCTCGATCTGCAGTATCAACGCTTATATTATGGTTTATGTTCAAAAGGCCAATCTTACGTTCCATAACAGCGACGATGCTGTCAAGGTTCGTATCTTGTCTCCCTATTACTCTTGGTTTCCTTTATATTCTGATCCAAATCGACGCATAACTAACAACTAGAGATAGGAGTACCGCTTCGGAACCATGAAATATCCCCACGGATTCTGTCCTAACTGCGGGACTAGTGTCTACCTTCGAGCTCTTGATGGTGAATACAAAGATATTGTGGCTGTGAATGTAAGTTCCCACATATACCATAGTTCTAGCATTTCGTTGGCTTACGGAGGAGCAGGGACGGACCCTGAAGGATGTCGATTTCAGCACAATGAAGATTGAAGAACTCAATGGAAAAAGGATAAATGCCGGCTAGAGAGAAGAGCCATATGGCTTTCGAGTGTGTTATGTGGAGCCAAGCATATCTACACCTCGGGGCATGTACAATGTAGGACCCCATGGGTCTATGGGTGCACAGGTAGCTCTGTAGACACTTTTGACTCTTCTCATATCACACCAAAAGATGCTAGGTATACAGCTTGCTCAAGAAATCCTCAGCTGACCTCAATATCAATGTTCGACTGCAAATCCTTTCTCATGAACGCTTCCCACAGCAAGATAACCTGCCCATCTATCCCTTTCTCTTCTGTAATAGGCTCCTCCTTCCAGGCAACATACCCAAGACCCTCATACCATTCTTGAGTACTAAACGAAGGCGGAGAAAGCCCTAGTTTCGCCCATACGCCTCGCCATTCTGGTGCCTCATCATAAACATACCGTTTACTCAACGCTGTCAGTGTAATGAATCGACAGCGTGGGTTTCCAAATCGCTCAGTGGTAGCCATATTTTCCACTAACTTTACTGCTCGTTTTCCAAGTCCCAGAGAACGATATTCTGGCAAAATAAAGAAAGAGCTGATAGAAAGTTCGGTCCTGTTTTCGGGCGCGATGTCGGGTTCAAGTAATCCAGGTGATGCATCGAGTGATATATGACCAGCGCGGATAGTCTCGTTTCCGGTACTGGGTTGAGGAATGGTGATCCAAAACAATCTTTTTATGTTTTCTTTTTCTTTCCAGTCTTGTAAGGTTTGTAGGTCTGAATCCCATCCACAAATTATGCGCTGCCTTCTGATCTCGTTGAATTGGCACTCATTGTGTAGATCGATAGGCTCGAGGTAGCATTTTGATGAAGGCAACTGGATTCCCATGGCTAGGGATTGCATGAATGTACAGAGACGAGAAAAGTCAGTGGGATAATGTTTAAATCGACTTTCAGAGGAAGTAAGAACTCAGAATATAGCTGCGATGACTCGATCAACCACGTGATTTGGGCTATTTTTGTCGTTACTTGAATACTTAGGTAGTTACGGTTACAGTAAAAATTCTAACTTCAAAGGCGTTAGGTCAAGGGTGGACAAAGAATAGATGAAGAATGAGAATGAACTTACGAGTATAACAGAACGAAATGAGAATAGCCTCCGATGCTACCAGAATTGATTATTTAAAGTTGCTTCAAATGATTTGGTCTAATTTTAAGAGGCTCTCCTCAAAAGGTGTTAAGTGCTAGACATAATCCTGTGGATATATAATGATGCTTCCAGGCCTGGCCAGCCAGGCTGTCACACAAATATGTGAGGTGATCCTCCTGGAATGCAAATTGGAAAGAGGAAGACATGATGGATTGAGAACGGCGCGAAATAATTCAAAAATTCATGGGGCTGAGAGCAAGCAAGCTGTGATTTATCAAGGATGTCTGTGTTTGTTAGCAAACAAAGGCGACAAAGAAGAATGAAGGAAAAGGCCGACAGAACCCAGATTGAGCCCCACATACTCGAAGGAAGATTGGATTAAATGGAGGGAGTATAGAGTTGGATTTGGACTCCGAGTAATATTTTGTAGCTTTGTAAGGGTATCATAAAGAGTTCGCAAATCATTGCGATTTTGTGGCCGTGTCTTCATAAACTATGATACAAAGCCATGATAGGTATTCTTTAAAAGCAGTAGTAAAAATTCATGGGTATCAAGGACTTGTCTTAGCTTCACCCGAAGGGTTACTAGTCATCAGCACTGCGAAGAACTGCAAGTCCATCGCTGATGGCCCTACCCACTCCAATCCATCAAGGTGAGCCGCCTCGAAAGATAGAGTATCGGGTAAGGGCTTTGGGGCTAGCCCACTGCAACCGAGATGATCTGAAATGTCCAAGCTACCTCAGATGAGGTAGACATCGAGTCGTCCGGCCTTAGCAGCTTGCGGCCATCGAACCCGGCAACTGCGAAAATTCGATGATGTGGATAGGATCAATTGACCAACGGGCCTCGATCTCATCAACCACCGTCGATTCCTTACTGGAACCGAGACCAGATTCGAGGTCTAGAGGGCCAGTGGCTGGCAGTCTCGGCCAAAACTGCGCAAACTTACACTGGTTCCACTCCTTGACAAGAATTATGATTATCATAATTGCTAGACCCAAAATTAAGGTGCCAAGTATCAGCAGGTAGATCTATAGATAAGGATGCATGGTTAGTAGATGAGAGTGTAGGAAATATGACTGACAGATAAACAATATAATGCTGCGCGAAGAACCGAATGAGAATGTTTGGATGGATATCAAAGGTATAGTGGGTCTGTAGGTAATTGTGCTGTATCAGATGATGAAGCACGACGTGTGATGGTTTGTGTGTCGAGGAAATTAACGGCGACTTGGCTGCTACTTATACCTGGGCCGGACCGTTGAGTGTTCTTCGAGGAATGGATTCGTACAATGAAGTTTTAAGTTCTTTGAGTAGAACAACAAAGGGGACAAAGAGGATACAAATAGCTGAACAAATAAGATTCTTCGGTAAGTCTTCAAAGGATATACAGAGGTTGACAAAGTCTTTTTATACAAGACAACAAAGACTGAAGAATGCGTATATCGTTTAAGAGAAACAATGTCTTCATTCGAGGGTACAGTCAGAGGAGATTTCCCAGAGGACAGTCCCCAATAGATGGAGTACTATAGCCGATATGTGGAGGCTTGCTTTGAAGATGCTTCGGCAGCTTAGCCTATGTAGAAGATGGTGCCTGCAGAAACAGGAGATCCACTAGGCAGGGTGGCTGGACATGTCCATCTAAAGATGATGAGAAACGACATGTAGATAAGCTTTATGATTGAAAAGGCTAATAATTTCATGTATTCATTTAGTAAAGCTACCTAGGTAATCTGGGAAGCTGCCTCCTCTACGTACAATCATCAGACTTCCGTGACACGATCTTTCTGACGAATAGCCAACTTGCCCGCCTGGTTAATCATAGCCTCATATCCACTCCTTTCAAGCACACCACCGTCATCCTTAACGACCTCACGAGCTTCGAGTTCCTCAACAAGACGCTGATTTTCACGGTTGCCCTCGAGCAAGAACTTGAGGCACATCACGGCATGTTCCTTGATGTACGGATTGTGAGCGTCGAAGGCAGTGCAGCAAAGAATCGCTTCGACACCGCCGTAGCGACGGATCTGTTCTTGTACTTCGGGACACTTCCACACAAGGGATGAAAGAACCAGGACCACCAGCTTTTTAAGATTGCGCCACTCGAATTCGGAGGGGTCTTCGGTGATGGGTGGAGACTCAGGACGGGAGTCTACGCTGCCACCGCCGTTGTCAATGGGATCTGGATCGCTCGGGTCGTAAGGACGCTCGACGGCGACAGGGGCTGGCAGGACATCGCTTGCGGGATCGTTGCGGGGTGGAGGGGGTGGGGGGACGGAACCAAAGGACAGCTGGCTAAGCTGGCCCTTGGGGATGCTGGCTTCCAGCTCTTTGATAAGGGTCACCAGGTCGTAGACGATCTCCCATTTGACCAGCAGGTTCTTCCAGTCGTTGTTCTCCGTCAGGACAGCGAAGAATTCCAAGAACTGGTAGACACCTTCGTACACCCGTTCCATGTCCCACAAATTGAGCGGGAAGTCCTCTGGCAGAGCACGCTCGGCACGGATCTGTCCTTGCAGGTAGATCAGAGCGCAGGTTTCGGGGATGATGTTGCCACGGAAGATGGTAAATATGTATCGGACAGTAAGAATATCAACTCGGTTGAGTGAAGCCGGGTTGCGGGGAATGTTGGGTTGGGCTGATCCTGTCACCGAAGCAGGAGAGTACTTCGCGCGGAAGATGTGGGTGAGAATCTTGATCACCACAGCTTGTGCTGGAGAGATGATATCCTTAGGCTGACCAAAGTCGGAGTAAGCGTGGGACATGAGGCCATTCTTGAGCACAGCCTCCATGATCTGGACCATCATTTTAAAGTAGAGCTCGTCATCCGGAAGATCCCAAGCGGCGATGAAGATAAGAAGTTCCCGGAGTAGGTTGCGTCCCGTCTCTTGGGTGAGCAAAATGTGGCATCTCAGAGCTTGCATGTTTCTAGATCCATTGCGTTCACCACCCTTGAGTCCAAAGCTGTCCACAATGCCAGCCTGGACGATCATAGGTAAGGCTTCGATCTCGGCAGGTCCGAGGACAAGAGGGATGTCTGTCAGAAGACCACGTTGTTGATCACCAGGGCGACCACGGTATTCATCATCCTCATCGTCTTCGTCGTCCCCATCTCCATCTGCGCCATCGTCATCCACGTCATCTCCCTCGTCGCCATCGACGCTTCCATCGGCCATAGCCTCCAGGCTGCGCGAGTCGTCATCGCCGACTGTGTGTGCATCACCATGTTCATAGTCGTGCTCTTCGTCGCCGTCGATATGTGATGGCTCCTGTAGACGAGCCATGAGCTCGTCTTTGGCCTCTTGAAGGGTCTCGGCAGCAGACTGAGCTGACCGGGGCATGCTAGTGTCATCGTCCGTCACTGGTGCATCCACTGCGCCAAAATCGTTGATTTCAGGGAGATCTGCCCAGCAAAGACGAGGGAAACCGGCCGTAAGACTGCGATCAATGGTCAAGATGGTCTTCTTCTTAGTGACCTCGTGGTCTTCCTCCTCTTCGTGTTCTCCTTCCTCCTCGTGCTCTTCATGTTCCTCCTCTATCTCTTCCTCATGTTCCTCATGCTCATTCTCGGGAAGCGCAGGTGGGATCTCACGAGCTCGCTCTTGAAGATCTGACCAGCCATCCACCTTCGCTCCGAGTATCGCGGTCAGAGCAGCGCGGATATCCTTGACCTGATCTGGGTCCCGGCCCATCTCTTGGATGGCGCTCAAATCCCGTCCGAGGATTCTCTCCATGTGATCTTTGATGTTGGCAAGAAGCAGCATAGCGGCCTCTTCTTTGATGGTAGCAGGCTCCCGGGGGAACTTGGCAATGGTCTCCAACAGCAAGTCTTCTGCGGTCTGGTCATAAAGCGCACGAATTGGAGGGTTGATAACGCGCTCTCCAACCTGCACAATGGGCGCCACTCCTTCCCGGGGGCTGGCATCGTCCAATGGCTCCTTGGGCTTGATGATGTTCGTATCGGCAGTCGAATGGTATCCGAAGAGATCCAACCAAAGAACCATCTTGCGATGCTCATTGTGCATGATGAAGTTGTGGAGGTACTGGAGGCATGTAATCAATAAACGCTTGTAGAGGTTGACCACTTTCTGCCATCGCTCCTCATTCCGCGCATTTGTCTCGCCGTCAAAGCCTCTGGCAGTTACCCGCACGCAGGTGTCAATGAGCGCTAGGATTCGCTGGTCGAAGCCCGTTTCCGCGGCAAGATTCTGCGCTTTCTTTGTTGTGGCGAGAAGGTTGCGAGCAATCGTGCAGAGATCATTGAGGCGCTCGATGTCCTTGACTAGGGAGAGGTAGTTGTATGCGATGAGGTTGGAGGATGAATGTTCGTAGCTCGCTGCCGGGCTCTTCCATGCGAAAGACTGGGATTCGAGGACTGGGATAGCTTTCGTGAGAACGTTCGTGAGGCCTTGCCAGATGTCTGGCGACATGCCGAGATTGTGACTATGATCGCGCAACATTAGTATCCAGAGCAACCAGGCCGGGCGCAAAGTTGACTTACCGAACATCACTCTCTTGGTGTGTCTTGTAAAGGATCTGCTTTCCAGCAGCTAGCATGTGCTCGAGGCGTTTGTCATCGATCATGCCCTTGGTCTCATAGTGGCTCAGGGTCCCCGCGAGAATCACCTTGAGCATCAGCTCAGCAGGTGTACACAATGGCTTCGGGTCCGCCATGATGAAAGATCAAAGCGTAGCCAGAAGAACAAGCGGGGTGATGTGGGATGAGAGGTCAAAGATTTGGAGGTGTGGGGAGACAAATTTTCCGCCCGCACGAACGCGCCTGCTAGAGCCTCCGAATGCTAACAACGTAGCAAGTCGAGTTGGAGTACTGGGAATGAGAGAGAAGACATTTAAAAAAAAATATATATATACGACTCATCAACTAGGTGAATAGTGTATGCTCTCTATGGTATTGATTGTCTCTAGTACTATCGGAGACAAAGACGGTATGATAATATCATGACAAAAATGAGTTTCCCTCTTCATTTATTTTCATCTCCATTGAAGATCGCAAATCTCTAAATAATTAGCCTGCCATCCAGTCTAGATGTTTGGCCAACGACGCCAGCGGAGATATAGGGCAGAATAATTTATCCTCTCACCGCTCCAGCAGAACCAAAAGCGGTGAATGCTGTAGACTCGTAACAGCACTGTTTGGTTGTAGAGTTCAAAGCACGAAAATGGCGGTGATATTTAGCTGTCTATTTCGTTTCAACTAAATACTTTGCTGAAGTACCACCTTGTCGCCCTGGTCAGACGAGATCAGCACTGCAAGGCCCACGAGACGCATTAAGCTACTTTGGGTTAGTGTCTGCTTCTATACAAACCCACTGGACAGGATGCATCAATGTTCTAGTAGAAAGTAGAAAGGAACACCAGGGTTATTTGAAGAATGGCCATGGGAAATGGGGTTTGTGTAAGGCCGATAGACGGGACATTTGATTCTGGAGTAATGCTACCTAATTACCCTCATTGCGAACCAGGTCGTTCGCTCTTTTCATGATCACGGCTGAAAGGCTCTTCAGAGAACCTTGAATTGGTTCATGACTAGAAAAAAGAAAAAGAAAAACACCGTCAGCTTTGAGTACTAGAACAAACCATCGGTCCTTTGCGGGTACATACTGGTAGCGTGTGCTAGTTCAGCCTGGGTGTGTGCCTGCACATGGAGACTGATATCCTCAAACGCGCGGTAAAGGTGATCCTTGTTTGTTGTGTAGTAGGTTCGATCATGGATGCTAGCTTTCTCGGGAACCCTGGAGTGAGAGGTTGAGCAATTAGCAAGCTGCACAGACATCACGCGACCACCCACAGGCGGGGGTCATACGAGGCAACATTAGCATACCATGTAATAAAAACAAGCTTGTGTCGCTGTTCTCCGCCGCTTGGAGAGTCGTACTTGAAATCAACGACAGCGTATCGAGGAGTGTCCTCCTTGAAGTGAGTGAGGAATTCGGCGTAGTCCTTGTATTTGCCGGACTCGGCTACGGATATCTTCTTGTCGTGGGAAGAAGCTTCGTAGATAACGTAGTCAAAAGTGTCGGTCTCTTTTACCTGGTCAAAGGCCTCCTCGCACTGAGGCGTGATGGTTGCGAATCCCCGTGTCATGGTTGGAATGGTGATATGGAGAAGGAAAGAGGGGAAGGAGGAAGACCGTCGTTATTTATAGTGGAGATTACCCCAGCATTCTGCGCGGGGATGGCCTGATCTACACGGTTAGGGTTGGTCCATTCATTCCGTGTTACATCTAAACATGCAATCATGACTGTAGTTAGGTCTCCACTTCGCTGTTTACAGGGGACATAGTCATGACGTAGGTCTCCCCGCATTATCAACATTAGCCGCTTTGTATATGCAGGTCAGATTGCAAAATTATAAGACTTGTCGACAAAGTTTTTGAAATGCTTAGAATAATGACATTGGCAAAGTGGAGCTGGAGACTACATTTTGGGTGGAGCTGAGGAATGACACAAGGAGCTAAGTTATTATAGCCGGATCACCTGATGCTCAGCTACATTCTTGTCTCGAATTCCACATAAAGAATATACCTAGTTGCAAATATCTGTCGAAATTGAGGCACATCTGGCTAATATCGAAGGTACTATAAGCTTGATTCCTCAGCAAAGTTCCCGGCAAGCATATTGGGTGGCTAAACAACCCTTGGAAGACCACTTGCTGAGTCAAAATTTCAAAAACGTAGTAATTGTTCTCTGGATACAAATGCACTCTTCAGGTAAGGTAGCAATGGTCTCCGGTTTGGAGGCGGTGATCGAAAGTTTCCAATTCATTCTCAACACATTTGTCTCCGAAGCAACCCCCTACGCCAGGCTTTAAATAGCCCAATTCAATGACCCTGAGTGTCTCTATTGTAGATATCGTTATATTTTCCCAAAGCCTGATTGGCAAGAGTCTCTGCTCCAACTCCTTGGAAACGTGCAGGACTCAAAGCTTCCAGGAGCCCCTCATCTTCAGAAGTGGAAGTATTCTCAGCCTTCCCAAGAATCTTCCGTGACACCAGTTTCGCCGTACCAGCAGCAGTAGTAACCCAAATTGCAGCGCACATCCACAAATTGGCAATATCCGGCACCTTTCCTGCAAGTGGGAGGTTGTCGGGCGTCACCGAGAAGATGCCATTGAATGGTCGTTTCACGGCCCAGGGATCCGAGTCGGTGTCATTTCCATGGACTTGGAATTGATCACCGTTCTTCAAAAGAGAGGTCGCTTTGGATAGAACTTGGTCGAAGCTCGAGGGCCATGCTCCGATGGCCGTATCAACCGGGTCCAGCTGCAGTGGAGCGTGGTCGTAACTCCCCAACCCGTCGCGATCTCCATGGTCTCTGGCGTAGACATGATAATCGAGCCAGCGAACGAATGGGTATGGAGATCCAGTGCGGAGAGGTCGAGGTGAAGTGAAGGTGTAAGGGTGCGCAACTGGAACAATAGGAATCGGAAGGTCTGTGATTGAACCTTTATCACCGACGGCAGCAGTGCCTGTCAATGACGAAGTCCAAATACCAGTTGCGAGAATGACAGTACTGCCTTGCAAGTAGATGTCCTCTTCTGTGGTCTGAATAGCTGCTATCTGCGCAACCTGTCCATTATTGCGATCTGTCGTTGAGAAGCCAGTGACAGAAGCCTCAACAAAGTCTACACCTCGGCTTCGAGCTTGATCAAAGTAGTAAGAGGTGATGACTTGCGCATTTGCTGTCCCATCCGATGCGAAATGCAAACCAAGCTTCACTGTCTCGGCGTCAATGAAGTCCGGAACAAGATATGCCGCTGCCTCTGGGGTGATGATCTCAGCGGGCAGGCCAGCAGTCTGTGCTAGCTCCCGTCGGCGATATAATGTTTCCACGCCTGATGGTGTTGATGAAAGTTCCAAGCCACCGACGGTGTTGAAGCCACCGGGAATGGTGATGTACTCTGAAACAGTATCTTTAGCGAGTCGAGTCAGTATAGGTGACTCGTTGAGTTGGCCAACGAAGCCTGGGGCATGGCCTGTAGACCCCAGAGGCTTCTGTAAGCATCTGTCAATGAGGACAATCTGGCATCCCTTTTTCTCTTGGGAGAGATGGAATGCAAGTGCTGCGCCTACGATACCTCCTCCGACGATGAAGATTCGCTGGGAAGAGGGGACGTCGTTCAAATCAGCGATCTTGAGCGTCGGGAGCATGCTGTGCGTAGTTACGTTTTGTAAACTGACAACCTAAAAAAGTGACCTCATAAAACCCATTGCCGTGAATCTCTATCAAGACTATAAAGGTCGATAGTTGGGCCCGATATCGGCAAGCTCGTATTACCTCGTATCCATTCTGAGCCGGTTGTGTGCGCAATGAATAGCGCGGGATTACTTTTCTCTCAAATGACTCATCTTACGACATCGTTCGATGCCAACTTGGTTGATGGGCTAAATATAGACTCGGCGTAGGATACAGTTTGGGAAACAATTTGCGAGTGTGGATACATGGCCGGACTGCAGTCAAATAAGCCAAGCAAGTTTCAATTCACATCTACCTAGGCCATCCAGTGACCATCTATCTATGTATATTCTTTGTTCGTCGGACAGACAGTCCCATCACATCTCGGAGATTGTCCCAGAAGCCCAGGTCATAGATGTTGTCAACATCCCTCATACTGTCAAGTCGCTTCCATCGCGGATCGGGTGGTACTTCGCGGCCAGGACGACGAACGATACGATTGGAGTCAGATGCCAGCAAGCATCCTTCCGTCGGAGGATCATCGTCGATGATAAGAATCTGATCAGTGTGGACCGGCCACGCTTGATCATGGGGAGTCATTGGCAGTGGGTTTTCAAATATCAAACTTCGCTTTGTCTTGAAGACAAAGCCATCCTCAACATCATCCTTCAAGTACGACCACTTGGATGTCTCGTTGGTAGTTGTGCCAGCCCAGATCAGGTAGACATGGTAAGCTAGGAAAGCACCCGCCAGCGGGGCAGTCATGAGCATCAAGAGGAAGACAGTCCCTATACGGGGATCGGCAGCAATCACAATACCCCAGATGTTGAAGTACATCGTCCATCCTTGCATGGCAGCCTTCATATCTGGCGGGACTAGCTCTTCGAGGGTCCCGGAAAGCAAGGAATAGCCAAGATAAGATCCGTAGACCAGCATGGCGGAAAGTGAGAGCAGCAGCGAGATGAAGTAAACGCAGTTGTTGGCTCCGACGCAGTTCATCAGCCAGACACAATGGTGATCGTGTCGTGACACGCAAGCCTGGCAGAAACTGCAATGCTTGCTACGCGCTGGCTTGAGGAAGTCACAGGTGGTACAGCGATGTCCTGGGTGGAAGAGGACTCGGTCGTATGGGTATCGTTTCATTTCTTCTTCGTGGTTTTCAGGTGTGATAAATGACTTTGTCATTACACACTTGTAGAGCAGAACATATGGTAATACAACAGCACCGGGGACCCAAAGTTTATGGGAGCTCGACAGCCGAGGCCATGCAGCTGGGACAAATACCCCTTCGCCAATCACGAGTAGTGATATAAAGAATATCTAGTGTAAAATATTAGCATACTGGTCGATCTATACAATCTGAAGACATACCAGAACCAAAGGATGATTCTCCTTCAATACATAGCTGCCGGATCGAGTCCAGCACCGCACTACTCGTCCGCCGAACAAGCGATTGTCGACAACAGCAATTCCATTGGGTAGATACACCCACAGAAGCAGATGTAAAAAAGCGACTGGTGTTTTTCTGAATTAATTAGCGCGTGTTGGGAACTCTTAGGCGCATTCTTTACCTGAAGGCCGGTAGCCTGCCAAACAGAGCGATAAAAGTGAACGCTGAGATTCCCAGAATCACCAGACCAACCGTTCTGAGAGCACCCATTGTTATTGTTCTTAGTTTCAAGTCACTCGTGCATTCTCTCGCAACTTCTCCAAGTTTCCTTTGTGATGCCCTTGATGCGTGGTTCGTCAGCGCCGAGTCAGTTTTGTGTACACCACGTGACCGCCGATTCCATCTTAAGACCAACTTTCAACGCGCGACCGTCTAAGGGAATTTACCATGCCATCCTGGGCTTCTCTCCAGGTTCTATCAAAGGCTCATGTCATATGCAGTCCTTTCGCCCGTGGATTATGATATTTGTGACACATTGACAGGTGATATCGCGTCCAGAGGTCAAGGACGCCGACAGCATCCCCTCCAGGGAGAGGATCACTAGAAATGGCGTCTTCTGGTAATGGCGGGACAGGAGATAGCCTGTTCAAAGGCGCAAAGTTTTGGCTGTCCCAGACTGTTCCGCAAAGGCTCAGGTTTAAAGAAATGATAGCGGTTTGTTGCCACTCCACCTATTCGATAATTCGGGAAGTTGACTGAGGTAGAAACATGGTGGCACGGTGGTGCTTATGGAGAAAGATGCCGACGTGAAGCTGGTAGATCACGCAAAGAAAGGCATTCCTCCTGATACGTGAGTCCTTTCTGTCCCGACTCAACTGTGAACTCATGCTAATGCGATGATAGATATTCCTATCGATATGTTGAACGGTCCATTCTAAATGGCCGGCTTGAAGACCTTGAAGCACACCGAGCTGGGACATCCAGACCTCGTCCGACTGGGGCAACTCACATTGCTACCAAAGGCACCAGACAACCCTTCACCTTGAAAGATGACCAGATCCTGTTTGACTGGATTGCGCATATTGAGAAAAAAGAGCCTGGAGCGCCTCTCAGCGGTAACAAAGTATACATAGAACTAGAACAACTTGTATGGTGGAACCTATCCTTTCCTTTGGAGAAAGTACGACAAAGACGCTAACATTCGAAACTCAGTGCCCTCGTCATTCATGGCAATCGTGGCGTACTCGATATGTGAGGCAGCTGCGTGGCAAGCCTCGGCCTGGTGGTGGAGTTCCCCAATCCCACCCTGAGTTTATGCAAGCTGCCCCATCCAGTTCAAAACGAAAGCGAGATTCAGGCCCCAAACCAGTCGACAAAGCTCAGGCAGCTGATTCCTCCTCAAAAAGGAGAGCAGTTGATACTGCTTCTAGCTTTGCTCAGCCCAGACCTCGTGTGCCGTCCCCTGGTGGGTCAACCCCATCAAATATGGCAGCAAAATCGGCGGCTGGGCCTCAATCCAGAGACGCTGTCTCCCCGTCTCCAACGGCAAGGGCACATGGTATCCGTGGAGACCCCACCCCCTTCCAGGTCCCAAGTCCTTTCGCAAACACTCGTCGTGGAAACCTTGCATTCCCGCCACCACCTTTCAATACGACACAACAACCAATTCCCGTTTCACGGCCAAGAGGAGACAACGCCTTTGCACAGTCGGGTCGGTTCAAGAAACAGCCAAACAAGGACAGACCCCAAGTCGACGATCCCTTCAAAGACCCAGTGGACGCCGTTTTCTTAGAGCTACCGTTCTTTCCGTCAAGTCCAACACCAGATGTGATGGACGATGACACTAGCGACGGACCAGACGTAGACACCTGGATCGATGAACGGCTAAGTTGGGGCATTGATGAGAATCACGTTTTTGACGCATTGCGCTGCACGAGTATGGTTCCGGATATGGCTGATAAAGTCCTGAAACACCTCGCTGCTGGAAATGGGATCCCCGAGGGCATACCTGGGGTGTGGACGGCAGATGATGATCGATGTCTACAGGCAGAAGAACGTGCAAACGTGGAACGAGCGTTGACGAAGCATGGTGCTGAGTTCGTGAAGGAGCGATGGGAGTACTACAGAATGGCACGGGAGGCGGGCCTCATTTAGTGATATCCATGGGAGGTTTTCTTTTTATCAGGCGCACGGATGGAAGTTACAGGGAAAGGAAGGAATTGCGGTTTAATGCACATGAGATAAGCCGGCTGTTAGCAGACGAAAGGACCAAATTACACCGGTTATGAAGAGCCCAGGAACGCTGAGAAAAGAAAAGCCTTGAAGTAAGAACAGAGGACGAATGTCAAGAGGGTACTGTGCCGCATCCAAGAGTACTTTGAAAAATTCCGTAGAGAGCATTGATCACGGATAATTCACCTTTTCACCTAGGTATCATATAAAGTAGATCCTCAGGCGAGTAACCGTCCCAATCATGTGCCTCTGACATGACCAGATGCATGACGCGCTTAACCGTCCTTGAAAACACTGCAAGGAATGTTAGTATACGTCAAGAATTTCGTGGGAGTGGCTGGACTCACAGATGTGATTCATAAAATTTGAGCATCTAATTGACAATTAGCATCATCAATTCCCTGTGGCTTGCAATTGGTGCTAGCATACCTTCATTGGGCACTTTTCATAGCAAGCCTCAATGGTCACCCTCGACTTTCTTCCATTGTTGAAGACGAGCCAAGCGTATAGGCCATTGTTCTCGGGGTCGCGGACAATTGTGTCAACTTCCTGGACCTCCTTGTCCCAGCTCTTGCCCTTGGGCACCCAGTCGGTAATGTTCTCGTCTGCGTCGGACTCCACTTTCTTGGTTTCCTTATGTGACTTGCGACGCTTGGGCTCAGCTGCGGAGGAGCTTGCGGTGGGTGTGGCGCTCTTGGAATCTGCCATGGACTTGCGCTTGCGGCCTGGCTTGGCCTTCGGCGGCGGTAATTCGGGCCTCCCGCCCACCTTCTTATAGTAAGCCGCGAGAATGTCACCGGCTCCTTCCCTATATTGTTTGTCAGTAAATGCGCGCGAGGTAGTCTCAGGCGTCGAGGCCCAATGCGTCCATATACGTACTTAAGACCTTCCTCTTCTTCCCATGTGCGGTCTGTCGGGTCTTCGTAGCCTTTCCACTTGACTAAAAGCTTGAGGGTGCCCTAAGGATCGCGGGTCAGCTTGCCGGACGCGAAATGAAGGCTGTGTTGTTGTCGACATACATCGTCCAGCCAGTCATGCTGAACAATCTCCTCGACGATGTACCTGTTCCTTGTCAGCAATAGTCTTCACCATTGAGCAGGAATGCGCGACTAACACTCCCTCCTCCTCTTCGTCGTCATCTTCGTCCTCTTCGGCCTGGTCATCGGCGGCCTTGTCTTCGGCCTGGTCTTCAGGCGCATCCCTAAAAGGTATGTCGCCAGATTCTTCGTCCGATATATCCTCCACGGGGGCTAGAGAATCCAAAAGTCAAAGATGCCCAAGCGCGCGTGATTGCGACAGATCAACAATGGACTCACTTACGAGGCATGGTTGGTCTGAATGGAGATATGAGGTTTGAGAGTCGTGAGAACAGATTGGCGATGCGAGGTCAGCACCTCAATTGTAGCTGTAAAAGTCAAGATAAAGATAGTCGCATACCAAGCAAGAGCATGGAGTTCAGTACGCGTGAAGGCGGACAAGAGACGCTAGTCTGTTTTGGGTAGTTAGAATTTCATTTGTCGAAAGTGCATTTCGGGAAGCTTCAACCCCTCGGATTTCATTCAAGCTGTGTTTTGCTGTCTTGCTCACTCTTGATTCCTTTTTCTCTTCCGAGCTCTCTCTCTCTCTCTCTTTTTAATCATTATACCCTGCCAGGTGGCAGCCCACCGTCAATATGGCAATGCGTAAGGAACACCCCCCATACCCCTCATTCTTGAAATGTGCTATGGCTAACTATCTCCATTTTGATCTTGAACAGAGCTTGATATGTCTCAAGGTGACTATCTACCAAATTCCAGCCTAATACAACTCGAATCCGGGAGCTGACACTCAAGGGTAGCCCAAGTCTTGAAGGACGAGCAGGGACGGCCATTCATCGTTGTTCGGGAGTACGTTCACCGCTACGCCGACCTTTCCGCTTTCATATACCATTGAGGGTCAAATGGTTGATATTCAGTGCTGACGGAGATGTGATAAAACAGTCAGGGAAAGAAGAAGAGACAGCACGGCACCGAGGCTGTCAAGTCACACATTGTTGCCGCTAAGACAGTGGCCAGCATTGTTAAGACTTCTCTGGTATGGCACTCGACAACCGAGGGGCGGATCGGCATCTAACTCTTATTCATAGGGTCCCCGTGGTCTCGACAAGATTCTGATCTCCGCGGACGGCGACATCACCGTCACCAACGATGGCGCAACCATTCTCGGCCAGGTGCGACTACGAACTCCTTTTCTTCCGCGAGGTTCAATTTCAATCCGGGAAGCTAATACGTGGGATATCAATAGATGGAGATCACGAACAACGTGGCGAAGCTCCTAGTCGAGCTCTCGAAGTCTCAGGATGAGGAGATTGGTGATGGTACAACCGGTGTGGTGGTGCTCGCAGCTGCCATGCTGGAGCAAGCCTCGGACCTCATTGACAAGGGCATCCATCCCATCCGTATTGCCGATGGATACGACCAGGCTTGCGAGATCGCCGTCGCCGAACTCGACAGAATCAGTGACGAAATTCCTTTCAGCAAAGATGATACCTCCAACCTCCTCCAGGTGGCCAAGACCAGTCTCGGCAGCAAGATGTATGGATCCGTGGATGTGCAAACAATCGTTTGATGCTGACAACTTCGCAGTGTCTCCAAGTCTCACGACCAATTCGCCAAGATCGCCGTTGATGCTGTGCTCTCGGTTGCCGACCTTGAGCGCAAGGATGTCGATTTCGAACTAATCAAGGTGGACGGCAAGGTCGGTGGATCCCTAGAGGACTCTTTGCTTGTCCAAGGTGTTATTGTGGACAAGGACTTCTCTCACCCCCAGATGCCCGATGAGGTTCGGGATGCCAAGCTGGCTATCCTTACCTGTCCCTTCGAGCCCCCTAAGCCCAAGACTAAGCACAAACTTGACATCACATCCGTCGAAGAGTTCAAGAAGTTGCAGGATTACGAGAAGGAGAAGTTCACAGAGATGATTCAGAAGCTGAAGGACTCTGGTGCCAACCTTGTTATCTGTCAGTGGGGTTTCGACGACGAGGCCAACCACCTCCTGCTCCAGAACGAGCTCCCTGCTGTCCGCTGGGTCGGTGGACCTGAGATTGAGCTGATTGCCATTGCCACAAACGGCCGCATTGTGCCCCGCTTCGAGGATCTGACCTCTGACAAGCTCGGCACAGCTGGTAAGGTCCGTGAGATGAGCTTCGGTACCACAAGAGAGAAGATGCTGGTTATCGAGGAGTGCGCCAACAGCCGTGCTGTGACCGTTTTCATTCGTGGAAGTAACAAGATGGTAGGTAGACCCGCGAGAAGGCAAGAGTGTATCAGTTGCTAACCTCAACTAGATCATTGATGAGGCCAAGCGGTCACTACACGATGCTCTGTGTGTCGTCCGCAACCTGGTCCGTGACAACCGTGTTGTCTACGGTGGCGGTGCTGCTGAGATTGCTTGCTCTCTCGCTGTTGAGGATGCTGCTGTCAAGAGCCCTGGCATTGAGCAATATGCCATGCGCGCTTTCGCTGATGCGCTTGATGCCGTCCCTCTTGCCCTTTCCGAGAACTCTGGTCTCAGCCCCATTGAGACCCTTGCTTCCATTAAGTCGCGCCAAGTTAAGGAGAAGAACACCCGCCTCGGTGTTGACTGCATGCAAACCGGTACCAATGGTAAGTTATTTGAACATTTTTGTTCATTGATGTGCATTCATTAACTTCTATCTCAGATATGCGCGAACACTTCGCCATTGACCCCCTGATCGGCAAGCGCCAGCAGCTTCTGCTTGCTACCCAGCTTTGCCGTATGGTTCTTAAGGTATGACTTTCTTTTTCCTTTCTTGTCTTGTCGCATACTGACTTACAATTAGATCAACAACGTTATCATCTCCGGTGACGACGAGTCAGAGTTCTAGATTACTCGGCTCTAGTACTAATCGGCGATGGTAAAAGAAAAAATTGATGATTCTGGTTTGCCTATGTAAAAACATGGTCCCTTACATAGAACCTTTCGGTTGCAATGAAAGCGAAAGGATTGATAATGTCTCTCATCTTGCCGATATTCCTGCTCTACTTTAGACGTGAACTATGCAGGCAACCAGCTGGATCTATATTTTTTCTCCATTTACGAAGTTAGGTCTAAATAAATGCAAGACAGACCACTCAGGGCGCCTCATCGGAACTGTCTGAAAAGATTACAGGTGCAAGTATAACGAGACACATCGATACAGCTTGCGTACATATCAAACACACGGTCATGTCGGTCTTACCTTGCCTGCCTAGGGCAAGACGAAATATAACTTCCTACGACCAGAAAGGAAAGCAACGCAAAATACACACCAGTGACTCACTGAAACTAGCATACTAACACCAACATACCGACACATTCAAGCATATACAGTTTTCGTAGCGATCCGTGCCTCCATTCGGGTTCCTCAGGGTTCGCCATTGCTCACGAGGGTACACCCGATATGCCGAGGAACAACACCGTACTGCCCCAAAAAGAAAAGGAAAGAAAGCACATACACACACCCTCTCTTCAGATGTTTCCGACATCAACTGCCGATTCTAACTTCCGGAGATAGACTTCCGCTCAACCTCGGTGTGTTATTACCATTCCCATGAATGCCACCTACACCAGAGGTTAACTGGTGACCTGACCCCGTCGAGAGATCTACACTGCCATGTTACCCGGATACGAGAAACTGAACATACGGCTCTTTCCTTTGGGTCTGGCGATCGTTGAATCCACCTGCAGCTGTGCATCTGAGTCTGAGTCTTGGTCATGATGGTATATCAAATGAGTGATGCGTTGTTCGATACCCTCTGTCCGCTGTCAGCCCCTTTCCCTCCCTATTTCTTCCACTTTCGGGTAGAAAGATGGTCACACCTGCGATGGTTGAAGCGAGGATACACATGGTAGCTGCCTTTTCTTCATGGATACGAGATGAGAAGATCCGATCGTCGTTGCATGTAGGGTCGACCTTCGATGAAGTAATTCGTACGACATGCACGCAAAATCAGTAGGAAAGGGTAGCGATCAGCGATCTCCAGCTTTGCAGTGACGATTCTTCCAGGTTATACAAAACACGAAAAGACAAAGTCTAACATCCCCAAAGCTACACTACACGAGATGTGACAAGCTCTTTGTTCTTATGTCTTGCGTTCTGCTGTATCATCGCCCATCAGGGGAATCACTTCGGGCAACGAGAGGTACCGACCTATGGGACGGGCTGGAATTGTAATTTCTGCATATAGGGTTTAGGTAACTGTCGGAGCTTGCTGGGCTTTGGCAGGACGTCCGAATCGGAATACTATGGTGGGTGGTGGCCGCGTAGGCTTGTTATGCTGTATGCCCTTGCCCCCGAAGGACATACTGTATACCTATTTCAGAAATAGTGTTTAGCTGAACTAAGAGTCAGAGAGTCGGATTTTTTTTCTTTTTTTTCTCTTCCTCTTTCGTGTCTTCTTTGCCCGGTACGATGGGGCTTTCAGCTTGGTTCAGGGATTCAAGGTTTGATTTCTGGGTTGCACAATGCATGGAAGTACAATCCTAGTCCTCCATTATGCGAATGACTAATTTTGGGGTCTTAGATTTATTGAGGCTTGACTGGGGATAATGCCTTGTCTGGTCAGGTTTCTTTTGTCTGGTGTTTCTTTTTTCTTCATGAGTGTCGTGGGTGACTAGTGAAATGAGTTTAATGCTCTCCTGAACATCCAAATCCGTGAATGTAATTTAACTGTTGAGTTACTTACTCGCTGTGCCAATCTAATAAAGCCAGAGAACGGCCTAGACTCAACAAAACAAAGTCTAGACCAACATATCACAACGAAACCAGCCGTTATTATTTTGAGACAGCAACAGGAAGTCAATGAACTTGACCTGCAGTGCAATTCCAAAGCAAAAAGAAGGAAACAAATGTCACTCGAGCATGAAGACTTTATTGTACATACCACTGCATCAAATCCCTACAGCAAAGCATAGCATCTACATACGTACAATAATGCCACCATCCCTGTATATTAGTCCTGCGTCTCCCGCGGCAGGTAAATTTAAAGACCTCCATGGCCCGCAGCAGGCCAAGTCCAAAAGGCGGCATAAATTGAAAATGCGACAGGCGCCACCACAGGACGCACGTCAGCAAAAGCATCACTGCAGGCCAAGTACAGTATTCGGGTATAATTAGGTACAACATAACACTCTACATGTAACTACCTGGCTGGGCCGGATAGACTGGGGGGAGGCCGATAGATGAATAGGTTCGAGCTCTCGCATCGGGCCGAATGCCAATCCATCGCTGCGGTGTGATGGCGCTGACAGGTACGAGTGGAAGCCCCAATCTCGCGGTGATTCTCGTCCACGGGGCTTGTTTGCAATTTCGTGGGACGTGGGGTTTGTTCAGTTTTTTGGCTGCCTTTTTTTGGTTGTCTGGGTGGTGAGGTCCAGGCTTGGGTACGATGGTCTCGATATTGGCTTTGCTTATTGGTTTGCAATGGGTCTGGGCTTTTTGTATAACGTGGGTGAGACCTTGGTTTATGTTGTTTACCCGAGACTGCTATACATGTTTCTGTTGTGCTTTTTCTTGATCTTTTCGTTGGGTTGTAGACATCTATTCATGTCAGTTGGGTGGTATCTAATATAGGATCTGGAAGATAAATCTGAGAATCCCCTTATTGAGTTCTATATCATCCTTAACACAGTATACAGTTAACCACTCGTACCTAGCTTGGATAGCTCAAGAAGGTGGATCTGGATGGTAAGCATGTTCATAAAATCTAGAGGCTCCTACATGCGTCTGCCTCTAGTATTCCGAAGACGTAATGATGGTTTGAGAACCACTTTGTCAGTGTTTGCACTTGGTTTCCGGTCTGTCATCTTTCCTAAAATGGGTCACCCACAGTGAGCACAGATTAGGGTAGAAAATTTGGCAATCTCAGTTCGATTCGGTGGCTCATGGGCAAAAGACCGTCAAGCACACCATTGCTTGAATGGTTGATCTTGACTTTACCCTTCATCACTATGTTATGCACATCGGTCAGATCGTGATAAGTGGTCTGTCCATCGGGCAGTGACGATTGTCAGTCTGTCATGCCGAGGCTCATCTCAAGTCGTGTGGTACATTGGCTGAGGGCCACGAAAGTTTCTCCAAGACACAAAGAAGTCACACTTGTACTATCAAGGCAGATAGCCAAGCATATTATAATCAATGATGCTAGTTCTGAGATTGGTAGACCTCGAAGAGCCAGTTCGGAAATAAATTCGTGAGCGGACGGCGGTATCACTGATCTCAAATATTGCCATGATCCTGTTCGATAAGGAGAAATGAGTATCGTGCCTTTTTCCTTCTAGTGGTAGTCCATCGGAAGGACGTCTGCCGGTCCCTAGAACCACTGTCCAGATGACCTGGAAGACGGCTCGGCTCCATGTGGAACGGGGCGAGCGGGAGGAGAGTGGACAAACCGAGGTCACGATTATTGATGAAGCAAGTGAAGAAAGTGACGGTTCTAATTTAGGAAGGTGAGTTAATAGTTAATCATTGATCGAGTCAGCCTCATAGGTGCCAGAATCTGAATCACCAGGATGTTCACATGGCATCGTCTATCGACGTGGCTTCGATCTGTCCGCAGTTGAGCAAGAACTCCAGAACACGTCTCTTCTGCTTCTTCGCTCGTGACAATAATTACATGTAGATTGGGCGTCGATTTTGAAACTTGCCTTGGAGATTTGTCACTTTCAATATATGTGGAGGTCATATTGCTCCTTTGCAGCCTTCTTCGGGGAATCGGTGGTCTAGTCACACGACTGCGATGCACCTGTCAACCATCGACACATCACAAACCCAGTGATCGCTCGGCGCTAGATTTACGCATAATGACCCCTGCTGTTGGCTGCCTTGGGCGCTATTCGGTCTCACCGGATCTTGATCGCTATCTCGCTATAGATGCTTCCGGCTTACAGTATAGATCGGAAATCGTATGGTATTATTTCAGGAATGACAATACTTTGAATCCCCTGATCTGTCGGCTGTTAGTTTTTTATTCTCTGTATTCTATTTTCGTCAGAACGAAAATGGACCTATTTCTAGTCTCGGACTGGGGTAGCGTTGGGCCCCCTGGCCGGATGCGGCCGTACATACCTCCGGGGTGTCCCATCGATGTTGCTTCCCCAGATTTCGATCTCCACAGCGGATATATGCTCTTACATGAAGCTATAGCTATGAAGGTTCTTCATGTTTAAGATAGATGTACAAGGGGTTTTAGTTTTCTAGAACTATGGTGAAAGTTTGAGTGTAGGTGCAATAGCGATATATTTTATTCCCCAGCACCGCCATAGTGGCTTGCGACCACCAACTCAGCAAGCCCAAAAACATGTTTGATTTGACGTATGTAACAACTTACTCCCAGTCCATATTCAAATCATACGCGACCAATAGCAGCCAAGGCGGACGGGGAAGCACCTGACAAAGCCGGATAAATGAGCCCGGGAGGCTCCATCAAAGAACCCCCACACTCAACGCCTCGTATTCCACCGAAACAAATACTTAAGACTTCAAAAAATGGACCAAAGGCCTAGATTTAATTACCTGGCCAGCGCCTGCAGCCAGCCATGGCTGCCAGGCGTCAAGGCAAACAGCCCAAGCGGGCGATCAGTCGATCACGAAGCCGTCGCGTGGCGCGCCATGAGAAAGAAGTATACAGTTGTAGAACCGACAACAATGCCTACAGGATTCATATATTCAGCGATTTAACCGGTCCAGAGGCTAAAGGCCCAGACTACAGCTCGATGAAACAACCCACACAGATACGCTATCAAAGACAGCGATCTCGGACTTCCGCCACAATCACAGCGAGAGAGACCGAAGCTACGGTAATTAGACAGGTCTTTGTTCACAGCCGCCACAGCCGTTCTGGGCATGGAAAAAGCAAAGAGAGCTGTCAGGAGATAGCCGCCCCCAAACAGCCACCGGGGGCTGCACATGGTCCGATGCAGTCAGCTTGCGATTTGGGATCGTTATTGGCTGGTTGGGCCCTGATCAGCACGTATCTTATTCAATTGTTTGCGCGACGGCAGAGAGCGAAAATGAAAATGAGATCTGACTGCGCCTATAGGTTGATAGGTCTAAGCTGTTAGTCAAGTGATTTTGTCAGGTCTATTTCGGGACTCTCCATGTCTTTGATTACTTCGGAAGCCCAATCCAACAATAAAAAGCAAGTATGATTTCTTTCGGGGCTCGCATGGAGGGAGTCTCAATTTTCCTTTTGGGTATGGTATCTCGAGGTTTGGAAGGGTTTGAGATCAGCTGGTACAACTTGAATCAGGGGTCTGGAAAAGCTGTTCAAAATGGAAGTAGAGAGGCCGCATTACAGGGGGCTGTCATTCATCAATGTTTGATGTAAATACCATGCAGTAAGAACAAGCAAAGAAATGAGATGAGGCGACTGTTACATTCAATTGCCGTCTCTATCGAGAGTCTATCCTCGCAGTATGCTTCCCCAGAAACATAGGAGGTGGCGGATGAAGCATAAGGCCAAAATTCTTGTGCTATAGAGTATAGACCCTTGCACAAAGTACAAAGCTCAGGGAAGTGGGTCCACAACGTCGGAAAATGAGAGCAGACATGCCAGGGCTACCAAATACCTGGAAAAGGGATCTGCAGCACAGGGAGGATAGATTGAATATATTCCAAACAAGGGCGTCTTCGACGATCCGGGATCAGGGACCGTCGATATTGAAGGGCTAGACCTTTTCGACGGCATGCATGGGTATGTGCTCTAGTAGTAGTTGCTGGTTGAAGGAGCAACACAGTATTGCCAGCATGATCTGAGCACATTTCACTATTTACTACTAAGTTTTGGACGAGACTGTTCAACGTGGGATGTCATAACTAGCGAAAACAAAGAGACAAGAGTCCACAACGATCTCTGTCTAGGGCAGGGATGCACTGAATAACCGGACCGGATATTTAAAAGACGACTATCACAGAAAGTGAAAAGGAAACAAGGCCAAAGCTATTCTGAAACTGATCGTCGCGGATATGCAAGTCTTCCTTCCGGCTGGATTGCACCCAGGAACACAACCCCTCCCATCGCAGTCCCAACTAAAACTAAGTTCCCAGAGCTCGCAGACCGCCAATAGAGCAAGCTTTCCTACGATCTGGAAGATTCCCCGGACTCAGCATCTATCCCTTGTTCCGAGGTCACATGCGTTAAGGGCTGGGGTCGATCTTTGCGGAGTCGGGAAGCGGCAGACAAAGAGGACAGAAAGTCAGAACGGTCATGACGCACTCTATTGCCTTGCCTCTTTTTTTCACATTGGTATGAATGCATCCAAATCGAGATTGAGTTCGTTTGTCCACCTGACCGGAGTCTTCAATCAAAACTATGTCCGGCTTCCAACTCCCGATATCCCTTGCTCGAGTCATATCAGCCCGTTGGACTCCTCAAGGACAAAGGGCTGGGATACCGAGGCTCAAGTGACGTACCCCCTCTGTCGATTTGCTATACCTGTATACATGTGTATATTGGAGTCAGATAGATAAACACGCACAGACAACCGGGGAAGCGGGCCAGAATCGGGTGTGAAATTGGAGAATGTGATTTGCTCCTCCCCATGAGAGACAGATCACCGCAAATTTGCGATCAAGATCAAGGGGAAACAAAGACTGTTACGGAGTGACTGTAATTAAGGAGACCATGGGAGTAATGATCGGAGTCACCCTCGCACATGGTGATTTGTTACATGCTTGGCCACAGATATGAAGGGCAGTCACCGGCGTCGCGCCCTGTCGCCATGGAGGAGGACTCTGGCTGTTGGTTTGTTGACATAAAGCGCGTCCAGGAACAGTGTGTCACTTTAACCTTAGTCTAGGCATCATAGATCTCGAATGACATATTCTATCTCACCTCTACCTATCAGCCATTTACCCAGAATAGGTAAAGCAAGTCTTACCGATCGACACGGCTTATGGTGTGCCCATGCATGATCATACATTGGGATAAACGATAATTTTTCTGCATCACAATGGTGTTGGCTTTGAACAATGTCTAGCTGGTTACCCCTGAGCCTGATGATTGCGTTGAAGTGGCAAGGTGGGCGTCTGTAGTGGTGCTACGAGTCCAAATCATTGGACCAGATTTCCATACACTACTATCGCAGGGTTTGAGGCGTAAATCAACCAATTTCTTGAAGTGGACAAAGTCGGACCGACATCCATGTTCATCTCATCACATGAACTAATGTCGCCTCGCCAACACAGCCTCAGAATTCCATGTCACCGAGGAAATCTCCACATCATGTGACTTACCTGCGCGTGACTTTGCCACGGTATGAGTTGGCAAGGACTCCCCTCCGTACTCCGTACTACCCGTTTATCCATTCAGTAAGGATCTCGAAGAGCGCGGTCATGACTTGCGTCTACTGTCATCTGCATCCTCTTTGGCACCTCAGTCTGCCCGTGGTCATCTCGTGGCCATGGAGTATTGTACAACCGATCCAGTATCCCACGTCTTACTGATCTACCCCAGGAATCCCTTCTCCTAGCCAGTGGGACCTCGGTGTCCACATTTCCCGTCCCCCAGGACAGAATGAGGGCGTGACTTTTTCCCGAACTATTAGAAGCCTCAACCAGGTAGATCATCCTGCAGCACGCCTACGTTAATGTGGTATCTCATTCGCAGTTTCATATCGCCACCTGGTACCACCCGAATCGCAGTGAGACAGGAGGCTACACTATAGAGTGAGTCAAGATGAGGTGAGGTCTCCCACCTCTCGAGATGATCTCGACAGGAGCCTGGGAGATTGTTTGTGCAAGCCTCACCAATAGAGGGTCAGCAGCCTCGAAAAGTCAGGCTGCACCAGCGGTCAGAGAATGCTTCGCGTCCTGTAGACGATTGGCAGTCATGCCATACATCCGCAGGGATTTGTCTAATACCAACGAACTGTTTTGAACGAATCAGACGACTTGGTTGATTTTTCGTCAGTGGAGATATACTATGCTTGGTTGCTTGTACTCTTTTCTTTGTCTTGGACTGAGATATCAGACACTGCATGTAGATGTTTAGCCTGTCGGATGAATTTGGAAGTGAATTGCAGACTCTTGTTTCTTCCCCGCAAAAACTAGACCAACTTTACCTATTTTAGACTCCTAGATGATCCCAGCCTCTCTAAGCTTCCCCCACTCGAGGTGACAGGGGGGTGGGATTAGCTACACGCAAGATCCAGGTATCCTAGGTAGTATCACTTTCCTGTTAACGGTATATGTGAACATCACATGATGAAACGTGCGCCGTGTGTGACTTTGCCCCGGCAGGGGTGTGGACGATCCTATCCCAAGCCCCCGGGTAGTTGGAATCGGGTAGGGAGACACAGTTCCTTTCCGCCAGTCCGGGCTACAGTTGCTCTAAACGTCCTCCCCGTGACGAACCGAGTCGCCTCTGTAATTTCATAATGACGGATGCCCCCTGGAAAACAAGAAAGGACAGAAGCTACCTAGGTACTTCCGCAGCCCGTGACTAAGTATGGTTTGTGACACTGCTGTCGTGTCCTGGGTCAAAGATAGAAACTAGAATAAAAAAGAAACTGGGATGTGGCCTTTCGGAAGATAAGAGAAGAAAAGAAAAAGAAAAAGGGCGGTAAGGCTGATTCGCAAAGGCTTTCGACATGAGACCTCATACCCTCACCGATGTTTAGAATAGATCAATTAGAAAAGTATACTTTAGCGACCCGCTCGAGAGCCTGATCTACGAAGGTAGTATAGTTCCCCGGTATGCAGGCATCCTTGGAATCATCCCTTTCTCCCGGATACCCACTGCTTGCGGGGAGAACTGGGGAGCCGGGGAAGCAATTCAGCCGGCATCAAATGCCCCAAAAAGCCCTTCGATATTAAGAGGCGTATAATCTATAATCTCCGGGGGTTTATTATGTTGAGTTTCGCCTCCGGCCTCGAGACGGGAGTACGGAGTACTTCCGGAGGTAGATAAGCGCACAATAACGCAAGCTCGATGAGCACAATGTGGCTTGAGATCTCAGACCGATCCCTTCTAGCCCTTTGAATGCGGTGTACCCCAGAGCAGTGGCCGTGACGAAAGGAGCAGCAAGGCGACACATTATCAGTTTGGCGAGTCAGCCGGTCTTTCAAGGCTTGAATAGGACCACCAATCGCCCTTTTGGACACTTCATCAGCCAGTAGGTCAGGTCTTGGATAAGTAGATTGCAAGTGGCAATGTCCGAACGACCAAGACCAACCGACATTATACATTAGGTGGCGTGGTGTGAGCCTTGGATCTGGACTTCGGCAAGCGTTGCATCTACCGTATATTATATTTGGTCACAGGCATCAGAGATTTCTAAAATAGAATATTTCATACAGTTGTAGTATATTCCATTTTATTTCCATATTCCGATATTCAACATTCCATGTTTATGTATAGTTGGATGAATGTAGAGGGATTATGTAATAACACGTGTAATGAACCCCGTGATGCGATTGAATTTTCCCTCACCGTTTTTTGGTTTTTGGTTTTGGCTCCGTTTTGGTTTTTTATTATTTATTTTTTATTATTTTCCCCCTTGTATTGTCACGTATTTACATTTCTTTTTTCTTTTTTTCTTTTTTGATTTATTACCCCTCTCCTCTCCACTCCACTGCCGCCCCCGTCCTTATTATCGCTCTCTTCTCTCTTCTACTTCCCTACTCTTCACCTACTCACCTACTCTTCACCTTCGACGTCCGACCTCAATCCGGTCTTGCTTTCGTTCATCCACAAGCACCCACATCACCTACACTTCGCGACCCTCCGCTCCCCGGCTTCTCCGCACTGTGTGGCGCTCGAACGGAAATTTGGAATTTGACTCTGCACTTGCCTCGGATACACGGCTCTTTCACCTCGCCCTTAACCAGCTGGATCATTTGCGTAAGCACTTGATTGCAGCTCAGACGATAACCGATCGACTCTGCATACCTCCGGACCCAGACTCCAATTCCCAGCCGTATCCAAGAACCCCGGTTGATTCTAACCTTCACCACCTACTCTTAAGCGCCGTACGACCACTCTCGGGGGAGACGGCGACCCCGGAACATTATCAACACGGACCAATTCAATTGCAACAGTAGCTGTGGCGACGCTCCAATGCCTCTAACGACACCCGTCCTCACGGTGGACGCCGATAATATCCATAAGGTGGATACTGCCAACGCTCAAAGTCTCCATGGAATGTGGATGGGTACGTGACAATGTTTGAATCGCGAGGATTTGGTTATGCTGACATGTGAACAGTATTCTCGAAATGTGCCGACTACATGGACCAGGGCCGTCGACTAGAAAACCTCAGTTGGCGATTGTGGACCCGCGAAACCTTCTGCGTTGAGCCCAAGTCCAACAACAGCACCTCCGCCTTGCCATTGCTCCGTTCCGAAGCTGGCGATTTGCCGGAGCTCTCCGCCAGTGTTGAGTCGGCCGCGTCCGATCAAGCCGAGCGGATCGAAGCTCACATCAAGCGCCCTAAGTTTAACGACTACCGACCTGCTGTCGTTCGCGAGGACTCGTTGGCTAGCCTAGGCCGTGGCAAGGAGAAACACATCACCTCGCTGGATCTCGAGCGCATGGTTCTCAATATCAAGGAAAAGAAGTGCTTGGAACCGATTACCCCCGCCGTCGAGCCTGCTGCGCCCGTCGTCGATATCACTCCTCGCCCTTCTACCCCGACTCCTACTCCTCCTTCCGTCTCTACTGCTCGTCAGGTTCCTCCATACACCCGCCCGATTTCCTATCCTCATGAGTCGACGGAGTCCTGCTCCACTACCGCCCCCGAAGGCAATGAGAGCGATGCTGCTCAGCTCAACGCCTCTGATACCAGTGTTTCATCATCGGGTGTTCTTCCCAGCCGACCTGAATTGATCAAGTCTCCTAGCATCGTCCGCGGATTCTCTCCATCGCACATCTCCTCTTCTTTCCGATCGCAGCCGAGACTGGCCATCGACCCCAGTCCCTCCCGCTCCGCTACTCAACTAAGACCCTCACCATTAAAGAAGAAAGGCGGCATGTTTACATTGGGTGGATCCTCTGGAGACGATGATGAAAGTTCCTTCGAAGAGCGCATGGGTCCCCAGGTGGCTCAGGAAAACGCGCCCGACGGAAGTTTAAAGCCGAGAACCAGCAACCCCAGTTCTACGAAAAAGACGGCTTCCTTCAGTAACCAGGTCTCTCACATTATTCCCAACCCCAAGGACGTCAGTCGATCCGACGAAGACGCCATTGAAACCGACGATGAGGTCTCAGAGAGCGCGATCGAGGATGATGAGGATTCGGATTGGGAGGACTCAGTCACTGAAGGTGGCGAGTCCAGCGTCGACGAAAGGGGCGAGCTTTTCCAGCGGGTGGATTCCCGACCCAATCTTGTGTCGCGGCGGTCGATGCTCACTATGATGATGCACCAGCCGACTCGAATGCAAGGAAACGCGTTCCGGTCCAGTCCGGCACTTCAGCGATCCCGGTTGACTTCGCCCAACGGTCCATCAATCCCTGCCTCTCCACCTGCAAAGGAGGAGGACAGCTTGACTATGCGTGGCCCCGATGTACCCCGATCGAAGCCTATTGGCATGAAGCCGGCTGGGTGCCAGTCCATGGCTCACTCTCCCCGTACTACCCGCCGCAACATGCTTGCAACCGAATTGACCGAGTCCCTCCGCCGCCATCTTCTTTGGGAGCGTCAGCAGAAGAGCGCGACAGCGAACGCCTTCTTGAAACGCCGACATACCGCCCATGATATGAAGAACCTTCAGGAGTATCCGGGTCCCAATGGCCCTCACAGAGGTGTTGGTCCAAACCAATCCAGCGTTGAAGCGGACCCGAATACGGCCAATTTCGATCCCGCTAAGAATGGCTCTTGGACCAACTATACCACCGATTTTGGTCCTTGGGAGTACCATGTGAAGGGATGGTAGTCGACTCGTCTGCAATCACTTCACCTACGCGCCTTCCGGAATTCCTTCAGACTTGCTTTGCACAGCACAGCATCCTTTTCTTTGACACGTACGATCACGATCATGCATTGCATATATGGCGCACATACGGATTTTGCTTTTTACTTTCTATCAATCTCACGGCTCTGGGTTTTGGGGTTGTCATCATGGCTCACAGCATTTCTTGGAGCTTATGGAACACCTCATTCAAGGGCTAATTCCTTTACGAACTTAATATCCATGTACAGCTCATATCCCTTGTCCTCTTTTTCGGGCCACAAATGGTTGACGAAACATGGGTTTTCTTCACACTACACTACACGATCTTGTTTCAAGAGATTCCCGGATTGTTTTCTTTTATGAACAGGAAGTTCACCAAAAAAAGGTCAATTTTTTTTATCATTTATCTCAGCGGCGCATTCCTGGCTGCCTGTCTACCCTTTTTTCGACAGCAGAAAACGCCTAGCATTTGTGTACTTCTCTCGATTATCATCGCAGAGATAGCTTCCTGTTTCCCCTTTTCCTTTTTACCTTTCTCTCTGCGATACCTGATACCTGATACCACACGTTTTTACGTCTTGCAATTCATCCGGCTCCGATTCCTATATCTGTCTCGATCGAGATCGGGCCACCAGTTCCCCCCAAATGTGTACGCTACCTGATGACTGCCAAAACCAAAAACTCAAAAAAACAAATGAACGAATATTCAGAGAATATGTTGCCCTCACTTCACATGCATATCGCATATCGTATTCCTTAGAGTAAACTGTTGAGTGACTTAGACATACCGGCAGAAGAGGCTTGACGCCATGCATGATTCGAATTGGCGGTCTGGACTTGTCCTTGTAGCTATAGCTAGCTATCAGAAGCATGCAGAGCCACAGCCTGCAGAGCACTGCAGAGCACGGAGCTCGGAGGTCCCGACTAGATCACGGGGGGAGGTACATTGTACATTGGACATCGTGCATGGTACATGTACCATGACCCACGTAACTTACCCCCAGTGTAGGTAGTGTTCGTAAAAGGGTATCCCGGTATCCCTGCGATAACGGCGCCTGTTCTATCATGTGGAAATTCAGGGTTTCTGGACTTCCTTTTGTTTTGGTGGCGCTGACACGTAGGACTTCTTTGTAAGAGGTGTGTGAGGAGTATGATGGCTGAGACCTTGCTGCGGAGTTTATGCGGGTGGTTTTTGGGAGGGCTGTTAGTTGGGTCTGTTGTAAGTAGGTCATTGTGCATATTTCGTAGCGGTATGTTTTGAGGGATAAGTTATGTACTGGGGTACTGTCAAGGGAGGTATGTGATGGCTTGGCTTGGGTACTGGTAACTGTTGGTGCCTATGTACTCCAGGGCTATCTGTAAGCTATCAAAATGGGATGATACATTAATAGACTGTAGATTGATGTATACAAAAGAAACGAAAAGGTCATTCATCTATTCCTTATCAGGAAGATAAACTATCAAATTGTAGTACCACCTACCTAGACGGGGCACCGAAAAGAGCACAGAGTTCCAAGCTCAGCCATCTACATGTACACTGTACCCCGGACAAGGCCACCAGTTCAAGCACCGAACGTTTCAGAAAGAATAATCGCAGATCATCTATCTCGGGCCTGAAAAATCAGCCTGGTCAGGTGCATCGAAAAAAAGAAAGGAAAAACGCCAAAAATCAAGAATACAGGGGTGAAGGGGGAAGGATAGGAAGGGGGCTCACTAAAGAAAATGCAGAATAAAATAAAAGCCCCCAGCCTATACAAGAAAGACCCAACCCCTAAAGGCCCGAGATCCCCATCCCTGCAAGCTTGAAAAGAAGATGAGACAAAAGTACCACCCGCGGGGAGGGGATGGGAGGAGATAGTTCGCACAGATCCAACACAAACCGGAATTCTGGATCGGGAAGACTAATACTAATAATAAGCCGAAGTCATCTACTGTATAGCACTAGTCAAGTCCAACTCGGTTAATATGAGGTGCACATGTACGATGTATACGGCTTTTAGTTATCAGTCACAAAGCATAAATCACAAACCTCCACTTCTCATACAGTATGTTTCGTCAGTACTTTCTTTTAAGGTCGGCAAGGCAGTCTAGGCCTAGACCCCAGACTTCAATAAGTAATCGTTCGCACTGGTCGCTCCCACATGTCTTGAACATGATATCTGGTGTAATATTAGCTGCAGCCAGAAGCTCCCGCGGAAAGACGGAAGTGGTGGTGGTGGCTTCGATTCGACTCGACGAGATAAGCGCTCAGTCCTGCGTATGGGCCGTGGTGGCTGATTTGTTTTGCATGATTTGCAGGGCCAGCTCATCGATCTGGGATCGTTGGGGGTGTGGGTGGGCAAGGAGGGGAAGGAGTCTTAGTGACTTGTGGCTGGCTTTGGGAGATATAGAGTTCTAGGCTTTGCTGTACTTTTGGTTTGAAGGTAATATTGACCGTTGGGAGAGTTCTGTGTAGATTGAAGGAAGTCAGTTCCTGTTATCCGCCTCATGATGACACTATTCTGCGTTATTCATCTGGCCGGGGTCTGATGCGTGATTTCATCATTGGGATTTCGCCTGCGTTGTTGCCATGTACCGGCTTAAGAATTAGAATAAGAATAGTACCCGGGGTTTGGATCTCTGATTCATCCATGTAGATGGGTAACTTGTACTGTCTTCAGTATGATGTCATAAACAACGGCGTGGCCGCGCCTCATGCCTCGGTTGGCATCTGCATCTGGGTTACAGAATGAAGGCAATAGTTTGAGCTCGGAGATTATTCGAAACGAAACCCTGGGTACTGGGTAGCACTATAGAACTCTACCGTTCAGGGCTTGTATACAAGTCATGTGGCCCCATAGATGCACATGACCAGCACACATGATTCCGGGGGTGGAGTCGTTTACGTGCCGACATCTTTCTACATATCATTCTCTCTCCCTGAATCCAAGATCCATGGATTTCTTTTCTTACAATCTCATCTGGATATATTACCGGTCAACAATCGCCCCAAATATCAGCGATCTTCCTCCCGGTGCCAAAGCCGTTTCAGCCAATGACGTAGTCCGCTCCTCCGATTTGAACGGGTGTGGGGGTGATGATTTTTCACTCCTAAAACGCCCGACACCATCTCCATTTTGGGAACATTGGTCTCCTCTCCGGCCACGCCCGAGTCGTGGGGCGACGAAAACCCTTCACTGTGGACTGTGGCTAGAGGACAAGGAACAGATCAAGACTAATCACATTGAACTCCAGATGATTTCATGTGTCCGGGAACCTACAATCCATGCTTCAATTCGTCTCGCTTGACCTTCCCTCCGGGCGGAATAAGAAAGCCACTTTCATGCAGAGTCACTTTTAGTTCACCAAAATCTACATATAGATACACTTGTGCGCTCATTCAAGCCACCTCCAGAATCCACCTTCTAAGCCTAGCTTAGGGCTTTCATGTTGGCCAGAAGAGTCTCCTCGATCTCAGCTTTCGACGACAGTGGATATATTTAGTGGGTCAAGTGATAAGGGCCTCTGATTTGCCTGCATTTATCGTCCCGTGGTCTCGTCTCACCGGTACAGAACAGTTTTCCATTGAGACTGTATCGCAGTGACTGCTCAAGCTCCACATTGCTTCTTTGGGAGTTGACACAACGCGTGTTATGAAATCGGAATCCCACGGACCACTTTCGATGAACAGGGTTAGAGGCATGTATCGCCGTGGGACTGATAGACACGCTATACGCTTCTTGTTGTAGCATTGACGCCTAAACTGGTTTCTCGGGTTTGGTGATGTGCGCCCGACGAGAGGTATCGGCAAGCCGATGCAGCTCAGCTTGCAGCATGTCAATCATGCGAGGTTATCATCTCTAGGCACGGCAAGGGGTGCTGAGTTTTTATTGAGAGATCTCAGTGCATATACCTTTAGTAATGTACACTGTCTTTGGCCACATGTCTCAACCTGATGGCGATTCGGACGGCAACTCCGAAGTTTGACACGCAAGAATCCTCGTCGACTGACCCTTGATCGCCCTCCACTGCACCAGGGATCGACCAACTAAGACCCATACTAGCCCTGGGCCTTAATAGATCTAGAGCTGACCCGTTTTCATGCGCGCTGCAGTCATAATTTAGGGCTGGGCACACCTTCCTTTACTGGTGGATATTTCTTCGACTCAGGGGGATCTACTATACAACGCACATGACCATAGATATGCAGTTCGCTCTTGTTTGCCATTTTCGCAAGATTGCACATTATCACTTGCTGTGTGGCTGTCACGGTGCGTCATGTGCGACATGTTAAGTATATTTATACTCGGCGAAATCCCGAGTGAGGCGTTCGGGATCGGACAGGATCCAGTCTCTTCCTGTTTCCCAGGACTCGAACAGGAAAAGTGCGGTGACTCCGAGTTAAAACAATATTATCATAACTATTACAAAGCTCATGATTGGCCGGTCTTTATTCTAGGCCTTCCGGTGGGTGGATATTATCACGTGGAACAGCTTCCGGGGAGCTCAGTACTCCGAAACCCCGCAAGATGTCAAAGATTTCGTCAATTCGGTCAATTCGGTTAATGTACCATAAGGACATATGTAAATAAGCCCAGTAATAATATACCGATATTTCGAAATAGAACTGCCGATATATTCCCGAAAAAGCAAGCGAAGTTTCAAGTCCATGGTCAAGTTCTAGAAGGCTTCTGGAAGGTCGATCCGGTTGGCCGGCGAATTCAAGGTCCGATTCGCGCTTTTCCGCTTTCGGTGTATCCCTAATACTGATACAATACAGTACCCCAATACAGAGTCCTCCGTACCTGGCTCAAATGTTCCGGGAGCGGAGTCTGGAAATACAAAAATATATACGGAGTACAATATAATTAAGGACACGCTTTGGATTCGTTTGAACGTTTGCAATATATAACTCGATAACTCCAAACACTCTACCTCAAAATTCGAGGTTCATAATCTTGTGACACAAGCCTTCCCCGACCGTCTGGGTTGGATACCATTGTTCAACTAGCGGAAGCCACAGGCGCGGTTTCGTGCGCGGAATACTGGAGCAAGTGACCTCGTAAAAACCGTTTCCTGCAATCAGACCCGGGACATTGTTGTGGCGTTGGTAAAGAGTGTTTTGTCGTTTCACGCCGGGTCTACATCTGTACTCCGACGGGACCACTTTCCGCCCTCTCCGTAACGCCTTACACCTTACACCTTACAACTCTCAAATGTCGGGGTAAAGACGGAGAAACTACGTGAGGCTCCATGTGTGGGTATTCGGTGAAGACTCTGTGTACAATGACTTCATATGTCAATCTAAGTCATTCTTGCAGACAGGCATTGCGGAGTAACTTAGACAAAAAGAATACATGTACAAAAGCTGTGGAGCTATGTTGCATCCCGACTAAACGCGTACCCCAACATCTAGCAGGGATGCGGGATTCTAGAAAAACGAACCCCTCTTCTTCTCCGCGTAGCGCGGACCGACAGAACCCCGTGACTGGCATATAGCTTACGTCGGGTCGTATTACTCTTGCATGTTTATATGAGCTTTTCTCATAGCTCGGAGTATGGGTTACTTGGGCTGGGGATATCCCCCGGTTACTTTGATCCCCCCTTAACCCCTTGACTGCCATGACTGCTGGCAGGAGATACGACGGGATGATTGCCATAGATCGAAATCCTGTTTCCTCTTGATTGTTCTCTGCATGCAATGGCGACGTGCAGGTTCCTTGTTTCCAATCAATCCCTGGATTTGGGGTTCTGTGTGTCTATCTGCTTTCCTGTTGTGGCTTGGGGCAGATAAGATGCCACAATACTGGTTTAATCCTAGGACTTAGACTTGGTGTCATAGACAAATCTTAATTAAGCATGATACCTTTTCCAAGGTTTGGACTATGTACAGATGTTGGCTGGACGGTTCTACCTGCACCAATCATGCACCAAGCGAGGATCTGTAGTTCTTCATGGTTAATGTAGATCTGAATAAGTCTTGCCACCGTGACTCACGCGTGTGTCAGTGTGAATAACTCTGCTCGGTTGAAAGGTGAGTCAACTCGAATCATCGAATGAGATCATCGTCCCCCCCAAAATGTCTTGGCATGAAAACTGTCAACACTACATCTGGCTATTGGTATAACTTCATCTATACCAGCTCCAACAGCCTCTGCCATATTCTTTTAGAATCACGTGGCACTTCTCTCTCACAACTTCGTGCCTTGATTTCTGCTTAGCGCCAACATTACCGTTCCTCTCACGTCGCGCATCTCGGCTTACTTACTGTGCAGATCTGGTCCTGTCGATCTCTTCCAAGGTCACCCGATCTCTGCGCTGGCACGCACGTCACCTCTCATTCTGGATCATCTCATAGCTCAACGAGGCTCACTATGGGGAATGGGTCATTTGACGAGGGTCCAGCACCCCAGGTCCTAGGTGAGTGTTCTATTATTGGCTTTGTGAAGTCCGGAGGCTTTTGATCCCAATCAATTCCTTGAGATCTACTTGGGCGGTTGTCTCGGCCCTCCACACAGCCTTTTTCTTCGTATTTCAAGCCCCCTTGTTGCATGTCCATGCACATGTTGCATCCGCCACACGGCCTGTCATGCCTATCTTTCTGGCCCATGGCCTATCTCTGAGGCACTTGTCTGGCGTGCAGGGGCTTCTCCTTGCCAATGCCGAGGATCGGACCTGGCGGCCCGCAACCTTTTTGATCACACGCTCATATCCATCTCTGAATAGGTACAGAGCCTTCAACAACTGCTGAGTTGTCAGCGGCCCGGTCGCATGGCGTTGCATCTGAGTTGAGTACTCGCCAGTCCAAGCGAGCTAAATGTCGTTTTTTCAAATCCAAAAAGGGTATGTACACGTTCTGAATTTAGTCTTTGGGGGCTTCTTGCCTGTTTGGTCCTTGCAATACTCGACGCGTCATTGAATACAGGACGTGGTATTTCCGGTGCCACAAACTGGCCCTTTTGCGAACACCTGTTTACAGTAACTGTTATGTTTCCCCAATGGGAATGCCGAGGCCATGGCCAGTATTGTGTAACTTGTGCCCTAGCAATTTTTGCCTGTGTTCATGTTTTAGGCCATCTTTTGAGATGAAGTGATGCGTTGTTCAGGTCAGATGCTAACGTCTATCCAGGATGCCGGCTTGGATCGACTTGTCCATACCTTCATGATGCCTCGGCTCTAGAGTCTAATCGGACTCCGTCGGAACATCAGACACCCACTCAACCTTTGGGTGGTGATACTGAAAGTCCAGTCCAGGAGATAGTCGCCGATGCCCAGAAGCTGAAAATCGGTGGCAAGTCGAAGAGCTCTGCCGCTTCGGCAGCAGCCCAGCCCCAAAGACCGGTTTCTAAACTGGAGCAATCAGACCCAAGAGAGTTCCAGATCAACCAGTTGAGGCGGCGTTACCGCCCACAGGAGATCAATGACGACCAAGGCTCTATCTTGACCTTTGGAATGGTTCCCTCGGATCCTGATTTCCCATTCGAGCTGGAGAGACTTCAATGTGTTCTTCGTGTCCCGAGCTCATATCCCAATGGGCGGCCTACGCTTAGAGTGACCAATTCTGAAATGGAAGCTGCATATCAAGCCAATGTTGCGCGGGGATTTGACGATATTGTCGATTTCACAATCCGAACCAATAACCGGGGAACACTACTAACCTGGCTGAACAGCTTGGACAAGCAGCTTGAGAAGCTGCTTACTAGTCTGGAGCGCGGGCCAACGCTGAAGTTCTTCTCGAACGTCGGTGATGCCACTGCTACTAAGGAACCCACAAAGGGCCCAGAAAAAAATTTGAGTCAGAGCTCATCGCAGGTAACCGCGAAAGCATCAACTATTCATGCTAAAAAGCCAACTGTGGCACCACAAGCACGAAATACAGCTCACAAACTCTCGGCCGAGGCGAAAGCTGCGGCTGAGAAGAGGCGAGCACTCGAGACTAAACAACTCGAGGCACGTCTTGGGAGAATTCCTATGTTCCAAAAGATGCAAGATGGGAGAACATTCATTATTCCTGTCCAGCCAGCTAAAAAGATTGTCTTCCTAGAGCACTTCAGGCACTCAAGACTGTGAAGCTGCTTGTTCCAACCCTCTACCCGCTCGAGCACAGCTCGATTAAACTGCAGGGAGTCGACGGCCCAGAGGCGAAAGCTACAGAGACAGGATTTTCGCAATGGGTCGAACAGACGTCACAGCTGAATCTGGTTTCCCAGATCAACTACCTGGCAAGCAACATGCACAAATTCGCTGAAACACCTCTGCCAGAAGAGGAAGAACCCAATGAAGCTACTACTTCCACAGCCGAAGAAGAGGAAGACGAAGTGGAAGAGTTCACACAAGCTGAGCCTTCAGCCCAAGACTCAGAAGATCGACCCCATCTCCATGTCATTCCTCGGCCACCAGAGTGGTCAGTCCCAGATCCGCACAGTGGCGCCGAGGAAACAACAGGTGAATCAAGCTATGAAGAAGATGAGTACTCAGAAGAAGAGGAAGACGAAGAAGGAGGCGCGCCTGTGCCCCCATCAGTGGATACCAGCACGCCCGGACGAGGTGTAGCGCTTTCATTCCCATTCTTGGAGCTTTATGGCATCGAGTTGTTGGAGCTCACTACTCTCAATATTACTGTGAAGTGCGATCGATGCAAGACTTCTGCTGATATAAAGAATGTGCCTCATGTTAGCGATGAGAAGGGCGCGATGCCAAAAATGGAATCTTGCAAGAAGTGTGCTAATAATATGAGTGTTGGTGAGTTTGGTATTCTTTGCTTATTGCTTTTGTGATGCTAATTGGCGGTGATACAGCGTTCCGGAGACAGTTGATGCACACTCATGCCAATCGCGCTGGTTATTTAGATATGGATGGCTGTACTATTGGCGATATGCTGCTAAGGTCGGTTCTTCCATTGCAACTTACTAGAGGCTCTCGGTTGGCTCACTCTATTTCAGTAATTTCACCCCAACATGTGCAGAATGCTCAACCGCACATCCAGCACCTGGTGTATCTGCCGTTCGCGGAGAGAGTGCCATGGCCATTTGCCGGGATTGCCATCGCAAGATGGTCTTCAAGATCCCCGAAGTGAAGTTCCTGCTCGTGGGAAATGCAGCCAGTAAGCTATACCTACCGAATATGCGAGATCCAGCTTTACTAAGTACTATACCATCTAGTCTCTGCTCGTGGCGCTCTCCCTCTCAAAAGAAAGGTTCGTTACCCTATACTATCTTGATTGGCCAATATCTGACCACATAACCAGCCCAAGGAAGTCCTCGGTATCGTCGCAGGACAAGAACTCCCCAGGCGTGGTCGCTGCCAGCACTATGCCAAAAGTCAACGCTGGTTCAGATTCAGCTGCTGCGCGAAAGTTTTCCCATGTGATAAGTACGTTCCACTCCATATCCCCCGTCTTCCATTTCTTTTCCCTCCCTCGGCAACAAATATACTCATCAAATGAATCCAGATGCCACGACGCCGAAACCGACCATCCAAATGAACACGCAAACCGCATGATCTGCGGTTACTGTTCACGAGAACAAGTCTACAGACCTGAAAACTGTGGAATTTGTAAAGCGATTCTCATTGGAAAGGCTGGTAGTGGGTTCTGGGAGGGTGGAAAGGGAACGAGGAATCGGGCTCTGATGAGTCGGAAAGGTATGCTTCCTTTCTTCATGTTATGGTGTTTTCGTATTCTAATGGCATGGCAGATCCTCGGAAGTTTAAGAGAAGGGGTGGGAATGCTCCAACTTCGAGTTCGTCGAAGAGGAAGTAGAGGTGTTGTATTATGTATTGACATTGCGTTGCATAGCATTGCGAAGGGAAGTACAGAGAAAGAAAGGGAAAGCATAATATAGAGTAGATATCATTAGTCCCCAGGGCAAATGTGGTCACTTTTACATATTGGAGCTTCCAAAGTAATATAAAACGAAAAGATATTACGGATAGATACTGAGAATGCTTCACAGGGGTGTTCGTCAAGGTATATTGCACTCTATGTTGGATAGCCATCTCATAATTGTTTTGGTGAAGATTTCAAATGTTCTGTGAACTAAGGATCGCTAAATGTACAAATGCAGGTGGCTCAACTGCAATAGCCTGGCAAGAATCAAAAATGTATCCAAGGAACCCTCGCTGGCATATATCTTTTTATCTTTCTCTCTCTGTCCTTAAACAAGGTTACCACGAAGCTCCTGCTCCCTCTCGATAGCCTCAAACAAAGACTTGAAGTTCCCAGCACCGAAGCCCTCAAAATTATGTCTCTGAATAATCTCAATGAAAACAGTTGGACGATCCATCAAGTGCTAAAAAGCAAGTCAGCATACAATCGATCACAATTCCAACCCCCAAACCAATTGATATCCACATACCTTCGTAAACAGCTGAAGCAGATAACCCCCTCATCGAAATCAATCAAGATATCCAGACTGCGAATAGTCTCGAAATCCTCCTTGAGTACCAGCCCAGACTTCTTCAACCGGGCCTGCATATCCGTGTAATACGTCTCAGGAACCTTAATGAACTCGACGCCGCGCTCTTTGAGGTTTGTAATGTCGCGAATGATATCATCTGTTTGCAAGGCGATGTGCTGCACACCGGCGCCGTTGTAGAAGTCGACGTATTCTTCGATTTGAGATTGTTTCTTGCCTTTTGCTGGTTCGTTGATGGGCATTTTGACTATTTCGTTTGGGGAGGCCATGACGATAGACTTTAGGGCGGAGAATTCGCTGTGCGGGTGGGTTTTAGTTGGGTGTGTGTGAGGGTAGATAGGGATGGAAGTGAAGTACTTACGTGCAGATTTGGCTATCGTCCACGGACCAGAAACGGTGGAAGCCGAGGGCTTTTTCGTAGCTAGAGAGGAAGTGTTAATGGGTGTTCAATCTGGGATGATGGTGTATAACTTACTACTCGCAAATCTGATCCATCTCGTCCCAATCCTGGTTTCCAACACAATGATCAATCTTGGAGAGATGAACACCAGGCAAGAACTTAGCCAGGGGATCAACAATCCCTGTATCATCGCGATACCCAGGCAAAAAGGTACCGTGGTACTGATTCCGCTCAATAAGCGTATGCGTAGTCTGACCATAAGTCTGGATAGTAGCAACCTTGACATGGCCATCCTTATCCTCCAGAACCTTAGGGTTAGAAACGACCTTAGCGCCGTTCTTCACAGCAGCGTTGAAAACAGCGTCGACATCATCAACCTCGAAAGCAACATCTTTGACTGCATCGCCGTGCTTCTCGAAATGACTGTGGATCTCTCGCAGCTCGGCCTGTTCTTCGGTGCTGAAACGGTCGGCTTGCTCCAAAGAGCGGAGCGGCGAAGTCAAGATGAAGGTCACGTTGCCGTTGCCGACTACGTGTGAGCAGACGGTGCGGCTGCCGGTTTCAAGGCCGCGGTAGGCGATTCGCTTGAATCCCATTCGGGTTACATAGTAGCTTGCCGCTTGCTTGGCGTTGCCCACGTACCAGTGTACATGGTCGTAACCACGGTAGGTGGCTAACGAGGATGTACCGCTTGCTGATGGAGGGGGGCTGCTTGAGATTGCTGAAGGTGCCATTTTGATCTTTTATAGATGTGGCGTGTGATGGATGGTTCCTTGTGGAGATAGAAGTAGAAGCAGGTGGTTGAAGTAGAGGTTGAGTTGATATAAATTATTCGACGCCACCCTTGCTTTTAAATCATAATCGACCTCTGGTAACCGTGAGTTACGCTCGGATATCTATTCAGTCCACTCTTGAAGCTATGGCGTAGGCTCTGGGCGGCGGTTATTGCAGGATCCTGGAGTAGCCGGAAATAGCCGGGCCTGGCATCAATATCCGCACTTCACACCTCACAGCTGGAACTTTGAAAGCTTCCTTCCCAAGATTGATCTTGTTTTCTCTTTGAATTCTTAGAAAATCTCAAGTCTCATCTCTCAGTATACCGGAAGTACAATCTACCAACTGCAACATGACGAGCATCGCATCCGTCCGCCCGTCATTAACATCTAATGATTCGGCTGTACTCCAAGCACTTTTCGATGCCGAATCTTCTCCATCATCAGGAATCACAGTTGATTCATCCCTTCCCTCATGGCCATCCTCCTTGAAGATCTCCCAAGAAGATCTATCATCGCTCAGCCAGCGCGAAACAGAAATCATCCGCAAACTACAAGCAGATGAACAACCGAGCGAAGAAACAGTCAAGTCCGCACTAAACGACTTCGACACACTTCTCAACCAATATCCAACATATCCCTCCGCATACACAAACCGAGCACAGACACTCCGTCTCTTGATCGATATCATCCGCAACAACCACGAAAGCAAGTCGGACAATGTTCAAGGTTCAATCTCTGAACTAGACGAGGCAGCCCTCTTCTCACCTCAAACCTCAGAACTATCATCTCGCATTTTTTCCGACCTAGGCCAAGCAATCAATCTCGCTACACCTGCCTCCCCCGCTGATGCTGTATCATCTGCCCAAGCACGGCTCTTGGCGGATGCACACACGCACCGGGGCTATCTACTTCTCAAAAGCTGCGCGAGGCAAAAAGGCCAAGACTGATGAAGCTGGGTCGGATATGTCGGGTCCGGAGCGGTTGAGAGGACTTGGGGCTGATCAGCTTGAAGAGATGGCTAGTCGGGATTTCTTCTTTGGGGGTCGCTATGGGAATAAAGTTGCCCAGCAGCTTTCTGTGCAGACGAATCCTTATGCGAAGATGTGTGGGGCAATTGTTAAGGAGGCGATGAGGAAGGAGGTTGAGGGGTGAATCAGTGAAATAGCATATACTTGATTTGTGTCTTGGGCAGATAAAACAATACAATGGACAATTGATTGGAAACTGATTTCATACTGTAGCTATCTGCAAAGTATGTATCCACATAATCTCGTCATCGTAGCTCTCAAGTACAAACTCCAATCTAAGCCTTTTTGTTAGGATTAACAAAGTGCCGCTTCAAGGGCTTCCAGCTGTGCTCATTGTATTCTTCCTGCACCTTCTGGCAAGTTTTCAGGCCCCATTCCGAGACACCGACCATCAAAGAACTAAACTAATTGTCAGTAATCAAAGTTATCAAGCATTATGGTTCAAAACTTACCTCTCAAACATGAAAGCCATACTTCCATCACCAACCTTCTGCGGCTTCAGCTCAGCATTACTAGCGCCCTCAAAAGCACCCGAGTCAGGACCATGTGCACTCATAACATTATGCAGACTAGCCCCAGCAGGCTGGAAACCACCACCAATCTTCGCATCATAGTTGCCAGCAATCAAACCCATGAACTCTGACATGGTGTTGCGGTGGTACCACGGCGGACGGAAGGTATTCTCTGCTACCAGCCAACGAGGCGGGAAGATAACGAAATCAGCAATTGCTGTACCAACGTGGTCTGAAGGACCTGTCAATACAGTGAAAATAGAGGGGTCTGGGTGGTCGAATGAGATGGAGCCGATGGTATTGAATCGGCCCAGATCGTACTTGTAGGGGTAGTAATTGCCGTGCCATGCTACGACATCGAAGGGGGTGTGGTTCTGGCGCGCGGAGAAAAGAGTGTTATTAAACTTGCTGTAGAGCTTGTACTCGCTCTCCTCTTCGTCGTCGAAGTCAGCAACGGGGGCTTGGAAGTCGCGCGCATTGGCCAAACAGTTGGAGCCGATGGGGCCCAGCTCGGGAAGCTCGTAGTGGCCTTGGTATAGTTCACAGATGTAGCCTCGGACAGGACCATCAGGGAGGGTTACGCGGTATCTGACACCGCGGGGAATGACACAGATCTCATTCGGGCGAAGGATAATACGACCAAGCTCTGTCTGGATATCCAGGACACCGTGCTGGGGCACAATCAAGAAGTCTCCATCCGCGGAATAGAAAGCTTCCTTACCCATATCCTTGCCTGCGGCATATAGCAAGATTCCCAGTCCTTGCTTCATTGTCGGGTCGCCTGACCCAGCAACCAAATGCAGTCCGTGTACCCAATCGACCTTCTCATCAAGGTCGAATGGATTCCACCGCAATTGGTTAGGAATATGGTGAAGCTTATGGGTCTCGGTGGTCATGCGGGTGTGATATGAGTCGGCATCTTCCGCGAAGAAGTTCTCATGTGCCGCTGCGGGCAGGATGCGATACACCCATGTCTGTTTGTTTTCATGGCGAGGTGCTGTGAATGCAGTTCCCGAGAGTTTCTCTGCGTAGAGTCCATGGGGGGCCTTTTGTGGAGAATTCTGGCCGATTGGAAGAGCTCCCTCGACGGCTTCGGTCCTAGATATTTCGGTTAGTTCGCGTCATCGTTATACTTGGGGTATATGAACACGCACTCATGGTACGAGCCGAAGCCCGTCTGGTACTTGTATGGATCGGGGTGGGCGAAGTTAGTGACAGGCATGATGGTTGATTTTGACTATGTGCAGTCCAGCTGTCTTTGTATAAAAAGACAACCGAGGAGCTCAACAGCTCAAAACGTCAGAGCGGGAATCTTCGGCCGCGACTATCCTTTCTCTTCCGCGGTTGGATGCGGGGGGCGGGCTGATTCCGCACGCCCGGAACTGCGCGTCGAAGGGGCCAAACATCCGCATAGTTAAGATGAGGTTGCTTTGATCTTTTTTCCTCTCTTTTCAACAATCCTCTCAGATATTTATCATGGCTTCGTGGCTCCAGATCCCCAAGAACTCGCCCTTTTCGCTGGCCAACATTCCGTTCGGCATCATCTCAGCGCAATCCGCTTCAAAAGTAGCCGCAATTGCCATCGGTGACCATGCTCTGAACTTGAGTGCGTTCGCCTCTTCAGGAGGTTTCTCTCAGCTTCCTGCAATTCAGCAACACTTGGCTGTCTTCAACCAGCCAACACTGAACGACTTCGCTGCTCTGGGCCGCCCTGTGCACAAGCAGGTCCGCGAGTATTTACAGAACGTCTTCCGCGCCGACACACAATTCCCCCAAATCCTTAAGGACAATGCCTCTCTCCAGAAGTCAGCTCTGTTGCCTCTCTCTCAGGTAACCAACCACCTCCCCATGCAAATCGGAGACTACACCGATTTCTACGCCGGTCTGAACCACGCCTACAACATTGGCGTTCTCTTCCGTGGCCCAGACAATGCGCTCCAGCCCAACTACAAGCATCTGCCTGTAGCCTACCATGGCCGTGCCTCATCAGTTGTGGCCTCTGGCACACCCCTCCACCGTCCCCAGGGTCAAATCCTGGCCAACCCTACCGCCGACCCTAAGGTGCCTACCTTCTCCCCTTGCAAGCGTCTTGATATCGAGCTCGAGCTTGCCTGCTTCATTAGCAAGCCCAACGACCTCGGAAAGCCTGTTCCCATAAACGAGGCCGAGGACCATATCTTCGGTGTCGTTCTCATGAACGATTGGTCCGCCCGTGACATCCAGGCCTGGGAGTACGTCCCCCTCGGTCCCTTCAACGCAAAGAACTTCGGCACAACAATTACCCCCTGGGTGGTCCTTATTGATGCTCTGGAGCCCTTCCGTGCCACTGGTCTGGAGCCTGGCAACCGCGAGTCTCTCCTCCCCTACCTCCGCGAGAAGCGCGCCGAGAATGCCTACGAAATTCCCCTCGAAGTCGAGGTCACCAACCCCGGTGGTCAGCCTACCCTCATTTCTAAGAGCAATGCTCGCAATCTTCTCTACTCTTTCCCTCAGATGGTTGCCCACCACACTATCACCGGTTGCAACTTGCGTACTGGTGACTTGCTTGGATCGGGTACTATCTCTGGTACTGAGCCCAAGACCGAGGGTAGTTTCTTGGAACAGACCAATGGCAAGACCCCTATCAAGCTTGCCGATGGCTCTGAGCGTATGTTCCTTGAGGACGGCGACACTGTTACTCTGCGCGGTATGGCTGGCACGGAAGGCAACTATGTCGGTTTTGGCGACTGTGTTGGCACTATCCTGCCTGCCATCTCCCTACAGTAAATGAACAACTTCAAAAATGAAATGTGTGATGTTTCTTTGATTTTATTCCATAGTCTCTAGACAGCTTGCAATAACAATTCTCGGTCTGCTATCAATGAAACAAACCGGCACAATCAAAAAGCCATAGTCCTAAAAGGTAAATCCGAAACTTGACTTGACAATCCCATAAACCCTCTCCTACTCCTTAACCCGAAACTCCTCAGGCGTATCCCCCTGCGTCCTCCAATGTCCCAATTTAACAGCCTCCTCGGCCTCCAGATTCCTAACAATCCCACTAATGACCGGAAACAACCCCAAATCAACCCCGACCCTCTCAGCGCCCCAAGCAGCGGGAACCAAACACAAATCAGCCAGTGTAATCTGATCCCCAACACTAAACCTCCCAGCCGACCCCGCAACAACAGCCTCGTAAGCCCTCAACCCATCAACAATCAAGTCCCTCGACCAACCAGCCCGATCAGCACCCAGCGACGCAACCCGCTTCAAAATCCGCAGGTTCGTCACTGGCTGAATATCACACGCAATGATATTCGCCAGGGTACGCACTGTAGCGCGAGTTTCCGGGTCTGACGGGAGCAGCGCGGGTCCCTTTTCTGGGAACGCTTCGTCTAGGTATTCCAGGGCGGCCAGGGATTGGTTTATTGTTACAGGTTTCTTGGTCTCGTGTTGGATTACTAGGGCTGGAACTGTGCCTGATGGGTTGATGGACAGGTGGGCTGGGGTTGATTGCTCGTTTTGCAGAAGATTCACGTATACCGGTGTGTAGGGAATGCCTTTTAGGTGGAGGGCTATCCGGAGGCGGGCGGAGCAGGAGCTGCGGAAGTAGGTGTGTAGAGTGACTTTGCCGGGCATTTTGGGTGGTTTGTTCCTAGGAGAGCTCGATGGTGTGGCGTGGTAGATGTGGACGTGGACGTGGGTGTTGATGTTGGGATCTGGACGCACAGATGTAGTGCAGTATTTCTAGGAATGAAAAGGAGGACTACTGTTACATTATTACATTAAGTTATACGAGGCGCGGACCTTGTATCCCGTGGCATTTGAGGTGTTGGAATGTATAGTCCGGGGTCGCGGAATCAGTTCCGGGTGACGGCCGAGTCCAAGCGCTGCGGATTTCCGCTCTGTTCGTTTCTTTCTTGACTTCCTGTGTGGAGTAAGCTCGTCATATGCAGGTGATGTGAGGCAAGTATGTAGTTCCCGGTCAATATCCTTGTCTAGCTACTAGGAAGTATATGGTGTGCCCTAACTATGACTTGGTGCCATATAGATCAGGCATGATCCAGGCTGTCCACCTATCTTACATTGCTGACTATGCTAGTATCGAAGAATTCTCATGTTGGACTTTCCTTGGTCTGTTGAAGCTCCCGTTTTATACTTTGGTCTCTATTGTGTCCATGGGTGCTGGCAGTGCAGGGTTGTGCCGAATTCACCTATCAAATCAAGGGCAAGATATGCCATTTGTGACGGGTCAGACATTGTACTTCCCAATTACTAAACATCGCAGCTAGCTTAATAGCTAGCTGATTACACAGATCGTCACTGATATGATTGAATTAATCAAATTTCCCCATTAGCTCAAGGTCCGATCCTGACACTACAATAGTTAGCACAGTTAGCGCGGGACGGATATCGCCGGCTATTTCGGCGCTCACAGCCATCTTCCATACCCTGCAATTATCCATCACCAAATATCCACAGCATCCACTAGAGTAGGAAACTACTGTTTCATCCGCTCAGGAACGGTTGAAGATGGATGGGATCAGGCCATCCCGGTCGAGCCGGCCGTACCAGCGCACTTACAAGGCATGCATCCCTTGCCGGCAACGCAAGGCCAAATGCGACCTAGGATCAGGAACCGAAGGCCGGACCGATGGCTTCCCAATCGGTCCACCATGTGTACGGTGCCGCAGGGAGCTGAGGGAGTGTGTGTTCCCTGAGAAACGCGCGTGGGAGAGGTCCCGCAAACGAGGTGCGCTAGATTTCATTCCATGCTGACCATATTTGAATTGGGCGTTGTCTGACTGGTCAATGCTCTAGCTCGATCATCTGCGGACTATGAGACCGATGTCTCTCCCCGGCAGCTTGGTCATTTGATGGCGAGCTCACCTGAGGGTGCTGCTTCTGTTCAGGGTCGAACTGACCAGTATCCACCCACGGTCGACGGAGCCAATTCGAAGCCACAGACGAACCACTTTCAACAGTCGCCTCGTTTTCAACCTGGATGGTCTGTTCACCGTGGTCAATCGCGGTCTCAATATAGCTCGTATGATCATAGCGGGGCTATGGAGCGGCCACGCGCTGATCCAACTGATCAATCGCCCTCAGGTACATACGAAAACAACAAGCATCGGTCTAATTCTTCGCTGTCAAACTCCATGATGCGGACCGTTGTTGCGAGCGGGAATGATGCACTGAATATTCTGTTCGAGGCGGCAACTGCTCAAGAAGAGAACCCTGCCGATACGAGTTCGGAATCACTGGCTGGGCCTGCGTCGGCAGATCCGAATACTCAAGACCGAACGCCCAGGAATTATGATGCTGCCTTTGACCCGGTGACCCGTGTTATATACCCTGTGCAGCTATCTGATGCCTCGCGGGATACTCTCAATGTCTGGGAGGCTTGTCGGTTTGTTAAGATGGGTTGGTTTACAGCCAGGGAAGCTGTTACGTTTATTGATTTGTGAGTCTCCTGCATGAAAGACAGCATCTTCGAATTTGGAAGTCTGTTGGTTTTTTGATCTAGTCATCCATAAGAGATTACTTCTGTGCTCTGTGATTCTGGTACATCAAGACTAACTGATATCAGATTCTTCAAAAACATGTCATGTCTATCTCCCATACTAACAGACTTCTACGCCAACCATCGATATCACTACTGGCTGATTACCCGAGAGCCGGTCTTGTGCTGTACTATACTCATGATATCCTCTCGCTACCACGTTCTCCCTGGAGCTGGGGGTGAATCAAGAAACTTTTTCATCCACCACCGACTCTGGCTACATTGCCAGCAGTTGACGATGAGGCTTATCTTTGGACAGGAGAAAGCCACCAAATCCAAAATTCGAAGTCTCGGTACCGTGGAGGCACTATTGTTAATGTCAGAATGGCATCCTCGCGCGCTTCATTTTCCACCGGATACAGATGGCTGGGACGATGACTTGATCCCGCCAGCCCCTAATACTCATGAACAGAATGATCAACCTGCCAATCGCTGGGTCGAAGATATGATTGAGCCAGCACGCCGATCTGATCAGATGTCCTGGATGTTACTGGGATGTGCTCTCTCTCTTGCACACGAGCTAGGCATCTTCGAAACTGAGGAGAGTAGCTCGCCAGCAGAAGAGCCAGAATGGCGAGATCAAATGACGCTTCGTTGGCAACGTGTACAGCGTCTGTTATACGTTTACATCAATCAATTAGCCTGGCGGATCGGATGCATGTCTCCAATCCCGCAGTCATTGAATCACGCTATCCTTGGTGGACGAAAGCCACACGGACTAAGCCAGCCTGGCAGCACTTGGTTGACATTTATGGATTCATGGATTGAATTGACCAAGCTAGCTAAGTCCGTCACTGACATGTTCTTTCCGTCTGCCGCATTTGCTCGGCAACAACTGCATAGCGGCCGTTATGTCGGTCTGCTAGAGCATTTCCGGCCTCTCCTTAACCAATGGAAAGACAGGTATCTGCAGGTGGAAGTCCTTGACAAGGCATTCTATAATGATCTGTTCATAGAATATCACTTCGTACGGGTGTACACTCATTCCGTGGGAATGCAGGCAGTGGTAGAGCGAGCCGTGGCAGAAAACGATCCCAACAATTTCGACGAAGTGCGACCTATGGCGATCGACCCAACAGATTACGAATATATCCAAGAGGTGATCGAGGGGTGTTGCCAGATCTTACAGAAAGTCACCCATCTAGCCGATGCAGGTGCACTACGATTCTCGCCGGTGCGGATTGTGCTGCGTATCACCAGTGCCTCGATCTTCTTGATGAAAGCGCTCAGTCTGGGTACTCGGCATGCGAAGCTTCAAGAGTCGCTTCAGATACTAGAGAAAAGTATCAAAGCACTCAAGTCGAATGCATTGGATGATGTGCATCTGAGCACTCGTTATGCCACCCTGCTGGACATGCACGTCTCGCGGTTACGGCGTAATCTGCTGGCGTCATCGAAGGCGAGGAAGAATAGTCGAGGAAACACGCGACGATCATCTATGGGCCCTCCTCCTTGGCCTGACGCAAGCGATCGGTCCAATACTATGAACACCCCCGTATCACAGGACCTGACGTCCGATCTGGGCTTCATGCCGTCCTTGAACGATGTCGGTGCTGATGATTGGCTGTCGCTGCCTTTTGATCCTTCAATGGCGCCTTTTGGTATGAGCAATGGAGGGCAATTCCCGATGTATGAAGGTGGAGCGTTGGACTTTATCTGGAATCTGCCATCGTAAGCTCATCTGTATGGTTAGCTGTGTACATAGCCCTCGCAATAAAGTATACCCCAGGAGGGACCTAAGAGCAAAGATAAAAATAACCTAATGTAGAGTAAAAAGTAAGTTTTCTTATCCCTGCAGCGGCATTTCTTTTCCGAGCCTCAATATCATAGGCCCGGAAGTCAAATGTCAAGGAACTAAATCCCAGAATTCCTGAAGCTCCCGAGAGATTCGGTGGCGAACGGAATGCACGTGACCTGGGGTCACGTTTCCGCCAAACGAAAAGTTCAACTCTTCCCCGACTTCTTATCGTTTATTAAGTGACGCCCCCTTCGTCTGGCATTTCTCATTGCCATCAATATCCACCCTCTAGATCCACTCTCGAACATTCAGTCTGTACACTTTTGACTGACCAGCTGGGTCTCCCTTGGTCGACACCTCGCGACCAAACAAACATCCTCATAACCCGACTCATCCGATAATCATCCTCCCTTCTATACAATGGATCACTCGAGAGATCCCTGCCCATGGGTCGCGCTGAGCGACTTCGGTGGTGCCTTCTGTATGGGTGTATGTCTTGCCAGATCATCAACTCGTCAACCGTCCGCATCAAGACAGATCAACTAATCATCTCTTTCTACACAACAGGCTATCGGTGGTGCTGTCTGGCACGGTGTCAAAGGTTTCCGCAACAGCCCCTACGGTGAGCGCCGGATAGGTGCTCTCACAGCCATCAAGGCACGCGCCCCGGTTCTCGGTGGTAACTTCGGTGTCTGGGGTGGTCTCTTCTCGACCTTCGACTGTGCCATCAAGGGCATCCGCAAGAAGGAAGATCCTTACAATGCCATTATCGCCGGTTTCTTCACCGGTGGTTCTCTGGCTGTCCGTGGAGGTGTTAAGGCTGCCCGCAACTCCGCTATTATGTGTGCCGTCTTCCTGGCCGTCATCGAAGGTGTCGGTATCGGATTCCAGCGAATGATGGCCGACAACACAAAACTCGAGCTTCCTCCTCCTCCTCCCTCCGAACAAAAGGCTCTTGCTTAAATTTCTCCCCCCGACCACTGCGCCCGCGCAATCCGACTCACTCCTCCGGTGGACTACGATCCACCTCCTTTTCCCATCTCTTGTCTTTATAACACATCTCACATTGAGTCTCTCTCCTCAGGTGTTTGGTTTGGGTCATCATTAAACGACATGGCATAGAGGTTCTTGGCTTCCTTTTTTTCTGTTTTAGCTTGCACTTCATACCACCCTTCCACTGTCTATGTCTTTGGAACTGTATTTTATGGATGGCGGGCTCGTTCTACGGCCAGTTCCTAGCATTGCCGTGTGTCTTCTCGGGCCAATTTGGCTTTCAAAAGGAAATCCTCTACTCCTGCAAAAAGCGTCGGGATGGTGATGGATACTTGTACATTAACGCACAGCTACCAGGCATAATACGCAACTTCACTTTCAAATGTTCACATATTGATCTCTTTTTTCAGAATATTGATGAGGCACAGACTCAAAGTAGGATTCGAACTTGGGCTTTGATGAGTATGGGATGCAGGGGTCGCATTACTGACTTGCAGTGTTATCTCCGCTCTCTTTCCCCCGCACCAAACCACCAACCTCCATTGCATTCTATAACCAGCAATGTCAGCACCAGCACCAGCTACATTCAAACCAACCTTAATTATCCACGGCGGCGCAGGAAACATCCAACGCTCCAAACTCCCCCCAGACCTCTACGCCACCTACCACGCCTCCCTCCAATCCTACCTCCGCTCAACACACGCCCTCCTCAGAAATGGCGCAACAGCCATAGATGCAGCGGTCCACGCTGTCTCCCTCCTAGAAGACGACCCACTCTTCAACTGCGGCCGCGGCAGCGTCTTCACAACAGCCGGAACAATCGAAATGGAAGCCTCGATAATGGTAACATCCGTCCAAGCTCCCAACGAAAGCGACCCCGGTGCAATCAAGCGCGGCGCAGGCGTAATGGGCATCCGGAACGTGCGCCACCCAATCCGTCTGGCGCGCGAATCACTTCTCAGAACGGGCGTTGCGGCAGATGGGGGCAGTATGCATTCGCAGCTTGCGGGTCCGCATGTGGAGAGTCTTGCGCGAGACTGGGGACTGGAGTTCAAACCTGATGAGTGGTTTTGGACGAGGAAGCGGTGGGATGAACATCAGCGTGGTTTGAGGGGCGAGGAGGAACCGCTGTTTTTGAGTCAGGGGACTGTTGGGTGTGTTTGTTTGGATTGGTGGGGTGGGTTGGCTGTTGCTACTAGTACCGGTGGGTTAACGAATAAGTTGCCTGGAAGGATTGGGGATACGCCGACTCTGGGTGCTGGGTTTTGGGCTGAGGCTTGGGATGAATTGTTGAGTGGTGGCGGTGGTGGTCTTGGTGTTTCGGGGCGAGATGCTTCTTTCTCGGTTCGTGGCTTGTTGCAAGGTGCGCGGAATTGGATGGCGGATTGTATGCCGCAGCTTGTGCGCGAACTGGGTCCTCCTGCTTACTCGTCCCTTTCGCTTGCTGGTCGTTCTTGCAGTACTGGTACTACTCGGCGTGCCATTGCTGTCTCTGGGACTGGGAATGGAGATTCTTTCTTGCGTGTTGCGGCTGCGCGCACGGCTGCTGCTATGATGCGGTTTTCTGGGCCGGGCTACTATCCTTCTAAACTTGCTGATGCGGTGTCGGCTGTCGCCGGGCCTGGTGGTGAGCTGCAGCGTTCGGCTGGTTCGAGGTGGCTCGAGACTGGCGAAGGCGAGGGTGGTATCATTGGGATTGAAGCAGCACTTGCTGTTAATGGGGCTTCAGATGTTAAGTTGCACCGCGGTAAGGTCGTGTTCGACTTCAATTGTGGTGGAATGTGGCGCGCCTGGGTAGAGGAGGATGATTCTGGCAAGGATGTTGAGAGGATCATGGTTTTTCGAGAAGATTACCAATAAGTACAGGTACAGTAGACAATTCGAGATAGAGCTCTATCAGCTGCCAGACCTTTGGTCTTTCCAATTGAGTCAGATTTTGTTGTTTGCCTCGCAGTGTAGTCACTGTCGTAGATATATATATGTATGCCGTCCCCTCTCGCTTCACTCCTGTCATATAGAATAAATCGACTTACAGTTACTATTCACTACCAACACCTGGTGTAATATTGACCAATTATTATTCTAAAAACGTAATCACCTATTTAACTAACCCGTTTGCTTCTCCTCGCTATTTAGATGATGCAGTGGTATGCAGCTTTAGCTCCACAGCGCCAAGGCCGCAAACCCTATAAAAGACTCGAATCCCCACTGTAGCGGAGAAAAAACAACAAATTTCAAAACCAAAAAAGAAACTCCGATAGGGGGAATCGAACCCCCGGCTGTCGTGTGAGAGACGACGATGTTAGCCACTACACCATATCGGAGGGGGACTGCGAATTACCCTCTTAGGTTTAGTCTTGACCCCTTAGGTTTAGCGCTCTTTGTCCTTATGCCTCCCCGTGCGTGGTTCTATATAGTCCCCTGCTCTTCCCCTCCATCCGACAGCCCCAATTTCTTTTTCGCCTTCTTTCTCCTACACCTCGCAGGTGAGGCATTTTTGCTATTGACGCGGATCACTGAGCTCCTGAGCTCCGCCACCCCCTTTTCCATGTCTGACTCGTCGGCTCTTCTGCGACCCCGCGTCTGCAATTCGAACCGCCCTCCCTCCTCCGGCCCTGTTTTCCTTCTCAGGCCCGACCATGGCGTTAGGTGTCAATCGGCCGACCTATATTTAGCCTCCCCGCATACAGGCGATTCGCCCTACACTCTTTTAGGATAATCATCCCTACGCAGCGGGACTGCAAATCTGCCTTAGGGCCGACACACCGTGCGAGAGCCTTATCGACCCTAGATGATAGCGCTAGCCTCAATCTAAAACCGAAGATGACCGGATCGGATTACTCGGTTTAATAGACTGATCAGACTCTCTCAGCCGTGAGTGGCGTCAGCCGGTTCTTGCTCAGTCAACGCAGTTAAGTGACAAGGTAGGGACAATTTTTTTTATGATGACTGTAATAGTTCACGGCGGTCATTGGGCCGGAGAACGAACCATTGGACGTCTCGTTTGGGCACTTTCATCGAAGGGCATGGCCGGCCAGGCGCGTCCCAAACGTGAGGAAGATCATTAGCTCCTTACTATGCGAGATAGAAGATGGGCATAATATATGCCAGTATTACAAAAATTATTCGAGGTTAGATATGGAAACAGCAATGAGGCTTATAAAAAAGTGCTAGGGTGCGTTGGAGTAATAATCAACGAATAACCCACTAAATATTCACTCTTCACACCGTATAATGATCCTTTTTCACAACTGTTCCTTTGTGCCATTTCTTAGTGGACCAATTGCCTTCAGTATTGCATTTTCTGGCTTATCTTCTTAGCTAATCTATTCTTCCTAAAGATCTTATCCGCTGCCTCATTCACTGCATTGGTCACAAACTGGACCTGCATCTGGCAGCCTAGAGGGGCCCAAGGATGCACCATTGGCTCTCAAACACGATTGAACATCGTCTATATCGAGGATTTTGTTCTGGCTAATGAGCGATGCCGCAACTCCAGCGGCCTGACCGGTAACCAGCGCCGTCCCCATGACCCTGACTGCGCTGGTTGCATATTGATCGACGTCAACGCATCGCCCCGCAACAAAAAGGTTGGAGGTATCTAAGCTCAGAAGACAGGCCAGTGGAATTTCAAAATACCCCCGGGGTGGGATCCTGAAAGAGCTTTCCCAGTTGTTATTCCTCTCGTCATGTAGCTCACAGCCTCAGGCTCCTAGGGCAATGACATCGTCAAAATGTCTATCTGACATAATATCGACTTCTGTCAGTTCATATGATGCATTGACGTAACGGCTCTCCCGAGTGCCGAAATTGGGACCTGTTGAGGCGAGATACATCTTTTCATGGCCGGGCAATTTTCGTAAGATTTCAGATATTCTCGGGCCTGTTTACGCCCAGAGACCTCAGCAGCGGTGATACTGGCTGCATCTCTCGTGTCATATGTCGCCGAGGCTAGGAAGGAAACAACATGACCCGACTGAGGAAGGCGGATTAGGACGGACTCGTTCTTTCGAATCACTTTTAACAAGGCGGGATCCTCCATTTTGGCCGCGATGATAGCTTGACGCCAGCTGGCGGCGGTCGGCTTGGCAGATGAATCCAACCCGACAAAGCATGTCGCTAATGAGCCCAAGTTCACAGTTCCATGATTGCCAGATAGAGTCGACGCGCTGCAGTGATATGCGAGATCACCGTCTCCACTGCAATCCACGAAAGCCCTAGCTTCAATCCACCGTCTCCCACTTCTCTCCTGGAGTTCGACGGAAGAGACAATTTGCCCCTGGCCACATCGAGCCCCAACGACTGTCGCATGAAGAAGGACATCAATATGATGCTCCAGTACAATATCGTCAAGGACTAATTTCAAGCACTCTGGCTCAAGGGCCTTCGGAAGCATGTAGGTTAGATTTTGACCGCCCTAGGAGTATTTTTAATGGCGATTTACCTACCTGAAAGATTCCGCAGTGCCGAACTGGCCTACCGGTGGTGCCGTCTATCTCTTTGAGTCGACGCTCGAGATCTTCCCATATCCGTCCGATCGCGCGTTTGGGGAGTTCTTCCAATGTAAAAAGTCCACAGTATGCTACCACTCCTCGATGAGTGGCGGCACCACCAAGGCAGTCCTTAGACTCGACCATGAGGATACGTGCATGAGGGCCGGCGGCCTGCCTGGCTCCAATTGCTGCACCAATCCCCGCCGTACCGCCGCCCACCACTAAAATATCATATTTCTTAGCAAGAGTCATAGCGGATGACATTTCTTTTCTTTATAGAACTTCTTGATTACGTACTTAGCCTCGTTAATGAAAAGGGCTGACCTGGGTATACTTATAGAAGCAACCGGAGAAAGCTGATATGGGGAAAATGGGTTTGGCCCTATGGCAGTACATGGAGTAGACTACCGTACGGGTGAACTGTCGGGATTTTTAATTCTCAATAATCGCGATAGATGCCGGGTCCTTAAGTTTCTGATCCTCACCAATCGTGATCGATACCGACTGAAAGAATTTAGAGTTCACCGCGGCATTGCTTACTATTGGTTTAACCCTAAGTTTTAACCACTGTGACTTTTCCCTACGGGTAAAATCTCCACTAGTATAAGGTTAAATAATAGAAATGTATTAGTATAAATTAGTAGTTTTATATATACTAAGACCCCGATTTTATATAAAAATAGGTTTTATTAGGGCCCTATTAGGGAACCATAGTGGTTTATGGTTTAGTTACGGTTTAGGCGGTTAGAACCCGCAACCACCACGGTTTGTTTTTTTCGGGGAAAGGTTTGACCCTAATTGCGGTTTTTGGCGCACTCAATCCGTGACATTGAACCACGGTTCAATGATCCAAGGGTCTTCTGAAAGGGCTCTCCGATAGTTGTATTTGCGCGAAAGCCGAGTAGAGAGATTCGGGTGTCTGACCAATTGAGAAGGCCGATTAATGCCAATGGCACAGGGCTTTTTATTCCCGCGCACTAAGTAGAAGATTGGCCATATCTCGCAACGTAGGCAAAGTCAGAGCTGCACCTCTTGCATCCATATCAAGTATCCAATTCTCTATCGATTGTCGATATAAGTGAAAATATGACCAGATGGCCTCTTTTTAGCAGCAGCTTCGCGCCCATTGATCCGGGCCTTCAAAGTTGACAGGTACTTCAAAAGATCGTGCAGCAGCTGCAGCAGAGGGATATTCACCATATTCTATAGCTTTCATAGCTAATAAAAAGCGACCTTCCTGCTCTGTCAACTTTTTCTTTTTATCAGAGCGTTGGCCATTGTTGTGGTTAACAAATATGGATTACAGTATATTATTAAAGTGGATTTTTGATGGGGCCGGGCCGCTGGGGCGACCGTGGATCACGTTAGTTATGGGTGGGTCGTTTATGTAAGGGAGTCGGGGGACGGAACAACGGAGACTTTTTGACTTGCTGTTGACGGTGTTATCACTCCGGAAATGGATTCTGACAAATCGGCAACCGGACAGCATTAAAGGAGACTTCATTGTGCTTTTAGACAGGTGGGCTTAGCGACACCCTCCTCTTTAGTTCCCTCTCTTCATCTTCCATAAATTTAAGTCCCTTTCTTTTCTCCGCAAACATCTTCGCCCATCACGACAGTCAAGTAACATTCAATCCTATTCACAATGACCACCTCACCCCTAGAAGGGCAGGAAACTGCATCGCATCATTCCAAAATTTTACTATCGAGGCATGGTGATGGTAAGTAGCTCTCAAAGATATCCTGCAAAAGCTGGAGGCATTTTGAACGCGTTGACTAACTCATACACAGATCCAGGTATAGGGTCTACGCAGACTGCGAAAGATGAATATGTCTACATTGCCGATGGCTACAACTTGATTCGGCGGATCATCTTCATCATGACGGTGTGTTCATCCATGTTCACCAATCAGTTGGGCCTATGCAACACCCTCACGACGCTCGAAATAATCGGAGAGTCCTTTGGTGTCACCGAGCCTGGTAAACTCTCGTGGACAATCTCTGGCTACGGCTTGACTCTAGGCACATTCGTCTTGATCGGAGGACGTTTGGGTGACGAGTTTGGCAACAAGGCAATCTTCATCATCGGTATGGGCTGGCTTGCTTTGACCAGCATGATGGCAGGAGCCTCTGTCTACTCCAGCTGGCCCGTCTACGTCCTTGCTCGTGTCCTGCAGGGCCTTGGACCTGCCTTAACTGTGCCTAATGCACTCGCCATCATGGGCAAATGCTTCTCCGAGGGCCCTCGAAACATGGGTTTCGCATGGTTTGCTGCATCAGCCCCAGTCGGTGCGATGGCTGGTCTCCTCTTTGGGCCCCTCTTCGCCATGGCTTGGTGGCCATGGATCTACTGGAGCCAGGCTTTGGGGGTTGCCTTTCTTTTCGTCCTCGCTATCGTTGCAATTCCAAACATGCCTGTCGAGGGTGAGCAAAAACAGCGACGAACGATTCGCGAAACTTTGGACCGCCTTGATCTCCTGGGAGGTGCAAGCGGTGTGACAGCTCTGGTTCTGTTCAACTTCGCCTGGAATCAGAGCGTGGTCACTACGTGGGACGAACCTTACGTCTACGTATGCCTGATCCTTAGTTTCTTGTTCATGGCGGCGTTCTTTTACATCGAACTTCGCCTAGCTCGCTATCCAATCCTACCTGTCGCCGTCCTCACTTCCGACATCGCCTTCGTCTTTGGTTGTACAGCAGCGGGCTGGTCCACATTTGGCATCTGGGTAAGTACTGATCTTTGCCCCAAAGTTCTGTCAAATTAACGATGTGTCTAGCTTTTCTACGTTATCCGAATATGCCTCAATATCGGTGGCCAAACTCCCATTCAACTGGCTGCATGGCTTTCTCCTATCCTCATTACCGGCATATCAACAGCATTGGTCGTTGGCAAAATAATCAACAAGGTTCCAGCCTCGTCCATCATGTTGTTTGCAATGCTTTGCTACTTCGTCACTTCCCTTCTCATGGCCTTGCGACCCGTACACTCGACGTACTGGACCTACTTCTTTTTCGCCACCATTATCGCCACCTTTGCAATGGATTCATCGTTGCCTGCTGCCACGATCATCTTCTCGAACGCAGTGCCTCGACAGTACCAGGGTATGGGTTCCAGTGTGATCATGACGATTGTTGTCTATAGTATATCGCTAGGTCTTGGTTTCGCTGGTACCATTGAACTTCAGATCAACAATGGCGGACACACCGAAGCAGATTTGCTTCATGGTTACCGGGGTACTCTCTGGTTTTCTGTCGGGTTGACGGCATTCGGCACTGTTCTCGCCCTTATCTTTCTACTCAAGGATCATCGAAGACGAAAGTTGGCCAAGGATCAAACGGAAGAGGAAAAGGCTGATTCAACGGAGGCTTGAATGGTTGAAGGGTTGATCACTCATCGATCATTCCTCGATACCTAGTGACAATACCGTGGTAGATTATCTCGGCACCCATGAGTTTATGTGGCAGAATGGAACTTGCGAGCTCTTGCGAAGAAGCTACGAAGACAAGAGGTGGAGTATTGACCAGATGAGAGTTGAAGACTCCAAAACGACCAAGCATAGTTAGAGCAGTTTGATTGCATGCAGGCTTATACAACGAGTACTTAGACTGGCAGTACTTGTGAAAACATGGTAGTCAGATTGTGCAAAGACTCCCGACCCCCGCCCCTCCCCGGAATGTTCAGTGCAAGGTAATTACAAGGTATTCTGTCAATCTGTCAAGAAGAGCCTGAACTGTGGCCTTTGGTCTGTCGTCCGTCATCAGACGCCTGTAACCCGTTGTCTATCGTTTATGGCGTGACGTCTGATCATCTGTTTGTGTGTCGTCTATTATCCGTCACCGAAATTCCGTCATACAGTCTAATCTTTCCAATCTTAGGCCATCAAGGTTTCCCAGACTTTTGAGCGAGCTGCGTCAGCTTGAGAGCATCGGCTAACGGCAATTCGTTGTCTAAGCTCAAACTTCCGAAAATTCCACAGCACATACTTAAGTATGGCAAGCTTTTCTTGCTACCGCTACTCACAATATCCAAGAAAGTCACACAGATCGACACTGCGATCAGATTGAGAAGCTTGCTAGAGATCTAAGTTAGCCAACCCATTCTCCCTGGGCTAGATGTCCTTGTCTCACCCGTCGAGTATGTCACAGCTTGGGATTCGGGCCGCGATGGCTAACACGGCTTGGGCTGAGTTTACGCAAAGCGTTTCTGAAATTGATTGGCTTCCAGCTTCCAGTCCAGTGATGAACAGGGCACAGACGCCGTAGAGTCGTTATTGAACTATTCGCTACCTATTTGGATTTCCTGCCTTGTCTCCAGGCAGATAGTCTTGATGAAGATCATGGATGGCAAATTAAAGGCGGATATCTCAATGACCGAGGGCATCTGCGCCACACTCTATCATTGATTGAAAAACCGGAGACTGGGCTGAACTGAGAGCCCTCTCAAATGGGAACATAGAGCGTAGCCCTACTGAATCTAGTGTGATGAAGGGTGTCCTCAGGAATGGTCTGGATTGCCAGACGTCCGAAATCATTGCAATTTCAGATGCCAACTAAGACAACGAAGCTTTAAAGCTATTGCAAATACAGAAGCAGAAGGAAGGGGCATGCTGCCCATCAGCCTGGAGCATGTACACGGAGTGAGGTATAAAACATGCAAACGGAGACTTGATTGCTTGAGCGTGGGCGGATCATAATTAAAAAGCCATTGGCTAGGCAAAAACATCCACCACCACAGATTTGACATAATTGCTCCAGCCGGCTGACCAGACCACCCGCGGAAAAACCCGAATCACTCTGCCCGGTATCAGAGCATCAAACCAATCTTGAATATCAGGACTCGTATCATGTCGATCCCAGCTGACTATCTGCGTTGTCCAGTTATTCCATGCATGTTTGTTCTGGCAAATGATGGGATGCTGCATCTCGAGAGGCTCAACCATCCCGTTGGGAGAGCAATCTGCTATTCCGGCCTCAAACCAGGTTAATGAATTGTAGGCACCTTTATCGTATTGAAAACTGCTCCAGCCTTGGTCACGCGATACGATGGTGAAAATTATTTTATCAGGTGGAGGGCTTCCTTTGGGGATTTGGACTTCCAGGTATGGTTCAAGTTCACGCTGCTCAGTGTCGTACCTTTCGCAATCGAATTGGACTTGTTCTACCCTTTTCTTTGAAAGGAGGGGAGGATTCAACGCTGTTATCTGAGCTACCAGAGTGTCGTAAAAGGGCTCATCTTGGTGGAAAGTCATTTCGTCTGAGTCGGTTGTCCAAAAGAGCTTGGGGCACGCTTCCTTTTCAAGACAAAACTGCACCAAATCACTGTCTCGCTGAAGAAGGGCCACGTCCAGACATCCCTGGCCTTGTCCAAACGATTGGTGTGGAGACACATAGCTTTCAAGGAGCTCTCGCACCAACCCACTAGATTCCATTGGAATATCTAGACCAGCCACATTCTCCCGTGTGAAGCACTTCTTGTCGAAGAGAAGAAGCCTTCGGCACCTATCTCTGTCCAAGTCAAGAGCGTTCCGCAGGGCTGTATTCCGTGGGCGGTGTGCCGGCCCATAGTTGACTTGACCCCCATTGCTAAGGAGGAAGTCAAGCACATCATCTCGGTCATGATAAGATGCGATATGCAACGGTGTCTCTCCACCATCGCCTTCAGGCAAATTGACATCAGCTCCCATTTCCACGAGCCATTCTACCATCTCGAGTGACCCAAAACGGCACGCAGCATGAATGGGGGCTCGTCCGCCCCTGCCGATGGCATTGATTGCGGCCCCGTGCTTGAGAAGCACCTTTGCTTCTTGCAGTCGACTAATCTGAGCAGCGTAGTTGAGTGGAGAATCCCCCTCCTCGAAGTCATCTAGAGAACGGTGAGGCTGGTCCAGAAATTGATCCAGCAACGAGGGCAGCCCAAGAAGTACCATTCGCTGCACACTATCCAATCGCATACTGGTTTCATCTCGGTGAGAACAGTCATAGAGCTCGGGTTCGACTTCCTTGCCTTTCCAATTCCTCAATGCTTGACGGATGGCGTTCTGCTGATAGAGACTGATGAGAAATCGGTCTGAATCTCCTGCACTGTCCTTTTCGAGAAGTTTCTTCAGCTGTGGCTTCAGTGTTTCACTCTCAGTACCGACATCTTCTACGTGAGAGCCGAAATACCTTGCCGTGTAATCAAGAAATGCCATGTAATCAAGTAAGGTATTCTGGTCCATCAGCATGTATCGAGTGCTAATGCCACGGACGTCTTCTTTCATGCTGTCGTATTTGTTCAGGTAGGTGATACAGGTGAGGGCAACATATTCTTTGGGGTCAATCCTGAATAGTCCGTCATTCTCTTTCAGGGAGGTGCCCTCTTTCAAGGGCACGTCATGTTGCTTTGAGGCATGTTTTCTCAAAAAGTCATTTGTCGTTTCGTGGGCAAGCCGAACAACATCTTCTTTCTCGTCGTAATCCACCATGCCGACACATGAGGCGATGATTTGCTTCAGATCCTGCTGTGTGATGGGGTTGGCGAGGCTGGTTTCGGAGCTGGCATCGGAGCTAGCATCAGAGCTGGCGTAAGGTTCTAGACTAATTTCGGTCACACTGGGCTGGACCTCATCTAAATCGCCAATCGAAAGAGCAATCAAAAGCTCTGTGCTGTGAAGGGGACGTTTTGCCTGCACAAGCCAGGCGAGAAGCCTATGAGCATCGATCTGGGAAGTTTCTTCTTGGGCAATTCGCTCCATAGCATCTTTATACGTCGAGTCAAGGCTATCATCCTCGGTAGGAAGGCACCTGAAGCGCGCAACTAATCTCTTGTTGGTTGGGAGTTGGTTGATAATGCTGGTTTGGATTTTTGGGATCAAATAACTGGTGTGCTAAGTGTCAGTAATCTTGGGTGACCCTCGTATATCGTCGAAAACTCACATTCCTTTTGCAGCATTGAGAATTTTCGTGACAATTTTCGTTCGAAGCTCCCAATTACGGTCGAGAAGAGGGTTGTCGATTGAATTCTCAATGTAAAGTCGAATATCTTCTTCTCTGGGCTGTATTTCCAGAAGATGGTATGCAGGACTGGGTTGGTATTCGACAGTGCCTGGGCGGCAAGTGGTCAAAATGTGCAAAGACTTGTAACTTTCGCCAAAGGCACACAGCTGCTTTAGGAGCTCGTGGCGGACACCTTGCTGCAACTCATCTAATGCATCCAGAAGTATAAAGACCTTTTCTTGCTTCTCTATCAAGTTTTCGAAGTCCTTAAGCAACTCTCTCGGTTGTGGATCTCTCTCGGTATTCTTTTGGTACTGTGCAAAAAGCGGCGACTGATAATCGGGACATCTCTCTAGTAGCTGCTTTAGCATGGAAGCTATCAACAGAGGAAATGTCTGCCGGTCCCCTGACTTGTAGTCACAGAAAACGAATGCTAGTGGCGTGTCCGGATGATCACGATCTAAGTGCTCAATTGTCGCAGCCATGAGCATTGTCTTGCCCGCTGATGGAATTCCATAGCAATGGAGAGCTTTGGGTTTTCCGGCTTTCCAATCACTTAGTTCATTGGATGTCACGAACCAGCGGCCAATGACCTCTTTCTTGTATCTCTTGCTAGTCAAATCATTCAGCCGACCGTAAAGTGGATATTTGTATATCCAATGAAGGAACTTTTCCCGTTCTTGCGTTTTATCCTTGGCATCGCCTTTAAGCGCCTGCTCGTGGATCTGTTTTAAGAGTATTTCGCTATCCTTATGGCGAAGAAGAGATGTCACATGTGTCCATTTCTCGAAATTCACATCCTCGTTAGAAACAGTACTCTTTAGCTCTCTCAACTGTTCAACAGCTGAGCCTGTCAGATCATATATGATATTCCTACCAACCGAGGCAGCTTGAAACTTGATGGCGGCAAGGACATAACGTAAAATCGCGGTATAGACTCGAACAATTGCTCTTCGTATTCCTTCGCTGGCTTCAGACTCTGTCTCTCGGTAATAGACCTCGAAGAAAGAGTATCGACAAAGAACGTCAGAAAGATCAGCTGATGATTGCAGCAGTGCAACCTTTCGGTCTTGGCGATTACTAGCCATCTGGGCAAGGAGATTTTGTCAATGAAACGACTCAAGAAAGCCGAAGCATCAAGTGGGTGCGATACGTACCTGTAGGCCAACTGACACAATTGACCAAGCGCAGGCAGCGTGGCCAGTGGGATCACAAGCAGCTAGTGCACCGACTAGCTTTTGAACCGAGAGAACCGCCCCCAAGACGCTACTGGCTAGTTTCTGAGTCTGACACGTCTCAGTCGACTTCTCTCTCGCCGAATCAGTCATATCCTGTAGGATAGTCTGTAAAGATCTCTCATTCCCCGCCAACATCTGAGTGAGTCGCACTTGCTCATCGTGATCTAGCTGAGAATAGGCAGCTTCCCATAGATTCTCAGTGGACAATTGACGTGACGCTATTTTTGCCACGGCTTGGTCAAGTAATTCATCCTGTGGCGGATCACCAGGTTGGTCAATCTGCGTATCAGAGAGGTAAGCTGATCATGAAATTGCTAAAAATCTGAATGAGAGGCGAAACCAACTTTCTCTGACTGGATCCCAACATCCTCTAGGCTCGTTGATTGAATTCTGCCTTGCTTCAAGCTAGCTGAAGTAGATGCTTGGAGTGGCGTTGAATCTTGATTCTCTGTTGGCGCCTCATGGCTGAATATTCTCCGAAACAGTCTTCTGCCCGAGAGCAGTTTGATGCATTGAAGCGGCATGGAGGAGGGAGATAGTTGTTTGTCTTTTCTTTTCCCTTTTTCTTTTCCCTTTTTCTTTTCTCTTGTTTACCCCTGTGGCTTGGCAAAGTGTTTTGCCGGATGTTTTTGGTGCGCTTCAGCTACCAGCAATTGGCAAGAGAATAATGCTCTAGCAGATTGAACGCAATAAAAAACGAAATACACACTTCCTGGTCAAAGGATGAGTGCCAGCAACTATGTGAGGTGTTTCAGCGACTCGGGGCTTGATGGGAACTCGATTTGATCATTGAGAGGAGAAAGAATTCAAAAACGCGGTATTCAACAAGACGGCAAGCGGGGCGCCATAAACCGCTCCCATTGCACCGCTTTTCCGCCCCTGACCGCCGGCCCGGCTCCGCCTTGCCCCTGCCCCTTTCCGGCATGGCGCCCGCTGCGGTCGCCCGACTGGACTTAGCGCTGCAGTGGCCGCCTTTATCGCCCGACGCCTTCGCTCCTCCATCTATGAGTGCATATTTGGCAAAAGCATTCTGTATGTGTACAAATTGGTAAGTGGACCCTATCGACTAATGCCTAGGCTCTAGTCTCTCAGACGTGTGCAGGATTCTGCACTCTAATTAGGACAGTGCTAGATGGGCACCCCCTTTGGCTAGATGGACACCTCCCTTCCTAAATAAGAAGGTGGGTCGTAAGTGTATTCCTCCCCCCGCCCCCCCACCCAAGAGCTTAGTGCAATACATTTCTTGGCATCATTGGACCTCCGAAGGACCGGCAGAAATGGGGCCACCTGACGCTCGATATACTTGCATTTAATATGTAAATCACTAATAAAATTAAGTCACTCTCTCGTACCACCACAAAAATAATTACCCCATAATTAGGGTTACGCTAAGAATCGAGCCTTAGCATGACGCTCTCCTGTCACGGAGTCTCTGGGAAGCATGCACTTGTAATCATGCATTAACCTCTCGCAAACATAGAATATCGACAACGTACAGGTGTCGACACAGCGTTGATTCACCGAAACGTTGCCCTTCATGTTAAATAGCCTCTTCTAGGAGAATCCACAAGTTCTCCAAGAATCAGTCTCTGTATTCTCTTCAATACTATTGTTCCGAGGCACCCTTATCTTACCTAGTTGACAGGCTCTATCCTGTAAACACTAGAACCCCTCATATCTTACAGTGAACCTACTTTTCTCAACTTTTGTTATACCTTAAAGTTAAGGAACGCTGACCGTTCAAAGTTAGATTAGACACGGCGTAGATAGCCTTTCGTTGCCCTAGCGAGGTTGCCCTAGAGAAATCCCCCTCCACTTCCGGTTCTTCTTCGTTCACAAACAAATTCTAGTCGAATAAGTCATCCGGTTATGGCCTTCGGGGCATCTTTATAGTAAGATATTAAAGAGTATTCGGTTAGAGTAGAGAGCATTTCGCGGAGTATAAAAGTTTCCTTTTATTTATATTCTACTTGTGATAGGTTTCATGACTTGCTAATGATAGAGCTGCCTAGGCGCTAAACACTGCCTACGTTGAAGGTAACTCCTAGTGCACGTAGGCATTAACGAGCTAAACCGTTTTTGGTATAGTTCTAAAATTCCCACACCTTGCTGCTGGCTATATAGAGACACCACGACTTTGTTTGATATAAGCACGCAGAATCATGGCATTTCCATCGTCACCTCGACTTACACCATATCGGATGTTGGATGAAAACCGAAGCAAGATTTGACATAATAGCCCAATTGGTTTAGCGCTATGCTCCGGCCTCCCTTTTCTTCCATGTGACTCATGTGACTCGTTGCCAACGAGTCATTGGCTCTTCTGCAATTTTGAGCCGGCAATCTGCGCTGCCTACTCTCGAGTGGCCCTGTCCTCGTCTTTAGCTCCGACTATGGCGCTCGAGATGAGACACCCTTTTCCTCTCGTTTTTGTCGCTGGTTTGCAGACTCGTCAATCGGCCGGTCTATAGTCGACTTCGGCATATGTAGGCGCATTCGCCCTACACTCTTTCAGGATAATTGTCCCTACATTTGCTCAACTTCCAACTCACATACCAACTTTCAATGGCTTTAGAGGCCCTATCCGGGATGGCAATATAAAGCGAGTGGTTTCTTCGTTTCCCCCGTAAGATGATATTATTGATTGTGTTCTTCTTACTTAACAGAGACTTTAAGCCCTTACGCTTAGTACATAAAGCTCTCGGCGAGATAACGCTATTCTCCTCGTCACGCGTGTTTCTTTCGGCTAATTCGTTAAATATCTAAGTTTTTGAGCCGTACCGAACTACCTAACATTTCGCCGAGAGATTACGGAAATTATCTAGGACGACGTACGTTTTATCTCCGCGCTGTTAATGTCAGGCCCACTGCCGGTCATCGCCCATTAGTAAACATAACGTGTGTATTTATCCTAGAAGCTAACCTTCGTATAAATGTCAGCGATTAGTTTTACCACAAATCCGTATACGCTCTTAGTACTAGAAGACTATATTTCCCGAATTATATAGCAACATGACTTACACCGTCCTCACATGTTTACGCGCTAAAAACGAGAAAAAAAAAAAAAAAAAAAAAAAAAAAAAAAAGCGAAAAGGTGGTTGTTCTATAAGGCAAATACCTACTAAAGAAGGTGTCTCGGTTTTATGAATCCTCCTTATTAATAGCGCAGCCGGAGTACGCGATTTGTCACAAATATCTCGCCAGCTAACACCGCGTCTAGCACCTTGACAGCCGTGTACGAGGGCCTTACCGAAATATAGTGTATGTGAAAGATAGGGTCATAAATCAATACATGTCCAGATGGATCTAGTTTTTAGTTTGTTGAATTTAATGGTTTGTAAGATAATTGCATTTGAATCTAATAGATACAGACAGGGTGACCACTCGTCCTGGAAATACGTTAGTTAACGTATTCCACTACCCAGTGCCACCACCGAGCAGCCATATCCAAAACACATACATAGTAAATGCAATATTTTACAACCTTGTATTTCAACAACTGCATTATTGTGTGATTTCACTCTCATTAGATAGCTATTGAGAAGGACCTTTAACCCTATATATGAATTCCAAGAAAACCGAAATGCTACAATATCATGGTATTGAAAATTACTTTGCTCAAAGCGAGAAATATATATAACGCAATCACGAAGTCACAAATACTTTCCAAACTCCTAGAGACGCTAGATGTCACCCAAAAAGCATTAGGCTATTAGGAAAACTCCATATAGACTACCGCTGTTGAAATATCATCTTGTAATCAATCGCGTTTACTATGTGGCCACTCAGTGGTGGCCGCTCGGTAGTGAATTACGTTATGGGGGTGCTAATTAACGTAACGTTACATAAGACATACGGAGAAACCTTGGCATATATCCTCCGGTTTTACACAGTTATGGTATCGACAGATATTGACATGACGCTTTCGCCAGTGCTGCACCGCGCTGGATCATGCTGGGCTTATTCGTCCCTTAATTGGAATATATGAGACCATTTGATAGATCTATTCTCTATCAAATCCAGGGGCCGAAGGAGCACCAATGACTATGACTTTTGTGACAGGACGATGGCGTGATACTCCGTCGGTATGGCTCATAGCTGGCCAAGAACACGGTCTCTACTTAGGGAACGGCAAAATTCTTTTGGAGATTCAACTCGATCATATATCGCTACCTCCGACGGAATGACCACTCCAACATCTTCAGCAACAGAGAGCGCCCCGACCAGACTCGGTGAAAAAGTCCCAGTTGTTCAGTCTACAGTAGGCGATGGAGCACTGCAGCTGCTGGCTGAAGCCGGCTCTGTCGGAGTTGTTGATCCCGAGACATCTAGAAGACTCTTGCGCAAAATCGACTTGTATGTCATGCCACTGATCTGCATCGTTTACTTCCTGCAGTATCTGGACAAGATCGCCATCAGCTATGCCAGCGTCACCGGAATGCGCGAGTCAGCGAAGCTCTACGGCAACCAATTTAACTGGGTGTCCAGTGTGTTCTTTTTCGGCCAGCTCGCCTTCTCCTTCCCCACAATGCGCCTGGTGCAAGCATTTCCCCTAGCAAGATATGTGGCTGTCAACGTTACAGTCTGGGGCACCATCCTGGCCTGTATGTCCGCTTGTCATTCATTTGCCGCCCTGATGGTCTGCCGCACGCTTCTGGGTGCCGCGGAAGCCGCAGTCGTGCCTGCCTGGGTGGTCTTCACCTCGCAGTGGTACCGGAAGGAGGAACAGGCTTTCCGTGTCGGTTTGTGGTTCTCCATGTGTGGATGGGCGCAGATGTTCGGCGGCTACGTCGCATATGGTGTAGCAATTCACATTGGTGGGGATCCTAGCGCGTCCCTGCGAGGTTGGCAGGTCATTTTTCTGATCCTGGGCCTGCTGACCGTAGTGATCGGCATTCTCTTTTTTTCATCCTGCCTGATTCCCCTGTTACTGCGGGATTTCTATCCCCAGAAGAAAAGGCGATGCACGCGGAGCGTCTTCGAGGCAACGGGCAGGGCATTGGAAGTAATGTTTTCAAAAAAGCTCAGTTTTACGAAGCTCTTACCGACCCGCACACTTGGCTCTACGCTTTCTGGGTCCTGGCGGCAAATGTTCCAAACTCTATTGCTACGAGTTTTGGAAATACCCTGGTAACGGGGATGGGCTACTCAGCAACACAAAGTCTCTTGCTTGTTACCCCGCTGGGAGCTTACGAGGTGGTGGTGTTAGTTGGGTTGACCTATATGGCAATGAAAACACAGCAGCGACTATTCTGGTGCATCATGGGCCATATCCCGGCAATCGTGGGGGCGATTCTTATGGCGACAACTGGCAAGGTGCCGGCCCTTGTGGGATACTACCTCTCGGGAGGCATTCCGATCGGGTGGACGACAATCCTTGGGCTCACCAGTACCAATGTAGCTGGCTCAACCAAGAAGATCACCGTGTCCTGCATCCAGACGATCGCCTACACTGTCGGCAACATCATCTCGCCCCAAACATTCCAAGCCAAAGACGCCCCAAAATATTTGCCGGCCAAAATCTCTATCGTTATTCTGTACTTCCTCATCACAATAGACCTCTGCCTTATCTGGTGGCTATCAATCCGAGAGAATCGCCGGCGCGATCAGGAGAAGGAAGAATTAGGTGGCGCGAGCGTCCTTCCAGAGAACTACGAGTTTCTAGACTTAACGGACAGGGAGAACCGGGACTTTCGTTATGCTATATGATAAAAGTTCGTGCACTTGAGTTGGCGATGCGGACGAGGTATAGAGGTGATGAATAGATATAGTCAATGGAGGGAAGCGAATTTACAACAGATCTGAGACATGAATCCCATGCCAAGAATTCTTCAGCGATGGCATATTTCAGAAATCAAACAAACATAATATTCATACAGGTTTATTAGTTGTAACCCTGTCTTTAGGCTGGTAAATCCTTACCACCTATCATGGGCCGCCCACTCAACCTTGGGCCACGGTGACATCTAGATGTATTCAACATATTCACGGCTCATAGCAATTCAACCCAAGATCACAACCACTTCACGAGACGATTAAAGGTCCACAAGGGTCTGAGGCCATCTATGTGTTATTACGTTAGTTTGAAAATACTTATAGTTTTAGGAGAGGGGATGTCTTACAGCCAGTCTGCTACATCTTTTTAAGATCAGAATTTATAGAGCGGTGGAATCGGCCAGTTCTAGGGGACGTAAGTAAAGATTTTGTTCGTATCGGGTCTACATGCGCAGTTAAAAACGACTTTTATATCCTCGAGAGGATAGAAATTTTCTTTGACCGCTTGAGGGTCGCTTTTCATGGTGACGGTGCTCAAGTTCTGATGATAATGCTGGTTCCTGGTCTCCGGCACAGTACTCCTCCAATATACGGACAGTCTTACCGGTCGTAGCTCCAAGCAATAAGATTAAGACCTGGCACCTGTATCGGAATATAGGTCCGCGACTATGTATTTTAACAGTTATATCAACTTGTGGCTCGTTTCTTCTGTATAATCTCTTCACCCGTGTCCCGCCAAAGTATCATATGGCATCTGATTGACTTACCTGGCTAACTACTCCGTGGCAAGTCAAAATCTCGAGACAGCGGTATCATTTATTGAATCTACGGCTGTGCTAGGTTCCACCTGGCGGGTATAAGACTTCGAGATAAACTTGCTGGCATGCACATTATGTACTTTCTTATTGTTAATTTATGCTTGTATATAAGTGCTTAGAATCTAGGCCTAATAGGAAGACCCACACCGAGTGTACCTTATATAAGGCATTTTCCTAAGTAGGTTACTATCTCTAAATTAAGTAGGACTAGGGCGGAAATATGCTCGAGCGATGATTAGGGGCCCTATCGGTAAAATTATAACAGCGTGACCCTTCGCGTACAAACCTAAGCCGTGCGTATCGCCTAGAGCAGTGTAAAGTATAAGGGGTTATAGTGTTTACAGGATAGAGCCTGCCAACTAGGTAAGGTAAAGATTCCTTTGAAAAATAATATCAGATGGAAATGGAAAATAGAGACTGATTCTTGGGAAAACCTAGTTTCCCCATGGAATCGACTATTTGACATGAGGGTAGCGAGGCGGTCAGATAGCGCAGAGGACCAAAAGATCCAGGGCCAGCCCGCGGCATAGGTAAGAGTGCCTCCTAGTATTGGGCCAATACTTGGAGCAATAGTTATTCTAGGGAATATCAGCAAAGGAGCCGCCAAGATATGAAAGTTTGCAGACCTACGCAAATAAGACCATAGAGGCAATGATCCTCTTTCAGCAGGAGCGGCCAAATGTGTGACAACTCCATAGGCTATCGAGGATGTGCCTAGGAAATGGGGATATAATCAGCAGCAGACTAATGAGAATTGAAGGAAACACTACCGGAAATGCACAATGCCTGCAGAATTCGAAGACCCAGAAGCGCCGGGTATGACCTGATCAGAACAATTGCAAGATTAGCTGAGGTGCCGTGAATTGGGCAGTGGCGGTGAAGTTGGTGGCATGGCCAAACTTAAGACACTCAGCATTAGACCAAGACTCGAAGGCGGTTGGATCTGCCCCAAAGGTCCCATTGTTCAAAGCCATAAAGCCAAAGACATGCTGAGAGTCAGAGTCAGGACCACATAGCTGCATGGCCAGAGAGTCGCGACGTCCATCAAAACCATGCGAGTCATCCAAGAGTTCTTCAAGAGCAACAGAACTAATGTCTTGGCTTCGCAGACCATTGCCAATGTAGAGACCTAACACCGCCAAACTCAGCATAGAGCATGGTGGTCTTGCTGGGTGAAGCATGTCCGTTGGCAACATAGTCGTGCATTTGTCTGATCAAAGAGCGGTAGTTGGACTCGGTGCCCTCTGAGGAAGAAGACCACCGGCTAATTTTGTAGTCAATCTTGTGCTTCTTTGCACCATGCAAGGAAGTAGCCTTGGTCTTCCCATCGTCGGTCCAGTCATCGCCATAGGCAGTGCAGGCGAAGATGAGACTCGGCATCATCCACGTTGTCGTAAAGGTTGAAGGCGTAAAACATACTTTGATTGCAATTAGCAAACTGGTCCATGATGTGATAAGCCGACCACTTGGATGGATTGGGTCCTGAGACCACACATCGCTCAGGACAGACCGTGTTGAATCCTTGATAGCCGGGACTAGCGCCTAGCCTGGATGGTGTCTGTCCAGAGACAATTCCGGTGAACAGCAGCAGGCTGACCGCTGCGCCACTCCAGAAAGGAGCCATAGTGATGGCTTGTCAAACGAAAAGGAAATGCAAAGAGTGTATAGAAATTGAAAAAGAGTGTATAAATTTGCAAAAGAATGACTGGTTTGAGAGGACTGTGAGTCCCAGTAGTCTCGAGGACGGTTAGAGAGCGTAAGACTACAATCAAACTATAGAGACGGTCCAACAGCAGCAATATAAATGTATCCTGTCTGCTATGGCCGAATCCAACCGAGAGTAGACTATCACGGATCGCACACCGTGCTCCGGTCATGCTCCGGTCATGCTAGTGAATACGAAGTAGGAATCTCTGCTTCAGGGGCCGAGTGTTTCAGGTGGACCTCTCATTCCGCACATCAGGGTCGTTCGCAAGGCTCTCATCAGATCACTTTGCCAAGTGTTGACTACTACTAGCGGGTAGTTGATAGAGCCGCTAAGCCCTAGGCTGATCCACCGTGTTTGATCCACTCCGAAGACACCGCTAGACTCTGCTTTTTTTTTTTTTTTTTTTTTTTTTTGTTCTTGGGTACTTAACTTTTGGAGTAATTTCGCTTCTCCGGCGCTATTGGTTATTTGCCATGCCCTTGATTCTTGCTGTTTGAAATCTTCATTGCTCTTTCATTCTCCCAACTCGCCATCTTTCTTTCTGCATTTGGTAATCTTTTGTGTTGGCCCTCTTGCCATCAGCATTGATCCCCCCTATGATATAACCCCACCCGCTCAGCATGTTCAGTTTCAAGGCGTGCCTGCTGGCACTCAGCGTGGTGGTCAACCTGGCGACCGTGAATGCGACAGGGTTGGGCCTCGCGGAGATCGACCTTGTGTTTCCGCGTAACGACACGTTTGAGCCCATGCCACTCATGCCTATCGTCTTCGCTGTTAAGAATAATCCGGCCTTTCAGCAGATAAGCCCTTCTATGACATATAAGGTGGGCTTGTTACACCGGGGAAAGGGGGGGAATTCCACCTTCTTACCCCTCCAGCCACTTTCTACGGACGATCTTGTCGACAACAAAACAGAGACACAGTTCGTGTACTTTGGAATCGCCAATCACTTTAACACGGAGAACACCTGGGAATTCGGATGGTCAATGAGCTGGTCTAACTGCTCCACATCTGACAACGGCACCGACTATGACAATGCCCATACACGAAACGATGTAGACGGTTTCCACGAACGATACTACGACGTCTATCAGAGTATCATCTTCACCACCAAAAAAGGGGGCCGTCAGGCGAACCTGACTACCCTCACTACCGACGAGGACTGTGGCAAAACTCCGGCGTTTGCCTTTGAAGTAATTCAGACCCTTACCAACCCCACAGAAACTTTCCTGGGTCAAAGCGACAGGGGCCCCCGAAATGTGCTCTTCTCGCAAGCCCCACACCCACTCTCAGTCCTTGTAAAGCTAGCATGGCGCCTGAAGCGGCCTCGAGCATCACCTCGAGTCTGACTAGTCATGAATGCACCGCTGCAACTCCTGCTGTGAGCTGCCCGCCCAAAACCGATGGGGCCATTCGCAGTCTATGTCAGGCGGCATGGTGGACCGCTGGTGCTGCCTGGCTTTTGTGCAGCATATTTTGTTAGTGGAGACACTGTATAATTATGAAAGGTTACTACTAGTTGCAATCAAGCTATGGTATTGTATCCCAAACTTGAATCCCGAAAGTTAAGTAGATCAATCCTTGAGGAGTATACCAGGGATTCGTTGGACCCTAGTGAGGCTGATGTGACCCTGAAGTTGGGCTCGGGCACCCACCATGTACCTTGCTGTACCTTCCCCGAACATGTGCGAAACAATCTGAGATGGCCCAATATGTTCAGTAGGTCAAGTACTCAAGATCCTGACTTATATCCAAGCCTGCGTCTAAGTCAAATTGTATCATGATGTCATTGTCTTTATCTCTAGATTGGAGTAGCCAATCGGGCGATTGTGGCCTCGCCTTCTCTTTTGATGCTATTCTTGCCTTGTCTATTGACAAATCTTCTTGTGGGGCGCTGGCAGATGAGGACATGTAACGACCAAGAGGAGGAGGAGGAGGAGGAGGAGGAGGAGGAGGAGGAGGAGGAGGGGGCATTCGATAATAATCCCTGTCAAAATCTTTGACTACCGCTGGCTGAGGAGCCTTAATTGGATCTGTCCTCAGCAGCGACGCAGGATCTCTGGGCTTCAGCTCTCGGGGGTATGGAAGATGGGCCCATTCATCGTAGTCTTGGTATATGTGAGACTCCTGCATGGACGGTGAAGGGATGGACCCCAGAAAATTCAGTTTCCTCATTACTGAGAGACTGGTCTGTTCCATGGTCAATCGAAATACTCAATACCTTGGTGACGGTCGCAATGTGTGGTAAAAGTGACAGAGCTAGTGATTACAAATATGAGGGGCATATGCTTATCGACGTGTACGAAGCCAATAAGGGACGCTAGTGTGGCGACGCAGTGAGACCGCATGACGAGCCAACCAGTGCTGCTTGGGAGACAAAGAAGGCCAAATGGATAAACCCATCAATCCGTCGGTTCCTGTCAGCTTAAGTAACTCGTTGCAGTCAATGCAATGCCTTCTACTTGTCTACAACAAGCCTCAAAGGCATTCAAATATGTGGATGTCTGTGAAAAGCAGTCAAGTGCGAGCCTTTGTGATCTCAAAGTTGGAAGGCTCCGCATCAACTGTTGTTTTCTCAAGTTCAAGATGCGTTGAAGACAACTCAATGACAAAGATGCGGGCATTTCTTGGTTCTACCCTTGCGCTAAAGTGTAGTTGGCTCTTTAACCGCCTAGGTGGAGGCATTCCAATTACGGAAATCTAAGAGTGAAACGGGACTACTGCAGGCGAAGTGGAAGTGAATAATGTGACTTCTTCGTGCGCGCCAACAGAATATCCAACACATGAGCTGCGAAGTGATTTGTCCATCCATTTTGCGGCTCACTAGCTGAAATAGGAGGCAGTGCAGCTGAATAAAGCGCTAAATGCCATCTCACTAACTCCCCGGTGCTCGGCAGATTCTTAACCTGCTTCATTTCCCTTTGTGTCTCAAATCAAGAATATTTGATCTTTCAAGTTATTATCACGAGAATCTTCAAGGGTGACGCGCGACATGGCAGAAATTCTAGGAGCTGCTTCTGCTGTTGTTGGCCTTGCTGCTTTTGCAACTCAAGTTGTGGAAAAGCTCGATGCTCTGAACGCTATCTATAGGTACAACCGGACTGAAGCTGCAGTTTCGATTGAATCATTGACAGGTCTCCTCAATATTCTTCGCTTAATATTACGGTCTGCCCAGTCCCTAGAGGGGCATCCGGCGGTCGATCAAGCGATTGTGAAATGTCAGGAGACCTACAGCATCATTGACCTTGGTCTAGACGATCTTTTACAGAGAATTTCAAATATGCCATCTGGCAAGCGAGCCCATTTGAAGTCGGTGAAACTACTATTTTCACGGGATATTCGCCGGGAGGTCGAAAAAATCGAATCCAAGCTTGACCTCATGACCAAGACACTGACTTTGTGAGCTCTAAAACTCCCGACACGGACCAGAATTTTGGTTGATTTGAATTGATCTTATAGGTCCCTTGTACTTTACAAAATCCAAGACCCGAGGAATACCGTAGGAGGTCCACCGGGGGAAAGCACCTCTGCACCTGCTTTGACCCAATCAATTTCCCGGAACAATTCCTTCATACGCGAACCTGACCCACGAGAGCAAAATACGGCAAGCGAGGTCGTTAGAAGAGCCACTCACGTTCAACGAACATCATGCAGTCGGCAATACTGCCATTGCTCATGTCATCTAACTGAAAATATCATAGGACACTACTGGGGTTTCGAGTTTACGCCGTTCTCGGCTTTGTTTGGAAAATGCGACAACAAAGAATGCACTGCGAAGAGCACTTCTTGGAAAGTACGCTTTGCCTTGAACAAATTTCGAATTCCATGTGCGCTCGTTATAGGGTTAAAGTTGGTGTCAGGCACTGGCACGTACACCATACAACCAGCCCTCAGTCTAGAAAGGGTGGTAAGCTATACATCTGCGGGATTTGAGATACTATGGAAGTGCCAAAATAACGCCATTTCGCCTGCTCAGGCCCGAAAGAGCTTTTACGAACTGTATCGCTTGGACGATGGTCTTAAGAACCACAGAAACCCGGACGGCAAGGGTTATGTCCAGGTACGCCAGCTTAACCTAGCTGCCGTGTCTAGTCTAAACTGACATTACAAAGGAGCTTCTTACTTATGGGCCTTGGAGGAATCAAGATAGACAGTTCGCTCTTTTGAGGATTTTAGTTCGTGATTTTGGCATGACACTTGAAAATCAGGATCAAAGGTTTTTCCAACTCCATATCGTTATGATATAAGTGGGACTAACCATGATTTATCTAGCTTCCTCCTTCAATGTGTAGCTTGGATAGGAGAGGGATCCCATCTTGATTTGCTTAATGTGATTCTCGAATGTGGATTTGATCCCAGCAATATAAATTCACCATCATTTCAAAGGTGGCCCCCGCCGTTATCACCAAATTGGTTATCAGAAGAATTGACTCCTGATCCGTTCTTCATCGAGTATCTTGCCACGCTAGCAAAGGCTAGTCCCGGTGAGTCTCATAAACTCTCAAAGATGGTGGCGCTTTTAACAGATAGCAAGGATTTGCGGGGGCCACGGCCCTGCACGATGCGATTTTACTCCAGTCGGTCAAAACTGTTCGTCGGCTGATCTCTTCTTCAGACATGCTAGAGGAAGATCGGAACTTCCTAGGCCAGACACCCTTACATCTTGCGAGCGTTAATCGGGATATTTCAAGTCTTCTGTTAGATGCTGGGCATAGCATAAACACCATTGATAAGCACGGGATCACTCCTTTGATGTACGCAGCCGGGATGGGAAAAAGCGAAGTTGTCCAAATGCTTATCCTCCGAGGCGCGGACACCACCATCTCAGATACACGCTGGGACCGGAATTTCATCGCATATGCATCCGTACGTGGTCATTGGAAACTTGTCTTCAAATCTCTGCAAACAATGCAATCATGCTACACTCGGAGGACCTTTCAATATTTCGTTAATCACGCCTTATTAGCACTGATCGTCAACAACACATGGATCGATGACCTGAGAAGGGCCGAATACTTTGAAAATCTGCTTAACCTCTGTGAAGATGTGAACCTCACATTCAAGAATTGCAACACAGGCACAAATCACGATAACCTCCTACACTATGTCCGAAACCGGAAGGAGGCCCAGTCTCTCCTTCGTCGCGGTTTTAGTGGGTTCAATCAAGCAAACAGTGATGGAAAACTTGCAATACATTCATTCGTGCAATGCCCAAATGCCGAATTGATTCAATATTGCCTCGAGAATGGAAGCAATGTGAACCACGCTGATCTTGACGGACGTACTATTATTTTCCGTCTGATTTCGCAGCTGGGAAACTATAGTTGGTTGATTTGGGATGCTGTTGATTCAATCAAGCTGTGCCTGGCTCGAGGGGCTGATGTTTTCCTTTCTGACAGCTGCGACTGCCCATGTCTTGATGGCAGTGGCTGCCATACGTCTTCAGCATTTGACTTTAGGTTTCATTTCGATATATGGGGGAGTCCGACTGGATTTGTGTGGGCTTTTGAGTGGCTCTCAATCGTGGAAGAATTTAGAGGCCTTGAAGCGTCAAAAGTGATGCTTTTATCCTTTCTTCGCAGGACACAATCCGACATACTTGGTATCACACATTTCTGCTGCCATAGAGGAAGAGGGGTGCGTATGAGGGACTATGGTCTATTCAGACCAAGAATCCCTTCGGATGAAGATGTCAGGGAGATACTAGATGAGGAAGAAGAGTTTCTCGAGATATTAGAAGAAGATATGCAGTCGTGGGAACACCAGAGCTTGGACGGCCTTCGGTCTCAATGGATGGTCCTTTTGAAAGGAAAGCACAAGTTTGAAGTGACAAAGGCAAGGGAGGAAAGACGCGACAGAAGACAGCTCAACCAAGTGAGTGCAGGCGAAGGAGCCACCAAAGAAAAATAAGACCATGTGCTAACGGGTTAGTTGACTCACGGAGTGGATCACAAAAACGACCGCTTTGTAGACAATGTTACAATTGTCAGCCCTGGTAGTGAGCCAATAATTGATTTGTCAACGCCGATGGCCGAATATGCTTTCTGGTTACAGCACGAATACTTCCGGAGCAGAAATAGACCGACTAATCTTGCAACGGACGGCTGGTATGAAAGACGAATGTCCTGGTTTCGAGAGTTGATGGATGTAATGCAAGTACGGGACAGTGAGATTGTCCAGAGTATGCGCAAGATAAACGTCACAGAGAGCCGATCCGAGCAAGTTGATCAGGAGGCAATCTCTGCCCAGTTTCTAGCTCATTTTAACTCCTCTGCGTTCGAAATTGTCGATTTAAATACCCAGAGGTAAGACGTTGGCTTTGATTAGCGATCTAGAAAATGAATAATCAGAGTTTGCTTCCCTCTTTTATCTGATCAATTAGTAGTCGGACCTTACAGCTTGCGCGAATGAGTTAAGCCTATTGCTAATACGGCCTTGCGGTTACCTGTAGGTAGTAGCTACCCGCTTGTGGGAAGGAAACCACGCACAATCCTGATCTTTCCATCGTCACATCCAGTTACACCATTACACCATATCGCCGAAATTGGCTAATATAAACCCCTTAGGTTTAGTGTCAGGAGAGGATAGGTAGGCAGGAGGAAGAACCTGAGCAGAAATGACTTGCTAGGGTTGGAACCTTGGTAATGGGCATTGGAATAAACTGCCGTACACTGTGCTGAACGGATTGAAATTTGTGTCCACTTTATATATACAAGGAAAATCCTGCGAAAGTAAGAAGTCTTTCGAATAACTATCTGCATGAATGGTGGGGGTACGCCGAATGTCTGGTAACAAAAATACTTTGTGGTCACCCTCCTTCCTTTTTCTCTTTGTGCCTCTCCAAGAGACTCCGCCAAAGATGCCACGAAGTCACTCCTACTTAAAGGATTTTTGATTTGCCTTAGACGATTGACCGCCCATAGAGTTTCCTCTTTTGATAAACCTTCGATCGCATATACAAAAAGCGGCCGAAGGTATCCTGGGTTCAGTGCACCGCCATTCGAGGTGTTCCAATCGCCTTCGATGAGATCTCGCATTTTGCTCATGGCTTGTATGGCTTCGGTTGATGCAAATGGAGGATCCCCAAGGGTGCGACCAAGCGCGACAACTTCAGCAAGGTATGCAGCCATGCAAACACCGGCAAGGGCAATGAGTTGGTCTGCTATCGTAGGACTCAAATTATCTCGAAGTTCGCCTGGTTGTAGCCGTAAAGGGCCCGGTCGAGCTTCCCATAGAGATGACATGTGTGTTTTTAGACCTTTGGAAATTTCGGTTACTTCTGCTTGGTCTGTTGGCGTAATTCGTGACCGGCGATAGTGGCTCAAATCAGCGACGCGATTCGAAATCTTCTGAAGTTCGAGGTAAAAGTCGAAGAGAGGAGCACTCACGGTATCGTACAAAACATTTGCCGCATTTTGGTCGTGTTCAAGTGGAGAGAGACTCGGAGGATGCATCACGTGGCGTTGAAGAAGACTTGACACTGGCTCCGGTAGAAGGCCAGGATTTCCCGCACGTTTAGTAGCCGTGTCAAGGAATTGTAACCAGGCGCCGATTCGCAAGGAAATAGGCGACCGATTATGAGTAAGTATCCAAGTTTCCAATCTTGTCACGAAGGGTCCATCCAATTCGCGTAAGGCAAGACTATCTTCGTTCGGGAGCGTGACCACAGATAGAGAAAGGAGGAAGAAAACGGCAAGGACGATATTGAAGTCAACAGTATCGTTGCGTGAAATCGATTCAAATTCAGTTGCAGCGGCTTGGTATAGTGACATGGCGTGTGACATGGGTAGACGATCTGCCTGGGCCCTATACAGAGCTTGTACAGCCAGAATAGATATAGCCACAGAAGTTTCTTGGAATCCCAACTGGGCGACATGGATTTTGATTCTTCTCCAGTTAAAAGAATCAAAAGGGCAGAGGATGGGAGATTCCACCTTTTCCATGAAGTAGGAATAGGAAGACTGGGTCGGGAGTTCCGTGGGTCCCAAGTCCATGGCCAATGTCAGAAGAATATGTTGCGAAGTAAGCTCGAAGCGAGAAGAGGACTCAGTGGCATTCTGATCCTCTGCTTGATAGAGATGATCGACTCTGTACTGGTCGTGTAGTGACGCATCGGTATTGAGGGATGCCAAAAGCGTTTGATCAAGCGGTAGTGCATCATGTGAGACTCGTGGAATCTCGGTAGCACTAGGACTGGGTTGGATTTCACCGGGGGAATGTTGCTCGGCAACCAAAATCTCGACGTTATCGGGTGATGTTCTTGCACTGGATTGAGGTTCCTCCAACCGCATTAATCCCGGCTTCGGATCCACATGCGCCCGAGATTGTCTCCGCATGGTCTGTGACCTGTAAACGCATGTTTTCTTCAGTCTGGTGCATTTTTGACAGCTAGGACGCTGCTCGTCACATTTGACCTTCCTAGATCTGCAGGTAAGGCATCCAGTGCGAACACGACCCTTATAGTAGGGATTCGCAAGAAAATTAATCCTCCCAGTTTGTGGACTGGAGATTGTGCCGGGCTCACATGCTGCGGTCGAATCCATGCTTCTGATGGGGATTGAGGCGCAAAGAAGTCGACATGAACGAATCCCTCTTCAAGCTAGCCGTATGTTCTTTTTTATCTTTTGGCTTAGGCATCTGCTGGCAGCTTGGGGGATCATTGTCGGGGGAGAAGATGGCCGGGGCAGGAGCTTCTCCAGACAGTTTAAGTTCATACCCCACTTTCCTAGATTTTGATTGGGCGGCCAGAACAGAAAATGGAACATGTAATACTTCTAACACTCGGCCATGGCCCAATTACGACGTACTCACAGACCACATGTAGCTTGAGTCTTCCATTGACAAACTACAGTCTCCTTTTAATCATTCATCGGCTTTCCATCGAGGTCTGCAATTATGTTCACTGCACTATGAAAAAGGTCCGTCGCTCAACACCTGGCTCTGCACAGTGGCAATTCCAGCCACTCAAGCCACCAGGAGGCAAAACTGGCTAGGCTGGACGGAGGAGGATAAAATCCGTCCATGTATTTTCAATTATCGCATCATGTCATCACAGACCAGGACTGTAGGCACCCGTGGCATTTCGCATGGGAGAGGGCATCTCGCGATGCTAGACACAGCAGGACATTAGTGCAATGTTCGTTCTCCACTCAATATACCGATCTCTGATGGAGATACCAAGAATCTCAACACTGCCGAATGCTGATGTTCCCATTGAAAATTGCGTAGGAAATCAAAGCAAAACGAATGCAACATCTAAAATCATAGCAGCATAATATATCCACACACGACGAGGAAAGGATGATTAGCATATCACCATCGAGAAACGAGAAACCCCCCGTAGTGCCTCCCAACCCCTGTAGCAACCTTGCTTTTCTTTTCCTCTGAAAGGTCTGCTCCTCTAAATTGAGTGAAACAGGATGTTGGATGTAGTTATCCGATGCTGTCTTCACCATAGGGCCCGTTTTCAGGATATTTAGATGGTATAATTTCTGTTGGCTGTCGTTGTCGCTTAGACAAACTACGTGTTAGGGTATGAATTGGCGAAGCTATGGGGTAGACCCGCGATGTCAATGCCTGCAGACCTGCCTTGCCTGAGCCATACAACATCTATCCTGGATCGATCGCTAAATCTGGGAGTTTGGATGATGCTATCTCACTTTCAACTTTAGCAGTTTTGGCGTGGCTTTGTGGTTGCTCGTCTTCACTGATAAACTATTGGATGTCACAGGTGACTTGGTGGCGCTACGGAAGAGCGAAATGGACTAGCATGTGGAAGATGTGTGAATGCTTCGGTTAGCTTTCTTGAGGGCATGAACTATGGCGTTGATCTTCTTCTTGCCTGTCTGGAAGATATTATCCGATGCTACCTTAAGTATTGTGACAAACCCTAACTTATAGTCGAAATAGTTTGATCGCTATTCAGAAAAAGCTCTTGTTACAACCCCTGAGGAAAATCAGCAACAAAAGTGCCACATGTGAAGCACCACGAGGAAGGAAAGTGACTTGGCAGATGTCATGTTGATTGATATAGAAGCCAGTCATGGAAAATTTATAGGACGGCTTGCGTTAAAAGAGGCCGCGTGCTGGGTCAACGTCGTACTGTAGCTGTCGACCATAGAGCAACCAAGAAGCAGATGGCAAAAGAAATTACCAGGAGATTGATGGTTAAGGAGATCTGTTGTTTTTGTATTTCATGAATAGATCGTTCATGGAAGGCGAACATGGTAAAATCACACCGTTCTGTGTGCCGAGAGATCGATCTCCTCCATAAAAAGCTTGTATAGAAGAGTTGTCCTGATCAAATTACACTAGTCTCTTACAAATACCCAGGTACTACTCTTGAGCGATGAATCACATAATAAAGAAGCGCGAAAGCAAACCGGTAAAATATGTCGCTGTAAGTTCCGCTCTGCCCGCGCCTACCTTTTTTCAGTACTACATTAACTGTGAAGTAGGAGATCGGAGGTACGCATGTAGGTATTGAGTGTGACCGAAAGATGAAACATTGGAGTGTTGCAAATAGTCGGTCGTTATGCGGCCATTTTATCCCGAACCGAGCTGCCCTTATCTATAAGCGACTATGAGGGGATATGCTTTATCTATAACCGACAGCTCTTTATCTCTATTTTTCGCCGGAATGCCATATCAGGAAATCAAACACAAGACCTAAGTGTTCATTTCTCCATTTAAATATCCTTGTTCTTGGCTAAATCCTTCAAGCTTACTTTGATCTGAAGTCACTGGACGATTATTTCGCAAGAATTCAGTGAGTATTTGCTGAGATCATTTTGGCTCAACTTGTATTTCCCCAGCAATGGTGTGAAACTAACTGTACTGCAACTGACAGAACCGATTACGAGGACCACCTGAATAACAGAAATCGGACACAATATTTCCGATACGCACTCCACCGGTACTGTTTCCTTATCTGAGTCGCTCTAATGAAATATCCCTACGCTCGTGAGCATCATATTGCTGAGTTAGCTGTCTTACGCGCCTCGATCCTCACAAACCGGGTTCAATCCACTGTCAGCGTAATCTCCAAGTATGATGACTCGCCAGTGACTATTGCCGACTTTGGAGCGCAGGCCCTTCTCATCAAGGCTCTTCATGATGCCTTCCCAGATGATAAATTCTTGGGCGAGGAAGATTCGGCTGTTTTGAGAGCCGAGGTAGCTCTCAGGAACAAGGTTTACGATCTTGTGTCATCGACTGTGGGAGTGAGTGATCCGCAGGCCTACGGTGCTTTGTTGCCAAAGCTAAGATCTGTGGAGGAGATGTTGGATTTAATTGACCTTGGTGGGCGTGGAACTGGGGGCGATAAGGGGCGTTTCTGGGTTATGGATCCCGTGGACGGCACTGCAGCATTCTTGAAAGGTCAACAATACGCCGTTTCTCTAGCTCTTATTGAGGACGGACGAGAAGTTGTTGGTGTTCTAGGTTGCCCAAATATTAGTGCCAAAATGACCAGACTTTCGGAGGAAAATGTCGAGAAAAATGGTCTTGGCATCATGCTCTCAGCCACCCGTGGTCAAGGATCGTCTATTCGGAAAATGACTTTGTATGGGCTCGAAGACGCTATTCCTTTGCATGACCTTGCGCCTTCCAGCTCTGAAAAGCTACATATCATCGACTGCGCCGCTGCCACAGACTGCCGCCACGATGTTGTCGCTTGCCTCGCTAATGTTTTCGGTACGATTTACCCCAATACAGAGATTTGGTCGTCCCATATTCGATACGCTGCTCTCATTATAGGTGGCGGTGATGTGCAGTTCTTCGTGCCGACAAGTCCAGCATGCCAGATACATATATGGGATCATACAGGCGCGCAGTTGATTTTCACTGAACTCGGAGGAAAGGTGACAGACCTGGATGGGAAAACTATGGACTTTGGGGCCGGGAGAGATCTAAGTCGAAATAAGGGACTGATTGCAGCAAGGGGAGAGATCCATAAGACTGTGCTTGACACGATGAAAAAAATATTGGAAGAAAGGAGAGAAGGAAAAGCTCAATTGGTGTAGCCCTGTTAGTGAGGAAATACACTGTATTCTCTCGTTGTTCTTTATCAAACACGCCCGCCATTTTGGCTATTGACTAGACTTGGTCCATCAATCTCCACCCGCCTCTGATGAGCTGAAATTCAATAAAGCCCAGTAGTTCTTCAAGCTCATGTTCAAAGCCTGCTAACGATGACTGCCTGTCTCCTGGACAATATTTCTTATAAACGTTCTCGCAAACAACTTCAAACTCATCTTCAGGCTCGGCAAAAAAACGGAGAAGTCCTGGGGAAATTGACCCAGAAAACCTATTGTCCTTGAAGTGACAGGTAATAAGAGACAGCTTCAGAAGAGCATCTTGGGATAGCTGATCCGAGACTCGCTTGACGTGCTCTTCTAATGATCGATTGCTTGCTAAATCCTCCACAGCCCTATTACCGAACCTCTTTGTTTGGAGCAATTGGCATGTGCATACAAGCGCTTCGAAATCGGGATGGAGACTCTTGCTAGCGAGTTCGCCATTAAACTCAGATGACCCGAGCCACCAGGCCTGTAGGCATTTTAAAGCGGCCTGCGCCGATCTTAGACGGCTCTGCTCAGCAGTTGGAGACTGCAGCGCTTAGTTTGCTGCGACAGACTTATGAATTAAATTTTAGCTTACCATCATTATAAATGTCTGAGGGCGAATTATTCCTCGTCGCTCGTGGGATACAGGGTAGAAATGAGAAACACGAATCATTATATATTTTCACATCCCTCCAGGAGGAATTGATATATCGTAATGTATGTGCTATGCTAGGCGCCCGCAGTGTTATATAGCGACACGCGGGCGAGACTTTGGGTCGCTATAATATCGTTTTAGGCAAGTACAAATATTTTAAGTTTTAGCAGGGCTTAGTGAACCCAGAAAGATTACACGCGCGCCACCGATTTTGGCTACGAATCGTATTTCACAAGAAACCTTGAAGCGAATAGAGTATAGTGTCCTTGATCATACCTTTTAGGTAGGTATTATTTGATCTGTGTTCTCTGGGGCAGAAATAGAAGTCACTATAGTTGTTAGAAGAATTAGATCTTGAGTGGTCGTAATCAGCGACACAAGATTTGACAGAGTTGACTGTCATTCTTGCGCATTTAAGTCGAATTTGATTTTTGTTTTGCTGCAATAGTGATTGCTATTTGCGCGCAAGGTACAATTTCAATGCTTTCCAGTAGCAGATTTTGTCTTCTCTTCTTTGCTTTTTCTGTTCCTCTCTGGTTGAGGGAGTATTGAAGGTCAAGGGGTACAAAAAACTACCTAATTCTTTTTTAGAAGGCAAATAATAAGCTCAAATTCTCGGTAACAAGTACACCACTGTCGGCAAGAGATAAACATCGCTTACAGATAAAGAGAGCGATTTATCTCGATACGGGTTCTTTATCCGAGCAGCATCCCCCACAGTTCTGTATTGTACCCACTTTTCCAAACAGGGGTCCAGCAAACAGCATTATTTCTAGGCGATTGTTTCCCAAGCATGAACATTGTGCCAAGTCCTTGCAAGCTTTTGTGTCGACATTCTCAGCTCCGACATATATTCTCACGACAAGACCAGCGCCTTCACGACTGGGAAGTAGCAAAATGAATACACTCAGAACGACACCCCAGTCGACCCGGATCGCCGGACATCGAGGCCACAGTGCTGGCGCGCCGGAGAACACCCTAGCCGCGTTCCGGAAGGCACGTGAATTTGGTGGCCAAGGAGTCACCTGCGAGACTGACCTCGCCTTGACTAGCGACGGCGAGTTGATCCTTATTCACGATGATACCGTGGATCGCACCACCAATGGCCAGGGTCTTGTTCAAAACATGACCTATGCGGAGATCGCTCAGCTCGATGCGGGTGCATGGTTCGACAAATCATTTGCTGGAGAACGAGTTCCCCAGCTCGCGGATGCCTTGCATCTTGCGCGCGAACTTGGCATCATATACCAGCTTGAGCTGAAAATCTACGACAAAGACGACGTGATATTTCCGAAGCTGAGGGCTCTGATTGACGAGCTCCAATGTGCCGACCTTCTACAATTCTCTTCCTTCGACTTCGTTCAGCTGCGGGCGGTCAAGAAGGCTATCCCAGAGGTCCCCACGGTGGGCATTTCGCATTCTCGATTGATTGACCCGGCTGCTCTGGCGCGAGAAGCAAAAGTGGACGCCATCAATATTGAGATACAACATTTCCCGAGTGGCGAAGCTCAACAACTCCACAAAGAGGGCTTTGCCGTTTTCCTGCATGTTCCACGCCCGGAGCCTTTGGAGAAACTCAAGTCTTATGGTGTGGATGTGGAAGCTCAGGTAGTCACTTGGATCCTAGAAGGCCAGATGGATCAAATTATTAGTGATGACGTCGCACAGATGGCCAGAATCATGAGGGTCGCTCGTGGGTAGATAGGATCTCTTCACATCAGTTCAAAATAAAGTACAAATTCCCTTTAGGTGTTCAAGCATAAGAATGAGAGACCTACAGCAAACCAGGTAGTAATAGGACTCCAATTGCGAATTAATAAAGTTGAAGTTTGTACAATAAGGCCAACTTCTGCAATTTGCTTCACATTCTATAGTCTCTTCAAACTTTTGCACACTCATCACTATATTGAGTTGATATCAACTTACGACCATAGGAGAATGTCCTTAAAATGACTTTCCCTAGTTGCAACCAGTATAACCACGTAATTAGGCTTTAGTCTTCGGAGGAGGATGTAGTCAAGCTCACGCACGAAGTGATTGCAACTATGATGCCAAAAGAGGCTAGATGATGGCCAGCTAATAGAGAGAATAAACGGGTTCCGGTAGCAGAGATAATGGAAAAAAAAAGCGCAAATAGGTCTCTAAAATACTCGAAGCGCCTTATGAAATAGGATGAATTTGACTAGTCAGCTCACAATCCCGTGCTAGTATTAACACCGTCAGCGACTCACCAGCAAATTGTGGAAGTCACATAAATTGAAATTTGAACCGTCGCGGGTTTCTTGTGGGATCTTGCAACATCTGGAATGTCGCCAGATTCGCTTGCTATTCGTGATCTTGCTCTGCACTTTGCTGCCAGGCTCAAGCAGTGGAGTAAATAGGGCTAGCCAGACTGGAAGCTCGTCGAAAATCGCCGAAGATTTCGCAGCTCAACGCCATTCATAAGTTTTCTAATATTGCTGCCATAGAAATCGAAAAAGTCGAACCCTGCAACTTCTAGCGGCATTGATGAAGCTATTCAGGAGGGCGCGGAAAATACTGATTCGGCTGAGCACTCGCTGCCTATGATTGAGATTGGAAGCTGGGCGCGTCCCTATAGAGATTGGAAACGCCGGTGGTACGAGGATGAATATGAGTATAGCAAATAAACATATAAATTAATAGCAATGGAGTAATACACTCGAGTTCTAGTCAAACCACACCCTAGCGAGAATGATTACTTTTTTTTAACGGGCCAAGATCGTGGCCTTCGGAGTCCGTTGACTATGAAACTAGAATAGCAGAAAGGTCGATAAGTGTTGACAAAATAACACAGACCAGACCTTTCCAACAGCTAATTGTGAATGGAATCAGGGTATGACAATCACTGGAATCAGCCACCTTCTTCCCATCTTTTTTCCCCAACACAAATGGATCCAATCTTTTTGGAATCAGGCTGATTCCAAGGACCATGAGGTAGGCCACATTGACCACTCCACTATCCTTTCAGGGCGCGCTTGAAACATACTGCGGAGCTCCTTGGTCGATAATTCAAACAGCTTTGTCTTCCGTAGCCTCGATCGCCGCAGTAAGATCCACAGGATTCTTAGAAAAGGCACGCGGGGTGATTTTCCGCTCAAAGAGGATATCCAATTCGGCAGTAGTGCGATCCTTGGTCTCCGGGATGCGGAAAAGGGCGAAGATGAGAGCAATGAAACACCAGCCGCCCCAGAAGAAGCCGGCCCTGGCAGACCAGTCCCAAGCGGTGGGATTGAGCATGTAAGAGTTCAGGACTGAGACGATGATGTTGGTGAGCGTGTACACCCAGCGCGCAAGCACGATCGACTTGCTGCGTAGGAGCGCCGACGGGATCTCCGAGCACAGCGTGTTGGTCAGTGGACCAATAGTACAGCTGTACAGGAAGGATGAGACGATCAGGATGGAGCCGATCGCCCACGAGTAACCAGAATCAGGTAGCATCGCTTGTGGGACGCCCAGAGCCCCGATGATGATCATGAGGGCAAACATCAGTATCAGACCGTCTATATAGATGGTTCGGCGACCAAAGAGAGGGAGAAGGACCCATTATAGAAGAGAATCAGCTTGCGTGTTACAAGAGGGTGAATTCGAGGGCTGTGGTGCTTTACTTACTGAAAAGAAGCTGCCGACTATGGCGACTGCGTAGCCGACAATAGCCATATTGAAGGATTGAGTAGTGGATAGGCCAGCTTGCTCGAGAAAGTACGTCGAGGATCCGCGGAGGGGATTTCCGCTGAAGATTTGGATGCAGTAGATGCCCATGACTATGAGGGTCCTGGTAAGGTTTACCTTCGAAAAGCAGGCGCGGTATGATGTTCTTCCATCCAAAGCCCGCTCGTGCTCAGTGGTGACTATCATTAGAGCAACATTCTTGTCAATGTCGAATTGAAGGTTCTTGGGGGATGTCAGGCGTTTGACAATCATTCGAGCTTCTTCCACACGGCCCTTACGCACAAGCCACCAGGGCGATTCTGGGGCGAAGTACACAATGGGTATCAAAATGACTGGCCAAACCCACCTACGTTCCTGTCAGAAAAGCAGGTGTCGGAGTATGGGAATGTCAGACGTACTGTACAGCAAAGGCAATGCGATAAGCCCATTCATCTTCTCGACTCAGGAGACCACGTAGGACGCCAATACATGTGATTTGACCAAAGAACTAAATTTTGTCAACCGAAGCAAACCTCGCGGTAGCAAATTGGGAGCCTTACCCAGCAGAGGTTGACATAATTAGTCAGGTAGGCCCGCAGACACATCGGTGTGATCTCGAGGGCGTAGATGACGGTGATGGTCTGGAAGAAGCCCAGGGGAATTCCTGAACCATGAGTTAGTATAGATTTGCATTCACGAGAAAATGGGAACCCTAACCAAATAGTATTTGGCCAATCAAAAGAACCACAAGTGACTTAGCAAAGAAAGTAATAAATACGAAAGCGATGGTGATTAGGAGACCCCACATCATGCTTGCGCGAAATCCATATCGCTCGCAGAAATAGCCTGCAAGGAGCAAGCCTGCGAGTTGACCAATAATGGAGCCATTGCTCAGTCCGGCCTGCCACGGTGCCGATATCTGATACTTGTCTCCCTTAACAAGATTTCCGAAAGCCTTCTGGAAGGCTGGTTGAGCGTAGAGAGTTCCAATCAGCTTCGTGTCGTAGCCTTCCATAATGACTGCGGTTGACATGACGATACTCCATATGACTCCTGTTGGATATAATCTGAGCGCCTGAAGGAATGTCAAGTTGTGCTCAAAAGCGTTGGCATCCTGAGCGTTGGCGAGATCCTCGATCTCCGCGCTAACAGGGTTCCCCGAGGACAGCGATTTTGCAAGGGTTTTGTTACCCATGATGTACCGAAGCTGATAATATCCCTAGGCCCTTGACGATGGATGAACTTGAAGGCTTCAGAGGGGAGCAGTAGTTGTCTGTTTCTTCTTGCCACAGCCCGGATGAAACGGTGACGGGGATGTACTAGAGCCAACGGAATGATATAAAAGCTTGACTCTCGAGCGACCTCTACATTTGTGGCTATTTCGTGGGGGACGGTCTCACTTATGGTGAGAACAACCGTCCACGTGGTGACCTTGAGGTCGGAGAAGCTTCAACTGGCGTCTCAGAGGGAGGACCGGGCAATGGCCGACTTGACAATGGTTTGTACCAGACGATGTCGGTGTTAGCCCACGTGCCGTTATCTCTAAGCGAGGGTCCGGGGATTCTCTTCTATCTTTAACCGACAAATTTAGGAAACTCAGCACCCATGCACGTTTTCTCGAAGCCGAATTGCCTAGTCCTTGCCCAGAGGCAACAGCACAGTATCATAGGGGCCTCGGTAGAGTAATTCTAGTTCACAGGAGCAAAACGGTTACGTAGAATTCTTCGTTGTTCCAGCTCTACTAACTGTGGCGCAAGCTGGGCTCTGATGGCAGGAGTACATTGGACTCTGATAACAATTCCGATATCGTGTCGCAGGATAGTAAGTGCTGCTGTCGTCAATGCCCCTGTGGTTGAGACGATTTTCTTGGTTAGAGCATGAACAGACAGATGCTAGACTTCTGTGGACCCACGGGCTGCCAATACCTGTAATTGTGGCCGTACCGACGAGGCTCTTATGATGTGGCGTTCGGAATAAGAATCAGTATTTTATGGGGGAATACCGAGTATGAGCAGTATTTCCAGGCGGTCCAAAGTGGCAGTTAAGTGTGGTGATTCGAGAGTTCATATAATTAGCATTAGCATCTAATAACCTAACCCATCAATTCTGCCCGAATCGGTGTGGTAAAACATGCCGGGTTCTCTAGGCAAAGTAACATTATCTCCCAGTGATGTTATCTCTAGCCGAGCACATTCCGGATAATTTCTATGTGGAGGCGAGGTTCAGCAACACGTGCACCATCCGATGGTCAACGGACAGGCAACTCGGTACCGTATGTCCAGTACAGTATCCATGGAATTGCCCCAACAGACTAAGTGGACGGACACTCATCCAATCGACCATCTCTCTGACGTATATCTGCCAGCCTGGCGACTATTGTCTATAGCAAAAGTGCGGGCCGTATCTCGGCAACACTCACGCTTAGAGATAAGTTCTTCTCGGCTCAAGATAACAGTGGCCGTCTGAATCTCCACGAGACTCGAGTATCATATTGAGTCGCTAACTAGCTTCTCGTTTTCCACTTTGGCAAGTATGACATTGGCCATTAAAAGCTAAAGTCATTCCTGATCACAAGACCATCTCTCTCTTAAAGATCCTCCGACAAGTCATGCCTGCCACTATCAATGGGATCGATGTGTGGCCCTGTCCTCTCAACGATAAGCACCTGCAATTTCCTTTGAAGGATGATGACGGAGGTAGTACACCCCATGGGAATGATGGGGGAGATCTACTATTGGAATCTTTGTCCAAGCCCACTTTCCATGTCACCGCCCCCAGTGGGTGGCTAAACGATCCCTGCGGCCCGGGATATGACCCAGCGACTGGGCTATACCATATTTTCTTCCAGTGGAATCCGCATGGCAACAATTGGGGCAACATGTCCTGGGGCCATGCCACTTCCTCCGACTTTGTCTCATGGAAGACAGATCCGCAGCCAGTTTTGGTGCCATCAACAGAATACGACCGCTGCGGTGTTTTCACTGGTTGTTTACAGGCAACCGACATACAAGGAAACTCCGGAGCCCTCACCGTCATCTACACCTCGGTGAAATGCCTTCCGATTCACTACACGCTTCCGTACATCATTGGAAGTGAGTCTCTGAGTCTGGCAGTCTCGAGTGATGGTGGCAAGACGTGGGAACGCCAGGCATGCAACCCGATCCTCCCAGGTCCACCCCAGGATCTCTCCGTAACAGGATGGAGAGATCCCAGCTTTGCAACCTGGATCCGAGGACAGCAGAGTGTTTCTGAAAACAAGCAGTCCGACCTATGTGGCCTTATTTCTGGTGGCATTGTTGCCCAAACACCAACCGTTTTTGTCTATACTGTCAACCCGGAGGACCTTCGACAATGGCAGTATGATGGCCCCTTGGTCGACGTCGGCCTCAACTTCCGTCCCTCACACTGGTCAGGCGATTTCGGCATCAACTGGGAAGTAGGTAATTTGATGACCTTAGCCAACGAATTTGGTGACTCCCGGGACTTTGTTGTCATGAAGGTTGAAGGAGGCCTACGCCCAAAAGCCTCCGGCAGGAATACCCGAGAAGCTCGTCAAAGGCGCCACCCCCGAGGGCAGCTTTGGATGTCCATTAAACCGTCTACACAAAGACGCACCAGGGAAGGCGCATTGGCAACTTATGCCTTTGCTGGAATATTTGACCATGGATGTTTCTATGCTGCCAACTCTTTCTGGGACCCGCAAACCTCCAAGCATATTTTATATGGATGGATCACGGAGGAAGATCTAAGTGACGATTCTCGCCATCGCCAGGGATGGAGTGGCATGGTCTCGCTGCCTCGAGCCGTGCGGTTAATCACATTGCGCAACGTTAAAAAGGCACGCACCTCATCATTGCGATCAATCACCTCAATTGAGATGATTGCCGACACATCAGAAGGAAATACATTCTCTATTTACACTTTGGGAATTAGTCCAGACAGGCGCCTTTCGCGTCTTCGACCTCGAGATAGAAAGGACCAACACCAGAGCCTACCGTTGCCTCTACCCCTCACTGCCTCCTCTGATCATCGCTTTCCCCTGACATCGGCTCGTTGGGAATTGCAGGCCGAGTTCGCGGTCGGTCAATCGTGTGAACGAGTGGGGATTGAAATTGCCCACAGTCCCAGTAAGTGCTACTCAGTGGCTCTAGCCTTCGTACTTGAATATCAATATTGACAACTCTAGGTTACACCCACTGCACGACTCTGGCTTGGGACCCGCGTAACGAACAATTCACCATCCACCGGCCCGTTGTACAAGATCCCGAAATAAACCATGCATACGAGTGTGCACCTCATACACTTTTCACCTTCGTAAACGAGCAAGGTGAGGAGATCGAAGAGACTCTACAAGTACATGCATTTTTCGACAAGAACGTACTAGAAGTCTTCGTAAACGAACGAAGCGTCATTTCTACTCGAATCTATCATACCGGGGACCGTTGTTTTGGGATAAGGTTTTTCGCGGAATCGATTGACAAGTGCTCTCAAGAACAGCTGGCAGTGCTTCTCCAGGCCGATACCTGGGATAGACTTGGAGAGAACTAGTGGTACAAATAACACATCTATCCCTTTGTATAACTTATTTTTTTTTAAAAAAAACCAAGGTTTAACTAGTAGAGAAATGTTGAGCTGCACATTGTGAATAGATTCAGGATAACGGCAGTATCTCATAAGGTATACTTAAAAAGAGGACTCTTCTCCTCCATATTACGGAGCTGATCTTGAGTATACCTCTCCTCAATCTCAGACGTAGACATCCGATCTTTCGTTTTGTTCGCGCTCCAGAGGCAGAATTCCAAGGTTAAACAAGCCATAATCCCGGCAGCAGCGAACGCAAGTGAAGTGCCATAGCCAGTGGGGTATCGCGGCTTCTCATCAGCTCTGTAGATGTAACTCCCAATAATTCCACCTGCATTACCAACACAAATGAGATACCCAATGGCCACGGCGCGCTTGTGAGGATTTGTAATGTTGCAGACATTCCAAGCGTTGACACCAGGAAGGATAGGATACATCCCGAAGCACGCGAGACAAATGCCAAAATAGCAGAGTGCTATGTTATTCTCTATGTCAGCAGCCTTGGAGAATAATATTGCGAATGCGACGATAAGTGACAACTGGGGTGCCACGATGAAAGGCATTCTCCACGAGAAGCGATCAGCAAACACAGAGAACCCGTAAGCCGACACAGCACCGACGGTGTATGGAGGGATAGTCAGGAGCTGGGCGTTGGCTGATTCGTATCCCATGGACTTGATAATCTCAGGCATGCTGAACTTGAGTGCATAGTTGGGAACGGCATTGGACCAGTTGGCGAGGATGAGAAGGTATATTTTCCAATCGCCGAGGACGCTGAAGATGATCCGTTTGTTGAAGCCCTCGTGGTGACCACCGTGGCTGTTAGAGGCTATTTGACGTACTTCAAGGAATCGAATCTCATCTGGAGTAAGCCAGCCTGGAGATAACGATGGTGAGTCTAGAAGGAGCAAATAGCAAGCGACGGCCATCGCAATGGTTGCAATGCCCTCTATGATGAATATCTGGAATGGATGTTATTCGTCGAAATCAAGAAGATGAAGAAATAAACAAACCCAGCGCCAGCCTTCGTAGCCGGCCATGCCATCCATTTTGGCGATCGCAAATGCCAGAAGACCTGAGAAGGCGCCCCCAGAAGCCGCAGATGTGTAAAGAATAGCGATCCGGGTCTGTGTCTCATTCGGAAGATACCATTTCGAAATCACGAGCACGGCGCCGGGAAGAAAGCCTGCTCTGGATAGTTGTCAACACTAAAAAGAATCACCATATAATGTGCCTGGGAGGCAGTACTCAAATAGGCCCAATAGGAAACGAATCACGACTAGACCGGCAAAGTTTTGAACAAAGCCTGTACATAGCATGATCACACCCCAGCAGAAAATCAGAAATCCCAAATAGCGCGACGGTCTCTTGAGTCGGTTCAAGATTATATTGCTTGGCACCTCTTCAACCAAGTCAGAGGATATTAATGGGTTTCGCGCAGGCGAGTCTTACGTACCAGCAAGGACATAAGGTACGAAAAAAATGGACAAGGCGATGTTGTACTGTATTCCATCCATGTGTAGACTTGGAAGAAGACCCTCGATCTTTGCTTTTCCTGCTGAAATTAAGTAGGTGCGGCGGATCGGGTTTGCAATTGGACATACCAATGTTCGTCTTGTCGATATATGCCATCAAGTACAAGAGAACAAACATGGGGACAAGCCTCATCTGGATTGAGACTCAGTCATTATTTTTGGTAGCTCAATGAAGCGAGATCGGAGTAATACACACATCAACCTACACGCACTCTGTCAGTAAACCTTCCATATACTGCATGTAATTGAACTCACTTTTCTGAGAACACGCTTCTTAGCTTCGTTTGAAAAGTTCGACAGGAATTCTGCATCGTCGGCATTTATTCCCTGGCCCGGTTGGTGCTCCAGGTGCATGACTGCAGCGTCTTTGTCCGTCATGTTGAAGGGTTTGGATGAAAGAAGAGATGAGAGCGATATCGACAGAAGGATTTGAGATCATCTTATAAATTCCCAGTCAGGCTGAGACCCTTTGGCGACCCCCCGAGGTAGGTATAGTTTTTTTCCCCTAGAGAACGGAAATTGGGGTGCGCTAGTTGAGCCTTGGCAACCCCGGATTCTTGCCGTCCAGAGTCCGCTTTTCCGTGAAATCCAATCCTAGCATTGAGCTTAAAAAATGGGGCGGCCATCCACTAACTTTCACCGATTCTGCTTGATCTCATGGAACTGTGGGGAAATATGTTGGGGAAACGGAATTCGGATCAGGAAATGGGAGGAAAGCCTTCGGACAAGGGTCAGCCTTTTCTTGCGAGAGCACCATTACACCTATACATACCGATGAGTCAAGAGTCTGCCAATCACTGAACAGAAAGCTGTCCGGCATATTTGGGATGATGCCACCGTGAAGCATAGCTTCTGGATCAGACCCGAACATATCCGAATTCTGTAAGAATGGAAAGCCAATATCTGTATTGGTGTTGGCTTCGCGGCCATGAAGCCCACCTTGACGTGGATTCGGCGGATTTTCCGTCATAAATCGACATCTTTGTGCCTCGGATCTCAATTCGTCTAGTATGACACTATATCGTTGATTTTGCGATAGACCAGTGGATGCTCGCTTGAGATGGCCACGGCATTTCTCTGCGAGATCAAAGATCTTTCCAAGAGACTGATCGTCAATTTCATCAGTGGATCGTGTTGCTCGTTGAATTTCCCAAACATAAACCACTGCCAATGCGCAGAAGATCACATAGTGAGTCCACCAGAAGGAATGAAACAGCGTACTATCTCCCGCTATTCTGTTTATAATTTCTAAACTTGCTTTAGTGGCAAAGATGCATTCGATGACATTCTCTGATGCTGCTTCGCTCAAAAGGAAGGGTCGATTGGCGTGTATGAGGGCATGAGAATATGCGAGCTGCAAGGCAATAGCCTGGCGGCGGAAACTGGGCATCAATGTTGATGGTTTCACAGTCCCCAAGTGTGGTGGCAGGCTTGCACGCCATTCGTGCAATTCGCGGCCCAACCGATGGGCAGCTGCTAAGCGATCTTGGTTGGACAGGTCGCCGACTGAGTATACTTCTCGTGACACCTTCCCAATTATTCGTGCAATCCTACAATTGGATCAGCGGGGTAAGGTCTTCATAGGGCAGGGGATATGTACTTAGCATGGAATATGAGAGCATCGATATAACAGTCGGCCGGGTCATCTGATATAGAAGGTCCCTGTGGTGTCATGTCCTCATCATTTACATTATCTGGAAAATCCTGATCGATATCATCATCTTGGTAAAGTCGAGGCCGGCCAAATACAACACTTAGATATCTGTCGATGATATATGCCGCCCAAAAGGTGCGCTTATAGCACTCTGAAGTGATGTAATTTTGTCGCCTGCTCGTAAAAGGGAAATCTCGCTTCTCATCCCTTCTCCTGTGCATGCCCAGCGAGAGAGTAATATGAAACGCATTACCGAATGTATACCAGCCTTTGTTCATGCGAGATGTCTGAAGAAGATAGAGGACTTGAATCAGTCGTGCCTGTGCTGATTCAAGACGTGGGAACCCCATCTCCGCATCGGACAATCTCATACCAGCGCAAAACAACTGATCACTTCGTTGCAAAACAAGTGACTCATTCTCTTTTGACATTTCCCCGTTCACCCTTACCCTTTCGCTGCGCAGGGTAGCGATGGCCATAATGGTAAGTAGAATCGCAGTTCTGGAATTACCAAGCGACCGAGCAATGGGCCTTCGTTCTTGGCAATCTTTCAAGAACACCTCCATCCAGCCTTCAACAGTCTGTCGATGAAACATGCGGTATGTTACAACACACGTCTCGAAATAGAACTGCAGCAGCTTTCTCGCCGTTAGAATATCTGGAATGAAGTCGTATGACGTGCCATTTTCGACGTGAAAAGGTCGGTCTCCGGCCGATGTGAGGAGCTGATTTCGCTCCGCGTCGTTTGAATCATAGGATGCGGACCCTTCCTTCTGGAACAGCTTTTTCCACGCTCGGTGTAGAAAGTTCAATCCGGAGGTAGAGTCAAAATATTGACCCTCGATTTCGATTTCAGGCGAGGTGCGATAATCCACTTGTGAATCCGAGACCTCATGAGAGACAGGGGCTGGTTGTTGCCAGATGGAGGTTTCTTGTGACTGGTCACTTCTTGACCTGTCTTGGTGTTCATTGATCGTGGTTGAAGGTGGTGGAGTCGGTGGCCGCCCTCGGCCATATTTCGCATCATATGCGCAACTGATCTTTTTCTTGGCACAATTGCTACATGGAAGTGTGCCATCGCATCGTATCTTTTTCTTTTTGCAGATGTCACAAGCCCTGCTGACCTTAGGATCTTTCCGACGGTTCTCATCGTCCGCTTCTTCATTGGTCGTGTCCAGGGAGTGCTTGGCTGGAGATACCCTCGGAGACAAAGAGGCCATGGTCCGAGTGATCTGCATGACATGTAGCATGGAAAAGTAAAGAGAGCTGTGGGCTGAACGGAAAAGTCGGATTCAAATAAAGGTGAAGGTGAATTGCGGGGAAACTGGCAAGAATACCCGAGAATCCGGGGCCGCCCTATGTCACAGCTCGACTTTCGCCTCCAGCCTACATAGCCGCATAGAATGTAGTTTAGCGGTATCATAACCTGTAGCGACTACTAGTGCACTGTCTCCTTCGTACAATTTCGAAGAAAACGCCAGTCTTTAAACAAACATATTATTGACAAATATCGTGGTTTGATTCAACTATGTACACCCAATCAAGTTATTGCGTATCCGGAGTCCACTTGAATCTTCCATCATAGGACCACCTTACTGAGTGACGCGGCATTGATTGCAGCGTGAATCTCTTGCTCTGCACCAGGCTCAAGGGGTAAAAGAGGGGGGCGAACAGTGGCGTGAGTCAGGATACCCCGAGCAACAAGAGCATGTTTAAGTGCGACAGTGCCCTCCATGTGTGATCCACGGTGATAGACGCTCTTGGTGATAGGCAATAGCCGATCATGGATTTCCCGTGCCTTCTTATAGTCCTTGGCCTTGCCAGCCTCAATAAGCTGGATGAGAGGCTCGGGAGCGATGTTGCCGTAGCCAACCAGGAAACCGTCGACGTCAAATGAAGTGTGCAAAAGGTACTCGTCGTGGCAAGAGAGGATTTGCAGGTCAGGTCGTTGAGTCCGGATAACGGGGATTTCTGTGTCCCATCGACGCATGTTACGCACGCCGTTCTTCATAGCAAAGCAGCCAGGCTGGGCGGCAATATCCAGCATGGTCTCCAAGTTGTAGGTAGCCTTTGTGTTGTCGGGGTATTGAAATAGGATCAATGGTAGGCCGGAGACTTCATATACGCGGCGGTACCGATCTTGCGGAGCACCGGGCTGGTATCCGAAGCGCAGCCAGCCATGAGACGGGTAGAGCAGTCCAGCAGCTGCGCCGGCTTCTTTAGCTCGCTTGGCCTCGAGAGCAGCAACTTCGGTGCCTTCGCTGGTAATACCGGCGATAATCGGGACTCTGTTATCAACAGACCTCACGAAAGCTTTGATGACTAAGATTTGCTCCTCGGTGGTGAGGAATGTGCCCTCGCCAGCATGACCGAGCACCACGAGGCCCTTCACTCCATTGATGCCACCGAGCCAGGAGCCAAGACGCTGGATAGCTTCATAGTCAACTGCGCCATTTGGAGTGAAAGGGGTGACCGGAGCCGGTGTCAAACCACGCATATCAAATCCGACCATATTGACGATAAGAGCGAAGCCCAAGTGAATATTGAGAAAGATGTTGTGTTGTTATTTTGCCCAGCATCTTCGCGAAAATGGCCTCTTTTATCTCTGTCGATAGCTTTTGCTTGTTGTCTTGGCCTGAGTAGAAGTTCATAGGAAGTCCGAGTCAATCGCCGGATTCCCGGAAATATGTGGGTCACGCACAACATAACGCGGATTCCGTTGACTTTGGATCACGGATTAGAGAGACCTCTGTCATCATCCTGTTAGGCACATAGGTTATGACCAGGATTGCGACCTTGTGACCCGGAATCTATACGCGCCCTTACAGCGCCCAGATCTCATGTACGATTGGTTGAAATGGGAGATGATTTCTAATATTGACTCATATACAGATCAGTCTTTTGAAGGATATACCGGCTATTTTGTCAGGATTGACAGCGAACTGGGGAGTATCAATGACAATGCGACCTATGTCATGATAATAGCTAAGATGCTAGTAAATAGTCCACACCGAGGAAATACCTAGGAGATTAAACAGAAACGACATTTATTTTCCGTAATTGCGGAATTCGGAATTACGAGTGAGGATAGCGTAGGTTGAGTTCGCTATTATCCCTTGTTCAAGGGCCTAGTTCATCTATGCTATGGACAGACTAACCATCTTGCATTGCTAGCACGGGTTATCCTTCGTTTCTGTATACTAGTGAAAAGAAGTGACTTACATCGAACTTTCCCAACATAGCTTTGACATCGTCCTCCAGACTGAGATGTGTGGAGTTGCATGCATCGTTTTCCTCAGGCTGGCCAATCCAACTCGCAACGATGTTCGTGCTGAGTATAGGACGTATCGCGTGGATTCCACCGTCACCCATGATGATTGTAAATCCTCGTAGTTGCTGGCCGTTGAGGTTGATTGTTACTTGCCCTCCTGGGAGCCGATACCCAAACGTGATGTTCGGGGTTTCCACATCCGCACTTATTAGATCAATGCCAGTGATATAAGTCTTTGTTCCTTCGTCTAGAATAGACACGGACAAGCCAGCAAGGTTTTGCAATACAACGCCTTGCGTAATCAAAATATGCTCTTTCCCGCACTTGCTACACCCTTTCCCTTGTCCGGGATATCTATCACAGCGAATCTCAGCAGACGCTCCCTTCCAGGCGAATTCACCAAGCAAGTTGATTTGAAGGTTAGTTTGAAAGCCCCTAACCATTGAACACCTTTGTTCTAACCATCGGTTTTGTCTCCACTGTCGACGCAGGGCCCAGAGGTGAAGATGTGGTTGATCAATCCTTGCTGTAGAGCGGTACTTTGCACGCCAGTTTTTTCTTTTGCAATCTAGGGGTCCATCTGCTAGGCAGAATAGGAAGCCACGGTCGCTATTTATTCGAAATCTCGTCTTCCAGAATGATTGCAGTTCAAAGACAGGGGCCATCGCCCGAGACGCAGACCGAAGGCGGAGGAAATCGACAGTAGAAAGATAACCCGAGATTTCAAGTCGGATCTCCATCGCAAGCAAGCCGAAACAATCAGCCCCAATACTCACACTGATTCTAGCGCTCGTCGGTCTGCCTTGTACTTTCGAAAGAGCTTTCGTGGCGTCTGCGATACCCCGGATAACAGGTCGTTTCAAATACCATGGACCCTGCTCATATTCCGTGCCATTGTTGTCATCTACAGTGTGTGATAAATAAGTACCTGTCAATATTTTAAAACTCCTGGTAATAGGAAACTCACTGTGGAACATCGAATTTGGCTCGTTGGGTATATCCCTGCAGACTTCGAAAAGAGTATCTAAATTGACCTCCTCATTTGCAAAATGCTTGGTCAAGAGAGGCCAACAATGTTCATGAACAAAGACAGCCTTAGCTGGCTTGCTCTGAGACATAACAAACCAAGGGCCAAACGTCTTAACATTACGGCGCCTATTGTACCACATTTCATCGAACCAGTCGAATTCAGTTACACAAACATCCGACAATTGGGCCCCATCTGGAGTTAAGTATACTATGATCGTTCAATTAGTTGGACCATCTATACATCCCTCATCGACTGTCATCTTACATGCTTAATACCTTGCTAGGCAAGGGTAATCATTGGTGATGCTCCATGCACACGATATGCATTGTAAGGACATGCTGTGGTAGATTTGACCACGAGGATTATGATTTGAATATCGGAGACAGTAGGATGTATTCAGATTGAAAAAGTTGTAATCCTCTATATGAAACTTAAGGTCTAGGTATGCCACGTAATCGTGACAAGTACTCCGTGTAATGGATGTCATTTCCCACCCAATCTTTTCACTTAGGGAAGTCTCTTTGGTACAGGGAAACCGGACCCTACAGTGGTGTAACAAAAGTATTTGACGTCGGGTACTTCGGTTGGGACCCACTTTTCTAATACTGCTTGGCAGAAACATCCGAAATTCAGTTCAATCTAATAGCTAGTATGCCATTGCTTATACTTAATATCATTAGCTACCCTATATAGCATAGACTCTGCTATATGCTTATATATGTTAATATCTAGGCCTTCCTATGCTTCCTATGTAGCTTTTAGCCATAGACCTAACGTGGATTCGTTGTTCGTTAGGCGGTATAAAAGGCGGTCAGAGCTAAAAAGTTGGATCCAGAAGTTACCGGAGGTCAAATACTTTTGTTACACCACTGTATCTACGCCCATTAAGCCTAATTAGGCTAGCGGCAGTAATTGTATTTCCAATGCATTAATCGGTAAAATCAATCATCCCATATTTCGATTGTTCTATTCTCTAATTCTCCGATTCTTCGATTCTTCATTTGTTCTACTACTCTATTGTTCTATTGCTCTATTACTATATTGTTCTATTATTCTATTATTTTTGAACAGCCTCCTTCCTCAACCGCAGTGCCCATTTATTCACCCACCATTTCCTCACTGATATGTGGCACTATAGTTGAACAATTGGCTATGCAACCAAAATTGATTCGCACACTAATACGCTCAAGTTGATGCCTTACTGTATCCAGGCAGTCTTCATCCTTCCTGGTCCAGCTCTCTTTGCTGCATCGGTTTATATGGTCATTGCTCGAATAATTCATCCCATCCACGCAGAAAAACACTCAGTCCCTCCCTTGAATTGGCCGACGAAAACATTCGTCCTAAGTGATGTGGTCACATTTGTGGTTTAAGTAGGTGGATTAAAAACGATGGTTAGCAGTAGCCTATAAGTGCTTAGCTTTTGCTTATTTGTTATCACTGCATATGTTTTCCTGACAATGCGTTGAAACCCGACTATAGGGGCATTTGACAGCTCTATCCCTTTAGAAGCAGCCACTGTAATGCCTCCACGGTATTAGCGCGCTTATCCACATTCGATCTGTCTTCCGGATTGCGGAGTACTCTATGAGCAATGAAGGTTATCCGTTGAGCGATGAATGGACATTATATGTCTTTGATTTTGTCTCCACGTTCATCGCGATGATTGTTTTGGGGTTTGTTACTCCCGGGATCTGAAGCCTTCCGGCTCCACATATCTGTAGCCTCAGAGCGCGATTGAGATAAAATTAGCAACAGTACTTAGAACACGAATGGGATATTGAAGAAACCATATTGCAGCGGATCCATCACAACCCCTGGTCCTCTTAGTCTGTTTAGCAGTGAGCCTTCCCAGCGTGTGGATCTTGCCTCCACTCCACAAGTTTCCCGCTGAGCTGTATTCTTGGCTATGCGTAGGCAGACATGGCAAACATATGCAAAGCTACAAATACGGATACCTCGAACCTCCCACTTTCGACTCTCAACCCAACTGTCTACAATTATCTCGTTGCACCTTACGCCCAAGTTTCGCATCGTCGACTACACTCTTTTGTTTCGTTTTTCTTATATACTTTAAGTTCCATTTTTTGGGTTGCTTTTGCTTCGCGGGATTCCCAGGCTCGATACCGCACAGATTTTGGCATCTCGGTGAACATACTTCAGCGTCATGAGGTCTTCAGGTTCTTAAGCTTATACTCCTTCCAAAGTCGGGGCCACTATTGTAATGCTTTTGTTCGGAACAAGTGCATTTTTTCACCTTTGGCAAATGATAAAGACAAAAACTTGGTACTTCTCTGCTTTTCTCATCGGTGCCTTCAGTGAGTACTCAACACGCACAACTCTGAATCGGACATCAGGAGCGTAACCAGTATATCACTCAGTGATGACGCTAGGATATATCTTCCACTTGATATCGGCGCGAAACCCCGATAGTCTTGTATCATATATATGCCAGTCGAACTACAGCCTTCCTCCTGCAGCTAGCAGGTGGCGGCATGCAATCTATCGATAGTATGCGCAGCATAGGGCAAAAGATCCTTGTTGTAGGACTTGTTATTCAACTGCTCTTCTTCGGATTCTTCCTTTACGTTTCTGTTGCATTCCAGATTCGGTTGCGCAAGACTGGCCTGAATATGATCGGTGGGCCATGTCGTCGCCTTCTCCATATCTTATTCCTTGTCTCCGCATTGGTCATCGGGAGATGTGTTTTTCGAATCGTCGAATATGTCGGCGGTACCGATGGATATATATACTCGCATGAATATTACATGTATATTTGCGATGCGATTCCAATGTTTTTTTGTGCAGGCGATCTTCCACTTTTCACATCCGGGAAAAATTCTTGTGGGCAAGGGTCCTGTCGTTGATGATTATGTTAGCCTACAAGCTGTGTGATGAAGGTGTTAGTTCGCCAACGGGACATCAATGATCAGCACTTAAGAGAAGTGATCTGTAGCTGGACAAAGCGTTAGCAGATGCAGTTGGATGTACCTATGATCAACTACAGATATTAATATATGATTGGTTTTTCCTTCCTCTCTAGACACGTATCGAGGTTCTTCACCTGAATTTCCACGTTTTGATTGGTTATTACAGAAGAAAGACCGATAATGTAAATGGCGACAAAGGAACGAGAACACTTTGCCCAGGACTATCCAGCACAATCGGTGTATATAGTGACGCAGCAATAGTTTTGACACCCCTTTAATTACTCAGATTCTACCGATTAAAAATTCGATTTTTTAACACCCCTAGACTGGTTTCCTAATGAAACACTTAAAAATTATGGATAAGGTTGAATCTTGCCTTCTATAAAAAGCACTCACTAAAGCAAAAACGTTTAGAAAGTAAGATGATATAGACTCGCTCTTCGTTTTGCGATAGGCGGTCTAAAAAGCGCTCTAAAAAGCGGTCTGTCTAATGGTGTTAAAACATTTGCTGTGTCACTGTAGCCTCACCCGAGATGGATGTAGGTAGATGCCCGGGGCCGGGTGGTCGGTCCATAGGTGAATTGGACAGGGGGATGAGTCAGCATCTTCACCGTCACGGGCATCAATATTTAAATTTATTATTTCTGAGGTTCTCATAGGCAAACGGAGATTTTGGCCCCTTACCCAAACCGCAAGCCCCTTCAAGAGTGCATCACTCAGTCATACTTCATACTGAAATTCTATTTCGCGTTCAGCATTTCTCTGGTTCAAAGATCCAAAAGACAAGCCTTTTTCAAGTTGTGTCTAGGCACCAAAGACAAAAGTACGATACATCCAAGAAAAGCGCACAAGAAATCAAGGCAGGGATGTATCGAGTGCAAGCGTCGCCACGTCAAGGTATTTTCATATCATAATAGATTTTTGAAAAACCGTTCGTAGCTAACCTCTCAAGTGTGATGAGTCTCGCCCAAAATGTGTCAACTGCAATGTTTCAATGCGTCATTGCTCATATGAAGACCTGGTGTCGAAGGCGTTACCTTCAATACAGACCTCCAAATCCAAGCCAAAGGTTATTACCAGAAAATATGACGAATCGTCGGCGAAGAATTCTTCTAGTTGCGCTGATGCAGCTAGGGCAGATGTCAGTCCCCCGGTGAATAAGCTGCATGTAGAATTATTCAATCACTTTATTACCGACATCTTGAAATTTTTGGGTTTCGACAAGTTCTCTTTTGAGGACTCCGCTATCGACATGACTAAATACATATTGACTGCGCCATTTCTTATGAATCAAGTTCTCGCATTTGCTGCATTCCATTTAAGTATCATTCGCCCGGATAGGGAGGAGTTCTACCACTATCATGCGACCCAGCTGCAAACACATGCTATTTCCGAATTCAATGCCACCAAACCAGATCTGTCTCCCGGCAATTGCGTGCCAACGTTACTCTTTTCTTCATGTCTAGCGATGCACGTCCTCTCCGACAAGCTTTTGTTTCGCCCGCATGATTTTGAAGCTTTTCTGGATGATTTTATACAATCCTTGAGAATGCATCGTGGGGTTCGGGCGGTTACCAATCAATTCTGGCATCTGCTTTTGCAGACACCGCTGAAATATTTCCTTGAAAATGAATGCAAGACACTAGACGAGGGTATCCCCGGAGACGAATGTTTCGAGCTCCTCTCTCTGGTGGATGCCATGTCGTGTGATCCAGCGATCGGTACCGCATACGGACAGACGATTCGAGATCTACAAAAAGCCTATAATGGAAGTCGCGCCCCTTCATCGAATGTTTCAAAATTGGCCCAATTATCTTTTGGCCGGTTATCATCCCTCCAGAGTACATAGATCTGCTATCGGAACGTCGATCAGAAGCGCTTGCCATACTCTCCCACTTTGGAGCTCTTCTACACAGGCACCGTGAAATGTGGACCTTTGGAAACAGCGGCCTTGATCTTATATCTTCTATCAATGAATATCTAGGGCCTGAGTGGGAAAATTGGTTGCGCTGGCCAAACAGATACATTCAAAACGTGTGATTGAAAGATTTTGTGCTTCAAGTTGCGGTCAAAGCCGTGAAAATGCCGCAAGTCTACCGTTAGCAGGAAGTAAAATCCTACTTAGCCTGTAAAAAATGTGAATCTTGTATAAATATCGTGGCACTTCAACTTAAGACATATTTTCGTCCACGACTCTGGTGAGAATGCTTATGGAGTTGAATCTATCTCTGTTAGTTCACACTCAAGTCGCATTGCCTCATCTAAAGCATCCATAAAAACTTCTCCTTCGCCTTCCTTCAGCGGCAGCAATGGCTTTCGCGGAGCAATTCCATACCCGTGCAGCTTGTTCAACGCATACTCTATGAATCATCAACTCAGTGTTCATCAAATTCTTTAGGAATAGACTCACTCATTGCCCGAATCCCACCTGGAACCGCAGCAGCATCAGCTCGAGCAAGAATCCCTTGGATTCTTTTCGCCTCCCTGTGCTCAGTATCTGTTGCTAACGGCAAATTCAGTAGAAACCAGAGTCTCATAGAAGCAACTGGCACAAAGTTAGGAATACCGCTAACAGTGCCATGACCACCACATTTCATCCAAGGCGTGAGATCTGCAATAAGACCGTCAAGCAACAAAAATGGGAATTTCCGAGTCTCATTTATTGTGGGATCTTCAGAAATCAGGGCGTCAAGTCGGATAAGCTTCCCCATGCTTCCACCACATCTGTTTTTATCAGCGTTGCTGTTCAAACGAAGAAGAGATTTTGAGAACTGACGTCAACTTCACTCCACACAAATTAGCTGTTTGCTTCATAACCGCACTGATAACTTCTGATGACATATCCTGACCGCCGGCATTTGAGGGGAAGTTATATAGTAATAGCGGGATCTATCACTTCATTAGCAATGACACAAATGGAGTACCTTAGATAACCCATACTGGTGATGCTTCACAAATATCAACGTAATATTGAATGACTTGCTCCATGTCGGTGTTCAAACTTGCAGCGTAATAAGCAGGTAGAATCACCATCCCCGCATCTCTGCTATTGTTAGAATAAATCAAACTAGCCTCCAGGATTCGGTGTTGCCTTACGCTCCGGCATCTGCTGCAGCTTTGGATAGACTAATAGTTTCCCTCGTACTGAGCCCTCCTATGCCGGCGACTATCGGTGTAGATTGCAGCCCTGCCCCATCCAAGTGCGCCCTGATGAAGCGGATCAGGGATACACGCTCATCGAAATCCTAAGAAGATTTAATACAATAATCTAACAATATGAGAAACGGAGCAGAACTTACTAAGTGAACAGCTTCTCCTAATGATCCGGCACATACTGGCACTGGACGAGTTGTGCCATTAGTGCATGGTTTCATACCTTGTGTTCAATCAACTTACCCATGCCACGGGTGGCCATAGCTGTAGTAGATGTGGGATAAGCTCATGTACCTAATAGAGTTTCAAACATGAGAGGTATCCTACCTAGCAGATGTTTCCCGTAACTGTCATAGTCGATTTCTTGGTTCTCATCAAAGAACGTTGGTAGCGGCACGTATACCCCGGGCTGGAGTGGCCGTGTCGTATATGTTGCCATTGCAAGAACACCACAAAGAGTCAAATGGACGTCGCCAAGTCAGAGTCGAGATTGCCAGTTTGTTAGGTTCCTAGTTCAATGTTTCTATAACGACCCTTTCGTACCTATGAGGGGCGCGATTGTCGGGAGCATCGGTATCCAGCCGGCCGATAAGACAGGCGCGGGAAGTCTCCGCTCGACCCGCATTGTTATCAACCCTCGTTAGAAGGCAAATCTTATCGCAGAGATGATAAGTTGTTTTAGGCTTTCTGAGGCGCTTTTGTGGATGTATTGATAACCCCGGAATTAAATATGATGGTTTGTCCCCTTTCTGAGGAGAAACCAAGATTAATTTCTCGACAAACAGGTACACTATTACTATGCAGGACGAGGTATGAAATATCTTCCTGGACAGTAAGATGCATGGATGATCCGATATTGATTCACATTACAGAAGACGAAAGAGCTGGCCTATGATGCCAATGAGATCCCCGTTGGCTTGGCAATTGTCCAAGACTCAGGCAGCAACCATGGCCTCCAACGACAGCTCAAGGTACGCCGAGATACAGCCTTTCAACGCCTATTGATCTTTCCTAACAATTAACTAGCCCCGGCATCTGTAAGTGACAGCACACTCGAATTTACTGCACAGTGACTCAAGATTTGTTTTAGACAAATGATTGCCATCGGAGGTGTTATCGTCAGTCATCCTACTCTGACTTTACTTTTCTTGCTGATCAATTATCAGGGCACCGGCCTCTTTCTAGGCACAGCGAGCGATCTGAAGAATGGCGGTCCGGCTGGCCTTCTTATTGGATACTGTATTATGGCTTCGTTGCTATACTCGGTAATGGTAAGGCAAACTCCAACTAATTATATCTTCTTAGCAAGAGCTAATGACTATGTGCAGGTTGCTCTTGGTGAAATGGTGTCGCAGTTTCCTATCCCTGGAGGTCAATTTGCTTTGGCTGGCCGGTTCAACTCACCCGAGCTTGGATTCGCTATGGGTATTCTGTTCTGGTATAAGTAAGTCAGATTTCATTCTGCTTTATGGCAAACTGGACTTACAAATATTTTAGTTATATTGGTGTGACTATTTTCACTCATTCCGCGAAAACTGGACACATCTAATCTCTATAGTTGTCTTACCGGCCGAAATCTCCGCAGCGGCCGTTCTGGTTACCTTTTGGACCCCGGCAGGACAGGCAGATTCTACATGCTCCACTGGAATTTGCAATAATGCCATGTGGGTTGGGTTGATGCTTATAGTTGTGGTATGGATGTGTGCAGATAATTGGACTTCAAAGGATACTAATACCAATCTAGTTTGCTGTTAATTATGCCGGAACACGAGTCTTTGGTGAAATGGAATTCTGGTTCTGTTCAATCAAAGTAAGCTGGGAAGCACGGAATTTAAAAAACGCGGAGGTACTGACTTATATAGGTTGTGACAATCATTGGCCTTATTATCACCGGTGTTATCATCAGTGCCGGTGGCGGGCCCAACCATGAGGCAATTGGATTCAAATATTGGGACGAGACTGGTGGTTTCACTCAGTATGAAGGCATTGGTAAGCCGACAAGTCAATTATGAAGCGCTCACTGGTATCTAACATGATTTAAAGGCGGTGCAAAAGGGCGTTTTCTCGGATTCTTCAGCGGTGAGACCGGGTCTATAATATCTGTTCATACGGGATCGCTCATCATTTCATAGTTTTGATTAACGCTGCATTCGCGTTCATTGGATCTGAGATTACAGCAATCGCAGCTGCCGAGACTTCAAACGTAAGATTCTTCCAAAGTAACAGCAATTTACCTTCACTCACAACCTATTACAGCCGCAAAGAAACGTCCCGCGAGCGATCAAGAGTGTTTGGATTAGGCTTGTACTCTGTCAGTTGGGGTGAATCACTTCTCAGACTTCAATGTGCTGCTAACTTTCGTTTTCTCTCAATTTAGTCTATATTTGCAGTGCTTTCTTGGTGAGTATTCACAACTCGATAGTGATTAACAGTCTACTTACAATGACAGATTGGACTTCTCGTGTCTCCGTCCGATCCTTCTCTCAGTCTTTCTTCTACTGCGGCCAAGAGTCCATTTGTCATTGCCATACAAGTAAGCTATCGTTGATATTCTGTGCCAAGACCAAAGCGCTAACATATATAACAGAACTCCGGCATTTCGGTCCTCCCCTCCATTATTAATGCAGCCCTTCTCACCAGCGCATGGTCTGCCGGCACAGCCGATCTTTTTGTCTCATCAAGAACCCTATATGGACTGGCAGCCCGCGGACATGCCCCGAAGTTCTTTCTCAAGACCCGAAAGGACGGCTTCCCTTGGGTTTGCTTCCTATTCTGTGGGGCTTTCTCTTTCCTGTCGTTCATGGCCGCCGCTCATGGAGAAGCGGGCAAAGTGTTTGGCTATTGTGAGTGATTGTCTTCGATGGATTGTTACCAAGGGATGAAACTAATGCCAGTATAGTCTCTAACATGACTGCGATGTGTGGTATGATTTCTTGGACAGGGATCTTGTGGACCAGTATCCGTTGGAACAAAGGTCTTAAGGCGCAGGGCATCGATCGGAAAACACTCCCATATATGGCACCTCTTCAACCTTATCTGTCTTACTGTAAGTTTACAGAAGCTCATTTCGTGTGAATAATGCTAATTGCTGTGACGCTTTAGATGGAATCTCAATCTGTGTCATGGTCATCATCTTCGGCGGATTTGGTTCCTTCAGTGAGTTCGCGCGATATGAAGCACATCTTTCTGCCGTACTGATCTCCCATGAAGTTCCTAGCTTTGACGCTTCCTCTTTTGTCACGACTTACTTTCCCATTCCATTCTTTGCCGTGCTCTTCTTCGGATACAAGTTTTGGGCCAACTCCAAGATGGTCGATTATGCCGATATGGACTTTGTCACCGGCTCTTCAATTGAGGTCACTGAAAAGGTAAGATCTATCTATCGTAGAATTTCTCATTTAATGACATTTGACCTTCTAGGAGGGCCCTCAGAGTCTGTGGCAGAAGATTTCCGACAGGATCTAAGCTATAATCATTGGGCGCCGACCAGCCATGTGTTATTAAACCCAATACCTCATTTTATTTAACTTACTATGATAGACAAAGTGCTTCTCTGAATTTCTCCTACCTGCCAATTGTCTCTTTCAGTTAAACCCAGCAGGTCCCCTATGGATTTGCTCTCATATATGATAAGCCGTCAAGTAAATGAACCTTTGTGCGGATGTGGGGCGATAAGGGAAATCCAGTAACGCGAGATTGCCCGATCGAAATCAATAGCTTGATAGCGATAACGTTAGAGCCCTATAACGTTCTCCCATGAAATTGTAAACCCTGTGGCGTCCTGTCATCGGACAGATAAGCGCACCGGCCGATGGTAGTCGGCTTGAGCGCCGCGTGTCCCGCACGTTGTGTCCTATTACCCCAATTCGATGCACTCTGTCAATTTGGCATCGACCAGAAATTCGAAACATGGCGCCTAAGTTTGATTTGGTTGTGATCAATGGCACAATTGTGACTGCCAGCGACATCAGGTAACGTGCCTCTGACGTCTCCATAGACAAATTGTACGGTCGCTAACGAGGTAAAGCGAATGTTGTATAGGAGTCAAAGATGGCAAGATTCAATCTCTTGCAAATACATTCACGGAGGATGAGTTGGTAGGGGCTGAGATCATAGATGCTGAGTTCGTGTTATGAGAATCCGAGGGAGCAGATACACAGCTAACACATCGAATCAAGAGGGGCATATGTAATGCCTGGTGGTGTTGATGCACACGTCCATTTGTGCCAAGATCTCAAAACCGGTAATTCAATCATCATTTTTAAAAAAGAGAATCGCATCTAATTCTTGCAGGACCACACGGTCTCGGCGGCGAATGCTCTGATAACTTTGAGACCGGATCAAGAAGTGCTGTTGCCGGTGGAACCACTACGATTATCACCTTTGCCACCCAAACTAGGGAGGAAGAAGACCGGAGTCTCTTGAAAGTGGTTGAAAGGTATAATGCCCGTGCCGAGGAGACTGGGAGTTATGTGGACTACGGATTTCACATCATTATTGTTCGCAATGATGCGGATATTCTTCAAAATGAGCTACCAGTTTTGATCAAAGACTGGGGAATCAGTAGCTGCAAGTTGTTCTTAACATATGCGACTCAGCGTTTGACTGACTCGCAAATGTTGGATGTTATGTTTGCGGCGAGGAAGAACTCTATCACAACAGTGAGTTCTATCTGTTGCCGTGATATATAGTCTGGGTGGCGGCTAATCTTGTATTAGATGATTCATGCGGAAAATGGGGATATGATAGAATGGTTAACAGGTAAATTCAACGCTGGAGGATGTATGACACAGCTGACTTGGATACAGAGAAACTGGAGAGCAAGGGGATGGTTGGCAAGTGCTTTTTGACTGCAATTTCGTTTTCACTTGCTGACCTATAACAGCTCCTTTCTATCACGCCTTGTCGCGCCCTCCTCTCGTGGAGGGAGAAGCCACCAATAGAGCAATTGCCTTGGCACAGCTTATCCAGAACCCAATTTTGTTTGTTCATGTCGGTTCAGTGGTACGTACGGCCCTCGTTAGAGAAAATTCCTTACTAAATTAGGTAGCTTGGAGCCGCCAATGTTCGCCGCGCTCAGACAATGGGACTGCCAGTCTATGCAGAAACATGTCCTCAATATTTCCATCTCACCTGGGATGATTTGGTAAGTTGGCCCAGACTAAACCGAAAGGACGATTGCTTAGTTCTGTGATAGAAAAGGTTCCATTCGCCAACCTGTTTCGAAAACAGCAAGATGATCTGCTCGCCACCTCCCCCTCCCACCATCGCTGATCATGAAGAACTCTTCGTGTAAGTTTGACTGCATTGAATATGACATACATTTGGCTGACTGATAAAGCGGTCTCTCAAACGGGACATTCACGATTTACTCATCTGATCATTGCCCTTTCCGCTACGACCATCCTCATGGAAAACCATCTGGTGTGTTAGAGCACGAAGCAAGTATGGAGGGAGAGAAACCTTGTGATAGCGAAGAGCTACAAGGTTTATTGAAGCGGAAAGGAGGAGCATTCCGCTTTATCCCCAACGGGATCCCGGGCGTGGAAACAAGACTGCCGTTGCTCTATACAGGGGCATTGGCTAGTGGTCGCATTACGCCACAGAAATTTGTCGAGTTGACATCGACAAACCCAGCCAAATTGGTAACCATATGCCTGTTCCTTCTAAGGCTTTCTGCCTCTTGAAATCAATGCTAACATTCCGACAGTACGGACTATATCCTAAGAAGGGGACATTGATGCCCGGATCAGACGCCGATTTTGTGATAGTAAGATATGGGCCTTACCTTGAGGCCGCTTCCCCATATAGATATTGACATTTTACAATCTAGTGGCACCCAGAGAAGTCATTTTCACCATTCAACCTCACTAATTCTATGCTACATCACAATGTCGATTGTAAGTACCGCGATCCACGGTGTACTTTTCAAGAAGGGCAAATCTAATTTTGTATCTTTGAAGACACTCCGTATGAAGGAATGAGGTTTACGAACTGGCCTCGATACACAATCCTTCGTGGTAAGGTTATGTGGGCAAATGGCAAGATAAACGGAAAGGTGCGAGACGGAGAGTATGTCAAGCGCGGCCCTAGCAAATTAGGGCCAATATCCCCCAGAGCTGATCGCGATCCTCGTCGTGTAGCCAGTTGGCTCTATGAATAAATGTGTCTGGTACTATAGAATGTGCGGCGATAAGTAGCCTCATATGGAAAGAGTCGACTCGTAACGAAGCTTCGAGTGAACAACAGCTTATCGTTTTTTTCTCATCATGACCAACTATCAGATTTCCTTGGTGCATATACAGCTACAGCCATAGGTCTTATTTCCTTTTCCACCCTTAAATTTATATCGTGTTCATGATTAAACAACAACCCCGAGTCATTAAAAAATGGGCAAAGCAGAGGCGAAAACAATCCATGAAGCGGTACACTCGCTTCAAGGCTTTCGTGTACAGACTGTCCAATACTTCATCGGTGTGACTGCCATTTATGATCCCCTGCTGTATCCTTTTAACTAACCTGTAAATGATTAGGACCTGAACTTCTGGGGAGAGCCTTAAATCATAGGTGGTAGTGGCTCAATCACCTGTCCCCAAGAAAGGTAAAAGTTAGATTTCTCAAATATATAAAACTTGAAAAGTATCTGGAGATAGGACTAACGAATTGTATAACACATAAATAACGTTTAAATTAAGTAGTAAAATGTGCTACTTGAATGGCGTCTAAATGTAAAACCTGATAAGTTAGCACTTTTCAAGGCAAGAAGGCAACGATATGCTCTAAACTGGTATATTTCGTAGGAGTACGGGTTCATCATTAGTTTAAGCCTAACGTTCATTTTATTAGGGTAAGGTTCACCACATGCTGCAACTTTCAATTAAATACATGTAACTTATACACGGAGGTACAAGGTTCGACACTTTGGAGGATCCACTCAACACGAACATGGGTATCGTCAACAAATCAGCGTCCGAGATGTTATCAGAGTAACCAACATTCCCAGATTGGCCCTTTTCTTTAATCCGCCTCTTCATAACGTGTCTTGTCTTAATTCCGATAGAGTAGCACTCACGATGTCCTTTAACGCCAATTGGCAAGACAATCCCAGTACAGATGATGAGCGCCCCGCTAAAGCCCGTCGGATTGCTCGAGCTTGTCTACAAGTGAGTGCTACAAATTTAATGTAGAAAGACGAAATATTTAACACGCTCGGATTAGTGTCGCGCGCGAAAACAGCGATGCTTGCCATCATCCGAAGAAGCCAGTCTGCAATTACCATGCAAGCGATGTCAAAGGCTAAGTATCACTTGTTCGTTTGAAACAGATAGAGCTCCAACATTGGACGTGGCTCAAAGTCCATCAAGTCTAGTACAACTCGTAATTGAACTGCAAAACAGGTGAGACTAAAAACTACCACTCAGTTGGAGAACAATCTCTAAAAACAGAAGCAGACTCAACCAACATGAAACACGAATTTTGGAGCTTGAAAGCCAAAAGCGTCAATCGGACGTAAACAGAAAGGAACCGCCCAGATATGTCCAACCTGAGCGTCAGCAAGCTTTCTCACCGAGCCAAAGCGACATATATCATTCTCCTGAGTCGAGCATTGACGGGATTCATTTGGGTCCTCCTATTGCAACACTCCGATCGTTAAGAGTCCTTGCGGAAGAACAAGTCCATGATTCGACTCCAAGAGCACTGAAATACAAGAGCATATACAATCCTATACACCAGGGGCTTCTCTCAGTCGAGAATGTCCAGCGAGCAATCGAAATGTATTTCACCATTCCGTTCGGGAAGAGAGTCACCTACTGATATGCACCAGATTCTTCCAGCATTGCCATGTCTCAGCGCCTGTACTAGATGAAACCATTCGTTATTCATGGCAGGAATATCTTGAAAGAAGCCCAACGCTTATCCTAGCAATATGTTCAGTTGGTACTCGGTTCTGGGATGCAGGTGATCAAAGGCAAGTAACCAGAACGGGTAGACCCAGAAGCCTAGCTAATGCTCATAACAGTGGCAATTCTATTGGTGCTCACTCTCGATTCCACGACCTTACAAAATTACTTGACAAAGCGGTTTCCAGGCTCCTACTCCGTCCCACTCCGGCAGATGTTACACTAGACTCCATCTGTGTACTTCTTCTGTATGCCCAGTGGATGCCCTGCAGCAGAGAAGATGAAGATGAAAATCCCGACCGTCACAGTACCCACGACACACGCAAAGCCAAAAGTCGATACAACGAAATCAGCGCCTGGGCTGTCCTAGGGTTAGCAGAACGATATTCTGTCCTCCTGGGTCTCGAGCAATCAGCCACATCATTTTTCAAGGACCCCAACAAGAGTCCATCCGCAGAGGATGCTAACAGACTACGAGTGTGGTACAACTTGCTTACATGCAACTTTAATCTCATGCTAACATCCGGTCTACCTGTATCGATTGATCCTACTCCGTCGGTCCAAGTAGCGCGGAACTTTGTCTCGAGCGAGTTGATGCAGTCCCCTGCTGACCTTCGAGTGAGGGGTCTTGTGGAGCTTGTCGGAATTGTTCACCTTGCCATGTCTAGTTGTGGGGATATATCTGGCCGTCAATTGCAACCGAGTTGCTTGGAAAGGTTGAATATTGATTTGGATGATTGGGAGAGGTATATGAATTTGTTAGAAACTTTATCCTTCACTGCTTACTGACGTCTTCGTAGATCTTGGTTTGCCCATTTAGGTGCGTTTATCAGAAGTCCTGTCATAGCTGTTATTAATATCTTCCAGAGAAAACGGATTCCCACTATAACCATTTGCCATTCACCTCGGCCCGGGTATGTACTTACCCATCTACATGTATACGTGATCAACCTATTCTAACAAGCGATCTAGTGGTATCGACTCTCCCTAAACTGTGCATCTCTCGCACCAATACTTTCCTCGCCGCGTGTACACCGACCGCTGACAGATTCAATTCAACCACATATTCGACAAGCGCTGCCAGTTAGCTTGACCGCAGCAGCACAGATTATACTTTCACAATCGAGCTACAAAGCTGATATAGTCTTCTCGCTGGATTCGAAGAACCCGTCTAGCTTTCCCGACGGGGCATACCATGCAGATCGTGGATCCGTCAGTCGACTATACTATGCGGTGGACTCAACCTGGATCTCGCATACGTTTGCTATCACGTTTCTATCTCTTTGTTATATTCGAGGACTCATTGATGGTGAGGAAATTCATCAGGATACTTCTAACTGATAATCCGAATCTCTTAAACACTAACAACGTGAAAACAGAAAATCTACAAATTCGCAGCCAAACTTCCAGTCAGGTGAAAGGGAATGTATTTACACGTCTCCCCTCATCTTCCCCGTCAGTCCTCGCTCGACTCCTTCGTCTCGCACTAGAAATTTTCGACAGCGTGTGTCCAGCAACGACATTCCATTTTGCGCAAGACTTCCAATCCATCGTTCACTATGCAGTTTCTTTGGTACTAGTCTCCGAAAAAAACATGAAAGATATCGAGAGAGAAGAGATCGATGATATGGCGATTCAGTCTCTACTAGATTTAATGAATAATTCTGGTGTTGACTGGGCTGGAAATCTTTTGGGGAATCGTTGGACTTCCCGGATTTGAATACGGACGGGATGCTTGCATGATTGATAGTGGAATCTTATAGCTTCGCAGAGCCATGTCTAAATCAGGGTTTCGAACATAATTAGTATCCAGAGATGGCTGTAGCCTATACACTCACAAGGACCAACTTACCTATCAGCATCGTCCAACTCAAACGAAATATCCTGGGCCCCCTCCCAAAGCACCAACTCACCCAGCGCCTTTAATTTCTCCTTCCCTTCAGTGATAGTCAAGAAATGATTCGCTGCCAGTGGTCCCATCTTACTCGCAAAGGCGACACCTCCATAGCAGAACAGAATCTCCGTTTCGGAGATACCACCAGGGTACAACAAGATCTGACCCGCAGCAGGGTGAGCCGTATGATTTTCAAAGGGAATTCCGAAATCGGTTTCTCCTAGTGGAATCCACATCCCCTCCCCGCTCCAGCGAACATGAATGAGCTTTTGGCGGTATGGGAGGAGAGTGCGGAAGAGGGCTACTGTTTTGGGGGCTGAGGATTCGAACGTCGCGCGGAATTGGTACGGTCCGGCTGTTATTAGGATGGAGGTCATTTTAGTGATATGGGAAGAAAGAGATGAGTAAATTGTTGTTTCAAAACTACATTTTGCTATGCTCTCTAAGTAGCTGTAGCTATCGCATCGGCATCTTCGGGGACGGGCCGCGCGGGCTTCACGCCGTCTTATCTGTGCGGGTTGACCAGGAGCGATATCAAAAGCCACGATTGCCTCACAAGGTCAGATATAATGCAACTCATTTCAATGTCTCATCATATGCATATTTTGGTGTACGATAACACCTGTCCTTCTCGGACAGCTGTTCAGCACACAATCCAAGAAGGCTCATTGACCGTCCACCCAATACTCCACTCGGAAGATTCATCTTTTGGTGCAGAAGTATATGGCGTTGATTGGAGCAAGTCTGTCCCAGCAGATATTGTTACGAAAGTAAGTTATCATTGCAGAGGCTAAATGTAACCACTGACAAGATGATAGTTAATCGCGCTTCAAGATAAGTATGGCGTGCTGATCTTTCGCAAAACCGGATTGGACAACAGTCGGCATATTCTATTCTCGCAGCAGCTGGGCGACAAGCTAGAAGTCAATCCGTTCTTTTACGGACGAGAAAATGACCGGTTAGGGGAGCCGTTACTCTTCGATGTGGCCAAGTGAGTTTTCCGTGAATATTCAATATTGAAAGCATGTCATGTTCTGATAAGAGTAGCATCGAGCTAGATGGCTCGCTGGTAAAGATGGACAGTCGCAGGTACCATCACAGTCTGGGAAATGCTCTATGGCACACCGTAGGCATACTTGTCCCCGGCGAGCAAGACACATGGGTACTAACCCACCTAGGACTCATCGTATCACCAACAACGGTCCAAGTATTCCATACTGCTCTCCCATGGTGATCGTGTTGAAGGCGGATCGTGGACCCATTTTGCAGATACGCGTCGTGCCTACAATGACCTTTCACAAGCGAAAAAAGACGAGATTGAGAACTACGTTATTGAACATGAGTAAGTCATCTGTTTCGAAAGACCACCTCTCTGAAGGTAGATCCCCGGCTAAGCTATTCCAGTCTTTGGCATTCCCGAAAACTCGCGTCACCTGCTGTGTTTGGAAACCCTCTACCTCACGAACTGGCAGCGAAGCCACCTGCCTACCATCGTCTCGTGCAAACAGCACCAGACGGTCGAAAAACTTTGTATCTAGCCGCCCATGCCAAACGAATCGTTGGCAAAGACATTGAAGAGAGCCAACGGCTGATTTGGGAGTTGATTGACCACTGTACACAATCGAAAGTGAGTTTGAGTAAGCCATGTTGTGGCAAGTTCGAGGGCTAACTGGGGCAGTACGTCTTCAGCATGGAGTGGCTGTCTGGCGGGGATATGGTCTGGTGGGATAATCGGCAAGTCTCGAGTCTGTGTCCATTGATCCGTTGCTAATGGTTATAGCCAATCGATGCATCGCGCTAATCCCTATACCGCGACAATGACTGCGAGGGATGTCCGTCGGTCCACAATCCTTGATGATGGCCCTTGGGCATTAGGTGTTTCGAAAGATCAAGTGGAGTAGCTGAATGGAGGATGAGAGAGCCAAGAGATCAAAGCTGTCGGTACCTTCATGTGAGTAGGGAAAGATATTGTTTTTATGTCGACCGAATTGAGCGTCATGATATTAGCCAGCCGTTCTATTTTATAGTCAGTGTGCTGCCACTATTGTGGTCGTAACGGAAATTACAATAGCAATCAAAAGTAGTTTTATTATTATTGAAAATCCTAGAAAGATGCCTGACGTGGGTTTCTGGGGTCCTCTGCCTATTGCATAAGCGAGTGTAGCATTTCATAACTTATATTTTTTTCGCCCTACTTTGGCCTCTCTTTTTCACCCCATTATTGCCCTCTTTCGAGTGTCTACACGCCGATCCTCGACCGCAGTGCCCATTTCTCTATCCTACGAGCCCGCTTCCATGCAAATAGACTGGACCAGAGAGAAGCGATTCGTCAGTAACATGTACATAAAGAGTCTGCAACTCTCAACTGAGTGGATAGCAAACAAAAATCGCAAAAAGCGAATGCAATATATACTGAGAGACCCGAAGAAGCACAACTAAAATAACACAGATATTCACAGATATTCCAGAACCAGTCTACCACCCCTCCAACAACGTAAACTTAGCAAGAACCCCATCCTTCGGCGAAACAGTTGCCCCCTCCCTGAGCTCCAACTTAGCATCAGGATACTTCAACTCCATCCGAAAACGGCCAACAGTAGCAGCAAGCAAACAAGCCAGCTCAGCCTTTGCAAAGCCCTGCCCAATACAACTGCGCGGGCCATGCAAGAAAGTCAAGAAAGCATAGTTACTAACCGCACCACCCGTATTCGCCTTTCCGGGACCCATAAATCGGTCCGGGTTGAATTTGTCGGCGTCCGGTCCCCAGAATTCTTCCATCCGGTTCAGGATCTGTGGGGAGATGGTGAACAATGTCCCCTTGGGAATATGCTTGCCTGCAAGACTGGTGTCACGGATTGCAGTGCGGATTGTTGCCGGGACAGAGGGATGAAAACGGAGGACTTCGTTGCAGACGGCGTTTAGGTAAGGGAGGTTGTCAATTTCAGCTGCTGTAATGGGTGTTTCGTCATTTAGAGATGGGAGGTTGGCGCGGACTTCGTCACGGAGGCGGGTTTGGACATCTGGGTTTTTGCAGAGGGCGTAGACGGCCCATTGGAGAGCCGTGGCAGTTGTTTCGTGGCCTGCACCGAGGAAAGTCATACATTGGTCGACGAGATTCTCTTCGTCAAAGGTTCCACTGCTCAGAGCGACAGAGACGATGTCGATGCCGGTTTCGGCCTTGGGGTCTTCCATTTTGGCTTTCTTCTCGCGAATCATTTGCCTCGCGACGTTGCGAATGACTTCGCCGTTTTCTTCAATGTCCTTGTTCCATTTCGAGGGGAACTTTCGGGACCAGCTTGGGTCCCCGAAGATAAAGCTCAATACAAAGACCAGCTTTAACCAGAGAGGTGGGGAGCGCATGATAGCTCTGTAGGATTTGTTGAGGGTGTTGTCTGGGTCATGGAGAGAGTCGAAGTCGTGATCCATACCTGCTACCCCGATTATGTCGAGTGTTGCTCGGCTAGCCCAGTTGCTAACCTGGATTGTGGGGTCGCCGCTTGAGTTTCTGTTCTCCAGCTCTTGTTCGATCATTTTCACCATTTCAATACTCTTAGCCCAGAAGACTGGGTATAGATTCTTGACATGGCGGTATGCAAATGCTGGCATGAGATTCTTTCGTTGTTTCTGTGGTTCATCTTGTCAATCACAGGTATCTTTGGGATAACTTTTATCCATACCTTGTGCTCATCACCCTCGGCAAGTAGAACGCCATCGCCGGTAATACGTCGCAAGCTCTCTCGGATCATTTCTGGCTTTTCAAAATCATATACCTTGGTGACTAGGAGTTCACCCAATGACCTCGGGCTTGTCAAAGTAAGCCTCTCAAGGTTGCCGATCATATAGTACCGAATGATATCTTCATTTGGCATAGTACTGACCCACTCTCGCATCTGCGTAAAGGGGGGTTCAAGGAACCAGGAATCCGAGTTCCCTTTAAGCCAGCTTCGTTTCTATATATTGTTAGACAAGATTGACAACCTTGCAGATATATGGCTTACCGGTGGTGAATGGATATGTTTTAACGGGGTGAAGTATTCCGGATAAAGACCCAGACGATATATAAATTTCAGTACCGTGATAATTCCGAAGAGAATGATGCCAGTAATAATTTGCGAGTTGAATATGGCATATTCTGGTCGGAGATATAACCCAGCAGCCATGCCGATGTAGAGGATGTTGAGGCCATCATTGACGCCACTCATGGCGATTATGCAGACTAAGGGATTCGGAGAACACTGTTAGGTTTATCGTAGTTCCTCACGAAATGACCTGCAAAGGACCTGTCAAGATGTCGAGTTGAATCTCGAATAGAACCAGGAACTAGCCCAAAGCTTCCGAGTGGGGGCGAGATGACAAAGGTCTTGGCTCTCGTTGGTCCAGTCAGATCAAGACCACGATCCCGACAGTGTCACAACACTGCAGGATAAATCTGCTGAATCTGATATAGAGGAGATGTGAGAGCAATAGTTGAGACCAAGGACAGCTATGCAAGACGTTGGCTGTAGTATGGCATGTGACAATTCGCGAGAGAAGACGCAAGTCTGAAATCCTCCCGGGCGCGACTGAGGGTAGATGAAGATCAGTTGGGATTAGGCACCGTGATTTCGAGCGGAATACGGGATTCGGGTTGTCTCGCAATCAATACTCCATTGGGTTGAACGGGATCTATCTCCACGTGTTAACAACGCCAATCTGAGATCTGACTGTATTTCTGCGATTCTATCAACCCATATTTGCAGCTTAGGGGCCATGACATCACTACATCTCGACTTTTCAGTTTTGATTCACATATATGTGGAAGTCGTGAAGCATAAATATGCAATATGGTGTAGAAAATGCACGATGAGACCTCCGAACCAATCAAAATCCCTGTTTAAGGGGGTAGATCCCCGAAACGACAAACGATGTACAGTACACGACAACGATATATGTCACCTAACCTCCGTCTCCGCCGTAATCCTCTCAAACTCACCAACAGTATGCTCCCAAACCTTCCGCACCATCGCCTGCCCCCGAAGCGAATCCAACAACCTTACGACCTTCTCACCAGAATGCGCCCCAGACCAATGAATACTATAAATCCCACTCCCAACCTCACCGTCAATACCCCTCGCAACCTCAACCCCATCAACCAAAGGAACACCAGAAGCATCCTCCCCCAAACGTGCCGGATACTTGGCACTCGTTGCGAAAAATAAATGCCTCTCCCCGGACTCTTTGATAGGAATATGAATCAAAGGCCCAATGATAGCCACAACCAAAATCAGAAGCCACATCAGAAACCCCTCAGCTTCCCGATGCAGACCCGTCTTGACTGCGCCAGGATAATCATTGATAAAGCTCACTTCAGGTGCTTGAGCGGCTAGACTCTCGAACGCCATGTCGGTCATTGAAACGACATGTCCCCGCAGACTTAGGATATTCATTTTCTTCGCTTGGAAGTCATCCTCATAGATTTGTCCTTCGTGCCCGCCTGCTAAAACGCTCACGACGCGCCGGACGGCGGTCGCTGCTTTTAGTTGCGGGAGAAGATTCATTGTGAACCTGATGCGCGCGTAGTATTGTGTTGCGAGCATGATATGGAGACCTTCAGGAGTATCTGTGAAGCGTTAGTATAAAGGTATTTTATTTCGTTGCATTTGGGCTGGAGGGGTACTTGTACTTACCAAAACCATACCGAGCACCCCCACAACTGAGGAAAAGCAAGTTGATGGCCTTCTCTTTACTTTTGATCTCGCGGCATACTTCGTCGACGTTGCGAATGAGGCTCAAATCTGCTCTGATGAAGAGGTATTCGCCTTCTGGGTTTAGTTGTCGACATTCGGCTGTGATGCGATTGCCAGCTTCTTGCGAGCGGCCGACGAAGTATGCGCGAGGGGATTTAGCTGAGCGTGCGAATTCTTTTAGGGTTGCTTCGCCGATGCCATTTGTTGCTCCCACGAAGACGGCGACTAGGCCTGCTGGGAGTTTGGCGATTTGGTCGTTTGAGGATTGGACATCTGGTAGAGATACCATCGTTTGGTTTGGAATCCAATTGGAAAATATGAGGACTTTGAAGTTCAATTTTGTTGCTGGGCGGGGGTGTTTTATAGATGGGATAGATCATTTGATCGGTGCGTTTTTCGGCCGGCTGAGCTGGTGCGATGTTTTCGTCCGGGGAGTGGAATCACTCTTGAATGATTTGAAAATCGATTTCTAAGCAGAAAGCCATGTTTGTATGAGTAAATTTCAAGTATAATCCTACTGTCAATAGTCACACTGAGACTGTCAATTTCGCAAGTGATATCGCAAGCTCCAGGGTTTGGCACGTCAAGCTAGAGTATCCAACATAGATTCAGAAACACATGATTCATAAATCAGATCCAATGTAAGTACGCGAAGTTATCTACAAAACTAGCCTCTAAAGCTTACCCTCCTTGTTATGCAAGTAAGGGCCACCACCAGTACCCCGACTGGCAAAGCCCCATCTAATCTGGTTAGCCATGGAAATATCCACCTCAAGCTCCTCAGCCCAAGCCCAAACCAGACCGGGATTCTTCTGGAATCCGCGGCCGACAAGCACAAAGTCCAATCCGTCCTTCTCTAGCAGAGAATTGGCCAAAGAAGCAGAACTGATCATGCCGACCGAGCCAACCTTGATCCTATCACCAACAGCCTTCTTCACCTCAACAGCAAACGGCGCCTGGAAAGCAGGCTTGGCATGAATATGCTGCTGCTCGTGATTGCCACCGCTGCTGATATCCAGCACATCAACAGTCCCACTATCAGCCAGTGCCTTCGCGAATCGGACCGTGTCCTCCACGCGCCAGGACGGCTTATCCGGCATAACCTCTTCCAACCAGTCCGTAGCGGAGACCCGCAAAAAGACAGGCATACCGTCCGGGACAGTGTCGCGGGTCAACTGAGCAATCTCCAAGGAAAGCCGAATGCGATTCTCAAAGCTCCCACCATACTGATCAGTACGGTCATTGGTAGCCGGCGACAAGAAACTCATAAGCAAGTACCCATGAGCATTATGAATCTCCACAAAATCCACACCAGCCTTAAGAGCCCGCTTCACAGCAGCAACCCAATCCTTCTTAAACGTCTCAATCTCAGCCAACGTCAAAGCCTTCGGCGTCGGGAAATTCGCATGGAAAGGCACATTCCCTGGACCCTTAACATCATCAGGCCACCCACCAACCTTCGCAGTAGCCGTATCAGCCTTGCTAAGCCAAGGCGCAACAGTACTAGCCTTGCGACCAGCATGGGCAAGCTGAACACCGATAACCTGGCTCTGGCTGTGCACGAATTCCACGACGCGGCGGAGCGGCGCGATCTGCGAGTCCTTCCAGAGTCCGGAGTCTTCCGGTGTGATTCGTCCGTTTGGTTGGACGGAGGTCGCTTCTATCGTAAGGAATCCTGGTCCACGTTGTGCGATCCCGCCTAGGTGTGCCATGTGCCAGTCGGTCATGTGGCCGTCGTCGGCGCTGTACTGGCATAGTGGGGATAGGCCGATTCGGTTGTGGAATGTTACGTCGCGGACTTTGAAGGGCTGGAATAGCTTTGGTGGCTGGGTGCCGTCCGATTGGGGGATTGCTGCGGATCCCGCTGGCGGGATTTGGGCTGGGGTGTAGTAGGAGATGCCTTCGGCTGCTTTGTTGGGGATGTCTGGGGAAGGCATGGTGAGGGGAACTGGATATATGAATGTTTATATGTGTACTTGTGAGGGGATGGTATGAAATGAAGGAAATGGGGAGCTCTTTATATGTTGGCCGTATGATGCTATACTTCATGCAGTGGGTTGCACCTCCACCAGATTATAAATGCGGTCTGCGCGCTGCACTTCCGAGTTGCGAGTGATCGACGTCACCATTGGGGGGTAGGGGGATATTAACCAATAATGGTCCCTCGGCAATTTCTCAATCTTGTCATGTTTTGGAATGATGGGGGATTTGGCCATTGAGCCTAAATCAAATGAACATGCCACTCGTGTGTTGAATGTAGGGTCCGTTTGTGCTGAGGTGTGGTGACACCTGGAACAGGTCAACTTCCAAAATCCTGGGCATTGCCTTAAACTGGCCAACCACGGCGCCGACGGAAGTGGAAGTACATGTAACAGCGGAGTTAAAGTTAAGTTTAAAAGACACTCGGGAATAGAGGGAAGGATAGTCACGCCTGGAATATCAGGTGTTATTATTGCCTCAGGCAGAACTTTGTTTATCTACTTGCAGTTTTAGCATCGCTATACTTAGCAGAATCAAACATATCCTAGCAGACTTCAAAAGCTGACGACGTCTCTTTGAAACATGAGAGCGGTTAAGTACAGCGCCTAGAAGTATTGGTTCCCAATGTGGGGGAAGTTCGGGTATATTGAGCTAACTTACACTGTTTTATTGTTTCATACTACTGTATCTGCCTTCATTTTTATCTTCCTCCTCGCTACCGATTCTATCTTGTTTTCTTGTCCATTTCGCAAAAGGAACACAAGCAATTCTTTATCAAGATTCAAGTGGAGAAGCGCTTAAGTAGGGACCCTCCTCGGGCGCGTGCTGGACCAGTGAGATAAGACTCTTAAATTGCCCCCCGTGTTTGTTTCGGAAATGTGCGATATGTTAAAGGCAGGGTAAATATGAATAGGTTGTAGTCTCAAGAAAAAAGGGGAAAAAAACAAAAAGAAACATCAATTGGATATTCTAAAATAGAGTCAAATAGAAGGGAACAAAAGACCATTAGGCCAAGATTATTAGGCGATTGAAAGCCAAGCCGTCAGCCCTAAAGTGCATTATCGCGCCTCTCCACCCCTGCCGAACTCCCTGTTTCGTCTTTCTCCCCTTTCCAACCTCCATTCTTTTGACAGCCCTGGTGATTCCATTCATTCAATCATTCCAGTGGTTTAATTACGTACCAGACATTCTTTCTCCACACTCGGGCACTTGACCTCCCGCCTCCCCCTTTCTTGGCAACAAAGGGATCCGCCGATCTTGGCTCTCAATGTGCATTGAACTCAATGCACCACTGAAACATAGGCGCTCATTGACACGTACAGCCTTGCCCTCGACTTCTAACATATCGCCCTGGCCTCGCACAGTTATGCGCCGTTCGCGCGGTTAAGAAATCACTCTCGACCGCTCCGTCACTCTTTTCGCCCAGCTCGACCTCGTGCGATACTTCCCTCACACGCCTCATTTTGACACTGATTACGACTTTGCCCGGCTGGTCCGAGGAAGTCGACTTCTCAGCTTCCGCGATCCCGCCATTCGTCTGACGCCTGATCGCTCCCTGGCAGGACCAGGTCTACTCCGCGATGTTTTGCTCCGGAGACCGCGAGAAAGCTGCCGCAATGGAGGAGAAGTGGGACTATGTGGTAAGTTCACAAAGAAAAACATCGCTGATTGGACTCGATATACTGACATGCGCCCAGAACCTCGACGACTTCAAATCTGAGTCTTGCTGGACTCCCTTCTCGTACTTCTTCCTATGGGTATTCCTTATTATATCTCTCGCCGTTTACGGTGTCGACGTCTTCACTGCAGTCAACCTGCTCGCCTTCTCGCGATGGGCTGGCCGAGTTGAGCCCGCCATTCCGTTCCATATCTCGCGATGGATCTTTGCCGCGTGCATTATCGCTTCGTTCGTTATCTTGGTCTACCGATGGATCCACGCCGTTCGGGCTATGCGCTCCGGTAGTATTACTCGCAGTTTCCTTGACCCGCTTGCCGTTCGTATACAGAGTTTCCGGCTTGGCAAGCAAGGTCGTGGATGGAGGAGATTCCTTGTCTTTGCGGAATTGACCAAGGATAGGAAGGCAGCTGAATATGTTGCTCTCTATGCGCACTTTTCTTTTCAATGTGAGTCTACTTCTTGTTTCGTACCATTCTTCTCGCACTTTGTGGCTACATACTTTCGTTTCATTTCTTCGCATGTTGCATGTTCCGTGCGCCTTATGATCTCGGGAAACAATACACCCTGAAGTTTGAAATTCTGACCAAATCTTTAGTCTGGATGAACACGGTCTTTGCAGATGGTCCACGTCAAGTCATCAATGCTATCACACTATACTCGGTCATGCAGATGGATCTTCTCCCTGGCGGCAAAAACGCAGCACAGGATGATGGCAGCTCTGGGGCCTCACAATTCTTCAACAATGTCAAGATCCTAGCTGAAGACAACAACCTTCAGGCTGTGGTCCTGTTCGGTATGCTGTTCACACTGGTCATCTGGGTGCTCTCCGTCCTGAAATTGATCTCGGCAATCGTACTCTACCTGATCTTCCTGTTCCATCATATCCCAGCCGAGGACGGCACTCTTTCAACATACTGCCGCCGCAAGGTTGGTCAGCGTCTGAAGCGTATCGTGCACCGCAAGAACAACAAGGCACTGGCAAAGGGACTCAAATTGCAGAACCGGACCCCTACCCAGCCCAGTCTGGTGAGCTCCGATTCGAAACCGACTCTGCCGTCTATAGCTGGCGACAAGGCACCCGCCTTCTCTGTGACTACTCTGTCGCGGAGCACCACTGCAACAACCTTGCCGCCTTATACCCGATCGAACTCGGCAGCAACCCCGGAACATAACCCAACACTGCCAAACTTGGACTTCGACACCAAACCGCCCCTGGTCCGAACCACCACCCAGTCCTCGGCGATGTCGGAATCAGCTTCCCTGACAGGCAACGCAGCAACAATGGGTTACAGTCCCCTCGACCGGCAAAACTCACCGGCTCCCCCAGTACCCCCATTACCATCCAATGTCCCACCAAGACTGAACACATCCCACTCTCGCCCATACCAGACGACGTTCACCCCAGCACCAGACTACACCTCACCGGACGCCGCCCAGTCAGACGATTACTTCCATCGCTCGCACACACCCGCGCACTACGACCCCTACGGTCCGTCACGAGACATCTACGCCGAAGACAACTACGAAGCGCACGAGTCGCCCTACTACGCGCAGGATCCATACTCCGCACGATCATATACGCCAGCCAGCACCGGCGCAACACCCGCTCCATACGGACGATCCATGACTCCGGCAAGCTACCGTCCAACACCACCACCCCAAACACAGACACCCGTCCAGCCTCCGCCACGGACATACACGCCCATGACCTCGACAACCCCTGCACCCCAAAACGGAGGCTACGCAGCCTTTAACCCGCCAATGCCTACCCAAACCCCCAGCCCCAGAATCGCGCTCAGAGGCCTCCCGCGCTTGCTGGGTATAACTTCAACCGGGCGAACACTGCGTCGCCGTCTGCTATGCACCGGGCTCCGCCTGGACATTCTTTAACCGATCCAATACTCATCAGTATTGAGATGGTTCGCGTTTTGTAAAACCTTTGTAGCCGTGCCGCTACGGGGGACTTTTCTTTTTTTTTTTTTTTTGCTATGATGAAAAACTAGAGAGCTGGCTCTTGATGACTGGATCACTTGTTTATACTTATGACTCGGGATTCTGTACATACCCTTTCACCTGATATCCTTTTTTTCAGCTTTGTTCCTATGATATGAATTGATTGATCTTTATCTCTTATCCACTTGTTTGGCTTGGTTCTATGAAGTAGGGTAGATCCAGAAATCGCTATTAGTCCCTGTAGATCATCATACGGTGTCTACCTTATATACGAAACACGTGTACTGCAAATTAATGAAAATCCTGATATTATACACATCTATACAACAGACATCCCAGATGTCCAAAGATTAAATGCACGTCCAAGGAAAACAACCCAAGTCCAGGATCCATCACCAAACAAACAGCCATCACCAAATCTTCTTCGCAATCATCTCATATCGCTGTACATGATCGATATTAAGCTCCCCATCTTTATCAATCTTGTCCTTCTCCTCCTTCTCCTTCTTCTCCTCCTTTTCTTTCAGACGGCGCAACCCATCAGGATCATCGGCATAAATCAACCGGCGCTTCTCCTCACCCACTTCAACCATCCCCCATCCCCCAACGCGCTGGCTACCCTCGACAGAGAATTCGCGGGCGCGGGTTGCAGCTGGTTGTTCATTTCCGGTATGGTGGTGGGAGGAGTGGGAGGAGTGTTTATTAGATTCAGCTTCGAGACCCTTAATCTTCCTATAGCGCGAGCGCGCAAAGGCGAGCAGGACCATTCCCAAGAGGAGTTTGAGAATGAGCAGGACGACGAATCCGGTTAGCAGGAGGACGGCAGTGAAGATGTGGACTGATTGTGCCGGAGACGGGATTGCGTTTTCGAGGAGGGTTCGGAAGAAGGCGCTGACGTGGGCGGCTGAGGCAGGGAAAAGGGTTGCGAGTGTTATTGGGGGTGCTGATGGGACAGGGGATGGGGCGTAGTGGTCGTGGATTGATGAGAGGGATGTTGCTTCCATTGCTGTTGAGGAGGGGTGTTGGGGGAGGAGGGCCGCTAGGAACATTTGATAGGTCTGTACTGAGACTCTGAAGAAGAGGCAGGACAGAGGGATGACTGGCAGACCGATGCGGCGGGTGAGATTTTGTTCGCCGAAGGCGTTGGTGTAGTAGTCTTTCGCTAGGACGTCCAGGAAACGACCGTAGATGGCGGGTCGGTTGTTGTTGAACTTGTTGATGTAGGCGTGTTTTAACCAATCCACCAGCATTTCGGAGCCTAGCACGACCAAGAATGGACCAAGTACCTGTGCCAAGGTTGGGATGAAGGAGTTCACGCTGTTTAGTGAGGACAAGATCGAGGAAGGGAAGAATGTGAACGCTTGAGGCAAGATGGAGGACGCAGTACGCGGAGGCGTAGACAAAGGTGTGCTGTTGGTACTTGTGGAAGGCTGACCAGGTAGACTAGATCCAAGACCAAAGCTTCCGACGAAATTGAAGGCGCCCGTCTCCACGATATTACGTGAAGCGATGATAGTAAGCATCAGCCATAGTTGGAATCGTTCCACGACATCTGCACAAGTAAGCTGGAAGAGATTCTCTTTCTCGAACTTCCGGAAGACGGTAGATTTGATCTCGACAAACTGGTTCGACAGCAGCAGCGTGATCAAGGCGTTGGAATACGAGTTCACAGCGACGTTGAGCGTCATAACCTGGTAGAACAGTGATGTGGCATGTGATACTGTGTAAACCAATGCCAAGAGGAACAGCCAGAATGGACGAATAACCTTGCTTCGGCCATCAGGACGGCGCTCGAGAGCCTCCCGCGAGAAGAGACACTCAAGGACATCCTGACCTATCGCAGCAAGGAGTCTGTCGCTGACCTCCAACACGTTGTAGATCACGTAGAGCTTAATAGCAGCTTGTCCACGAATCCAGTGGTACATTCGACTGGCGTCAAAGTACATCAGAACACAGCATGTGGCTATCATAAGCAAGCCTGTCAGAATATCGGCTTTGTCATCAGGAAGCAGCGCGGACGGCATAGACTTCTTTCGTCTGTGATTAAGCCTGCGGGATTCAGAGGTGCGATGTTTCTTTTTCGGCTCTGCTTGGAGCTGCCGAGGGTCTCTATCTGTGGCTGTGGCTGTCGCTTCTGGTCCCGCAGAAGAGCCTGGAGGCAAGCGAGGGGTGGCGTCCGGTTCACTTCCGCGTCTTTCGGGCTGCTCTTCTTTGGAAGCTAGGTTCCTTCTGCGCCAGACTCGTCCAATTCCACTGAGGACGAACTTCCAAATGAACCGGATCTCAGCGACCAGGTTCATGATCCATGACTCAACAAGAATATAGACAGCCTTGATGAAGCGCAAAGGCATGATTGTGAAGGAGTACAGCCATGCATCAAGACAGGCCAAAGTTCCAAAGCAAAGCACCTGCTCCAACATCGGAGGGAGCATGAGGAAGTTCATGAGCCTCTCGATCTTCACACGGGATGATTCATATGGAAACTCGTTCGATGCAGGGCGATGAATGTATAATGGCGAAGGCCGGCCAGATGCAAGCTCAAGTTGAAGATACGTTGGCAGCGAAACTGGAGGCAACGGAATGGACGATGGCACGGTCGGAGACAAAGGTTTTTCGGTGATCTGAGGTGATGCAATGAGGTGGCTCTTCAGGTCGCGATCCGGCGCGAGTTTATCCTGTTTCGAACGTGATGCCCATGTGTGGGCCAGCCTATCGTTGTTGGGTGTGGAAGGAGGTTGACGGCGCGAAGAGCTAGGGGTTGAAACCGTCCGTGATGGGTGCGGGCGATTGCGCACAGGTGGGTTCTGAATGTTCCGTGGGAAGACCGGACTCGCTGGCGCAGAGGCATCTACTAGCAGGTCTTCGGTAGGCCGATGTTTTAGCAGCCCGTCAGAGGAAGTTTGTTTCTCGCCAAGAGATTGAAGTACAAATTCTGGTATTTCAGATCGCGCGAAGGAGTTGTTCCCATGGGGGTTGTCGGACACCACTCGTCGACCAGTGTTCGTTTCCGGTGCTGCAGGACGGTAGGGTATCGACTCTGGCGAAGATGTCAGTTCCTGAATCTTCTCAGGAGACAACTTCATGACTTTGTCTTTATCATCGGATGGTCTGTTTTGCAGGTCATCAGACAGCTCAGCTAGGATGGCCTTGGTTTGTGGTCCATCGTAGACATCGACGACGGATAATCGACCAGGGGCCTTCCCGTCATCGGGCGACTGTTCAACAAGGATACCGAGGCCCTGCTCCGGCGATCCAGAATCTGCCATCTTTTGCGCACCGGAAAAGCGTCGTTCGGAATGACCGTTCGCATGGTATGTCCGTCGCTCCTTTATCCCATTGTCACGATCGATTCGGCGTTCGCCAGGCACGCCGTTGAACGATGTTGTCGAAGCGCCCGTCTCATTCCGTTCGTTCTCTAGGTCACGGGAGCTCAGGTGTGTCTCGGCCTTCGTGTTTCCGTTCGTCCGCCTTTCCACGCCATTCTCCGTCATCTTCCGCTGGCCTGACACAGCTTCGCTTTCCGCGGTTGGACTCATTTTGCCCCCTTCAAGTTCTTGCAACAAACCAATGGCGGATTCAAGATGTCGACAAGCTCTGGGTATCACGTCTCATACCAACAGTGAACAAGAATGTCCTATACGCATCATTCGTGTTCGGTCAGGGTCCCAGGTTGGTCGAGCTTTGTTTGAACGGGAGTTCAAAGAGATCGAGCTGTCGATCGCTGTAGTGTGGTTTACCGTTCTGGTGCAGGAGCTTGTGCAGCTTGCATTATCGGAAAGGGTTGTCGATCAGGGTTGTTCCGAACCCTTGTCAATGTTCGGGTCTGGGGGAAGATAAGGCGGATTATCTGGCAGGTCGCCGCACCGTTATCACCGCCTCAGGCAGAAGTGAGATCACGTGCCTGCTAGTCCAAAGTAGGAACTGTGACTATAGCGCCCATTGTAGAGATGGGCATGTGCCAAAAATACAATGGACATGAGATTCGTAGCCGTATTCCACACGGCTTTTAGACCTCGGCTGGCTTTTAGAAATAAATAGTACTACAGACAGCCCTTGGAACTAGTCCTCGCAGCTATATGTAATCAAATCTCAAGACTCGTTATTCAATCATATCTATGCCATAACTACAATGCATAAATGCAATCATAAATATACCATGCCGCAGCACGAAAAATCTCTAAATCTAGAAGTATCCAGGGAAAAGCCAGTCCAGCTTCTTCTTAGCCTCCGGGCTCCAGTGGGCCTGGGGAGTGCTGACACCGAACTTGATACCACCAGCCAAATGCTTGGCGTTGACCAAATCGGCGTGTTCGTCGCTAGCCAGGGCGTCAAGAACAGAAGTGACAAAACGGCGGGCGTTCTCAGCGTTGGACTTCATGTTACCCATGACCATCTCGACAGTCACGTCGGCGGAGTCGTGCCAGCAGTCGTAGTCGGTGGACATGCAGATCATCTGATAGGCGATCTCAGCCTCGCGGGCGAGCTTGGCCTCGGGAAGAGCGGACATGTTGATTACACTGCCGCCCCATGAGCGGTACATCTTGCTCTCAGCGCGAGTGGAGAACTGAGGGCCCTCTATAAAAAGCAAAAAATGGTTAGTGGTACTGATATCTAATCAACAGGGCGGGAACAACATACCCATGCAGACCAGAGTGCCGCGGTCGTGCAGGACAACACCGTCACCCTCAAGGCTGTGTCCGCACTCGCGAACCACCTTGGCCATACCCTCATCGAAGGGGTCACCGAAGGGAACGTGAGCGACAACACCACCCTCGAAGAAAGTCCATGGACGAACACCCTTAGTGCGGTCAATGACCTGGTCAGGAATGACAAAATCGCGGGGCTTGATCTCCTCCTGGAGACTGCCAACAGCGGAGAAAGCAACAATGCTACGGACACCAATGGAGCGCAAAGCGGCGATGTTGGCGCGGGCGGGAACCTCATGGGGAGCGATCTGGTGGTGGGCGCCGTGGCGGCTCAGGAAGGCGACGGCGACGACCTTGCCATTGTGCTTGCACTCGTGGTGCAGGATGGTGATGGGCGAGGAGGGGTTGCCCCAGGGGGTTGAGACGGACAGTGAGGCAACCTGGGTGAAGCCGGGGAGCTCGCGCAGGCCAGTTCCGCCGATGACAGCGATTGCGACAGAGCCTGTCAGATTTGCAATCGTCAGCTTTGGCAAGGTGGGGTGGTGAGGGGTAGGGAGAATTTCTGAAGGAGGCTGTTTACGTACCCTCGTAGGTGTTGGGGAGAGAAGCCATCCTGCGGGCTAGCTGCTTCGCAGATTCAATTCGGATGAATGGTTTGGAGATAGAAGAGAAGGAGCGAAAGACTGAGAGCCTGCGCATCTTGCGCCATCAATTTTCAGATGTTGCGGGCAAATCTCCGTCTCCGATTGGTTGGGAGTCGACCCACGTGCAGCGGGTTCCTGAGGCTGTCATTTGCCACTTTGGGTCTGTGATCTATATAAATCTGATCTACTGTTGGTTGATCGGGGGGAGGGGGGATCAACATACTTGGAGGATTAGTTGAACAGATGAAGGAAATATAAACATTCTGGAGTAAATACAATTTGGTATGCACACATGATTCACGCCGGCAGCCACTCATAATGATGAGGACCCTTATGAACAGGGCCGGGATCCTCACCTGGAATACCTGGCTTGTTGTAACTGTGAGCACCAAAGTAATCCATCTGAGCCTCCATGAACTTGGTTGGCAGACACAATCCACCCTCATACTTGAGATACTCCAAGGTCGCCGAAAGCGCCGGAATATACTGATCAGAATATGTTCCTTCCATAACAATTTCCTTCAAACCACGGAAGCTCTGGTGCAACTCATGCGCAACAGAATCAACAAACTTGGCATTCGTGAGTTCATTGTTAGCTGCAAGCGCTGGCTGCAGTAGATCCGCAATGTGGTCAGACTGGATGATACACCCAGCACGCCAGATCTGGAGACAGTCTCCCAACTTGACGTTCCAACCCTCGTCAATTGAAGCACGAGAAATCAACTCCAGGCCCTGACAGAACGACGCCAGGAAGGAACAGTACACAGCTTGGCGCAGGTTCTCAATGATTTCGGTATGATCACGTGTTCCCTCAATTGGTTTCGGCATGGGCATCTCTAACTTCTTGGCAGCACGCACTCTTTCCAGTCGATTGCCACTGGAGATCCGCAGGTAATGAGCAGCCGCTAGTGTGGGACAGGATACATGACGAGAAGCAGACTCCATAAGACACCAAAGTGGTGTACCTTCAGTGTTGTCATCATCCTGAACAACCTTGTCAAGCACATCGTCGATCACATATCCATCGTCACGACTGGCACCTTCACCCTTGTAGTCGCCCTGCGCAGTTCTCCTAGTATGAAGAATCTTGTCGCCAATATGAACGAGGAAGTTGTTTCGCAATTCACCAGACGAATTCCACTTGGCGAACACATCTCCAATCTTGCTATGCTCCATGCCAAGTCCATCATGCATGTAAGACCAAGCTTCCGCAAGAGTAGAGAGCATTCCACCCTCAATTCCATTGTGGACCATCTTGATGAAATGCCCAGAGCCACCGGGTCCCATCCGCTTTACGCACGGCATACCAGTCTTCGGATCCTTCGCAGCGTACGACTCCAAGAAAGGCATGACAAGCTCAAGTGCCTTGGCATCACCACCAGGGGACAAACTCGGTCCCCGTCGAGCAGATTGATATCCACCTGAAACACCCATTCCAATCCAGGTGACGCCAATAGCCTCGCACTCTCTCTGACGACGCTCGGTTCTGCGGTAATTCTCATTTCCGCCGTCGAGGATGATATCACCGTGTGTGAGATCGGGCTTGATCATCTGAAGAACTTCATCTGCAGGTGAACCGTGGGTGATAGAGAACATGAACAGCTTCCGGTCAGACTTGCCCTCGAGGCTCTTGGTGAATTCATTGATGTCGTAGAAGCCCTGGACTTTGCCTTTTATGTTGTGGTCTCTCTTTGCGTAGTCCATGACTTGGTCGACGTTCTTTTTCACAACATCCCATACTGAGACTTCAAGGCCTAGCTCGGCGAAGCGGAGGGTCATCATGGAGCCCATGTTGCCGGCTCCGACAACGCCGATACTTTTGATGCCCTTGTGGGAGCTGGCAGGCGGCATTGTGGCTAGGTGTGATGATTGTTCTTGCGTGTAGATGCTATATTTTTTTTTGAATATTTCCTGGGTAAGGATCAACGTTTATACAAGCGAAATAGAATTCTTCAAAAATATCTAGCTCTACTTTGGCTCTTCTTGAACAAATGCGTTGTGGCAACGGGGCTCTGTTCCGGGATATCGTCAACTTGTAGTCAGATACGCCACAGATAGTAGTTACCACACAGTATTGCCTTCATTTCGCCCACGGCGGTATAACGCCCAACGACAGGCAAAAAGAGGTGACTACAATGCTTGGAAATACCCAATTGAAGTAGATGTCGTTCTGATATGACATGGATCTGACGTTACAAGCCACAAAAGAACAACATTGGATCACGATGAACACCCAGTGAAGCATGCAAGGCAAAAAAGAGATAGGTCAAGGCAAATCTATCTAATGGTAGTAACTTCGATTTCTGAGGATGATCACTGGCATCTTGAGCACCCTCAAATCAATTCGCCGAATAGATCAACACACAAAAGAAACAAAAAAAATGTCCCAAATCACCTTTGACAGCCTCCAAAATATCCCTCTCTCCTACGCCTCATGCTCAATCGGTTGCAGTCCTACCCATACACTCCCTCGCAGACTTGAAGCCATCAGCGCCGCCGGCTTCATAGCGATCGAGCTATCCTTCCCCGACATCCTAGAATATGCCACCCAATTCCTCGGCCGCCAAGTCGCCCCGAACAACTACCCCGAGTTACTCCCAGTAGCAGGCGAGATCCGCAAGCTATGCAAAGCAAACAGGCTATCAATCATGATGCTGCAGCCATTCTCGAACTTCGAGGGTTGGAGTAAGGGTGCGGTAGAGCGGGAAGAGGCGTTTGCCCGTGCGACAGGCTGGATGGAGATTATGGATGTTGTCGGGACAGATTTGTTACAGGTAAACATAACCACCTATTTTCAAGTTATAGAGTATCACCGGCAAGAAAGTTGAAGGATGCAGACTAATAAATCTTAAATCTTAAACAGGTCGGAGCAACAGATACACCCAAAGAACACCCCAACTTCAAATGCAACAAAGAAGAAATAATCTCCGACCTCCGCACCCTCTCGGACATCCTCTCAAAACGCAATTACCGCCTCGCCTACGAAAACTGGTGCTGGTCCACCCACGCCCCAGACTGGAAAAGCGTATGGGAAATCGTGCAAGCGGTCGACCGCCCAAACTGCGGTCTATGCCTCGACACATTCCAAAAAGCAGGCAGCGAATGGGGCGACCCGACTACGTCCTCAGGGATAATGGAAGATGTATCAAAATCCGAGCTGAAGAAGCGGTTTGACGCGAGCTTGGATGAGCTCGCCCGGACCTTGCCCGCGGATAAGATCTATCTGCTGCAGATCTCGGATGCGTATAAGGTTTCGCCGCCATTGGACGATAAGACTGTTGGTGGATTGAGAGCGAAGGGTCGGTGGAGTCATGATTATCGGCCTATGCCGTATAGCGGCGGGTATTTGCCTATTGAGGATGTTGCTAGGGCTGTTTTGAGGACTGGGTTCCGGGGGTGGTTTTCTATGGAGATTTTTGATAGTGGGCCGCAGGGCACTGGGAAGAAGTATGATATGGGCTCGTTTGCTAATAAGGCTATGAAAAGTATGCAGGCTTTTTTAAAGAATTGTGCTACGGATTGAGGGGGTAAAGAGAGAGTGTGTGTGGGCTGGGTGTTTGGGTGGAATGGAACGATATACTCTGATTTTGTTTTAACTGGTAATAATTGATACATGGAATGGTGTCTTAGAGACATGGATACATTTGAGATTCCTTGGAATCTTGTAGAGACAATTTGAAAGAACGCCGGGTGGGATGCAAGATTGACGCCAATGAGATCATAAAGCATGCGATGTCAACTGAAAAGCGTGGGATCCACTCCTTTAGTTGGCGTTGCTGGGGTAGGCAACGGTGTATGTGGGAACATACTCCTCCTTGATGGAGCGCAAGCTGACGAAGCGAGACATGAGGTTGGCACTGCCAGCCTTGTCATTGGTACCACTGGCACGGGCACCACCGAAGGGCTGCTGGCCGACAACGGCACCGGTGCTCTTGCAGTTGATGTAGAAGTTACCGGCAGCATTGCGGAGAGCCTCGTCGGCAACCTGGATGGCCTCACGGTCCTGAGCGAAGACGGATCCGGTCAGACCGTAGTTACCAGTGGTGTCGATCTTGTCACAAATCTTGGTGAAGTCGGCCTCGGTGGCGTCGTTGTAGGAGTGCAAAACCAGGACGGGACCGAAGAGCTCACGGGACAGGAGAGGGTGGTCCGGGTTGGAGGTGCGGTAGACTGTAGGCTGGATGTACCAGCCCTTGGAGGAGTCGTAAGATCCACCAACCAGGAGCTCGAGCTCGGGGTCGTTCTTGGCCTCATCGATGACGCCAGCCAGCTTGTTGAAGGAGCCCTCGTGGATGACGGGGCCGCAGAAGTTGGTGAACTCGGAGGGCTCACCGATCTGGATCTTCTGCACCTCAGCGACAACCTGCTGGACGAAGTCCTCCGCAATGGACGAGGCGATGTAGGCGCGGGAAGTGGCGCTGCACTTCTGGCCCTGGAACTCGAAGGCACCGCGGACGGTCTGGACTGCGGCGTTACGCACATCGGCCGACTTGTGGACCAAGTGGAAGTTCTTGCCACCGGTCTCGCCAACAATACGAGGGTAGCTACGGTACTTGCCGTCCGCCACACCCTGGGAGATCTTGCCGTAGAGCATACGGAAGACGTCGGTGCTACCGGTGAAATGGAGAGCAGCGAATTCGCGGCTGTTAAGGACAGTGCTGGTGACCTCCTCGGCCTCACCGGGAACAAACTGGATGACATCCTTGGGGAGACCAGCCTCGAGGAGGATCTGGTGAACGAGCCAGTTGGAGGCAATGGCTGAGGGCGAGGGCTTCCAGATGACGACGTTACCCATCAGAGCAGGGGCACCAGCAAGGTTACCACCAATGGCAGTGAAGTTGAAGGGGCTGATGGCGTAGACGAAACCCTCGAGAGGGCGGTACTCAAGACGGTTCCACACGCCGGGAGCGTGGTGAGCGGGCTGCTGGGCGTAGAGCTCCTCGGCATACTTGACACCGAATCGGAAGAAGTCGCAGAGCTCAGCAGCGGAGTCAATCTCAGCCTGCCAAGCGTTCTTTCCCTGTCCGTGCATGGTCAAGGCCATAATATCGTAGCGGTACTTGGTCGCGATCAAATCAGCGGCCTTGAGGAAGATGCTGGCACGCTCGGCGAAGGGGGTATTAGCCCAGGACTTGCGAGCTGCGAGAGCAGAGTCGATGGCAGACTGGACGTCGGCCTTGGAGGCATTCGAGTACGTTGCCAGAGGGGCGTGGGAAGCGGGGTTAGTCTGGGTGAAAGTCTGAGAGCTCTTGATCTGGACCCCATGTTAGGACTGTTGTTTTTCTTCAACATACAGAGCCAATGCTTACCTCCTTGCCAGCAACGACCAAAGGAACATTTAAAGGCGCCTTGGACTTGTATGAGGCCAATGCGTCCTCAAGGCCCTTGCGATCGGGAGAACCGGGAATATAGTGTTTCTAAACATTAGATTGTCAGAGGCGGCATCCAAGTAATTTCTTTGAAGATGGAGCTCACATTAGGCTCATTGTTGATCTGGGGAACCTTGAAAGTGGCATAGGTGCCCATAGCACGCGAGCTGGAGCTTGGAATGCGGCATGCGAGCGATTGCACGCGCGAAACGGGCGCGCGGGCGCGCAGAACAGCAGATTGCATCATGATTGCTTTTTTGGAATAGATGAAGATTGCAAATATTCCGAGCTCAAAGATGTTAAAAAGAGAGAAGAAAAGAGCTGAGTTGGAGAAGAAAAGTCCACGCGGGGTATGATGTAGGCCGGCTACTACCGGTCTCCCCTGCACCTCATAGCTCCAACCAGAGTCCGGTGGGGCATTGAATATTCCGGCCAATCAGATGGGGCCGGCAAGCGTCCCGGGTGGCACAACCGGGCCGGAATTGACGTAGAGTCAGTGCCGGGAAAACAATCAAGCAGACACATTCGACATTACAACTGTATACAATTAGTCAAGGGATTATACCCCCGCAAAGCAAAGATAGAAAGATTGTACAAAGATACATGAAGAAAGATAAGATTATTGGGCCTATATCAGGCTATCTCATATTTATTCCAGTTCCCCACTTAAGACCCACCAAGATCTTTGATATCTCAGATCTATGCAATCCACCACCAAATCTTCTCCAACCAGTTGCGTGGGATTGGCTCAATTTCCTCCTCAGTCAATCGGTCAATCTCTTCTTTTCCAGTGAAGATATCAATATCTGACGCCTTTGTCATCCATGGAGTCTTGTACCACAGCTTATGACAGAAGTACAAGATGAAAAAGATCACAAAGACAATATAGGAGACTAGGAAACTGGCCGCAGTAAACTGTCCAGGGAAAAATACTGCATAGCCATTCGTGATGGCCAGCAGGGACACAAGCAACATGGCATAATAAGCGCCGTATGGCTGCAAGGGAGTCTTGAAGGGCCGGGACTCGAGCAGGCCGTGGAAACTCAAAGCACTGCGGAATCGCTAGACAAAACGTTAGTAATGTGATTCCGTATGCTACTATCAACGGGGATTCCGTACCAGGTATGCAACTCCGACAAAAACCCAAGAGATGAAACCACCAACCGTGGTGATGTTGGTCAACCAGTAGAACACCTGCGATCCCGAGCTGGAAAGGTTGAGGAAAGAAAGCAGGCCAATCGCCCAAGTGACGAGTACTGCATAGTAGGGAACACCGTTCTTAGTGCATTTAGTGAAGATCTTCGGAGCCTGTCCCTCACGCGCCAGCGAGTACAGCGTTCTAGATCCAGCGTACACCCATGAATTGCCCGATGAAAAGGCCGAGATAAGAATCGCAGCATTAATAACATGGTTCAATCCCTCAATTCCGGCATTTTGGATACCAATCACAAAGGGACTGGCGCCAGCGCCTGATCCACCGCTAGCAACTCCCTGCAGCAGGTTCTTGTCATTGTACGCCACCATAATACCAATAACCAGGGATCCGAGGACGTAGAAAGCAAACAGTCGGTAAATGAAACGGTTGGTAGCTTTGGGAATATTGCGACGGGGCGAGGTGGCCTCTCCTGCCGCGGTGGTGATCAATTCCGGGGAGAAAATAAACGAGAATCCAGATTTGATCAATGCTGTCCAGAATGCCAGGAATCGACTGCTGTTGCGGTTAGGGACAAGATATGGTTTTGCGAAGGCGCCGGGGGTTCTCCAGTATCTAAACCCTACTCGGTCGTGCTTTGGGCCTCCGCCGAAGAACAGTACAACACCAAGGATGATGAGGCCAATAATGGCGATAATTTTCAAGGATGCGAACCAGAATTCGGCTTCGCCGTACCAGGAGACAGCCACGATGTTGAGGATAAGAATGACTGATTATTGGTTAGAGGATGTAGATGTACACGATCAAAGTAGTGAGTCCTTACCGACGAGGATAACTGCTATCCATACTCCTATACTGACAGGAGACGGCCAATACTCAATCACTAGACTTGCGGCGGTGACCTCTGATGCTAAAAGCACAGAGAATGAATACCTGTAACATTGATCAGCTTTGTGTTGTACACAGACGCAAAGATGAAGTAGTTACCAATAGTTCCATCCTAAACGTAGGAGTTAGCATCTCCTTGAGCGATCACTTGAGCCGAGTTAAAACATACCAACAGCAAATCCCAAACTGGGCTCCGTAAAACGAGTAATGAAGTAAGGCACAGAAACACCCGGCACGGGGAGGTAGGTGGTCATTTCACCTAGCATATTCATAACAAAATACACAATTGTGGACATAGCAATATATCCCATGAGTAAGGGAGCTGCCACATGTTAGATTGATATCGAACCCATCTCACGCACATAGATGCTCACCGGGGCCAACCGTGGACAGTGTCTGGCCACTGCCGACAAAAAGACCAGTTCCAATGCAGCCACCTAGGGCGAGAAATTGAATGTGACGGGAGTTTAGACCGCGGTGAGTATCGGAGGGAGGCAAAGTGGCCACTTCGCCGTAGAAGGGCTTGGGTTGAGCTGCATCGTGTGAGGTGGAGTAAGGCCTCTTCTCGAGATCTGGGGGCGAGGGCTCGCCCATTGTAGACAGGTTATATTGACAAGACACTAAATTAGTGTTGGAAAGTCTTGTCTGGGAGAACGAGAAGAGAAAAATGAGAGGAAATTTTGAAGCAATGAAAGACGGGACGCGAGTACTCAGATAATGGTACATGCTAGGTACCAGAGCTTATTGTTGCAACTATACGCGAGGCTGAAATAGAATAACCTCCCACCAATCAATGTCCGAATCGTTTATCTCGCATTAACTATCTATAATCATGCGCCCCGGACAGGACCCCAAATTGATACTGTACAGTAGACAAAAACGGTCAGAGGGGGAGTCCCAATGGGGGTAGATCGTTGTCTCGGGGCAAACTCGCTCTAGATAGTCAAGTCTCGGATTAACGTCTTCATCAGGCACGCCATGTGTATAGAAAAGCGCGCTATTGTGGGACGCACGAGTAGTTGTCTAGTGATGATCCCGCTTAATCAGACCCACAATGGGCTTTTCGGGTCTAGTTTGGTCTCGGTGAGCTTCCTATCGATATTTTAGCCGATAGCATATCTCCCCCGGCCAGAATTGTCATGCTATGGTGTAATGGCTTTCTTGGGGGTGAATGGTGGCGGGTATGCCACTAGTGCCTTCTAGCGTCCTTCGAGAATAACTTTAAATTGAATACTAGCGCCTTCTCCGATTGGCTGATGATGTAACCTTGCGCCTTGAAAGGTATCACGTGGGATCGTCTGGGGGAATCAGATATCTGGGGTAAACAGGTGGCTATCCACATTCTAATTCAACTAGATGCATGGAAGTCCAAAAAAAGCCGGGGATTGTAGGTTTCTCTTTGTCATACTTCGGTCTAACAACGGAACTGCCAGCCGGCCCAAGTCGCGTGACACTGCGCCTGCAGAATCTGAAGTGCACCGGGCCGGTCAGTGCTTATCGGTGGTCCGTGCAGTATCAACCCGGCCCGACCATATTCACTGTGATCGATGAGTTAAGCGCAACGAATACGAGTCTGAGGATGTGCGTTCGCACGGATGCTTGGATTGTAACTCCTGGCGCGATCGTACCTGAAGCCATGGTAAAGGCCCGGTTTGCCGGGTTCGTTCAAGGCTTTCGGTTCGAAGAGATTATGAGTAATAGAAATCTATGATAGCACAATACCCTTGAAGTATTCTCCATAATGTTCCTCATGAGGATCTTGAAGTGGCTCTCCCGGTCCCCGTTACCGTACCGGTGCCTTGCGGTTGCCACCGGCCCTCCAAATGCGCTCCAAAGAAATGTACATAACTTATCTACAAGTCAGCCACCTTTCAACTGTGGCTCTTCTCCTTCCTTACCAAATATCTCTTGAATACCTTCACCTTCGTTGCCTCCCCATCTACCTAGCTATCAACCACTCCCGCTTCACATAAAACAGCCATGAAAGCTGCATCTTCCATGCGGCCACTTAAGGCGGCCGCCCAATCTAAGAGATTCGTCAGCGGCACAAATAACTCCCGCTCGTCAGTCGCCGCAACCAGTCTCTTGAACCCCATTTCACGATCCACGCCTCCCCAACCACGCAAAGCGCTGGCCGCGCCCTTGGCTAAACTGCCCCTTTCATCTGTGTTGCGCTCTTTGCTGGTGCTCTCTGTCTCATCTTCTACTCTCCTTCTCAAGCCATGCATCTACACTCTTTCGCTATTGGCACACCCCCGCTCTGCCCTCTGGGATGTTGCTAAGAACCCGTTGCTGAACATGCTGGTCAAGCACACCATTTACAAGCAGTTCAACGCAGGCGAGAACAAGCTCGAAGTCCAGGAGTCGATCCGTAAGATCAAGGACCTTGGATGTCGCGGTGTTCTGCTCGGATATGCTCGTGAGGTCTTAGTCGGCGAGAATGACGATGCCGCCTACGATGCCAAGGCTGCTCTGGCTGAGATCCAAATGTGGCTCGATGGAACTCTGGCCACCGTCGACATGGCTCAGGCCGGAGACTTCGTTGCTCTTAAGTTCACTGGAATGGGTACCGATGCCCTCCGCCTTCTGCAGAAGCAGACCATGCCCACCGACTTCATGGACGAGTCGATCCAGCGTGTCTGCGACCTGGCCATCTCCCGCGGCGTGCGTCTGCTAGTCGACGCCGAGGAACAAGCTGTGCAGCCCGGTATTGAAGCCTGGATCATGAAGTACCAGAAGTACTGCAACTCGCAAACCCCCGGTCGCGCCATCTTCTACGGCACGTACCAGGCCTACCTTCGCTCCACCCCCGCCACTCTGGCCAAGCACCTCGAGATCGCGCGCGCCGAGGGATACACTCTCGGCGTCAAGCTGGTCCGCGGCGCCTACCTGAAGACCGAGCCCCGCCATGTCATCTGGGCCGAGAAGGAAGACACCGACCGCTGCTACGACGAAGTCGTCGAGGCTCTCCTCACTCGCAAGTACAACTCCATGCTCCAGCCCCCCACCAAGGAAACCCCCACCGAACTCCCTCCTGTCAACGTCATCATCGCCACCCACAACCGCGAGTCTGTCCGCAAGGCTCATGCTCTGCGCATGGAGCAGGCCACCCGCAACGAGGACTACGGTGTCGATCTCAGCTACGCTCAGCTCCAGGGTATGGCCGATGAGGTCAGCTGCGAGCTGCTTCAAGGATTTGAGAGTGCCGAGTCCACCGTCGGTGCTACCCCTATGAATGCTCCCAATGTCTTCAAGCTGTTGACTTGGGGCTCCGTCAAGGAGTGCATGGGCTTCTTGCTCCGTCGTGCTGTCGAGAACACTGAGGCTGTTGGCCGTACCAAGGACTCCCAGGTCGCTATGATTGCCGAGTTGAAGCGTCGCTGCGGCTTCGGTGGAAGCCAGTAATTCCTGGTTTTTGTTATCCTGATTTCTTGTTATAACTGGAGAGTGCTTTAGCCTCTCCTTGCATCAGCCCCCGCGGGGTGCTTTATGTCTGCGCATAGCTGGGGTGCATCCTCAATGGCGTTTTGGTTTTGAGAATTTTCCATAATGAGCAATGATATCAATCTTCAATATTGAATTGTCTGGTTAAGTTGTAATCGAGTAGAATCGTGCGAAGGAAAGAGATGTTCCGAGTGTAGTCCCCGCCGGATCGACTTGCCCCTCATAGCTCTCGGAAGCACCATCCGTTATAATCTGTCTATCTACACCTGCAATTCCCTTAAATAGCCGATCCCCGCAACTATCACTTTCGGAGATCACCACTCAGGTCTTTTCTTTTACCTCAAACCAATACATCAATACCAACGCAACCACCACCATCACCACCATCCACCAAAATGCACATCCTCTCCGAACCAGATGTCGCCCACATCTTTCGCAGCCTAACCCAATCCCAATGCCAAACCTTCATAAGCACCCTAAGCAATGCCCTGGTATCCATAACCCGCGAACAAAACCCCGAAACACCGGCATCAGACAGATTAATCCACCAACCCCTCCGCACAGTCTTCGCCACGAAAGCAAACAACACATGCATCTTCATGCCAGTCTCCGACACCGAAACAACAGGCATAAAAGTAGTGACAGTCAGCGAGACTGGCATCCAAGGCGTGATCAACGTCTTCAACCCAGAGGGCCGCTTACAAGGTCTCCTCGCTGCAGCTGAAGTAACAGCTTTCCGCACGGCGCTGGCGACGATGACATTATTCGTGCGTTGTACGACCATCCGGAAGGATAATGTTGTTGTGTTTGGATGTGGCCGGCAGGCGGAGTGGCATGCCAGGCTTGCGTTGTTGTTGTACCCTGAGCAGATTCGTTGTGTGACGTTTGTTAATCGGGGGCGGGGGCGGTTGGAAGAGTATAAGAGAGACGTGGTTGATGAGTTGAGACAGCGATATCCTTCTGTTCTCTTTAATACGCTTGCTAAGGAGGGTGTTGATGGTTATGAGGAGAGGCTAGGGGAGCTGCTTGGTGCTGCTGATGTTATCTTTAGCTGTACGCCTGCTGTGCAGCCGAATTTCAGGTTTGAGGTTCTGGAGGCTAGGCCTAAGCAGCGGTTTATTTCCCTGATTGGGTCTTATAAACCTCATATGCGAGAGGTTGATGCGCGGACTTTGCTTTCTGGGGGAAGGTCTATGTTGATTCTAAGGCGGCTTGTTTGGAGGAGGCTGGGGAGTTGATTGAGGCAGAGGTTGGGGAGGAGCAGTTGGTTGAAATGGGGGATCTTTTGGGGGCTAGAACCGGGGTTATGGAGGAGACGGTTGATGTTCCTGCTGGGTGTAATGTTGTTTATAAGTGTGTCGGTATGGGGTTGATGGATCTTGTTGTTGGTAAGAAGGTTCTTGATGTTGGGGCTGAGATGGGACTTGGGACGCATGTTGCTGGGTTTTAGTGGTCTGTGGCTTTTGTTTTATTGTTTATATGGGTTACTTGCCTAGGTCCGTGGATATATTTTGTGCTTGCGATGCATAGCCTATAGATATATGTTCCTCTAGCCTACTACATTTTAACGACATACTAGCCACCACAGTGGTTTCAGACACCGTTTTGTACACAAAAATGGCCCAAATAAATGGATTGACGGAGTAGACATGTATATATCCAATCTTCTTTGGACAGGAAACCCCTGTATGACCCTAATTCGCTATATTTCCCTACTCAGATCATGCTCAGCGTATATTTTGACTTTTTTTCTTGCTTTAAAATCAATGGTTAAGTAGGCTTAGAAATTATGCAATAACAAGGCAATTATAAGGTGTCATAGAAAGATATCATTGGAGAGAACACCGAGCCCGTAATTAAGGCCGGAGTCGGGGGAACGACATGCGGGGGTCGCTTTATCGATAAGTTCGGACTTCGACTCGCAACTTTCTCCTCCTATCTCCGCTCTCTTTTTGTCCAACCCAAGCTCACCTTGTTTCTCCCCCGAACCCAACTCCCTGTGCATATCCGCTCCTCTCTCTCTGCGCAGACGATGTTCCGACCGCTGTTTCGCTGATATTGGCAATGGACGACTCGACTTCGACGCCCGCGCAAAAGCGCCCTCGTGTCGCCGAGGAAAACCGCAAACGAGCAGTACGAGCGTATGTCCTCGTCCTAACCCCTGGCTTTTTCGAATTACCGTCTAGAACTATGAAGCGGCTAACAAACCGGGCCTGCGCAGGTGCGATGGATGCCGCCGGGTGAAAGAGAAATGCGAAGGTGGTGTGCCATGCCGCCGATGCGTACGATACAGCCGCCAGTGCAATTTCACACATATCGATCCCAATGAGAAGAGTCGGTCAACTTCCGCCTCGTAAGTCGGGCCTCGTGACCTTTTCCCGTTCTGCCGTCCAGACCGCTAATGTCACCGCAGGCTCTTGGATCGGGCGGCCGCGCTAAGTCGCAATGAGATCGCCGAAGCAGAAAGGGTACATATTATGGAGCGCTTGCTCTCACATTATATGCCCAACATCAGGTTTGATATCCAGTCTTTGCGCCAGGCTGCGGAAGACTTGAAGAGCAAACATCGTGATGCCGGATCGGATGCGGTTTCTACGAGGGCTGATCCTAATGAATTGGAGGATCTCGCCATTGATGAAGAGGACTTTACTATCAAGGCCATGCCTGATAATACAACCCGTAGGTTGGCTCTTATATTCACAGAAGATTCATCTGCTGACCCCATTCGTTAGAATATTCTGGAGAATTTTCATATCTTAACTTCACAATGAAGATACGGAAAAAATTGATGAATGGATGAAGACAGCGGCACCAGAAGTAGGTCTTATGAGACCTTTGACGAGTCCGAGCCAGCCATACTAACCCGATGCCCTAGGCGACTTCCGAAGTCGAGCCATTTGAGGAACGATGGCGAAGCACACAGCTTCAATCTGGGTCGCCTTTGATATCGTCGTCGATTACCTGTCTTCCGCCGCGATATGTGGCCGACTTCCTTGTTCAGATCTTCTTCAAGTATGCGCAGACCAACAATTTCTACGTTGAGGAAGACTGGTTACTTGAGAAGTTGGCTATTTGCTACAACGATCCTGAAAGCTTGTCGTCTGATGATGCGGGTGCAGTATGCTCTATTCTAATGGTACTCGCGGTCGGCACACAATTCGCCCATATGGAGTCATCCACGCCTGTGAATTGTTTGCCCTCGGGGTCTACTGCAAACCAGGACCATCACTTCTCTGAAGATGAAGTTGGCCTGACATTTTACCAATTCGCCTCGAAGCTCCTCCCAGATCTCATTGCTACTGCATCCGTCCGCAGTGTACAGGCTTGTTTACTCATTGGAACATACCTCCTTCCATTGGACACATCTGGGCTATGCTACACATATTTCGGCTTGGCGCTGAAGCTAGCAGTTCAAAATGGAATGCATAGAAGATATCATGGCGAGGGCCTATCAGCCCGGATGATTGAAGTTCGGAACCGGGTCTTCTGGACAGCTTATACCATTGAAAAGTATGCTACCCCTCAGACCCTCAAGTTGTGTACGTACTAACTATTTCTATCAGGCGCATAAGCATTCTACACGGCAGACCATCTTCCTTGTCAGATCCCGACGTTGATGGCCCACTCCCGGTTGATTTCCCTGGTCTCATGCCTGCACACCAGGTCTCAAACCATACGAACATGGTAGCACTGATCACGTTGACCTTAAAACTTGGGCAGGTCTCGAATGAAATGTAAGGCTCTCATATATTTTGATCGAAGTATGGATCTGACACATTGAGCAGTACTTCCTTGCGAAAGTACCGCAGAGGCCAACAACAGGATTGTCTCGAACGACTGCTCAATCTCCGGAAAAATCTTGTTGATTGGTGGGCAACTCTCCCAGAGGAAATCAGCTGCCGCGATTTGAATCCCACAGGACCGCTGTTTAGGTCAAATGTACACCTCAAGCTTGATTACTGTCTTACTCGCGTTTTCATCGGGCGGCCGTTCCTTTTCAGCAACATCAAGGGTATTTACCAAACACCTTCCCAAGCACCACCATTCAAGGGGTCTTCTGGTCTGTCCAAGAACCGTGCAACTCTTGTGACGGATTGCGTGGAAGCGGCTTTGGAGATCATTGACCTGTGCCGCTTACTCCGTGATGAGAAGGGTCTCGCACGAGCCTCATTTACAGAGTTCAGTTCGTGCCGTGCAGCATTGCTGGTCATCCTGGCACAAGGCCTAACCAAACGCACAGAGCGACTTGGAGCTGCTCTTGAGCAGGGCATATCCCTCATCAAGATTATGTCCATGGGCGTCGGCTCAGCGCGCTCAGCAGTCAGCGTGATCGAAGCACTCGAGCGAGCCATCCGCCGACTTGAAGCATGGAGCGAGACGCACCCCGACATCAACAACGGGGGTGGTGTAGAATCAGCCTACGACCGATTCAAAAACTGGGAAATGCTCTGGAAGGCCGGCCCCATCTCACCATCTACCTTCGCCTGGCAACAACAGGAGGCTTATGGCTCCAGCGACCAGAACGTCCCACAGGGCATACCCCCCATGCAACACCGACGATTCCGGCACCCATCAATTCCAATGTATCCATGACACCACCGTCGGCGGTGATGGTCGGCAACGGCGCCGTGACAACCCCCGGCCAGCCAGACCAGGACATTGAAAATGACGTCCCGGGCAGTGTTCTCTCCGACACGTTCTCGATCTCGCAGCAGTCACTTTCGCATATGCCGCACTTTGGCTTTGATCATTTCGTTTCCAACTTCCCGCAGGAGCTCGGCGAGTTTACTGCCATTCCTTGCTTTGAACCTGATGCTCAGAATGCTAATGGTATGCCTGGCGCTGAGATGAAGGCTCCTAGCGGTGAGCCTGATCCGCACTGGTTGCAATTCATGAAAGGTTGATTACTGTACTTGATTTGCGTTGGGTTGGACTTTGTCTTTGGATTCTGATTTACTGTTTATACCATTTTGCGACTGCTAATGCTGTCTTCCTTGTTGAATCTGATGTCTGGCGAGATATATATAAGGAATCGAATGCTGATTATTTCCGATCCAGTAAATTCATAACGTAACGTTCCTTTTTAGGCTTAACAAGAGGAAGGAAACAATACCTTAAATGGGCACCCAATATCTGTTCTTCCTTATGCCAATACTTCAATTCCTTCATAAATGTACATAAATGTACAAAATAACCGTCCTAATCGAACGTAACCTTCTTTCCTGCGAACGCAGCGGTAGTAGCCTGCTCCTTGGCCTTCCGCTTGGCCTCCCAAGAAGGATGCAATGGACCTTCATCCTTCTTCGGCGCAGGCTTAGGCTTGCCTGCAGGAGCATGCCCATCATGCCGATTCTGAGACCGTCCTGAGCCACCACCAAATCCACCACGTCGACCACCTCTTCCTCCTCTCACACCATCAGTAGCTCCCCGCTTGGTATCCCAGCCATTGTCTCGGCCACCATACTTCTGAGCCATCTGTTCATTCTTGACGTGGTTTGCTGCCGCGCCAAACTTTTTCTCCCACAACGCCCGACGTGCCTGCTGGCCCATGCGGTTCTTGCGCTGGGGCTTCTTTCCAGATGTTTCCTCATCGTCCGTGGCTTCTTCTGAACCGGACCAGTAGCCGCCCATCATTAGAGATGGAAGGAATGTTGTATCCTTCACCGGTGCAGTCGAGCCCTTGGCTGCCTTTGTTTTCTTGGGCGGTGGAGAACCCTCCGTTGAGAAGTCCGGTGATGGAGACCGGGAGATAGAGTTGGAGATGTCATCTACGTTGGAATCCTCTTCTTCGTTATCATCGTCATCATTGTCACCGGATTCCTCATCGGCCTCATCCTCAGAGTCCGAACCAGGAGCAAGTCGCGAGTTAAATTGTGAAAGATCCTCGCTTCCAGAGTCATCTCCATCAGAGATCTCGAGGTCACGGGAGTCCTGCTCGCCGCGCCGAGGTTTTAACGTCGCTCCTTCAGATTCCGAGTCCGATATGTCATCTGTTCGCACCTTTTTCGGCGCGGCCTCCTTCTTGCCATCCTGCTTGCCCTCCTTTCCAGCTGGCGCATCGTCCACTCTCAGCAGTTTCCGAATACCGGCCATAAGGCCCGGCATCTCCTTCTGTACGGGTGTAGATTTGAATAGGCGCGCGAGGATATTGGCCTCCGCGGTATTCTTCGGTCCATCCAGTGGCACTTTCTTGACTTCCTGGAACTCGCCAAATGTCCGCGTCTCTGCAATGCGCTTGGTCTTGATAAGTTGTTTGAACAGGTATTTTTCGGAAACGGTGTGGTAGTTGAGTGTCTATTCAAATGAGACGACATTTTTAGTTATCAAGGTCTTCATGAAGTATCAAACACCATTGTTAGAGCTCGTGCGAATAAGACCATACCTTCAAAGCTTCAATCTCCTCCGCCAACCGCGCCAATGTCTTCATGTCCTTCTGCGACTTCGCAGTCTTCTCTCGCCGGCTGAGCTTCTGTCGCTCAAATCCGCGCGACGTCTTCAGCGCGCGAATCAGGACCTGCACTCCGTTCTCGAACATTTGCGTCAAGCGGGTGCCGTGGATCGACATTTTGCGGGTGTCGCTCGACCGCGCGGGGCCGTTGAGCTCGGCGAGCTTGCGTTTCGGCATGTTGAGTGGTTGTGAGAGAGTATGGGTAGAATGTAGTGCGAAGGAAAAGTAGAGGAGATTATAGCGGTGGAAAATCGAGGGCCGTTCGACGGTCGCGGATCGTTAGGTCGTTCGATGTTGCCGTAGCTTAATTTTTTTCTAGGCGGAGCCCGCGCCAAGACAACTCCAATGAGATCGCGAAATCTATCATATTTGAATGGACCAACGATTGTTGGGCTGGGTTTCGTATTTGATCGAATGATTTACTGTAGTACACTCGGACTATTTTCATAGTCTTGTAAGACTAGACTACGTTATATGTTGTATTACGTATTCTCTTTTTTGCTTGGAACAAAAAGACCATCGATTAAACAGACGGATATGTACATACAGACATGGCAAGGAAAATGATACGCATACAGCCCTCTTCTATTTCTTTTCTTCTTCCTTCTCCTCGGGCTTGGGAGTGGGGAGCTTGAACTGTGGTTGTATAGGTTAGGACATGCTCAGTAACATCTCAAAGGACAAAACTTACAGACTCGGGAGTGCGGTTCTGACCAGCACCAACGGGCTCCCAGGCGGTAGAGCCGCTCTCAAAGTTACGGAAAGCCTGGGTGAGCTCAAGGGGCTCAATAACGATACGCTTCTTCTCCTCGTCGTAGCGCAGCTCAGTATAACCGGTCAAGGGGAAGTCCTTGCGCAGAGGGTGACCGTCGAAACCGTAGTCGGTCATGATGCGGCGCAGATCAGGGTGGCCGCTGAAGAAGACACCGAACATGTCGTACACTTCACGCTCGTACCACAAAGCACCCTCGAATAGACCAGTGACACTGGGCACGGGGGTGGCCTCGTCGGCGTAGGTCTTGACGCGGATACGAGAGTTGTAGCGGACACTCAGAAGGTTGTAGACGACCTCAAAGCGCTGGTCACGGGTCGGGAAGTCGACACCGGTGATATCGGAGATCTGGGTGAACTCGGCGGAGGTGTGGTTCTTCAGGAAGCTCATCACGGGGACGACACCGGCGGGGGCAGTGTAGACGGTGAGCTCGTCCTTCCAGACAGTGAATTGCTGGATGTATTTGGGCAAGCAGGACATGATGTATTGTCCGTACTTGTGCAGGCCATCGGCCATGGGCTGGTACTTGTCGGTAGGGTTGACGACGGGCGCACGCAGGGGGCCCTGGGCTGATAGAACACGCTTCGGTTAGCTCAATTGACATTATAGGATTGACATGTCCAGTTCACGTACGCGAGCCGCTGCGCCTGGCGCATGTTTTCAGGTTCCGGTCCCGGTGTTGTCGAAGCCTTAGGAGCATACTGCAGGGAGGCTGAGGAAAGGTGCGGGCGGCCATGGACCTCGTGGCAGGTGCCACGGAACGTCCAGAACCCAGGCGCATCAAGGAGCGTGCGGAGGCCATTGTGTAGAGCGAGCAATGGCAGATGCAACGGGAGGAGGGGACGTAAGTCGGATTGCGAGAAACTAGAGTGGTCGACTCCTTCAGTCACGTGAAGCTGATCTAACCACGCTAAACGCCATCGGGTAATGCCAGCAAAATGAAGCCGCGCTTCAATTTCCTTCCTTTCTTCTTTCCCGTTCATCCTCTACATATCAATCAATCTCCTCCTTTTTCTCTGTCCTCTCTTACTATCCCCCTCCGCTTACACTAATCGCCGCTTCCCTTGTTTTAGTTTCGGGGGCGTTTTTTCTCTCGTTTCTCATCCGTTCGGCGTTTGAGATCTCGTCTCCCTCTCCGGTTATCACACATCCCCCGCGATAATGTCGAGCCATTCATTGATCGACTCCGTCATCGACGATGACGATGAGTTCTGGTATGTGAGCCTTGTTCACAACGCGCGATTCGAGTACTGATCAACCCACAGCCCCCTTTGCATTGAAGAGTTCGATCTTTCCGATAAGAACTTTAAGCCATGCCCTTGTGGGTACCAGGTATGTCTTTCGCCATCGTTCACGCATTGGAATCCATGTATTGGGGAAACGGGACCACTGTCTCTTCATCCACCTTGACCTCGCAGTCCTAACATGTGAGTGATATTAGATTTGCCAATTCTGCTACAACAACATCAAAACCCACAGCGAAGAGGGTCGATGCCCCAACTGTCGACGCGGATATGACGAAAGTACTATCCAGTACAAGATTCCCGACGCCGAGGAGTGAGTCTTTTCGTGCCCAACGACACCGCCCCGCCTCACCCAACTAACCGGATTTTCTTCTCTCTAGGTTCAAGGCAGATTTGGCGCTAAAGCATCGCAAGGCAGCTGCAGCAAAGAAGAAAGAAGCCGAAAAACGCGAAATCGAAGCTTCCAGTCGCAAGAATTTAGCCGGTGTCCGTGTTGTCCAAAAGAACTTGGTCTACGTTATCGGTCTCAATCCTACGATCCGAGACGAGAATCAGCTTCTCCAAACGCTTCGTGGGCGCGAATACTTTGGTCAATATGGCGAAATCGAAAAGATTGTGGTCAGCAAGGCGAAGCCCGGCGGCAACCCGAACCAGGGCATTGGTGTCTATGTGACTTTCTCTCGCAAAACCGATGCTGCGACATGCATTAATGCCGTGGATGGATCCGGAAATGGCGATCGAGTGCTCAGAGCGCAATACGGCACGACCAAATACTGTTCGTCTTTCCTTCGAAACGAACAGTGCAACAACCGGAACTGCACTTTCTTGCACGAGACCGGCGAGGACAGTGACAGCTACAGTCGCCAGGATCTTTCCTCTATGAACACCATCTCTACTCAACGCCAAAACCTTCCTCCTACCCCCTCGAGCGTTCCTGCACATGTGAGATCCGCTCAACCTATCTCTCATCCGATGCGCAGACAACCAAGCAAGGATGACTCAGTCAGTGGTCGCTCGGGCGTCCCAGATGGCCCGGCTCTACCATCATCTGCTAGTTGGGCCAATAAGGATGTTGCAATTCACCGGACCAGGAGGACTAGTCTCACGGGCAGTCAAGCATCTAACAGCCCGCGGCCTTCAAACGTTAATATTGCAACCCCAATCGAAGAGACAAAGCGATCCGAGAAGCCATCTCCAATTTCTCAGGAACCTCAGCAACCAACTTTACCAACCGATCCCCAATCCCCTGCCGCGGAGCCACGTCCACGTGGAACCAACAAGCCTCCAAAGCAACCAACACCATTTGATAATTTGTTGAAGGATATTACATCCCCGCACTTCAGATTCTCATTCTCTACAGCCGAAATGTCCGAAGAAGAGGTCAAGATGATCGAGAACTATCCGTCTTTTATCGATCCGTACGGTGGCGTCAAGCGCAGAGCTATGCGTGAGAAGGTCGAACAGGAGCGTCTTAACCGGGAGCAAGAGCTGCTCCAATCTGTTGCGGCTGAGGAGGACAGTCGTGAAGCTGGCAGCCTTCAGCTTGGCGGTGAACCGGAGGATGCCAACCCCCCGCGTGGCCGCCAGACCCGAGAGTCACATGGTGCTATTCAACCACCTTCGCAACAGGGCACCGCAGACAACTCGACCGTCGGATCTCCTGTATCTGCGTCCAGCCACCAATTCCAAGGCCTGAACCTTGCTGGGCGAAGCCTAACACCCCTCCAGCAACAGCAATTGATGTTACTTAAATCCGCTGGCAACCAACAAGCCGGTTTGGCCGACCCTTTGAGCTCCGCTGCTCTGGATCAAGCTGCTCAAGTCCGCCAGGGACTTCTGCAGAACCAGATGGCCCAATTCAATGCGCTGCAGGCAGCACAGAACCGACAGTCTTCCCGATTCTCCTTCAATGAAGCCGGCTCGAAGAACATTCCCAATGCACGCATGTTGAGCCAGATGCAGTCCGCAAGCCCCAACCCGCTGTCGGCCCCGAGCCCTCAACACAGCCTAGCGAGCGGTTTCTATGCGAGTGGTGTCCAGGGTCCTCCTCCCGGGTTGAAGACGGCCGGTACCCCTCCCATCAGCGGCGGTGGAATGTTTGCCCAAGGTCACGGTTTCACCTCAGGGCTTGGGTCCAATGTCGGCAAGCAAGATGCAACTCCGGAGTTGATGCGCGAGTTACTGCGCGGACGAACTGGTACAAATGTCGGTGGTTTACAGGGCCAGGAGGCAGCTAAGCGTGAGTTCATGATTCCTTTCCTTCAACAGCACAATACCCCACCTCCCATGACTCCCACCAATGGCCTTCTCGGCTCGTTCTATGGGTCCCAGCCAGGCATGCCTGAATCTGGTAACCCACAGAAGCAGAAGAAAAAGGGAAAGAAGCACAGACACGCTAACACTTCCTCCGGTGGAGGTGGTGTAGTAGATCTTGCGGACCCGAGCATTTTGCAAGCGAGAATGCATCAGGTCGGTGCGAATGCTACAGCCGGGCAAGCGTTATACGGGAGTCAAGGTCAAGGTGGGTACAACCCCTCGATGGTGTATGGCGGTGGCATCAGTCGCTGGTGAAACCCCACGGTCATTCCTTAACACATCTTCTCTCATCCCCGCGGTCCCATACATTTCCCTACTTGCTCTTTCAGTCATGACTTTGTTCCCTTGACGGGATTGTTTTATTCTTATGACATGATTTTATCACCCTTTTATTTCCTCTTTCCCAAAGAGCCGGACCTTGCATCTTGTTGTTTCTCTATTTCCGATCAATCTGGCTGCTCGGATTTCTGCGATGGCCGGGCGTGTTTCTGGCGTACTATGGACTCTTTGACTGTTTCTTTTCCCTGGCTGTCTCTTTTACTGCATGTTATTCCGGCTCTTTCCTTATTTCAAGGTGTCTTTGCATTTAATGGACATACGGCATGTCTGGTCTCCCTTTGTATTCGGCGGCTGTGTTTTCCCTTTCTTGTTCTTTGCATCCGGATTTCATGATACTATCTACTGCGTCTTGACGACCGTGGAATGTTTACATGAATTAATGTACGTTAAGATGTCCCTACTCTGATACCACAAGCCGAAACAGGGTCTTATTCGAAATCAGTTTCCACACAGCCGCCGTTTACATAGACGACCTCCCCTGCAACGTTCTTCGCCTCGGGAGTCGCAGCCCATCATGTAATTATTTGGTGTGCTCCGTTTGTATCCTTTTTAGTCCTGCTGCTTAGTCGTTACTCTTCTCCTGGGATTCGTTTTGTCTGCTTTTCACTTCCCTTCCGCATCATCTGCCCATCTCTATCACCTCGTTACGTCTTTGCACAACCGCTGATCGCTGTTCTTTCTAGTCAATGAGGATTTTCCCCCACTCGGCGAACAATCCAAAGATCGTCGACCCGTTGACAGTTTTGGCTTTCTGAAATCTCAGTTGCCCAACGAGTCTACCGCTAGAGCTGGAACCCCGACTCTACCCCCAGGCTTGCCGTTGCCCCACGCTCACCCCTCGACTTCTGCTTTTCAGGAACAGCTTAGTTCCTCAAAGCCGTCCTCACCTGCTCCAATACTGCCGCCTGGCCTAGGTGCTAGCATCTCACGACTCGGTACACCGAATCAAGACCGCGATGAAAACCGTTCCCAGCGGTTGAGTCCAGAACTCACTGTGGGAGGCCCGTTGACATCTAGCCGTGTGAAGGATGCGTCCCAGATTTCCTTTGGGTCGCCAGTACAGAAGCCCGCAAGCAAGGCTCGTGCCCAGCGCAAGATTGATTTGGCTGCTGCTGCTGCTGATGCCAAAGATTCGGCTATCAAAGCCCCAAACGAGTCGGAGCCAAGTTCTGCAGCCACGAAAGGCAGCCCCCTTGGTTTCAGCACACCATTATCCGCCACTACCAAGTATGAACAAGTTCCTGCTCCTGGTTCTGTTTCTGCAATCGGGTCGCGGCCTCACACACCTCAGACGATCGCATCTCGGATGTCTGATTCTCCTGCCCCCCGCCAGCCCCGTATTCTGCGTGTGGTGGAATCAACAAAAACCGAAGCACCCCCTCCGGTTCTCGATTCTCCCTCCGTGACTACTTCTGTCATCGGGGGAAGCAAGTCACGCTCTCGGCGCCAGAGCCTTTCATCTAACAGCCGACCTGACACTCCTGCTGATCACAGTTGGGAAGTCGATTACTATCCCTCCACCTCTGCTTCCCGCGCGAATTCTCCTCCTGCGTCCTCCCGCATCGGCTCTGCCCCAGTTCGGTCCATGACGAAGAGCCAAGTCAAAAAGGAGAGAAAGCAGAAAGCTAAGGAAGCGGAGGCCAAAAGGTTGAAGCCGCACCTGCACCCGAAGAACCTGTCCAAGCTCCTATTATGGGGCGAAAGCGCAAGACCAAGAAGGAACCGAAAACTACTGTGGACACAACTGATAGTACTGCTGCCAGTGGCACCGAGACTATGAGTCCTGCCAAAGCAGCAATCAGCTCGCCGGTCAAGCTGGAGCCCATGGTAGAGATTCCAAAGAAAGTGAAAGCCAAGGAGAAGCCTATCAAGGAACCAACTCCTCCCCCTCCTCCGTCCCCTCCTCCACCTCCTGTTGAAGAGCCACCTCGTCAGAAGGAAGCCCCCGTGGAGCCCTGGCGTACCCACAATACAGTCGAGCAGTTGGTCAAGGATTCTGAGGCTAGTGGAAGGTCCATAAAGGACTTGTTTGTGGAACGGACTAAGCCTCTCCACGAGTTACTTGCTGAGATGCACAAATCCGGTGAGCTGGACCTCTACAAGAGTTCCCTTTTCAACCCTACCAATCTCAGCCAGCGCACCGACATGAAGTGTGTCGCAGACGACTATGATGTTCTCCAGTGTCCCACTGAATTGAACGAGGAACACCGCAAAGCCCTGCTTCGTGGAGAACCAGTTCGACTTGGTGACGAGCGCCTGAAGAGCCGATGCCTCATCACACCTCGCGGCTGTGTGCTTCGCCACCTTGAGCCAGAGGAAGAGGAGCGGTACCTTGAGCTAGAGAAGAATATGGCTATCACCTCTGATCCCTTCATTATTGGAGATGATTCCAGCAACCCCAGTGGCGGTCTGGAAGCACTCTTCGCCAACCCAGAGAAGTTTAACATCTGCTGGGTTGAAGACATGCCCACCCGTCTCGGCGCGACATCCCCGGCATCTTCTCTCGGCGTGCCTGACTCTGTGATTCCACCCAACGTGCTCTCTGCCATGGAGGCTGACAGCACCCGCAACCACGACTGGGCCGTCGCCAACTCGGCAGAACTCCTCAATACTACTCCCGCAGCGGTGCGCTCCTTCGCGGCGATCACTGCTCAGCACATGCTCAACAACCCAGGCATGCTCGGTGCCAACCCGACCCTGGATGATGTTGCCGGGCTCACCAATGAAGAGCTGAGGGACCTCTCTGGTCGTTCCCAGAAGGACCTGGAGCTGACTCGGAAGGAATTGGACTCGCTGGACAAGAAGTTCGCAGCTCTGCTTCGACGTAACCGGAAGCTCCAGCTGCAGGCATTGACATTCGCTGCTGCGTCCGAGTTGTAATCAGTCATTGCATTCTCTCCCGCTTTGGGGGTTTACCGGTTGCCTTTTTAATTGCAGTTTCATGGGCTAGGATAGAACGGTGAATGTACATATGGAGCTGCATGATACCCTGGAAGGTGGGTTCTACTTTGTTATTGATTAAACTTGTATGATTAGCATGAATGTGAATGTATGAACATTGTATAAGTGCCTCCCTAGCTTTCGACTTGCATTGAACACAGTTTCAAATTATTCAAAAAGCAATTGACTAGAATATACCAGGATCTCGCAATTAGCTCAGTTAAGTTCCACAATAAGCATTAGATCACTGCTTTTCGTGTCATCCTATTGTTGCCTATTGTGATGTTGGCTAGCATTAGTGAGTCTTAAGAGAGGGACGTGGTTGCCTATTCAGGAAGGCATTGTTGACTTTGCCCATAAAGTAAACAGCAATCACTCCAAGCGAACCTACCTTTGTTCTCCCCCAATTTTCACTTCCTTTTCTACTTTTTGAAAATTATGGATGAAACCAAGAAGCTTAAGCGTAAGCAGCGGCGTCAGTGCCAAAAAGCAAACAAAGTGAGGCATTGACGTTCGTTGCAAAGGAGAGAAGAGGTATTAAACTGTTTTACAGCGTGCCGGCCGCGCCGCCCAGCAGGCCGAAGAGCCCGAGCACAAGGCGGCTCGTGTCGCGGAGCTCAAGCGGGAGCTCCTGGCCGCCGAGATGGACGCGGCCCGTGCCGATGCTACGATTGCCCGTCTGGCAGTGGCAGAGAAGAAGGAGCAGGTAAGATACTCCCCTCCCTTACCGTGACTTATATACTAAATTGTTGGTATTCGAACAGCTTCGTGCTGCTGTGAAAGGGCGCCCTGCGCCCAAAACCCCGGAGAAGGGCCCCGCAGCCCCCGAGCACCCTGCTGCCGGTGACGCGCCGCCCGCCGGTCCTGTGGTGTCTCCCGCCCGTGCCGCCACGCCCGCCCGTGCTGTCTTCCCCCCCCACCCCCCGACCGGCCGATGCGTCCCTGTTTGTCCGGGTGGCCCCAGCCCCTGTATCCCCCTTGAACGTGCTGTAAGTTCCATCGTCTTACCCATTTCCCCCTTTCTCCCATTCTCTTGCTCCTGATACTTGTGGGTTGAACGGCTCCTATTGCCCGTGTCTTAGCCTCTGAATACTTATGGCTAAGCCTCTGATGCTTATGGGTTAGTTCGCTCCTATTGCCTATGGCGTAGTTGCTGATTACTTATGAGCTGGCATCTGAGTCTTGTGGGTTTGCATCTGGGCCTTAGGTTGACATCTAAAACATAGTATCTAGGGCTCGTGGCTTGGCATCTGAGACCTGTACGCTAGTATTGCGGACTTGCTGGAATCTGGGCTTCATGGTCTTTACAGTATCACAATGGACATGACTGACACGTATCTTATGAATAGGGCCAGTAAAAATTTATTCTTTTTGTGACCGATGAGAATTTGTTTCTTTTCTTTTTTTCCTGAATCGTGCCCTCAATGATACCATTTTTCGAAGCAAACCATCCAACCGTTGTAGTGTAGACCCGAAGAGAGCAAGTCTTTAGTTACGTATCAGACCTCGTAAGTAGGAAGCAAGTATCCATAAAAGGTATTGTGGAATTATGAAATACAATATTGAGATGAGTACGAAACGAATGTAGATGAGCAACCACTGATGGGACTTCCGTCTTGCCAAGCATAGCCAGTTACCACTCACTATGGGGGGAAAAAAAAGGTCAGACAGTGTTGCATTCAGAGTAGGCATTGTTTGATAATCAAATGACGGGATCTGCATTGGTCTCTGTGAATTTCGTCTGAGGTTCAAGAGGCAGTGGTTCTTTAACCACTCGTATTTACTCAGCAATCCGATACGTCTGCGATAACAGTAACAGAGTCTTCATCAAAGTAAACGTCGCTATCTTCTTCCTCCTCGCAAGCCCCTTACATCGCAACAACTCGAATGAGGGCAGTGGCATATTCTCTGGGTTAGTCGTCTTGATCTTGAAGACAAACCCAGAGGGGATCAGTTGTCCGGACTCCACATGCCAGAGGCGAATACCGCCACCTAGGCCCTCGATCCACCGCTGGAGTTGGTTGGGGAGGCACTGGTTTGGAAGATTCTGGCTTGGGTGACTTGGGATTGGGTGGGGCTGGATGATCTGGCTTGGGCCTGCGTGGTTCAGGCATCGGTGACTCTTGAATGTGCCATGCTGAACTCAGCGACGAGGCTCGAATTTGAGTGATTCTGGCTTGGGTGACTCTGGCATCGGTAACGCTGGTATCAGCGAAGCGGCGCTTGTTCGAAAGGCTCGAGAACTGGGTGTTCAGGGTTGGGTGGTTCATTATCAGTATCATCGGCGACGATCAGACTAACCCCGAATTATTCTACGTTCAAGGCAGAGCCACACTAGCCGTGGAAATGTAGAGGATGTTCTGATTGGAAAATAATCGGCCCCTTTGAGAAAACAGAGAGAAAGAGAGAAATAGAGAGGGATCCTCAACAGGCACCCCTGGGCATAAGTCTCGACGCTCTTTCAATAAGGCTCACTCAAATGCATTGAAATCAAGAGCATTGCCCTTGCACCAGTTCCCCATTCCAGTTGTGTCTCCTTCTGCTCTCCATTCTCCACCTCACATCATAGATGTGTTGTAATGCCACGATCGCCATGGACCCGGTACTTGGTCACCGCTTTGCCGGTCCTTGCTCTTCAGTAGCTTCGTGGCGGCGATATGTGGAACCCGAGGAAGATAGAAAATTAGATAGGAGAGCACAGTCAGCGGGCGAAGATATGATTGGATCAAGAGAAAAGAAGTGTCAGCGGGGTTCTCACGTAGTGTCAGGGTCGATACTTGCAGTAGCAGTCCACGGTCAAGCCAAATACTCTTGGGAACGCACTCACGGCAGCAGCAGCATGTACCCCAGTTCCTCAATATAGAAACTTAATCGGGCCGAAATCGCATTTTGTGAGCAAGGAAGAAGTGGGTAGGTAGTTGAGCTTGCGTTGGCTTCACCGAAAGGCTACTGGTCAACAGCACCACGTAGAGGTCCAAGCTCGAGGCTGTTGGATCTCCTGGGACTGCTTTTGGCGTCCCAGAAGACCCCGGCCATTATGGACGGCCGGTATCCATATCCAGGTAGTCAGACTCCGCAACCATCACTCCACAAATTCACTGAATTCGGTGTCCCCCAACACCAAATCCTGCAACTTTGAGGGCGAATTAGACTGAGACCGAGTGGGAGATCGGAAGGGCGTATTTTCCTTAGAAGTATGCCCCTCTTTCACGGGCGAAATCGACCGAGACCGAGTGGGAGATCGGAAGGGCGTATTTTCCTTAGAAGTACGCCCCTCTTTCACGGGCGAAATCGACCGAGACCGAGTGGGAGATCGGAAGGGCGTATATTCCTTAGGAGTACGCTCCTCTTTCACGGGCGATCGGGATCCTGAAGGAACAGCAACAGAGCCTCCATCAGAGTCAATATCGCTGTCTTCTTCCTCACCAGCCCCTTGCATCGCAGCGATACGAGACAAGTTCCACTTCAGACTCATCAATTCCCACGAGGGCAATGGTCGTTTTTCTGCGCTAGACGTCGTGATCCTGAAGATGAACCCAGAGCGAATAACCTGCTCGGTCACCACGTCAAAGAGCCGCAGTCTGTCAGATGGACCTTTAGTCCATCCTTGACGTTGGCTTGGGTATGGGTGCGCAGAAATGGGTACCTTTTCACTTCGCTTCTGCGTTTGATCACACAGAGGCAGCCAGTGAAAAGTGACATCCATTTCAGCCTTATCCTCATTCATCCACACAGGGCGAAAAGCAATCATTGCACGATCCCACCACTGGTGTACTTGGACACTCAGTGTGATAAAATTGGATACGTACTCAGCGTTCACCCTGTTGTCGTTTCCGAGGATCTCAGACTTCAAAGCCGCTACTTGCTCTGGGCCGAAGAACATTTTTAATGTTCCCCAGGTCTCCGATTCAATCTCCTCGCGGTTCAGCTTGCTCGGCAGAATATGTGCGGATTGAAGAGTTGGTTGGCCCAACTTCGTCACGACACACATGTAACCGTCCCGCTGTAGGCTCTAATAGATTATAATGTTAGCGCCATATCTTTCGATACTGTGGATCTTGAAAAACATACAGCACTCTTGCAACTTGCAGTGTCTAGCACCGACACCACTGCAACAGGTCTGGAAGGACCAGCGACAGTATTCGGTACATTGGGCGGAAGTGGAAATAGTGGCGGGGAGATGATCTCTTTCCTCAGCGGGCTTCGCTGGCGCACTGGGATCTTTCCTTTGCTGGGAGACCCGGAACGAGATCTCACAGAAGCGGAAGATGACGCAGTGCGTGGAGTAGCCCGCGAAGCAGGCTTGGATTGCAGTCCTGTTTTCGTCAAAGCCCCTGGTTTGTGCAGAAATGGTTAGCATACGTTTCTGAGCGAAGACTTGGGTGTACTTACAGATACCAGCTATGTCGGAGGCAGGCAGCCTCTTCAATAACAGGGTCAGGCTTGTGATATCTGAGTCACCACGTAGTGATGCGTGTTTCCTCAGCACCTCAATATCGGCGAACCACAGGAAAAAGAAATTTCCGCGAGGGATTTCACAGAGACTTGGGTCCTGTTCAACAATGCGCCGAATCAGGTCCTGACGCTCCGGATCATCCAACTCGGAAAAAACGTGCTTGTTATCAACACTAAGACGCGACATCATGAGAATATCAGGACTGAGGTCACATATTCTGATAAGTAGCTAATGAGTGGGTATGAGAGGCACGTTGGAGAGAAAAGAAAACAAGTGGGGTGGGATCTGGGGATATGGATCCACACCTGCAGCCCTACGAGATGACTCATCCACTTTCTAGCTAGGCAGCCACCCTGACAGAACCTAATTTCCCACTTACTTTAACCTAATAATGACTCACTCAATCTCAATTCATAATAGCAATAGGATAATAACCGATGCGTCGTGACGAAAATGGGCCAACCAACTCTAGAATCGACGCATATCTTGCCAAGCATGACACCCTAAGCTCGTCCTTTGGCGAAGAGAATCGTGTCGCTTTGACGTCTCAGATCTTCGCCCGCACAGCAAGATATACACGGATTATGTTCTCAACTATCTCATACAGTCGGTTCAAGTAGAATCATAGTGGGATCCTACAATTTGTACTTTTCGTCCTATTTCGATCAATGACAAGAAGATCTACGTGATGCACAAGAAGCGAAGTGTAGCGTAGCTAGACCCAAACCAGTGCCTCCCAAACCCAAGCCATCTGCGCGAAATCCACCGGCACCAATACACTCCACAGCAACGAAGGGGAAACACAGACACAGCTACAAATGAATCATTGAACAGCCGAAGGATATATTCCTTACAATAAATATCAGAACATGGCGCTTCGATTATATCGTGACAGAAAGGCTCCATGCACGCCACACACTTGTGACTCGTCGGAACAGATGGCAGATGGCAGATGGCAGTGTTCTCGCGCCGTCTTTTGAGGACTCGCTCTGGCCTGCGTCAGCTGGTGTACCTGCGGCATGAGATTGTGTGTATTCAAAGTTCATCTCGGTCTGCGGTGCAAATAATACCTCTGCGCCAAAAGGGGGCAGGTGGGGGGAGGGTGGGGGCGCTTGAAGACGTTTTTGAAATGTCTCCAGCACCCAGTCCATCCGTGTTTGAGCAGCTCCCCCTCTAGAAAATCAAAGGTTTTTGAATGGCTTCGGGATTTGCTTGATGGGTATTCTGAGCATAATGTGTTCAATTCAATGTGACAATGGTTTGGGAGCCAGGGTGCCCTTTATCACACAATGAGGAGGGTGAGGGAGGTAGGGGCAGAGAGATGTGCGCTCTTCGTTCGGAAACGGGCGTTTAATTGTGCTGAAGGTGATCATTTCTCGTGAAAAGGCGATCTTAAAAGGTGACGATGAGTTCTAAGGATTCGAATGAACTATTACTTCGAGGCAAAGATTGGGTCGTGACTCTGGCCGCTGGAGTTTGGCATCGGTGACGCTGGTCTAGGCGACGCTGGCGCTGGTATTCTATATTTCGCCTGTAATTACCTAAATCGCCATAGATAAGCCTGCAGTATTCGGTAATGACATGCAGCTACTGGACGTGTCCCGATTCTTTACCTGGGCAGATCAAACATCTACTTCTGTTTCAAAATTTCCTGTTATTTTAGTTTCCTGCGACGATAGCGGCTGAATGTTCGAGTGATTGTCTCAGACTATTCCGAATCAGGGCCGCGTTGTGTAGAATTTTCACCCTCTTCCAAGGTTCAAAGATAATAGCGAAAAAAAATAACTGTAGATGACTAGTAGGCTAGGAGGAATACAATAAGCCGGGAGAATATCTACCCCAGCGCCAGATCTGAAACCAAGAATTAAGGGGATCTAGTCAGGGGTCGTTCTGGCGTCAGCTGCATGTACGGGTGACGACTCGAAACTATGATCAGAAACACATCGACCGAAATAACTTATATCTCCGATGATGTACGGAGTCTCCACACTTTAATCGGGGAAAGAACTGCAGGGCTGAGTGACAGTGAACGAGCTGCATATCACGAGGCACTCTTCGGCGTTTGGAAGCTTCTCGTACTCACATTCCTTCCAATTTCAAATATGGCCAGAACTTTGATGAGGGCTCGGCTTCATCCCTTCGGCATTTTGCATTGGTTCATTCCTGATCCTTCGGTTTGCTATAGCCCTCGGATGAATTCACAACATGTACCCTTGGCCGTTCTAGGCCACATGAAAGAAATTCCTTCATGCCTTTTAAGGACATTGTTTGTTTCATTGAGTTTAGTGGCTTATGGCACTTTCAAGTCCTTATTTGGACTTGGATACAATCGAAATCCACAGCTCTTGTTGCTTTTGTCGGCTTTCGAGGTCTTTATTCCTATCGTTCGTCAGTGGACCCCCTGTCAGGCTGGTAATTATTTGATCTCGCATCTATAAAATACGGATTCCCCCTGAAGATAACATCCTTCATCATTGTGGTATTTACAATTCTACTGCAGCATCCACTACAGCACTGAATTATTTGATCGAGCTTCTACAGCCACATTGTACCCACAAGGGCACGCAAACATGCATGGGATCTTTTCTACCATCGCCACGATCTTCACCCTGGTGTCGGCCGTTCAATCTGTCGCTGTCTTAGTACCTCTATACACCTGGCCCGGCACAGATTCCTGGCAACCGGTCTATGACTCACTGGAGGCCAATCCATACACTACATTTTATCTCATCGTCAACCCACAAAGCGGCCCAGGGAGCACAGAGTTCCCCCAAAATATCTTTATCACAGCCTTTGCAAAGCTCAACAGCTACAGTAATGCCAAACTCCTAGGCTACATTTCGACAGTATATGGCAACAGGGCCATTGCAGATGTCGAGAGAGAAGTCTCCGTCTACTCCAACTGGGCCTCCTACCAAGGAAAAATATCGCCGTCGACGGAATCTTCTTCGATGAGGGATCGAATGGACAGGACACTACCAAGCTCGCGTACTACCAGCAGATCTCAAAGACTGCCAAGAATAGCCACCTGAACATCGTCATCTTTAACCCAGGTGCTAAGATTATGGCTGATACCCCGGAATGGTTTGCTGCCGCCGACTTTATTGTTGAGTATGAGAACACTTGGGCCAACTGGGTCTCTCTAGCCCCTACTGAACATCTTTCGAACATGGAGTACTACCACAAGATCGCCATCATGTTAAGGGGGCTCCTGGGGATGCTAGCATTACCGATGTCGCTCTATTGGCTACCAGTATGGGCCTCGGTGCTATCTATCTGACTTATGACAATGACTATATGACTGACCAGTCTGTACTTTCTGTGTCAAAGGTTGCTGTCGGTGTTGGTATGGTCCCTCCACAAGTTGGAGTCCCCCAGCGAGCTGGGCACCGCCGAGAGGCTCACTAGTTTCAAGGTTTCTTTGGTTTCTTTTTTGTTGTCTTTTTTCTTGTAAACTTTCTTTTTTTACTTCATGTTGTTAAAATACAATATACAACTTTAAAAGCATCCACATTTCCATGTAGTTTACGATTAAGATTCCAATGTAGGAAAGGTTCTAGTAAAGTGACTTTCTTAAATTTTATGTAGAGGTAGCCGCCATGTTAGGACATTCTAGTTCAAACACTGTAATCCAAATACCAGTATCCCTCACTCCAACCCCTTAGCCCCGTCCTTGTAAGGCCGCAGATCATACTCATCCGGATAAGTCTCCAGAATCCGCTTCAGCTCCGACATTTGCTCACGCTGCTCTTCAGTAATCTCCTCATAAACATCCCTAAAAGCCTCCCTCAAAGGCGGCTTCTTCTCACGCTCAGCCTCTCCAAACTCCTTAAGCACTGCCTTGCGCATCTCATCCCGCGTCTCCTTCTCTTTATCTTCATTCCAGAGTCCCTGGTTCTCAAGCCACTTCCGCAGCCGAATAATGGGATTATCGCGACGCTTCCAGTCCTCGACTTCAACACGGGCACGGTATGCAAAGCTGTCATCCGAGGTACTGTGGTGCGAGACACGGTAGCTCATGGCTTCGATGAGCACCGGGCGTCCTCCATCGCTGAGAGCTAGACGTCGTGCTTCTTTCATTGCTTCATGTACGGCAAAGACGTCATTGCCATCCACTCGGATCGTGTCGATTCCGTATCCCACGCCTCGACTTGCGATTCCATCGCCGCGGTACTGCTCCAATGTGGGGGTTGAAATTGCGTAGCCGTTGTTTCGGCATAGGAATACTACCGGGCATGATCTAGTTGCGGCGATGTTCAGTGCGGCGTGGAAATCTCCTTCACTAGCGGCTCCTTCGCCAAAGTAACAGGCCACGATGCGTGGATCCCGGTTGGGGTTTTGGAGATCTTGCAGTTTTAGAGCGTAGGCTGCGCCTGCGGCTTGGGGGATTTGGGTTGCTAGAGGTGATGAAATCGTATGCTATGGATTTGCCCAGGTGAGTTAGCTGAGATACATAATATTGTATCAAAGGGGAGGTACGAACCATGCGAGGGTAGTTTTGTCCATAATGGACGGGCATGTTCCGGCCCCGACCTGTGTCATTGCAATTGGCGAACAATTGACTCATGAAATTCTTTAATGTAAATCCCCGTTGCTGGAACACTCCTGCTTCACGGTATTGTGCGAACACCACATCGTCTGGTGTTAAGGCGGCGGCAGACCCCACGGTGATACCTTCTTCGCCGGCGGAAACCTGCATATATTTGTTAGACAAGTCATATTCCCTTGTATAATATTACAACTTACCATATAGAAGCTCAGTCGACCCTGCCGTTGTGCCTCGAACATGACCACATCCATGACGCTAACTACATAGAAGTCAGCCCCTTGATTCCGCAATAACTGAACACCATACTAACCAGACAGCATATTTTTGTACCACGTCAATACCTCCTCATCGGTAACATCAGGTGCCGGTCTTGTCTTATCAACCAATTCCCCATCCGAGTCCAACACTCGATAGGTAGGAATAGCGGGCAGATCCGAGGCTTTGAGGAAGGTCATGTCGGTGGTAAACTTGCTATTAACCGCGCCGGGAAAGCGAACACTGCAAACACACGTTCCAATTAGCTCTTTCCTATACCAAAATACCAAGTTTCGAAAGTCCCCTCACCTGTCCGACCCAGGCCGCTGTGAGATAGAGCTACCCCATCTCCGTGCGGGGGAGGTGTGTGCTGTAGCTGCAATCTGGCTGCGAACAAGCCCGCTCCGGGCTAGGAGTTTCATAGACATCTTTGAATGCCGTGATATTAACATGATGGAACTTTTTCGTTGTATGAAAGGGGGGAATGCGGGATGTAGTCGGTCTTGAATGTCTGGGGCAGATGCGGAGAGACTCGGTTGGCCGCGGGAGTGACGCCAATGCCGACGCCAACCGAGTCTGTGAATTCGCGGGGAGTTTTGATCTCGGTATAAATTAGGAGATGGACAACATGGAGCAGCTTTGTCTGAGTGTAGAGCGAAACTATGTCTAATCTTATCTGCTATCTGCTTCTACTTTTCTGATTTAACGTTATCTATTATGTTCAGACTATATGTCCTCTTTGCCGAACATACCCTTCGTCATACCTGCAACTTAACAATCCTTGTCGGTAGTAATTCAATGCCTATAAATCATTTTATTAATTGTAGGGATTATATTTATTCATTAAAATGTTAGTTGGGGGAGGAGGGAGGGGGGGGGCTACACATGGTGCTGCATTGGTCCGACTTCGGCTCTTCAAAGACAGAAGCATAGGATAAATCGTGTTCAAAACCTGAATAATTTTTATTGGAAATATGCAAGACACTAGATCGAGCTTGATATGAAGATATGGACACCACATGGTACTATGGGACGGGTCATATATTTGTCGCTTTTGGTAGCTTTGGACAAACTTGAAGCTCAGGCACAATGGCAATGAAAGGGTAAAAGACCCTGAAAATTATCCTGTGGCGTCAAGTGATCCATGGATGTAATCCAAAGATCGTACCTGAGAGAAATCAAAAAAGAAACTGGAGAATGTTCGTTCGTCATCCTATGACGGCAGATCTCCACTATTACTTCCCTGCTGGACCCTATGACATAGCCGCAAAATGCTTCACCCAACAGTCAATCGCCTATATTTCTCTGTCTTTATGTCTATACCCTTCCAACTCATATAGACATACATTAAACACCATGCTTGACACCGAAAACATCCAGAAGGTATTAAATACCGATATCAGCACTCCCATCCCAGAGCGCATGGTCACCAAGATCACATCCCTACCACCATTCATCGATATACCAGGCGTCCAAAACTTCCGTGACCTGAGCCATGACGATAACAGGTTGCGTCCGGGCTATGTATACCGATCCGGTAACATATCAGATGTAACGGACTCCGGAAAGTCCATAATTGCCAGCGAACTAGGAATCACCACCATCTTCGACCTGCGAAACGAAGGCGAGCGACTAAAGGCCCCGCCCCCTTCGCTTCCCGGAGTGGACACGATATGGGTGCCATATGGTGCGCGACCAGCTACTTTGAATCTGCGGGACTTCGTTGGTGACGACAACGGCGCGACAGGATTCGTGAAGATGTACTCTGGGATCCTTGAAGCTGCAGTTCCAGGATTCACTGAGGTCTTCAAGCATATCCGAGATAATCCCAATGACCCCTTCATCTTTCATTGTTCTGGTAAGTGCCTGTGCGTCGTTGTGTTCGATTTGTGTGCTTGCTTGTCCTCGGTTTGATGTGATAGGTGCTGATTGCACCTCTACTATACAGCTGGTAAAGACCGCACAGGTGTGCTCTCTTCTCTCATCTTGCTTTTGATCGGTCGGCCCCACGAAGAGATCATCAACGATTATATCCTCACTCGAGTTGGGTTGGAAAGTGCACGCAAGAATCTCATGGAGGCATTTGCCCTGAACATGGATTCTGACGAAGTAGATATCAGCCAACTGAGCCCCGAGGCTCTTGGTATGCTCGAATTGTGTGGTGTCCGGGCCTCTGTAATGGAAGCCTTCCTGAATTCATTCGAGAGTCAGTATGAGAAGGGCGTGGAGGGGTATCTGACGACGAGACTCGGATTTTCGGCAAACGATGTATCGACAATGCAGAAGAACCTGACGGCAGTTTAAGGGAGCATTGTCGGATGTAAATGAAAAGGCATTTGTATACTAGATCCCACAGCATGGGGTGCATTTTAAACTAGACCAAATACACGAGGTTACGGTTGTCAACACTTTACCGTTCAGCACTTCTTGGAATCAAGGGGTAGAATCCACATAGCGGTCAATACAATCTTATAAATCACATACGGAGTAGGCATAAATGACCTCTACCTTGTATCTCACATGACCTAATGAAACAAGCATTCACCCGGCCGCTATAGTTCCACGACCCCTCTCGACCTCCGCATAGTTCCTCCACCATCACTGCAGATCATCGCCTCCGCCCGCCGCCCAGTCCATTCTTGGAGATTTGGGACTTTATCCCCGGTTACTCGCAGCTCACCACTGCTACCGTTGCGTTTCCCCGCTCGCGAGAGGGGCGTAGCTGCAATCAAGTCCATACTTCTGGTGTCGGCAAGTCCTTAGACCACACACCACACACCCTGTCACTTCATTTAACCGGAGTGGCCGGGAAAATGTACTTGGTGGGTCTCGTCTGCTTTTGATTTTACCATTTGTTGATCGGCGACAAATGATAAATTCTTTGCTTTCCCCCGGATCGTTAGCGGAGCGTTTCGGTAATTTGCTTGTGCAGTTTACTTGGACTTTTAGTGCTGTAATGCATCTCTGGAAGCAGCTCGTGCTAGCTGCGCTTCCGTGTCTCCCATCTGTTTTTGGACAGAGTGTTTTGGATCTTAGCGGCGATGGATGGACGGTTAGTAGCAAGGCGCTGAATATTAGCGTTCCTGGTCGTGTTCCTTCGCAAGCACATTTAGATCTATTTGCTGCTGGTGCTATTGGTATGTTTACCTCAAGTCAACTTGTGAATCAGGAATCTAATAACAACCATACACAGATGATCCGTTAGTTTGTCTTGGTCAATTCTTATATCGTCTCAAAACTAACATGGATTATTTCAAAGTTATTATGGGCTGAACGACTTCAACTTGCGTTGGATTGGTAACAACAATTGGACTTATACAAGCAAACCAATCCAAGGCTTGTATGTACTGCTCGCTATGTTCTGGTATTCTGGCTAACTATTCGCAGGTCAAGTAAGTCCAAGTCGTCTTGGCTTGTATTCAATGGACTAGACACCTTCACAACAATCGAATTTTGCGACCAGTTCATTGGCACCACCGATAACCAGTTCCGTCAATACACCTTCGATATCTCCGGTGCTTTGAGTAAATGCAAAGGCTCGCCAACTGTGTCCATTAACTTTGGAAGTGCCATCAAGATTGCCAACGAGATTGCTGCCCAGCCCGATGCTCCAGGTGAGTGACCCAAGGGTCACCTAAAGTTCAATTCTCTAAAGTCTATTCAGAATGGCCCGCCGGAGTTCAAGGAACATTTGAGTTCCCTAACCGCTGGTTCATCCGCAAAGAACAATCCGACTTTGGCTGGGATTGGGGCCCAGCCTTCTCACCAGTTGGACCATGGCAAAATGCCTACCTCGTACAGTTCGAACGCGAGGAAGGTGCATACGTTCTCAATACCAACCTTGACATCTATCGAAAGAACCAGGTCAACCATGTCGCGCCCGATCAGAGCCAGCCGTGGGTTGTAAATGCCAGTATCGACTATCTCGGCTCTCTTCCGAGTAAACCGTCCATGGCCATTGAGATCAAGGAGCTTGAGTCGGGCAAGGTACTGAAGTCTGGATCACTGGACAATGTTGTCGTGACTGGACGGACTATCACCGGTAAGACCATGGTCGACGCAGATGCAGCCAACCTCTGGTGGCCTACAGGCCTAGGCAAGCAGAACCTGTACAATGTCACAGTTACAATTCAGGATATCCATCAAGACCTGGCGAGTGTCACTAAGCGCACTGGATTCCGTACCATCTTCCTCAATCGATCAAACATCACCGAAGAACAATTGGCTCATGGTATTGCTCCAGGTGCCAATTGGCATTTCGAGGTCAATGGCCGTGAATTCTACGCCAAAGGATCCAATCTCATTCCGCCGGATGCTTTCTGGCCCCGAGTTACCGAGGCCAAGATGCAGCGACTGTTTGATGCGGTTGTCGCCGGAAATCAGAATATGCTTCGAGTCTGGGCTTCTGGTGCTTACCTTCCGGACTTCATGTACGATCTTGCGGATGAGCGCGGTGTATTGCTATGGAGTGAGTTCCAATTCAGCGACGCTCTCTATCCGACAGATCAACCGTTCTTGGACAATGTTGCGGCTGAGGTTGTCTACAATGTGCGCCGCGTCAACCATCATCCCTCGCTTGCGTTGTGGGCTGGTGGAAATGAGATCGAAAGCTTGGAATTACCAGAAGCCGAAGAAAAGGCACCGGAACAATACGCCGACTACGTGGGTGACTACGAGCATCTCTTCATCACATTAATCCTTCCTCTGGTTTACGAGAATTCACGATCAATTTCATACATGCCCAGCAGCACCAACAATGGTTTCCTGGAAGTCGACCTCTCCGCGAAAATCCCTATGGTTGAGCGCTACAAGAATGGCACAGACGCCGAGGGATATTACTACGGAGATACTGACTATTATAACTACGACAGCAGTGTAGCCTTCGACTTCGACGGCTACCCAGTGGGAAGATTCGCCAACGAATTCGGCTACCACAGCATGCCAAGTCTACAAACCTGGCAGCAAGCCGTAGACGACGAAGACCTCCATTTCAACAGCAGCACGATCATGCTCCGAAACCACCACTATCCTGCAAATGGTCCCGATACCCACAACTACAAGAACACATCCATGGGCATGGGAGAAATGACCCTAGCAGTGCAGAGATACTACCCAACCCCCAACAAGCACGACTCCGTCGCCAACTTCAGTGCGTGGTGTCATGCAACACAGCATTTCCAGGCAGATATGTACAAGTCCGAAATCCAATTCTACCGTCGCGGTAGTGGAATGCCAGAGCGCCAGCTCGGCTCTTTGTATTGGCAGCTAGAGGATATCTGGCAGGCACCGACATGGGCTGGGATCGAGTACGACGGCCGCTGGAAGGTGCTTCATTATGTTGCTCGTGACATCTTCCAACCTGTCATCGTATCTCCTTTCTGGAACTCTTCTACCGGTGATTTGGATATCTATGTTACATCGGACCTTTGGGACACTGCTCGTGGAACTGTGAATTTTACTTGGGTTGACTTGTCTGGCAAGCCGATCTCAGGGAATGCCGGGACGCCTAAGAACAAGCACTTCTCTGTTGGGGCTCTGAATACTACTAATATCTACTCGACTAACTTGTCGAAACTCTCTCTGGCGAATACGCGGGATGCTGTTTTGCTTATTGATTTGATTGCTCAGGGTCATCTTCCCAATGCTGAGAGTGAGGCTTTGACTACTTTCACGCACCGGAATCAGTTTACACCTGTCTATCCTAAGGATCTAGAGCTCAGGGATCCTAAGCTCAGTCTATTGCATGATGCCAAGACCGGTGCATTCACTGTTGAGGCGAAGAGCGCGGTCTCGCTGTATACATGGATCGACTATCCTGCTGGTGTGGTGGGATACTTTGAGGATAACTCGTTTACTTTGGTCCCTGGCGAGAAGAAGACTGTTAAGTTTGTTGTGCAGAAGGATGAGACTGGTGGGAAGTGGGTGGATGGTGTTACTGTGCGAAGCATGTGGGATCAAACCACCCGGTCCTGAAAAGTACATGCATAGGCTGAGCTCTTTTCGATAATCGAAAAATTGATTCCTTTCGTCTATGTTATAGTACATCTGTTATAGAAATGCAGTCTGATTCGCTCAAATATCAAGATTCAATACATTCATCATTAAGGTAGTCTAGTATAGTCTAGTTTAATCTAATTATATTAATTTTTGGTCCCAAAAAGCCTTCAGCTGGCCCGCTGCCAAAAGCTTTCATCTCAATCTCAATTCCCCTTCGAAGCCGGACGAAAATCGCAATAAATGACAATCTTCTAGTCCCGAGTAAGCTTCGCCCGCAAGCGAGCACCAAACAAGTAAAAGACGTAAGGGATGAATACCATTGCAACACCAATAAAAGCAAGCAACCAAGATGCCCACTGCAAACCAAGACGATCATACATCTGGGTAGTAAACAGCGGGAACGCGGCACCACCTCCAGAGCGAAGGAAAACCTTGGCAGCCAAAGCCGACGCGGCATACTTCTGATAGGAGTCAATAATATAATTATTGACAGCATAATAGCAAAGCACCATGCCAAACCCAAAAGCGATACCAGAAGAAGCAGGCCCAACCCAAATAATATGCTTGAAAGAAGTAGCACCGAGCAAGAAAAACGCAATTGGAATAAACGGCGCACCAATAAGCGCAGCGATGAGTCGATCTTCAGGCATTGGAGAGCGAACACTACAAATCTTCTTGAATTGGTTTTCGATGAGCGGCGTGACAACCAGTGCGAAAGCAGCACCGATCAAAATTGGAATGAACATTAAACCGATTTGTCCGTCGTTGTAGTTATACAGTTTGCCGAAGATTACTGGGTAAGCGAAGAAGAAGGCGTAGAGCATTGCGTAGATGAGGACGATGTACATGCACATCAGATCGAGAACGGGTTCGGTCATGATCATCGTAATGGGCCGGATCAAGCTGGTTCGAGCGATATCACGGAATGTAAGCTTGGTCTTTTCCTGCTCGGTGATGATATTTGGATTCCCGGTTTCTTTGCGGAGTCTCGCGGCGCGTCGTTTGAGGATTAATGGGGCGTATGTCTCTGGAACGAGACCAATCATGATCATGATGGCGCCGGCGAAGGCGAGGTTCACCCAGAAGAAAAGGTCCAGACGTCCACTTCCGACGTTGATCCAGCCTGTTACGATGGGTCCGAGGACAGGGCCGCAGTATGGTGCAGCGGCGAAGTAGGCAATTGCCATGCCGCGCTCTTCGATGCTCCAGATGTCGGCGATTGTTCCTCCAGCAAGGGAAAGTCCCGAGCTGGAGAACACGCCACATAGGAATCTGCAGACTAGAAGGCCTCCGATGTTTGGTGAGAGGGCGCAGGGGATGTTAAATATCACGTAGAGGCCGAGAGAAATTATGTAGACGGGTCTTCGGCCGATGATCTCGGAGAGAGGGGACCAGAGGAGTGGACCGACTGCGAAACCGCAAACCATGATTGAGCAGGTTAAGATTGCTACTTCGAGGGAGACATTGTATTGGTCTTCGATTAGACCAAGCCCACCAGTGACGATTGATGAGCCGAATGCGACGCAAACGACTAGGGCTGATGCGACCATGGTGATGTACCATCGGTAGGCACGGGACCAGTTATAGGGATGTTCGGGGTCGTCGATAGTAAATGTGACGAACTCTGTGGGTCCGTTTCCTCCTTTTTCAGGGTCGGTGTCTCTTTCGTTGGTTGGTGTCTCAACTTGGGTGGATGAGACAGATCGATTGGATCGGATTTCCTCGAGGGTCCTTTGGAGGACAAGACCGGTGTTCGTTTCGATAACATATTCCTCTGGAAAGACTGGGTCTCTAGTATATCCAGTGGCTGGATAATTTGATTCCATTGCATGAGGCCGGCTGTGAACAATTTCTTGGGTTTCGGACTCGCGGTGACATAGTGGCTCGGGAGCTTCTATGCGTGTTTCCGGTATTGTTGAAGTCATGATGATTTCAAATCTGTGAGTTATGGGAGAAGTATAGGAAACTTCGGTTGTGAATGTTGGAACTACATGGCTGGGAAGTGACAGGGTCTTTATACCCTTGGGTAGCTTTGACAAGATCTTCTGTATATACTTGTAGGCCGACTGATCTCCGAGATAGACCGCACCATCACCGGGAATTCGGCATGCCGGAAAATGACTCATTCTATAAGATCGATAGACAACCGGCGGTTCACTTCTTGCATAGGACAAAAAGTGAGTGACGCACTTGGTGAGCGATATTGTGCCGGTGATAGTTCGGCCCGAGCTAATACCGAACGAAGTATTTTAAGTGTGGACTTTTCTCGGCGTTGTGGTTCTGGCACGTCGTTTTTAATGCAGCAGCTATTGTGTCAAAACTCGAGCCTGTGCTAGTAATTGGACTGATTTGAAACTTGATCGTGATATTACTGACGGCGATCTAAATGCGAACAGCAACGACAAGGTGAACCGAGGAGCTATTTCTGGGCAATAAAGGGTGCTTATCTTGAACACATACTTTAAACAATATAATAAACCCCAAGTCTACAAACATGGGATCTGGTAAGCTCCTAGGGGAGCTAATAGCATCAAACGACATGTTCAAGGAATAACCGGCATTTACTGCTGAAGATCAGATAGCCGCACAGTTTGGTCGATCCTATCATAGAGTATCTATATCAGAACAGCCCTATGACCGGTATGTATCCGATGCTGGTAGCGTTAGTAGCTCCGATGTGAAGCTAAATAAATCGAGGTGTGGGGCTGTATACCTGGATTAAGCACGCTTATAGTAACGGGGCGAGGAGATCGTAGTGGGGGCTGAACGGGACTGGATAGACTTATATAGACATCAGGCCCGTAGACGGATTATCTAAGATCTCTTGATTCTGCTACCTGTTTGTCACCCCTTGCAAAGCGACCTCCCTGTTGTTTGATACACTGCTTAAGCCCAGCATGGTAAAACAATAGCCAGGAAAATCATTGCAGTCGTTATTTCATATGTGTACGTGCCAGAGTATTGCGCCCAAAAACACCAGAATGAATGCATCTCAATACCGTTATACAAAAGGACTTGATCAAGTCCACAATTACCACTTGTTATCGAAAACCTTGCCGTCGACATAGTTGACCATCTCCTTGACGGGGGATAAGTGGTCACGACCAGCGCCGAACAGCATACCCTGGCGCATCACGTTACGGTAGTTCTTGCCAGGAGACACCTTACCAAGAACATACTCCTGACGAGTCTCGACGCGGGTGGGGACAGGAATGGAGCGACCCACCACGGCCTCCATACCCTGCCAAGCGAAAGTGATGGCCTCCTTAGCGCCACCAGGGATACCAGCCTCGTCGAGCATGAGAATACGGGTGTTGGGGTAGTTCTCCTGGATGAAGGCGGTAATGTTGGGGTTGTAGGCGCCGCCGCCGCACATGAAGATCTCGGCGATCTCGAGGTCCTTCGGGGCGTAGCGGCGGTAGTGGTCGACAATGGCCTGGGCGGTGACGCGGGTGATGGTAGCGACGACGTCGTCGGGCTTGAGGCCCTTGGCTTCGGCCTTAACGATCAATTCGTGGGCGAGGGTGTCGCGGAACACTTCACGGCCTGTCGTCTTAGGGGGCTCGAGTGCAAAATAAGGGTGGGTCAGGAAATCATCGACGAGCTCCTGGTCGACGGTACCGCGGGCACCCATCTCACCATCTCTGTCGTACTCACGCTCTCCATTAGTGTAGTGGCGGACAACGGCGTCGATAAAGACATTTCCGGGACCGGTGTCGAAATCATAACAGGCGTCCACACCGCCGTGGCTGTCCGGCAGGACGAAGCAGACATTAGCGATTCCGCCGATGTTCTGGCAGGCACGCAGCTTGGTGGGGTGGTGCAGCACTAGCGCGTCGAAGAAGGCAATGAGGGGTGCGCCCTGACGTCCAGCGGCTTGATCACTGACCCGGAAATCTGTAACCGAGGTGATGCCAGTGCGCGAGGAGAGGAAGGTGCCCTCTGCCATTGTCAGAGCGCTGCGGGTCTCACCAGCCTCGGGCATGGAGAGCAGCCAGATGGTTTGGCCGTGGGAGCCCAGGACGTCGATTGTCTTGATGTCGACATTGTGCTCGGCGCAGAACTGATGCACGGCCGATGCGAAGGTCTCGCCCAGAATGACGTTCACTTCGGACAATTCAGACGGGGAGGTCTTGTTGTGCAGGATCATATTCATGACTCGTTTCTTGATCACAGGCTCCAGTGGGATTTCTCCATACTAGCCATTGGTCAGGTTCCTGTACTAAGGAGATGCAGCCTCGGGATTACTTACCTTGAGCAATTCGAAGTGCATAGGAGACTCGGGGGTTTCCTGGCGAAAGCGACAGAGGGCACAGTCAATGCCATCCTGTTACTGTCAGTATACGGTGTTTACATTGAATGTGAATGCAACCCACCATTGATGTTCCGCTGTTTAATCCCAGAACTGTAATGTCCAACGCATGGTTGGCAGTTCCGTTCATTTCGTTTCCATTCGAAGCCATATTGTCCATAGTGTGAAAAAGAAAAGTTAAAAGAAAGCAGAAAGAGAAAAGAGGAAATATATATCAACTCGGCCCGTCCAGTGGAGACCAAAAGTGTGATCTCGGCATTCTTCTACATCGTGATAATCCGCCAGAAGGGATGACCGCTTAAACGCTTATACTGTAAAATTCTGAATGCTAAATGGCTACACGCTTGAAGACCCTGTGTGTGGTCTGAAACTCCCCGCGTCAAACTCGAGCTCCATCTCGATCGCCCCAGCTCATCCATAGCCGGACCCATACGGCTTCGTCCGCTTATACCCCGTACACGACCGTTTGCCCCATTGGGATCACATCGCCCCATTGGGATCCCACCTCGGTCCAATTACACTGCGACAATGGGCTACACAACGCTGTGGAAGCGGCTTTCGCCGCGTCAGCTGAATGTGGCTATTCAGGCCTTTTCGTTGATCTCTATCTTTTTCGAGGGCTATGACCAGGGTGTGATGGGCGGTGTTAACAGCTCACCAACATATGTGACCGAGGTGGGCATCGGTAAGGCCGATGGCACTGTCACCGACACCACTCACCAGGGAGGCATTGTCAGCGTGTACTACCTGGGAGCGATCTTCGGCTGCTTTGCCGGTGGATGGCTTGCAGATCGAGTGGGCCGGATCAATGGTCTACTGGCTGGATCATTGTTCGCATTGGTTGGCGGCGCATTGCAGGCGGCTGCTCAAAATTCAAACTTCATGATCTGTGCGCGAGTGGTTACAGGAATTGGGACTGGCGGTGAGAGACCTTGCTAGTGTGCATTAGCCCTGGGGATATAAATACCCGGGGCTGCATGGGAACGGCTTTTTTTCTGACTCGGTTTACAGCTCTCACTGGTATCACCCCTGTGTTGGTGTCCGAGACCTCCTCGGCGAACCACCGCGGTGGCTTTTTGGGTTATGTGTTCATTGCCAATTGTGAGTTCATTCGATCTGATCTATCTGATATGGGGATGCTAACTTTGGGACTTTTGTCAGATCTCGGAATCTCTGTCGCATATTGGATCTCCTTCGGCCTCGCATTTGTGAACAACGGTTACTCGGACGTACGATGGCGATTCTTGCTCGCATTCCAGTGTTTCCCGGCACTCCTCCTGGCGGCAGGCATCAAGATGCTACCAGATAGTCCCCGCTATCTGGCGTCAGTGGGGCGGAAAGAGGAAGCTCGAGATCTGCTGAACAGGATTCGGGGGGGCCGAACTTCTCAGGAAGATATCGACCGGGAATACCTCGAGATTATCACAATCGCCCAGGACAGCAAACCAAGCTCCCCAATTGAGTTTGTCAAAATTCTGATTGGAAAGGGTGGGAAGCCAGGACTGAACCTGGGCCGCCGCGCGTGGCTGTGTGTTTGGCTTCAGATTATGGCCTCTTGGACTGGTATCACTGTGAGTGTTTAAAGGGGACTGGGCTTGCTATATAGTGGCTAATGATAGCTGCAGGCTGTGACTGCGTATTCTCCAACACTTCTGGCTCAAGCAGGTTACAGCGACATCAAGCAGAACGGTCTAGCCGGAGGTATCAACACGATCGGCATCATTGGTACCATTATCAGTGCCCAGATCATTGATCGCCTGGGCCGACGTGTGTGTTTGATAGGCGGAGCTGCTGTTTTGTTTGCTGTTAACCTAATTGTAGGTTATTCTTATACCGCCGATATGTAGCTTCTTCTAACTTTTATAGGCTGGAGCTGTTTATGAGGGCTCTCTGCATAACCCTGAGAAAGCAGCTCAGTATGCGCCGGGCGCGGTCACTATGCTCTTTTTATTCAATCTGGGGTAAGGTTTATCCCTCGCATATGTCAAAACCTTACTGACGTGATGTATAGATATGCTGCTACCTGGGGTACAGTCGCTTTCTTGGTCCCCACCGAGATCTTCCCGAGTGATCTGCGGGCTCAAGGCAATGGATTCGGAATCACTGGGTGGGCCATTGGTGTGGGTATGACCACTTTGGTCAACCCGATCATGTTCAACGTCATGACTGTGGGTTCTCTACAGTTGAAGGATTTTCCTAAATAAATACTGACCATCTCTCAGAGCCGTACATATTTCCTGTTTGCTGGTCTGAATCTGATCTGGATTCCCATTGTCTACCTGTGTAAGTTGAGACAATCCCTTGTATGTTCCAGCAACTAACAAGATCATTCTTAGTCTACCCCGAAACCCGCAACCGCTCCCTCGAATCCATCGATGCCCTCTTCTCCACCCCTAGTCCCTTCTACTGGAAGATGGAACAGGCTTATAAACTCCACGGTGATGTTCTGGCTGAACATGGAGTCACCAAGAGCGAAGAAACCTTCGAGATTGGCAAGACCGAGTTCACCTCTACCCCTGCCGGAATCGATGCCGAACGCCCTGCCACCGGTGGACCTGCAATTGTCTAATGCACACTTGCATCACAACCAGTGCCATGATCGTGTTCAGCTCTATACTGGCGCCACACACGAAAACATGTATAGGATCATGTAGATCTAGTTATACGCACATAATGTTTTATAGACTCCCCATTTACTCAGGATAGACCTTATTCCCATTCATACCACCTTTTATTACGGTCAATATCATCAATTGACAGTTTTCCTCTGACTTCGCCAAGTCTAGGTCAATGACACAGTGCTGACTCAGCATCGTTCGCAAAGTCGACATAGACTTTTTATCCTTCGGACACCATTCAATTGCTTGATCATCGGTTTGTTCAGAAAGGTCCACTGCTTAAGCTTCATTTCCATTCATTTTTGGTGCCTTTTTCCCATTCTGCCTCCCCAGTCTTACCCCAGGAATCACAGACAACCGTTACCAAACCCCGAACCCCGTGTTCCAAGCTCCGGGGCCCGCGATTTCCTGTGGGCTGCCGTTGCCACCCCCAAAGCACCTCCAGCTTGGAATGAATTAATGGATTGAATGTCGCAAAAACCGCGAAAGCTTCAACGCGTTTCGAAAGCCTGTAAGTCCTCACCCCCACGTCCAATTCCACCTGCTCCACTCGCCCTGGTCGGCAAAATGCCCCAGATTGCAAAAAGCTCTGAGCTGACGCCACTTCAGGCGACTTCTGCAATAGGCGCAGCATCAAGTGCGGCAGAAGTGAAGATCCGCTAGGCAGGTGTCAAAATTGCGCCGATTTTGATGTCCCGTGCACCTTCGATCGCCCCGCAAAGCGCCGGGGCGTCAAGGCTGGCACGAGGGCTCCCATGCGCGAGACGCCTTTGGTGCATACCCCTGGCTCCGATCATGCCCTCCCTGTAGCCACTGCTGCACCGGCTACGGGGAGGACGTCGGGCTCTTCGGGCTCGAGAAACTCGTATTACCCCGAGTCTGCCCATCGCCCGTCGTTGACTGGTGATCCTTGGTCGACGTTCAACGTCGGCGGGGTGGCAACGGAAGGGTACGATGATGACGGCGCATTGCGCAACTCCTGGAATGCTTTTGCTATTGCCAGTGATCGCCAGATCCGAAACCTTGTCCAGGTCTATTTTGAGATCGTTTATCCCATGTAAGATCTGATCTATCATTCTTTTCATTTGGTCGTGTGACTTACCGTTTATTAGTTTCCCACTCTTCCACAAGCAATCTTTCATTGAAAGAGTGCATAATCAAGAGCATCTGCGAGACCCAGGGCTATTCGCTTCAACTATGGCTGTCTGTGCTCTAGTGTCTGGTCGCGCACGAGATGGGGCGCTGTTTACTAATAGATGGAACCGGGATGAGCTTGCTGAGCCGCCATCAGAAGCTTTTTATGCAGCGGCCAAGGACTCCATTCCTCGCGACCTTGCCTCAGCAAAGGGCATGAATTTTATGCGCGCATGTGCCATTCTCGCTATTGCCAGTATTCAAAATGGCCAGATCAAGAACATGCAAAAGTTCTCCGGCATGTATCATACTCTAACTAGTATGGAGGGACTCCATGATGAGAAGCTGTGGCCGAAGCATTTGACTCCCATTGAAACCGAAGAGCGACGGAGACTGGTTTGTGCAACTTTTGTCCCAAATGTTACCTATTACTAACTAAGTATCTGAAGTTCTGGTCTATCTACACTCTGGATATCTATTCCAGCATCGTGTGGGGCGGCGTAATTCGATATCGCGAAGCTCATTCTCTAGTTCGATATCCGAGTGAGGTCGACGACGAGTTCATCACAATACACGGCTACGGCTTGCCGCCCGTGTCTCCAGCCTCCAGCATGCTTAGTCCGGGAGAAGTGACAGTAGTCTCACGGCAGCCACTAGCATGGCTTCGGGGCTGGAATTTCACTACGGATCTCTATCGGATTCTTGAACATGTAGTAGATGGCAATCGGCGACGCTTCTCTTCCGCAAATGGGACTGCACAGGTGTGGCCATTGTTTAGCCCGGCATCTATGTCAGAAGAGGCAGTCATGGAGCGGGTCTATTCCATGTACGCCGCACTGCCATCACAATTTAAGGAAACTCCTCCTACTACTGGTGATATGGCAAAGGATCTATTCGGGTTCCAGTCTGCCAATATCACGGCAACATTACAGCTTCTCCGGATGGTGCTCCTTTCCGCGGAAGAGCTTGGTGTTGATCGCAAATGCAACGTCGCTGGAGAGCTGCTTAGTGTCTTCAGCAAGGTCCCTGTGGAGTACCTCAAAGCGATCAGCTCGCCTCTGGTATGTGCGAATATCCTTTTCTTGGAGAGCCCTTAACTAACTGTTATCAGCTTCACCATCTCGGAGGAATAGGTTATATCCTCGGCTCCGTCATGGAAGGGAGTCTATCAGAAGCATCCTACCGACGAGTCCGCACATTGCTGTAAGCCACCCTTACTGCCGTCAACCCAAAGCATCCAATCTAACAAAAGCCCCCAGTCTCGAAATGGCCGACCTCCTCGGCCGCCTCGAAACAGGCCTCCAACGCGCAGCCGGCGCCAGCGAACGCCTCCGCTCACAGGTCGACCGAATCGACGGCTACATGACATCGCGGCCAATCAATCTCCAAACATCCCAGCACACCCCGAACCCTAATGAAGTCCCCGTCGACGCGAAACCCAACATCACGATGACATCCGTACCATACGTTCCCCCAAGTGGTCCGCCAGGTCCGCCACCCGGCCCGGCACCCAATGCTATGGGCGATCAGATGATGCAATTCCAGATTCCACCGGAGTTGTTGTCGGATTTTCCGTGGCCGCTGGATGGTGGGGGCCACGCGGAGGGTTTTCTGCCTATGGCGTTTGAATGATTGGGTTTTTATATATGGTGGGTTTGGTTGGAGACTGATTGTTTTGTAGGGAGTTGGAGGCATTTTGTCTTTCTTTGTTGATTTTTATTTTTATTTGAGGATTCCATATTTCGCCATTAGAGTAAGATAAAAGCAGTGTATTTCATCATTTGTTTATATCAGGGGGTCCTGTGGGAATTGCGTGTTGAGGTTGGATGTGGCCGTAGATTTAGTTAGTCCTTTATCAATATACTTATTTAACTCACTTCCTATATCTTTGACTTGGCTACATCACGCTGCGATCGATAGGGTTGTCTATACCTTCTCTACATATGGACATGAAGTCTGGAACGAGGCCAGATCTTTAAACCAGAACCACAATCAACTATGGCTATATCGAGACGAAACGAATGTCCAACTTAGTCCCTTTCATTACAAGTATCCTCGCTGCTAATACTTCCTTTCACGTCAATTTCAAAGAGGCGTGGCCCAGGCTGGATCTGATGCATACAGGATCCTTGAGTATTCCGCATCGGGATTTACTTCCTCTTAGTGTCCCTTTATGACCCCCGCAGTAGACTGGCATGGGCCAATGCGCTATAATCAGACTAAAGTCCGACATAGCTAGCGCCTATGCCCCTTCGGCTTCTTTGGTCGCCAAAATGCGGGGTATAGAGGTTAGGTTTCACTTTGGCTTCGTTTTTGCCTTCACCGATCTTTACGGGAGGCGGATAAGGGGTCAGGATGGGAATGTTCCTGGGGATTATATATAAGGCATTTAAGGCATTGGCCATATCATATTAAGGTTGAGATAGTGATTCCCAGTGAAGACATAGGGCAAGTTAGAGTTCGCCTCGGGGATTTATGGGTTATATGTTAGTAGTCAACAGGTCTAATGCATATCATGTTTAGAGCAATTTAACCACGCAAATAGCCCCTATTGTCTATCTGTAGCATCAATATTAACTACTAAGTGTCTCTTATCAATACTGTAGCTCGTATGACCATAGCCCTGATAAGCTTATCACTTGGCAAATCCTTAGCATCGCCACCTCTTCCCCCTTTAGGGATCCCAGTCTTGACTCAATCAAGCCTCTTATCATTCTAAGTTGACTCCAACTGCACGCCCGGCCCGCCTTCTTGGCAGTTTCACCCGGTTCACGATGCCTTCTGCACTATCAGTGCTTGGCACTCTCCCCACCCATACTCTATGCCAGTGACTCCAAACCAGTGTCAGTGCACGTATAAATGGCTATGCCTCCCCCCCATTCTGGTCTGTTTGGCGTCACTTCCAGCTCGAGTAGCATTCAATCATGGAGAACATGGAGAAGAAAGTCTCTGCAGAAATCTCCGATCCCAAGGCGGATACTACTGTGGGTGATGTCTTGCCCTTTCGCCAGACACAGCGTGGTCTGGCTTCTCGACATGTGCAGTTGATGGCTATTGGTGGTTCTATCGGTACCGGGCTGTTCGTTGGCATTGGTTCTTACCTGCGGGATGCTGGGCCATTGTCCTTGTTCCTGGGATATCTTATTTGGGGATGTCTCTTTATTCTGCCTGTCAATCTGTGTGTTGGAGAGATGGCTGCCTATCTTCCCATTCGTGGATCAATCTTCGAACTTGCTGCACGGTTTATCGATCCGGCATTTGGATTTGCTATGTAAGTCTCTACCAGTCCGTTCGCTTCACTTTGGTCTGTATACTAACAATCCTAGGGGCTGGGTATACTTCTACGGCGGCGTAATGCTAGTTTGTACAGAATATTCCGCAGTGGCAACAGTCATGCAATATTGGAACACAAGCGTCAACCCAGCGGTCTGGGTAGCAATGGCCCTAGTCGTGTGTACGGTACTCAACCTCGTCGCGGTAAAATGGTACGGTGAAAGTGAATTCATCATGGCCTCAACCAAAATCCTGCTCCTCATCGGCCTCGTCCTCCTCACCTTCATCACAATGGTCGGCGGAAACCCCAAACACGACGTCTACGGCTTCCGCAACTGGACCGACGGCGTGATGTTCGAATACTACACAGACGGCAACACAGGCCGATTCCTCGGCTTCTTTTCTGTCATGGTCTACGCAGCCTTCTCCGTCGCCGGACCGGACCTTCCAGCCCTAGCAGCAGGAGAAATCCAGAATCCGCGCGTGACCATCCCTCGCGTGGTGAAGATGACTTTCTGGCGTATTGTCGGGTTCTACGTCGTCGGCGTCCTGGCTGTTGGAATCATCTGCAACCCCCGTGACCCACGTCTCATGTCGGCTATTGACAATGGTGCCGCTGGATCCGCTGCCTCGCCTTGGGTTATTGGAATCGATAACCTGGGTATCCGCGGTCTACCAGATCTAATCAACCTACTGATTCTACTGTCCGGTTGGTCCTGTGGAAATGCCTATCTCTACAGCTCAAGTCGAACACTCTACTCCCTCGCCCGCGATGGCCAAGCCCCGAAATTCCTCTTGAAGTGTACTAAATCGGGCATCCCCATCAACTGCGTCATCACTGTATCGGTGCTCTCATGCATCACCTTCCTAGTAGCTGGCAGCTCCTCCGTCGAGGTCTTCTACTGGTTCGTCGACTTGACAACTATCGCCTTCGTGCTCACCTACACGGGTATGCTCTGCGTCTTCATTGCTTGGTACCGAGCCCTCAAAGCACAGGGTATTGACCGCAAGTCATTTGTTCCCTGGGCTTCACCTTTCCAGCCGTACGGAGCTATCCTGGCCATTATCATTGGTTGTTTGACGGCTCTTTTCAATGGTTTCTCAGTTTTCAAGCCGTTTAGCGTGCAGGGCTTTGTTACATCTTACTTCGGTCTTGCGTTTTGGGTTATTATGTTTGTTTTCTGGAAGATTTTCCATCGGACTTCCTTTGTTAGTGCTATCAACGCGGATTTGTACTCTGGCAAGGCGGAGGTTGATGAGGAGTGCAAGATCTGGGAAGAAGGCGATTGGGAGGAGAGGAGGAAGGCTGAGCTCGCTCAGATGCATTGGGTTCGGCGGGTTTGGGAGAAGATGTGGTGATTGTATCTTAAATTATGTCTTACGTTTATGTATGATTCTACCTTTCTTATTCAAAACACTATTGTTGTCAGAATAGCCTTGACGAAGAATAACTAGATACTCCTTTACGAGTGATGTGGAATGGTCCACTTACGTATCAAATGCTACTTCTCTCCTGATAAGACGCCGCGCTCGCCTCTATAAACACATTACCCTCGTTATACCTCATCTCAATTCATCAAAATTCACACAATAAGATACTGATCAAACCAGGCAACAGCCTGAGCAAAGACCTGCTCCTTAGCAAACTTTTGCCTCGGCTTAGACAAATCACAGCGGACAGCAAAGCCATGCTCTACATCCGAGAACAGATTGATCTGATAAGGGATATCCAACTTATCCAAAATCTCCTCACTTTCATGTCTTTTAGCAGACGTAAAAACGTTGTCTCGAACTACACACACCAATCTTGTCAGAATACCCATTCCATATGATAAATGAATTATCAGCGTACCAGCAGCAGCAATACTTAAAGGCCCCTCAATACCTTGCAACTCCTGGGCCTCAACCATAGTTGGATGTGCCGTGAACCCAACATCAATCTTGCCGGGCTTCAAGTACCGGCAGACATACTTGCCGCCAAAGCAATAGCCCACACCACCAATTCTCTCACAGCCGAGATTCTCCCGCATCGCTTTGAGGACGGTGTCGATTATTGGTTCCGTTTGAAGGGGTAGATGGTCCTTCACCCAGTCCATGATGCTGAAGCCCTCTGGTCTATTGATTGGGACTACATCGCCGTTGAATAGATCTGGCATCATGACGAAGTATCCTTTTGAAGCGAATTGGTCGGCTATTAATTGAGTATTGACTAATCGGTGGCCCATCACATCTGTTAGAATAAGGATTGCATTTTTTGTAGATTTGTTTTCCGGGTACGCGAAGTAGGTTGAGACTGTAAGTTACTCAATTAACGGACGAATATGTACGAGCGAAGCGGGTGATTTACTGTTGCCAACGTTTTTGATCTCACCTTTTGCTTCACCATTGTGGAGGGATCCAATGGTGCAACAGTAAGATAATTGATTGGACGTCATTTTCTCCGTTTATTTCGAAAGTGGTTCGGCTGGGAGCTCTGGTTGAGTATAGAATATGGCCACTTCAGTGGAATATCGTGGTATTTATATACAAAAAAAGGCACTCGGAGATAGACAATATGCACTCTAACTCCAGTCCGTAAAATCCGCAAAGTCCAACATAACTCGGGTGAAGCAAAAGAAGAGAAACAAAAGATCTACTGGACAAGTCGGAAATGAAGCACCATGATTGGTCAGATGAGGGCCGTGCTTAGGGACACGCACTCGGGCTCGGCGGATTCTGCTGGGAAAAGTTGCCCATCACAGCTTCGCCAGCTTAACAGCTTAACACACCTCTAAACACCACCATGTCGTCCCGCTCAGCATGGCGAGCTCTGCACTACAGTGCAAAGCGTCGCGCTTTCCAACCACCCACCCCCTACCGCTGTTTCTCCTGCACCACCCGCGCCCAGAACAAGCCAGAAGATGAACGCATGACACACTTCGGGTTCACGAATGTGCCCGAATCAGAGAAGGAGACACGAGGTAAGGACAGAACCCAGGCACCCAATTGACCATCTCAACAATTGAACTAATCACCGCATCCACCCACAGTCGGCGCAGTCTTTAGTTCCGTCGCCGCCTCCTACGACCGCATGAACGACCTAATGTCCCTAGGCATCCACCGCCTCTGGAAAGACCACTTCGTGCGCTCCTTAAACCCAGGCTCGTGTCTACCAGCCCTGACAGCCGACCAACGCGGCTGGAACATCCTCGACATAGCCGGTGGCACCGGCGACATCGCCTTCCGCATGCTAGACCACGCAACAAACATCAACCACGACATGGAGACGCGCGTAACAATCAGCGACATCAATGCCGACATGCTAGCAGAAGGCCGCAAACGCTCCCTCGACACGCCATACTACAACACGAACCGGCTTTCGTTCGTCGAGGCGAACGCCGAGCACATGCCGCATATCCCGGACGCTTCGATTGATCTGTACACTGTTGTGTTTGGAATCCGCAATTTCACGGATAAGCAGGCCGCGCTGAATGAGGCGTTCCGGGTTCTTAAGCCTGGTGGTGTTTTTGCGTGCATGGAGTTCTCCAAGGTTGATAACCCTGTGCTGGATGGGATTTATAAGCGCTGGAATTTTAGTGCGATTCCGCTTATTGGGCAGGTTGTTGCTGGGGATCGGGATTCTTATCAGTATCTTGTTGAGAGTATTGAACGATTCCCTAGTCAGGAGGAGTTTAGGGGTATGATTCAGAAGGCTGGGTTTATGATTCCTGGTCAGGGCTTTGAGAATTTGACTGGTGGTATTGCTGCTATTCATAAGGGTATTAAGCCGATTGTTAAGGCTTGATTTGGGGATGTGGTGTGGTGGGGTGTTGTGAGGTGGATGGTTTGAGAATGTACTGTATATTTAGGCTTCGCATACTGTTTGTATTATCAAGATATATTATTGGGATTGATTTGCATCGTGTATAATGGGACTGAGCCATGTGGCTCGGCTTCTTTGAATGTAATGTGCAAGAGCTGAAAATCTATGTAAACATGCAAAAGTAACAAAATGGGTGGGCGTAACATCGTCAAGCAGAGGTATGGTGATGCAGGTGGTATGTAAAATCAAACAAATATTTCCAAGAGAAAGAAAAAATGGATTTCTTTTCAGCGGATCATGCACTCAGGAGATCCTCTGCTTCCATTACTCCGATGCAACTGTCGGGGTAGTTCATGTCCTTCACTACAGCAACCACCGATATTGGGTGCCGTCCATTTCGGGATGCAGATATTTTATGTCGGAGATCGGCGAGTGGTGTTGAGTCTGGGACCAGGAGCCACCTACTTCGATGGATGGCAAATGGAGTATTGGGCTTCTCAGTCATAATATTGGAGACACGCATATCCATGTTTCCACCCGGCGACAGTAAAGAGCGGGTCTGTCTGGGAGGGATGATTTCATGAGGTGACAAAAAGACCCATGATTTGGCATTAGGGTGCTGAATTGCTGTAAGGAGGATATCGAGTAATCGCACATCGCCAGGTGAAGACGACGATGGAGACGAGGCAGTAGGGATTTGGTCGAGGGAAATCAACATATCTGGAGAAATCCGGCGTTGCGCAGGTGGTGATTGAAGGTTAAAGGGAGGAATCAACGGAATACTGCCAATCTCTTCCCACGGAAGCGATAGGGATACAGATGAGGCCGGAGAGTCAAACGTTGTCGACATGCCACTCGAAGGCGTTGTCAACGGTGTACCCGCTGCAGCAGCGCCAATAGCACCACCAGGATGGAACCCTCGAAAGACCTCTGCAGGACCCTTGCCAGGAGCAGTATGCAGCTTGCGTGCTGTAGCAATCGCCAGCGCATCACCTAGTGACAAAGCGACTGTCGTCGAGGAAGTGGGAGCGCTGACACCAAAAGAGGCATCTTCATCCTCATGAATGGGAGCAGGCAACAAAATGCCCATCCCAGAAGGCCCATGCAATGTGAGCAACGGACATGCGGACGGATGTATATGAGAAGTAAGAGCGATAATAGGCACCGAAGCAGGAATATGCGGAAGCAATGAAAGCAATTCAGGCGAACGACCCGAAAAAGAAATTAAAAGGATAGTATCATTCTGTGCCAATGAAGTCAGTAAACGTATTCTTCAGGTTTCTCGGCCCAACACCGGTGCAGAAACCATCAGGGCCGCAATGCAGACTGCAGACATGCAGGACTTTTGCTTACCGGCCGAACCAATCCCAGATCCCCATGCAAAGCCTCAGTCGGATGCAGGAACGCGCTGTACACGCCCAGACTATTCATTGTGGCCTCGATCTTGCGCCCAACCTTGCCACTCTTGCCCACGCCACAAACAACCAATTTGCCGCCATCCCGCACGCTGCGCGCAATTTGCTCCACGGCGCGGGCGAGGTCGTGCTGGGCTCGCGCATCGGTCTGGTAGATGTGTTCCAGGTGGGCGAGGGCTTCTCGCTCGGTTGAGATCACATGGATTGCTGTTACGACGGACGAGACGTCTTTGGTTGTTTGGGGATCGGAGGAATCGGGAGGGGTGAGTGGCCATTTGGGGAGGCTGTGGCTGCGTTCTTCGGTCATGGCGGAGATTGGGGATTGGGGATTGGGTTTGCTAGATCATAGTGAGGTGCCAGGGGTTGTACAGGGAGGGACTGAGGGACTGGAATTGAGTAGAGTAGCTCTCTCGGCGTCTCTCTTGGAGGGCCACAAGCCGGCTAATTGTGGAGAGATCAGAGATCAGTCGATAACGGAAGATAATGCGCGCCGTAGTGGGGGACCGGCTATACTTCACTTCACTCCGGAGTACTTTACTACTTCACTACGTTATTACTTGATTTTTTTGTTTCTTTAACTCCGATTGTGAATCGTGTAGAGCCTTGATGGTGTCATTCTATGCTCTGATGGTGAATGTGGAGGCGACTTGCCTTTTCCAGTATTTCCGAGGCCGATTTATGTCCAAATCGAGAACAGAAGATTAGAAATTGATAAAAACTGGAGTATATACTACATATAAAGTATCTAGTTTATATTCAAGACTAGACATTTGAGTAATACTCTATTAGATCTAGGTCTATTTAGTCGGATATAAGCCAAAAATAGTATGTACAACCCGTTAACCGTTTTATTCCGAGTGCGGGGATCAGGTCAAGGGCAAAAAGAGAACTCCAACTCCAGTAAAGCAGTAAATCAGGCAGGCAGGGGTATCGTATCGGGATCGCTGAGGGTCATTATGTGTGCATTTCCAGGCAATCTCGTCGCATCATCCCGATCGTCCCTCTTGCCGCTCTTTGCCCTTCTCCATGCCGTCATCCTCATATAGATGGTGCTGCTCAATATAGTGAATGACGGGGACAGGGATGAGATAGCGCACACTCATCTCACGTCTGAGGAAGAGTCGGATCTTGGTGCTACTAACATCATTCTGGATGAGTTGCTGGATAACGTGAATATTGTCCTTCCAGGGTTGCAGACTGGCCAGAGCCTCATCGATGTCTGTGCCACTGCGCTCGACAATGAAGGACTGAAATTATGTTAGCGGGCCATATCTTTAATAGCAATCAAACGTAATCCAAGGCCAACTTACTCCGTATTTACCCAAAATGTGGTCCAAATCCTTCTCACTCCACACGCCAGGCGTGGACATGGTATGGATCAGATCCGCGCCCGCAAGCAGAGCAATGCGGACAGGCTTCCGGGTTCCATTTCCAGCATCCACGCCTTTACGCACAGTATTGATCTCATGGTCGAAATGGTCCAACACAACCGCAGTCGGCTGGTACTCCTTCTGAATAGGCTCCCATGTATCGACCATCAACCAGTCGGAGGTTTGATCAACCGCGAGTTGGCACATAGCCACCCTGCACAGCACAGTTAGCCGAGTCGGATGGTAGAGAGCGGGAATCCCCTTACCGGTGCTCTGCGCTGGCGAGACCCGCCTTGCGATAGGCATCGGACACAGGCGACAGGTATCCTCCGATGAGTTCAAAATCAGAACTGAATCTGACGTGATCGGCGGCCATTTCGAACATGCGTAGATGGAGATAAGTAATGGGAGAGAAAGAACCACATGCGACCAGCAAGAGGGGGTCTTCTCCGGGTCGCTCATCGTGCGCTTCAAGCGCGAGTCTGGGAATGTGTACTCCTCCATCGGAGTGGGGTTTAAGTGGGCGGGCGCCTGATGAACGTCGTCACTCTGCTCTCCGACCATTTCCGTTGACATGTTGGAAAATGCGGAGAGAATATAGGGTCAAAGTCCGGGGTAGTTGAAGGGGAGAAAAGTTAAGTTGGGTGGACGAATTCTCTCAATGGCGGGGGGCGAACCGAAGGCGGCAAGGAATGCTCCGGCGAGAATATAAGAATATAAGAAGAAGAGAAGTCGCTTTCTTTTCTTTTTTGGCCCCGAAGATGAGATTCCGTGATTATTAAGTGTTTGCTTCATCCTCGGTGAGTCAATTGAGGGCTCGGGGCGCCTCCGTGATCTTCTCTCCGGATCGAAGGCCGGACTTGAAGCTAGATCCTGAGCCTATATACATACTAGACTTTACTATACTTATACGGTGGCTTGGTCTACTAGGTACTCCCAGGCCAGATACAAATGTGAACATGGTACTAGTGCGTTGTAATAGTGCAAATAGTCAAACAGTCCAATAGTTCAAACATTGGAAATATCCCTGAGTGGACTCGTCTTATATCATCGTTGCTCTCCGCCTATGTCCGTCCGTCACCACTTTCCACTTCTCCTTCACCATCTTCCACTTCCAGTCCATCTTTCCTTTCCACCTTTTACTGTCCACCTTTGATCCCATTGACAAGTTTCCCTCATTCTCTTCAGCTCTCCCGAGCAAGGCGGATGGCGGGTTGATGTGACGAACACTCAATCGAGCTCCCCAGACCCAATAACTTATGGCCAGACAAAGGCCCTCCTCCAACCGCCAGGACCCTCTCGAGGATTATCCCACTTCCCCAGGCACTTCCACGGCCTCTTCTTCCCTGAGGTAGTTTCCCACCCACTCTGCCTTCCAAGCCCTTCCCCAACACTCACTAGGAGAACCTTGTGGATGACCCTGAGAGCACGTTCCATCATTCAGTTGCTTCAGTTCGGGGACAAATAACGCATCCTTGGTTATTGCTACCATTGCGAGGATTGTCACCTTTCTACCCGATCTGCCTTATCGCTTTGACCGCTCTACACCTCTCTTTCTCTTTCTGTCCCCTCATTTCACATATTCACCGTGGACTCTTTCTCATGTCATCCAGAATCACTCGCTCAGCCGCGAGACTCGCGACAGACCCTCCTCCCCCTGCTGAGTCCAGTACCCAACCCGCCGCTGGCTCGGCTTCATCCCGCAAACGCAAGGCATCCTCTCGCAACGATCGACAGACCGACACTCCGGCCCAGCCATCGCCTCCATCACCTCAACGGAAGCCCAAGCGACCACGTACGGCTGCCCCACCGACAGCGCCATCTACTGGCTCTGTTGCAGTTCCCCGCCGCACTCGTCGTGCAACCATGTCACAACCCGGGTACGAGATGCTTACCCTTACTGTTTGATGGGCGGTGCTGACAAGAATTCTATGTAGCCCGTCGTCCCGACCAGAGGAATCCAAGTCGGCCACTTCTCCACAGCCCGCCCGGAGAAAGACAAGTCGGAGCGGTGCGTTTTGTTGATCACCATCCGTCCTTTAAACGGATACGGATATCCTTACTTGATAGATGCTGATGTCTCTCTCATCCTGTAGATCGACCCGGAACCACACAGTCTCCCCCCCGACGTCAGAAGAAGCGTACGACGAAGACAAACCCTGATGTCATAATGCGAGATGCGGAGGAGGATCTGGAGGAGGAAGATCAAGAAGAACAACAAGAAGAATCCGCAACAGAAGAGAGTCATGATGGCACCAACCCGTCCGCCTTTGATGATGACGATATGGATCCCTTCGCCAACAGCTTATTTGGTGGGCGAGGTCCCATGGGCCTTCAGAGTACCCTCCGTGCCCTCACTGGTATGATGTCCGGCATGTCTTCCCGACTTCGCGATATTCTCGTCAACCTGCGGGCAAAAGACGACCCATCCATTCAACTTATCGCCCTTCAGGAGCTCTCGGATCTGCTACTTGTATCAAATGAGGATAATCTTACCGGACAATTCTCCCCCGACCCGTACGTCAAGGAGCTTGTGACCTTGATGCAGCCGAATCAGTTCGGCGAGGAGAACCCCGAGATCATGCTTCTCGCCTGTCGCTCCCTTGCCAACCTCATGGAGGCCTTACGGGGCTCCGTGGCCAACGTTGTTTATGGTGGGGCCGTGCCGATCCTTTGTCAGAAGCTTCTTGATATCCAATTTATCGATTTGGCCGAGCAGGCTTTGAGCGTGAGTTGTTCTGATTTCTTCATTTGATCACTTCCACTAACATATTATATAGACATTGGCTAAGATCTCAGTCGATTTCCCTGCCTCAATTGTGCGGGAAGGTGGACTGACTGCTTGCTTGACCTATCTCGACTTCTTCCCTACCAGCACCCAGCGAACAGCAGTTACAACAGCCGCAAACTGCTGCCGCAATCTCCCTCACGACTCGTTCCCTGTTGTACGCGATGTCATGCCCACCTTGCTAAATGTTCTGTCCAGCAATGACCCCAAGGTTGTTGAACAAGGTTGTCTCTGTGTGTCACGGATTGTGGAGAGCTTCAAGCACCGCCCTGAGAACCTGGAGGAACTGATTGAACCTGCCATGCTCAAGGCTGTTCTTCGGCTGCTACTGCCAGGGACTACTAACCTCATCGGTCCTCACATCCACACACAGTTCCTTCGAGTTCTGGCAATCATCTCTAAGACCAGCCCTCGACTGTCAAATGAACTTTTCAAGATGGATGTAGTTGATACTCTTTATCAGATCTTGACGGGTGTTTCTCCCCCACAGGACGTGGACAGCACCGCTGTCAAGATGGACAGTGTGCTGGTCATGCAAGCATTGATCCACCGACCCCGCGAACAAGTCTTCGAAACTCTCAATGTTATCTGCGAACTACTGCCCGGTGTTCCTAGTCGCGAGGCCTCACGGACGGACGCCCTTCTCAGCTCATACTTTGACAGTAGCATGTCTATCAATCTGAAATCTTCCAAGACTAAAGATGCAGTAGAGGAGAGACGATCTCTGCTCGACAACTGCAAGACTCAGCTCAAGCGATTTGCCATGATCCTTTTCCCCACCTTGACCGATGCCTACTCTAGCACGGTCAATTTGCACGTCCGCCAGAAGGTTCTTATTGCACAGCTGAAGATGCTGCACATTCTGGAGCCTTCCTTGATTGAAGATGCCCTCCGAACCGTTCCATATGCCTCCTTCCTAGCTTCTATCCTTTCTCAGAAAGATCACCCATCCCTCGTGTCCCTAGCTCTACGTTGCTCCGAGCTTCTGTTCCAACGCCTTGAGCATGTATACCAACATCAGTTCCATCGGGAAGGAGTCATCTCAGAGATTGTCAAATTGTCAGAGGGCACGCTCTCCGGCAATGAGCCTCCTGTCACATCCGATCCTGCCGATGTGGAGAACAGCACAAATCCCTCGCATTCCCACCGCGCAGAGACTACATCCCACCAAAATGAAGATGAGGACCAAGATGAAGATGAAGCCGATGACTACGATGACGATGAGGGCGATGGCGAAGATGAAGACAACGAAGACATGTCTGATTCCGATGAAGACTTGGCCCTGGGCCCGCGGAGTATCGAGAAAATGGACAGCACCATCAACGATCTTATCATTCGAGATGCGCAGACGTTCCTGGAAAGCTATGAAGAAAGCCATGGCGGAGCAGTCCGAGCAGAGGCCCTTAAGATCTTGAAGGAACTTCAATCTCTGGCCGCTGATATACGCACATGCTATTCCAACGGCAACGGCGATGGCCATGCCTTGTTCAAAAAGCTTGCATCTTACTTTGTCGGGGACGCTTTGGAGAGCATCACCAGCTCCGAACTGCTCAACTCAGGCATTGTAGAGGTCCTCCTGGATGTTCTCGGTAATTACCAAGCCCCATCCATCCGCAATGCTCGAGCTGCCTTTTTGCAAGCCTTCATGGGGATTCCAATCTCGGAGAAGGCTCAGAGACAGAGTACCGCAACCACCCCTTTCAGCGTTTTGATTCGGAAGTTACAAGACTTGCTTAGTAGGACTGAGCATTTCGAAGTTTTAACTGTCAGTCATAACTCCCTGGAAAACACACGCAGCAATGCCAACTACATGTTGAGCAAACAGCTGCGACTCAAGTTGGTTGCGGATGACGCCTCTGAGATCCCCCGCCCTTATCGAAATCTCATGGTGTCCATTCATGCCATCGCAACCTTCAAAGCGTTGGATGACTTCCTCCACCCTCGAATCAGCATGTCTGAGCGTCCTCGACCGTCACGACCTAGGGATTCTATCCTTTCTCAAATTGCCAACGCAGCGCGAATGCGTGATCAGCTCCCTGGCTCCATCCCTTCCCGACATCCACCAGGGACCATCCTACCTAGTCGCGCAGGAGGCCCTCGTGGGCTTGCCGCCGACACTGCTGAAGAAGGCGATACTCCTACAGCTGTACGTCGCCGATCTCGCCGCACGGCCCTTCAAGAAGAGGAAGAAGAACATGACGACGAGCCCCTTGAGTGCGCGGATGAGAGACAATTGACCGATGAAGAAGATGAAGAAGAAGAAGATGAAGATGAGGAACTCAATGCCATCGTTGATGATCTTGATGAGGATCTTGAGGATGATGGTGTCTCCGACCCCTCCGCAGTCAACATGGAAGTGGCGTCTTCGGGCAAGGTCACAGCTCGCAAGGAGGACGGTACTCGCGTCGGAACTCCTTCTCACGGTGCAGCCTCCAATGCTTCGGCTTCAGCCCCGAGCGTTGGTTCTTCCAACCCCATGGGGAACGCATCTTTGGCTACTGCTGGCCGTCCATTCTCATCCTACGCTGCTGCGATGGCTTCCGTCCCTCAGGACTGGCACATCGAGTTCCTTGTAGATGGCCAGCCAATTTCAAGCGAGACCACAGTCTACCGTGCTGTCCACCACAATCGTGAGCATTTGGATGAAAACAGTGCCAAGAACGTCTGGTCTGCTGTCCACACAGTCACATTCAGACGGGTCCCTGGCCCTCCACCTCCAGAGCCATCGACTCTCATCCAGGTCAACCAAGATTCATCCAATGGTGACAGTCTCGATATGCCCGCATCTCTCGACAAGGACAAAATCACAGCATCCATTCTCTGTTTGCTTCGTGTCCTGCATGAAATGAATGCGACAATTGACGATATTCTGACAGAGAACAAGGACTCGGTTACAATTACCCCAGAGCCCCTGGCCCAGTTTATCAACACAAAGCTCACAGCCAAGATAAACCGACAGCTGGAGGAGCCACTGATTGTGGCAAGTAGCTGCCTTCCAAGCTGGAGTGAAGATCTAGCCAGGCTCTTCTCATTCCTGTTCCCATTCGAGACTAGGCATTTGTTCCTGCAATCAACCGCCTTTGGCTACTCGCGAGCAATGATGAGATGGCAAAACTCCCAGAGCGAGGATAGCCGTCGCGATATGCGCCGTGATGATCGCCCATTCCTCGGTCGACTGCAACGCCAGAAAGTGCGCATTTCCCGCGCTCGCATCCTTGATTCTGCTATGAAGGTCATGGAGCTGTATGGCTCTTCCCCTAGTATACTCGAGGTTGAATACTTTGAGGAAGTTGGTACTGGCCTTGGCCCCACTCTTGAATTTTATTCTACTGTTTCCAAGGAGTTCTCTAAGAAGAAGCTGAAAATCTGGAGAGAGACTGAAGGTGCCTCTTCCGGAGCGGAATACGCCTTTGGAAAGCGTGGCTTGTTCCCTGCTCCCATGAGTGATCAGCAGGCAGCCCAAGATTCCGGCAAGAAGCAATTGAACATTTTCAAGGTTCTTGGAAAGTTCGTTGCGCGCTCTATGCTCGACTCCAGGATCATCGATATCTCCTTCAACCCAGCATTCTTCCGCATCGCCGATACCCTGTCTTCTGTAGCCCCATCTTTGGGCACTGTGAAGTTGGTTGACGAGGAGCTTGCTAAGTCTTTGATCATGCTCCAGCAATTTGTCCATGCCAAGGATGCAATTGAGAGCGATAACACCCTCAGCCCCGGCCACAAGACAGAGGCTGTGCAAGAGATCACAGTGCATGGTGTCAAGGTCGATGACTTGAGCTTGGACTTTACGCTCCCTGGATATCCCGCCATTGAGCTTATCCCCGGTGGCTCTGATGTGCCGCTGACCATCGAAAACGTCGATACATACATTGAGCGCGTGATCGACATGACCCTAGGAAGCGGTGTCCGTCGTCAAGTCGATGCCTTCCGCACGGGTTTCTCTCAGGTCTTCCCATACTCTTCTCTTCGGGCCTTCACTCCTAGCGAGCTTGTCATGCTTTTCGGACAGGCGAAGGAAGACTGGACTATTGAAACTTTGATGGATACCATTAAGGCTGACCATGGCTTCAACATGGACAGCCGGAGTATACGCAATCTGCTCCAAACCATGAGCGAGCTGGATAACCAGCAACGCCGAGACTTCCTCCAATTTGTTACAGGTAGTCCTAAGCTTCCTATCGGAGGTACGTTTCCCAATCTTTTTCTGTACAGAAGTAACCCAGCTAACAATATATCCACAGGTTTCAAGAGTCTCACACCTATTTTCACTGTCGTGTGCCGTCCAAGCGAACACCCCTACACCCCAGATGACTACCTCCCCAGTGTGATGACCTGTGTCAACTACCTCAAGCTCCCCGACTACAGCGACCTGGACGTTTTGAAAAAGCGCCTGTCCGTCGCTATCAAGGAAGGCCAGGGAGCCTTCCACCTCTCCTAAGCTGAGATCGCAGTCACAAGATCATTGCCTGATTTTGGATTAAATTTTGTTTTCAGAGTGAACTCGCGACCCGATTTCTGCCCTCCTTCTTCATCTACCCATCTACCCTGATCCATTGCTTCCAATGTTGCTTCCTCTTTCGCCTTCTCAACCAAGGCAGAGAACGCCCCATTTACGATTCGACGATGTCTGATTTACTTGTTTTGAGCTCTATCCCCCCATTATTAAATTCCCTTTCCCTTGCCTTGTTTTTCCCTTGGCAAATCCCCCATTCCCAAGTTTTCGGACGGGCTGTTTCACCCCTTTCTTTGTTTCTTTTGGCCCTTTGTTTTCATTGTATGCCATCTGGGTTGAAAGGCGTTGTGGTGAGCTTTCCCTTTTCAATAGTGATTAGATAGTAATCATCACTATTAAAAACAAAATCCCTAGGTTTTCTTTTTCGGCGTAAATGGTTGGTCAATAGAACTAGGCTACGTAGCCCGAGTCACTGCGTGGATTCTGGAGTCAGGGTCGCTTGCGGTTTTACGCTTCGGGCTTGGGGTTTGGGGTTTCGTGCTTATGATGTCGTTTTTCTAAGGCACATGCACTGGGGCAACTCCTGGCGTGAATCAAATATCTCTGGCCAATTCCTTCTTACTATGAGAGGGACATGGGTAGTCATAACCAACGCAAAATTTACCACGGCAGTTATGGATCTACTACTGCCCCTATATAATGGTATAAAGGTATCTCCTCGATATCCGCGCAATAATTTAGGCGAATTAGCATTTCCATTCTGGTACGGCACAAAAATGTCGATCTATGTGCTAAGTGGACCATATGTCTCAGTGTGCTATGAGGCTTGGTAAGTTATTGGCTTTTAGAATTTGTTTCGCGCTAGTTTCTTTTTACCATCACAATTATTTTCTACAACGGGTGTCTGTCAGCTGAAAGCACGTGTAATTGGTCACTATCTGCTCTTTTGATACCTACCTCATCGAGTCGGGTGAAGGTTTTACGAAGTAAACTTAGATATTCCTTTACTGGAATATGTGTAGTTTTAATCGTGTTAACCAAAGGCAATTTTTCAACTCAATCTGTGCATAATGTCGAAAAATAGACATCAAGAAAAGAGGAAAGTGTTCCTCTTGTACAGTAACATTACTGTATAGGCCTATTGTAGTAGTTCTTCGGCCTTTCGAACCCCTGCTCCGCTCGATCCACTTTTGAGAAGAAAGGGAAGCCACTTACGTTTGCAATTGTCTGTCAGGAATGTACTGTAATTGTGGGTTGTATTGTGAAAATGTTGCATCATTGGGCCAAGTGGCTATTTTCTAAACTTCAAGGAGATGAGTGATTAATATGTACACAGAATGAAAGGCGATATCCAGGGAATGGCTAGAGCTCCAGTCCATATCCCGGACTTCAATTTTAAAATGGACATATTCCAGTTCGCTCCATGGCCAATGTTTAAGACAAACAATGTGTCTTAAGGGAACAATCACAGTCCACGCAACGGGTGATATGGCTAGTCCTACCAAAACCAGAGTAAAATAGCCCAACCATTACCCACGCCAGCCAATTCTGACGCGCAAACTGATCCATAGCATAACGAATACCTTCAGTGCGATCGAGAAGGTTATCGCTCATATCGATTTGCGTAAACAATTGAAGATTCGACAGCTCCTTTTCTGGTACTTTTCGACACATAGCGATCGTTTTGGTCTCCGAGAACGCAAAAGAAGTGCCGAAAATAGCATAGAGTCGAGCCATCGGATGTTGATTTAATGATTTCCAATCTTTTCTCACCCAGCGAGGTCGTATTTCCCAAGGAAACCGACGAATCTTCACCAATGATTGCCTCCATGACTCGAAGTTCAATCGAGACCGGACTCCACTGACGGCATGAACACAACCGTGTGAGCCCATGGCCAGATGACATAGTAGACGATCGGCTACTACATCGACAGGGACTTCATCGCCAGTGACATCCGCCGTTGGATCTTCCATATTTGTCGCAATCTTGAGACTCCGAGATGGGGATAGAGCAAGTCCTGCAGCAATCATTGTATACGGCGACGACATGGGCATGTTGTACCCTGGAAATGGTAGGCACTGAGCCGGTCCGATAACAGATGGACGCACAATAAGGAGTTTCTCACTTGAAGAAAACTCGGTGAATCGACTCTGGAGCATTCTTTCAGTGAGGTGTTTGGCATAGGCATAAGCCCAAGGGAAGTTTTCTGCTTCATATGCCTGGCTCTTGCCATGTTTTCGAAGTTCATTCAGCTCGTCGAAGGCGTGGTAGTGGTGTTGAAGTTCGTATATCTTTTCGTCGATTTTCACGTCCGTTTTTTGACTCCGATGATAGAGATGTGCGTTGGCGTATGCGGTAGAGACGTACACAAAACGGTCGAGCTGAGTGCAGGAGAGAGCAAAATCGGCAATCATTTCCGTAGGATCGATAATTGTTCGAGCCAGGCGGTTTAATGGTTTTATCATATTGATCGAGGAGGCTGCATGGATGATGACATGGATATTGTCGCGTATGGCATTCAGATCTGGGTCTTTGATCCCCAAATTGGGTAGTAGAGTGTCACCATCAAGCACAACCAAGCGAGTTGAATGGTTCAGCCTTTCTAATGTGCCATGGGGAAGCCATTTTCTCCACCTGGTTTGAACTTTCCTGTATAAACAAGATTAGAGTGAGATCTTGCGTGCGATGGATACACTCACTCCTTGCCGCCTCTGCAGATTACATAGATACATGACGCCGATGTGCTGGTGAGCAGGCGATGAACGACTGCTGTACCCAAGAATCCAGATCCACCAGTCACTAGGATTGATTTCTCATTGTAGTACTCCCACATGTCGAGATTGTAAATTTGATAACTTGATAGAGCCAAGAGCCATATTCTTGGCAGAAGGGTCAAAGAAGTCTCAAGAATTGAACTTTATGAGCATTATTTACCACGTGCGGTCCCTGGTTCCTGTTAATCCCTAGTGTGAGGTCATTGCAATTTAGAGTTGACTCCTTAGAGCATACCATCTGTCTTCTGCGCCGCCATGCCGTGTCTTGGAATGATACGTATCGCGATCCCTTGCATAGAGCTTGGACTAGGCTGTCAATCATTAAAAACGCGTAGATCTGGTATCTGGTTTAACCTCTTTCATTCCAAGCAATAACTTCCCATGGGCAAGATGCGCGGGGAGAAGTATGGAGGGGCTTCCCTCTATTGCATGGGGCGTAGATATTGAAACCTGCATTCCGTATAGCGTTTGGATCCACGTGGAATCTGTCTTGCTTTTTTGCATTGTTTCCATGTTTCGAAATATGAGTCGGTCTGGCTACGCTATTATAGTAAGAAAGTTTATAGTTCAGACTATATCGCTTGTTTGTCCTGGGAAAGCAGCAATCATCACACTATCAGTAACGTGGGATACGAACATCAGACTACAACCTTAACGTAGTCCACAGCCCTCGTTAAATGGTATTCAAACTAAATCAATAGTTTGCCTTCAAAGTTAGGTACTGATTTAGGAAAGAGCAGCCATCTTATGGCTTTTACAAAATTTGAATTGCGATTACACTGTCACATAGTAATTAGCTGAACGTACAGAGAGCACTAGAAGATGAGTACTAGTTATGTAATTCAACGTAACAATACCCATGCTTGTTTGACTGCAAAAGCCGAATCAGTAGCGAGGAATATAGTATTTCAACATCATGCGTTACACTCAATTCATCCCCTCATAATGCATCTGAATGAGCTATCCCCAGCGAGAAGATCAATGTTGAGGTTTCAATTTTTTATTTTTATTTTTATTTTTATTTTTTGGGGCAAGAGTTATATGGAAGCAACTGTTTTGAGACTTCTATACTCGGAACAAAAAAAGAAAGAAAAATTCATGGCTAGTTTGGCTATCACTAATTCAGGATAGTAATCTGGAATTCTACGAACATTAACGTTATACGGTAATTCGAAGTTTAATTGATCTTAAAGCGTGATTACTTGTACAAATGGTAGGAAGAATTAACTTATATCAAGACCGCCTTGGCCGCATGTGAACATGATATTAACACCCAAAGCATCCTCATATATTAATTAACACATTCTATCGTTGTATTACATTCCATTATATTCCACCGTATTTTGAAGATCTCAAATTACTCAGCCTTCTCATGGACCCAGTTCTCAAGAACTTTGTCCATCATATCACCCTCAAGCAAGTTCTCATAGACGATGCCGACCCAGCCACCGATGGTCTTCTTGCCCTCGGTGGGGAGACCATTCTGGTGGTTGTACAAAGGATCATCCATGATGCCATAGTGAGCAGGCACATTAAGCTTCGTGCGAACGAAGTTATATAGCTGAGAAGTACCATCACCAAGCTGGGAGGCAACATCGTCGGAAGAAATAGTGGGGTTGGGGTAGTACATAGCATCGGCAGTGGTGGACACAATGCTGTGGAAGTTCTTCTTAAAGGCAATGATCGTTGAGGCGGGGCATTCAGGCTTGTTGGCAGCCATGAAGTCACTGACGGGCGACATAACGGCCTCGGCAACAGACACGACACGGTCCTTCCAGGTGTTGGTGTTGGCCTTGTACCAGTTCTTCTCGATAATGGGGAAGAGGGACTTGCTGAGAGCCTCAATCTGCTCAGCGGACAATCCAAGGCCGTGCAGGGCTCCGAATTCAGAGGCGTCCTCGACCTTGGTGCGGAGAGTAGAGAGGAAGCGCTTGTGGTTTGCGCGGATCTCGGCAGCCTGGCAGCAGACATAGATGTGGCAGGCGCTCATGTGGGCCAAGATATCGGCGGCTTCCATAGTGCGACGGGCAGAAATCAAAGCAAGGGAATTGATACCCTGGTTGTGCATCTCGGCGGACATAACGTGAGCAGAGACGGGGTGGGCCAGGGCAGCCAACTCGGACATGTAAGCGGACATGTTGATATCGATACCCTTCATAGTGAAGCCTTCCACGGCACTGGCGTTAAGGTTGGCCTCGAGACCGTTGTTTGTAGCGGGGTTGATAATCTCAGTAACCTGGGACCAGAGCATGCGTCCAATCATTTGAATGGCCAGACGGGCCTTGTCCATAGCGGAGGTAACAGCGGTTGCTTGGAAGTTTCCGCCGTTCAACACCTGGCCGCAAGTGGGGCTCTCGGGGTTGGTGTCAACCAGAGGGTTGTCTGATGTGGAGTTGAGCTCAGTCTCGAGCTGCTGTTGGGCGAGGAGGAGGTCCTCAAGATATGGTCCAACCCATTGGGGAGCTGTTCTTGTAGAATAACGGTCCTGGCAGAGACCTTCACCGAACTTCCTTTGCGACTCAAGGCCAACAACATACTTAGAACCTTTCAGGAAGCGGCGGATGTTGTTTGCGGCCTCGATTTGGCCAGGGTGGGGCCGAACGTCGTGGATGAAAGGTTGGGTCCACTCGACGTTTCCGGCCAAGCACTCGGAAGAGAACGCAGTCAACATCTGAGACAGCAACGCGAGCTGCTGAGTATCATACAGCGCCAAGCTGGCGACTGCTACGGAAGGCGCAGTACCGTTAATGAGGCCAAGTGCTTCCTTGGGACCGAGTCCAGACGGGGCAAGCCCGGTGATCTTCAATGCCTCCGAAGAGGGCATAATCTTGGCGTCGGCACCCTTGCCCATCTGAACAAAGACATCGGGGTTACCCATGATAGCTCCAGCAATGTAAGCCATGGGCATGAGGTCACCAGATGCGGAGATGGTTCCACGAAGGGGAATGAGGGGGGTGATATCGTTCTTGAGCAAGTCAATCAAGCTCGAGAGCACGGACTTGCGGATGGCACTGTGTCCACGGAGGTTCTGGTTGGTACGGGCCACAATGGCGGCACGAGCCCAGGCGGGAGGCATGACATGGGAGGGTTGACGCTCCGAGTTGCTGGCAGGGTTCTTGTCAGCGGAAGTGATGATTCCACTCTGAATGAATTGGAGCAGATGCGTTTGCAGCTTCACAAGCTCCTTGGTTCTGGTGTCAGCACTGCCACCGAAGCCAGTGTTGACACCGTAGATCACACATTCTTGCGCGATGTTATCGGCGAGGGTTTGGACGGAGAGGTCAAGACGCTTGGCAATCGCTTCGTCGTCGCTGATGGTAGGCTCGACTCCGTCGCGGGCCACGGAGACGATGGTAGAGATGTCAAGGTTGTTGCCATCGAGAACAATGTTCTCCTGCTTGTCCTTCAACTCACGCGCACGTCTCAACAGGTGAAGAGTGGCGCTCATGTGAGCCGACTGGTTGTGCCTTGTCACGGTCATGATGGGCAGACAGCAAAGGATCCAATGCCTTAACTAGAGATGCTGTGTTATAGTTTGCTCGATTGCGGTATCTAAAAACGATAACAAGGATCCGAAAGAGAATGCAAAAGCTAGAGGAATGCAACAAAAAAAGAAGAGGAATGGAGGAAGGAGAAAGACAGGGAGAGCGGAGAGCCAGGTATCTATTGTCTCCTTATTTCCTTGACCGAAAAGAAAATTATGGTCAGTGGAAACCGGTTCACAATGATAGTGGAGTAGAGTTCCTCAGCTGAAGCTCCCAGGTGGATCTGATTCAGTGCCGCCATCGACATCAGCGTGTATTTTAAGACCCACCCCTGAGTAGACCCACTCTCAGCTTAGCTCACTGGGCCCACATATGGCGCTAAATGTCCATTTTGGGATTAGTCTAATGCGGATCATTACCCACATGGGCATCAACCAAGATTGAATCTGCGATCGGCGATATGCGGCCTTTTACACGAAAAAGATGATCTGAAGATCTGAACCACGACGTGCCGTGTACGGTGGGTCGATGAAAAGGGGCAGAGATTTTCTTACACTAGTAATACATATAGCCTATCGGACCCATCCGTAGCCCAAACAATTGTCAACAAGAACTCCCGATCGGATCAGATCGGCTTTCTTGCGGTTCTACAGTACATGGGTTGAACTAACTTTGCTGGCGCGTTCTAGCGCGTATTACCCACTCCAAATAACCCACCTTGTTTGGACCTCCTTAAATCACATTCTGTCGTCTCAGTCCCGGTAAACATGTAGTGGAAATCGTGCGAAAAATGGCGGAGCTTTCACCTATTACCCGATTGAGTTTCCCACTCCGAGAACGACTCCTTTTGTGCATCACCACAGCTCAAAACAAAGAGCAGTTGCTTTCTCGATAACGTTGTCAAAGAGACTGGGATGGGAAAAGCTCTAGAAACTGCTGGGTGTTCCATTGCGTAATATGAGCATTGCAATCTGCCCTTCCGCGATAAGCTGTTTAGGCTAGCGATTTGACGGTCGATCGCGGTCTCCCCCAACAATACTCAGCCAGCCATTCACGTGCATTTCCTAACCACGAGTCCCTTGCTCGGCCTACAGATGGGTTGTTAGGTATTACATGTTCAGTAAACTCGTAAATCCGGTATATGTAAATGTACTGTGAGTGGGGCCCTCATGTTCCATAGCATTTCATTGGCAGGATTCTTGGTGGAGGTGTCAACCCATAGATCTGGTTATTTGTTTTCGCTTTTCGTCGCGCTTTCCATGGAGGGTCAGTGCGACGGGATATGCGTTTTGCATTCATCACATCACAATAGTCGCGCAACACCAAGGCTGAGCTACCCTTTGTCAGGCACTGATCACCAGCGAGTTCTAACACAATTACACATGTTTTTTTCTCCTATTTCTCATTAAAATGTGCTGAAAAACAGAAGCATACTTTTCCTTTTTTATAAACCCAACGCCGCTTAATTTACTCTATCTTACGGCTCATTGTATCTCAATCCAATCTGATTTGTGACTACTAAATAAATAATGACGAGTCTTCCATTGGTAGGTGTCATCCGTCGGGGTCGATATTATGCATATGTCTACGGCTGAGGCTGTGGATTGACATGTACATGTATACATATGTATAGTAGTTAACGTTATGCACTAAAATCTCCTTGGCCTTATTATGTGGTGGAACCCGTCATGAATTGATCTTCAATCTTTACCCAAAGGGATGGAAACTCCTTGCATGTAGATGTACATGTACGGAGCAATCCTGTAACCACAAAAGTTCTTTTCACTCATCCGTTCACCACGACTCCGCCGTTGGGGTGCAAACTTTGACCTGAGATAAAACTGCTGTCTTGACTTGCCAGGAAGACAAAGCATGTTGCAACCTCACTCGGTTGTCCCGGGCGACCCATCGGTGTGCCACTAAATTGCTCCATAGCGGAGCTTGTCATTGTTGCTGGTATCAGTGGAGTCCAGACTAATTTCTGTCAGTGCTGATCAAACTATGTCAGGTCTGTTGAACCTACCTGGTCCAGGACACACGCAGTTTACACGTATTCCATTCTTCACTTGCTGATTAGAAAGCGCTCTGGTGAATGCAACGATTGCACCCTTCGTTGAAGTATAGTCAAGCAAGTCGGGACGCCCAATATAATGATTGACTGAAGCGCAGTTGATAATCGTCGATCCACTCTTCAGGTAAGGGATCGTATACTTTGACAGATAAAAGACGGGATGAATATTCGTGTCAAATGTGCTTTCCCATTGTGCTCTATCACAACATATTAATACCAGAGCAAGGGACTGGGGGAAGTCAAACATTAGAAACTTACTCCTCCAAATCTTTGATGTCGTCGAGCATGGTTTGGGTGCCAGCGTTGTTCACCAGAATGTCAATGCCGCCCATGTTGTGAAGAGCCGTTTCGACCACCATTTTGCAATTTTTCTTATCCCGCAGGTCTGTTGCTAGACATAAACAACTTTGGCCTACTTCTTCCACTCGACGTTTTGTCTCCTGTGCATCTTTCTCCTCTTCAGGCAGATATGTGATCAAGCTAGACGCGCCTTCCATGGCAAACAGAATAGCGACCGCACGTCCAATTCCTGAATCGCCGCCGGTTATGATAGCTCTCTTTCCTGACAGCTTTCCGGCTGCCTTGTAAGTCTGGTAGCCATTATCCTCCGTCGGAATTTGTGTTGACGTGGGTTTTGGATTCTCCATTTCAGCCTGCAAACCGGGCTTTTTGTGATGCTCGATTGGGATTTGATGTTCTGCAACATTTGTCAGAAAGCTTGAAGATTCATGCAACTGAGATGATCCAACCAGTCTGAAATTGGGACTTGGGTCCCTTAGAGGGCCTTTCCACCTGCTCTTGCATGTTTATAATGTTCCGTTCGATTTCGTTTCTAGGGTACTGGTGCGGATGATGAAATATGTTCAATTGCCGTGGATATGGAAATCCAATTCACAATTAATTCAATAATTTCTGGTTGAATCAAGAGAATTGCGTGAAGCGAAATTCTGATGATGTTTTATAGACAGGCGGTTTCGGGAAAAGGACTGTCGATCTCGTCAGTATGACGTCTACCTATTGGTATCAGGGATGCCCAACCATATTCGTTATGTACATTTCTGGCTATTCACCTTTTCCTATACTCCAAAATCCTGTTTCATGGACTCTCTGCTTTTTGCCATCCTATTTCATTGACAGGTTTTTGTTGTCTCCAAACAGGCGTATAGGGTCAAAGTGGGGCATCCGACTTCGTCTAGATTTACATGGTCCGGTGGAAGTGATGATGCAAAAATTAGCCGCACAGAACACTGGGATAATATATTAAGCATTTTGCTAATGAAACAATGTCATCTGTACGAGGGTGATGTAGGGTATAGTTGAGTCCGGCAGAAATATATCTTGGCGGTAGGTTGTATACGGACAACTTCTGAGAAATCTGTTCCAACGGCATATCGCCAATTCATACACAAAATTATAGACGGGACTGATAAAATTTCTGTGCTCAGCGAGTATCTGATCATACACTGATCATCCTCAAAAACCTATCACCCAAGGCATTTGCTGCCAACGGATTACCTCCAGTGACCAGTTCCCGATGCAGCGTGGTCCCGCCAATCTTCTCAGGCATACCTTCAACCATAACAGCACCTTCATTTCTCAAGGCCGTCTCGACTTTCTCGATCTCCCCACCGAATAGTTTTTCCATCATTTTCTCTTCAGTATCACTCCAGCAGGTAATTTTATACCCCTTGTATACAAACGACCCATCACCTGCCTTCTTTGTACTCAATAGCGCATAGGGTCCATGACAAATGGCAGCTGTAGGTTTGTTCTCCTTATTGAAGTACCGCAGGATCCGCCCCAGCTCCGGATCTTCGCCCAGGTCTTGAAGGGGGGTGTGTCCACCAGGGATAAAGAGACCCGCAAATGTGGCTAACTTCTCATTGCTGATGGTACTGAAGGGTAGAGGATGACTGAATCCGTTCTCACGTTTCATGCGTTCGATGAGTTCAAGTTCGCGTCGGCGTTCGTAGAAATTGCCCGCATAGGCGAGTAACGATTCGCTATTTGGGTCTGTGGTAGGCTCTTGGCCTTTGGGGGAGGCGAAAGTCACCTCGTGACCCGCGTCGAGCAGCTTCTGTAGTGGCTTTGCAAGCTCCTGGAGGAAGAACCCCGAGGGCTGATCTACCAATTTGCCGGCGTCGGATCCACTGGTTTTGTGGAGAGGAAAAGAGTGTGCATCGCTGAGGATGATCAGCACTTTCTTAGACGGCATTGTATATTGCAATTCTGGGTTGGAGTTTCTGTCACTTGAGGCAGCGGAATAAAAATGTAAAGAGAATGGGGAGTCTTTTATCTTTCTGATGCAGCATGCATGACATCGGAGTGACGTATAGATCACAACGCATGGAAAAGCCCGTTGATACTTGATCGACACAAGGTAAACCACGTTTAGGTTTCTGGTTCCTCTTTCTGAGGCAAAGCTCTTCTCTCATGGAAATTCTTGCCGGTCAATGATCATAAACAATGGGCAGCTCCGGCGCCCCGTGGCTGCAACCCCGCCGACAAGACAACGATCCTGAGTCGATTACCCAGATATTTTGTATGCTCTTGAGGCTTTGTGATATTAGAGCACAGTATTTTGTCCATTGTGAGTATTAGGTTGGACCAAGCTAGTCAGAATAGCCTTTACTCCGGGCCGAATACTACACTGCGCGCAAAGGCAAGACTTAATAATCCTGGGAAAAGAGCTTGCACTGCCTGTTCATGTTATTCGCAATCCACCAAAATAGGCATCAGACATGCACACATTGGTTTGAGTCGCAATCGTAGGGCGTGTATGTTGCGCTGTACTGTAGCGGCGTATCTCTCCTGCTGGCTGATTATTCGCGTCATACTTTAAAGGTAGACAAGCACCCCTCGTACAACACGAGGGCGATTCTCACTTAGCCTCCGGCCATACCTAACCCCAAGACAGCCCTCACCTACATTACGGTTTTCGTACATGTACCAAAACAGTACCCACCTTGGCACAGCACCCCACCCCACTGCTAGCCGTATGCAAGCCACACGCCAGGGATGTATAGCAGTAGTGAATGTTAGTTGCTCTCAAGCGAGACTGTATTATTATATATAGTGAGATATTAACGCTAGTATCTGTGATAGCTCCATTAAACTAACCGTGTCAGTTCCTGTTATGTTCAGTAGCTGAGCGGTGCTGGGAATGCCGGTTCCTGCAGATCTTTATTAAACCCACAAATTTAGGTTTAGGCAAGGCCGAGACAACTTGATCAGCTAAAAAGTAATCTTGGTTTGATTTTTAAGGCTATTTGATTAGTGCTATGGGGGCAGCTATTGGAGTTTATCGGCTATGGATCGTAGCTCGGCCCAATCAAGTACAGACATTGTGTCCACTGGACCTTTTTCTTCCACGCCAAACCTGCCTCCCCGATACAGTAATAAACAGTCCCGCCTGCATGTATACAGCAGTACAGGCAGTGCTGTGGGTGTGTGCAAGCCCATGAAGGGAGATGTGGATGTATTTAAACGTCACAGCTCACTTGCTTGGTGATTTGAAAGCAAGTGAGTACCTAAAATAGGTCAGTGTTCGATTCCCTTTCCACCATTTTGTTGGCTTGAGGCCCTAGGACTCCTCGAATGGCTTCCAAATCAAAGGCCAAATGTTGAACGAAAGGGGTTACGGGTGTCTTCCGTAGTGGATAATATCTCCACTTTGCTGAGCATGACGGTGGCTTCGTCTCTTGTTATTGGGGAATGACGAGACCTAGAGGGTCACACATGACTTATTGATACCCTTATTGGCTCCATGTCAGGGTTCCTAAGTGGGTATCTAATGGATGAATCAACTGGGCAATCTCCGTGCTGTACTCCATATACCTACAGTAGTTCGATCCAACAAACCTAATAACAGGTTTACCTAGCCCACCACGAAAAAAGGGTTTAAAATACTTCTTCTCCTCCCCTAACATTCAATTTATCTCTCACATCTTTCCAACTCTTACATTCATTTCCCACTTTTACACTCTTTTGCCGCTCTCCACACTCGTTTCACATTCATTTCAATTCCACACCCAAATACCATCATGTACGCTAGCAACATCGTCCTCTTCGCCATTGGCGCCCTGACCGCCTCCGCAAGCCCTCTGCTTCAGCAGCGCTCGTCCTACACCGCTTGCCCCTCCGGCATGTACGAGAACCTGCAGTGCTGCAAGACCAACGTCGTTGGAATTGCCGCCTTGCAATGCAAGGCTCCTTCCAAGGAGCCCGCCAGCCTGGACGAGTTCAAGAGCCTCTGCGGCGCCCCTGCAGTTTCAGCTCTGTGCTGCACGGTTCCTATTGTATGTTATACCAATAATCCAGAAACTTATCTGCGTCCGAATAAACGTATAACTGACAAACTATATAGGCCGGTCAGGATGTTATTTGTATGGACCCTCTCCCTGATATGTCCGCCATGTCGTCCATGGGAGGATCAGGCTCATCCGGCTCATCCGGTATGCCCTCCATGGGATCTGGTTCCACTGGCTCCACTGGTCTGCCCTCCACCCGCTAGAGCGTCTTTGTCAAGGGCCGTTGCTTCGTTTATACAATCCAGAGTATCATTCAAAGCCCGGCGTTTTTGATTACGACTGAAGTTGACATTGCCCTGGGATAACGGGTTCGGAAATTATACCAGGAATATGAATAAACATTTTAGATAATGTTAATTGTATATCATTCTACAAGTCATCGAGCTTAACACGAATGTAGATTATCAACCATTGTACACAAAGACACATCGCATAGTGTTGCTCCACCTGTCAGACCAATCTCTCGAAAAACGAGTGGATAATTCCCTCATTACTAGCCTCGCACTCTCTAAGCTCCACTGTACCATCTTCCTTCAAGAAAGTGTTTGGCTGCACAATTTCCACTTCGGCTCCGGATTTGACGCGACGATCTTTCTCCACGTCTCAATCTCACCATCCACGGCACTCAGGATTCCGTAAAACGGCCAACATGCCTCCACATCGGCGGTAGAGTGCCATATATGGATCTTGTACAGCAGTCGTCCGATTGAAGATTTTCCATGCGAGATGAGTTGAGAGCGATCAACGCGAACAAACAGCTTCCTTCTGCGACATTATGTTCTATACTTAGCACACCATCGTCGTCTTGAAGAATATGCTTCACTATTGCAAAAAGAGCGTCTAAAATAGAAGCGACGATCAGTTATTCATGCTCTGCTGTCCTTCAATGTGAGAACTTACCTGATCAAGATCACCACACCAGGCTTGGTCTTGAACCCCGAGACTACGAAGTACGCCCAGTCCTTTACAATAAAGTAAAGATAGGTGTTATAGATGACTGGATCTTGTCGGTGATATCAATAGCGTATATTGCTATGGTATTTGGACACTCACGGTCATCAGCAGAAGGTGTGATGTTTTCATCATATCCAAACATGGCTCCTTGTTGTCGGCCAGATAGTAGGCAAATAGAAAGCCCGGCATTCTTCCACTATGAATGCCAACTTCCCGAATACACTGCTCCACGTTCATAGTGGTTTACGCCAAATCTTTATAGGGTTTTCTGTTACTGGGCTGATCGGCGGTTTGAAGTGATCACAGTTGAACTCTCCAGGGTTGGTTCACTAGGTAGTTTCCCAGAGCCATGGCTAATGAGCCCATGTATGACTGTAATGTTGAATCTTACGATATGGGCGCAGTTCATGTATACCTCTTGTCAGGACATGCATCCCGCCTAGTGTATCAGGCTGATGCCTCATGTGTCGGGCCTTATGCAAACCTCCGGTTTGGTCTCCGTTTGATGCTCATGCAGTCCTCCTTAGGGCTTTCGGCTTGGTAGCCCTGGTTCCTCCCATGCTTCCATCTATATAGGGCTATAGCTTCCCATAGTGAATGAAGCATCTTATTATTAGTATTCAGAAAAGCTTCCCATTATAGCGGCCTCAGCGACACTAGACGGCGTTTAAGTTCTTTACTAAAACTAAAGGTTTCTCGATATCGAGTACTTCATGGCATAAAGCCCTCGTATGTCTTTCCCCGGTGATTGACATCACAGAGTCATCGTTCTTTTAAAGTCTTCCTGCCATGGCAGTGGAGTACTACTCATCGTGAAAACCTCACTGAAATGCCTTAGCGACGTTTTCTATAGTTCGCGTTAAATGAGGTAGTGCGCCTCGTGGTCTTTGCTATCTTCAGGTATGTCTTCGTCGAGTATGCGCGGATCAACAGGCTGGGAGTCTGAGAGAAAAACGGTGTTTTATATGTACGCTAGCTATTAATGATACGAATTGAAAGTCGAATGAGCGCAATATGCTCAGGATACTTGGAGCAAGCCAGTCGAGATCTTCAACGAAAATAGATCTATTGGAGATGATAGCCCTATTCGGAATATGAATTGCAGTTCAATTTACCAAACAAGCATTCAAACTCTGAGGGGCCTTTCGTGACAGCTCCCTCAACACTTTGCATCATAGAGAGCCCCATCTATTCGGCAAAATTTGGTCATTTGCAATCTCTTTGAGGTCGTGGATACCCGTCTTGTATCAACGCCGCAATGCGCAAGGTAATACGTTCTCCGTGTGATAAGATATCATCAACGTCCTCTTTTTCGTTGTAGCATCCATGTTTCACGCCGCACACTGAAGAGACTTCATTCCGATCAAGTAAATCACAGACAGCTTCAAGAACTGCAAGACCGTCGGCTAGCGCACTGACAATCTCTCCCCAATTGGCTTCATAGGTATCTAAATACCACGAAGTTGTCTTCAGGCATTCATTCAACCGCCTGAACAAAAGTATTAAAGCGGCTGCGATCTTGTTTTCTTGGTCAAATTCGACGCTCGAAAGACTTAGTACCTGCGCTAAATAGTCATCGTGCCGGTCAAGTTGGTAAAAGCCATTGGCCACGAGACAGGCGGGTGGAAGCCGATAGCGCGGTGGGAGACATAGTTCAATGGGGGCCCAGATAAGAATTTCTACCCATCTGGTATCCCTCTGTCTCTCAGCTGGCTGCCGTAGCCTAAAGACTCCATTACGGTTACCGCAACTTATACATGTGGAAAGCAGTACGTCATCCGCAAGGCGCAGATTGCAGCAAGCTTGGGTGATTGAACGGAGGACCCGTGTGCGTTTCTCAATATCATCTTCGCGATAATTAACAGAGTAGCTTGGGTGCATACCGTCGACGCGCTTGGCGCGTTTCCAGAAGTCAACCGAGAGTTCGGTACGGCGTTTGGTCAGAAATGTGCTTGGTTCCTTTTAAAAGATGAGACAACCTTTCTAATGAATAAGACTAGTTGTAGCTAGCCTACCTTTCCCATGCATAGAATAACATCTGGCTTTTTCGCTGCTAAGAGGAGTTCGTATAATTTGTCGCGTTGGCAGCCTCGAATAAGAGTGTTTTGCTCCTTGGATATGAACGGCCTCAGATCGAGGACCGAGGCATGATGCAATAAGCACAATATACCATTCGAACCGATCTGTAACCCTTCTCTCAATGAACTCAATGTTGGACATTCCGATATCACAGCGTTAGCCCCTTTGTGCCACGGATGTCCTTGGAGCGGCTCTTAGGGAATGACCCAGTAGGCCACCGCAGGTAAATGGCCCAGCAAGCGATCTTGTGACATTAAACTCTGCATCTGAAAGTGGTATAGATCGAATTTGACGGATGTAAGAAATGATATCGTGGAAGGCTTCGCTATAGGATTGCAAATCAGGTGAATATATTTCAAGTCCAGAGGTCTGAGCAGTAATTGTCTCCATAGTTGTGCACTAGTCCGCGTCACAGAAAGACCTTACCTGGAAATAAATACTCATCGCCGGCTCAGTTTGACATTTTTAAGCAACTGTCAGATGAGTTTCAACTAAATTCATGAATCATAATGATGATCAGGACCGAGAATGATTCGTTGTTGTGTCATAAGTTAAATGATGGACGTCATACTAGATAGCATTTTGCTCGGTCTGGCTAAGTAACTCAAACCCAACACCATGTGTGGAGAAAGATACAGTAGCTGACAAGTTCGGCTTCTACAAGATTTACACTCTTTCGCTCTTTCCTAGCGCCACATCCGTGCGCTAGTCTGTAATTAGCTTGCGCTGTTAAGCATTTTACCTACGTTATTTCTTCGGGCTAATGGTAGATACTTATTCATTTTTTTCCCTTATTTTTCTTAAAATATCAGAAAAGGTAAACGGGTAATATAGGAGCGGCAAGCCGTTCTGTAAATACTACGAGTTCTAGAAGATTCGTTGCATATTAGGCTATAAACAGACTAATGCCTAGAGAGTCTAGCAACGTGTTGTCTTCTTTCCTTATTAGGAGACTTCTGTAATAACCTTATGAACTAGTCGCGCGACTATAAAACGGCTCTCACCTTGAACCCACCCGGGCGACACCCATCCGACCACTGGCCGCACATAAGCCATACAGAGTAGTGAGGTCTTATCTATACGGCCTTTGTAAGTCTAAGTCCTATATAAATATCCTTCATGTTATAACAAGTACATACGACCACAGGGTGTGGAGAACAGGGCTTCCCGTCCGCTCAGCCGTACTTAAGCCACACGCCGGTAAGTTAGTAGTTAGGTGGGTGACCACTAGCGAATCCTTACTGTTGTATGTTTTTCGTTTTTGTTCTCGGGAAGAAGGTAAAAAACGAATATCTTTGAATCAACTCTTTTAAGACAACGTCTTGCGGTGGTTCCTGAAATGCCCGACGAATGCGTCACTAGCTTGGGGGCGGTTACAGGGGTCCTTACCGCCCTGTCCTGGACCCTTGTAACGTCGCCACTAACAAATCCGGGATAAGCATGCCATCAAGCAACCCAGGAATCCGTGTACATCTGGAGAAAGTCTTTTGAATGCGCCTGTCTATTATTGCGCACCCTACAAAACAAGCCCACTCCATGGCTCAGCTCAAAACGGAAGCACAAATTCAAGGATCCTCGTCTGGTCTGTCGCAAAGCTCAAACGCCCGTTGGCTCGCTCTCACGCACCGCAACCGTTCTTCACACTCATCCTTTCTATATGGAGTCAAATCCACAAAGATTTACTGTCGGCCTACCTGCCCTGCGCGTCTTGCCAGAAGAGCCAATGTTGTGTTCTACGACACTGCAGAGCAAGCGCGACGCGATGGATTTCGCCCGTGCAAGAGATGTCAACCAGATAATGCGGACTTTGCCGGAGACAGGGGAGGAGGTTGTTACAAAAGTCATAGAGCTCCTGCGGGTAAGGAAGGATAATTTGACGATGAAACTTGGCTTGAAAGAGTTGGCCAAGGAAGTCGGAGTAACGCCAAGCTATCTGTGTCGTGTATTCAAGAAGACGATGGGCATCACGGTAGGAACTTACTTAATGGAGTTTGAGAAGGAGTCCAGTGAGGATGGGACGGAGAGCTCAGCGCGGACTCCCAGTCAATTTGGGTCGGATGTGAGCTCAGGGACAGGGTTGACCCTCCCAGCTACAGAAGAGAGTCTCCAAGTGCCTTTCGGTGATATGCAGGGAGGAGTGTCAAAAGAAGGAGTGAGAAATATCGCGGAGGCTCTAGACTTGAACTTTAATTTCCATGAGTGCTGTGCCAATATTGACGATCAGTTCTGGACTGAAGATTATTGGACTGAGGACTCCTGGAATGCAGGGTTCTGGAACGAAGGATCCCTGTACTAAAGGACTAGGGCCCTGACGAGTGACGCTTGTGACAATGTTGAATTCTATTGGTCAATGTTTATAACTGCTTTAATACATATTTTCACAGAGCCTTGTGGGTTTCGTTTCACCGATAATCTACCACTTAGTCCTCCAATCCCATCCTTTGACTTTGATCCTGACCCATAGAAAAGATAGAAACGCGGCCACATAGCTCAGTCCAGCAAAAAGAGCCACGCCCCAATACTTTTCTTTTCCTTTGGCCTCTACCGCACTAAGAAGGCCTCCTGCGATCGGTATACTTACTAGTACCCCAAAAGATACTGCGGTGAAACAGGTCGCGTAGTACCGCCCATATTCCTGAGTTTCGCAAAGCTGGCCAAGGCAGATTGGTGTCAAGCTAACATTGGAGCCACTGCAAAACCCAAACAGTAGAATAAACACGATGAGGAGTGCGTAGTTATCCAGACTTGGTACGACTATGTCTGGCAACCAGAAACATAGAACTGATACCGTGCAAAAGAATAAAGAAACAATCATCGTATTGTATCGGCCGAATCGATCAGCCATATCACCGGCCACATACCGGCCCACGCATGAAGCAGCATTAAGGATTGCGAGAAGCTGGTATGCGAACGCCGACGACCCCGTCAGGGCCTCATCTTGAGAAAGATGCTGTCGATCGATGTAGTAGATTGGCGTGTAGGTGATAGGAATGAAATACGCCAGATCCGTCAAAAGGACACCAGCTGTTGTGACTGCCATTGCTCCAGTTCCGTCGAAAAATATTTTTGGGTCCGGCAATGTATCTCGCCAGGTCGTTTCTGCTCCTTTCCGAGGGGGGACTCTGCTTCGGCAAAATGCCACGCTGATAGCACAGAGCGCAAGTAACACGAATCCCAGTATACGTATTGACCAACCCCAGCCAACTTTAGGGAGAAGTGCTTGTATCATCAGGGGGAATAGGACGCCGCCGAAACCACCTCCAATAAAGGCTATCCCACTGGCGAGGCCGCGACGTTTCATGAACCAATGGGCGACGCATCCCATTGATGGTGTAAGGAGCAGGGATGAACCGATCCCAGTCATTATCGAGAAGGAAAGAAAGATCTGATAGTATTCTGTGCCGTCGTTAGTAGGGAAAAGAACTAGTGGCAGATCGGGCAAACATCAAACTCAGAATGGGTTTAAAGATGAGGCAGTGTCTTTTGAAACTCGATCTTACCTGTAGATACACTGAGCGTGAAAATGCCGATCAGAGTGCAAACCGATCCGGCAAGTATCAGTACGCGAGGACCCATTGCATCAAACGTCGGACCAACTTGCACCCCACAGACCCAATTAACAAAGGCGTAGACCGAGAAGATCCAGCCAAGACTAGATGAAGAAACATCCGGTAAAAGTACTCTTGAGATAACGACTTCGAAAACCCCAGATGTATTGTAAATGCCCAGCGATGAGGTCAATCCACACCATGCACCAAACACCACTAGCCAGGCATCACGCCCACCCTCAGGATAAGTAATCTCGCCATCGAAGGGGACTTGATCGTCTGTTGGGAAAAGGGTTCGTGATGCTTTTTCGGTGTCGGGAGAAGAAGGATGTTCGTTGCCAGAGGGCATCTCCGTTTTGTCATCCAAGACATCCGAAGGCCCTATTGGAGGAGAACCGTGTTCGAAAATTGGCCCCATCTTCGGCATGTATTGTCAGTCATTCGATTGCTCGTAGCGAAGAATGAGTAATGACGTGTGATTGTGACTCGCAACTATTCGGGCATTTTTTTAGCTATGTAAGGAGGGGAATGCCTGGTAGTTATAGTGCGCATATCTCCAAATGTTTACACGTGGTATGACGTTTAAACACAAGAGACACCACTCAATCAGGAACAGAGCAAGGTAGAGGACCAAAGAAAGCAGAACATATGTACCAAAAATGGCCAATCAGAGGCCAGCGAACTCAAAGTAACCAATCAGAGCCAAGATTTGTCCCTGTACTTGAATTAGCCAATCAGAGCCAACTTCACATCGTGTACTCAATATAACCAATTAATACCTAGCTTAGTCTGGGAGTACGTAGTCAGATGCACACTTTTGCTATGATAGCCTAGTAAATCGGCAATGGAAGGCAATATGTGAGATCAAAGCGATCAATCAAAGCTAATGCAAATGGTACTCAAAATAGCCAGTAATCGGCCTACTCTTCCCTCATATAGGTTTTGGTTTTGCCAAACTACTTGCCGAATGCCAGGATAGCCTGGGCGCAATAATCTCTATGATACATATTTTCCAAGGATTATAATTTCAAAGATTTACATTTGTCGTCTGAGTGCCAAGATCACCAAATTCGTCCGAGCAGTACCGAGTAGTGGTTTTCAAGTTAATAAAGACTGGTAGATTCATTCTAGCTATAAAAGGCAATTGGCAATACCCGAAAGTAGTCATAATCCGAATTCTGGTTTTATCTCCTCTTAAACTCAGCACCCTATAAACGAATGACCCTTGATCCTGCGACGCTGAGTGAATGTACCTCCGTCCATAATGAAATCAAAAATCAGTACCACCGCAACACTTTAGAATGAATTGGCGTAAGTTGAAAACAAATTTGTTCACCAGTATCCAGCTGACCGTCACACAACCCGTACTCCACTGCATGGGCTCAAATGCGCTTTTGGCATCCACCAAATCGATCACGCCTGCAGCTGAATAGCCTTGGGGGTGCTATTCCAGCTACCAGCGCCAAAAATATGCTCTTTGTCGTTCAGTTGTTCTCTCTCGTTTAATTGCTCTTTCTCGTCCAGGTGCTCCTTTTCATTAAGTCCGTACACGGTGCTGTTTCTCCACTGTTGAAATTCGAAAGCCGTCATGTTGGGATAAATGGCAGGTTGCCTATCCGACACAAACTTTGGCAAGGGGCCAACCGAGACATTCCGTTCAGCCTTGAAGAGATAGGCCATGGACATTCGGGGTGGAATCATCAGGCCGCTGCCCTCCTTCATTGCTTCCGGCGCAGTGACCTGGTGGATGCCTCCAGTGATCTTTCCATTTGTCCAGCGCGTCAGCGTATCGCCAACATTCACAATCATTTCTGTCGTATCAGTGGGTGGCAATGGAACAAAAGACTTGGTCTTCGAATTCTCGTCCCGGTCTTCGATTTCTAGACCACCAGTGCTGTCCTGGAACAGCAGCGTGATGGGACCAAAATCAGTGTGGGGTGCAATGCGGCTTGCCCGGTCTCCCTGCATCTCCTCAACAGGAATTGCAGGATAGTGAGTCAGTCGGAGGTCGGTGGCGCTGGGAACACAGCGTGCGACCAACGACCCATCATCGATACCCCAGGCAACCTCAAGCGCTGCCATGAGCGTTAGGCATGTATCATCGCATTGCTCGTAAAAGTCTTCCATGAAGCGTTTGAAGCCCGATAGCTCAGGTGCTTTGGGCCATTGGTTTGGGAATTCAGTGTCATAGCTGGGGCCTTGATCAAAATGCTCCTAATAGTCACGATCTGTCAGGCTTTGAGCGCTTCGGAAATAGGTGTCACCGATACGGACCTTGGAATCCTTCATGAGCCTAACCCTTTCTTCACGGTGAAGTCTCCCGACTTCCTCAACCCTCCACGGTGTGTAGCCACGCATGGGTCTGGGGCCTGTCTCATTCGGAATTTCATTCTTCACATCCAATGGCTGATCGAAGAATTTGTGACCCTTATGAGGAAAAAGTCAGTGTCTGTGCCAGTATAAGATTGTCCAAACAGGGCCTTACCCAGGTGAACAATTCGTTCAGTTCTTGTGCACTGAAGGTGTGGGCTTTGAGCTTCGCGAATCCAGTCCTCTCAAAGCTGTCTAGGAGTTCGCGAGCAAAAGTCTCACGCTGCTCTTGTGTTCCCGAGGTAAAGTGGGTATAGTCCAAGGTTGGAACGGCCATGATGAAGACTTGTGATGGAATGATAAGCAGTAATGTTGAGTCAAAATCGCTGGAAGTGCGAATCTGTTGTTTCTTTGTTGTGGTTGGCAATCGATAGATCTTGAGCTGTATGTTTTTTAACAGTCCGGAAATCATTTGGCTTTTTATAAATTTGTTCTGACAGACAATGTCAATGTTGAGTTCATCATCCACATGAAGCAGAACACTGACGACATGCCGTGGCAATTCTTCCCATCATACTCGCAGATCAATCACTGTCATGATGTGCTGCTGTACTTACTTTCTCCTAACAGGCCTCCCAAGGTTCTGAATCCTTCCGCAATATGTAAGCAAGGGGTTCATTCATAATTGGGCAGTTTTGGTTCATCAAGCCCTCGTAGGTTAATTCTTGATTGGGTATTTTTAGTTCATCAAAAACTCAGGAGAACGATCAGCCTAGTTTTCGATCTTTGCATAGCGCTAGAGGTATATTTAATCTAAGACCTGAGCAGTAATTTGCTATTTTGAGTACGCAGTCCATGCCTAGGCCTGCGTATCTAGTACTTTATGGTAGGTTGCCACTCGTATCTTATTGGCCATATTTGGTGCATAATTTGTCTACCTTCAGCTATAACCCACGCGATATACCTGTTCCATTTAGGATCTTGCCAATGATTAATATGTTGAGCTAGGTACATATTCATTGCTTAACTTTAGTTAGTCACTTTGAAATCAATTTCGTCACTACTTCAAGTACATGGCACGATCTTTAGAGTTTGATTAACCTCCGATCGTCAGGTGTCTCGGGGGTTTTTAAGATTTCGCAGCCGATGACATGTGACCATGGCGGTAGCACCGAACGATCATTATGAATTCACGATAACTGTCGCCTGTGGCTGATTGGCCATTTTCGGTACCAGAAAATTAGGGTCCATTTGTTTATTGTCTTGCACATCGCGCACTGTGGCAACTCAATAATTACTGGGTGCTATTTCTCCCGATTAAACTCTCTTCAGTTCATGACCCTTTTGGTTACGGGCCGCCCGCTTACCCGTCATGGACCCTTCTTCTCACGCTTAAGATCTATAAGTTACGTCTTGTGACTTTATAGCGACGAGGCTTTCATGTATTTTGTTCTGTTATATGAAGACCACGTTTATTCCCAGTTGATTTGAACTTCGCAAAACTGTCTATATAAGTTAGCAATTGCGTCGTTCTGTTTCCAAAACAACACATTTGTTGCATCATATTACCCCGCATGAAATCCTGTTACATTGCATAGCATTTAATAACTGTATCGTTGCGGCTCAATTGCAGCTCGGACTGTCCTCTACCACATAATTGGGCAATGCATCGGTCGACGTCAAATGATGCTATCTGCAGAATTCCCCCTGCCCACTCTTGGCAAGTACTACCATATTACGTCGCGCGGACTTGGCTATGTGGCACAAAACAAGTTTAGTATTTTATTCGCCTCCACAACAGTGAGTGCTTTCAGGTATGTGGCGGGCTGGAAACCCGTCAACCAGAGTAGGCTCCTTCACACGCCCATGAAATAGAGGATCCCTGACGCACATAGAAGCATACTATGAATATTATCCATGCTGGACCGGTGTTATTTTTCTGATGTTCACCCTTCATTCAGTTATATGAAGAGCACCTTTCTTCTGAAAAGACGGTATCGAATCTCGAACCGTATTGAAAGTCAACGTCAGGTGAGGAGAGGTTTTATAAATTACTGTAACGTTAATGCTCTTGCCGAACATACTGGCATCTCGCAAGCCCTGGGCTCGTTCGTTCACGATTCTGTTTGCCGTCAATCCTGTAGCAGCGATGTCCACTGAAATGATAAGGTCAATTCCTTTTGCGTAGTGCGTATCAAGGCGAACTACGATGGAAAATATCATTTTGGGAAGTAATATGGAAAGCAGAAGTCGCTCTATAATTATGGAATATTAACTGGCTTGTCTAGGTATTCATACCTGGATCCTCTGTTTCGCATGCCGGCAAGGTTTCAGGATAGATGAAGTAGTCGGATGATTAACGCCAAGTGTTTGCTTCTGCTTGATTAAGCAATCTTCTAGCAAATTGATGGCTTCGGGATCGTGACCGAAAGTTTACAGGTGAAAGCGGGATTATCCATACTTGTCAGTGTAGAGGGATTGCCTTGCCACGCTTCATCTTACGAGTTTCCATCACCTGCACGACCTGAGCTCACGGGCGAGTCGTGGGGGACAGATGTCAGTGTTTAAGTTCTATCAGATACCTCCTTCATATCTATGCCTGCAAAATACGACAACTGGGAGTCATATCGACAAAGCACACAAACATCCCACATGGGCAAGGGATGGGTGAGGATCGCCCTAGAGTCGTGAGACTGGGGTGAGAAGGGGTGACTGCTTACTACCTATATTAAGTTTGGTTGTGGTATTCTTTCACTTAGCAACATCGCTTACCTATATTCCTACCCAATCTAAGTCTAACTCTACCTCTATTCTAACCAGCCTACCATTGGATCTTCGAAGTCATAAACATCACTGCAGTCGAAGGGAGCCGTGCTCCTCAGCTTTGTCCAGCGCATCGGTAACGCGCGATCCCTCTCCCTCGAACAGCATCCCGTCGTAAGTCAACGCGCCAATAGTACAACCGACAATAGGGGCGAAGAGGGGAACAATGAAATAGTAGCCAGCCGCTGTAAACACTTCTCGGCCATAGATGATCGCAGAGAATAATCTGGGGCCAAAGTCTCTAGCGGGATTAAGAGCCTGTTATAATTAGAATAACTTCACGATCTGATAACCTTGTTAACATACGTAGCCAGTCTGCCAGCCCAATGCCGCGCCGATGCTAAGCAAGAGCAAAAACATCGAGAGCTGCGGAGCAGGGAACCGATGGGCATTTCCCGGGTCGGAGATGCTGAGGCAGCCAAACATCAACACGGCTGAGCCCAACACCTCAGCAAACACAGCCTCCCAGTTCGACTCGAAGAAGGCCGATGGATAGGTTGAGAAGATGCCCGCGGAATGGTGGCCAGATGGGCTCAGAATCGAACCCCATGGAATGGTATATTCGGGATCCCAAGCTTTGATGGCCGAACGGTAGTTGACATACACGATGGCAGCACCGACGAATCCACCCAGAAACTGTGCAACCAGCTTGCCTGGAATGGTTCTCCACTGTCCTGCAGATGGACGCACAAGAGCTGTGCAAATAGTCACGGCCGGGTTAATAGTCGGACCGGGATCAGACAAGTAACCGGAGAGGCAGACGGCAGCAGCCCATGCGATGTTGATGGACAACCATGTACCGTACTGGTAGTCGGAAAGCAAGCATTGGGCGACGACGCCATCTCCGAGGACGATCAGCAGAGCTGTGCCGAGGAACTCAGCCAGGTATGGCTTCAACGCCCGACGTGGGAACATATTTACAGTATGAAACTATGTGATCCAGCGTCCCAGGGGCTGCCACGCTGTTTATTTAAACGGGAGTGGACCTTGACGTCATCTGCCTCGGACTTGCCTAATCCGGATCGCCGACCTTGTTCCCCTCAATACATGTAGATTGAGACTTGTGCTATACATGTGCTAAGTTAACTAACACATACACGTACGCTACGCATAGCTATGCATATACATGTACATTCATTGCCAAGGCCTTGAAAACGCACCAATCCTACCCCTTCCCATAATCACGTTTGAAATCTTCCAGTCTCCTTGCTCTCATCGCAAGCAGCTGTCGGTACAATCCATAGCAGAATTAACACCCTAGTTCGCATCTTCTACAGCTTCTTCCTGGCCATTTACAGCTTCTCGCTTATCATTGGACCCACATCCAGCGTAAGGGTTATCGCAATTGACGCAGCGCTGTGCGTGACCAAAGGGGGCTTCCTCAGTTTCGACAGCCTCACGCTCATCGGTAGAGCCGCAACTAGCGTAGGGGGTGTACAAAGAATGCAGCAGCGCTTGGTGATTGATCCGAACTGTAAACTCGAAAGAGTTTTTACATCCTCACTGCTCTCAATAGCAGTAGTGAGACGAGTGGACTAGCAACACCAGAAAGCGTGAGAGAGCAAAGAAGGGCAATAGTGGGTGGAGAGTGCGTGGTGAATTGATGTCCAGTATTTGAACTGCAGACTCAATGGATGAGTCTGGACAAGTCAGACTTTATGTCTCCCTCAGAGAAAGTAAACAGCCCCATGTTGGGCAACAAGCAGACTTGACATGTCTTGTTGAAATGGGGGTAGAACGGGTAGGTGTACCAAGTAAAGCCTGTAGATCATTTACTTGTTGATCAGATAAGATAATTTATACCAGCTGAGTAGAACAAGAATCCATTTTCGGAGGTCTTTGATAAGATGTCTGCACTTCTCCGAGAGATTTGTGTCACCGATAGATTCGATCCCATGTTCTCTCGACCGTCCCTTCCTCTACATGAGAAGAAAAGGGAACCAACAACGTCAATTTGTAGACTTTTACAATATTCCTATTAAGCATTGCAACTAAAGTAAATCCATACCTCTGCTAGCTACTAGTGGGTGCTGAAAGAAGGCACCTTTCAGGACTCAGCCTTAGTTACACGCTATAGATGAGTGGACCACGTATGAAGCCGCAGGTCCATGGGTCAGTCCGAGATATAGGTGTAGCCAATGATAATATGAAGTATCAACCGACGCATGTCATATTCAAATATTGGTCTTCCGAAATGTTAGAGTTCCTTTCCGAAGAGTAAATGGCTCCAGTTTACGGCGGTTGTGCTCTCAAGCTTCGTGCAATACCAAGCCTCCCTACTAGCACCAATGCGTATGGAATGGCGCCAACTTATGGTACCAGAATTGACTATGCTTGTTCTTCAAATAGTCTGGAACCGTTTATCCTCGGTTCAAACTCTGTGAAAGTGTGAACATTTTATCGAGGATATACAGCCTGGTGTTGCCACTTCCTCGGGCCGTCCCGTCATTGGCAGAACTCGACCATGGAAGCCCTAAAAGAACTTAGAATAGTTTCATACTTATAACATGCCCGCGCGTTATTACCTAGACTACTCTTACGCTTCTCCAGATAAAACACTTTGGTCCAAACAAATTTTGGACAACTTTCCATGGACAATGATCTACGGGAGAAAATTTACGTCAGGTTTGTAGGAGCTTTACTTGCAAAGGAGGAGTGGAGTAACATAGCTTTAAAGTGCAGATGTGTCTTGTAACTTCTCAACACCCTTTGTCCATACAATTTTGTGAGAGGCTAGCTTGACGTTAAATTCGGCCGCGTAAGGTAGGTATCTACCTGGTAATAATTTAGGGAGTTGTATCTATTTCGTTCCTTCGTTACGCCGTGCTTCAACTATCCTTGTTATGCGGGGAGACAATGAGCGCCCAAGAGGACGTGTAATTCCAAACGCAAGTCAACGTATGTTGCGGCTGCTCTCCACCAATCATCCTATGGCTAAGTAACCCCACTGTACCCCGGAAACTACTTCGAAGGAGAGGCGATAGATATTTATGCCTCGGAATGCGACACGAAACTATGACCTTTGCTCCTCGCAGCGTTGCATTTCCACCATTGAAAGGTGGCTCGCAAAGAGTATAAAAGGGGTTCGAGCTATGAAGTTACACATACTCAGCTTTATACAGCTTGAAATCAATTGCAGTTGGCATATGTCACGTTTAAGCGACATGCAAATAAGCAAAATGAGGACTTATACATGTATGTTGCTAGCAGCTGTAGTGGGGCATCAGGGGTTGACCCTGGACCTTTTTGGAGACTAAGCATTGTTCCACTTTCTTATATGCTCATGTACTGTAGCAGTCCATATATAGTCTCCCCGCTTCCCTCATGAATTTTGTAGGGAATTCGGCCCCCAAATTCACGCCGGTTTCCTTTCCACCCGCCTCCCCACCTTGATAACATTGTTGGCCAGTGGCGGGCCCGTGTAGGCCGATCAGTTATAGCGTCGCTTGGGACACTGTCAATCTCCGATCTGGCCCGTGGCGGTTGAGCCGGGAATGGGGACGAGGCTGAGGTTTTTTATTTTTATTTTTATTCTTTTTCTTTTTAATGGGGGCCGGAAGTTCTTCCTTTCACACCTGCCGAGTTATCCATTCCTCCGAACATGCACCATATCCTTTTCCATCTCTCCCCATTCGTGTATCTAGTTGGAGCGAGCAAGACTTGCTACTATCCTAGCGGGGATGTCGCGATCGATGACGTCCCTTGTTTTTCGGGCGATGCGGACTCGCCATGCTGCTCCAAAAACTCGATTTGTTTGAGCAATGGGTTTTGTTACGGCATCTCGCAGCCATTTACACTAAGCCGAGGTAGCTGCACCAACAGCAACTGGCCAGAAGATGGTGTATGCGATGACAAATGCTCTGATGGTACGTTTATCAGTCTCCTGAAGTTGTAATTCTGTCTTCTCTACTGACATCCGTGGGAAATAGCCACCGAAATGCGCGCGAAAGGATGTGCCCTACCGTTTTATCGATATATTGACGACGAACCTTACTACTGCGCCAATGCCGTTACACTCAACTCCTCGGGCGACCTCAGCTGTCACGCTTGTTTGGAACAAGGCCGCGCTCGCAAATTACACTTTGAGCGATAATAACTCGAAATCAACTTCAAACTCAAACTCATCAAGTTCGGACTCGGCTTCGAATTCAAACGGAACGCTGAACAACAAGAACGAGAATTCAAAGGATAACAACGACGTGGCGATCGGAGCTGGGGTGGGAGTCCCTTTAGGAGTCTTGCCTCTCACTGCGCTGGGATGGGCGTTGTACGAACGAAAGAAGCGTCACTCTCTCCAGGCTTTAGTGGCCGGAATACATTCTCAGGCGGCTGTGACAAAGTTAAATACCCAGGGGAATACACCGATATATACTCCACTTCGTGAGCTCCCAGATACCCAGAAACCACCTCAGGAGCTGCCTACAAGTGAAAGTCGGGTATGATAGTCTTTGTGGTGGTCACCAGGGTAGAATTACGTCTTCCTCATTAATATACATTTCAACTTCTATATCTTGCTGCATGCACTGGGCATGAAATTTCGTACTGTTCTAATTTATTGCCAATATACATAGCCAAGGGCTGCTCATCGCAGTCCATGGAATGAATATCTGGGTTCTGTCGCATTCAAAAATTATTTTCGTAGTCCCTGGTCTCCGCGCACCTCATAATCTCCTGGACCATCTACATCGTTTGACGCAAATGGGGATGCCAATAGGGAGCTTTTGCCGAGCGTGTACAACTAGAACGGCCATTCTGGAGAGAAAGGAATGAACACTATAGGGTAGAGAAGATAGGTTTACCAATTATGTTTAATTTATACTATTGAGTCTTTCTTGGCGACTATCTAGAGCATGATGACGTTGAGAAGGAATTTAGTCAATAGTGGCGCGTTGAACTCCTTAGGGCAACTCCGAAACTCCAAGGGGCATCAGGCTCCACCCTCTTTTTTAGGCTTCGGAGTTTCGTGTTGATCTATTTGGGATATTACTATATTCTCTGGTTGAAATTTATCTCACTCAATGAAATTTATAAAGATCAGACACCCCTAAGTCCTTCTCTCCTTTCCTTCCTCATTTATATACCACATTTTTTACCGCACAGATGACTCGTGTACTTTTGACGGGTGGAAGCGGCTTCATTGCCGCTCATGTACTCGAGGTTCTTCTAGCCCGAGGCCACTCCGTTGTCACGACTGTTCGTTCCCAGACTAAGGCAGATGCTATTCGACGAGCTCACCCGGAAATCGCCAACGACCGCTTGTCATTTGCAATTGTTGAAGACATTGCTCAGCCAAACGGTATGGCAGTTCTTCAAATTATCGTAAATATTTGCAACAACAACTACTGACCAAGGATCTAGCTTTTGACCAAGCAGTGGCCACGAACCCTCCCCTCGAGGCTGTCATTCACACGGCCAGTCCATATCATTTTCACGCTCAGGATGCCCAGGAGCTCTTGATTCCAGCCATAACAGGCACAACAGGAATTCTCAAGTCCGTGCAGAAACATGCGCCTCTTGTGAAACGAGTAGTAGTTACCTCATCTTTTGCTGCAATCAACGATGTTTTTGCCTCGTCTACCGACAAAGTTTACTCGGAGGTTTGTATTTCGCACAAAGTAACACGTCGTCTTCGTCACTGACATGAAGATCAATATTCCAGGCAGACTGGAGTCCTATCACACAGGAACAGGCAAACGTCAGCCCCGCCAATGCATATCGCGCAAGTAAAACGTTCGCTGTAAGATCCCTGATCTCTTTGATCAACGAGGGTACTCCGACAACTAACCCATTACCCACAGGAGAGGGCAGCGTGGGAGTTCATTGAGAGAGAAAAGCCCAACTTCACGCTCTCCGTCATCAACCCACCCCTCGTCCTGGGGCCCATCGTCCACGATCTTACCTCCCTTGATACTCTCAACACCTCCAACCAGCGAATCCGGGACCTCGTCTCCGGCACACCAAAGACCCCTTGCCCCCCGACAGGGAACTACCTCTTCGTCGACGTGCGCGATCTCGGCCTAGCCCACGTCCTCGCCGTCGAGAAGGAAGCTGCCGGGGGGAATCGGTTCTTCGTCGTCTCGAGTCATTTCTCCAATGCGGAGATTGCGAAAATCATCGGAGAAGAATTCCCCGAGTACAAGGTTCGATTGCCAACGGGAGATGCTTTGAAACCTGGGGAGTACCCCGCGGATGGTGTGTATGGGTTCGACAACACACGTGCGAGAGAGATTTTGGGCATTCAATTCAGGCCTTTAAGGGAGAGTATTGTTGATGCTGTGAAGAGTCTGTTGCCTCTTGGTATAGATAAGATCTGAAAAGCTAGATTGCATAGAAATGATTATTGGAGAATATTATAGAGCAGATCCGTTTGGGCGTTGCGCATTGCGTCGATAGAAAGATTGAACAAGTGCTTTGTGGGGGTGAACCTGGGCAAGTGAAGCGAGATCCACCACAGACTCGATGTAGGACGCCATTCAGTGAATTATTTCACTTGGGAGTGTTTCCAGTGCCATGGCGGTGAATGCGAGTGTACTGTCTGAGCGAAAAGGAGGATATGGAGGCTGTGCTTTCTTTTTGTACGTAAATCTAAGTCTCTGAAATGAGACCAAGGAGCTAGCCATATCTTCTTGTCTTGGGAGGATGTAGCCTACTGCCTCCGAGGGTCCTCGTTTCCGGGGGCTGATCTATAAAAATAGTCTCAGGCAACTTCGGTAGTGCTCGATGAGAATGAGAGTGCAGTAATTTAAGACCTTGTGCTACCGCGTATATGTTCTCATATGAGGGTATCGGACATGAGAAATGTACTGTAGTGAACATAAATTGACATTTTAGGGCCACTATAAACACAGATTAGAGTTATACTTTGATCACCTCTTGGAAGTTAGGTCGGGAATAGGTCGATGCCCTCTTCTCACAGCCAAAGAAAGAGGACTGACTAAGTAGTCCTCACAGGTGTGAAATCCATCGCGGCTGTTTCCGGTCCAATAGCTTCAGATCCTTCCAGATCGTGTTGGATCGTGCACCCCGAATCTCCTTTGGGAAGTCCATGATTCCGGTTCCAGGTTGGGATAAACAAGGTCTTAAGGTCCTCGTTGGCTTTGTTACCCGCATTCTCACCATGATTTTAACTGATGTTCCCGGTACGTTATATTCTGAACTGAAAGTGGAAAGGAAATATGACTGACAGGTTCTAGGTTAATGTCCACCTCATAGTAAACGCATAATGTGCTGGGCAGGCCTTGTTCTGCTCTGGAGTGAAGCCATCCGGGGTCAAATCAACCATCTCTCACTGGACAACTCTGACAACCAGCGTCGACCTTGAGAAGTCAACTCGCCTGAAAAATCTTTACGCATGCATTGGCGTGTCTCAAGCCACATCAGCCGATCCGATGGCTGATGAGATAAGCAGCTGGAATGGATCCCAAGTGTTCTATCAGCCACAGCTTGGGGGCCAATACGAGTTGATTTCACATCTTCTCTTCCTCTTCTCCTGTACTTCTTCCATGAAGTCTGTCCTACTCTCACGTCTTTGATCATGTTCTCCACCTTTTCCGCCCTCAACTCCACTGATCGTCCGGAACAACCCGCTCCACCCCGTCCCAAGCGCAATCAGGTTGCGCGAGCCTGCGACTGGTGTCGCCTCAATCGCATAAAGTGTGACGACAGGCTGCCATGCCAGAATTGCCGGAGTCGTGGCGGCCACTGCAGTAATACCAAGCAATTTGAAACCCATTCACTGAAAGCCGCGAATCGGTAAGATCCGCGCCCCCCCCCTTTTCATTTTCCCTTTGTACTTTTCGTTCTTCTGGCTTAGCACCTATTAGAGATGGCTGATGGAGACTAACAGGGAAATACATCGATTGCGAGATCGGCTCAAAGATTTCCAGGAGCAACTGGACAAGGTGACCGAGGAATCGAAAAGACAGCTTGAAGCCGCCAAGCATCAGTCACAACAACCAGGCTCAGATACCCCCAATTCCATCTCTGGTATTGCACCATCCGCCGAGCTTCCAGATTTACATCGCACAACATGGGATGGCTTTCAAAATCCAGAGTCGCGAACGGGGCAGGTGATCCACTTTGGCCCTTTCTCCTCACCGTACATGGTGATGCGCCTCAACGGTTACATGTCCGAATCTTCCAACCAACGACCTCTCAATTCTCCTATCCCGGTCCGCATCTCACAGGCACACCAATTCTGGCCCACGTCTTCGCTAGAGCAGTCTTCAGATGAAGCGATACAGCCCAGCCTTCGTCTAAGTCTGGCCGAGGCGGAGGACCTATCACGGGAGCAGGAAGAGAACTTCCTGGTTCTTATGTGGCAGGCCTATCATTGCATATATCCTATCATCGCAGAGGAAGATTTCCGAGAGTATTACAATTCTCTTTGGGCTGGAACCAACGGCCAAGGCCCCCGCCAGCCCTCCGCTCTTGTGGACAGCCTGTTGGCAGTCTGCATGCAGTATGGCAGCACTTTTTTGGGCGATGAGGAGAATATGGCAAATGACGAAAAAGAACCGCAGGCTGTTCACTTTCATGCAGCCGCACATACTTTCTACCGTCGGAGTCAACGCATGCTGATGGACACGTTAGAGCACCCTTCAATCCCGACTCTGCAGAGCCATATCTACTGCATAATATATCAATACAACGTTGCAAACCTAGATACCGCTCTTGCACTTCTTGGGCTGGGCATCAGAATTGCTCATATGCTGCGGTTACACCTCCGACCTCTGGGCTCTCCGCCACGGGCAAGCCAAGAACTGCATTCTCGGATTTGGTGGACCTTGTACCAGTTGGACAGCCAGATCTCGATGTCACTTGGCCGCCCGCCGCTAATCAACCCGGAGGATGTCGGATGTGCGATTCCCACAGACATGCGTAACGCGGTTCAGCTGTCACCACCCTCTGTGTTGGTATCACCTCCCGAAGAGGAACTAACTTGGCTCAGCTTCCACGTACAGTATATCCGCCTGACGGCCGCGGCGCGTGGAGTCCAAGAGGTGTTCCGTATGCGCTGCGCCGAGGTATTACAGGTGAAAGATTTACAAGACATTCAAGAGGATCCGCCCACTCTCGAATTGCTAGCAAGATTTATGAGCAGCGAAGTTCGCCCCATGTACGACTGGGTGCAGGCCGTGCCACAGTCTCTCAAAAACCAACGTAAGGGTTCAGGCGAGGCCTTGTCGACAGACCGCACACCACTCAGTCTAAACCCTGCTAGCCCGCTATGGCTACAGCGTCAACGACTACTGTTGGAAATCACATACCATCATCTTCAAATCGCCACTCTCCGCCCTTTTATCCGTTTTCCTCCGCGAGGCCCGTCCCTCACGCCACTGACCGATGGTCTCGGCATTTCTGCTCTCAACCATGCCGTCGTGTTGACTAATATACTAAAACAAGTCTTGTCAGAAACGGATATACTGTCCGGTTGGACCCCAGCTTTCCAATATCAGTGGGATGCCACCATCTGCATCATATCATTTGTGCTTGCGAACCCGGTGTGCCCTCCTACCCCGGCTGCACGCAACGTCTTGCCAGCAGCTTTCCAAAATCTAAATACTCTCGGCAAGCCCTTCGCCCCTAGCACCAATTCTATTCAGCTTGCATGGGAGCAGTTCCGTTCCAGTTCAGCCCTGCGTGGGTGGTCCCAGTTGACACCTCCAAACCAAAGCGTCTCGGACACAACGGGGCTGCTAGGATCTGTGCCGTCTTCTACTGGCATGGATACAACTAGCATGCAAATCACTGGGACTGGAGTTATGGCTTCTAGCTCACTGCCTACCGATCCATTTTCCGGGTCGCTAACCTCGGTAAAACTGCCGTCCAATGCTATTACGGGGAATGAATTCCTCGATTCGGCCGCTATAACTCCCCCAATGCATCTCATGGACACATCGTTCAATCTACCTATTGATATGTTCATGGAGACTGGTACCCCGTGGATGCCGAGTAGCGCGATATCATTGGATTCTTGGAATGCCTCTGGATCTCAATGATTATCTGCGGCGGTTTTCTTGGTCTCGTGCGTCATTCGGGTACAATTGCAAGAAAAAAGCTGAAACCACGATCAGTTAGATCCTATTTTCTCCCGTTTCGTGGAGTGAGGATTGGCTCTTAATTTAGTAAAGCTAGACGATCTCTTGAAAGTCCACAATTCACCAACTCTACTGATAACGACTAGCGAGCAAAGTTGAAACAATTAGTGAGTGTATCATTATAATATGGTCTATCAGTCATAAGCTCTATATAACGCGTACTCGGGAATAAACATAACAATCTCCCAAACCCCCAAACTAGTTCTTGTAAATAGACACCATGGACTAAGAATAGTCATTAGCAAAACATTCCACATAAAGATAGGAAAAGGGAAAAAACTCACATCAGCAAACTTAGGCTCAATAAACAAAGCCTTAGCCTCAGCAACCATAACAGTGCCCTCACTATCCTCCCGCAAAAGACTAGCATCAGGAACAATAGCCCCCGACTCCATCGAACAAAGCGGCAAAGAAAGAGGCAGATAAGTCATCCGCCCCTCAACCCACGCCTTCCTCCCCTCAACCTTAACAGTCTCAGTGCGCAGAACATACATTCGGTCTGGGAGCGCAGGCTTTCGAAAATCCACATTCAAATTCGCTGTCATGCCAAGTCCACTGGGGAAAGCAGCGGATACACAGCGAGCAAAGACCTCATCGAAGAGGACGGAGAGGAGACCGCCGTGCACGAAACCCGGGTGGCCACATACGTCTTGGCCGATGTGGAATACTGATACTACACTGCTGGCTCTTTTTCTCTCTTTTGCCTGTGCGCCGGTCTTGCCTGTAGCCGTCCACATGTAGGGCTGGAATGCGAGCTTGCCTGGGCCCGCTAGACTTCCACCTACGAAGTGGTGTTGTCTAATTGCGGGTGGGATTGTGAGATGAGGGCGGGTTTCTTTGTAGGCCTTGTGGGAGTCGCGGAGAGTTTGGACGATGGGGATTTGGGAAACGAGGGTATCGAGTTCTGTAGATTCATGCTGGGGCCGTTGCGATGTAGGTGCCTTTTGTTGTTGTGCATGAGAAAGGAATCGTGAACCCTCGGGTGTTGGTACATGTCTTTGATCCTGGGGGATTGCTTGGTCGTGGACAACAGCAGAGCGCGACGGGCCCTGTTGGTGAAGGCGTGCAATGGATCCCGTCGGCGAGTATGACTTCAATGCCAAAGCGTTTCGAGATCGGAGAAGCCGACGGGCTGTTTGTGAGACATTCGACATTTCGAGAAATATATTTGGAGACCAATATCGGTTTTTAGTTAGGACAAAACTGCGGTTGCGTCAGATGGACTCGTCTAAATGCCGGCCAGGGTACATACTCCAAAGAGGCTCAGACTGCGACGTCGGCCTTGAGGTGCGTCGCCGATCTTTTAGATTTAGCGTTTCTCTTGAACTAGGGCTGCAGCAATATGCAGTAGATCACACAGTTGCGGATTGGGGATGCCGACGAAACGTGCAAAAGTGTAAAGGTACTTTCTAGAAATAAGAAAGAATCGGCAATTCGGATAGAACCTGTTCCTGGAAGCCACGCGATTTTTTTTTGTCGGGTCCATCAGTGGGGCTCAAAGGGCCGACCTTCGGCGATAGGCATGCCGAGGATTCGGCATGCCGATCCCGATAAGGTCCGGATGGTTCTAGTTGTAACTCCCTTTGCTTTGCTGGCTTGCTCCTGACGCATAAATGCACAATCAGTGGCATAGAAAAGATGGTTACTTTTCTTGATCCTCATAACTATTTAAACTCTAATAAGACATGGCCATCTGCTGTTCAACAAGGTTGCTCTATCCAGATGAGCTGTTTGATATACCATTTTAAGGAAGTTTCTGTGAGAATCTCTGTAAATATGCTATTGGATCTGCCCTTAAAACAAAGTACCGTCCCCAAAGTTCAAGATAGGGCTAGACTTAGTTTCGGGGCGATTAGCCGCCGCAAGCTCACGTCCCGCCTTCCAAGAGCCAGCCTCCAACACCTGAGGCAGAGAAAGCTTGACACCATCAAGTCGTTCAAGAATCTTCATATGCAGCACATCTAGAAGGGCAACGGTCATAGCTCGCCACTCCACAATCTCGTCGTCACCTGCTCCATAAGAAGGCAAAGTACCACTTGACAAATCGAGTCCGCGCTTCAAAGCCTCAGGCTTCAATTCGAGAACACCCATGTCGACAAATAGTCCACCATTGCGATATTCGGGTAACCCGGTGCCGAGCTCAGTATTAGTCCATGAAACTGAGAGCAAACGAGAGAATGGAACCATCAAAGAGTATGCCAACCACTGAGTCAGTTTATGGAAAGGTTGGATATTTGAGAATGGCTTAGACTCGGCATCGGCTTGTTGCGAAAGTGCGCGCAGAGGCCATGCATCGCCGATTGGTTGACCTTTCACGTGTGTCCGGTCAGTTGGCCAGATGGGAAGTAGGAGGCGCTGCAACACATTCCAGAGGTCTTTGTAATTGAGCCTTCCTTCATTTGCCTTGGACTTAATCAGAAGGAAGTCTGCGATTCGGAGATGTTGTTAGCACAGAGTATATGCAGGCTGATTATCACCGGAATTGACTTACCAACTAGATTACCAGGACGACCGGAAGGCCCAAAAACGTCTTTCACATTGAGAAGGGATTCCCCAAGTTTGCGAATAATGTCTGTCCGTGCAGGAACCCCAATCATAGGGTTGGACTCGGTCACTTGCAATCCACGGGACAAGATATCGACATTAATATTCCGCAGCGCATCACCTACCACTCATTAGCTCCTTATCAAAACCGCAGACATGGAAGAACTTACCATGAACAGTATGCTTAACATCGGAACCCTTATCAGCAAAATCCCCGTTGAGGAACATATGCAACGCCGCCACGGCAATACCCTCACTCCTCGTAAGAGTCTGGCCAGTGTGCGACTCCTGGAAGCGCCAGTGATCTCCAGCACCAGCATCAAGGAGAACAGAAACAAAGAAGAGATCAACCAGTCTCCGGGCTTTCTCGGTGGTGTCGCATCCCTGCCCCTCCCATTCAGCCAGTAGAGTGTCTATGCGGGGAACCCCGCCGACTTCGAAATGCTGCCAGCGCCCATGGGGTGGGATTAGATGGTACTTGTCAGGGCCGAAATCGCGCTGTGGGGATTAAATTGTATGAGTACCATATCTTGGATAATTGAGGTTGTATACAATTCAAGTATAGGTATGGGCTGTACCTGGATGAGCTTAAGTACGTAGTCGGTGGTCTGGTCCATCCGCTCGCTGTGATAATTGAAATGGTTCAAACTGCCTTGTTCGGCCAATTTCAGCACGATATGGGCTCTGGAGCGAACGGCCTCCAGGCTTAGCAGTTCTTCAATTTGGGGATCCATGGTGGTATAGAGAGATGAGGTTGGAGGTGGAGATGGGAGTTGGGGTTGGGGAAGAGGGGAAGTAAATGTATTTAGTACATGAGTCACATGTACATGTACACGGGTGTTGGCAAGTCTGAGGTCGCATTGGGCTGTACTGTGACGTGAGGTGTTGGTCTCTTATCGGCGTTCACCTATCTCTTCTCCAACGGCTTTAGATAGCGAGTTCACTCTTAGATAACCTCGTATCATAGCTAGGAATACAGTACTGAACCTCTTGTATTCAGCATATAAGCCTCGTGCCTCAACTTGAAAGACCTTCCTTTGTACTACACACTGTCTGCGCGCTCAGGCCTTCTCGGCCAACTTGAAGCATGAAGTTTGCCGAAGCAGCATGGTGATAGACCAGGACCTCCGAGGTTAGGTCAACAATATGCTTGCAGATGGCGATTGGCAGCGGAGAAAGGGGATGTTCAAAACATGTTTTGGTATGCAACACTATATCACAAGTACTATCCTTTTTACAAACCCCAAACGCTCCAGTAGTTACAAAACAATCAGAAGGTGAGCGGGTCAAGGTGTCCCAGGAAGGCTTTATTACCCTCACCACGGAGCAGAGCCTCGACATCAATGCGACCGGAAGTAAGATACTTCTCACTAACACCGATGTTGACACGCTCAGAAAGCAGCTGCTTCAGCTCTGCGCGGAGCCCGGCCATCTCCCCCTTGGTCATACCGCTAGCCTCTTTCTCACGCCTATGGCGGCCACCGCCACGGCCGCGGCCTTGACCCTGAGACTGATCGAACTCGTCACTGTCGTATTCCACACCGAGATCATCAGCGGCAGCGCGAAGCCAGTTGTCCTCTGTGTTGATCTTCTCTTTGGCGATGGTTGTGTCGGTGATTTTCTTGGCGAGATTGATGCGGGGACGAAGGCGGGCAACGACCCGACGATCGATATCGAGAGACTCGAGAGGGAGTTTCTTCGAAGGTGCATCACCTTCAGCCTTGTGCTTCTTGGCGTTTATCTTAGCGGCAAGACGGGCGACGCCGACAACCTCTTCGGGGGCACAAATCAGGATACTCTTTCCAGAGGCACCAGCACGAGCGGTACGACCGGACCGGTGGACGTACATGTCTGCTGCGCGTGGGACATGGTAATGAATGACACTGTCAATTCCCTTGATGTCGAGACCACGGGCTGCGACGTCGGTGGCGACAAGGATTGAGCTTGGGTCCGCGGTGGGTGATGAGAATCGCTCGACGGAACGAAGCCGGGCTTTTTGGGCCATGGAAGAGTGGAGGGCAAATGCAGGGAGTTGAAGAGCTTGCAAGAGCTGGGTAATGCGACGGACAGCCGAGATGGAGTTAGTGAATACAATTGTCCGGTGCTTGGGATAGTATAGAAGCACTGAGTATAGGTAAAGATCCTATTCAAATGTTAGCACCAATATGGACTTTGGAGTAGTTGTAGATGGGTCTAACCTTCTCCATAGCAGGACATTCAACGATTCCTTCCTTGAGACCCTGGGCCATCTGGTCCACCGGGTTCACATCAATGAACTTGGGCTTCTCCTCGCGGAAATTTAGCTTTTTCAGAAGGTACTCCATAGACTCCTTGTTGTCCAACATATCACCGTTTGTCCAACGGCCTTTGCCTGCGAGCTTTTGTTGAAGGTCACGGTGGAATGTAGCAGAGAAAACAAGAGTCTGTCTCTCTGACGGTTCCTCCTCCTCCTGGGCTTCCTCATCCGTGTCTTTAATATCTCCAGCTTGATGCTTGTCAAGAGCGCCAAGGATATCTTCGACTTCCTTGAAGTGACCCTCACTGAGAAGTCTGTCGGCCTCGTCAACGACTAGGAACTTGATCTTCTGCATCTTGCGGATGAGACCCTGTCCTTGGCTTAAGATTTCCCACACTCGACCCGGGGTTCCGACGACAATGTCAGCCGCAGCGAGTTGTCTCTGCTGCTTCTGAATAGACAGTCCACCGGTCAAGAGCGCAATGCGGGCATCGGTGTCGGGGGCGTTGGCATTGAGCTCCCCGATGTGTTTTGCGAGCTGATGCGCCAATTCTCGGGTAGGAGAGAGAATCAACGCGATTGGTGTTGAATCAGACTTCTCGGCCTTCTTGTCTTGTTTCCCTCTCTTGTCGAGGTAGTGCTCGATGATTGGAATACCGAAGGCCAACGTTTTTCCAGAACCTGTCGAGGCCTTTCCGACAACATCGTGGCCATCCATAATAGCGGGGATACTGGCCTTCTGAATGGCTGACGGAGAGCTGAACTTCATCTTAGAAAGACTCGTGTAGATCTCAGGTGAGAGATTGAGCTCATCCCAGGCCGACACATCCACGCTATCTCCGTCCTCGTCTTCCTCGAGTGCTTCGAATGAGAGAGCGCCCTTCATGCTCTGGTCCTTCTTCGGCTTTTGTTGCTTTGGCTTCTGTTCGGGCTTTTTCTTTTCGTTCTGTCCCTTGGGCTTTTGTTCGTCCTTCTGATCCGCATTTTGATCAACCTTCTTATCAGCCTTCTTCTTTTCCTTCTTGGGCTTCTTATCTTCCTTCACTTCGATAGCATCGGCCGTGGAGGTCTTCTTGGAAGTCTTGTCGGTCGAGTCTTCGTCGCTGAACCCAGCCCACTCGTCTTCATCGCCTTCTTCGGGGGCTTTCAGAATTGATTTTCTGGGCTTTCCTGACTTGGCCTAATCAAATAACACCATAGATTAGCGTCCAATGGAATTGACCATAGCTTCGGAATGCATACCTTGAATTGGACCTCACCGCCACCCTGCCCTCTGATGATATCCACGCCGTCAATCTCCTCTAGGCCAAAGAATCCAGTTGCATCCTCTATGCGGTCAGGGAGCGCAACCTCCTTCCAGTTGAGGTCCTCAACTCCGACAAACGCATTAGAATCATCTTCCGACGCATCGGCCTTGGTGGACTTCTTGCGCTTTTTCGTCTGGAGCGCCTGGGCTTTAGAGTCGTGTCCTCGTTTTTGACCCATGATGAATGTAAAAAGTCCCAGTGGATTGCAGCTTGCACTAGTTGACGAGAACACGAGCTCGCCGTCACGGAAGATTCGCAAAGAAAAAAGCGGCAGAAAATTGAGTCCGCCTTGGAATCTTATCTTTCCGTTCCCCACGTCGCAAAATTAACCCACCTGACTGACTGCCGATTGCGCTCGATTAGCTTGTCAATTCACGATGGGCAAGTCTTCCAAGGACAAGCGCGACGCTTACTACCGTCTCGCGAAAGAGCAAAATTGGCGCGCCCGCTCCGCCTTCAAGCTTATTCAGATCGACGAGCAATTCGATTTATTCGAGCACGAGAACCCGGACAATGTCACCAGAGTGGTGGATTTGTGCGCTGCACCCGGAAGTTGGAGTCAGGTTCTCAGTCGCGTCTTGATCAAAGGCGAGAGCTTCGGCCGGCGCGCATGGCTCGAGAAAAAACACCAGGCTCAGCAAGGATTGGCAGACGAAACAACCAGCGACGATAAAATGGACATCGAGCCTAGCTCAAGCTCCGAATTGAAGCCTCGGAAAAACGTCAAGATTGTCTCAATCGACCTGCAGCCTATGGCGCCCCTCGAAGGCATCACAACCCTCAAAGCTGATATCACCCATCCCTCTACAATTCCTCTCCTCTTGCGCGCCCTGGACCCCGAAGCATACGCGCAGGCCTCCGATTTACAATCACCCGCCCCGGAGGCTATCAGACAACCACACCCTGTTGATCTGGTCATCTCCGACGGAGCACCCGACGTAACGGGACTTCACGACCTAGACATCTACATTCAATCACAATTACTATATGCGGCACTCAACCTGGCTATGGGTGTTCTCCGACCAGGCGGTAAATTCGTGGCTAAGATTTTTCGTGGCCGTGATGTGGATCTGCTTTATGCGCAGTTGCGAACTGTGTTTGAGCGTGTTAGCGTCGCCAAACCGCGGAGTAGTCGCGCAAGCAGCTTGGAAGCCTTTGTCGTTTGCGAAGGTTTTATTCCCCCTGTTAGTGATAGCGGAGTGGTCGGTATGGCTGCCTTGAAGAACCCTCTTTTCGGTGGTGCTGCGGCCCCGGTACCTGTGTCCGAAGATGGCAATGTTGCCGTTGAGGTGCGTGAGCAGATAGATGAAACTGCACAGAGACAAACTCCGCTAGCTGGAAACAACAATTCTGCGCCGAATCACACTACCGAAATCCGTCATCTTCAGACCACGTCAGACGAGAAACAACCTACAAAGCTCTCCCACAAGTTCTCTGTCGAGAACCGATGGATCCCTCCGTTCATTGCTTGTGGTGATCTGTCTTCTTGGGATTCGGATGCATCGTACACGCTGCCGCCGGATTATGTTACCTTAGATCCAGTCCAGCCTCCCACTGCTCCCCCGTATCGACGGGCGTTGGAGTTGAGGAAGGAAATGGGCGGCGCATATGGAAAAACCAAGTTTGGGACTATGGGCCGGGCTTAATTGTCATGGCCTATTTTAAGACTCATGTATAGACGATAGATGACCTAGACGACATCGCATTTACAAAATTTATTGAGGAGGCATTGTCGGAGCAGATACCCAAATATATTCAAATGAATACAGTGTCCAGAAACTCCAAGTATGGAATACATATTTAAGAGCACTCTCATTAGGGGATATCTATCAAAGAGTACTGTAGATCTTGAATGCAAAGCGAATAACTTTAAGGTTGCATCGGACGGGTACAGCCGCAGATACTCAGACTGCACATGGCTACGGGGAAAGTGAATCCAGTTCGACGCGACAACGACGGCTGGACAGCGAAAACTCATGCTGAGAAGCGCAGCAAACCGAAGTCTGGTGGTTATGATGCGGATGGCTGGGATGCATGGGAGAGCTCATGTGCCATAGATAGACAAAATATGAATTGAAATTTGTAGTTTATGGCGAAGAGGAATGTTAACACTCGCAGTTACAACGTCTACTAGAGGAGGCGTTATGGGAGTAGATACCTAAATATATTGGAGTGAATACAATGTCCGTATCATTCAGGGTGAAATATATATAAAAGACCAAAGTGAAGATCGTGAAACGTGCATTTTGAGATGTCTATGATGCGATAGACCAAAGCGATCTAAATATGGGGGGAATAGATGCGAAACATGAAATCATGAGAACATAATTACGAAATCCAAAAGTCTAGTAGACCTCAAGAACGTAGCGCTCCTCATCCTTCAACTTCTCAATCTCCTTGCGAGTGTCGACCTTCTTACCGGTGTTCTTAGCTTCGGTGGCAATGGCCTCCTCAAGAACAGCGGTGACGTCGGGCACGGGCCAGGTGGGACCGCAGAGGTAGAACGCACCCTCCTCGCGGATGTAAGCCTGGATGATCTCGGGCAGAGACTGGCGCATACGGTCCTGGATATAAATCTTCTCAGGCTGGTCACGAGAGAAGGCAGCGCCGAGGAGAGTGATGACACCAGCCTCCTGGTAAGCCTCCCATTCCTCACCGTAGCAGTACTCCTCGCGCTGGTGACGGGAGCCCATGTACAGCAGAACGGAGCCAATCTCCTTGCCCTGGGCCTTCTCGAGAGCCCGGTGCTGGACGAAGGCACGGAAGGGCGCCAGACCAGTACCCAGACCGGCCATGATGAGGGGCTGGGTAGACTTAGGGGGCAGCTTCATCACACTGGATTTGACGCTGACCGTGATGGGGGAGCCGGCTCGGAGGCGGCTAAGGTAGCGGGTGGCCAGACCGAAGCGGTCGCGGCCGCTGGGGTCGGTCCAGTTCACGGCGACGATCATCAGGGCGACGGTGGTCGGGGTGACCTTCTGGCAGGAGGCGATGGAGTACTCGCGGCGCTTCAGGGGGCCAACGATGCGGACGATCTCATGGAAGTCGGGATGGGCTGAGGGGTACTCGAGCAGGACATCGGCGAAGGTGATGGTGTCGACCTCGGCGCGGCGCTTGAACTCGGTGGCTCCATCGGGGCCGCCCAGGGTTTGGAGGTCCTTCTTCTCTTTCTCGTCGGTGGCGAACTCAGCAAGGGCCTCGTAGAAGCGCTTGGGAGGGCGACCATAGATGTCGACGTTCTGGATCAAGGCCTGGTAGACAGTGCGGTTCTCCAGGACAGCGGGGTCCTCGCGGCTAGGAACCTCGACAATGGCGTCGGGGTTCAGGCCATAGAACTCGATGAACTTGTTGATGTCCGCAGGGTCGTTCTCGGCGTGAACACCAAGAGCCTCACCGATGTCGTACTTCAGGCCAGTGTTGCCGAGGTCAAACTCGATGTGGAAGATGTTACGGTCGTATGTGGTGGGGGTCAAACGACGGTTCTCCTTGACGTGAACGGTGAAGGTCTTAGTTGCCAGGTCAGGGCGGAGCGCATCCTTGGTGCCATAGGCCTCCTTGAAAGCCAGGCCACGAGCGGCAGTCTCCCAGTCCTTGAGGAAGGTGGGGGGTTCGGCCTCGGTCTTGTCGAACGAAACAAAGCTGTTGGCGGTGATGTCCTTGGGAAGCTGGACGGCCTCGGTAATTCCCTCAGGTTCCTTCCATGTCTCGGGAACCTCGATTTGGCGCAGAACCTTCTCGAGATCCTTGGTCACACTGTCCAGGGCCTCGGCGTTGCCGGTAATGGCGGACAACTTCTTGGTGGCAACACCCTCCTGGGAAGGCAAAGCAACACGCACGAATGAGGCCTGGAGAACAAGAGCGTCCAGAGAGGAGTCGTCAACAACCGATGGGTCGACAATGAAAACGGAGATGGCGCGATGGGCGACACCCTGCTTGAAGGCGGCCGGCAGCTTCTTCTCAAGATCCTCATCCTTGATACCCGGGGCATTCACGATGACCTTGCCGTTGTCCTTGACTGAGGCCAGAACATCAACTTCCTTGAGCAGAGCGATGCTGCCGACGTAGGAAACATCAGCTGCAGTGACTGCGTAAGGTGCGTCCACAATCTTGGCACTCTTGCGGATATCAATACGGACGGCACCACCCTGAACAAGGTTGTCGTGGACCTTGCTGGTAGTGACGTTGCTTGCCGAATCAGCGCCAAGAGCCTGGCCAAGAGTGTGGGCGGCCTCGCTGGTGACGGAGCTGTCGACGTCCCAGAAAGTGTACTCGTGCACGGAAGAGGGATCAAGCAACTGCAGAGGCGCAGTCTGGTTTGTCTCGCTGTTGATTGGAAGAATAGGCTTGTCGAAGACGCGCTGGAAGGCAGCAGCAGTCGAGACAAGGTCCCAGCGCTGAGAGCGAGGGTACTTAATCTCGACGCAGGTGGGTGCCTGCTCACGGCCAGTGGCAAAGGTCAAGGCGGCAAGGACATCCTCATAGAGAGCGGAGTGAATGCCCTCTTCCTGAACGGCCTGCTCGGAAGCAACTTGTCCGAGAATGCCAACAGTCTTGGTGGACTGGGGGAGGACACGCAGGAACTCCTCCTCAATGAAGGGACGGTAGACACGGACGTTGACAACACCGACATGGACACCATCCTTGGCCAGGGAGCGAGCAATCTGAGCGGTCAGGGCAGCCTCGACAGTGCCGAAGGCAACCAGAACGGAAACGGGCTCGGCGTGACCGTGGTACTCAAAGGCACCGTAGTCAGTTCCGAGTTCGCCGTTCAGGGTCTTGAGGATATCAAGGACCTTGCCCTGCGAGTCTAGGTGACGGGTGCGAGACTCATCGAGGGTCTTGCGGACAGCCTCGTAGGTGCGAGTCAGGCCATCCTTGTCGAGAACGTCAATGACACGGGTGATCTCACGGCCAACGCGGACACCGTCATAGATATGAACGGAGGGAAGGATCGAGGAGAGCAAAGTGGTGAAGAGAGCCATGTGCTGGGACTCATGTGCGGAGCCGCTGGAGACCAGACCAAGACCGAGCTCTTCGGCCAAAGCAAGAGCAGAGGCATAGTCGGAGACGAGACCCTCGCCGGCATAGTCGACGGCGGCGACATGTGCGGCGACGGGGCTGGCGACGGAGTAGAGCAGAGAGAGTTGCTCCAATGCTGCGCGCATATAGGGGAGGGTGGCCGAAGAAGCAACAATACCCTGGGGGATGTGGCGCTTCTTCAGATCGAAGTCCTGCGAGAAGAGGTAGCCGAGGGCCATGTTTCCGGCACCCTGGCGAGTTTCGAGAGCCTTCACGGCAGGAGACTCGCCAATGGCATTGGTCTCGTTCTTGGAGGTCCATTCCTTGAGGGCTACATCCAAGTCGAAGCTCTCCGGTGAGTAGGAGAAGATCTTGTCGCTCAGCAAGTATGCGACTTGCTGGATCAGCGTCTGGGCTGTGACATATGTCGGGCCATTCAAGGCCGACAAAGCTGGAACAGATGCCATGGCTTCTTTTCGTGTATATCGGACTCACACCGATATGAACAAAAACAAAGAAGAATGTGGAGAGAAGGAGAATCCCCTCTTCCCAAGTATAAGACAGAAAACCCCAGTCATTTTGCCTAATGCGGCTAGCCGCAATTGCGTGATCTCGTTATCGGGCGATAAGATTTTTCTACGGGCGGTGCAGAGTGGCAAATCATTCCCGCTTTCGGAGCAATTACTCAGCCAAGGGCCAGATTGATTCTGGCCTTAGGCGGAAACCCATGTGAGGATCACATGAGATTTTCGGCCTGAGAAATGCGGCCATGTTTGAATCGGCATTAGATAAGCAATTTGTGGGACCGTGGAACGCACGCATCTCTAAAACACCGAGCCTCGGCCACGCTTTACCCCATAATGCGGGGAACCTCCAACTGATATATTCAGCCTTGATTTGATATGCAAAATTAAAAGAACGTTTACCTGATTCATCTTTCTATACAAATCAGCTTCTAATTTATTCAACTATGGCGGAAAACTCTCCTAATCCAATCCCATTCTCGGAGCCACCTTACATTCGCGGCCTCCCTTCACCGTACATTACTCCCGCCCATCGTCGTTTCCAGCAAGCATGTCGTAAATTCGCGACAGAGAACCTACTCCAACATGCCTTGGAATGGGAGCGTGAGGGAACGGTTCCCGAGCATGTTTTTGGCACATTTTGCAAGCATAACATGCTTTTGCCCAATATGCCTGCCCCCTTGCCGGTGGATTGGCTGAAGCGTCTGGGAATCAATGACATACTGGGAGTCAAGGTTGAGGACTGGGACTACATCTACACTGGAATCTACTGTGATGAGGTATGCCGGGTTGTGCGGCCCTGTTTTAGGGTTTACGGGAACTAACGAAACTGGTATAGATGGCTCGATCTGGTCTCAGTGGTCCTGGTGGCTCTCTCAACGCAGGATTTGCCTTTGGAATTTCACCAATTGTAAAATTTGGTAGCCGTCAGCTGCAAGAGAAGTTCCTGCCCGACTTGCTCACTGGCAAGAAGCGAGGGTGTATTGCTATCACGGAACCTGAGGCCGGTAGCGATGTCGCTAACATTACCACCACTGCCGTCAAAAGTGCCGATGGTCAGCACTATATCGTCAATGGTACCAAAAAATGGTAAGATAACCAAATACATGCCTCTTCGCGGTCTAACACTATTTGCAGGATCACCAATGGCATCTGGTCCGACTATACCACAATGGCCGTTCGAACCGGTGGCCCCGGAGCAGCGGGTCTGTCTGTTCTAGTTGTGCCTCTCAAGAACCACCCCGGAGTCACAATGCGCCGGCTTAAGGTCTCTGGCCAGGTAACTGGTGGAACCACCTATATCGAGCTCGACGACGTCAAGGTTCCCGTGTCAAACATCGTCGGTCGAGAGGGTGATGGCATGCGTATCATCATGACCAATTTCAACCATGAGCGTCTCGTGATTGCCATCGGAGCCACTAGACAGGCCCGTGTTGCACTCTCGGCTGCATTCTCCTACTGTCTCAAACGCGAGGCCTTTGGAAAGACGCTAATGGATCAGCCCGTGGTCCGGCATCGTCTCGCCAAGGCAGGTGCTGAGCTTGAAACCATGTGGGCGTGGGTTGAACAAATTCTGTATCAACTGACTCATCTCAGCAAGGAGGAAGGCGATCGTCAACTGGGTGGCTTGACAGCACTGGCAAAGGCCAAGTCTGGCATGGTCTTGAACGAGTGTGCCCAGACAGCTGTTTTGCTCTTTGGTGGCAGTGGCTTTACGAAGACTGGACAGGGCGAATTGGTAGAAGGTATGCTCTCATATCTTTTGGCTGTGCATCTCAAGTGCTAACAGGGTTTCTTCCAGCAATTCTTCGTGACGTCCCTGGTATTCGTATTCCTGGTGGATCTGAAGATGTTTTGCTCGACCTTTCTGTTCGTCAATTGGTCAAGGTCTACCAAGCAGAGGAAAAGAAGCTCTCCCAGAGCTCGAAGATTTGATAAATGTATAACCCTCAAGACTAGAAACAATTGCGACTCTATTTCTTAATTCAATATACAGTTTCGGGGCCCGTGTCTGCCGAAAAAGAATACATTTCGTGCGCGATCAGCAGTAGCTCAGACCTTTAAGATATTAATCAGGTGGAGAGGGGGTGCGAAATAGCAAGAAGTGAGGGTCGTTTAAAATCGCCCTATATCAACACCGTATAGTCCAATCAATAACAAACATTTCTAATCTAGTTTGCTTTACATATTCGCGTTGCTGAATACTGGATCTGGCCTATCGAGCCTTGGGTTCCACATGAAGTTGAAGTATATATTCACGGCTCCTTGCTGGCTCTAGAAACACCATGACACAATCAAGATATTGAAAGCCGGGATACTGACTGGGCATCCCGCGGGCACTCTCGTTGCAGCAATCACTGTCTGCCTTGTGGCTTGTCTAGGTGCAGAAAGTTCTATTTTCTGAAGTGAAAAGAATATTGTGTCTCCAGTAATTGGGGGTCTTGAACTTGGTATGGCTATCCCGGTGGCATTTTACGAATTGCATTACTTGGTTATTTGCTCACTCGCCATTGAATTGGCCGTACAGCAAGACTTGCAGCTCCAAAGATAATTACATTAGTGAACTTCGGTTACTGTTTGACTGGCCGGGTTCTCATTGGTATACTCTTCCTCTTCCTCCTCTTCCTCTTCCTCTTCCTCTTCCTCTTGTCGTGCTTTCCTTTCCTCTTCTTCTCGTGCTTCCCTCGCCTCTTTTTTGGCTTCCTCGGGGATAAATGGATCCAACGCAGGGAAATGTTGAGCAACCAATGGATCGATATCGCCCAAGATATCCGTAGGGTGACCAAATTCAACAAATAAGTTGATCATCTCATTTACTTCTTTTGTTTTCAAGTCCCAATCCCGGTTCCATTCCTGGCACCAATAATCCATTGGATTTGATGCGTCAAAGTCATCGTCGGCATACGGAGGATCCGGCCAGTGATCCAAGAGCGCCAATAGGGGGTCAAATCCGTCTTCGCTTTGGCAAAGGACCTTAGCACCCGCGTCAAGCAATTGCTTTACCGTATTTGCATTAGCCATGGTCTCTGGGTCCAGTGCAAGGTGCAGCGGGGTGTTACCCTCGCGGTCTTTCAAAAGAACATCAGCCCCGTGACTTATAAATAATCTAGTCAAGCGTTCTTTCTCCTCGGGTTCCAACTGTTCGAAATGGCCATTACAGTCAAGTGCTGATAGCAACAGATGCAATGGGGTCATGTCATCATGATTCAACATGTTTACATCAGCCCCTAGGTCAAGGAGTAGTTTGGTCATCTCGAACGAATATTGGGATCCAAATAAGTGCTCTCCGAGCTCTTCAGGAGATGGTTCGGCTCGGTACTCCAGAAGCAATTCCACCATTTTCTTGCTTTTTTGGTATGGGTTTCGATATTCGGTCTTGAAAGCATAGAACATTGGACTTCGACCCAAGGCGTCCCTCGAATTCACGTCGGCGCCGTGATCCAAAAGCCATTTAATAACACCATTACCAGGATAATGGTACGATTCCACCGCTTCATGAAGAGGTGACCACAGGGTGGTCGGATCATTCAGAATGGCACCATGGTCAAGGATCACACGCACAGTTCTCTCAGCGTCAATGTATTCACCGTGCAATCGACTTGTGGCTCCTGCGCGTTCTCCGTATACCCAAGTATAGCGGCCTCCGCTTGTTATAGCACGGTATAAGATGCTTTGATCTATCTTGGCGCCATGCGAGAGAAGCCGTTCGGCCGACATATAAGCACATCGTTCTGCAGCGATTTCCAAGGGAGTGAGCTCCTCAAGGGTGTGATCAGATATTCCATTCCCGTAATTGGGGTCGGCTCCATTTTTCAGTAGGAATAACACTGTCTTTGCATTGTTGTTTTCAATTGCTTTGACCAATGCCGAAGTGGGCTTCCAGTTTTTGGAGAATCTATCCCAGAACCTCAAAGGTCGGTTGAAGTCTAGCTTCCAATGCGCCAGTTTATACAATGCGCTCATACATCCAGTGGTTGCGCACCAGTCCAAGGCCGTGTTTGTCGGATCTGTCTCTAGATTCCGTTTGTACAAATCACGCATAAGAAGGCTGCAGAGCTGAGAGTTTGTGCATATCAAGTTCAGAAAATCGCGATCAGATGGTAACTCCCACGCAATTATGCGTATAACCTCCAGCGGCAGGGATTGCAAAGGCATTTTGGACTTGCGGTGTGTGAAGTGACAAGCGAGTTCGATGTGATGCATGTATCAACAGAAGTTACGCTTACCTGTTTAGGCTTAGTGTCCCAATGACGAAAGAGCGCGCGTCGCACCTCTCGTCCGCAACATTTACAACTCCTACACTGTACAAACTTCTTCGCAAAAGATGGCAAATGTGGCACTGATCGGTTGTACGGGCATGGTGGTAAGTCAGGAATTTTTGCAGCATTCTCGTCCCTGACCATGAAATTATCCATGAAACCCTCAATCCAAATAGACCTAAATCGCATACCCCACAGGGTTCCCATATCCTCACCAGCCTGATCACCAATCCCTCCGTGACACGCGTGGACACCATCTCCCGTCGAACCCCGCAAGCCGCTTCTAATACGCCCCATGCCAAACTCACCACCTTCGTCTCCGGCGACACCGCCACCTGGGCTAACCAGCTCTCCTCCCTCACCCCGACTCCGGACATCTTCATTTCTTCTTTCGGAACCACCAAAGCAGCTGCAGGTGGATTTGAGAACCAGTACAAGATCGAGCATGGTTTGAATGTCGAACTAGCCAAGGCCGCGCGCGAGGCTGGCACCAAGGTCTACGTTTTGGTCTCATCCAGTGGCGCCAGCAAGGACTCCAACATCGCCTACTCCCGTATGAAGGGTGAGATTGAGGAGGATGTTAAGGCGCTTGGCTTTGAGCGTACGGTTATCCTGCGCCCTGGTCTGATTGCTGGTACCCGCGACGAAAGTCGTCCTCTCGAGGCTGGCATTCGGCTTGTTGCTAGCTGGGCTGGTAAGCTGCATTCTGGCTTGAAGGATGGCTGGGCCCAGGAGTCCGATGTTATTGGTAAGGCTGCTGTTAACGCTGGCCTTAAGGCACTCGAGGGTGATGTTCCTGCTGGCAGCGAGAAGGTCTGGATCTTGGCTGGCAGTGATATTATCAAGTACGGCAAGGATGGTTCGTCTTGAATGGCTCCGCCTTACTGAACGAGAAATGTCTATAAATAATGTTTATGTTTCGAGCACACATGATATTACGTTGTCATTGCATTGATTACTTGGATATGTACATTGGACGCAAATTGCAATGAGAAAACTCAATTACATATCGTTCCTCTGCTCAAGCTCACGGTGCAACTTCACTCATCTGAAAAGCCAACCATCTCCAGCGAATCCTTCCACAGTCTAGCCTCATCCTTGGAGTTGTAGGTGTGGCTCACATAGACCTCGTTACTGGGATCGTTGTCATCGGTGGCGCGCTTCGCTTCAGCACAATCAGAGAGATACTTCCCACCTCTCCCCTCCCATTCCTTCCCGATGGCAGCCCACACCGTTGTCGCAGCACCTTGCTCAAGGCTTTTCATGATCTTCATCGTCTCCTTGTTTTGTAGCAACTGACCAATCTGCTCTGCAGAAAGGAACTGGCCCAAACCAGTAGCAATGAACCCAGGATTCAGACTCAGGGCATGGATTCCCCGTGATTCAAAGCGGCGCTCAATCTCATTGGCCATGTATATATTCGCCGTCTTTGACTGACTATAAGCAGCCCAAGCCTCATATCCGCCCTTTTGGAAGTGGTAGTTGTCAGATGAATTGATCCCACACAGCTGGTGTCCCGCAGATGCCACATTTACAACCCGAGACTGGAACTCCGGCGAGGTAGCAGCCAACAGTGCAGGGCTTGAGCATTTGAAAGAACAAGAAGTGGGATAGGTGGTTTGTTCCGAACTGCAGTTCAAAGCCATCGCTCGTGTACTGGAGATTGGGAACGGCCATGATGCCGGCATTGTTGATCAGGATGTTCACTTTATCCGTCTTAGAAAGGATGTTCTTTGCCGCTTTGCGAACACCTTCGAGGGAGCCCTGATCCATTTCAACAAGCTTCATCCGGGTCGGATCGAGAATTCAGCCAAGGCGGTTTGCGCTTTGGCTAGATTTCTTGCTGTCAGGTAAAGAGTTGCTCCGGTGATTACGAGAGCGCGGACTGTTTCAATACCAATGCCGGATGAGACGCCGGTGATGACGGCTACTTTTCCTGCGAGCTTGTCTTTCATATCTTCATCTTCGGTGATTTGGAGAGCGGTTGGGCGGGCATCTCCCGGGCCATGAGGGTCGGCGTGGGCTGCGATATATTGCGACATTGTTTGCGTGAAAGTAGAATGATAGTGGATGGAATATCAAGAATAGATATATCCGAGATTGCTGTGAATTATTAGGAGGGGTTTCTATGCTCGTTTATATCCCATTTTCCGTGCGTTGGTTTACTCGCAAGTGTATACTTCCAAGTTTTGGCTTTGCTGACGGGTTTTTCCAATTTCAGTAAAGCGCCATTTTGCCTCCTGAAGTCGCCTCAATCACCCACCAATACCATGCTAAGTCTTGGGTCCACTGACTGACAGATCTGCCTGGTTGGGATTAGGCTGTTGCTTTGTATAACCCGGTGTCCGATTCCTCGGTCTCATCTCCCCTTTTCCTCTATTCATCATCTTCTTCCAAGTGAAAGTAGAAGATCATGGCATTTTTTATATCCAAATATGCTCAAACAGAGGAAGAAGATCCTCCATCAGAGAGGAAGCAGCGAAAAAGGACACAGAATCGCATAAACCAAAATGCGCATAGTGAGTATCTGTAGAGTGATTTATTCAGTCAAGTAGATCTCTAACATACGTATCAGGACAGCGTCTCCAAGACAAAAGGCCAGGCCATTCCAGACACCGGGAAGGTCCATATCGCATACACCTGTGGCGACTCGACACGGCGCAGCCACCTTCAGTCAAACCAGGATGAAATAGGCAATTCAGTAATCCAAGTTCACCCTCCTCCCAGATCTTCCATCCGTCGGGTCAACTCATCTCCGACTTTGAGTCAGGCTCGGAGTCGTTATCAAATACTAAAACCATCTTGGAGACATCCAGCCCATCCTCCAAGCCAAGATCTTCCTTGCCTTCTCTGCCAGCAGACCACTTACTCCACCTCATACAGTGGAATGTATTCCGCGGACTCTGCGACAATAAGCATATCCTCGGCCGCACAGTAATAGCTATACTTCCGGATTCAAACCAAGCCAAAGACTTTGAAGATGTCTTTGCCGAGTATTCACTTGTGCTCCCCAAAGCTGAAGAAACAGTCAATCTTCCACCCTCTCTTCAACTGACTGAACCCCAAATGAATATTGTTCACTCCACATGGATTCATACGCTTCCTTTTCCCAGAATGCGAGAGAATCTGATGCGCTGGGAGTATTGTTTCGATCATTTGGAGCTTGTCAGAGATCTCATTGGCAACATACTCGATCCGCTTCTTCTCTCTTTGGAGCATTGGTTGCAGCCATCGCTGAACAGTGAGATGATTAATAGCAAGATTCAAGTGTTGGAGATGATTACGATGATGAAGTTACGGCCTCTCGTAGCGGGCTGATTTTATGGGGAGACCCTATGATAGAGGAAAGCTGGGAAGTTACGCCCGGTTTCTTGCGGAAGTGGGCATGGACTGTGGAGGGATGTGACGAGTTGATATACTCTACGAATCAATGGAGAAGGATTCGTGGTGAGGTGACTGTACAGTTGCTTGCTAGCGACTGAGACTGCCGTCATGGGATGTGTATATAGTTATTTATAGGGGACTGAAAGTAAATGCAATAGTTTCGAATCTTGTGTCTTGTTTTCTTCTATTTGTTGTCCTCTACGCTGTCAATCTATCGCATGGCAGATTTTATCGTAAGTATTCCAAAATAAAGTGATCTGACAACGAACTTTGCAGTAGGCAAGAAGGACGTAGATGAAAGTATAGTAAGCCAAATGTCGGATATCATTGTGCAAAAGCGTAAAGGTGTAAAAATATCTATAATTTTAGCCCAGCTAAGTAATCTTCTTAGTTGGGGGTTTTATGTGGATTGATTCATTTTCCGTAACACATTTTCCGTAACAAAGACAACATTAGCGGACATTAAAATTCGAGCATCCATCGATGCATGCATGGATAGGATAGATGGATCAGTGATAATTAGTTGGAAGGGAAAACAAAATAAAAAAGAATTGCAAGCGATGGGATTCGAACCCATGCAACTTTCGTTACCAGGATTTCCGTTGACGGATATCAAGTGTGGATGCTTGAATCTGGCGCCTTAACCAACTCGGCCACACTTGCAAGTGTGATGTAAACGTTTCCACGTTTTGAAATCTTATTGTACGGAAACATTTGCCCGTTATATCCCGCCGCATCCAAAGTCTATCATTCTCCAGTGGAGGGTAGATCACAAGAAGTTATAGTCCAAATCAAGGCTTGATTTCGTGTATCACATTAACTATAATACAAAAACTCAGTCCTTATAAGAAACATGAGTCCCATCCTCCTTAACATGAACGCTCCTGTTCTTTTTGGGCGCCCCCCGAGCACTAGAAGTCTCGCGGTCCCGGTTGCGCGCTGGGCCACCTTCAGTTGGGTGTCTCCAAGCACTGACATCCTTATTGGCCGCACTCACGTCTAGAGGGCTGTCCGGCTGGCCTTCCTTCTTGCTCTCCTCAGCTGTAGCTGCAAGTTCGCTCTCCGGTGCTGTGTTGGACGGATCGAATGCGGATGGGTGCTCGGCGACTTCGGCATCTGTGCCTGACTTGGTGGTTTCTGAACGCTCCGGGCTCAGTGATTCGCGATCTTGAAGGCCTTGGTATTTTGACTTTTGGGGGCCAGGAGTCGTGCTGAAGGGGGCTTTTGTTGCTGTTGGTGTGACGAGGGCTGGGGCGGTTGTTGATAATTGGGAGCGGGTTGCTCGGGATGCTTGTTGACTGATTGAAATGATGGATTTCCACATTTTGGATGGTTTAGATGCAAATAGGTGAGGGGTTGAGCTGCTGTTTAAAGTGGTTGAGGTATTATAGACGGTGGGCTCTATACTGAGGTAGGATGGATGGAATGGGCAACAATTGATTCGAGAGATAATCTACCAAGGAAAGCCCAGTGCAAGTTGAACATTTAAAGCTGGCATTATTCTTGTTCTTCCCTGTTCTTTGGACCCTGTGATCATGTTGACGTCATCAATGAATTGTGGTGCTAGCCTAATCAGGTAATAAGCTTGCCCTAAGTCAACTCACTTATGGTACATTGAAGGACATCAAAAGACGTGCCTCATTTCTCAGACCTTGGGTGATTTTGCTGCTCGGTCTATCTTGTCTCACAGAATGAGCAAAAAAGGATGAAAGAAGAGATGAAAAGAGGAACAAAAGCACAGCCGAACTAGCGAAGTAGTCTGGTGAGAGAAAATTGTTTTACCATGTCCGTTTGAGGGGGTATTTAAATATTCAATCTCGGCTAGATCCGGCTCAGTAATATATCGTTACGTCAAATGGTGTTCAACAGCGCTTTCGAACGTGGACTCGCTCTTCGCTCGGTGGTCTTGGGCAGCGATGACAGGCCATTGGGTAGATTAGAGTTCAATTTGCTTTTAGCCATACTCTGGCAAAGACAGTACAGCGGTCTATGGGGACTGTATACTCGCCCAACTGTTGCGGAGTGAGAGCGTGGCTGGTGGCAAGGTCTGTCTGTATCAGTGCGTGATTCTCGGGATACGAGAAAATAAAATGGAAAAACAATAAAACAGTAATCGGAACGCCCTTAGATCGTGCTACTGTGTACAATACATATGCCACAGGTGGAGTAGAAGATCATCAAACCCAGACACGGTGGAACGAACTGCACCTGGCACTATGCGAATGCGAGGGCCCGCGTCGAGACAGTCACGATCTACCAATAAGCAGAAGGCCACGGCCTCGCTCAACGCAAGTGCTGTGAGATGCACAACGTGCCCCTAGTGCAGGATGGGTGGGGAAATGTCTCGTTAGTTGCATATGACCGGCATCCCAGACAGCACCTGTCATTGGACAATGTGCCCGGCTGCGAGTCAGGATAAGCGCATGGCCAGACCAATCCCCGTGCGCTGACGGAAAATGCAGGCGGTGGCATTTTCCCTCTCAAGCTCCAAAGGTAGGGTTACCAGTATCTATTTGTCGCCCGTCAAAAGCAGGGCGTGTGGAGGATGCGGGAGCCTCCGTTCACTTTAAGATCACGGGATCACAGGAGCCCGGCGCAGTGGGAGCCTGTATGCGGGCCCTGGAATTCAATTCCAACGTTGTAGCACGGAGGCTCAAGGTTCAAGGTACGTAAATTTGGCATGCAACGGCCTAACCCGGTCAAAATTGCTCTGCTAATTCACCCGGCAACTTCGCTTGTTGGGCAGAAATCAAAAAAACCATGCTTTTGTCCACTCGGCCAGACCCTTGCCAGAACGAAAGACTGGTACACTAACGATGTATGAGGAACTTTCGGTGGTAAGACGGAACGAGAGGCAAAAAGGCAGGGGGGCTTCAGAAGTTGATTCGAGAATTTTTCTGGGCTGGATGCACCCAAGTCGCCGCAGCAAAGGATTGATCCACCGAGTATGACAGGCCTTTTGCGGCTGTTCGCCATCATTCAGGGATGTCAGTTGCCAACTCAACATGCCTGTCATGGATCATCTTTCTAGGGTACCCCTTGGTACAAGTGTTTGGGCGTAATCTCGCTAGCAGTCACCGACGATCGCGTGCCGTGTTGATGGAAATTCCCCAAAAGGAAGACCCCCTCCCTGGGGAGATTGCGGTAATGCGGAAAGGCGGCAACGCAGAGAAATCTGCAGGATCTTCCATCATATCCCGAAAACCGGTCATCTTCCGTCATAGTCAATGATGAGAATAGCAATATGGAGCCACCGGGTGGAGGTTTTCATCGAATCCCCAAACGGCGACCCACAGTCTAGCAGCCAGCCCTCCCTACCAAGAATCTGCAAATTGAACCAGAACCAACGTGCCACGTCAGAGTCTCCGAGCTTTGGTGCAGCTGCATATGGTTCAGCAATATGTGGAAGGTGTCACGGTTCGTGTCTGCGGCGAGCGCCGTACAGCAATCCGGTCCTATCATTTACACTCAAAGAAGCAAGTGGATGATGATGAACACACACATGAGCGGGGGCAAATGCCGGATCCCTCTTTGCAGGCGTGAGAGATCAGCTGAACGAAAATGGATCTATTTGGCCTGCATCCCTGGTTTTCGGGATGAGCACAAAAAAATTCAATTCAATGGCCCGTGTCCCGAACCAGGGTGCCAATGATAGAGCCTCAACGAGGCAGTCATTGCCACTCAGGTCGGAACTATTGGCTGATAGTCACTGAGCGGGAAAGTGCGGCAGGCGTGGAACGGAACCGAGTTTGATTCTGATATCCCTGGGAGTAAGGCTCGGCAGGAATAACGCAAGGCGGCTGGGGAATGATGGTTGCAACCACATGCTGAGACCCAAGGCCGATGTCCATATTGGCCCAAATGCAGGAAGCGTCAGAGCCATGAGGAGCAATGGCAGGCCATAAGTCGGGATGTGCATGCATATGCAATCACACAGACGGTAATATCGGATAGACACTCCTGTGGGTATAACATGGCGTTCGGTCAGAATCCCGTGTCAAAGCTCATGATAATTGGCATGTTGAGCCAATCAATAATTTCAGCCGTTGAAAAAATGCTTCAAAATAGAACATGCCATAGTGGTGGAATCACAGGGGGTGTGCAGAGACCCATCACATTCGGGAAGGCAGTAGCGTTTCTCTTGCATGAGGACATGGTCATCTCTGGAAGCGAAAGCCTGATCATTGCATCAGTACGACATCTGGCAAGTGCCGAGACCAAATCGGCCATGCAAGAGCAGCAATGTAAAACGCAACAGCATCACAGGAGTGTGTGTCCATGCGAACAGCCTGCACATGAAAGCGGGGAGACGTAGCTGGCGACAGCATGGTTGCAGTAGTCGAATCTGGAAACTGGAGGATTGACAGCCATGCGTTGAGGGATTTTTCACCCATTGACCATCCGCGGTGAGAGAAAATCGCCACGGCTAAAGGTTGCATGCATCCTTGAAGCAACCGGCTGTCCATGGTGGCTCCATTCGATATACTACGGTCATCATACCGTCTCCACAACGCGGAGAACTGCTCACATCCAACCGGATCCACAGTCAGGTAGGTTGTTTGGATTTCCGTGGACTGGAACCCACGGATGATAAGCCATCGGGCACTGGTAACCGTCGATCAATAGTGCGACGACACAAACATTGGAGATGGGGACTGTGGCATAAGAGACTCTCGTACGAAACATAAATAGGCCAGTCAGGTCCCCCAGGATACCCTCAAATTCTCAATCATCTCTTCGGTTTCATAAACCAAGTCTGAATTCTGCAAGCCAGACCAATAGATATTCCTCATAAGAAAGCTTCGATTCAGTTTTTGTTTCAACTTCTTCGAGGTTTCCTAGACCCTTCAGGATACCAGGAAAAGGTCAACCTATCAAATTGGTCAAGTGTGCCACAAAGTCAGGTGCAACCAATAGCGAACCGATATTCAAGCTGAAACAAAGACGGGGAATCGTGAGCAAGTGAGTTGTGCGGCACCTGCATATTGAGCAACACTAACAGATCTGATAGGCATGTGCTTCTACAATCAAAAGAGATTTGCCTGCGGAGACTGGAGCTGGACCAGCTTTGCTCACCGATGCAACTATGAGTACCGCACTGGCGAAACGTGCGGTATGAGACTTGTCAACATGACCGAAAATGAGAAGAGCAACTGCCGGCTCTGCGAGAAAATCGAGACCAAATATCGCCGACGAAGCGCCGAGGTCGAACGTTTGGACCGGTGGAAACGAGAGGGTGCTACCCTGGTAGCCTCGATGGATCGGTCTCACAAAATGATCATGGACCTAGAGAAAGAGATCCGCACCCTGCAACGGGAACGGGATGACCGAAGGAGCACTCTGCTCAGATAGGATTGGCTTAGGTGCGCATAGCCAGTGGTGTCCCTTTCATTCTTTTTATTTTTCTCTTTCTTTTGGACAGGCGAATAGCGGCCTGTATTCATTTGATTCGGAACTTTTATCTCCAATTTTCATGTCGTTTGCCTTTGCCTGTAACCAATTCCTTGGGTGGAGTTGCAGCGTGTTTCATGTTTCATCATTTTGTCCGGGACATCAAGTCCCAATCGAGTTTCTGCAAGGTGATGTGAGAACCACATCGCTCACGAAGAGATTGACGAAAAATATAATTGGTTCGGTTTCCATATTGCTTTCTGTTCATAGGCTGTCAAGCTCCCAAGAAATGTCAATAGCGACTAGTCATGCCATAAGCGCCGTCTCTTCCCTGGGTGAGCGGTTCGCTGAGACATATCGAGACGGGTCAAGTCTCACAGGGTGAAGAGTAGCACCTGCTGCAGCCAGACGGGAAAGCCATTGACTTTTGTTAAAACAAATGAGGACCATTCAAAGCCGACAGGAGCCAGAATGATGCAATTGTGTAAGAGGGACACATATACAGCGTGAAACGGAATGCCCCTCATCTCATCCCCGCACGTGATAGCATGCGGTGTGCTTATATAATTATCTTGGGGAATCATACCTGCCACAAAAGCTGCGCAAGTGTAAACTCTGAAAGATTTGGAGATGTCGGAAGAAGTTGGCAATGGTTGTCTTGCCGGAAAAACTGGGCGAGGTTGTTAGTTGCAAGCGGGAATATATAGTCGTTCGCAGGGTTCCACTTCCTTCATAAGAACTTGTGAGCTTCAATAGATGAGTTGATCGGAGTCTTTGAAGATAACATGATAGTAATATCGTTTCCTTTTGTTTACTGCGAAAATAGTGCTGACGAAAAATGGGGATGTGGGAGACATATGGTACTAGTTGTGCTCGGAGGATTTATTTGTGAAGACTAGGGAGCCTGCAGACCTTCAGGCGCATTTAGGTCTATTCAGACTACGTGTACTGTCGGATTGAATGTTCTCGGAGCAAACATCGTCAAATTGGGAGACAGAATTGAACAGACAGCCCTGGAGACTGGGCCGTTGTGCATGCCACGTCACGAGCGAACAACACCAGATGCAGCATAAGCAAGACCAGATTGAGGTATCGTTTGGACAAGACCATTCAAAATTGCAACTTGATGATTATAGTCAGAAGTATTGGATTCGAGTATCTGAAACGGAAAAGAGCATGAGGGTTTAATCTATTTTATGTCGCCAGCCTCGGGCTCATCATCGACCTTGGCCAACCCTTGTTCCCGCAGAAGAGCATCGATCTCGTCCGCAGTCCATAGGTGGTGGTAGATCTTCCCATCCTTGGTCTTGCCCACCGTTGCGAACTCGACTGGTAAACAGGTTAGAATGAAGTCAGGCGGTAAATGGTACACAAGAAAGATATTGTATTAACTCACTCTTCTCACTGCTCAGCTTCGTCGAGTCCATAGTCTTGCTCAGCACCTTGACAGCCATAGCACAGGCCTCCTTCAGATCGCAATCCTCCTTGTAATCTTGCTTAAGGAGACTCTGTGCGCTTGCATTGTTTGCACCAACACTCGTGGCCTTCCAGCCCCCGTAGTTTCCACTGGGGTTGCTCTGGTACAGCTGGAACTGGCGAAGGTGGTCGTACCCAGCGTAGATGAACGAGACACCGAACGGACGGAGACCACCATGTTGGGTATATCCTTGCTTCAGATCGCACAGTCGGCGGACAAGCTGTTCACAGGGAATATCTTCGTTGTACGTAAGGAGATAGCGTTGGGCGTTCTGACGAGCGTAGTTGATCAGGATGTTGGCATCTGCGTTCATACCGGCAACGGCGCAAATCATGTTACTGGAAACGGTTAGCTTCCATTCATATTCAAGCAATCATAGGCCCAAGATGGACCAGAAGTGAAGGCGCTGTACTCGTTGATTGTGTAGAGCTTCTCGGCGGAGGTATCCTGCTCCAGCAGCTTGCTGGTCACCTTCCTCTCGGCAGCGAGGACAATTCCATCCTTGGCTAAGATACCAAGGGCTGTACCGGCGTGAGAGATAGCCTCAAGCGCATATTCGACTTGGTAAAGTCGACCCTCTGGGGAAAAGATGGTGGTCTTTCCAGCAGCGTCATAGGTTAGCCGGAGCTGCACAAATGGAATGACGGTGTGAACAAACCCGGGAATCATATCTCCGAGACATCGTGAATGGGGAATAGAAAGCAACAAAAACTGGAAAGGGCCGAGACTAAGGGTTGTGGACGATCGAGATGATGGAGGTCGGTGGTGAAGACCGTAGAAGCTCCAGGCAACTCGCCCTGGCGCGTCCTCTGTCATCCAAGCTCGGACCACTTCACCACACCAAAGCTTCGTTGCGACGATTTCACCACTTTGACCTGCAACGACTGAGGGAATTTGCGCTGTGGCTCTTTTTCCATTAATCCATTTGAATCGCCATGCTTAAGTCAACATACACCGCTCCTCCACCTTTGCCCCCAGGGTGGACAGAGCATCGAGCTCCCACAGGTGAGTCTTGCGCTGGAGGCATCTTGAAAACTTTGAACATGCCTAACAGCCAGACTAGGCCATTTGTACTACTATAATTCCTCTACCAAGCAATCGACATATACCAGGCCTCAAGCTGCCCCCGAGCCTACACCGGCTGCGCCCGATTTTCCACAACCAACCTATGACCCCGAGACACTACCTGCATTCTCTTCAACACCCTATGGACCTGCAGGGTTTGGCCCGGGGCCAGCGCAGTTTGACCATCGGCAAGACTTCCGTGGCCGGGGAGGGTTCCGCGGCGGCAGAGGCTATCATGACCATCGCCGGAGAGAACCCGAAGATCGACCAAAGAAGAAACACGCCATACCCGACTGCGCGCCGTGGTTACTAGTTAAGACCAAGCTTGGGCGGCGATTTGTATACAACCCTGATACGAATGAGAGCTTTTGGAAATTTCCCCAGGAGGTCTTAAAAGGCGTGGTTGAATTCGATCGCCTCGAGCGTGAGAAGAAGGAAAAGGAAGAACGTGGCGAGGAGCCCGGGGAACCAGCCAAAGCACTACCTTCAAAACAAGACGACCACGCAGAACCCCAAGAAGCCACAGGAGAAGCCCAAGGCGCAGATGACGATGATGAATACGAAGAGGTCGAGGTCACAGACAGCGAAGGAGAAGATGGCCAGCCATCCAAGCGCCCACGAACTGAAAGCGAGGGCGCCCAGGACCAGCCTTTAGAGTTTACCGAGGAAGATATGGAATATCAACTCGCCGCCATGGGTGAAGAGTATGGGCTTGATCCCGGCGAATACGGTGAGGCAGGGGAAGAAGAATGGGAAGAGGGCGCAGAAGGCCTACCGCTCACTGAGGCCGATGCCGAAGCCCTCTTCCGTGACTTGCTCGATGACTTCCAAATCAACCCGTTCACGACATGGGAAAATGTCATTGAAGAAGGACTTATCATTGAGGATCCCCGGTACACAGCACCCTCAAATATGAAGGCACGACGAGAAATATTCTCCAATTGGACCAGGGATCGTATCCAGTACGTCAGGGACCAAAAGGCGAAGCAGGAAAAGTCAGACCCGCGCATTAAATACCTGGCATTGCTGCAAGAACATGCGACCCCCAAGCTTTACTGGCCCGAGTTCAAGCGCAAGTATAGGAAAGAGCCGGAGATGAAGGACTCTCAGCTTTCGGATAAAGACCGCGAGAAGTTCTATAGGGACTACATTGCGCGTCTGAAACAACCGGAAAGCACACGGAAATCTGATCTGTCAGCCTTGCTCAAATCGGTTCCCTTGCACGCGTTGAATCGGTCTTCGAATGTGGATGCTCTACCAACTGTTGTTATCACCGATATTCGCTATATTGGACTCGCACCGAAGGTGCGCAATCCATTAATCGAGGCCTACATATCTACCCTGCCTCCAGCGCCAGAGGTGCAAATGACGGCAGAGGAACAAGCAGAACTTGACCGGAAACGAAACGAGCGGGAGAAGCGTGAAAAGGCCTTGGCCAATCGAGAGAAGCGAGTGGAGGAAGAGAAACGGAGACAGCGTGGAGATCTCATCCGTGGCAAGCATCTTCTGCGCGAAGGCGAGGCCGAGATCGAAGAGGCAATGAAGGTCAACAAGGACGGACTACGAAGCTACATGGACATTGACCAGGTGGAAAGTGAGGAACAAAAGCCGAGTCAATAGATGCTACTAGACACATAACTTTTGGAAATCAGCACAGGCAAAATCTATCATACAAGTCAACGGCAATTTTGCACGACGCTAATGCCATTCAACTTCTTGAGGGTATCATTGTAGACGAGGGGGAACAATCTCCCCTTCGCGTAGACCAATCGTAATTTCAATTTCACTATAAAGGCAATCATTTCAATCGCCAGTCATCCCAATCCTCATCGTCATCGTCGTCATCGTCGTTCTCGCTTTCGGCAGAGTCCTGCTCCGCCGATGCAGACCCCATCGCTTCATCCCGTGCCTGATCTTCGGCGCGTTTTTTGCGCAGCTCCTCGCGCTTTTGCTTGAGTTTCCGCACCCGCTCCTCAAGCTGATCCATCTCATCGAACTCCTCTTCCATAAACCGCGCGGCATCCTCGCGCTCGCCTTCCAGCTCCGCATCTCGGCTTTTGGTGGCAGCAGCCTTCTCTCGTGCTTGCTGCGCAGCAAGTTCTTCGGCGGTGATTGGCGCAGCTGATATCGTAGCCTCCGCGAAGAGAGCGGCCGGTGCCTGTGGTACACGAGATGGTGCGGCGACCTCTCGTTCAAATGCCGCCCATTCATCTTCGTCGACAGCCATAGGCTGGGGTTGTGATGGCGCCGTAGTTGTCGTTTCTTGTGCAACTTGTGTTGGCTCGACAATCTCGTCAGGCCCGTCAACTGGGGGCTCTGGGCCCGCGACATCTTCGACTTGCTCTGCACCTTCATCTTCGGTGGTTTGCTCTGTGCTTGGTGCGTTAGAGGTCGACTGGATAGCATCAAGATCGGCCGCGCGGAGCTTCTTTCGCATCACAGCATCTCCACTGTCAACTTTGCGCTTCTTGGTGACCCGATTCCCTGTCGTATTTGGTTGGGATGTGCCCTTGCGCGAAGCTAGCTCACTCCGAAGAAGGGATCGGACGTCGGTCATATTATCTGGGATGTGCAGCAACAGTTGATAAAAGGGGAGTTGTAAGGGTAGCTAAGGAGTTGATGGAAGTGTTAAAATCCGAAATAGCCTCGGCTTGAATAATAAAAGAGCCTATGATCAAGTGGGGAATCTGGAGAAGCTTCAAGATTCGAAGCCGCGAACCTGTGGCTGGTGATATCACATGATGATGACTAATCTCGGGAGGCAAAGCCACTTGATCTCTCCTCACCTAACGGCTTCATTCTCTCCTTCCTCCATCTTCTCTTTGCATCACTGCGCTTGCCATCAGAGTTTACAAAGTCAACACCACGCTAGTTTCGACTACAACTCACTTCACAGTTTTCACTGCAGAGTGCGCGATTGAGGTTTGAACACCTTCACGCGACCCCACCCAGCGCCAAGTGACGATTTGACGCGCAGCAAGGGATTGAACAGTCCAGCACGACACCCACTTCGGCGCGTTCTTCGCCCCCGCGCGTCCGTTCCACAAAATATTGCGCCTGTTCTGGATCACATTTCTTGATCAAGTAATACTTTGGGCACACTATTCATCGTCTTCTTGTTGTATTACTTTAGCGCCTTGAGCCTGTAGAGACCGTGGTCAGCCCTGGGTAGCAAACCTGCACCCAGATTGTGAACAACTGAAGAGACATTTATCCTGCAAGCGCTGTAGTACGCGCTTAATTCACCATTTATCATCATGGCTGGTAAGCTTTCGTACTCCACTGTGGACAATGCAGTCGAACCACCTTCGGGTGGTAACGTCACCCCAAGCTGTGTCGCAAACCACTTATTTGAGCAGACGCTAATAGCAAGATCAGACGAACCACGACGCTCCGGTCGCGCCACCAAGGGCCAGCACAAGAACCTCGAGTTACCTCCCGATGCCCCCGGCAAGAAAGGGAAAAGCAAGAGCCCCAAGGAGAGGAGCGCGAAATTGTCTGCCGAGCCTACCCCTGGTCCCAGCGAGGGAGAAGGAGAAGAGGAGGAGATAATCCGATGCATCTGTGGGGAATATGAAGAGGAGGAAGATGTCGAGCGTGACATGATCTGCTGCGATCAGTGCTCGGCATGGCAACACAACGACTGCATGGGTTTGACATTCGGGAAGGGGCAAGAACCAGATCAGTACTACTGTGAACAATGTCGGCCGGAGAACCACAAGAGCTTGCTCGCCAAGATTGCTGCTGGCGAGAAGCCTTGGGAACAGGTCGCTGAGAAACGTCGCCGGGAAGCTGAGGAGAAGAAGTCCAAGCGAAAGAAGGGCAAGAAGGGAGCAGCCCGCAAAGGAAGATTGAGTGAGAGCAGGACAGATGCAGGCACACCAGTCCGTACCGCAACCTCTACTACGCCTGGTCCCCATGAATCTCCTGCACCCGCCGTGTCTGCGTCAGTCGAGCCAGAGAAGAATGGCCACGCCGATTCTCGGCGGTCGAGTACACACAAGCGCAAGCTTGAGGAGAGTGCCGAGGCAGAGAGTGTAAGTTCTTGCATCCTATACAAGTTTCTCGCTGGACATGCTAACCCTTTATTCCAGGGTCCACAGGTGAAGCAGCAAAGGGTATCACCCCAGTCCACCACAGCAGGTGTTCCAGCGTCGACTAAACCCCAAGTCAAACCAGACCCTACTCCTGAGGCACCCGTTGTTGGAAATCTGCAGGACCTCATGCCTGCTCGCAAGAGTGTGGCTGCAGCCCTCATCAAGCTATTTGTAGAGCAGATTACTGCGGCCCAAAAGGCCAAAACCTTTACTTTGAGTGCTGGACAATCGGCAGAGGATGTTGCACGGTCACTCGGTTTATCCATTGAGGATGCCATGTACGAGAATATCTGCGGACGTTCGGGCGAGCCGAGTGAACCATATAAGTCGCAATTGCGGTCGATCATGTTCAACGTAAAGAAGAATGCTTCTCTACGAGATCGTTTGCTCGTAGGTAGTCTCTCCCCCAAGGTGTTGTCTCAAATGACATCGGGGGAAATGGCCAGCGAAGAGTTGCAGCAGAAAGACGCCGAGATCAAGCGGGAAGCAGAACGTCAGCACATCATTGTCCAAGAGCAAGGCCCCCGGATCCGACGCACACACAAGGGAGAAGAGTTGATCGAAGACGAGAACCACGCCGCTAACGACTCTGTATTCTCCGCTGGACCTCGTCGTGTCACCGGTGATCGGAATGGCAGCCCAGCTGCCACCAGCCCGTCGAGTCCAAAGGGACAGCGACCCAAGACGGATGGTCCTCATCGAGGCGTCTCACCCGAAGGTGCTCACCACGACCATGTCTTCCCCGAGGTTGCCGCGAATATTCACGAGTCAGTGCCCCGGGGCAGAGTTCAAGCAGACGCCGAGATCGACCAACTTTTGCGAGACGACGAGCCCGATTCTCCTCCTTATTCACCAAAGGACTTCGATGACGACGGCACCGTGTGGCGTGGAAAGGTCACAATGTTCCCTATCGGAGAGTTCTCGTCATCCGCAAAGCATGTGGGAGGCGCCGACTTGAGTGGCCGCATCCCATGGAGTCAACTTTCGCCACCCACATTGTTTGTTGACGGACGTATCGACATCAAACGCGCCACAGACTACCTCTGCGGTCTGCAATTTAGCAAGTCAACCGACGTCTCGGTGATTGCAGTCACCAGCCCTAGCCAACCTGAGGACCGCGCTGGTTTCGACAAGATATTTGACTACTTCCACAGTCGCCAACGCTACGGTGTGATTGGAAAGCATCCGTTGTCTGCCGTCAAAGATACCTACATTGTCCCCATGGAAGTTGGCACCACCAAGATGCCGGAGTTCATCGAACTTCTCGAAAATATCTCCCTGGAGGCGCCCATCACTGAGCGCATGCTTCTCACCATATTTGTCGTCAAGACTGGGGAATCAAACCCCCCTTCCGTGCAGCCTTCCTCCCACCAAGCCAGTCAGGAGCCACCTGTGTCCGCGAGCCCTCTCACTGCCGCAGCGGGAACTCCCCAGCAGCCGCAATTCAGCGCTGGAATCGCACAAACCCCTCCCCATTTCACTGGATATAACTCGAACAACGCAACTTTCAGCCAGCAAAACCCCACGCAAGCAGGACAGATCCCGACTCAACAGCCCGCCTCGCTGACCGGCCTGCCCGCCGCGGTACAAGTGCTAGGCCCCCAAGCTGATGCCCCTGCCATTCAACAATTGTTGAAGACCGCACCAAACGTGGAAATTGCGCAGCTCAACGTTGTTCGCGACATCCTGGCTCGCCAACCCGCGGCCGCAGCATCCTACGACGCCCTCATGCAAGCTCTTTTCGAGACCCAAGCGAATGGCGGCCAAGTGCCCCAGTAGGGTCCTCAATAGAGTTATGCTTACGATAGTCACACATTTGTCCTGTACAGTTTACTTCATGTTCGAGTTTTCTTCATTCGTTTGCAAGACTGCACAATCGCAGTCTGGTGTTCGGGGCTCAAGTCTGGGAAAAGGGGTCTTTATGGACGTGGAATACCCACCACCGAATGTTTTTTCGACTTTCATGTCTTCTGGTTCTATCTAAAATGAATCCGGGTATACCGTAGTCTTTGATGTTGTTTAGTTTTTTAGGCTGTGCCCTACATTATCATTTCCCTCAGGTTTCAGCTAAAAGGAATTCATGTTTAACTACATCTATCTTAATCACCCAAGTATGTAATTGATGTGTTCGGATTGGGCATGTAGCTTCCACATAATCTGACCGTAGAACTGGAGAGGAAAGGAGATCTTCTCCGCTGTAATACAAGGTTCTTTGATTTAGGGCTGGTAACATAGGTCCATGGCCAAGTACAAAAAGGAAAAAAAATCTGGATATTGAGCACATCGTCTTGTGACCCTCCTAATCGCCATCCGAACATCGTCCATGAAATCAAATAAAACGCCTGCGCTATGCAAAAGGACCGAGCCCAAAGCCTGGAGGATAAATCAGGGACATAGATCAATATCTTCCATGGCCACCACCACCGCGTCGCCTGAACCCACCACCGCCGCCCCCTCCATAGCGAGGACCACGGCCGGCGTTGGGGCGACCACCAGAGGTATAAGGATTATCGTCTTCTTCGTGGTGGCGTACAGGCGGGGCGCGTCCCTTGAGCTCGATGCTGAGCTTCTTGCAGTTCTTGCGCATATCGGAGTATCCCATGTGCATCTTTCCAAAGAAGTGATCTGCCAGACGGCGGTCGTTGTCGAGACGAGACAAGTATGCGCCGCAAACGTCGCAGACTTGAAGCTTTTGGTGGCCGGACGGACCAGATGTATCTTGGAGGTTCTTGAGATCGCGTTCAAGGGTTTCCTTCTGGAACTTTGCGGTGCGAACTTTGTGCATTTCACTGAGGGCCATTGAGACGGAGCCTGTCTCGCCTAGGACGGAGACTTCGAGAAGGCCGGAGTTGATGGTGTTCGAGAGATCGGCAATTTGTTTGAGCTGTGATAAGTCAGTAAAGAATCTAACAATCCAAGAGATTCAGGAGCACGAGTAAAAGCGAAACACACCAAGGTATTGGTTTGCCGAATCTCATCCGGAGTCTTTTCGAGTCTGCGCTGTGCACTGTCGATTCGGCGGTCACAGTCGTCAATGTACTTCTGCATGTCGCGCATATAATCGAAATCAAAGCCCCATTTCGCCTTCTCTGACGGAGATGCAGCGTCGTATTCTGCCTTCAGGCCTTCGCTGTGAACCTTCGGGCAAGGGCCGAGGTCTTGCTTTGTGTTGGTGAACAGGTCGTGCGGGCAAGTGCCAGCCAGGTAGGACCGGCAAACTTTTGCGTCTGTGATAGAGAGCTGCGAATTGCAACCCTGCGCGCCAGTTCCAATGAGTTGGTCCGCTAATAGAGGAGTCACTGTCAGCTTGATCCGGAGACATTGAGGTTTGGAGCTTGGTTTTGAGGGGCACAAAAAGAGTCACATACCTCCCATGAGCTGCTCAAGCAGCTTCCTCTGTTCCGCCGCCATGATGATTGTGTATGCACCAGGCTTTTAAAAAGAAAGAGGGCGAGAAATTGTTAATGGGCTGATAAGAGGCGAACTGCGAAGTCTTTCGTTTTTGATGCTTTTGACGCCAAGGAAGGCGGTGAGGCTCCACAGTCAACAGACCAGATGGACAACTCTCGTAGCTCTGGAGTTTCGCTTTGCATTTAATGCTGAGTTGCTATTTTTGCTTTGATCTACAGGGTCTGACTGTCCGGAACTATAGGTCATCAACCTACCCTTTCGCGATCAACAACCCCCTGTCCTGTCAATTGGCATACATGAAGACCGAGCTCCGGCAAGCATGAAGTCATGACGGTCCTCTCGATCCTCTCCTTGCCTTTTGTCGCGCTCCTCATCTCGTTATGGAGCTCGTCGGCGATTGCTTCAGATTATCATGAGAACTTGCTCCTACAACCTCTACCGCAATCTTCCCTCCTAGCATCATTCAACTTCCGGAGTAATACATCGCAACAATCATTCGACCAACAGCACTTTAGATATTTGCCCCGCGCGCTTGGTCAAATCCTGCAGCACGCTCACACCAAAGAACTACACCTGCGGTTTACCACGGGACGATGGGATGCCGAAAGCTGGGGGCCACGGCCATGGAACGGGAGCAAAGAAGGTGGCACCGGCGTGGAGCTTTGGGCGTGGATTGATGCGCCAAGCGATGATGAGTACGTGCTACTCTCTCGGCGGTGATTTGAGGGACCTGCAATGCTGACATTCTTAGGGCTTTTGCCAAATGGATCACCCTGACTCAATCCCTCTCCGGTTTGTTCTGCGCCTCGTTGAACTTTGTAGATTCGACACGCACCACTCGGCCTGTGGTTTCTTTCGAGCCCACTGGGGACCACTCAGCGGCTGATGAACTTCACCTGCTGCATGGAACTCTCCCCGGCGAGGTTGTTTGCACAGAGAACTTAACCCCTTTCTTGAAGTTGCTTCCATGCAAAGGAAAGGCGGGTATTTCCACCTTATTCGATGGCCATAAGTTGTTTGATGCAGCATGGCAGAGTATGTCAGTGGATATTCAGCCAGTCTGTTCTCCGGAGGGAGAATGTGTGGTCCAGATCGAGCAAACAGTGGATATGGTCTTGGATATTGACCGGTCAAAGCGACCTCGATGTGCGTATCATTTACTAAGATCACCATGTTCATCATTATTAACATAGTAATAGCCAACCCAATCCCTCGACCTGTGCCTAATGACCAGTTGGTCTGTGACACCTCCAAACCTTACCATGCAGATGACACCTGTTACCCGCTGGAAAAGATGAACGACAAGGCTTGGAGTCTAACGGAAATCTTTGGTCGGAGCCTGACTGGCGTTTGCCCTCTTGCAGACTCCGATAGCTCTAGTGAGCAAAGTGTCTGTCTTCGTGTTCCTCACGAACGGGGAGTCTTTATATCTGAGGCAGCCGAAGAAATCAAAAAGGATGATGGTTTCACGCGCTGCTTCAAGTTGGCACCATCGACATCCTTTGATCTCTCAATTCCACAGCAACCAGTGAACACGAAAGTTCCATTGGACGAGCCTGTTCTTCATGCCGAGCGAACTATCGTTGGTCACGGCCAGGAGCGTGGTGGAATGCGCATCATTTTTGGCAACCCATCCAACACCAGCGCCGTCGATTTCATTTACTTCGAGTCCCTCCCATGGTTCCTGCGGCCATATATTCATACCTTGCATGCAACCATCACAGAGAGCAACGGACTCCCACGCGAGATCCCAGCCTCCGATATCATCAAGGAGACCTACTACCGTCCTGCCATTGACCGTGAGCGTGGAACACAATTGGAACTTGCGCTCTCTGTTCCGGCCGCATCGACTGTCACCCTCACATACGATTTTGAAAAAGCCATTCTGCGGTACACCGAGTACCCGCCAGATGCCAACCGCGGATTCAATGTTGCACCTGCAGTTATCCGCATCTTGGACAAGGCCCACAATGCGCCGGTTTATATCCGCTCTACAAGTCTTCTTCTTCAACTACCCACCCCGGATTTCAGCATGCCGTACAATGTGATTATCCTCACTAGTACTGTCATTGCGCTTGCTTTCGGGACCGTTTTCAACATTCTAGTGCGGCGCGTGGTCTCCTTGGATGAGGCTGAAGCCCTTGGAGCCCAGAGTTTGAAGGGCAAGCTACTAGGCAAATTAGTGGCTTTGCGTGATCGATTCCGCGAGAAAGATACCAAGGTCGAGTAGTTCATAATTGAAACAAACGCATTATAATATTTGAATAGGTCAAAACCTTGGAAAAAAGCAACCTTAGCACTATGTAATAACTTGGTATGCCGCGTAATTTGCCGGTAACAATATGGCAGTGGAGTATAGCCAGTGATATCATCAAGTTTGGGACAGTTGGTGCATTTTACAGATAACTTCTAAAAGACAACCTCGGTTATCGCAGACCTCGGTTGCATTGTCAAACTAAAGTAGACCTTATTACATCTTGAATCACACGTACATTGCGGGGAGATTGGGATCATATACCTGTAACCACATACAATAATTGAAACAGATTCAAAAGACCATGGAGGAACTAAACCGCATTCTTGAAAGATTCACCGATCCATTGACGGGGTCTTTACACGGCGCAGTCTTCATTGCTATTGACCGTTCAGGTATACCAAATCCCCTCTTATCCCCTCCTCCTTCCCCCCCCAAAGAGACCTTGGATGTCTTGCTTCTTCAAAATATAATGACCTTAATATCTCCTTGAAATACTGATAAATTCTCACAGGCAAGGTTATCTACAACCACGCTTCGGGAAAAGCAACCATTGTCACGCAAAATGCATCCGTTGTGAGCCAAGACTCTCTATGCTGGATTGCATCAATGACCAAACTTGCAACAGCAGTGGCTGTTATGCAGCTGGTTGAACGGGGTACTGTTTCCTTAGAGGATGATGTTCGTGAAATCATCCCCGAGCTCAGAGATATCGAGGTTTTTATAGATGACAATGGTACGAAAATGTCCATTGCACGTAGTGGCTTCATTCATTACAGATATCTAATATTGTGATCCATATAAAGATGCCTCGCAAGTCTTGCATCATGATAGGCTTCAGCCTCTACGCGAAAGGCTGACTCTGCGGTACGTACTAGTTGGTTTACAAAACAGAGCAAGCAATTTGATGCTTCTCAAATGACAGGAGCAAAATCCATACTAACAGATTCTTTGCAAGTGACTTGCTATGTCATACTTCAGGGTTCGTTTATGATGTGTCTTCACCTTTACTCAAAGAATGGTCCAAATCGAGAGGTCGAACAGCCCACACATTTTGTGGCAGCTTGGTAAATACCCCTTGTTCCTTCTCAGTGTAGCAAGTGTGTCTTTAATGTGGTCGAATAGCTAACTAAGAATATTGTACTAGGAAGGATATAACCATCCGCTAATCTTTCAACCGGGAACGTCATGGGGTTACGGTGGTGGAATAGACTGGTCTGGACGATTAGTGAGTAACCCTAAGTTGTTTCATTTTTTGGGGGTTTGATTCTAAACAAAATGAGGTTGAAATCGTGACCAAAAGCACCCTTGAAGAATACATGAAGAAGAATATTTGGTCCAAGCTCGGAGCAACCTTAACTACATTTCGTCCGGAATTGCAGCGCGACACTTTACCTCCACCATTAGAAATGGGATATCGGTTGAGTATCGGCCATGGCGAGAAGTCCATCAAACAAGGGCCCATCATTCTTGGCCAACCGGCCAAACACAACTTGGGCGGAATTGGGCTATTCAGTACACCCACTGACTACATGAAACTCTTATCTAGTCTTCTAGGAGCTGGTTATCCATTATTGTCCAAGTCTAGTATTGATATACTGTTTCAGCCACAGCTGAATGAGGCGTCTCGGATGGCAATGCCAAAGCCTCTGGGTTCTCAAATGAGACGAGTTCTTGGAATCAAATGCTTGGATGATCACACACAGGCAGATCATTGTTTGGCTGGGACAATGACGTTGAAGGACATTCCTGGCCGACGGCGAGCAGGTACTGTTAATTGGAGTGGGTTGCCTAACTTGCATTGGGTAAGATCCCTCCTGCTATATTATGCTTTTCTTTACTTTTGCGAGATCTCACGGCATTCAATCGATCTTTATCGGATAGTGTATTCTAACCTATAATAGTGGCTCGACCGTCAGACAGGTATCACAGCTGCTCTTTTTACCCAACTTATGCCGGCCGGGGATGCAGCTGTTACTGGCCTTTTGATTGAGTTAGAGGTAGCTCTCTATAAGGCACTCGAAGTCAACGCAGGCTATCCTAGCAGTGGTTCCAAGTTATAGATGAGACAAATGAATTTATACATCGCGTCACGTCTTATGTGCATCCTTCCTTCAATCTGAGAGAGTTACTTTTTAACATAATTAAATGATATATTCAAGACCTTCATGTAGAGATACCTTGCAAATTTTACAAATAAAGTACATGTAAAAATATCATAAAATATCGTAAACATTCAATTAACCTGATCCGGAACCCATCTACATGTCCAGTTACCTGCCCGGGCCAAGGTTCCTAGTAAAATTCTCGTTAGATATCGATCAATATTTATGACTTCAAGATCAAACTCACAAGCCAGTCTTATCCCTAATAGTATGCCAACCAGGCAAAGTATCCGCCTCACCAGGCTGACGACCCATAAATGAATGATCCTCACTAGCACAAGTCGGCTCCCCACTATTCGTGGAACTGGAACTGTCGCCGGCCAAGCCTGCTCGCTGAAGATATTTGTTCTGGGCGCGCGATTTCTGGTCATTGAGACCGAGGAACCTACCCATCGTTGATCTGGCGTCGGTTGCCTATAATTTAATAGCATTATCAAGTCAATATTTTTTATGATACCGTGTTGATGAAGGGTTCGTCACGTACGTCTGCATGGCCTGGCCCCTGGTCGTCGCCTGAGTTCCAGACCGTGTCTCCCATGCCAGAGCCGCCACCTACATTGTTGGCTGGTGTGGGTGCGGCACTTGTGCCTCCAGCGACGGATGATGTTGTTTGGTTGCGACTGCTGTTGCCGCCCTTGGAAGCTGCTTCTTGGGCCATTTTGATGTTGATTATGATAGGAGCTGCTAATAGCAGCTGTTAGTGAACTAATCTTGAAATATTTTGAGATTTCATTGTGTGATTTGCATTGACAAGAGTAAAATTGGTGTAGAAGTACACTCACGATTTACGTCGGGACAAGAACAGGGATGTAATATGTTGTTCTTTCGACAAAATGTTTGTACAATCAATTGATATGATGATTGAACTAAACAAATCGACATTTCTTAATTTTATATCTAACCTTTTGGACCTTGACCTCATCCCTTTTTGCCACAACCCCAGATGAAGTCATGATGAGTTAACGCCGCCTGTATGGACACAATCACGTGCATCGAGACCATTCAAGATTTCCAGTTCGTGATTAAATGTATATAAACAAGAAAATCAAAATATATGACCTAGACTGATATTTGAAGGAGCGGAATTAAGCGGGTATTGCTACTTTGGCGGCAACTCCATTCAACTTGCCAAAAGCAGCTCTGTGCTTCTGGTGATGTAGATGCAGCCATGATTGCGCCTTCGTACGCTTTTCTCTGAGTTTCTTTAAATCTGTTCTAGTATTGATATAAGTTATATACTCCAAGTTATTGATCAAGATTTGCGCGGATGATCCCGATCATACCGAATAACCCTGAAAGCAGGCCAAAGCTGCAACAAAACCGCCCCAACCATCATACACCCAGCAAAGACCTGCGCACGCAAAAAGTACGCAGTATCCAGATTCACCAGAGCACCCGCAATAGGCGTTCCAGCCAAAGCCCCAAAAGAAGAAATTCCCCACATCATCCCCAAGCGTGTCCCTAGGAATGTAGAGTCCGGACAGAACACTGGATGTGCCACAATAGACGTAGGTGCAGTGACCAAAACACCACTTAAAGCTCCCCAGTAGCAAGACCACACAATAAAACCACCAGTGCCGGTAGCAGCAATCCAAGTGAACATAGCAATGGCCGAGGCCGATACTGCAAATAACAGAATCCCGATTGGCTTGATATATGCAACCAGAAGGTACGGCACGACACGACCAATAACCGAAGAGCCGTTAACGATAGCAACCATATAAAAGCTCAAACTGGTCGTGGTATGCACAGCTGTGCGCGCATAAGAAGCGACATAGAAAATGGGAACGTAGTACGCGAGCATGACACAGGTCAGTGACAGCGAAAACATCATAAAGGAAGGTTCACGGAAAGCCTTCCAATCAATGAGACTCCTTGCGTGAGCCTTTTTGACCCGGATGCCGACAGAGGATGATGCAGGCGACGATGGCGAGAAACAGACTGATAAAGCCGATGCAGCGGACTGTCCACGGGAAACCGATTTTGGGCTGGAGTTGGCGGAACATCACTGGAAAGATCACGGCACCGACGCTTGATCCGATTGATGCGCAGCCAATAGCGATGGGTCGTTTTAGGGTGAAATTCGTGGAGATTACGACTAAGGCTGGGATGTAGGCGATGCCACCGCCCATTCCGACGCAGAAACCTTGGGCTAGGAGGACCTGTTTCGGTTAGCGAATATCGTTATCATGTGGTATCTGGATATGGACATACTTGGTAGTAGGACGTGGCGAGACTGGTCATCATCATTCCAAAGACAGTCAGGAAACTCCCGGATATAATTAGAGGTCGTAGGTATCCGACATCAACTAATGGGCCTGTGGCAAGACCAACCATCGGGATCAAGGTGGCTTGAATACTACCAACCCATGAGATGGTCGAGGGTGTCTCATCTGGTAGAAGCACAGTCTGGTAGTACTCCTGAAAGGAGCCATAGGTCGTCAAGAGGCCCCTAAGACAACTGTCAGTACTGTAAAATAGCAGCTAGTGTGAGACACGCTCACCAAGAATTCACAAAAACACAGAATCCCGCAAGAACACTTAGCCAGGCATCCAGGCCACCATTTAACCTCTTTTCCGGAAGATCTGGTTCAGTTCCTTCATTGTTGGATGGGGAGTTGTCGCCCAATGTAGGGTTCAGTGGCGGTTGAGCCCCGTCAACCTCACTTTTCTCTGACATGGTGTATAGAAGTCATGGCAACGTGAGCTATGGAAACATATAAGAGAAGTCTTTACCCCAAAGTCCACAGTGGGGGAGCTTTCCCACGGGGTTTCCATTAGTCACTTCGGCACCGCGTAGCCGAGCTCTACCGTTTTTGAGCCTTTGCAGCAGTGGTAACCCCAATTTGGAGACACGGGGACCTCCGCTTTTTACTTGTAGTAGTTATTTAGTTATTTGTCAGCCCTAAGGCAAACACCATGTTCTATTTATTGCTCAAGTATAACATTCCATAAACTGTGTCTGACTCCGGAGAATTATAGGGAATTATTAACGGCCTCGGAGAATTTCTTGGCTGCATACTCCTACCAGTTGACGCGACACTGGACCAATCACAGGGTCAAGAAAAGCAACAGTCTACACCGATTCAGTAAGATAATATGATTCAATTGTTGTATGATATTCTTTTGTCATTTACACTATAGGTTGCGTGATAATATTACTACTAAGTAGCCCCAAGCTGGGATTGAAACCAACTTCGTAGGATGGAATTATTTCATTTCTATTCAAGGTTAGGTTTCAGTTGAAAAGCAGTATCATACTCTGTTAAGATTAGCTAGCCTGAGATGGGGAGCTTGAAAGACACGCTAGGAAGACTATTATACCTACCATCTAGTGACACGTTCCTAAGATCGGGGTTTGTGTTGTTTCGTCTTTCATTTTAAGGCATTCAGCGTCAACGGTAACTATACCTGCGGATGTTGCCTTCGTATCATCACCACTCAAGACGTTCCATTTCCTTCATTATAGTCAAGGAAGACTCAACATTTTCGGCAATGTAAGATTAAATGATGGACGGAGGAGAGAAGAAGAAGAAGAAGAAGACGAAGAAGAAGAAGAAGAAGACGAAGAAGAAGTAGGTAGTGAGTATTTATAACAAGAAAAATAACCGCATGGCCGTAGAACAATCGCATGGCTATATAAATACGGACAAATAGAGCTGATTAATTACGTGTGAACCTGGCGACCGAGACAAACCCAGAAGAAAGTAAGATGAAGCGACCAATACAGGTATTGGCAAGCCCTAGATATAGTATAATATTCTTTAAAAAGGTTGAAGACGAAGCGGAGAGGCAAGAGGTGAGCTTTACAGAAGAGAAACAATTGGCTGGCATTTATGCCTTGAAACATAGTGTATAGCATGCAGAAATATTTTTATATGAGCCGCTAGTCGGCTATAGGAGGGGGATATCAATTCCAAGTGAGTAACGTGAGTCTTTTCGTGTCGTGAGAAATCCAAAAGAAAGTCGTCAAAAGGCAATGGAACCATGAAAGGGAAAGGAAGTATGTTCGTGAAAGAGATCATCACTCATCATCCTCGAACTGGTCAGCCCAAGTTCCAGTTATCGGTGAAAACGTAGAATCGAGTTTTTCCAATGTCGCTGGTGATTTGGAAGGCGCCGGTGCAGTTGCAGGTGCAACAGTTGTCTCGATCTTCTCGGACTCGGGTTTCGCCTCCGGCTTCTTGGTTCCTTCAGGCAGAGCGGGAAAGTCGCTCTTGTCCAGCCCTGGCGTGGCAGGGCTTGGTGTTGCATATTTACTGTCTGACAGGCCCTTGGACGGCCGCTCGCCGCGGGGTTCGCGCGGAGATCCGCGGCCACGACCGCCTCGTCCACCTCGGCCACGGCCCCTTTGGCTATCAGCGTGGTCGGTGGTATCTTCTGAGCGACCACCGTCTAAGTCTCGTCGCGCATAGCCAGATACGCCTCCGTGCATTCCTCGGCGGAACTGGCTCCCACCACCACGAGGGTTATAATCCTCCTCACGTTTCTGAGAATCCCATTCTCGCCCAGTTTGAGCCTTGAGTTTGCGTTGCCTGTTCTGTTCGCGCTCATTATCCATCACGCGGCGGTGCGCAAGTTCCTCACGACGTTTCTTTGCTGCCACCTGCTCACGCTCCACAAATGAAGCTTGATCAGCCTCAGCGCGAGCATGAGCCGCGGCTTTCTTGACGGCATTCTCCTTAGCGGCCGCAATACGTTTGGACAGTTCCTCTTCGGTGAGTTTCGGCTGGAAGAAGTCAACTTGCTGCTCTCGCTCAATTCCACAGGACAACCCTACCTTCCTTAGACCACCGGTGGCACTTCGATCGCCGCGAACAGCCGGTACTCGCTGGGCCTCCGCGCCATTTGCTTCAGCATCACTTTCCTTAACCTCTCCAGACTGCTCCTTGGACGCCTCGACGGCCTTTTCAGGCTTGGAGACGCCCGCATCGCCATGGGATTCGGCCTCAATAGCAGGGGCAGGAGCCTTGCGCCGTTGAGAACTTTCTGACCTCTTTGAATCAGACTCCCGTCCACCACGCCCTCCTCTCCCCCTGTTCCGTCGTCCCCGGCCTCTTTCTCCGCCACGGCCCCGCTGCGGAGTCTCCCCACGTGGACTTGGCTTCTCAGCAGCTGGTGGCTTCTCAGGTACCTCTTTTAGATCAGGTACTGGTGCAGGTACTGGTTCTGGCTCGGGGGCGATGGCTTCCGTTTGCGTCTGCTGTTCCTGTGCAGAGACCGGGATGATCTCATCGTCGAATAGGTCGTCGTCGCCGCGGGTCTGCGCAAATTCGTCCATCTCGGGGTCGGCCATTATATTGATTTCTAAAGGAATTGACCGATAAGGCGAATGGATCAGGGTGAAGCCTTGAATGCGGGAGTGCGCGGTATATGCAGTTCGAGGGGTAGCTTGTCTGGGGGCCACGAACGGCGATCCGTGCGCAGACTAATGGACAGCGAATAATATCACGATCAGCGAAACTGTCAACTGGATTGTCGATGGATTGTCCAAACTATGTGTATTGGAGGGAAGTAAATAACGGGAATTGTAGCGGTTCAGATCAACATCTAATTTGCTGGGCAACAGCTAAGGCGGTCTACACTCATTACGAAGTGCAGTCTTCTGCCGGCGATTCCCGCTTCTTTCTGCCCAGATGACGTCCGTTGTTTCTATACAGACGTCGAAATCGGTTTCACCACTTTATTCTCTGTAATTCTCTCATCGACAAGCTATGTATTTGGGTCAGTCTATTTGAAGATCTCGAAATGGGTTATAAGATTACATTACATAATGAATTTCATCCGACAACATTCAAGGTATTGATCTTCTTCATGCAGCTCTCAGCCTCACCTGGGTGCGCAACCCTCCCGCAGGATCAGTGGCCTCCCTCCGTCCATTGATGGAGATCTACCAAGACTCATAGGTGCTTGGAAATGACGGAGGTTCTTTCTGTTTGATATACAGTCTGATATCAACATGTCTGGATCCTGCAGCTACGACTACTCAGTGCCAGGGCTGCCGTCCTCCCCTGATAGTGACATCACGGGGATTGGTGTGAGTTGCTTCTCAAAATTATTGGATTGAGATATTAAACAGCCTAGGTTATTATCAACTACATTGCTACCGCAGGGCTCTCTATCCTTATTATCCCGATTTACTATGTCACCGTGTACGACCCTTCGCATGACCCATTCGACAAAGCCGGAGAAAAGACAATCCTAGCTCGCTCCAATCCAGTGGACAATTTCATCTTGGGAGGACTTCGATCTGGAACAAGATATCTCTTGAAACATCTCCGCTCTAATCAAATGAGACCTCATGCCAGTGTTCGGATTGCGAATATTCTGATTAAGGTGTGTTTCTTCTTGAAATTTGCTTCATGTCCTATTCGAGTCCCCTTCTTGGCTCTATTGGTTTCTAACAACGCTGATGCTCAAAGAAAGTGTATCCTGGTAATGAGTGATCTTCAGACTGTCACCGGCTTCGCGATCCTCATCAGTGGGTATACGCAGCTTGAATGTGGCCTTGATACCTCGAAATGGCGCGCTATTCTTGGCTTAACATGGTTCGCCTACATCACGCAACTGTCATGTTTGACAATCTTGCAAGACCATCTTTACACGCATACATTTGAGCGCTCCTGGCGCTTGCTTGCTACAGGAGCCCTTGCAACGTTGTTGGCTGTTGGTCTGCTGTTGACAGCCAACCCTATGTGGTATGATCCCGATGACTCCCGTCCCGCTATCTGTAAACTAGGTTGCTATGAAGGTGACGGGGCGACGCTTAAATACTCTTTTGCAAGCCATCCAAACATCGATTGCCTCTGCAGTTTTCGTTGTAGTTGCCTTTATCTCTCGGGTTGTCAGGCTACACAAAGTTTTAAGTATCGGCATCCTTGGCCAGGCTATCTATTGGCTCGATTCTCAGGGGCGTCAGCTTCTCTGGGTTCTTTTCAAGTGGCTCTGTGCCGGAGAAAGTATTTACAGTCTCAAACGCTCGCTCATATATCGTCCTCTCTTCGGTGCTTTCAAAACACTACGTCTGCTGTTGGTTTCGTGGGCTTCTTTTGCCGTCGAAGTAAGCTATTAAGAAACCCTCCAATTTATCCTTCCTAACTTTGGACAGGTGGGCTGGGTTTGTGTCGCATTTTCCTGGGGGTTTTACCGTCTGTATTTGGACCTTGGTGGCCAGAGCGAATTTTTTAGCGCCAGCAGAGAAGACTGGACGTTCGGACAAGTCGTGTCCGTGATTATGCTAATGGCACCACTTATAAGTATTATTGGAGCTTTCAATGACGGTGAGAACCTGGAATGTAGCATTGAAAGTGTTTCCTTCTAATACCATCCCGTTTATTTAAAGCAGATACAAAAGCCAGCGAAAATACATTGCTACAGGGCCCGCCTGAAGAGCCAATGTCTCCCATGGTACCTGGGAGTCAAATTTCCCAGCTGCCTGTCTGCTCCACCGAAGTCACAGACCAAGAAGACCCCGAGAATCCAGATATTGACTGGGCTTTGAACACTACCTTTCTTGGAACGGTCACCGCGTACTGCTTCGGGGTGTGTCTGGCTATGGCTTGTTTCATCTTCACTAGGAGTCAACCTAGTTATAGTGTCTCTCCTTTGGAAGGGGTCTCCGTGATAGGTGGAGGTGTTCCGCTGGTATTCTGGGAGATGTACTTCCTGGTTCTTTGTTCCATCATCATTGAGCTGGCCGTGCCGCAAGATATGTCCTGGCTTCGAAGATCATTACTGTCTGAATATCGGTTTGCTTCTGGCTGTCTGGGCATTATTCACGACTAGTCTTTCTTTGGCTCCCCGCCCTTATCAGAGCATAGCTACTGCTGGAATTTATATCATGAGTGCTCTGATACATAGGATAGTTGGATGGACAAAAAGGCTGGTGAAGGGTTGATACTTAAGATAGGGTTATGCATGGTTAAACCCCTGTCTTTTGTGACTGCTATTTTTCGTATAGTCAGCGTCCATCTTGTTATGAAGATGTTGTTGCCTGGAGTATACTACAAGAAAGAATATAATTGACTGCTTAGATGACATACACTACAGATATGATCTGAAGTACATTTTATATACAAAGAAGACCAACAGCACCTAAATGCACTGCCAAGCATTCTCATCAGTATAGTTCCCAGGACCCTTAAACACATTACGACGAGGCCACCTGCAGTGCTTGCGCTTATACTCAACCTTAGAACCAGGCCCGCTAGCAAACTTCGCACCACGAACCGTCTCCGGCGCGATACCCTTCTCAACCCACTGGACCATAGCCATAAGCACATTATCCTCGGGATTGGTACCATCGTAAGTCCGAAGGCCCTGGCCGATACCGTATGCACCATCGCCACCCCCACAGTGACCCATACCGCTAATTTGGAAGAAGCGGTAGAACTCATCCAGCTTGGATGGGGGCAGCTGCATGGTCTGCGAGACGTGGGAGTAATACCACTTTGAATCCTCAGAGCTGATCAACTGGTCTTGCAGACCGTGATAGTGCAGGACCTTGCCGCCGGATTTCTGGAACGGAGACAGATCGCCTTCCCAGGTTTGGAGGTTGTATGGGTTCTGGGCGAGGGCGACTGCGGCGTCTTTAACAGTGAAGTTCTTCCCGCTCCACGATGGGTTCTCGTAGACGACGTAGCGGTACCAATCTTCGCTGTAGGGGAATGGTGAACCATTGTACATGATGGGGGCGGCTAGCATCTCAGAGCCAGGCTGCATGCGAGGGTACAGTAGCGTGCCGTTGATTCCGTAGAATGGAGCGAGGACTTGGTTGGCGGTGTTAATCTGGGTGCTGGTGAGACAGCTTGTCTTGTTCGAGGTGTGGGGGTTGCAGATTAAGGTTTCCAGGATTGGACGGCAGAGATCGGGGTCTTCGATGATTCCATCTTTGGCGCCGTCGATGCTGTCACATTGGCGGATGATTTCGTCGTGGACGATCTGCCATTCGGCGGTTGTTAGGAAGGTCTCGGACCCGGGAGAGCCGGTGATGGGGTAGAAGTGTGCGCTCCATGAGAACAGGTTGATGAGGTTGATAGCTGGGGCACCGGCAACCACACCGTCGAAGTCATTAGGGAATTTCTGAACGGACTTGAATCCTTGACGGCCACCTGTTGAGCATCCCAGGTAGTAGCTCTTGTCGAAGCCCTCGTCGTAGAATTGTTTGGTGAGCTTCTTGCCCACGACAACTCCTGTGTGGACAGAGCGGTATGCATAATCCTCAACCACTTCTGGGTGTTGGTAGAATGGCTGTCCAGAGGTGCCATTGTGTCCATTATTGGCTCCGACCGTGGCGAAGCCTAATTGAGCTGTGTATGCCAGGTCATAGTATTGAATACCTGATCAAAGGTTAGCACCAGCCATAATCTAATGTTGGATTATTAAGAGTAGACTTACAACCAGAGATACCACCGTTTCCGGTGCTCAAGAATCGACCTTTATACTCTTCAGGGAACCAAGCTTCCAATGTAATCTCACTGCTGTTGGAAGTAGAAACGGCCATAGCAACTCGGCATAGGTCCACCGAGACGACCTGAGAGAAGGCACCACAGCTAGTAGGATTGTCCGGCAAGGACAAGTTGGTACCGCCCTGCACAAACTCGGCGAAGTTAACCTTCACATTGGGAATGTTAATCTGATCGGCAAATTTCGCACATTTGGATTTGAAGGCATCCTGACTAGCCAAGGCAACTGAGCCCAGAGCCAGCAGGGGCAATGGAGAAAGACGAGTCATGTTGAGAAGTAGAAGTGGACAGACTAGCTCCTGTACGAAGCATCAACTTGGATGGGAACTTGACTAAATATACTAGGATGACATGCGCCGAGGCACCAACTCTTGGCTTCATGGCTGTATCAATGGACCCGTAAATCGGCATACGTGAAGTGTTGAAATCCCGGGCTACCGTGTGGGGAAGTGACGAAATAAACTGCAAGGTCCGAAGTGGCGCCGAAAGGGACGGGACAGCGATATGCTGGACCACACGAATGAAACATGGTGCGGCGTCGACTTGACCAATGCGAGGCGGTCCAGAGAGACTAGTGAAGCTTGGTATGGACGAAAACAGCGGGCCAAGGGACGATCAGGAGCAGCCGAAATTACAGGTGCTTGTACATGTTATGTACTCGCGAAAATCCCTAGTGGAGGGAAATCCTGGGATTCCCCCAGCTACGGAAATAGATAGCCGCACTCTTAACAGGGGGTAAGATTAGCTTGTAGAGCTAGAGCACACTAAAGTAGTAAGTTACATGTATAATACAGTACATGTTAGTGAGACCCTGTGAAATGTAAGAATCTCATCGGTCCCCGCCTCTGCTTTTTCCAACTCTGTAGTACAACAAAATCCCTCAATTCTTTGATGATATGGTATCAATCTATGCACGTACATGCATGATACTGTTAGCTTCTTACATGTATAGATTAATGCTTCGCATAACAGCCAATAGCATCAATTATAGCAGTGATCTGCGATTCATTAGAAGTGCTGCCTAGCGTCTCCGCGCCTGATCTACAGTATGTATCAGCTTTTTAAAATATCCTAGTGCCTTAACAATAGTCATCAAATCCACCCTATTTTTTCTTACTACTTACAGTACCCAGGCATAAGTTAGCTGATCGGCTCTGACCAAGGAGCTAAGTTCTGGTAAAGAACTACCAATTGGTGGTTTTCTTCGAACCATGCCAGTATTCAGCTTTGATAATGCCCCCAAGGCTTGAAATGAATACCGAGTCTAGCACGACGAAGGGAATTGGGCAATCTCATGTGAAACTGAATAGAACGAGCGAGTGATGAGAGAGTGATGAATAATCCCGAGGTTAACATGGGCACCGTAGATAGCTGGGAAATTTTCCAATGACTGAATCTCCTATCCGGACCCATGGGTGTGTTAGCGCCGTCAATTCCCGTCGCCTGTTTGTTCCCATGTGGCTTTCTGGTCACTTTCATGCACTTGTCACTTGTGCCTAGTGCAGTTTCAGCGCATCACAGGCAACCCAAGCAAGTTCTCGCTATGACCATATTGACACTGATGTCTCCAGCATTGATGACTCTTGTGCCTTCCTTTGATCCTCCCTGTGCACTGTCATACAACCTGGGTTTGGAAGCAAAGATAATGGTCAAATAGAGTCGTAGGTTCTCGAGGGGCGGGGTTGGCAAGTGGGAATTTCTGGAATGAGGCTGCAGTGGCGTAGAGGCGGATGGTTGAGCGAAACTCCGGGGGGGTTGAATGGGCGGACCGACTGCTGATTTGGGCCGGGGTCAGATCCCCAGATTCTCCACAATTGCGGGGAAGCCCTCCCTGTTTGGGTTGAAGGCTGTTGAACTCGGCACTTGTCAATACGGCCGTGACTGATCAAATACTAGCAGCTGTTAGTAATTCAAAAGACAAGCAATATAGACTATTCACTGACCGCCAGGCTTCAATGGCTCGCTGGCGCGCCCCGATATTTCGGATTTTCGCCGCGTGTATCGCGGCATGCACGATCAACTCATGTCGCATGGCGATGGTTTCTTTTTGCAAAGCCTTGAGTCTCGCTCTAAAATTTATTATCACGCGGTGTTGTTTGAGGCACTCCTTGTTCAAAGCCTCGACTTGGTCAAGGGTTTTGTCGCTCCCTAGAGGTACCGCAAATCGGGCCGCGAGAACTTCGTACACCGTAATTTCAGCGTTCAAGTGCTGAATAAGCTTTTGCTGTTTATTGCAATGGGACTTAAGGCGCTTCATGCAGTAACTGATACTTTTGTTCATCGATTTGATCTCGCGACGGAGCTGCCACAGGCTGAATTTGACCATGATGTACTGACACACGCTGCTGCGTAAGTCACGGTCAACACAGTTATTATCGGGCCGAAAATAATCAGCGAAGTGATCCGATCCATGACTTTGGATGGGATGGGGACATGTTGTGATTTGAGGTGAGGTTGGCGACGAGGTGGTTGGATGTTGACGAAGGTGAGAGGAATGGAAAGAGCAGGTGGGTGATGTTTGACCAGGCAGCGTCCTCAGCCTCCATCACCTTGAGTTATGAAGCAGAACAAACATTATAAACACGTATATTTTACTACAGCGAACAACAGCAGCAATTTAGACAATTTAGACCGAGGACGTTAAATTGACATGACATGTACATGTGTGTTGATCAGATCCCAGATCTGTAGATCTGCCAACCTTACTTCCCGCGAATGATATCAGCGGCCCGTTCCGCCACCGCATACACCGTTGCAATGGGGTTGGCATGGGGGATGAGTGGGAAGACACTCGCGTCGACAATACGCAGATTCTCAGTCCCATACACCTTCAACTCCTGATCGACTACCCCTCCAACCTCGCGAGGAAGCATTGCAGCAGTACCACACACATGGTGAGCACTCAGCGCTGTTTCCTCACGGAGCATGTCCTTGATTTCCGCGAGGTCTGGGACCTCTGTGCTAGCCTCAAAGAACGACTCTAGGGCTGGTGCGGAAGTCAGCCGGAGCAAGTGCTGTACATGCCGCGCGAGGATCTCCAGATCCAACTCATTATGGAAGAACCGTGCGTCAATGACTGGCATATCATTCAAATCCGATGATGCGATATGGATATTCCCTCGCGAGAGGGGAAAGCTTGGAATGGCACCCAAGAGCGCAGTGGTTCCTGACTTCACAACTAGGAAGAGCATAGCCGAAGCCTCATCGGGGCTACTCAAGATGGATTCGATGATCTGGCTTGTGGGACTGCTTTGGTCACCAAGCTCAGCAAACAGGTTCTTCTGTTCGTCCTGATCGATGTGCACAAACGCCAGACCCTTGAAGCCAGGCGAGACTCCTGCTATGCCTGGGTGCGGCTTGAGAGAAACAGGTATCAGACTCATAACATGGTTCTGCAGGTTCTCGCCCACTCCCGGTTGATCAATGACCAATGGAATCTCGAGATGAGCCAGTCGATCTTTGTTGCCAATGCCTGAGAGCTCGAGTACTTTTGGTGTCTGGAGAGCACCGGCCGCTAGGACAACTTCCTTCTTTGCCTGGATGGTGATCCCCTGTACACCATGCAAAACCTCAACGCCCGTGGCCCTGACCTTTCCTGCACCAGAGGCAAAGATAATCCGCCGGACTGTCGTTTCCGTGATTATATTCACGTTGGGCCGCTTGGATGCTATAACCCCGTAGGTACTGTCAGCGCTACTTCGAAAACCAGAGACTGGATCAACTGTGGCCGTAAAATCTCGGGTGCTGGTTGTCCGTTCCTCAGCGAGGAAGTCATCAGTAGGCTTATAGCCTTCGCTCTCAAACGCCTCGGTCCACGCTCGAGTAAGTGGAATAGCCTGCTTATCCCCAGCAGCAGGATAAATCACTTGAATAGGTCCCTGGGCATTATTTTTGCTAGTTTGGGTCGGGGATAAAAGAGGTTCCGGCTGAGTCAAAGTATAAGACCTCTGCAGATATGGTCTCAAGGTCTCCCAGTTCCAGTTCGGGTTGCCCAACTTTCCCCATGCATCAATGCCCGCCGGAGATGGAGGAACAAACGCTAGTCCATTGATGGCAGATGAACCACCCAAGACTTTGCCTGCTGGATGATTCTGCTCTCGACCATTGAGGCCTGACTGAATAGTGACAGATGTTAGGGAGGCGCTGATCGGGCATCACAGACTACCCACCTGAGGGCCTATTTTAAACTTCCAGTCAAGCTCCGATCCACTCAAAGATGGCCAAGAACTAGGATCTTGGACTCTATCATCAGTGGAGGTATCAGGCCCGCTCTCCACAACGACAACATGAGTGTTTGGGTCTTCTGAAAGACGGCAGGCAACTACCAAGCCGGCGGTCCCTCCGCCAACAATCAGATAGTCAGCCGTGGCTGGGATGTCCATAGACATCATACTTGAAAGGAAACAGAGAACAAACAACAGTAATGTTGGATTTCAGGTGGAAGGGAGTTTGGGGGAGAAGCTTAACGTCGAAAGTAGGTAAATATATTTAGGCCCCCCGCCGAAGGATTAGCCAAAGGATTGGGGCTAAGACACGCGTCAGCGCACCTGCCAAGCAGGCCATTTTTGATTATGGATAGAGCAAACTCGCTCTAGATGAGACATAGAAGATATATCACAGCAGGGGTGGCTTATACTCCCAAGTGAGTTTGTTTTGTTCGGTTTCATCTGCGACGATACCATTTCATTTACCCGAATCGAGCACGAAACGATTATTACAAGAAACAACAAGTTGTGATATGCTACACTACAGCTTGTTGATACGGCGGAAGATAAACCAGACCAGGTTCCTATCGAGGTTGTTTCAAAGAACACGCCATAAAGGGCTGTTCCAAAGTAGGAACGCAGGTCGATCTCCGGCATAACCAGTGAACAAAAAGGCATAGTAAGAATCAAATAAATAGTTAATCTGGCCATCCAATATATGTCAAAACTATATAGAATTTAAACGTGAAGATGTGTATAGAAGTAGTCGGCCCACCCCGCAGGCGTTCTCCGCACGCGGTATTTTGCCGGTTCCTGCTCCAGCACGTCATCCCGCAACCTTGAACATTTCTGTCCCTGGGAGTTCATCTTTATCTTTACACTCACCATGTCTGACACAGCCAGAGAGCCTGCATCTGAGCAGACACCCCTGCTCCGCGATGCGTCGGAGAGCAATGCGCAGGATACCCCGCTATCGGACGAACCCAGTACCAAGGAGCTGATCTGGATCCTGGGGAGCATTTGGTTAGGTGTATTCTTGGCGGCGCTGGGTATGAGCTTCAGTTGCTTAATATTTGACCTAGAGCTAATAAACTCGTGACCGCAGATACAACAATTGTCGCTACGTTGTCCGCACCAATCTCGTCCTCCTTCAATTCGTTTTCGCTACTCTCGTGGCTGGCTACATCTTATCTGATTTCCAATGCCGCTTGTCAACCCCTCAGCGGTCGATTGACTGATATTTACTCCCGGCGCTGGGGACTGGTCTTCTCAAATGTCTTTTTCGCTCTTGGAAACTTGATCTGTGGCCTGGCGAGAGCTCAATGGGTTATCATCCTTGGTCGCGTTGTGGCGGGCGTTGGCGGAGGTGGTCTTACAGCCATCTCGACCTTCGTGACATCGGACCTTGTTCCTCTCCGCAAGCGTGGTATCTGGCAGGGCATTGGAAATATTTGCTACGGTGCTGGAATGGGACTTGGGGGTGTGTTCGGTGGCTGGATCAATGACACCCTGGGATGGAGATGGGCATTCTTGCTCCAGGTCCCCTTCCTAGTTGTCTCTTGTATTCTGGTCGCGGTGAAGGTCAATATTCCCGTCAAGGAGTCGGATACCGCTCGTATCAAGCGGGTTGATTTCCTCGGTGCCATAACTCTTGTCCTGACACTGGTGTCTCTGCTTTTGGGCCTTAACACAGGCGGAAACCAGGTACCTTGGACTCACCCATTGGTCCTGACCTCCCTGGTCATGTCTGCTGTTTTCCTGGGTATCTTCATCTACGTGGAAGCCGAGGTTGCTACTGAGCCTGTCATCCCAGTCCGCCTTCTCCTGAACCGGACTGTGGCGGCCGCTTGCTTGACCAACTGGTTCACCACAATGTCTGTCTTTGGACTTCTTTTCTACCTCCCGGTTTACTTCCAGGTGCAGGGTCTCTCAGCCACTGCTGCCGGCGTTAGGTTGATCCCGCAGGCCATCGGTACCTCAATTGGATCTTTGGGTTCGGGTCTCATCATGCGCGCCAGCGGTCGCTACAAGCTACTCAACTATGTTGCTATGGCTCTTCAGGTCATCTCAGCTGGACTGATTTGTACCATGAACCTTTCTACTCCTATAGGACTACCATTTGTCTATTTCTTTTTGAGCGGTGCATCTTACGGCGGCATGTTGACCATCACCTTAGTGGCGCTCATTTCAGCCGTGGATCATAAACACCATGCTGTGGTGACCTCCGCCTCTTACGCTTTCCGCAGTACCGGAAGTACCATTGGTATCACCATCGGCTCGGCCGTTTTCCAAAACACTCTCAAGCAGGGACTTTGGTCTCGGTTTGGTGATAATGAACACGCCAAGGAGCTGATTGGACGCCTTCGCGATAGCCTGGATGAGATCTGGAAGCTTCCCGCAGATTGGATTCCAGGGGTGCTAGACGCTTATATGATTTCGTTGCGATCTGTATTCTTGACGCTGCTGAGTCTTGTTATGCTGGGAGCATTGTCGAGCCTTGCCATGCGAGAGCACAAGCTTCATAGTAATTTGGCCCGTCGATAGAGTGAGTATCAAATTAGGCTCTGTTGAATTGTATATAGCATTTGGTATATAGATCAGCAAATGAAGAGTAGGTTTCACCCACTCATCTACTCGATTGCACTTGTACTTGTCCACATGTGCCACGATTCAGGACTGAGGATCTTAGTCGGCCTCCCATACAGTTACGTAGGCATATAAAAGCATGACTGCCTCGGCAATTACCGTGAATTTAAAAAGACCTATCGATTGGCTTAGAAAGAGACAGATTGAGCCGACGCCAACCCAATCACTTGTGGCTGAACCACGCAGCTCCAGGCGTTATATACGGGAATCAGGGCTGAGACTTCCACAGGCACTTGTATTCGCTCTCTCTTATCGGAGACATCCCCAGATCTTAATGCGGGGGTCATTTTCTAACTCTCTTCCCTAGTACAATGCTTTCCAGCATTTTACTACTGCCTCTCTTTTTCACCTTCATATCCGCATTTCCACTAGACAATGTCCAAGACGAAACAGCTGCATATCCAATCTCAGTTATGCCTATCCATAACAATGCAGCCATTAACCCTACAACCGCATCAACGGCATAAAACCCAATATCCACTTCAACCTACATCAATCTCCCTATCACAGCGAACAACACGATTCACTAGGCATCGCCGATGTAAGCGGCTTCTACGGCCCAGGAACATGGGCAGAATGGTACATCACAGTAGCTGCAGCATGGTGGAAAGTAATCTTGGAAATTCGACCCAAGTACATGCCTATTTCTCCTTGGAATCAACTGGGCAGCCTATGGGTACTCTTCAGGGGAATGGTTCTACTATCGCTCGCTTTGACGTTGACTCGCTGTACATCTTCTACAACATTATTATCATGCCGGCGATGAATTGCTATGGGATGCGGTCAGATAACCTTGCACAGGGGCATTTCATTGGTGGGCTAGCAGCAGTGCAGCTATTATCTATCTTCATGGACATAGCCGCACGCGATATCGACATTTTGCCCAAAAGACACATTACATGGCTGTCATCCAGCGTGATGGGATTCTGAGGGCATGTGAATATGAGTTCCAAAAATGGCTTCCTTTGTATGCCTGCCTAATCATGCATTCGTTGGTGACCCCATGGATCATTGCGGTCGCTGCCAAAATGCTATGTGACTATATTTCATGGTCTCTATATTGGTACCCTTGGCGATTGTCGGGTTCGGTTTTCTTGTCTGCTTTGATTTCTTTGCTTGATTGGTCTTGCGATGATGCATGGTTTTGAGGGCTATTTGACTCGCCATATTGGGATATCGCAGTCTTGTTTCTTTATGCCTTGTGCGCCGCAGTCTATTCAGAAGGAGGATCAAAAGGCTGCATTTTTTGCGGGTCTTTTTCTTTTTGTTGTGCGGAAGTTAAGGAATCGGTATCAAGACTGTGTGACGTTTGTGAATCATGTCGAGGAACGATTGAGGCAGTCTAAGGTGCGGAGCATGGGTAGTAAAAAGGCTGCTGCTGTCCATGCATAGTATAAAATTATAATTAAAATACCCGGATTTCTTTCAGAAACGCTATTTCTTTACTTGAAACTCAATACTCGTGGTTTAGTTGATTGTAAGAATTATTTTCGATTACGGCAATGATACAGCAAAGACATCGTTCGCCAGGCTGTCAATTACATCAGATAATGCCTATTCTCCCCATTGAACAAAAACAGAAACCACTAACAAAATTAAACGATAAATAAAAGACATGAGATATTACACAATATTCACATAACCTTACCACTGCATTCAAGATACGAGTATCACCTGTGGATGACGTGCCCTGGAAGCAAGAAGGCTGTTATCTGCGGGTTCCTTAACAAACAGTGATGAATAGACCAATACTAAAAGCATGTTAGTGAGCTTCAGCTCAGTAGTACACTACCACAGAAAGAGAGACTCACGGAGAGGGGTTAAAGTCCTGGAAGAAGTTGAGATCAGTACTACCAGCATTTTTCATCTCGAAGGCAACAGCCTCGCCGGCGGGACACGAGAAAGTCGAAACAACAAACGAGTTTCCAGGTGAGACAGTGATATCGCCGAGATCTTGGGAGACAGAGGGGGCGTTGTTGAATGTAGTCTGGGTATCAGCGGGCTTAGAGAGCTTAGAAAAATCAATTTTGCCATCACCGCTAGAGCTGAAAGACGAGGTCACTAAGTCCTTCAATTCAGGGAAAAGGAAGACCAGGCTACAAGTCTTGCCCGAGTCAGACTGCGGGATATCAAAGTTAAAGATGCTCGAAATAGTCGAGGTCACAGTGCCGTTAAATTGGGTGCCAAAGGCTGTGTCGGGAGACTTGGAGTCGATAGGCACAATTAGGTGAGGGAACTCAAAGTTGCCCGAGGTCAGGGTAGTTTCGCAGTTATTGCTAGTCGGCGCGGGAGGAGCGAAGCAGGAATCGGCGTTGAGCATGATATTCTCACACTGGCCGAGAGCGGAGCTGTTGGTGGTGTGGATATTCGCACCTCCGTTCTGGCCAGTCTCACAAGCAATGAAGTCTGGACTGCCGTTGAACTCCAGCATGCCAGAAGAGCTCACGGAGAAACCTGGGGTTGGTGTGGCCCCGGTATCACACTGGAATTGAGTGGTAGGAGCTATGGCATTCATTAGCTTACTTTCAGTATTGATATAATGCATCGCTTACGGGTCAGAATACAACCACGGCCATTTCCATCGGTGACAGAGCCATCAGAGCTGATACAGAACTGTGCGGGAGACAGACTATTGTCACCGATACGGTTCTGACCATCACTCAGTTGGCCGACAGAGCCGGTCATAGCGCCAGAAGCATCAAGATGGAAGCAGCAGCTACCATCACGAGAAACTAGGGCATTTGCACCAGCGGCGAAAGCCGCGAGAGTGTAAAAGTTCTTCATATTAGGAGATTTATGTTGTAGAGTCAACGAGAGGATAAAGTTCTTTAAGACGGTTGCAAATAAGATATTTTCTGTGAAATATCCAGCATATTTATAACCGAGAGGCATAAGAGACCCTGGTTTGTTACAAAAGATATTTACGCTAAATTACTAGCCGAATAGGCAAACAAGAAATATAGTAGACGTCATCTCCTATTGAAGATCGTATTTTTGTTGCATCCACAGAACGAGACTATTCTCCTTCGTGCCTAGCATATACTATTAGAGGCAATTGCTAGAGCCGCTGGGGTGGCAAAAGCTGTCTACCGCGGCTCGTACCCTGAGTGAATATTCTATCAGGATTGGGTTGTGACTGGCCGAACCCTGCATTAAATACGGAGATGGGCCAATAATTATTGTTTCTTTGCTTTATGATCAGGTTCTCAATGAATATATGGAACGCTCACGTACTGAGTCCAAGAATAGCTAGTTGTAAACGTCTAAGCTTTACCTTGTTATAATCCGGCCAATAGCTTGGAAAATGCATTTCAATGATTTCGTGGCTAAGACCACAGGGGTTAGTATCCAAGCTCTGACGAGGGGAACAAAATTAAATAGATTGCTTGTCATGTTAGATGCAATGTTTAAGTAGACCTCTCCTAGGCCTTCTGTAACATGAAACCAGTACCAATATCAATCAATATACCCACTTTGTTGAGAAATCTCATAATCTTGTTCAAAGTTCTCTTATGTCACATTCAGAGACCGTAGCTTGGTTCGGATCAAAAGAAACCGGAAATCAATGATAGATGTGCTGGTACGAAGATTCCAACCAACGACAGTCGTTCTATTTTTGTGCACTTGGAACGAACCATACATGGTATATCCTAGGTACGGATAGATGCTATCCGTGAAGGTGGTCTATTTGCCCAAAACAAAGAGTCGGCAGATAGAAAAGGTATGTAATTGCGGGGGGACGGTCGTGCTGATCAACGTCATGACTACAACCGCGTCCTGCATCAAACATCATAGCTGCGGGGGTGCCAAAAAAGTACAGTATTGTACGTAGAAATGATTATATCAAAATGTTGTAGTGGTTGTAACCGGTCCAAAGGGCTGCAAGCCTGTGTATGTTGCTCTAAATATCGGATTTGAAGCTGTCCTCGTGATCCTGATCGGGGTGCGGCCGTTGTATAAGTGCGTTTAGGGTCCTATTCACTAAGTAAACCCCCTCTTAGCGCCTCAACAATGAATCAGCAATGCCTTACAATATTGGAGCCTATTTTGAATGGCTACCATGCCATTTTTCTAACCTCTCTACCTGTACACCTGTACCTTGAGCTCTGAGAACCAACCTGGGGATTTCCAATCTACCGCACCATCTGCACCCCACAATCCGACGCCTTATTCGCGCAGATGAGCGCGACCTAGTCACCTCCTATGTGAACCATGGATTCTACCGAGCGTGTTGAAATCTAATGTCATTAAGTCGGCAACGATATTTATCATCCGATAATGTACAGTCGCTTCGCAAGGAGTTGAAGAAGAATGCCTCTGGCGTTAACCAGGATTCCCTAGAAAGGAAAAGCAAGCGGGGATGCGATTGCTAAGGAACACGCGAGCTGTCTGCACAGGGTCGTTAACGCGGCCTATGTTCTCATTGTGGATGAGGAAGACTTCCAACGAGCCCCATTCGCGGTCCTAAGTAGATATTGTTGGTTTGGGCATTGAATAGAGTAAAGAAGCTGCAAGCTAAAGTACCTATACCAAATTAATAGCTGAGAAATACAAGGTGGTTGACTCGAACAATATATAGATCACATACTTGGAAGCCTGAGATGCAGTTGCTGCCTCAGGCGCCAAGACTGGTCGAATCGCGCCCAATCAATTCGAGCTCTTCCTGCACGTCCGTCTCTAACCGCCCGCAGAGACCTGCAGAGATTCTCGAACTAATATTTGAACATCCTATCATTGGCGGTATCTACCCACTTTGACAAGAAGTCGGTATCTGCTGCTGCGCGCCCAATCCTTGCAGTGGCGAAGACGTGTACGACGTGGCGACGCCCAATCCGGACAACGCAACAACCTCACCGCTTGTACCTCGACGGTCGCATGACACAAGAACCGCAAACACAGTCTCCTCCTTCTTAAGGATTGCATGATTCAATCTTGATCAACCCATCGGCGCTGGATAAGCACTCAGATCTTCTGCAGGGTACGGGGCGTCCTGCTTTCCCCCTGTTACTCGAACACGGCTTTGTCCTTCAGCGTTTCCTTTCCATACATCCTCCAGGATACACAGTCCCACCGATAAAGTCAACTACCCGCACTTCTTTTCGAATCTTGGACTCATTATATAACCCGGGCATGGCAGTTGGTTTCCGGTCTGAGATATCCGCTCCTGTTCATCGAGGAAACAGCACTGCCAAAGAAGCGTGGTCGAGGAAGATGGAGGTGGAAGACGAGTGTGAAGAAACGGTGATTGGAGACAAAGCGAGACATCAAGTGTGCCGCGACCAAGCAATTCAAGATGCCATACCGTCGCATCCACGGCGACGACGACTTCTCTTATCCACCGATAGCGCCTTCGCCGATACGGTTCTTCCATCTCTCATCCACAACCCAAACATCGAGCTGCGCCTGATCACGGACGAACCCTCGGCTTTGCTCACTGGAACGAACAAAATTCCACACTATATGGATACGGTTGATAGCCAAACGTTTGACAAGAAGACCGGGGCGAGGAAATGGCTGAAGGCAAAAACTGCGGAGCTGTGTGAATGGGCGGACATGCTGTTGGTTGCGCCCATTGATGCTGGAGCTCTTGGTGCGATGTTGGCTGGTTTGACAAACACTTTGACCTTGGCGCTGCTTCGTGGTTGGGTGTCAAAGAAACCAGTCGTACTCATTCCAGGAATGACTGTGTCGGAATGGGATCACCCGCTAAGTTCTCGCCAACTTGACGAGATAAGCTGTTTTTGGCCTTGGGTCCGCATTGTTAGGCCTGTGCTCTGGAAGTCAAATGGGCCTGAAGAATTGACAATACTTCCATGGGACGGGCTAAAGGAGTTGCACGAAACATTGGAAACAACATTAAAACTTCCTTCGTGGGATGCTACTTTGACTGGGGCTAGTTTGAATGGCGCGGCCACAGCTACTAAAACTGCATCGACAACTATATACTCACCATTGGCCTCGGGGAGTGGCAGTGGCTCTGCGCTGCGGAGCATCCCGAAACCCGAAGGCAGCGCCCATTTTTTACCTCTCGAGATATGGCTGAACGTTTTTGAAGATCAACTCGGAGATTGGGAAACAGCGAAAGCTGTAGGCATTCCTTCGAATCTCCCTGTCCCCAAAGAATGGCAGAGTCATTTGCTCAAAATGTCCACACCAGCTTCACTCGAATATACCATCCTGCGAGGATCTTTCGCTGCAATTAAAAAGCGAATTGACGCCCTTCCTCGCTGGAAGCCGCTTTCTGACCTTGCATGCCACCTAATAGTCAAGTTTTCCCGAACCGATATCCTCTCCTATCTCACTGAAAACCACTTGGACCTCCTGTGGACAACCTCTCGACTCACCAATATTCCATACCGTGCATCCGCAATTTACGGCAACCCAAAGGTTCTCACCTGGTGGCGTGATGCGCCCGCTCTGCCCAACAAAGAGTACATGGCAGATGCCATGGATGGCGCCTCCCGAGCCGGATATCTCCATGTTCTGGATTGGTGGCTCCATTCTGGCCTTCCGCTGCGGTACAGCGAGCGTGCCCTCGAAGCCGCAAGTGCAGAAGGCCGAATCGACGTACTCGATTGGTGGAAGACTGCTTCCGCCAACGCCCCAGCACACAGCCCTGTACCCCTCAAACCCGGCAAATCCGTCCTTCTTGCAGCACAGATGGGCCGCACTGCATCACTCGCTTGGTGGGATGCATCGGGTATCCCATACAGCCACGCCGAGAACGTTGCTCGCATCTCAAGCACCCACGGCCACGTACATGTTCTCGAGTTCTGGTACCAACTCAAGGGCCCCAAGATGATCTTCGATAATCAGGTGTTGGTCGGCCCCACGAAGAATGGACACGACCATGTGCTGCAATGGTGGAAGACCTGCGGGATGCGCGTTGAGTTCAAAACCTGCGATATTGAAGAAGCGCTCGAAGACGCAGATCCCACATCTGGTGCCGAGGGCCGTGTCCGGCGTTGGTGGGAGCGGAATGGGCTCAACCTTGGAGTTGGTACGAGCGAATGGATGAGATCGAAAGTTTTGTGAAACATTGCATTGATTGCATTGGGGTTTGGGGTTTGGGGTTGATTTTACCTCTTGGCCTTTTACTCTGTTCTGTTTCTGCGGTTGCGTTTTGAATTTTGCATATCACGACTCCGGATGATGACGACCCATAATACCCATTTGAATATTCACAAACTTGTTATTTACTCTCCACGTTGGGGTTTCGGGTGTTTTGATGCTCTACATAGACATACTTTTTTTCTGGTGTACTTAACTTGAACTCGAGATTTTTAAGGTTATTTTATTAGTAACATAGTAACAGTAAAGCTTGTCAGGCAACACGATTAATAGACCATAGCATAGTCATTGTCAATATTCTGGCCCTAGTCCAAATGAAAGGTAACCTCGAAGTTATAGGCTCCCGAGGACCTAGTGGATGTTGCCCAGGCATTGCTGACTCAAGCTTTAGGTCCGCCCCGGCTCATAACGTTAACCCGCGAACAGCCAACGTCACCCAAGTAACCCCCACCGAGTTTGGTGGAACACAATCCATGCTACGAAGGTGCGCCCTAAGACACGTACTGCGCGGTCCAAATGCAAGAACAATACATACCCGCACTTGGCAGCCAAGGGTTTCTTCCCACGACATCCCATTCCATACTACCACAAGGAAGAGGCCCAAAATCGCCCAGTATGCACTCTCAGAGAAGACTCAAGTACGCAGACTAGCGACAGCTGCCATCCCAAGCATTCTCGTACCACCGCTCATCTTCATTGGACTCCTCCTTGGCCTCTGGACCTGGAAATGTTTCTGGATCATCGTCATGCAAAACAAGCTTCTTTACATATCCTGGCTGCCACCATTTACGCGCTCTGAGGTTATATCAGACTATGAAGCCGAGTGCAGACCTGTGAAATGGGAAGAGAAGCAGATACGCAGTCTTGATGGGACTAAATTGGCCGTTTGTGAGGGCCGCATTCCATCCAGCCTTAAGGACCGTGGATCTACGCCTGGCATTTGTGCTTCGAGTTCTCAAAACAAGGAGACTGTGGGATTGAAACGGAAAAGATCTGTTGTTATTTGTTATTTTCAAGGGAATGGTGGTTCAACGCCTATGCGATTACCACTTCTTTCGCAGGTCTTGCGTTCGATTACGGAAGCTTCTAAATCAACAGACGGAACGACATCAGACTCTAGAGACACAGAGTTTACGATCGTTGCGCTGTCATACCGGGGCTACTGGACATCCTCTGGCCGCGCTACACAATCCGGCATCGAGATGGATGCCCAAGCATTCTTAGACTGGGTTTCAAAGACCTACGCGGCCCCAGACACCCATCTTGAACTTGTTCTATGGGGCCACAGCTTAGGAGCAGCAGTTGCTAGCACAGCAACAGCTACCTATCTTCCGCGTCATGAAGACAGGTCGAAATCATCTTCGAAGACATGCAGTGGCCGGCCACTGCCGCCCATCTCTCGGCTGATCTTGGAGGCACCGACCTCCAGTATCAAGGATATGTTGATTGCGCTTTACCCGCAGAAGTGGCTTCCGTACCGATATATGTGGCCCTTTTCTTGGAATACATGGGATATCATGGCGAAAATGAGCGAAATGGCCATGTGGAGAGACCGTGGTAATAGTCTGGCTGGCTCCAAGAGCTTTGTATCTGGCGCGATGAATCCACCACCGCGCTCAATTCCACCGATATTTCTCCTTGCTGCGGAGAAAGATGAGGTTATTCCGGCATACGTGCCGGATCAGCTAGAAAAACAAGCGAAGTCACTCGGCATGCAAATTTACCGGAAAGATGTCCTAGGGGCAATGCACACTGAGGGACCACTCAAACTGGATGGGCGGAAAGCATTGGTGCAATTTATCCTCCATGGTACCCCGACACCGAAAAGCATACCCTCAAAATAATCTCAAGATACCTCATATATGAATGAACATGTAAATACGTCTTATCTACTCCCACTACTGAACATGGACGTGTCTAACCTCCGCCCCTCTCACCAACTCACTAACCTTCCCAATATCCTCTGATACCTCCGACCTCTCAAAATCAACATGGTTCTAAATCTCCTTCCACACGCTGAAGAAGACATATTCCTCATCCTCTCCTTTATCAATGCGCCATGCACCGCAGCAAGAGAATGGTGTTATAGCTGTAGTAGCCAGATGAGATATAATTGCCTTGAAGACAGTGTTGAATTTCTCTTCATTGCTAGCTTCGATGAAATACCTACCTATCGCAATGATTGGTGCCTCGAAAGGGATTGCAAATGTTGAGGGCTGGCGTTATTAGTTAACCACCTCTGAATATATGGCAATATGAAATGAGGGTAAACCGCTCTATGTGCACCAGCAAATAAAGAACAGGTAACGAATGTTATCAAACTCACATCCGCATCCAAATGAAACATCCAATCAACTCCAACAAGATCCGCCAGCTGCACAAGCTGTCCTTGATAATGAACCTGCTGGGCAATATGTGTCTCGAGGGAGTCCCAACCAGCTAACAAATAAAAACGAGATGGGTCTTTAACCTCACGCAGGAAATGGACTTTGTGCTTTGAATGCTCTTCCTGAGCCTGCTGCGCTTGTACAAGACCTGTCTTGACGGAAGGGTCCTCTTGGGCTTTGAAGTGGAGGAGGGCGAGTTCGGTTACGGCCATTTGTGGAATTCATTTGAGATGGAGCCGTTGAAGGAAAATACTGTTGACTGTAGTTCAGTGTTGTTCAATGTCGTTCATTCCTCTTCGTTATATAGTTTGTTGGTGCAGGGGTCGGCCGCGGGATAGCCTGAGCCCAAGACGAAGGATCCAAGGCACCAAACGGCCGCGTTGCAGTGTCGGGAGATTTTTCAATTGGCTGTGACGTGATATCACCCATGTAGAGGCTGCATCCTGCAGTTGTCATTCGTTGGTGCCTGATGAATATTTTTATTTCTTTTTGTCAGATAATCTATGGTTCACTTGGGAGCATGAGGAATAATAGTATCATAAAGCTATGCAATGAGTGCCCAAAAGACTCGAGACATGAGAATAATGGAATCCAATACACCAACAACCAAAAAAGGATGTTCAACTCTCAGAAAAAACGATAGCCAATTGCCTTGGGTATACCAATCAAGTACAGGACTAGACAATCAATAAAGAAACCAAAGCGCAAACGGCAACAATAAAGATAAAAAAAAGCTCATAGGTTGCGACAGACCCGAATCAGACCTCTTTCCTATAGAGTTGTTAGTAAATTGAGGAATATATAACTCGGTGGGGGGAGGAGATGACATACCAAGAGTAGCCTGGTTTCTCAACACCGGGCGTTTTAATAGCGTTCCGATCTCCAAAGGGGTTGTCTTCGTCGTCATCTTCTTCTTCCGACTCGCTCTCACTTTCAAAAATCTGGCGCGAATGTTGCGATGAAGACGCAACAGGAAGACCCTCTGGACGAGCTGGCCGAGGGGGCTTAGGAGGATTGATATTAAGACCGGCAAGTCCGCCGTGCACATCTTCATCGAGGCCAAGTCCATGTCTTTCTTTCCAATTGCCCTCGAGAATATCATCGTCACTGTCACTGTCGTAGTCCACACTCTTATCGAGCACCTCGAAGGCCATCAATGCTGTCACAAGCTCCTCATTCGCGTGGATCAGTCCACCCAGGAACTCCTCGCTTTCGATATACTGAATATACCGGAGAATTTGATGGCGAAGCGACTTGCACTTATCGAAGCGGTTAATACATTCTGCATCTTCACTTACTCGGTTCGTCTCACGGTTGACGAGTTTGAGTGCGTTCAAGAGGTCAGTGCTCGCAACGGAGGAAGCAGCAAGCGTTTGTAAGATTTCTGGGCGTTCTTTCTCCAAGTTGAAACCTTTGCTGCCCATACTGATTGAGAGCTTCTTGTCCCTCTTGTCCTTCTTGGCCTTGGCCTTCTGCTTCGGGCTGGTCAAAACTGTAGATGGACCAGTACCAGCTGACACCGAGACAACATGACCCATTGGAGGCCCATTCGAGTCCGAACCCTCCCGTAAGACCTTGGCTTTGGCCTGGTTCGCAGGCTGCTTGCGCTTCGGGAGTTGTTTGTACAATGCCGTGACCTTGGCCATGCCAGGAGTGTCCTTAAAGGTCACCGCCCATTGTCCAAAGATCTGTTTGCACTTTTGTTTCACAAGAGGATCAGATACAGAGTCGGTACCTGCGATTCGGAGACGCTCGAGAAGTGCCTCGTCGGCGAACTCGCGCAAGAAGCGGTCTCCAGCATTTTGAACCAAGAAATCGAGAATGACAAGCGCACGCAGTTGGCGATGGAGGTTGCCGTATTTTCTGCATTGGTTAGATTAGAATAAAAAACCACATGAGTTAGGTCTACACTTACAGTTTCTTACGCAGGGCCCGGCTAGCTTCTGTCGGACCACTGGCCTGAATGCGCACTACCTCCACCAAGTCGACGATACCACTGGAGTCTTCCACCTCATATTGTTCACTCGTAAGAACCTCCACTTGTACGGTCACTGCCGAGTATGGTTTCTATGCGCAAGCTGTCAGCGTTGCCGGGAGGTTCTGGGGTCGTTGGGGAGTGACTTACAGACGACTGGAACATATTGACTGAGGAAGACTGAACAGGAGCCCGATGCAGGAAACAAATTGTTGTGTTTCAATGTACCAGAGAAGAATCAGGCAGTTCCACTGGTATTAAATCAGCCCACAGCCACAAGCACCCCGCGTGGATATGTCGATATAGAAGGGACCCCGCACGGCACTGTTTACACAACGGTCGGTGGAATTGAGGAGGTAACGAGAGATCGATGGTGATATTCAGGAGGTGAAACAGCTATTAAAGAAAGGTCCAAGACAATATTGGGCCACAAAAGCCAGCACAAAAGATCCGCAGCGCTTGCGATGCTTTTCACGTGGTAATGTCGGTGACGTCGAAGGTCGCAGGAGGTCTTGGCGCCCGTTGATCGTCCGACAAGTCCAGACAGAAGGGACTCAACAGCAGAGTGAAAATATGAAGCAATAGGAGTTGCGAATTGGACTTGTTACAGGGAAGAAGGGAAGCCGAAACAGTTTAACCTTATCGGCCCCTCGTGACTACTCCGGCCCAAAGGGGTTAGCGCGGGGTTGGATGCCTGAGGGAACAGAATGGAGAAACGACGTAGTTCCCTGAAGACTTGGAGAGTGCTCAATTTCGAGCTTCATCGCCTATCAGTTGATCTTCTGTTCATGAAGCATTCAATTGCAAGGGATCCATCCCCCCGTTTTTATTTGTTACGCGTCCTGTCCCGCTTGGTGGTCTGCTCCACCCTCGTCCTGGCACTCAGTGTGGCTCTCACCCGCTCTCGTCTCTCCCTCCTTCTCCCCCACCTTTCTTCCAACCACAAAATCATGTCCTACCAACAAGAACGCTACATCGCCGAACTAGCCGTCCAGCGGGCGTGCCTTCTGACCCAGAAGGTCTTCTTCGAGAAGGCCAAGGGTACCGTCTCCAAGGACGACAAGTCCCCCGTTACCATTGGCGACTTCGGCGCCCAGGCCCTGATTATTTCGGCCATCCGCAAGAACTTCCCCAATGACGAGATCGTTGCCGAAGAGGAGGCCAGCTCTCTCCGTGAGGACAAGGACCTCAGCGCTGAGATCTGGCGCCTGGTCAAGGACATCAAGCTCGACGATGCGGAAAGCGACAACCTGCTCGGTGGTCCCCTTGCCAGTGAGCAGAGTATGCTGGACATCATTGACAACGGCAACAGTGCCGGTGGTCCTAAGGGCCGCATCTGGGCCCTCGACCCCATCGACGGCACCAAGGGCTTCCTCCGTGGCGGTCAGTACGCCGTCTGCCTCGGCCTGATGGTCGACGGCGACGTCAAGGTCGGTGCCATCGGTACCCCTAACCTCCCCATCGATGACGCTGCCGCCATTGATGCCAGCACCGGCGCCCAGCAGTCCGAGTCTGCCGGCAATGGTGTGCTCTTCTCCGCCATCCAGGGTGAGGGTGCCACCAGCCGCCCTCTGGCCAGCGGTGCTCTTGCTGCTAGCAAGCCTATCTCGATGCGCCCCGTTGCCAAGATCTCGGACGCCGTTTTCTGTGAGGGTGTTGAGGCTGCGCACTCCGCCCAGGGCGACAACGCCGCCGTCGCTGAGCGTCTCGGCATTACCGCCCCTAGCGTGCGACTGGACTCGCAGGCCAAGTACTGCTCCATTGCTCGTGGTGCTGGTGACATCTACCTGCGCCTCCCCGTCAAGAAAGACTACCAGGAAAAGATCTGGGATCACGCCGCTGGTGACCTGATTGTGCGCGAGGCTGGCGGTCAGGTGACTGACATCTACGGCAACCGTTTGGACTTCAGCAAGGGCCGGACCTTGGCTGCCAACAAGGGTGTCGTTGCTGCTCCCAAGGCTTTCCAGGACCAGGTCATTGACGCTGTCAAGGTAGTTCTGAAGCTGTAATTGAGTTTAAGATGTATCATTTGTCGTCTATTCACGGCAATTGGGCTCCTGGGGAGCAATCACGCTAGCTGCATCTGAAGTAGATTTGTGATACCATCACTGTGAGAAATAAAAAGTACATATTGACGATAAGAGTACAGAACACGGAACCAAGACAACACGTCCCGCGTAGTATAAAGGTAGAAATCACTTCCAGACTATTTGATCTTCTTGGCCTTGAGCTTGATAGTCTCCCCGTTGACGAAAATACCCTTGCCCTTGTAAGGCTCGGGGCGTCTCCAATCCCGGATCTCAGCCGCGAACTGGGTCACAACCCGCTTGTCGACACCCTCAAGCAGGATGCGGGTCGGCTGCGGTGTGCTTGCTTCGATTCCCTTGGGAATAGGGAGCTCAATCGGGTGGGAAAATCCGACCTTCAGGGAAACGAACTTCTGACCGGGGAAGGTGGCCACGGCCGTCGTGGCCGTCTCTTCGATGGTGGCTCTGTAACCAACACCAACCATACTCAATACACAAACATGGCCTTCGGAGACGCCGAGAATGTGGTTCTGGAGGAGTGCGCGGGTGGTTCCTGAGATAAGCCAAAGCGTTAGACTTGCTGCGTGGACCGCAGAATCGGGAGATGAAAAGAACAACACATACCCCACATAGCCCGCTGGTGAGGGACCTCTGCATCCAAGACAGACAAGGTAGCCTTCTGGCCAGCCTCATCGGGAGTAACAGTAAGGAATGAGGGAATGCTCAGGGACATCTCGCCTGCAAATCAGAACAATCAGTATCCACTCGATAACTTTCATCCAGAACCGATACTTACCCCTGGGACCCTTGATCTCAGCCGCATACTTGGCAATATCTTTTCCGCGCGTTCGGACCAGAGATTTGGGAAGGTCGACGAGCTTGAATGACACCTCTGGGGGAATGGAGATCGCGGCACCTCCAACTCGGGACTGCGCCGGGGACGTGGTCGAGAAGGCTCGGGGGAGAATGCGGGGGCAAGGAAGATGGGTAATGAGCTGCGCTGGGAGGCTTCCCGGAGTAGCTGCCGGGCACAGCGTTGGGGTATAGAGGCTGACATGGTTGCGCGTTGTGTTCGGGTGCTGTGCTGCGTTGCGGACTTTCTCGATTTTGTTGCGGATGGCTTTTGCCCGATGAAGGTTAGCGCGCACGTGACCATCTATATTGTCTCTAGTCTGAGCATTTTATGCAATTGATCTTTGAATATCGTCAAATTGTTGTTTGTATCATGTAGAATATGTTGATCTGACAAGGCTTTATGGTAATCTCACAAAAATGCCTGTACGTGATGTAGCTCTCACTTCTTGGTCACCGAAGAGGCGTAGTATAGCAACAATTCTATTAAAAGACACCAGATTGGAAAATCGACATGAAGGGTCAATTGAGATAACTGAGGGGCTTTTAAAACAAAAGATGAGCAGACATAGCCGACTGTCAAACAATCTGGATATCAAGAGTCACTTTCGAAGTGAGCTTGTTTCTTTCCTTCTGACAATCTGCTTCCGATCTTCTCCCTTCGCATCGCTCCCAGGTGGCCAACTACACAGTCCAACTACACGCCAGAGATTGAAGACCTGGTAGGGCCTGCCTGCAATTTACATCCACGACCAAACCTCAACAGCACATGCCCAAGATGAAGGCAGCCGTGGTTTCGCAGCTTCTTTTCTACATTATACTGCCACTAGCTGGCTCCAGTGACGTGAGGCCATCGCAAAAAGGTGAGTCGCAGAGTCAGATACCCCATGTCCGGCTACTAACCAGTGAAGGTGATCTTCCAATCCTTATACCGAAGCAACCAGAAATCGACGCGATCTCTTCGCTAGGCTCTGGAGCACGAAATGAAGATACGACCTTCAAAGAAGCAATCCAACTCCTTGACTCGCTCAACTCATCACCCTCGTGCAACCGAATCGCAGCGACGAGGCTGGTAGTGTCATGCCAGGCATTCAGCGGCGGCAAAGATGGCACGCATGCAGACAGTCCTGAAACCATGGATCTTGTGCGGTCTATCTACGCAGCACGACTGGCAATATGCGAGATCGAGGGTGCCGGTGCCGCGATACCCCCGTCATGCCTTCCAGTGACGGTGTCACCCCCTCCTCAGAAGAGTCGTTTCGGATTTGTGTCTCGCCACAAATCCTCCGACAATGTTTCAGATAAGATGCCACGGGAGGTCCTAGAAGACTGTCTCCGGGCGATTGAGTCGCGCCCTCAATGGTGGACGTCATACAGCAACAGCCGACAGAATGCCCTGGTCATTTGCCAAGCCTCGCGGGTCGAGACAGAGAAGGAGGAGCTGCTCGACCTTCATCGATCCATTGCCAAAGGCAGCCTGAAACTCAACAGTGGCATTCGCGACGCTTTGCGAGATGCAGTGGCACAGTCTGAACAGCAACAATTATTTATGGAAGCTGTTCAGGTTCTACAGGAGAAGATTGTGATGGACATGGAACAGACCGACTCGCTATTTCAACGAACTTTCGGCAACTTCCTTCGAGAAATCGAGTTAGGGATTGGATGCCTCCAAAACAGTATATCCTCGGCTTTGTTCAGCTTACGGACAGGAACTGAAGTTCTTGAAAAGGTCAGTCTCAAAGATAACTGTTTATTAAAGTGATGCTGACCGTGGATTAGGACATTCACAATGTTTCAAGCCAGGTAGGCGCCCTTCAGCAGGCCCTACAGACTGTGCAGCAGGATGCTCTTGCTAGAAACCAAGAGGCAACACTGGTACAGGAGAGCAACGCCATTGCCCATGGCAATCTTGCGGCCTCTTTACATCTATCACTCGAGTCACTTCTAGACTCCGACATGGTGCGGATATACAGAGGAATGCAAAAGTTTGACGCTGCCATGGTATGATTATCCAGATCCTCTTTGAAGGAAGACTGCTGACGCTTATCGCCACTCCAGGAATGGTTGACGAGCCGAATGAACATGATTCTCGAGCAAGAGACCCGAATGGCCGAGGTGCGAACCCCACTTGCATGTTCCCGATTACCTGCTGATTCCTTAAGCGACTTCACACTATGGAGACATTCATGCATCAATCCGAATCAAAAGCGAGCGAATTACAAACAGCCCAAGAACAGCAAACAGAAGCGCTTGCTGCACATTCCCGCACTCAGGAGGCAATCCAATTCCACGCTCAAGTATCGCAGGCTCTGCTGAACAAAGCCAACATCGCAGCTGCCAATCTGCAAAGCATAATTGACGACGCAGCTATCAAATATAAAAGTGGTCCTGGTCTCCGCATTGAAGGTTATTCCGCATGGTCTCTCTGTGGTATCCTTCTCCTGATCATCGCGGCCCAGAACTTCAAAGTTGCGATTTCATTATTATTTCTTATTCTCGGTATGTTTGGCCATTTCGAAGTTCTAAAGCAAACCTGCAGGTTTCTAACACTGTGTATAGCGCATTCTATGGCGCCGACAATCCTTCCCTTCTTTTAGTTATATCACGAAAAACACTTACAACTAACGACCTTCATACACCGTTCTAATTTTCATTTTACTTGCATTACTTTCCCTTCTGTTTTCCTTTTTGCTTTTTAGCCATCTCAATTATCTAAAGACTTTGCATCATAGCTATTGCATTCTAATGATTAGTTTATAAAGATAATATAATTCAATGTTGCGGCGCATTGTTTCTTACGAGTACTTTATCTGTCTCCTGTGAGCAAACAATGTGCTGACACTAGGCAGATTACTTCTACGCCAGCAGTTTGGTAGTTTTTGATAAGGTCATGCCTGCCCCCCCCCCCTTTAGCCTTTGTCTCTCGTGATTGTGAATACCGTCGTCGGCTTATCCGTGAACCAATCACACGTAAACCTTTAGCATCTCCATTTAATTAGCCTGCCCTAGTCTAATCAGTATTACACTTCCCTTGTGGGAATTTGTCCTAGCGTCTGGTCATAAAGTGATGAACCCTATCTACAAATATTGGACTCGGTGTTATCCTTTACACCTTTCCTATGCACTAGCTATGTCAAGATCTGGCTATAAAGTCAATTATATTACTTTTTCTTAATAAGGATTGGGCACTGATTGGACAATGTAATAAGTGTAACGGAAACATTCCTCGATACTTGGAAAATATAGCTTAGGACATAGAATCAGCTGCTGGGTTAGAAAGGCGTAGAGGAACAAAAGGAGACTACATCCGCTATCTCCCACCGCTTAGTTGTCTCTTGACTTTGAATAGGCCCTTATCGATTCCGACCCTCAAATATATACGAAGTGTACAGTATCAGCTTGTCCTCAGTACCCATCCTAAAAGGGTTAAAACTAAGGCTTGAACTTCTCTACCGATTATTGTACTATACATTAGGCTATACATGAAGATAGTTCAAAATGAAATAGTGATTTCTTGGATAAGGTATCGGCCCCTAAAAATGCTTAGCGCCGGCTGCCCAGAATAAAGATTTAGCAATGTGGGTATCAGTGGGGCGAGTCTAGCCAATTAAAGATGGCTCATTCCGCAATATCAAAATGTTATCTAGATAGGGATAAATTGAGGGCAAAGTTAGTGAAGTTGCCTAGAAGTAGCGAGAGAAACCTGTACAGCCTCGACGAGTGGTATCAACTCATCTGTATAACTCAGCCCTATCCGACCAGGACCTGAAACTAAGTTCAGCCAGCGGCCCTCAACCACGGCCTGAAGGCCTTTCTCCGTCGCGTCCGCCGCGGCGACGCCCCTGAGACGTCTTCTATGGGGGTTTTCATGTCCCTTGCAGTCCAAATTGCGGGTGCTGCGGGCACTGTTCTGCCGGCTTGGGACCCAGCTTGAGTACTGTAAGTGACCCATTGGTACAACAGTTCCGCATGTAATAATCTTGATTCACATCTAACTTGTGAGTTGCGACAGCATCACCATCCCGAGACGCTCCCGCTAGACGTATAGTAGCGAGAGAAAACGCCTGTGGGCGCATAACAAGAAGATCTGGGGAGCCTGCGCCGTCACGAATGTGGCGTGGGCCCGGCCTGCCCCATGACAACCATATACATATTTGGCATTTGTTCCTGGGTCGGCGTGCCGCCAGTATGATCCAAAAGTCTGATAGTCGGCTTTCGTTGTGCAAGCTGTGTAGCAGTACCACCGTAGTGAGTCGATCTAATGTGCTGTGCTAGTATTGTTGGCACGATGTGTATGAAGAGAAGATTTTCTCGAGGGTATCATATTGAAAATCTATACTAACGCTTAACGACCTCAATTCTCTCCACACGAGGACGCACCCTCATCTCCATCGGCCATGGAGGCATCTTCAGCACCAGCGTCCGCAACAGCGACACCCGCTGCAGCGGCCTTCTGCTCTCTTGCTTTCTGTCTGCGCTTGAGCTTCCTCGCATGGTTCTTGCGATTCCGCTTCTCGGCCTCCGTCTCTTTAGCAGCCTGTGCAGCAATAACGCGCTTGCGCAGCTGGACTCGGCGCTTCTTGCCGGGCTTCTTGCGGGTGAGTGGGCTTTTCGAGACAGGGGCGCCTTCTACCACATACACAGGGGCGCTACCAGCTGGCCGTGGAAGTTTCGTCTGATGGCGTTTTAGATGGATCACTCGCCAGGGCAGATGGCAGCCGGGCTATACTCCGGGTTAGCGACAACAAAATCACAAGACCAGAAATGTGAGAGGTGTATGCGAGGTCCATCATGGGACGAAAGGGACTTACCCAGGCTTGTGACTGAGCCCATGTCAGCATGTGCTCTCCGGTGACGGCCATATCCTCAAATTGTCGCTTCTTCTCTGCAATACTGTCCTCATCTTCCGATGAAACGTCTGAATTGCGTGTTCCCAAAAGCGAAGGCGTAGAGAAGTAATAGTCCCATCCCCGCGAAGCCTTCACGAATCGTCCCTCGGAACCACCAGCTCCCGGTGAGGGTGACCGCAATCGGATGCGCAACTTCTGTGTGACCGTGGAAGGCTGTGCATCGGTTCCTGTGGATTTCTTCTGGGATTTTCCTGTTGAGTTGGCCTCCGCATCTTTTTCTGACCCATTGGTCGCATTTTCTGTCGATTTTGCGGGGGCACTGAACAGCCGGAATTCGAATTCTTGCTCCTCATCGTCATCCTCTGGCTGTGGGGGATCGTTTTCTTGTACAGCTGTATCTTGTATGGCAATCAATTCATCGAGATTGAGTAGTTTCCCTAGACGGGCTCGTGCGTCTTGTGCTTCAGCGTCGTCTGGTGCGGGTGATGGTGAGCGGGATGACACTGGAGAGTGGATGTCATCGCGCCGGATGCTGTACCAAATTAGCCACTAGGTCCACGAGAGCTTATATTGTGATATTCCAATGCATACCGCTTAGCATTTGGTAGATCAAACATTGTGGGTGGTGGTATAAAGAAGTTGCGAAAGGAAAAACGGAATGTTTCCACCGACTCCGCCTTTCTGCGGCCACGGCCTTATCGACGACATGGCACGGACCCCAGCCTGACTTCAGACTTCACCCGATCATTCTCTGCTTGACTCTCCATTGCTTCATTTACGCTTTCGTTTGCACATTCCCACACTCCTTAGTTCGATAATCCCTCACTCTGCTCCAGCTGCCAAGCCAACACAAGTTCCACCTCCCTCGCGATCATTGGGACGATTAATGCCTCGTACCCTTCGCATCGTGCAATCCGACAGCCCACAAGATCCCCGACTCTGATTCCGATCCCTTTAAATGGGTATCTGTGCCTCCTGCCTTGGCGGGAATCGCCATGAGTCTCCTGAGGTGAGTCTCGATTCCGCCATCTATCACCATGTTCAGCGCGCATTACCTCGGCATCATGCGGGATACATGGGATGCCTGTCGAAAAGACTTCTTTCCTAACATTCCTTTCTCCAAGCCCGAGTCATCTCGTCTACTCGATGATGACCCTTATCAGGCTGGGTATGGCTACGGAGCGCTCAACCATGCGCAGCAGGCTAGCCAGCCGGATCCGGAATACGTGAGGCGTGAGAGGGAGGCATTGGAATCTATTTGCCAACGAACTTCGGAGTGAGTATGCACTGGCGTCTGTTTTTCCTATTTCTGGAAATACAAATTTACCGGTCGTTGCTTCTGCTAACCTCCCCTCAGCTCGGTAATTGATATCTGGTCCCTCCAACCACAACCACATCTCCAACCTCAAGCAACCCTCCACACTCCCATCTCTGCATCTCCCGCTCAATCGCAGAAAGGCGAACCAACAACCCCCGCCTCTGCAACTCGGGCTTCACCATCAAGCCGTCCTTCCTCCGGCGCTGATGGCAACGTCCCCAAACACTGGGGTGAAGTTGTCGTCAACCCAAACAAGAAGCGATCTCGTCCCGACATGAAGACAGATATCAACGTCAAACACGATGTCTTTGGGGTCTTGAACGTCAACTAGGTGGCTCGGCCATCGCTACGTATTGACGATGACGACGGACACGATAAATAACGGGCTGTGTGGTCGATGTCATACGATTAAGGGTACCGGAAGACCCATTCTTTTCTCTATACTTTGTTTGCACTTTTTGGGGGGTTTTGTTCTTTGCATGGATCGCAGGCCGACTGTTTTCGCACATACATAGCCATTTCTTCTTGTTCCCTCCTTTCTCTAGTCTGTTAATACCCAGTGGCGCAGACTATCTCCTTTGTCAGATCTTCTTGGTTTCTCTTCTTTCTTCTTGTTGGCGTGTTTGCAGACATTTTTGTGATTTTCATCTTTAGGTTTGTCGTCATATCATCTTGTCGGATATGCACTGTTTGTTTGTATAGTCCATATCCAGTGTGATTATCTGCTTATCTTTTCATAGCATAGAACACAATTTGAAGTACCTTCGCGGGTTATTTTCTGCATTTCGTTCGTCCTATGCTAACACCTTTATTCCAGATACGGGACGAATTAAGTGGCAAACCATTTCATAGTAAAGAGGAGAGTTCTCTGTAAATTCAGTTTCACACTACTGATTGGAGATGACAAGATGTCATGACGAACAATTAAAAGATCCACACTCCCTATGTCCACGAGAAATTGCGCGTGAGCATACTCAACCATGACTCCAACCACAACCATCGCAAATGCTCAAGTACATCGAAATAATAGGATAGACGAAGAAATGGAGAAAGAAAAAAGACATTGAAAATGAACACTAAACTCCACGAAAGAAACGCCCGCTGATCCAGTTCCAGATAGGGATGGAGGTATAGAAAGGAGATGGGCGATGCAATATGTTCATACTGGCCCAATCTCGGATTTGGCGGAATCAGTCACGTCAAAGCCCTTTGATTAGACATCATCCATCGTACCAGCTGGCTCTTCACCGCCGGACTCATAGCTGCCGGCTGAGCTCAGCTCATCCTCGGATTCGGTGTCCTCGCCTGCTTCATCCACGGCTTCCTTGCTGGCGTACTTGGCAACATATTCTGTTGAAGATCAGCACTAGAAAGAAGGGGAAGATGGATTCTTTCAGGAAAACATACCCTTTACTTTTGCCTCGTACGCCTTGGGCTCCCGCATCATGAGTGCCGCGGCCTCGCCGTTGAGCGGGTCAGATGGGTTGGGGTAGCGGAGAAGCTGAGGGAGGAAAACTTCGAAAATGTTGAGCATGTCGTACATCGGCGACCATGTCTGATTGATAACATCAAGGCAGACCGATCCTGACCTGTTTCGTAAAAGAACAACTTAGCTTCTGAGCCACCAGTGCAATCCAAATAGCCTTGACTCACAGCTCATCGATGTTCGGGTGGAAGATTCGGTTGACGAATCCAATACTAGGACTCTTGTATGGGTACTGATCGGGCAGCTCGACGTGGATCTTCCAGTGACCTCCGGTAAATGGTGCTGGAATAGTTAGCATGATGTAATGCTGGGGTTCAGTACGGCAAAACATACTCTCTTCGGGCCCCTTGAAACGGACGTAGAATTCTTGCCTATTTATTAAGATTGGTATCTCGAAGGTCCAAACATATTGTTGCAGGGTGTGGCAGATACATACACTATGTCCCAAAGTCAGTGGATTGAGGTATATCCTGTCAAGCGGTGTAGACTTACTATTATCGTTGACCAGCGTCACTTCATAGTCACTCATAAGCCTAGATATCATGTCAGGGTATATTCCAGCCACATAAATTTATCTGCTGGAGTAGATTGAGGGGTGGAAAAAAGCGGTGGCCAGACTGGAAGGGGGAGGGGGGTTCTCGAGCATACATCCTAGCCAAAGGTTAGCGATCAAAAGGAAGACGAGGTCCTCAGACTAAGAGAATATACTTCATGACCTAAAGAAGAACAAAAAGCCATAATTAGCATTGTTGGGGACCGTGATAGCTTATCGCAGTCGCTGCGACGTGACTTACATCAGTCTCGATTCTGCGCTTAGGGCTACTCATGTTGGCGGTGTGGCGAGAAACCAGCTAAGGTATGCGTGCACGATATCGACAATCAACCTTGTATCGCTTTTTGACAGCCGGGGGTGTTTCAAGGCCTCCTGTTCACCCAGCAGATATTCCCGCAATCGGAGCGGGGAAGCAATTGGCGGGGCAGGTGATAGAAGGCGCGTCGGAGGATAGGACGGGTCTGGTGTGGTTGTGGAAGTAAAATTGAAGTAATATGAAGGGCGACTGCTGAAGAAAGCTTGAAATGGCTTGTAGAAGTAGAACAAAGAGAGAGAAGAGCGGAAGTGGGCAGGGCGATGAGATGATGCCTAGATGAGTCAGCATATTGCAGCCCGAACGTGGGAACCATGGAACAATTGCTGATCACTCACTGTTCTTTTACATTATTCGTTGTCCTTTTCTACTGTGCCTTTTCACTGTGCCTTAACTGTCCTTTCTACTCTGTTCCGGAGTACGTTTATCGGAGCTTAGAAAGATATGTTTGTCAATCTTCTTAAGTACTTTTAGCTTGTTGAAATGCCAGCTGGTGGCAGATCGGGAACATGATCTCCTATATCAAGGTGCAATCCTTGCTACCTTAGGGCAACGGATCAAAATATGTCGTTACGATGCTACGGACCATAGGCAACGTGCCAAAAGTGTGCCTAGGTGTGCTCTATTAGCACATAGCAAATAGTCCATCCTGTTCTCTGTACTGACCCCTCTTCCCTTATATACCGCGAAGCTCGCCACTTAGGGGGTAGCTAGTAGACATAATATCTCCCAGACATCCCAGTGGCACACTGTTGAACCCTATCTGTAGACATGGTATGACTGTCTCAGGGATCAGGCCTCCCTTATATGCTTGCCCTAGTCCGTAGGACTATTTACTCTGCTACTCCTCCATCGAAAATCATCATCCTTCTTCCCTCCTTTCTCCCTTCAGGGATTCCACCGTCCATTAGCTGTCCTAAGGAACGTGATTTCTGCCTTTTATATTGTTCGGTATCATCCCTGACTGGCAAATGGCAGTATATAATATCTCGCGAGGACGCTCCTGGTGATGCTCATATTTACGATGTTGCTCTTTATTATGTAGCTACCAACGCAAAACTTTGGAACTATTTGTCCTGATCCAAAGGCAAGAGAGTCATGTAACGACGCTCAACATGCCTCAAAGGAGGTTCTGATGAGACGATTTCTCTCGGATATCTGGGACATGAATGAGCTAGCAACACACTTTGGCCAGATCCTGGACCATTGTCACTAAAGTTCTAGATCGCCTTTGCTCGACGTGGAGAGAAATGGGCCAGACGGGATTGTTCCTTGGCATTGTGTATTGGAGAAGATTGTCCTATTATGCCTCTTCAATTCCTCGGCCGGTGAAACGAAACAAACCACACTCACCGCATGTAGAAAGCAACTTCAGCTTTCCAAGTCAAGGTCTGGATCCCGCGTGATAGAAAATATGAAATCTTTACCGGAAAAGTGCTAGAGGGCATGTACATTACGGAGGTGACGGGGCATTCCTGTACTGAGCCTCAAGTAGATAGTCAATCAACCGCGTTTGAGAAACCGAGAACCAAGTGTTCCCTTTTGATAGGGCCCACTACAAGTAGACTAATACTGTGTAATAACCACTGCCAAGATGAATGGGAAAAATCATTGAATTTAAGCCTCTGTAGTAATCTAAACAGCCCAATCCTACCACCTAAGCGTTCAGTGCTGCTCCTCAGCTGGCAGAACAATCTTCACTGCACCCTCCGCCAAGGCCCGATTTTGAGCATTCTTATCGGCAATATAGGAAGTAATATACTCCGGCACATCGGAAACTTTGCCATCACCACTCGGAACAGGAGTACCAAACGTCTCCCACACAGGAACGACACCTGTCCAGACACTACTAGTAACCTGATCATTATCGTAATCCTTGCGCTCATCAGACACGCCGCCGTCACGAATCTTGCCGCTACCACCAACGACCTTGACCTTGAGAATGACAGTAGACGACATCTCAGCACGATCCGGCGGCACACGCGAGTGATCCCACCGATCCTCGAGAACTGAGTTCGTAATCATCTTCATAGCCCAGAGTTTTTCCTCTTCATCAGTCACAAGACTAGCATAGCCGTGTAAGATAGCAGAACGGTAGTTGTAGCTGTGAGAGTTGGGCGTAAGTGACAGAATCAACCCGTCAACTTTGCTGGTCGCCACGCAAATAGGCAGGCCCTCGCCTTCGCTGTTGCGTGCAAGGTTCATGATGCGCGAGCTAACATATCCGTGGAGATAGCATTCGAGGGGCTCGTCGATGCTAGCGGAGGGATACTCGAATGAGCCCATTTGCCCGATCATTGGGATGATGGCCGGGAAAGGGTCATCGGGGCCTGGGTTGAACGATACATGGACGACTTGGGAATCGTTGATGATTTTATGGATTGGACCCAGGTCGTATGTTGCTGGAAATGAATTGTTAATACTTGTCTTTGGTGTATACATTTTATAGCTCTGCATACCTCGATGCTTATATCTGTTGGCGGTGTTGGACACGCCCTTCGGATAGGTCAATGTTCGTCCCATTGTATGTGTAGCTTAAAAGTGAACTGTAACTGAGAATAAGCAGAGAGAAAGCGAGACGAAATAAACGTTTTAAGTAGATAGATCGTATCAAGGTAAACCTAAATGATCCGGTCAACAGTATGGTACTTCAGCCCGTTATAGTAGGTCCATCCGCGCCAGACTACCCCACAGATGTTAGAGTCATATTGAGACTGCGCACAGATAGCCAATCAGTCAGGCAATGCAACAGGGCGTGGTAGTAAGAGGCGTAAGAGGACGAAGATGCCATATGCACCCGAGGTGATTGGCCCACACCGCCGACCAGCGATAAACTTGGCGATAACAACTTCTACCTCTTATCACTCACCTCCAGCATGGCGTGCAGGTCTCTTGTTCGATGCGCTGTCCGCTTGCGCCCAGTGCGCCCTTCAGTGGTTCTGAGTCAATCATTGCGTCAACTGCCTCGATACAACGTCCCTCGGTCCTACGCTACTTATCTCGCCGCCGCGGACCTCAAATTCGGGCAACCGTTGCATGAGACGCATCCCCACCTGCTCAGCCCCGGCGAACGTATGTCATTGGATATGAGATAACATTAATTGATCTTAGCTAAATGAATTGTACCTAGTTACTCCTGGAATCACCGCCCTCGAATATGCGCAACGTCGATCGCGACTTGCCAACAAACTACCGAAAGGAGCAATTGCGGTGTTAGCTGCTTCGGAGGTCAAATACCGTGCCCAGGGAATCTTTAATGAATACCGCCAGGATTCAAACTTCTTTTACCTGACGGGTAGGTTCGCACCGTGTGGTCGTGTGACGTGGGACGACAAGCTAAACGTTTATGCAACACAGGGTTCAACGAACCCAATGCGCTGGCAATCATCGGTAACGACGGCTCCGGCAACAACCATATCTTCCATCTATATGTTCGGGAAAAAGACCCAAGGGCCGAGCTCTGGGACGGCGCACGATCCGGTACTCAGGCAGCCGTAGACGTCTTTAATGCGGACGAGGTGCGGAAAACAACCGGAGGATAGGATGGAGCATCTGGCTAATACCAGAAGCAGACAGGAAATATCGAACGGATTGGCGACATCCTCCCAAGTATCGTCCAGGGAGCGACAGAGGTCTACTCGGATATCCCCGCATTCGACAATGCACGTTCAAGTCTGAATCGGTACTTGTACGGACCTACAGTCGTGTCTGAGAAGCTCAAGAAAATCGTGGACCATCGACGGGTTAAGCCCTTGAAGCCCATCCTCAATGAGATGAGAGCCTTCAAGAGTGAGAGCGAGGTTGTACAGATGCGTCGCCTGGGGCAGGCTTCAGGACGGGCTTTCACCGAGGCTATGCGCCAGACTTTTGAGCGAGAGAAGGATCTTCATTCCTTCTTGGAGTACCAGTTCAAGGTGAATGGGGCTGAGGGCAACGCTTTTGTCCCAGTTGTTGCAGGTGGCCAGGTAAGTAAGCCCTTTGCTTTCGATAGGCTAAATACTCACTATGAATGAATGTAGAACGCTCTGGCTATTCACTACACCCGAAATGATGATGTATTAATGTTTGTGCTCCTTTGCTCCACTATGCGGGTCTGTGCTTATGTCAAACGTTAGGGATGGCGATTTGGTTCTTGTTGACGGTGGTGGCGTGAGTATTCAACGCAACTATACCCTGTCATCTCGGGTTCTGACAATATCATAGGAATGGGGAAGCTATATCTCCGACATCACCAGAACATGGCCAGTAAACGGCAAGTTCACTGACTCTCAGCGGGATCTGTACAATGCTGTACTCAAGGTGCACCGGAGCTGTATCTCCCTCTGCCGCGAGACCTCCAATCTCTCTCTGGACAAACTGCATGGCATCGCCGAGAACGGATTGAAGGACGAACTCAAGTCTCTTGGCTTTGATCTTTCTGGCAATGTATGCATCCAGACCTATTCTGTCTGAGACAATTTACTAACAGTGGCTAGGCGATGAATACTCTCTTCCCCCATCACCTGGGCCACTACGTTGGTCTGGACGTCCACGACTGCCCTGGATACTCCAGAGGCTACGACCTTAAGGCAGGTCAATGTATAACTATTGAGCCGTTCGTATCCCTAGCATCTCGATCTCCACATTGTGAGACAAGCTAATTCATACTAGGGGTATTTATGTTCCTGACGACGAGCGGTGGCCCGCTCACTTCCGCGGGATCGGCATTCGTATCGAAGACAGTGTTTGTGTCGGAGATGAGCATCCGATTGTCTTAACCCCGGAGGCTGTCAAAGAGGTATGTCTTTTGTAATCTTCTTGATTTGGTGATTTGCTAATATATTATACTAGGTTGAGGACATTGAGGCACTGCGTAGGTAGGTGTATAGTACTCTTAGAAACCCTTGAATATCCATGTACAATAGAACATAAGGCTTCAAATTGAATGTTTTTGAGCCCCTTTATTTCAATATTAACTGCAAAGTCCAGTCCACATGTCTGAAATATCCTTGCCTAGATTGCTTTGTGGTGGCTGGCCTGGTGTTGCTTTGGGGCTGATCGGGGGCTGGTCTAGAGGTTGGAGACGATTGGTCATGACCAGGAGGCTTGGATAAAGGTATTCAGGGGCATGAGAGAATAGAAAGGAGAATGAAGTAAAAGAAGAAAAGAAGCCTAAAAGAATCCTGGTCGCGGTGGAATGTAATGTTGATGTTCATGCTTCGCGCGACGCCGTTGGTTGTCGGGCCTCCGCCCAAAACAAACTGAGCTCCACACCACACGACTTGCTTTGCTCTTCTTTCTTTCTCTTCCTCCAGGTCTTCCACCTCATCTTTCTCTTCACTACACACCTTATTTGACGACTACGACTAGTTCCTCACTCCTTAGGCCACCTCTGCATTGTTTCTGGTGATACAATGTCCTTCTAATCTCGACCAACATCGGCAACGTGTAGCACGTCGCGTGCTCTTCGAGTACCCCTCTTCCTCTATCGAGCTCTGTCAGTTTACAGTGACTTTCATACGTGCCCTCAATCGTGGGATCCTATTCCCCGATGGCCACTGTATTCGTACCTCCCTCGCCGCGAACCTCCCTGACCATGGCGACCCGCCGCCCACTCGCCAACGTGCCGAATGCAACCAATTCTCCACATAGGTCAGGACCTGTACCAGCCAAGCGATCCAGGTCTACACAGATGGAGATCCCATATGGTCAACCACCCCCGAAGAAGCAGGTCATGGAAGCTATAGAGAATGATGGCCGCTCCCCAAGTCGAAGCAGGTCGGCTACAGCTCAAAACACCGACTCGAAATTGTTTGCGCGACGTTCCAACAATGCTACCCCTAGTGCATTCGAGAAGAAGCTCGTTGCAGCTCGCGAAAAGGAACGTCAGCCGTTGGTGAAGACTATCAAGACAGAAAAGGCTTCCGCGGATACCATGGATACTATTAGACAGTGGCAGAGACATTACAGAAAGGCTTTCCCTCAATTTGTGTTCTACTTCGACAGCATCCCGGAGGATGTTCGTCGCAAGTTCTCTCGCCAAGTCATTGCTCTCGGCGCTGTAAGTTTCCATGCCCCCTTTCTCCATTGTGATATTTTTTGTGCATGACGACATCTCAACTTATATCCACTGGTCTGATACCACATACTGTTTTTTGTTACTGACAACTATGAACCTAGCGTGAGGAGAAATTCTTTTCGCGTCTCGTCACCCATGTTGTTACATCTCGAGCTATCCCTCCCGAGTCCACAAGCCCAACCGAAGCTGAGACCACTGCCGACGCGACGAATGGAGATGGAAATGTGCAAACAGTCAACCCTTCTATGTTGGAGCGAAACGGGGACACACATCTGCATGTTTCCTTGAAAACAGACACCCGTCGTGACCAAGGAACCATGGATGTTCTTCAGAGAGCTCGACAGATGGGCATGAAAATCTGGGCTTTGGAGAAGCTTCAACGCATGATCACCACTATCAACGATAGCGACATTGGTGCTCAAGCTGACACCGCATCACGGAGCAAGACTGCCGGTGGAAATGCCGCCAATGGAAAGGGCGAGAATGATCTCTCGCGGGTTCTTCGACAAGAACTCCTCAATGGACCGTCTGATCGTGATCCATTGTCCTCAATGGAGATGCTGATGTTCAAGGGTCCATTTGTCTATATTCACGACATGAACGAGAAGACAAAGCCTGTCATGGTTAGGGAATACTCTCGCGTCGCCAGGCGGCAGGATGGTTCCTGGCCTCAATTCAGAAGCGCTCCTCTGGGCAAGTGTCCCTTCATCGACGAACCACCAAGCAGGAAGGAGTATGATCGACACCGGCTGCGCCAACTTCAGAAAGAGAAGAAGGCCGCCCTTCACAATACTGATGGAAACCGTGAGGCTAAGCCAAAAGCAACTGCCCCTGCTCACCGTGTTCAAGACACCAAATTGGTCACCGAGGTCACCAAGTCGAAGCCCTCAGAGCATGAACAGCGCATCCCACCTGCAATTCAAACGGAATCTCAGAAGCCCTCATTCGACGAGAACAATGAAAGAAAGAGTTCAGAGAGCTTCATCCCACCCCATTTTCCTCGCACTGGTCCTTTCTACACTGGCCGCGAGCCAGCCGCTTCAGGCGTTCAACCGTCTAATATGACCTCCGCAATTCGCTCCCAGATGATCTCCTCCACTGCTGCAGCACCTGGTGCTAAGGCTGGGCTCAGCAAGGAGGTCCACGGCCTCAAGCGCAAGGTCCTCGAGAAGGGCACTGGGGCCATTGGTGCTGGATCAATGGCTGCTCCTCAGCGCCGCGAGGGATCTGTCCCTGTCCAGTGTAAGAACATGAATCCTCCTGGAAGATCCAACCTCCGTCATGAGGATGATGGAAACCAATCTGAAGTTGCTGGCTCCAAACGTCAAAGAGAAGACAAGGAGCAGCAACGGAAATCTGAACGTCGTAGAGACCCAAAGCCTGGCTACTGTGAGAATTGCAGGGACAAGTTCGATGACTTTGAAGAGGTCTGTTCTCGTAATTTCTTGTTCCTTCTGATAAACCAAATACTGACTATTCTTTCAGCACACTCTGACAAGAAAACATCGTCGCTTTGCTGCAAACTCCACGAACTGGGCAGAACTTGACGCGTTACTCTTTGAAATCCAACGTCCTCTCAAGGACAAGTACGAATATGATGAATAGATCTGCGGCTTGTCACAGCCCGTCATGATTTCTTTGGACCTCGACCTCTGTCGGATACTTGCATCCCGGCACTGTTCGAGATATTACTTACAGTTACTTTTCTTCTGCCACTTGCACTTTTTTCTTTCCGCCCGTCATGCTCGATTTGGCCCTCAACCTCTCGCATAATCATACCCTCGGCATCGACGCATATGCATATGGTGGCGTTTTTTCTTCTCATTTTCACTTTTTACTTTTGCATCCGCACTCCCAGGAGCCAGTATTTACCGAATGCTGTTGTCTTCTTTTGATCTCCATCAAGGTCGTCCACTCGTTTGGCATTTTCACTTCTTTCCACTGTATTGAATATCTCCTTTTACATCAGCATCGCCTTCCACCCGCGACTCAACCGCATCATCAGACGACAAATTTTTGGACTATATCAATCAACACGCCCATCGGAAAAGCTACACCCTAGCTCACGATGCAGTCTCTGCTTGTCTCTGCACTGTGGCAAAACGCGATATAGCGAAGGTATAATGGATGATCCAGCATGAACCCAAGCGGTCACACGCTTTGCATTGCCTTCCATTGAACATCGTTATCCCCGATTTTGGTCCCACGGGGCCATATTTTTCAACGCCAGATTCATTTCCTTATGTCACTCTCTCCACCTGTGGAGTGTTTTTCTTTTTCGACGGCTGAGGCTTGTTGCCCAGCGCAGACGGCGGTAGTCTCGCTGAGACTTTTCCTTTCTCGTGACATTACTTACCTGAATACCGCATTTATTCCGATGATCTGTATGCAGTTTGTATCGTGCTAATTGAACCGTGCCCTACTATCTTCTTCGGCGTAGAATATGGATACCATGGAGTAAACACTTCAGTCCCTCACTTAACCCAAAGCGGTAATCACCTCGGCGAGACGCAACCAGTAGGCGGTGACCCCCATACCAGGGCGGTGAGAGTAACAAATGTAAAATACAGCCGAGCTCAATGAGCTTCGTTCAGCTTTGAAGCTTTAATTAACCCTCTATATAATCTCTTTGATTAAAGTAAAATCCCGAAAATCCCAAGACTTTAATTAAAACTAAGTCTATGCCACAACAACCCCAACTCCCTATCCAAATCCCACGTCCAACGCCCTACGCCCTGCAGGTCACCCCGCAAATTCTCGGTACTCGGCGCGTGTAATCATCGGCAGTACGTGCGTATCAGAAGATCTTCAACCCTCAAGATTTTTTGAGATGCTCCTGTCTACGCCGCATAACCCAGCACGTACATCCGGACGGATGGAATAATTGATCAGTCGACTCAAGCCGTGATATCCGAAAGTCTTATATTGAGCTGCTTTTTTCTGCTGTTTCTTGTTTTGTCTGTCAATTATGCTTTGGATTATCCAGTGAGGTCATTGCCACAACTCCAGGATCCATAGCTTTGGACAACTACTAAGGAACTCACTCTATTTTCTTTCTTGCTACTGTATTTTGGAAGGCTGTTTTGTTTTGAGTTTGCTTGTTTGCGCTTTCATATTGGTCCGCGTCACTCCGACTCTCATATCGCACATCATGGCTGCGCCAGGCCCTGCGCTGCGTCGCACGGCGTTGGCTTCTTCGTCATTTATCAGGACAAGAATGTTCGCTGGTACACGAAGCCAGACCTCAACCTCGAACATTATCCTCGCTTGCCGCTGTCCTACGCTATCCTCCACCACGACGCCACACTCCTCGCAAACCCGATATAGTTCCTACTCCTCGCCGACACCTACACCAAGCGGAAATGGCAAGGCGCGCAAGAAGGTCACGATCCAAACGCTGCAGAACCTTTATAAAAAGGGCGAACCGATTGCCATGCTGACGGCGCATGACTTCCCCAGTGCTCATGTGGCAGATGCGTCGGGGATGGATATGGTTTTGGTGGGGGATAGCTTGGGCATGGTAGCATTGGGATTGGATAATACCACCGAGGTGGTGATGGAGGAAATGATATTACACTGTCGGAGTGTTGTCCGGGGAGCGAAGAGTGCATTTATTGTGAGTCGGTGAATTTGTTGGCGGGTGTGTGGTATGGCCACGGACTGACGAGCATCATTCTATAGGTTGGTGATCTGCCCATGGGTTCATATGAGATATCTGCCGAGCAGGCTATTGAATCGTCACTTCGCTTGGTTAAGGAAGGGCGCGTGCATGGCGTGAAGATTGAAGGTGGGGAGGAATTGGCGCCCACTATCAAACGTATCACACAGGCTGGTGTACCTGTCGTGGGTCATGTTGGACTCACACCCCAACGACAGAATGCACTCGGTGGTTTCCGGGTTCAGGGCAAGACGACATCTAGCGCTTTGAAGTTGTTGGATGACGCGGTGGCGATGCAAGAAGCTGGTGCATTCATGCTTGTCCTCGAAGCTATGCCTTCAGAGGTCGCAGCTCTTATCACGGAAAAGCTGCATATCCCAACCATCGGCATTGGTGCCGGCAACGGCTGCTCAGGTCAAGTCCTCGTGCAGGTCGACATGACTGGCAATTTCCAACCCGGTCGGTTCGTCCCGAAGTTCGTCAAGCCATTTGCCAACGTTTGGGGCGAGGCTGCACGTGGAATCACACAATATCGAGATGAAGTGAAGAGCCGAGCGTTCCCATCAGAGGAATACACGTATCCCATCCCAAAAGAGGAGCTCGCCGGATTCCAAAGATCGGTAGACGAACGCTACCAGAAATAATTATTGCATCCAGTCCCTTCTCGTTTTCCACATGGCCACTTCTTGCATATTTTTGTTATAAGCATCATCATCTGTACATAAGATCATTTCATTCATCAGTTCCTGTGGGTAGGCTGCGAGGGAGCCTGCTCAGCCAAATGCCGGGGTCATGGAGTAAGCGACAATCAATTGATCATCTGTTTTAAAGCACTATATCATGAAACCATTGGTATATGTCTTAGTAGGAACTGCTAGACTCAACTTACCCTCCACAGACCACCCATACCCTCATCCAACCCGGGCGCAAAGACGCTGTTAACGTAACAGAAAACAGAATCTGTATCCTTGCAATCAAGTTTCTTCCGCAGAAATTTGACCACCGTTTCAAATTTCTGCGATGCGCTTACCTTGAACACCCGATTCTTGAGAATGGGAGCTGATGGCAGAGGCTGGAAGCGTACAGTGACTAGACATATGTTAGTTTGTAATTATTCGATGCACTAAGATCCTCCTGCTACATGGGAAGGCCCGTGGAGGTGGTAAATACCTTTCCCTGAATCAATCCTCTCCACATCGGCGAGTGCCCGGTGCGCATCGCGGGGTAAGTTGGTCAACATGACAGATGCCGACATGTTCATGGGCAAGTCGGCGCCATGTTCATCGTCTGGGATCGGTGCATTGGTTGTGTTGCCGGGTGGTGTTCCTGAGCTGGGGGTTTGGCGCGGACTTGGGCGGTGACTGAGGGTGCTTGATGTCTGTTGGTTTGGGGGTGGGGAGCTTTGTGGGGAGCTCGGTGAAGATGGATCCATGATTTATGTCGATAATAAGGGGTTCTTGGATATTGGGGTCGAAGTACGTCGTAGGGAAGTTGGAAGTTGGAGATGGGGAGAGGTGGGGAGCTTAAAGCGGTTTGGGTTTGGGCTGCGGTACGCACATGCCGGAGCTCACCTGCTCACTACTGTATACAACTGAGGACTTTGTTCATAATTTGTAGTATTGTCATGTAAATAGCATGAAGCCATATTTTACTGATAGCCAAATTCAGAGCATACAAGGATAATAGCGTAGGATACCTTAAAGGTGTCTGTTCTGTGTAGATTTGCGAGACCGAAGTATACAACGACGTCGGTCTTGCGTAGTTTGAATGAATATGGAAGGCGCGTCATCGACTCTATTCGAGGAGTTCATTCTCACAAGTTTCAGCTTATCCTCCTCATCTCGCCATTCAAACCATGGCGCGTGTCAGCCACGGCAAGTTCTCCTACGACGTGGATACTTTCTACGTGGAGGCCTCCGGTCACCTCCATCGCCGAGCAATCCCTGCGGAGCTTAGAGCTATCTTTAATGCCTCCATCCCAGACAGAAACCAGAGGCCTGACCATCCGGCTCACTGGTTTGAAGCTCAACTCCTCCACTATGGCCTGTCACCGTCGAAGGTCAAAGCAACAGCAAAGATGAGACTATTAGATGCCATACAAGATGATATCCTAGAAGTTCCTATCGAGCTGGTCCTGATGGAGAAGAGACTGAAGAAAGAATGGAAAAGACAAGATACAGCGGCACGGTCGCTATTATCTGGACTCCCTAATCCAACGATCGACGATACTACAACTACCACCACAACAGAGACAATCACCCGAAACACAGTGACCACTTTTCCTTCCGTTTCACGCAAAAGAGGTCGTGACATCGAAGGTGAAGAGGTGGGAGAGGGACCATCCGTTAAACAGACTGCTCGGCGCCGTGGCGTGGGCAGAGCCAGCGTGCCAAACAATACTACTCAGTCCACGGGTGTTCAACCGCAAGAGAGACAACGACCAGCGCTTCCCAATCAAGCACGACGAAGGCAAGGCAGTGGCGATACTGCTCCCCCGCTACAGACTGCCAGGCGCCGCGTGGTAGGTAGTGGTAGTGAGGGACATGCCCATGGCAATCCATCTGCTACTAGCTCCCCTCAACAGACAAGGCAAGTGTCAGGAGCTTGGACAGCGACGAATGGAAACTTCGGTCTGAGCGGACGGATTGGCCAAATTGGCATCCGGTCCTCCACTCCTTCGTATCGTGATGACCGTGAGATCGTACGTGTATCCTTCCTTTCACTTGAGTGCAAAAAAATAACCAATTATAGCAGGATTACGATGATTGCTACGATGATGAATACTTTGGCGACTATTCGGATCCCTTCGATGATCAAAATATTGTTGAAAGTCATCACACTTCTGTATACAACCAAGACCCTTTCGATGATCGGTATCCTTCTAGCGGATCTTACCCAGTGAGCGCAAACTCTGCGACTGACAGCTATGGGGATCCCCGTGGGCCACCACCACTCTATGAACAGACCTTGCAAGCCCAACCCTCAAAGCGACGTCTCGGCCTACTGAACGGCGAATACGACATTGCATTTGACGAGCCTACTGGGAATCTTTTCAATGCCAACGGTCCCAGAGTCCACCCAAAGATATGCCTAACGTTGAATTGGGACGAGATTTTCGGGTCGCTCAAGCTCGGGATCCTCGATGGCATATTGTGGATGCCAGAACGGCCGAAGAGAGCTTCCGAAGAAAAGGTGCCATTTCAATGGCATGGCAAGGTTTCTGGGCAGCTCTTTGTTGGATATGAGAACTCGGGCTGGATTCAATTTCTGGGCGATGGACAAATTGAAGGGGAAATTTCATGTTTTCTTCGATACAAATTTCAAGGTCAGCGAACCAGTGGAGAAAATGCTAGCCCAGCTCGGAGCGCGCATGATTTGCGAAGAGAGTGGCAGGGGTACATCGATCAAGTGAATGAAGCAGGATGAAATGGGCTTGTTGGATAGTTAAAGGAGTTTAATTCTGTGATGTGTCGGCTAATGTTTCTTGCTATCAATGATGTCGAACTTTTGCTAAATCTCTTCGTTTTCCTCCTGGGTAAATCTTAACTCATGATTTAAATCTGTAAGGATTCCTATGATAGCCACAAGATCTATACAATCAAAAATCAGCGTTCCCATAGCCGCTGACCCTTATGCCAACATCCCTATCGGGGAGCGGAGCTCATTATCAATAAGCTCAAAACGAAAAGGAGCATCAATAAGACCTGACGAGGCCTCCCAGCCCTTCTTTATATACCACGGTTTGATGAGACAGACATCGAATATCCTAGGCTGTTCAATCTGATGCAGTGGCATAAGCAGATTATCCATATCACCTATAACATGAGGAAACAAATGAATAGTCAACTTCTCCAAGGCAGGCAGTTCATTACCAAGAACCCAACAGCACCTATCCCACATTCTACCACCAGGATCAGCGAAACCAAGCTGGACAGTACGAATCAAGCTCAACCTGTGTGGTAGAATAATTCCCGGCAGATCAACGATCGTATCTGCGTGGTTGAACAGAAATGTATTATGCCGATAGATCATATCGATCGTCTCAGTGTATCTGCCGTTATGTTAATGGTTAATTCCATGGTAAGGGAAGATGACCAGGCTCACTCACATCAATCGACAACTCCGCAAAAGAGCCACAAAATCAACTCTCGTATCAAACTTCCACTCGTCTTCCTCATTACCCGTCACCTCTCCATCTCCTCTCCATCCTCCAACACATCCACCAGCCGGTCGACGTGCCAACTGTCCCCAGCAGCGATGGCTGCATGGACAGATTCCAAGCTGCTCATGGCATTGGACCCCGACGATTCGCGAGCGGGACTCCCTTCCCTGTCGCCATTTCGTCCTCATGATATGCAGCTTACGGCTACAGAGGTAGTGCTCCCAGATGAGGAGTCGGATCTCGGTTGGTAGATTTTGAAAGAGAGGAGACTGACTTTGGAGAGCTATTGGCTGCCGCTTGCGTGGTTTTGAGAAAGGCCATCGTCTGCGATTTGCTGACGGGGTGGTGTGTCCAGTCAGCTCTGGCTCTTCTGGTAATGGGGGTGTGAGTTGCCCCGGGCGAAGTTGGATTTCATTTGCTTGTGTGTTCCACTCCTTTGCTTGTGCATCTTCGTCTTTTCTTCTTATAATGCTTCTTAGGTTGTGTTCGTAGGCTTCTTTGATCGGCACCATGTTCCGGTTGGAACTCCGGTAGATTTGAGATCGGAAATAGTCTGAAGTCGACAAAAAGCCACTAACAGGAGTATCAGGGCTAGCTTGTGACGTGACATATAGATAACCTGACTCGCAGAGCTGAGGCACTGCTGGTGGGGTTCGTGGCAAAAGTACCGGCTTTATTGTTCTATTCCTTGTTTTTTTCCAGCCAAGTTTTAATTCTTGCCCTTGTCTTCTTAAATGTATTACAAGAACAATTTCTATGTATTTGCAAACCCAAACCGCCTTATAATGGGTAACACTCATCTGCCTTTGATCTCCAACTATGTTGCTGCCTTAGCGCCTTAGCTGCCTGGCCGTTAACGTAATTCACATGCGAGTGAGCCACCCAAGCGAGTGGGCCAACCCAAAACACATAGTAAAAGCGATTAATTACAACTTGGTATCTCAACAACGGTAGTCTATCTAGAGTTTTCCTTATATATTTATGCTTCTTAAGTGATATCTAGCATCTATAGGGAGTTTGAGGAAAGTTTAAGACATCATGGTTGCAATGTATATATATCTAGTTTTTGGCAACGTAATTTTCGGTAATTTTTGAAATGACCATAATATAGCCTTCTGCTATCCTTAAAATTGATATAGAACGCTAATTAGTCTTATCAATGACTATCGTGAAATAAGGAGATAAAATAAAAACATGGTTGTTGAGATATAAATGTAGAATATATCGCTTTTACTATGTGTTTTGGGGTGGCCCACTCGCTTGGGTGGCTCACTCGCATGTGAATTACGTTAAGTTATATTTCCCCGCGGCTCCACCCAAGCTTCCCCTTCGACATCTCCTACACCTTTGAAACTCAAGACATCTCTTCTCATGACTCCATCAAAGGCCCTCGTACCAGCCGCTGATCTTCAGTCATTTACTGAATATCTTAGCGGCTGCAAGCGAGTCATTGCTCTTCTTGGAGCTGGAATCTCCGCATCATCAGGCTTACCCACCTTTCGTGGCGCCGGCGGACTCTGGCGTTCATACGATGCAACCTCTTTAGCAACCCCCGAGGCCTTTCAGAGAACTCCAGGTCTTGTTTGGCAGTTTTATAGTTACCGACGACATATGGCTTTGCAGGCCGAGCCTAACAAAGCGCACTACGCGCTGGCAGAACTGTCACGGAGAAATGAAGACTTCATTACACTTAGCCAGAACGTTGACGGTATACTCTCCCATGAATATCCCTTCCCTTGAACTTTTATAAAATGCTGATAACATATTCCCGTCGTCTAGGTCTGTCCCAGCGAGCACTCCACCCTTCTAACCAGCTACATCTACTACACGGCAACCTCTTCGACCTCAAATGCACCTCCTTCTACTGCAACTACACCCGTGAGAACGACTTCACAGACCCACTCGTTCCAGCCCTAGATATCCCAAAAAGGGCATCAGGCCTTCATCCCTCCACGACCGACAAGACCGGTGAAGAAGCAGCGAAAGCTATCCACAATGCTCTGGGCACAGGAGAAGAAGTTGACATATCCGATGCCAGCAATCCAATCCCCCATCTAAGCGAGGATGATCTACCTAAATGCCCTAAATGCAAGACTGGGTTGCTCCGTCCGGGTGTTGTGTGGTTTGGAGAAGCCCTGCCTGAGAAAACGCTTAGTGAAGTCGATCGTTGGATCGCAGCCGGCCCCATTGATCTCTGTCTGGTTATAGGTACCAGTGCGAGGGTATGGCCGGCCGCAGGGTATGTTCATGAAGCTCGTTCTCAAGGTGCACGAATCGCTGTGTGTAATATGGATTCTAATGATACTCCTGGTGACCTTCATTTTGGGGATTGGTTTTTCCAGGGTGATGCTGGAGTCATTGTACCCGAGATCTTGAAGGGTGTCATTGGTGAGATTTAAGTCTCTTCTGGGGTAGAATTGGGGTAGCATTGGGAATTGTGATCATTGGGATATGGGATATGGCTAATGGCCATTTTAGATTTTGGGCGTTTCATATTAGCTTTGCATGACTTGGTGACTGATGGAGAATGGAAATTACGAGCATTTTACGACTACGAATGAAGAAACTTTGAGTTGATGGTTTGATAGATTGAAATGAAATATCACATTCATTGGGCGGAAATGGCAGCGTCTTTTTGGCCTATTATAGTCGAAGGAGAAAGAAGAGACAAGGCGTTTTGAACCAGTGCTCTACCTTTTTCGGGGCAGCCAAACTGCATAGTTTCAAAAAGCACTATACTCTTTGAGCATGTCTCCAGTAATCCAGCCTTCTCTTCTGCAGGACTATCACAGGCAATTGTCAATATAACAAGAGTGGCAGCAACAACGCGGTGATAGTAAGAAGGCCGTTCAACAACATGATACCCCTCCTCGAGTGCCTTGTGTAATGATAATACCGTATCTTGAGCGGCTCCAAGACAAACAATCCGAGCCATGCTAGAGGTATAGAATGGCGTTGAAAAACTTATGCTAGCGAAGAATGGGCGATGCATGATGATCATCACATGGTTAAAACCTATATGGTTCACCGAGGTAAGCATTTGACGATTGGAACCGAGTATATTGAGTCACTCACGAAGTTCAATGTCGCAGCACTGCCGCTGAACCCACGCAATTCTTTCTCTTGCGCGCAGTCCCTCACTTGTTGCGATATCTTTGGGTGCGAGATGTGCCGGCAACTCCCCTCTCCAAGTCATGAGTTCCGCTTGGAGATTCATGAGCCGGCCAGCGAAGGATTTTATTCCATTTCGTTTTTCGTCGATGTTTGAAACCTGTTGAAAGGAATTAGCATTGGGCAGCAACGTTGAAAATGTAATTATCTTACCAAATCAATGATCTTGCGGACGGTTCTGGAAAACTTGGCCATGACAATAATGAAGGATACTCTGCTAACAGTGGCTGTCTCGTCCTGAATACTCGTCAGATAGCTTATCGAGATCAATGAGATTATAATACTCACCAGAGTCTCTTGTGGGTATGACGCTATAGAATCAGTTTCTCGAATACAGAGTGGTCTGCCGTATTCCACACACAGCTCGGACTCCAGGCTATACAGGGTCCACCACGTTCGCCTGGCCTCCTGTACGACAATGTTCGTAAAGCCGATTTCGTCGAAATTTCTGTTCAATCCTGCCGAGTACGCAAGTCTGATAGCAATCCCTAAGTAGTCGTATGCAACTAATCACGCAGTTAGCATGTGAGCATAGCACAAGTAGGATGGACATACGGTTATGTTGAGCCGTATAATGAGCATATACGGCCTATTATCTTGTCAATACAATCAACCTGACAGAGCAAGGGCAAACAAACCATCAGTAAAGCTGCTTGCGCAGTCCTCAAGGCGCTGACCCCAAGCAAACTTCCGAGGAGACCCTGTGCTTCGGCAAAATAGCTGGCTGCACATTCGGTGTCGTTGGATGAATATAGAGCCCCCAGAGCTAAAATAGAATATGTGAGACATTCCCACTGTAGTCTTTGGGAACTTTCTGAAGTGTTCGCGAAGCGTCTGAAGGCGGCACGGAATACTTTTTCGTCGAAGATTGGGATTGTGCTATAGACGATACCGAAGAAGTAGTCTAGGTGGACCTCAACAAGGTTTCCGCTTGGCCACCAGCTAGTCGCCCTTCGGACAGTTGGTGAGGCATATATATCCTGGATTCGGAAGTTGCGAGAGGCATCGGAATTTATTGGGTGCTCAATTGCTTCCCGCCGCTGTCGCTTGCTTGCCCGCTCATCGGCTCCACTGGAGGGAGCATGATCTAATACCTCTTGAACTGTCTCGTGAAATGATTTGAGGAGATCTATTGTTGACGTAGACCCAAAATAATCAGCTACTCCCATTTTTTCGTCGACGAACGTGACACCAGACACCGTATCATTTGTGATCTGTGGGGCATCTGCTCTTTATAAGCGTTTGTGTTTGAGTCGAAATGAAGTATGCATACCTGCCAACTCCACCGTTCTCCTGGGCTGATATGTCCTCTCACCGAAAACGGCTCTTTCCAGCTCCATGACCCTCGCATTGATGATATCAAGATCACTGCGTCGAACGTTAGCGCTCGCATGCATGGTGTTACTTTTGGCGCGAGTTACCCGGTAAGTCTGCTCGCAGATGTCGAAGGGTCATAGGAACATTTTACCTTGTTCCTTTCACATGATTCGCAGGGGAGCATCCCGTTGCACTAGAAATGTTAGTATGGGATGCACTGTTTCGGGGGATTTCCTTTTACCTTCAACTTTCGCGCGCGGCATGGGTTGCAAGCCTCGGTTGTTTTCCTGCGTTGCCCGGTGGATCCCGTGCTTTGCGACATAGTGGAAATATCCGATGCCAGCTGTTGGCCGTTTGCTTTGCATAACTTGGATTGGGAAAGGGTATTACTCGCGATATGGTGAATTCGCTTACGTCATGCATTTGATTGGCCCGGAATCTCCGCGGGACTGGTGTTCTATGGCATAAAGGCATATCCATATTCCAACGGTGAGTATACATCTAGATTGTACAGAATTTGGACTCGATTTGAATACATAAAATATAAATGGTGCGAGGTGCTGATTGTTTTGTTGGTTTTTGCTCTTTATTCCTCATCGCAGGCGAATACGTCCGTCTTTCAGATATCACACAATGCACATATGGTCTCTCATCGGCACTCTTAGGCAGCTCCATCATGGATGGTCATTCAAGATGTGCCAAGACCGTTACCTAAAATGCACGTGTTTGTGATGTGTATGCACACCATAGAATATCAACGCAGTGAATTGGATCGTGGTGGATCTATAACTGTGGGCCATAGAATCGCTGGCCAGCCAATCGCGGAGATCCCATGAGGAACCTCCACAGCGAAGTTGCCGATCAGACTCCCGTAGTGTGTGATCGTGCAATGGCCCACTGTAAAAATCTTAGACCAGCCCCTTATATTTGCTACGAGCTATTGGTTCTTGTTGAGGTATATCCGTGCGGGGTTATACATATTTAAACTTGGACTTCCCCCTTGCATGTACAGAAAACATTATCAATCTTCAACACAGCTCCACATCATGACTACTAGATCCTCGATTCCTCAAAAGAGAAGAAAGGAAGATAACGATCAGGATGAGATCGTTAAAGATGGCCGGCTAACAACTGCCGCTGAGAACTTCTTCGAGGCTCTGTGTATGTGAGAATATTCTACTAGCAGTGTGTATGAAGCTAACGGTTTCCCCAGCTGAGTCCGGTATCACTCACTGTTTTGTGAACCTGTAAGTCCTTTGAATTATTGTCACAGTGTTTTATCCTGACCGGTGAACAGAGGAAGTGACCACCCCGCCATGTTGGAAGCGATGATCAAGGCGAAGCAAGGTGATTTCCACCAAGATGGGATTCGTTGGTCAGGGCTGATTGAAAGCAGAGAACAAAACTAACTTCCCAAACATCATCACTTGTCCTTCTGAGTTAGTTGCCCTTTCGGCAGCCTTAGGCTATGCCCAGGTCACGGGAGTTCCGGTATGATCATATAGAGGCCAACCACACCGCTCTCTACTGACTTCTGACTGGCTAGCAATGTGTTATTGTGCATGTCGATTGTGGTACCCTTGCCTTGGGACAGTCAGTCCATAACGCATCCGTTGGCAGAGTCCCTGTCCTTTGTTTTGCTGGCTTGAGTCCTTTCACTCAGAATGGCGAACTGCTTGGTTCTAGAACAGAGTCAGTTCCCTCAAGAAGATGAGAGGTATGCTTCAGACTGACATAGCGACAGGTTTATCCATTGGCTTCAAGATGTCCCTGATCAGGCAGCCATTGTTCGCCAATACTGCAGATACACTGGTGAGATCAAGACAGGACGCAATATCAAACAAATGGTCGCAAGAGCGTTGCAGTTTGCAACGTCTGACCCCAAGGGACCAGCATATATTATGGCTGCCAGAGAAGTTCTGGAGGAAGTAAACATCCCCAGAAGACCGATTTGTCCTAAATCATGGCTGACGATGGCGATTTATGTAGCGTGTGCCAAGGGAGAGTTTGGAGGCAGATACTCTTACTTCCGTTGCACCAAGTGCGTTGCCGGAAGCAGGTAAGACATGTGAACCTTCTATGGCTTAGCATGGCTGACTTCAGCAGAGGTTGAATATATCGCCAAGGAGCTGATGAACGCAAAGCACCCGCTTGTTCTTACCACATCGCTTGGTCGCAATCATGAAGCGCCCGCCCTCCTTGAGAAGCTTTGTGATACACTGCCCATTACTGTAGTCGAGCAGATCGGCTCGGACTTGTGCCTGCGCAGTACTCATGAGGCATATCGAGGTTGTACTGTCACTACCCACCCAGAGGTTTTTGAAGCCGATGTGATCCTCATTATGGACTGTGATGTACCTTGGATCCCGACGGCTGGCAAGCCTCGACCTGGCACCAAGATCTTCCATCTTGACGTTGACCCACTCAAACAGCAAATGCCACGTACGTGTTTGGATACTTATCACCTGATACATCTAACTTTGAGTAATAGTGTTTTCGATCAATGCCACTCGCAGATTCAAAGTCGGATGCTCAATCGCACTGAGACAAATCAATGCTTTCCTGGCTAAGGCTGATATCAACAGAGCTCTATACACCCAAGCATTCGAGGACCGATCAAACAGTTACAAAAACTGGAGAAAGACCCTGCAGAATCTTGAAACGCCATCAGAAGATGGTGTTATCAGTGTGCCGTATTTAACATCTAGATTGCGCGACGCTCTTCCACAAGACACTACATATGCCATAGAAGCTGTCACCAACGCAGGAATTCTCATCCATCATCTGAATTTGTCTGAGGTATATATTTTTCATGATCTCATTGATATCTGCTAATGATCACTAGCCAGGGAGCCTGGTTGGCAGCGGCGCCGGTGGCCTTGGATGGGGCGGCGGTGCGGCACTGGGCGTCAAATTAGCCAAGCCCAATTCGTTCGTTTGTGGAATGTGAGTGCCAGAAATACTGAGTTCTCTCGATGTCAAGCTAACAATACTTCAGTGTCGGTGATGGAGTATATCTATTCTCCCAAATGGAGAGTGTGTATTGGATCGCCAGACGCTACGACGTTCCATTCCTCATGATCGTGCTGAACAATGGTGGATGGAATGCACCAAAAGTTTCTGCCCTTCTCGTACACAAGGACGGCTTAGCGTCCAAGTCAAATAGGCGGGGTAAGTTAAGGAGGGCTGGTATTCTCATGCGCGGTAGCTGATTTACTGCAGATCTCAATATCTCGTTTGATCCCTCGCCAGACTATCCCGGAATTGCCACTGCGGCTGGAAATGCTTGGGGCAAGACAGTTACCACTCAAGCTGACCTCGACCCTGCTCTTAAAGAGGCAAGGAGGGTTGTCGAGGGTGGAAGATGTGCCGTAGTTGAGGTTGCGTAAGTGCGAAGCATGACACTTGACTTGCATGGGCTAATAACTGTACAGGGTTCCATCCATTTGGAAAGAGACTTAGGACTCAACTTCGCTAAAGTACTGAACAGACTATGCAGTAGAGTCTATACGTATATCCTATGTGTCACGGTTGATGTCTTTGTAAATAGCTCGATTCGGTACGGATCTAGATTTCAAAACGGCTAAGAACTTCGGACTTTGACATAAGAGGAGCCTTTGGTTAGGATTTTCCCCTACATGTGTTAGAAATTCCCAATACCGCTACGCAAATGCGAAGGCGAAACAAATTATGATATCTAATGTAAAATTTTGGCCTTAAAGAATCGTCCGAAGCCCCCTTAATTTGTAAGGGGCGTAGACGTCTTAAATTACTACAAGATTGTGCGACAGCTTCTAGTTTGTTGCACGCAGCTTTCTTGGTGGTTTATGACGCGGTTGGTAACTATCTCCATAGTACATCTTAAGAAATATGTACCTTGGGAAGGGGCAATATCGGTGCCAAATGGTGTGGACTACCTTGGGAACACTCAAAATACACTCAAAACACACTCGAGACAGAATATACGCAATCTGGTGGACGGACATTTGGGGGTGTGGAATTTGCTATAGTATCTTGCATCTAGTGTTCTATTCTTCAAGCTGATTTAGCCCTCTACTATACATGTTCTTTGTTTCTTTTCTTCCTGCTTTGTGGTTTCCACTGAATACATCTTAGTTTTTCTCCTCTTTTCCAACATCTTCACGCGTAGAGTGACTGAAAGGATATAATAATCGCGGACTATGCAGCTTTCTTTGTTTGCCCGCAGTGCTGCCTCAGGCCACCCGTTGCTAGGGAATCAGGCCCACACACCAAAACAAATCGATATCGATATCGTCGACGTTTCTTCAACCCCACCACCCATCGACGGCAAAAGGTAAGTGAGATGGTCTCGATTTACTCCTGGCTTTGCTTCTATCTTAAGTCACGCACCGTGACCCCCTTGCTTCCCAGAAATCCCCGAGCGGGCCACAATATTCGAGAACACCAATACTGACCTACATTCCAGCGCCCTGATCAGATCCTTTTCCTCGCGACTAGCTGCGGTACATTGAATTTGATCATCGGAGGCTTCACCTATCTGCCAAGTCACCGCCAACTGCGCCTTAGTCGAAGTACGCACTTGACTTCGGACCCAAGACCCCGCCGCACATTCAGCCCGCGTCCCTCGTTCACCACAAAATGGCCAGGGAAAGCAACGCTCCCACGGAGTCCCTCACTCCGGGCAAGCCCAATCCTCAAGCTCGCCCCGCACATGTCCAGCAACCGGAATTCGGAAAGCCATCGCCGATCGGCCACCCACAGCACCGATCCAACCATCTTTTCAATATACCGAAGCCCAACCAGTCTCGAGCCGAGCATCACCGACCCGCCCCTCGACCGCAGCCTCAGCATCCAGGTCAGCATGCCGCGTCTCAGCCATACCGCCAGCCCGCTACAGGTGGCCCAGCCGCGACCCCATCAGCGAAACGCAGCGAGCCGTGGGATCCCTTCAAGCCAGTGGCGCCATCGGCCTACAACAATGCCCGTCCACTCAACCCACCCGGATCAGTGAGCATCAAGCGCCCTGAGAATGTTACCTGGACAACTCCACGTGCTCCTCGGCCGATTTTCACATCCAAGCCTCTTCCGCCGAAGATGTCAAATGCCTCCAAGAATCTCCAAAGCTTCATAGATCTCACCCAGCCTGATAGTGGCCCTGCTGGTAGGTCGGATTCCCGTGCGCCGCCTGAATTTGGGGCTATGGATATGCACGGATATGTGGATACAGCTATGGCAAACGAAAACATCAAAGCCCTGCTGGAAGGTGCATTTGAAGACGAAGAGGAGAAATCCGAGTCCAAGCCGAAGACCAAGAAAAAGGGCAAAAAGAAGAAGCAGTCCAAGAAGAGCTCTAAAAAGGAGAATGAAACC